AAGACTGTGGGTTCGGGATACCATCGATAGGAGTCAAGGCGCAAAGGTTAGCGGTGCTCACACAAAGCATATCCCTTGGAGGGCAGCGAGGCACTGATTCCCAGATAGCAGATGGGCTCAATGATGGGCACTATGATCAGCCAAGAATGGTCTGCTTACCTGAGACTTGTACTCGCCCGAGACTGCGCTCGCGCCCTGGCCGCCAGATTGCTGGCCTTTGACGGCGGACTGCTGGGGCCCAGAGGGAGCGCCACCAGCGCCGGTGAGGCCGCCAAATCCAGGGAAGCCCGACTGCTGATGATGCTGGGGCATGTACATGTTGGCGCCGGGCTTCATATAGTCGGCAGGACCGCCAAGGCCGGATCCAAGATCCTCATATCCGCCGTGGTGGTAGATGTGAGGCTGGCCGGTCGAGTAGTTTCCATAAACGTTGGCACCGAGGGTGTTGACTCCCGACTTTTGGGTGTTGACAGAACCACCGGACTGCGCCGTCGACGGCTGCGAGGGCTGGGTCGGGTATCCAGGATAGACCGACTTATTGATAAAGTTCTGGCCATACATGGTGCTCGGCTGGTACGGGTTGTAGCCTTGGCCGGGAAGATAGTAGTGGTAGAAGCCATAGGGCACGGTGGCAGGGTACTGGGGCTGCTGGGTGGCCTGTTGGGGGGAGGCCTGTCCCGACTGAGTGGTTGAGCCGTTGATAGCATCGCCGCCGGCATATTTGGAGACACCAGCGGGCGGAGCGTAGGCCGCAGGATCGTAGTAGCCCTTGGGAGCAGAAATCGGCCCAGTTAGAGAGGAGCGACACATCACAGCCCAAAGCCAGCAGCTGCGAATGAGGCCAGGGCAGTAGGGGTGGGTGGGGTGGAGTGGGAAGCTTACCATCATGCGATTGGCATCCGTGCCGTACAGACCCGAGTATTCAGCCGGGATTGAGCCCATGTGGCCAAAACCAAGGCCAGAAGCTGCCATCTGCTGCTGGGGGAAGTAGCTGCCGTATGGTGCCAGACCAGCGGCAAGCGTAGGAGTTCCGGCGGCAGGGAAACCAACAGGTGCAGGCTGCTGCTGCTGTTGTTGCTGTTGTTGTTGCTGTTGCTGCTTCGGCTCAACGAAGGGTGCGGCAGCAGAAGTGGCAGCGGGCTGGGCAGCTGGCAGTGTCTGGGGGGCCGAGGGGAGGCGAGCGGACTGGGGAGTGGAGGCGGGGACGGGGAGAGTGGTGGGGGCCAGTCCGGAAGCGTAAGCCTGCGGCTCTTGCGCGGGCTCCGAAGCAGCGCTGTTGAAACAAGTGCGGATCGGAGGCTGTTAGACGGCGGAAGCAAGCATGGCATCTCGAAAGAACTCGGCAGCATCTGGCCAGGTCGAGCGATCACTCGATCGCCGCAGCTTATGGTGAACAGTCCGATGCTTACGTGGCAGCGGGCAGCTTGGGCGAGGCAGCAGGCTGCTGGGCCACAGGAGATTCGAGGGCATCTTCGCCATCCGAGCCAATGTGGAACGAGCCAAAGCGCACACCCAGGCCCGAAATCGAGTGTGACGGCATGACGACAGGAGCATCCTGCTTGAGTTTGCGGTTCTGCTGGGAGCGAGTTTGCTTGGGTCCAGCGGACGATTGTGCGGCAGATCGCTCGGAGGCGCTGGCAGCTTGCGGGCTGACCGATCGAACGGGTGAGGCGGCGCGCTCGGCCTTGGTGGGGGTTACAGGACGCTTGGCGGGGCTCGTGGGGATCTCGACAGGTGCTAGCGGAGCAGCCTCGGTCTCCTGGGGCTCTTCGACGGGCACAGGGGTCTTGGGCCGCTCCTTAGCGGGGCTTGGGGCTCTGATTGGGCTGGCCGAGCGTTCGGGAGTCTTTGCGCGAACAGGACTCTTGGGTCGGACGGGGCTGGGAGCTCGCTTGGCGGGCTCGGGCTCTTCAGTGCGGACAACCGGAGCGGGTTCGGCACCCCATCCGGGTTCGGCGCCCCATCCGGGATTGGGCTGGGCGGAGGCCACAGCCGGCGACGGCACCTTGGGTTGCTGGACTGAAGTGGGGGCAGGAGCAGGAGCAGGAGCGAGGACTGGGGCTGGGGTGTGGACAGGCTCGGGACTAAGGGAGGCAGATGCAATCGAGATCAGCGACCGGTGGAGGCAACAAACCACAACAACGGCGTCGTCCGTGGATCGGAGAGCAAGTGCATCAGCAAACCCACCCCTTGACAAGCTGGGCCCAGGACGTTTTGGTGCCTGGAGGAATGGTTCTCGATTGAGGGCCTGCGGAGGCGCTGGATTTCATTGGAGAGATGTGATTCGAGGCGAACACTGCCTTGGTCTTCTCGGCAACAGGGGGCTTCTTGGCGGGCTCGGCGTTTCGAATCTCGCTGGAGACAATGGATGCAGTCGCGACCTCAACAGCCTCGTTGACTGCAGGCTCCGCACCCCACCCATCCGCGGCTTTCTCGGGATCTGTCACGCCAAAGTCTGCCGATGCGGTCACCGCCGCAGGTTCAACAACAGGCTGGGCAGTCGACTCGGCGTGGCGCGCAGGTCGACCTGCCAGATACGGACCGGAACACGCAAGGCATTGTGAGTCCTGGGTCTTACCAAACAGACATCTTTAACAGAAAGAGACAGCCAATCGAAGGCCATGCTTACCAGAGTATCCGCCACGACCGCCGCCACGACCACCTTGGAATCCGCCACGACCACGAGAGGAAGCGGTGCCTGTGCCAATAACAGCGTGGATCAGACTCGATTCACGATTCACGATTCGCGGGAGGAGCACACCCGTCGCTTGTAGGTGGGAGCCCGTCATCACGAGATCTACGGCGAGCGAGGATGATCCTTCAAAGCGCCTACCTCCGCGCGTCGATCGAGGAGCAGCATCTCCAGAGCGAGCGTATCGGTCGCCACGGGGGGCACGTTCGGTTGAGGCAGCGTTGGACTCTGCAGGACGCGACGGCTTTGTCTGCTTCTCCTTCTTGCCAGTCTGGTGCCAGACCTCAACATGACCTTTTTATGAGACAGCACCGGAGCACGAAAGGAGAGGCAGTGTTTAGCGAGGCTGGGACTGTCCTTGGTGACGCTTGCCTCTCGCGGCGGGCAAGAAAAGAGACCAAGGGGCGGCGGCAGTATCGCGGGCGAGCCACATGAGAACATCCTTCCCAATCTGCTCTTCAACGGCCGTATCGATCCAGAGAGTAGCAAGCAGGGACTACCTTCGCTGATCCGGTTGATGGCAATGTCTAGGTCTCCTCGGACTTCTTCGAGAATTGTGAGCAGGTCGGCTTCTGACCATCCATCAAAGATGGTTTTTAGGGTCTGAAGCTCGGAGGCATATGCAACTCGAAGTGCAGCCAGAGGCTCGTCCGACTGTGATTGCCGGGATTTTTGGCGAGTGTCTTGTGAAGACATTGGGGTCGAGGACAGCGGATGATCGTCGAAGGCAAGTATGTTTGCGGGGTGCGGACACGCACAGAAAAACGAGTTAAAAGCGCTGAAGAGTAAAGGCGAAGCTGAGCAAGCCACATCAGTTTATTGAGATTGCATGGTATCCGACAGCGGACGACACGGCGAGGAAGGAGCGAGGGAGAAGGAGAAACTCGTTAGAAAGGGAGAGAGGGAAGGGGCGAGGCCCATACGTGGCAGGGCAATGGCGCAGGCAATCCGAGGCGTCTCCTGCCACAGGGCTACGATGCTGTCAAGGCAGCCGCCCCTCTCAAGCGACAAGAAAGCTCGACGGAGGACTGGCAAGAGGTCCGATGTCCGATCGCTGATCGCTGATCGCGGTCCGGCTGCCCATGCTGGCAGAGGGTGCAGCAGCAAGTTCGAAGGGGGCCAGGGGCGAGGAGAGGCGATGCCGATCGTTCGAGATCATCCGCTGCAGCCCCAGCGTCAGCAGCGAGCCAGGAGACACTAGCAGGAGGCCGACGCTGGAGGCCCATCCCCTGTCCACTGATACCACCGGACCGAGCACCGCCGGACGGGCGAGAGCCACCAGATCACCCTCCAGGAGCAGGTGAAAACACGCCTGCAGAGACACTCAGGGCCGCACGGGCAGGCAGCACCCGCGGGCCATGACTCACCTAACAACACAACGGGATTCCTATCAAGATCTTGCAGGACGAAGGAGAATCTTGTGGTGGGCAGGAGCGGCCGCCTTGGAGGGCAGGGAGGCGGGCGCCGAGCGGCCAACGGCGGCGCGGCACGGGTCGAGCCGGCTGGAGCCGGGGGTAAATTAAGCGATCACGTGGCGCCGGGTGGCGATGGAGGCGCGCCAGTGTGCCGGCGGCAGTGCCCGTTCCCACGGTCGCTGATGAGGCGAGAGCAGCAACGATATCGGAGGGCACGACAAAAGCTCAGTGGGCAGTGTGGCAGTCGGACGATCGAGCCCTGTCCTGAATCGACCACTGTTTGTTGGCATGCCAAAGTGGCCGCCAAAGGTGCCATCGCAAGTCGATCGCCATATCGCATGGCTTGGGCTCGCAAAGCGATATCCGCTGATGTCCACATCGCCAGGCTGCCTTCATCCAGGATATGCGGGCTCCGCAAGGTGTGCAATATCTCGGGCAGGCTGATCGAGAAGGGCTCCTCCAGCGCAGCGACGTAAATGATTTGCCCTTGCCATGGGACAGGCGACGGAAGACTAACATTACTCTCGGTGCATAGCGAAAGCCGCCTTGAAAGCAGCAACGGCAGACGCACCTCAGTTCTGATGGCCACAGGGCAGTCCGCATCCGCTGAATGGGTTTCGACAGCCGCAATCACAGCGCCGACGCTGCAACGACAGTGGGACGCCAAGCATCAGGTTTCACCAACAGGCCTCTCGAACAATCACCCCATATATCAGCCCTGTGAATCACACCTTGGTCTTGTGTTCTGCGTTAGCCGTCAGCCCTGGCTTCTTTCCGCTTCGTCGCGCTCCACCGCGCCATCGTCTGTGCAATCGTCACAGCTCCCACCATCGCTATAGACCGCCAACCCACTCTCGGCCAAGGACAGCACCTCCGTTGGTCAACAGAGCAAGATGCCGAATAATCCACAGATCATCACCGACATTGCCAAACTCAGCGCCAGCGGGGACTTGCCAACCCACGGCAAAGTCACTTGCGGTGGCATCTTGCGAGGCGAAACAAAGAGCCCCTTTTCGCTCAAGGAGTTTCACGACTTTCTCATTAAGGTGAGCCAACGGACATGCTGGGCGCAGCCACGACTGCAGCAATTCGGCCGGCTTGGCGCCATTATTCGTCCCTCGGTCGGTCAAGGGGACGTGGGAAACATGCGGGCTGATGCATCCACGGGCGTCTCGCAGGAGCATTGCGACGAGAATCTTGAGTTCTACCAGACGGTCCTCGAATACCAGTCCAAAGCTATAGAGCTCTATCCCAACTCCAAGCTCAATGATCGCATCCGGTCGTGGGGCTCTCTAAATCAACTCAGTCTCTCGATTTCTCGCGAGCGCCTCTCCTCGCTTGCCCAGTCTGCAGGCAACCTCGCCTCGTCGCCGACATCGCCTGTAGCCCAGGAGGACATCTCTGCCAGCGCCGAGGCCCTAAGCCCCAAGCGGGACAAGATCTTTGGAACCTTGCGGGACCATCTGGAGCGCATCATCATCCGCTTCTTGGAGCCTGGCTCCGACCGCGAGATCAACATCCCGGCACCCATGAGGAAGAAGCTCCTCTACGAGATACAGGACAAGCAGAACTTCCACCCCGACATATTTATCCCTGCCCTGGAGGAGACCTACAAAATGGTGGGCACTTGACTAGCCCTATCTGTTGCAACAATCTCCGGCTTGGTTGGAGCCGATTGAGTCCGGCTGAGTCCCATTGGGTCTGGTGAAGCTGATTCGTGCCTTGCGATCCCTTCGACAGATGAAGACGTCCAGCTTTCCCACGTTCCTGAAGCGGCAGACATCTGCCGCAAAGGCCGCCAATGACAAGTAGCCCACCACTGTCGCGCTGCCTCTCTGCCCTGAATATGGCAAGCCTTTTATTTCGGCCGCGCAATCGCATGCACAAGCCTGATTGTGCTTTGGAATTGAAAGGCACTTGCCCTCGGTTGAGTCCGCATCACAACATGCATGCTCCGACAGGCTAGAGGCTCCCATGCTGGACAGTAGCCTGCTGGCCAAACAGCTTTGAATACACGCCATTTGTATTGAGAGGCTTGTGCTTCATGGAGTGAGTGTTGGAAATGGGTTGGATCAACACAACACCTGCATCAAGCAGTCATGGCTTTGATAACTTCCAGGCTGAAGGCGTGTAGACGACGCCCCCCGGAGTGAACATTCTTGGGCATTTCAAGCTCTTGTCATCAAATTGGTGGCTCTGAAACACACTTTGGGACTGCCACTTGCTTCATCAGTAATCTAGTTCTCATCTTTGGTTTGGTCCGATGGGGCTGCTGCCGCTGACACGGATGCTGCTGCTGGTACTGCTGTCGCTGTCGCTGTTGCTGCTGTGGTATTTGTAGGCTTCAGCAGCTTCTGTACCATCCCAACGGCGCTGCCGATCGGGTCTTCTTGCTCCATCTGAGAAGCGATGCGATCGCAATTTTGCTTGTAGAACTCGGGTCGATCGACCAGGATGTCCTTCAGGGCGCCCAACAGTGTCCGCGTCCCAAATTCATCAATGTCGATCCCGACCCCGACGCCCTGGTGCTTGACGATCGAGGCCATGAAGGGCTGATCCGCAAAATGCGAGACAACGACTGCCGGGAGTCGATACTTGACCGCGGTTTGGGTGGTCCCGGCGCCGCCGTGGTGCACGGCAACATGGCATTTCGGGAAGAGGTAGGTGTGTGGAAAGGAGCCGACCAAGCGATAGATTCGCTGCTGTCGCTCCATGTCTTCGATGCGTCGGCGGAGCTGAGCAAGCCGTGGCGATTCCATATCCCCTGTGAGATCGGCCTCGCCCCAGGAGAACGAAAGCACAGCCTTGGCCGATACGCCAAGGGCCTCGAGCTGACCGATGGCATCCAGCCATATGAACATGTGGTCGATCTCCTTGGTCGATGACGGGCCAATCTTTTGAAGCGATCCGTATCCAAAGTAGACGATCGGTCCTGTTGCCAGAAAATCCTCCTGGGAGCGACGAGCCAGCATTAAAGTAGCACATAGACGTATACACATCCGTCAGTTGAGGCGTGTATCTCTCCCGACTCTGAGGCCGCCATCAGCCAACTTGGAGCTCGACGCCGCATATCACTCTCTCTCCGCCCACATTGCTCGTGCTGTTCGATTACTCAGTTTCGTCCTGAGCGATGCTCTGAAGAAGAAAAAGGTACAGAAGCGTTCTGATGGCCGATCTACAATCAAGCCATTCAGCGGGAATGCCGACAACACTCACGATATCGGGCGGGGGCGTAAACGCATTTGCATCTTGGCTGTGGTCCAGCAAGAATGGTCCTGACTGGATACACAAGTCATGCTTCGGTCTGTTTCAATGGAGAGCAGTCGATGCAGAATCAGCCACCACCTGCAGCAAAGTCTGCGCGCGGGCGAGCCATGTACATCCACTGCTCGTCATCGGGACAGTAGTCAAACTCACACGTCGGTTGGAACTGGTAGTAGCGCGGGACTGACTGCACATAAGTACGGCGCCGTCCCCATGGCATCCTTGAGCTCGAATCCGGTCCGGATGATGTCGTAAATGGCCGTGATGGAGGGCGGCAAAATGGTTCGGCGCAGACCGAGATGCTTGCGTCGCTGCTGAATCATGATGATGAAGATACGCAGTCCCTGCAATCCCACGCTGTCCCACTGGAAAAAGTGGGCGTTGAGAGGAAGGATCGGAAGGCGGGAGGATAAGAGGGACATTGGACAGAGACCATAAGAATCGTGGGGAAAGCAAATGCACCATCGCAACCATATCATACACAATCCAGCCGCGCCGATTGCTCGTGTGTGCTTTGGCATAACGCACCTTGGCGAGGTTCGTTTTCTTGGATTCCTCGTTGGTTGGGTTGTACGGCAGCCCGAGAAGCGGCGGAGGATAGTCGCGGGTGGCTTGGTTGGGCTGCATGCAGCAAAGGATGTAAGGAATACCTCGCACCCGACACTGTCGATACCGATGGAGGAGAAGTAAGGCAGTCAATTCAGAATCGGTTGGTTCAGGCCGGAGTGCTTGAGCGTGATGCTGTGTCTGCAAGAAAGCAAGCTGCGGTTGGACGACCGACTCAAGGCCGCCGACTCGAAGCCGCTGACGCAAAATGTTGCCAGTCACGAGCAAAACGATACATTACGTCGTCTTGGAGAAACGATGCAGCGTTGGTCAAGATGGCAAGGTTGACGCCGGAGAGATGCTGGTCTGCGGTGCGGTACAGGAACTCGAGGGCAGGCATGAATGCCTGGAGCCGGCGAAGAATCCAGCAAAGCACGCAAGGGCGTCAATGGTCAAAGCAAAGAAACAGCGATTATACAGAGCCGATCGTGAGTTGAGTGGCTCGTTGCGTTCGACGAAGCTCCTCCGGGGCTATGCGCTTACCCGCAAAAGACACTTGATGCCCTCCATGGTGCCGCGGTGCTTCACGAAGAGCGCGGCATCGTTGGGCCAGTAGCCGTCCGAAGTGCACATTATGGGTTCGTCCTATCGGCCCATCGATAATGGAGAGCAGAAAACAGAGGCACGATGGAGGGAAGCAGGGATCAGCGCTGCGTCCTATGCTCGACCAGACGGCCATGTTGGCGTGGTTGGCGGGTGTATCTTGCATACACCGGCGACGGGATCAACAGAGCCGATTTGCAATAGCAAGCCCGCCACGTACATGATGATCAAAGTACTCCAGACCCTCTTCGATAGCCTTGGTTCTCCATCTCTGCGTCGAGATGAAGCGGACTCGATAGCCGCAGCGCTGGCTCACGGCACGACCCAGAGCCAGCATGGGCACGACATCGCCCGCGGAGCCGATGGCATAGATGGCAATGACACCAGCGGACATTTTCACACGAATGCGATGGGATGCGATCGTAAATGATGGGATGTGATCGGATGCGATGGAGCGCAGAGGCGACAGTGCTGGGCACTTTATGAGATGATTTGGCGTGAAGGGCGCTTGGGATCAAGGGGAAGCGCCCCTTGACGACACACACACGTCTGGGCCAAACCCAGCCCGCTTCAGGGGGCGCATCGAGCCAGCGATTGAACCATGTACAGTCGGTCCAGAAAGAAACGTGACAGTCACTTTCTGGCTTCTGAACCCCGCTGACTGACTTGTAGGCCCAGTGAGCAAGCCGTGAGATTGTTTTCCGTCCTGGTTGGCAATCGAGTGGTTTTTGTTGGTTTGGGAAGCATGGTCTTGAATACACCCGGCCGATCTCCATGGATGAGTGTATTCAGGTCACAGAAAAACCACATTCCTGGTTAAAAACGGGGTGTCCCATTTCATTTTGGAAACGCTGTAAGGAGGACGAGGGCGAATCTGATCATATCCATGTTTACAGCTGGGCGATGGCGAGTCGGAGCGGCAAATGGACAGCCGGTTCCTCTCGCCCATCCACATCAAACCACACCACACCAGACCAGACCAGACCAGACCAGACCAGGCCAGGCCAGCACCCATGCAGACAATCCACTTGGAACAACTCACAGGCTATATTCAATACAGAGGGCACGGGAACAGACATCCATTAGGGCGTTCGCCAAGGGCCTTGGAAAGAGCGCACGGTCGTAGTGGCGTTGAGAGGCAACAACACAGCGGGATTGATCACGGGGAAGGGGGGGGAGTCAAGGTCAAGCTGAGAAGACGGGGTGAGAATACCATACCGGAGGGAAAAGGTATGAGGCCAAGGACGGCAACTGGTTCTCGGGGCGAGATACACCAATACGGGGTCAGTCAGGCAGGATTCGAGCACGACAAAGAGAGGCAAAGATGCACGGCAAACAAAAACGCACACGCAAGGAAGGCACGGTACAGACGAAGAGGAGGAGGTGACGGACTCGCGCTCGATAGTTGACCCGCCGGCGAACGGGAGTGCGTCGTGGGAACAGGCAGGATATCGGCAAAAAAAAGTAACCCGCAGAACACAAAGGCACAAAAAATGGACCACATACATGTCCAGGGGAAATGAAAAGTGCTCGGGTTTATATACATATGCAATCAACAGATAGAGCAGTTGACGGTGGAGGAGGTGGAGGTGAGGGAAGGGTGTGTGAAGGGCGAAGCAGAGGGGGCTGAGTGGCTGTTGCACGACAAGTGCAGGCCACAGCGGCCAGGGAATAACAGTCGCCGACAAAGCCGCGAAGCTTTGGGCGGGCGGACACGGCGTCGACATGCATAGAATGCAGCGAGGGGAGGAACAGGACGATCATAGGGTCAAGCGGGGAGGGGGAGCAACTTCAGACGCTGAGGGCATAGGAGGCACGGGGTGTGCACGGCGGCGATACGATCACACGGTCGGCCGTGGTGAGGGTCGCGGCGCTGCTGGCGGGCTTGGAGAGAACAACCTTGCGGGCCAAGCTCGGGCTCAGCTGGGCATTGGGCACGTCCATCAGGAGCGGGCGCTCGGTGGAGGATGTAATCGGGGACGGCGGCAGAACGGGAATCACCGGGGTGGTGGGGCTGATCCGGTGCTTTTCGGTAAAGGAATAGTCGCTCCAGTCGGCGGCAGGGGTCCAGGCGCTGATTGGAGATGTTGGCGAACGAGGGCTCTCGCAGGCTTCGTCGATATGGGGCAAGCTTGTGAGGGACGGCGCCTGGAAGGACATGACCGGCCGCTGGTCGAGGACGCAGCGGTGGTTGGCTCCAAAGTTGTTGTCCCAGTAGGTCGTGCCGTTGACTTCGTACTTGACCACGAACTCGAGGTTCACGGGCGACGACGACGACAGGGCGGCGAGATCCAGCTCGAATTGGAAAATGTCAATGCCGACGTACTCGCCAAAGGACTGGCTGGCACTCGACTTGAAGGACAGGCCGTGGTCGGTGTGGGATGACCAGCCGTCGACCGTGTACCGGATCTGGAAGCAAAGGACAAAGGGTAAAGGGAAAAGACAAGTCCGTGGGTCAGAGAAGGTATGTCAGCTCGGCACTGACATGTCTGGTGAGCACGAGCCAGGGTGCCGCATGGGTGTTTCGGAAGATGGGGTGGGGCGGGTGAGTCACCATGACGGGCCGCCGGGTTGGGTTGGGTTGATGCCCATGGAACTGCACCAAGGACTGCACCAGGGACTGGGCCGATACTTACAGAGACGCTCTTGTGGAAAGCAAGGTTGCGGACAGCAACCTCGCCAACGAGGCGATCGGTGCCGGCGATGCTGAGCGACTGGAGAACGACATTGAGGGAGCTGTGCATGTAGGTGCGCTCGCCACTGTTGCGACGGGCGATTCCCCACTGCTGCACGGTCTTGAACATGTCGCTGCTGGCGAGGCCGTCGCTGAACGAGTACGCCGAGATGATCTCGACGGGGGAGGAGCCGGGCGACGAGGAGGCCGTGGCGGCATTGAGGTCGCCCGAGTCGTGGACGGCATAGCGAGGCGATGTCAGAATGTCGAGCGGCGACTCCTGGCCGTCAAAGACACACACAAACTCGATCTTTTGCTTGAATGACAGCGACCGCGGGCGCTTGGGAGTAGACTGGGGCGCTGGGGCTGCGGGGGCTGCAAGTTTCTGCTTGTTTTCGAGCGATTTGCTTCGCTTCAGGATGGGCTTGAGCGGAGCTGGCCGGCTCTGGAGACGGGGTGCGTGGGAGAGCGAGCGGGACATTTTGAGGTCCGGGGTTGATCGCATGGGCAGAAACTCGAATATCGGCATGGTGGATGTGTGGATGTGCATGCGGCTTTGGCGGTGACGGGAAGGCGGAGTGATGGGCAACTGCTCTAGGAAACGGCTGAGATGGGAAAGGAAGAAAGGCAGGGAGGGTCAGCGAGCGGACTCTTATGCACCGGGAGCGAGCGGTGTGTTTAGGCGGCTGGCGGGCCAAACAAGGTTGTGACGTCTGGTGTGTCAACAACGGAGGCAGAGATAGTCCGCTCCAAAGATAGACCATGTCGGCCCGGCTGCGCGCAGGAAAGCCGAAGATGCGGTGTGGCTGGCAATGTGACGGAGGCAGCGTGACCGTTTGTGGGGTCTGCTGCGACCGCGGCGGAGACAATGCTGAGGCGGCAAGGCGCTGCTGAGGCGAGTGCCCGATCAGCAGGGCGGGGACAGCGACGACGGCGGGACGGCAACGGACCTGTTCCAGGCAGAGCTCGGGGGAGGAGGAGGAGGAGGAGAAGAAGAGCGACGGGCGGGATGCAAGCCCGCGGCGCCGGCGAACAGGGCGGTTATTAATACCTGGACGCACACGCCGCCCTGGCCAGCCAAGGGGCCGGTGGGGAAGCGACGCACCACTGGAAAAAAAGATTTTTTTCAGAGAGGGTGCCTTGTGCGCGGATGGCGAGGGCGCTATGTGTGCGCGGATGGCGTGCTCTGGCCACACAGCACAGGGCATTCTGCGTGTGCGCAAAGAGGCGGCTGTGCGGACAAGCGCTCTGTCGGCCGCCGCCGGGGGGCAAGGCAAGGCCCAGCGATACTGCATGTCGATCGATCGGCCCGCTGATTGGTCTGCATCCTCGGCCGCCACAGGGCCGCCCTATCGACGGGTGTATCGCGAAGGTTTGTCGGCGCCGTTGTAGGTGGTGCTTGCCGGTGCTTGCCGGTGCTTGCCGATGCTGGCGATATTGGTGTCGCTGATGCTGGCGGTGCTGTCGCTGTTGGCGCTGGCCGTCTTATCGCACCGCGAGCAAACAGGCCCATGCCGCTGGTCCCTTCCGCAAGGCCCAAGTCGGCTCGGGTGCCGTGGTCCCCCATACTCACACACAGGCACCCGCCGGCCTTGGCGCTGTCGCCACACGGCCATGCGAGCCATGCGAGCCGGGCGCCCCCCTGTGCAGGCCAATCGCAGCAGCGCATGGACACGACGGCGGCTCCTGCTTCTGCATCATCTCGAGTCACCGTGCATCCCAGCCTCCGGCCCCACATGCAAGCCCATCCATGCGGAGCCGCCGCGAGACCCGTGGGCCAGCACGAGATACCCACGGATCTCGTTGCTCCGGCCGCGGCGGCGATCGGCCCCGCTGCTGCCCCGCTGCTGCCCCGCTGCTGCTCCGCTTCTCTCGCTCGATCGCTGGAGGAGAGCAGGGCTGCAATCGCAATCGCAATCGGCCTTTGCGTGGCGCCAGCCCGATCCCGTCGTGCCCTGGATGGCCGCCGCCTTGCTGGTCTTGCCCGCCGATTGGTGCCGCGGCCGAAACCGGCGGCGAATCAACGGCCCGCTGCGGAGGTTATCGACCGGCCGCAAAGCGCCATTGGAGCACCAGCCGCCGTTTTGTTCGTGTGGCTCGTTGTGGCGTCGTTACACGAGATAAATGGCAAGTGGGCGGGTTGTCTCTGCCGGGCCTGCCGGGCCTGCCGATCCGAGACGCGCGATGCACCGGGCGACATGCAGGCCGATTCGATTCCGTCCGATGCGGCCCTGCGGTGCCTGGCCAGCTGGTCCTATCTGGCATTCTGCTGCGAGACGCCGATACGATGCATGAGCCGCGCGGCAAGGCATTGCTCGCGGGGCGTTGATCCCCCCCCCGAGACAACCAACACGGCATTCGCCGCTGTTCGTGCTGAGTCAAGCCCCGGCCGGCCCGATGGACAGCCGGCCAGCAAACGACCGCCCTCGCGACGCCCAGGGCGCTGTGCAGACCCACCCGGCTCCCCCCCCCTGTCGTTCGCGGGCGACCCAGCGGTCTCCACGCGCCAATCGCATCCATGCAATCCATTTTGTGTCCCGCACCGGCTCACCAATCGACTCCGCCAGGGGCGTCCGGCAACAGGAGAAGAGGGAAGGCACAGCACCGCTGTTTGCTCAGCACCACAGCCCCGACAGCAGGTGCCTCGTGAGTGGTGAGGGGGCCCGCGGTCGGCGAATTGAGAGGCTCTTCGTCGGCGAATTGGATTGCTGGTGCTGTTTGTCGGCGGTGTGTCTCGCTGGATCGCCTCGCTGGCATCCTCTTGCTCGTTCCTATTGGCAATCGTCTTGCTATCGCTCGATGGCGTCCTCGCTGTCGTCATTCCCTGGACAGCACCTGGGCAGCAGCACGCCGTCGCCATCGGCCAACAGGCGCCGCGTCATCGGCCAGGGTGCTGCCCCGCCCGCTGCCTCGCCCGGGGGCAAACAAGCCACCAAGAACTCGCCAAAATATGGCCATTCATCAGGAGCCCATGTCCAGCAACATCTATTGCATCATCCACAAGCCATTCGCGCCCCGCTATCAATCAGTCGGCTTGAGGCTGGCTCGAGAGTGTCTCCCGCGATGCCCGCCCGGTTCACTCGACTCTTGCAGTTCATCCGAGCCATTCGATCCGTCAGGCTCCTTCGACAGTCGCTCCATCTCGAGGTCCGTGAGCAGCGCCGAGTGAGTTTGGCACACATACTCTGCTCCCTTCTCACGCACCAGTCGATCGATCAGCATTTCGCGCGACCAGATCTCCGCTGCAGCTCGGGCCGCACCCTCGGATCCGTTGGTTGTCGTCATGCCAGCGGCCGCAGACACAAGCCCGGATGAGCTTGGTGCATCCTCAGCATCTTCGGCATCCGTCTCCATCGGCGGGAAGGCTTGTTGGTATTCGTTCATGAGGTCAAGCATTCGACCGAGATCGCCGTGCTTGACATACTGGTCCATCATCAGTCGGTAGGCCACCCGCGGTGCTCGCGATGTACCATCGTCCTTGTCTGAATGCAGCTCCGAAAACAGGCCCTTGGCTCGCTCGAGGTCGCCGCCGTGGACATATCCGCGCAAGAGACTGATCTGAAGCTGCATGTGGCGGTTGGATCCCACAACGACGTTGCATACCGTCATGGCTTTGTCGATCCATTCGAGAGCCTCGTCGGCCCGTCCGGCCGAGGCCAGGACCGAGATCATCCGCCCAAACAGGCCATCGTCCGGCTTGATTCCCCGCTCCATCATATCCGTCCACAGCTCGTGGCCCAGCTCTGCATCGCACTTGAGCAGCGCAATCTTGAGCAGTAGCTTGAAGGTCACTGCATTGGGCTTGGCGTATGTCCCGGGCTCCAGATACCCGTTCTGGGGCCTGCCAAAGACTCGGTAAAAGACCTCTTGTGCGGCCGCGGGTTGCTGAGCTTCCACAAGAGCCGAGATGCAGCTGTTGGTGAGCTTGAGGACTGCCGGGGACTGGATGAAGAGCTTTGGTGTGCTCCCGAGCCGCGTCTCGGAAGTGCGCATCATCTCCTCCAGCTCGGCCAGGGCCTCCTCAAAGATGGCAATGACCAGCCTGGGGTCTTGCAGGGCCCCAAAGATGGATATCGATCGGGTGAAGCAGCTCAAGTCCTTTGGGGTGGTGCTGGCTTGGAGATCGGTCCAAATCTCGGCGCCCTTCTGGAGCTGAGTGATGCCGGACTGGGGTTTGGCACATAGATCGAGCAGGGAGGCGTACGCAAAAGTGGAGATTGGGAGTGCCTTGGCCTTCATTTCTTCGTAGAGCTCAAAGGCCAGGTCGTAGTTGTTCCAGCAGTTGGCGCAGTGGATCATGACCGAGTAGAGCTCGGGCGACGGAGCGTAGCCTGAACGAGAGCGGATCTGCATGTCAGCATCAAAACGACTTTGTCGGAGCAGCATTGCGGGCCATATCAGCAGGCACTCGGCTGGTTTGGACAAAGTGCATCTGCCATGTCCAACAGTCATCCGAGCGACACTTTGTCGGCGGCACAACGCATGCATGCAGTCGTCGGATCGGATCGGATCAGCGGGCCTACCGATCTTCAGGATGCTTGCCCAGGCGTCCTTGATCTCCGCCTCGTATCGAATGCGGTCCTGGAGCAGCAGGTGGATGTGGTTGTGGAGGTCAATGTACTTGAGCCTCGCCACCAGGTTGTTGTCCTTCAGGATGGAATACACATAGACGGCCTCGTCGACCTGGTCCCGTTTGGCGTGGAGCGCCTGCAGAATCTCGATCTTTTGCCAGCCAGCGTAGTGTCGGATCTTTTCGAGGTTGACCCGGACGACCTTGTAGGGCTCGTCGTGCGTTGGGCGGTTCATGTGAACCCGACGGAAGCTCGGGGGCAGCGAGGGCGGGGCCGGATCGCCTGTGCTGGAAGAGCCGTCGTCGGCATTGCTTCTTGGTCGGGAGTCGGCTCGCGGCAGGTGGACCGGGGCCGAACGGTGCAGGGCTCGCAGCGAGATGCTGGTCGGCGATAGGACACGGCGGGCCCAGAGAAGATTGCGGGCTGCGTGCATTGCGAACATGGTATGCGTTGCGTGCGTTGCAGTCAGACGGTGCAATCGCTTGAGCTCCTCGAGATCGGCGATGCCTGCTGGGATCGATCGAGATCACGATCGCTGACGGCTGCTGGGATCGATCGAGATCACGATCAAGATCGCTGGCAACACACGTGATGCGCAGGCGGGCATGGGAAGCAACGGGGCTCATGGAGCGTTCACATCAACGATGTTGGCAGATCGGGACGTACACGACAGCGGCGATAGCAACGACAGTGGAGACAGCGGCAGAGCACAGCAAGGATGTCAGAGCGAGCACCATGTTCGGCGATCCTATCCAGGGGCCATCCCAGGACCATCCTAGGGTCGTCCCAAGCACAGGTGGCACTCATTCCCCTCCCCGTGCGCCAATGATTCCGCCGATCCCCTGGCGATGCGACAGCGCTAGTAGTATATGCTACGTGTCCGATGAATGGGCAGATGCTTCATCTTGTCTTCCTCGCGCTTGGAATAGTCCCAGACGTAAAAGTCGATGAGGATGGCGTTGACGCGCAGGCCCTGGCCGTTGTCGGGATCGGCCTCGAGCATGGCCTTGATTTCACGGCGAACGAGCTCGACGCTCCAGATGGAGTTGCCCCGGATCTCAATCTCGAGCCGGCAGCCAGCGTCAAGCTCTTCGTTGCGTCCGAGGATCTCCAGCAGCGCTGGCGAGTACTGGAGACAGCCGTAGTGCAGCAACGCCTGGGGCACGCGGTAGTCGGCAAACATGGTGATCTCGTCAATGTCGTCGAATCGACCAAAGCTCTGGCCGTCAAAACACGCCCTGGATCGAGAGGAGAAGGAAGATGAGACCAAGGGCATATCCGATGACCTTTGAATCGCAGGCTCGGTCCGGCCTCTATCTCTGATCTCGAATGCCTGTGAGACCAGCCTCCTTGGATCAAGTGCAGCCCTTACCATATGTCGGCAATCAGAATCTGTGCTCGCTTGTAGATTTGCACCCGACGACCGCAAAACTCCCGTTCGTCTTGGAAGGATGAAAAGTCGCGGGTGACGATCTTGAGGAACTCGAGGGCTGAGTGGTTGGCAGCCCGCACAACGTTCTCCACACGACCCTGGTATTTCTGGTTGGATGATGGCCCGGAGGGCAGGGCAGCCGCCAAGATGTGCGGTCGGTGTGTCAGCAATGAGATCGCTCAAGCCAGGTCGAGGAGGGGAGCCAACAGATCAAGGGAGCAGGAGGGCCAAGCTTGAATCGGGAACATCCAGACACCCTCGTTCGCGCAGATCGTCCTCGGATCTGTACCTCGACAATGACTCTTCCGGTCTCCTGGACGGCCCTCCACCGCTCTTCGAGAAGAGCAACAGATCCACCCTCGGGATCGCCTCGGAACACATGGCGGAACTGCTCCAGGCTGATGTCGCGGCAGAACTCTGGGGTGTGGATCGGGATGCCTTCGTCGAGGGCACGGTTGATGCAGGCGCACAACGACCAGTAGCCGGTGTATGCCTTGCCTCGGTATGTCACCGTAAAGGGCTTCTCTGGCGGGGTGTGGTAGAACGAAAAGTTGAGGGTGTCGACCAGGAACACCCACTGCAGGGCATCGATGCTGGCATCCTTGGGGTGCAGATCGTTCTGCTTCCAGCTGTGCGTTGAGTAGCGCTGCTGCTTCATCGCCTCGAGAATGAGGCGAGAGGCGGCCTGGATGCCCTCGCGGGGGACTGACACATCCTGGCTGTGGTTCGAGATGAACTCGGCGCTCTCGAGCACGGGGTTTCTCGGCATGTTGTTCGGGCGCAGGACGACGAGAGAGCGGCCGAACCGAGATCAGGTCAGAGATTGGCTGTTGCGTGTCGGGCAGGCCGGTTGGGCGGGCTGTCAGGCAAGCCGGTCGGCTGGATGCAGAATCTGGGGCGGAGGTGCAGCAAGCCGAGCGAGCGAGCAGGCCTTTGGCACAAGCGATATGTACCCGCACCCATTGTTGGCAGGCAACAGTCAATATCCTTTGAAAAGAAGTATATATTGGAGATATTCAAAAGTCGACATTCAGGGTTGGGGGGGGGAAAGGAAAGGAGGGGGAGAGAATCGGGGTTCTTCCACACCAGCATCCGCATATTGTCATGGATGCCTCCTATTTACATCACCTCTCTTTATTATTGCAATGAGGCAGCGAGGGGGGGGACAGGCGGCGTTGGTGGTCGAAAGGGGTTAGTTAGAGGGCGATGGGACAAGCAGGACGAAAATAAGGAAGGGAAGGAATCGACAGCGGGGATTTGGGGAGGGGAGAGTTGCCGGAGGTTGTCAACTAGCATACCGGACGAGAACGGGAAAGGTACCTGAGCGGGGATGACTTATGCCGAGTAGACCTGGTGACCATCGGCGAGGTTGTTGAAGGCCTGGAGAGAAGGCTGCTTGGCGTGGCCCTTGCCAGACTGGGCAGCCATTTCGTCCGAGAAGGCGGTGTGGCGGCCAACGCGGGCACCAGGGGAAGAGCCAGGGATGGTGGCCTCGTGGGAGATATCGACGACGGGCTTGGAGGACGAGTCCTTGAGCGACCAGTTCTGTCGTCGGCTGTTCTTGACGCTGTCGCGGGTAGCCGAGTCAGAGCCATCCTTATCGAGGTTGTTGTACTTGGCACGAGAGCGACGGACACCGACAAAGCCGGCGACGACGGCAGCAACGGCGAGCAGGCCACCGGCACCGGCAATCAGGACGGTGTTGTTGGGGGTAGAGGAAGAGGGGCTCGAGGAGCTGGAGGCCGAGGCGCTGGAGGGGCCCGAGGCAGCGAAGACATGGGTGGCCGAGTCTTCCTGAGTGCTGTCCTCAGTCTCATCATCGTTCTCCTCGGTCTCATCGTCATTCTCTTCGGTCTCATCGTCGTTCTCCTCAGTCTCATCGTCATTCTCCTCGGTTTCGTCGTCGTTCTCCTCAGTCTCATCGTCATTCTCCTCAGTCTCATCATCGTTCTCCTCAGTCTCATCATCGTTCTCCTCAGTCTCATCGTCGTTCTCTTCGGTCTCATCGTCGTTCTCTTCGGTCTCATCGTTCTGCATGAGGTGAATTGCGGGCTTGACAATGGCACGGCCGTTGCGGGGGTGCAGGGCCACGACGTTGCTGCCGGCGACGTTTCCGGCAAAGGCGACGGCCTGAGAGTCGGGGTGGGCAGCAGGAGCCGCAAGGGCGAGGCCGCTAAGGGCGAGGGCGCCGATGGCGCAGACGGTGCTCTTTCCCAGGATCATGGTTGGCGGGGTGGTGGGAGACGGGGTGGGAGACGGGTGGGCAGGTGGTCGTGGGAGGGGAGCAACTTGGATCCGGTCGAGGGATGCTCAGAGCGAGAAGCGGGGCGGCGACGCGGAGGAGAGGCCGAGACACCAGGGCTTATATGCGGGATGCTGGCGAGAAAGCCTCCCGGGTCAGGCGGGAGGACAGGAGGGCTATTTCGGGCCAGCTGCTGCTGGCTGTGCGAGTGCTGCGACTGCTGCGACTGCTGCGAGAGCGTGGGAGAGCGTGGGAGAGCGTGGCGTGTGGCAGCGACGCGGCTGGGGCGCTGGACCAGGTCGCCGACAAGGACGGGCGTCGCAGCATTGCAACCGAAACAGCTGGTGAAGGACAGAGTGCCGGGAGAAAGACGGCAAGGGAAAGAGAAGGGGCGGGTGTGCATCGGCAAGGACATGCGAGGACATGCAACGAGATGCGGGATATGTTCTGGGACATGTGTGAGATGTGCGAGGAGATGTGCGAGAGCGAGCGGCGGGATATGCAGTCCGTCGCAATGTCTGTCGCATTGTCTGTCGTATTGTCTATCGCATTGTCTGTCCTGTCGCCCATTCGTCGTCCTGCCGGGCATGGGCCTTTGCGCATTTTCGCTGCGACAAAGCATGCGCACCCGCATAGTGGGGTTGGCCCGCTGGCCGTGCAAGACGCCGCGGCGCTGTGGCCCTCACAGGACCACCTGGGAACGTGGCCGTCTGGTCCTCCGGCGGCAGGTGACCGGGTCATCCACGAGCTGCCGTGCCAGCCCTCTGCTTTGCTGCAAGAGCGCTCGGCGTGTCGGCCCGTCGCAATATCTGCGTGATGGGGATGCAGATCGCGTTGCTGGCAGACGAACGACACGGCCAGAGACACGGCCAGAGATGGGGGAGACCATATCGTGACCAGCAGCGGGGTGCCGCCATGCAGATGGGGCCGGTGGCTGCCGTGGCAGCGTGACGAGCCCAGCAGCGTGGTCTGTCGGAATCGCCGTGGACCAGCCGGCATGCGGATGTGTCCGCTGTGCGCGACCAGGACAGGCGCTTGGAGAGACGGCTGGCGCATCGCAGGGCTCTGGGACGCACGACCGGGCTTGGCGAGCGAGTGCAGGGACCTGGTTTCGGCCAGCGGCGAAAAAAGAAAGGTGTCGTCCAGTCCCACCGGCCATGCCTCTGCCGACAAGGAACCAGCGGCAACGACATCAGTAACGACACCAGTAACGACGCCAGTAACAACACCAGAAACAACTCACTGCAACTGGCTGCCGTACCGGTAATAGCATCAGTGGCACCAGTACTGACACCAAGCACTATCACACCCACACTCAGCAGCGGTGCCGCCAGCCTCCCAGCCGTTCACGCCGGCATGGCTCGCGCCGCCTGGTCATCCGCAAAACCATGGCCGGGTGGAGTTGATCGGCGCCGAGACCCGACTCGCCCTTTTTTTTTCTTGCCGCCATGTCGAGTGGAGCGCGTCGGAGGAGCGAGTGGATGGGCGGCCGTCGCTCGATATCGCACATCGGGCGCCGGTGGATTGCGTGCTTTGGCGATGGCGAGACAGAGGCAAGATATGCGTTCGAGCCTTGGTTGGCCGGCCAAGCCGGTCGCCCTCGATGGAGAGCGCTGCCCACCCGTCCTGCTCATGGTCCTTTGCACGCTGGCTGAGAGTTGCGCCCATGGTCCAAGACAAGGAGTGCGAGAGCGAACTCGATCCATTCCATCCATTCCAGCCATTCCATCCATTCCAGCCATTCCATCCATTCCAGCCATTCCATCCATTCCATCCATTCCAGCCATTCCAGCCATTCCAGCCATTCCAGCCACTCGATCCATTCGATCCATTCCAGCCACTCCATCCATTCCAGCCATTCGATTCATCCGGCATGACTGGGTCTGTGCACCCACGCCGCTTCGAGAGAGATGCGCCGTCGGGACGCGCCACGCCAGCCATCCGCCGTTGTGTGTTTGAGCAATCCCTGCACCTCCTGTTCGCATCCAGAGTCACCGGCGTTCATTGCGTAGCGGTTCTGTGTCCCTCCCCAACAAGGACAAGGTTTGAGTTTATTTGTCCCTTGGCCCCGTTCTGGCAATGCTGTGTCCAGCGGCCCACAGGTCCATACAGCAACCCCAGGTATATATTCTCTCGGCTTGGTCTCGATCTCTTCCAAGGTTTCCCCGCTTCCTGCAACCTTTTCGCTTCATCGCGCAACTCTCCCCCAAGCGCCCTCATGGAGCTCCCTCGTCCCTCTGCCTCGCAGGACTCGGCTCCGGCCGCGGCTCACCCCGAGCCGACCCTGCTGTCGTCGCTCAAGGCCACCGTGTTCACGAACCTGTACTTCAACCTGCTGCTGATCTTTATTCCCTTTGGCTTCTTGGCCCACTATCTGAATTGGGACTCGTCGCTGTCGTTTGTCTTCAACTTTATCGCCATCGTCGGCCTGGCCAAGATGCTCGACTTTGTCACCGACGAACTTTCCAAGAGAGTTCCGCCCAGTGTCGCTGTAGGGATCGATCGCCTCCCCGCTCTGTCTGTGCTTTCCTCCAGCCCCGGCTGTTTTCTGCCTGACCGGCCCTCCTGTATACGGCTGTGCCGGGCGCCCGGATGCATGGCGGACCCTCCGGAACTGTGGCTTGACGCTCTGCCAGGGTATTGGAACCTAATTTTCAACCTTCATCTCGCCAGGGTCTCCTGAACGCCACCTTTGGAAATGCCGTTGAGCTGGTGAGCGCCCGCAACCCTGCACAATGTCCGTTCGCTGCCCTTGCCTGCCTCCTCTCCTCGGCTGATGCACGGACTGCCTCTGCCCTCCACAGATCGTCTCCGTCCTCGCCCTCAAGGCCGGTCTGATCGAGGTTGTCCGCTCGTCGCTCCTTGGATCGATCCTCTCCAACTTGCTTCTGGTCCTGGGCTTTTGCTTCCTCTTTGGAGGCATCTGGGGCAACACCGGCAAGGGCAAGGGCAAGGCCAAGGTCCAGAAATGGGGCTTCAACTTTGCCCAAAAGTTCAACTACAAGGCCGCCAACACCTCGACCTCGATTCTTGCCGTCACAGTGCTGTCGTATCTCCTCCCGGCTGCCTTCGGAGCCAACAACAGTTTCCTGCTGACCCCCAAAGACCCCAACAGCCCCTACGACCCCAAAACCAACCCGGGCATTCAAATCTACGATACCCTGATCCAGAACGTCAGCCATGTTGCTGCCATCGTCTTGCTCTTGACCTACGCCGCCTATCTCTTCTTCACCCTCTACACCCACATCGACTTTGTACGTATCGCTTTGGTCGAGTCCTCGTGGGCCGAAACGGCCCCAGGTGTCGCATGGATGCTCTCCTGGCATCTTAATGAGGCCGCTAGTGTGGCGAGCATGCCGTCGTAGCATGAAACCGTGCCGTCCACAGAACTCCCAGGCGGCTTGCCCAAACTGACTCGCTGTCATCTTGGCTCGATTCTGTAGTTGAACACCGATACCTACGATGACGATGTTGATGCATCCGCCACGCAGTCCAAGCTTCTGGCTGACGAAGAAGCCAACATCAGCTCGGGCGGCAACAACCCCGGAGGCGACGAGGAAGAGGAAGATGAGCCGCGCTTGATCACCGTCTTCGTTGCTATCTTGATCTTGACCATCACCACGGTCTTTATCGGCTTCAATGCCGAGTTCATGGTCGACTCGATCGACGGCGACACCGGCATTTCCAAGAAGTGGCAGCTGTCCGAGACCTTTATTGGCTTGATCCTGATTCCCATCGTCGGCAACGCCGCAGGTTCGTGTCGCACTTTCTTGCCGGTGTAGACTCCTGCATCGCATCCGGCGCTGCATCACTCGGATGCTGGCCGGGGGGAGGGAATGCGAGTCCAGCCAATGAACGAACTGGCCGCTGCCGAGCTGTGCCTCTCGCCGAGTTTCTGATGATTTGTTTCGCCATCGCTTCGCTTGGCAGAGCACGTCACGGCCGTCTCCTCCGCCATGCGCAACAAGATGGATCTGGCCATCTCGGTTTCGATCGGATCGTGCCTGCAGATGGGTAAGTGAGCGCAAGGATGTCAAAATGGCGATGGCAACGACCGTGCTCGAGCTATGATCGATCGGCTTGAGCCATGATCACAGGCTTTGGCATTGTCGACCTCAGGTGTCTGGCTGACATGTATTGTATCTAACACTGTTGTTCTATCTGTGGACTCGTTTCTCTGCGCTGATGCCCGACCTCCCACCACACAACCCTGTCGCCACCACTCTGTCCCACTGGACCTTTCGCTTCCTCTCATCCAGCACTGTTTGTTTCTCCTCTCCTGGTCATTGTTGGCTGGGCAATCAACCAGCCCCTGACTCTGGTCTTTGACGGCTTCGGAACGGCCGCGGTCTTCATCAGTGTCTTTGTCGTCAATGCCCTGATTACCGATGGCCACTCGACGTGGCTGGAGGGGTTCCTGCTGCTGGCTTCCTATGCCATCATTGCTGTCTCTGCGTTCTACCTCCAGACCAACCCGGCCGTCACGGCCATGCTGGGTGGATCGACTGTTTAAAGTTGCTTGGTGTCGACTTTGCAAGCAGTGACTCTGGGATCTCTGAACCCAATTATTGGATTGAGATCCAACCGTTGTAGACTGCACTCCCCTGGTGCTGTCTTTTGCATCTGACCACAGCAAAGTGCTTTGGATCATATTCCGCCTCCACATTCCGGATGCTGATTGTCGTGTGGGTTGTCAGTCTTTTCTTGTACGTGTCCGTCCTCTCGCTCAATACACGACTTGCGCTACCATAGCCCCATCGATGAGCCTGCGTTACTTTATTTACGGGACGGGTGGGGGTGAGGGCGAGGCGAAAGCCACCTTTGGCAAAGTGAATCGCTTGACACAGCCGGCCGAATCTCGAGGCTCGTGCGTCTCTGGCTATCGCTTGTGTTTCTTGGTGGATGTGCCATCGTTGCCGTCTCCTTCGTCTCGCGACTTTTTCCCGGTGAGACCCTTCCCGTACTTGTCCATCATGATCTTGTCGAGCTTCTGGAAGTCCTGGTTGAGCTTGGCGGCAGAGTCCTTGTGCACACCGGTGCCGCGGCCGGATTTGAGGTCCTTGCCTCTCCGCCCTTCCTGGGCCTTGACGCCGTACTGAGATGCTGCCTTGGTGACGTACGCTTGGCCGCCTTTGTATTCTTCCCACTCTTGCTCGTTCCCAAAATCGCTGCGGCTGAGCTGTCGCTTCTTATTGAGCCGCGTGCCTAGATCGACCAGGGACGAGGGATGTTTTGAGCTGTCCGCCTGGGCGCCATCGCCATCGAGGGCATCGGGCTTGCGCTCCTCGTCCGACTCGTACTCGTAATCCATGAACCCGTCCTCGACATCGCCATAGGGGACTTCCAGCTTGGGGAAATATCTTTTGGGAGCGCCCGATGACTGACTCGAAGATGCGGGCTCTGGGGGCTGAGTGTTGCTCCGGAGCGATCCAAAGGCAGCAGTGGAGAGATTGCCTGACAGGTTCTCATCCTCATCAAAGTCATGGTCATCGTGTTCGGACAGAATCGAGCCCGGCTTTGGCTTAGATTCCCCGGCCGTCTCGGCGATGCCTCCGTGTTTGAGCAGCTCTGAAATCATCGAGCTGGACGGCAGATATTGTTCACCCTCGGGTTCGGCGGCATTCTCGGCAAAGTACGTCGCTTTTGGTCGTGGCGGAGCGTCGGTCGTCTCATGGGGATCGCTCTGTGTCTCCAAGGGCTTCGTGGAGCTGCTATCCTTGCCGTCGGCCACATAGCCTCGCCCGGCTTCGGCAAAGATACTGAACGGAGCAAAAGTGTCAATTCTCACAGCAGATTGACTGCAGAGGCAACGCATTCGATTCGGATGCAATGGCGCACTGATTCAGTTGCGCAAAGGCGTTTGTCTGGTATGCGATCCACACAGCCGATAGCGACATTCGCGCTCTAGGAGCCACCTACTCAATGTCATCGTCGTCGTTGTCGTTCTGGACTGGATCTTGGAGCTCTGCATCGTCCGGCAGGCGGTCAGTAGCCTTTGCTGTTGTCACTGCTGCTGCTGCTGCTGCTGCTGCTGCCTGAGCCTCTTGATATCGCCGCTGCTCGGCTTCGCGCTTTGCTGCCTCCTTGTCCTTTTTCTTGATCCGCCGTTTCTCCTCGTGGCCGGAGTGGAGTCCCCGCTCGCGCGAGATGATCTGGATGATCTTTTCGAGGACGACGTCGGTATCTTGGATGGTGTGTTTCTGGTGCCGTCACCATTGGCCGCGGGCAAGGAACAGCGATAATCAAAGCGATGGCCAAGGCAATGGTCAGGGCGATGGCCGAAGCACAACACAAAACGCTCTCGGTCACGCTTCCGCCATCCTGATGCATGCATGCTGGCTCACTGCTAAAAACTCACGCCTGCGTCCTGCACGGCAAAACGGCTCCGGATGATAGTCGTCGGGACATCTGTCTTGGATCCTTCACTTGCATCGAGGTTCCACTGGAAGAACATGCGTCCGGGGAAGAAAATCTCGTTTTTCAAGGGCGGCGGCTCCCGCTTCGCAGTCGCCGCAGTGTGGATATCTTTGGCAAACTTTGAGCGAAACTCGGCCGGCCCATCGCTGCCATGGAGCTTTTCGACGTACTCGCGGGCTTCTCTTTCTCTGGGGAGGGAGCGTGAAGTGTGAAGTGAGTCAGATCGCCGTCAGCACCCAGAGCACAGACCTACTCATGGAACGGACGGTGCTGAGCAATATAGCTTCTGCACCTATGGCATTCGTGTGCTTACTGCTGCGACTCGTCCTGGCCCGTCTTTATCTGCGCTCGGATCTTTTGGAGCAGGGCATAGTCGAGACCCTTGACCAAATGGGTGTGCTTGACGTCTCCACCGAGATACTTGCTCTGCTCGTATGAGAGACTGAGCTCGTTGTCCAGTGTGCTGGCAGCATGTGGGGTCGTCATGCCAAGTGGACCACTCTGGTCGCTGCCGGACCCAAGCACGCAGCGAAGAAGTGCAACGTGATGACGTACGAGTCAGCACTGTGTGAAGCAGAAATGCTGATGAATAATGCTGTCGCATTATTCTCTTCGGGCCTTATTGTCGGTATGCATACCTGGTGGCCAGAACCTTGAGCATCTGCTCGGACTCCTCGTAGTCAGGATTGACGTTGTTTCGCCGCTCCTTGGCACGATCGCGATACGAGATCGTGTCTGCCTGGGCCTGTTTTTTGGCATGCCATCTGCCACGATGGAACAAAGCGATATTGGCAAGTGATGGAGGGGGGTCATAGCAGATGTTACCGTCCGTTAGAATGCAGGATCTGCTTGTCGGATGGCCAGGGCAGTGATGGCATGCGGACGAGCGATGAGCACAAGCAGTATATCGAGATATGCAGGAGGAGGCAGGAGACGTGCTTGCTCTGCTTTGGCTTTGGCTTTGGCTTTGCAAAGTCTGATCCGGAATCGGCGTTGTCTGAGAGAGTCGGCTTGGGTCTGTTGTTGCAGCATCGAGTAGATCGTGAGTGGCACATCAGCGTTCAATGGTCGACAATCAGCAGAAAAAGACCATTCAGCAGCGGCATTAGATCGCACAGCGAGTCAGCTTATCGAGACGCGGAGCCAGTGTCGACTCAGACGAAGGACGGTCAGAGGAATAGACTCCACGGACCAGCAAAGGCTGGGAGAGTTGAGTTGCCAGTCATGAGGAGCGGGGTAGCGATACGCACGATTTAGGCCGAGCTGGGGTCGGTGCGGGCGGGTTCGCAGCGGGGTCCTTGGGCCTGGGCGTCGCCAGGAGCTTCTTGAAATCGCTCTGAGTTAGTCCTGAGGTCATGGCTGCTGCGGCGTGCGAGGCAGCCGGGAAGGCGGATGCGATGTGCGATCAGGCAAGAAGAGCCGCGGCAGGGTGGGGCTGCCAGATGAGATGACAACCGGGACGGAGTAAACCAGGACGAGTTGTGTTTACCGGGAGGGCTGGTTTCTCTTTCCCCTTTCCCCTTTGCTTTTCTGTTGCCGCCTTGCGCCTTGCGGTGTCCAAAAATAGGCCAGGGGCACGGGAACACAGGGCGCGCACCATGGCGGCCGCACCCGCTCAGCACGTTCAGCAGGCGTCGCGCACATGGTCACGCGCAGTGCCGCAGTTTCAGTGCAGACAGCCGTGTTGCGACAGAGGGGCCGCATCCGCGGTGTGACTGGGCATGGCGCGCCTGCGGTGCTACAGAGAGAGGGGGGACGCGTGGCACGCCACCAAGCAGTAGCAGGTTGTGTGTCTCGAGCAACTGACGCGCGCCCAAAGTGATCCGCGCAGTCTCTGTGCGGCAGGTGCACAGTCTGTGTGAGCCAGGTGCCACGCGCTCCGGCCGTCCAACGGGGCCGCTCTTGCCTCTTTGCGCAGCTGTTGCTGTCCCAGCACTGTCTCTGTGTTGTCTCTTCTCTGTCTTGGCTCCGTCTTTGCCCGGTCTTGATTTGTCCTCCCTCGGCCTTCTTCAGTCTTCTGCGATTCCTCTTCCCCTCTCTGCCTCTGGCATCCATCTGGCATCCGTCTGGCGTCCATCTGGCGTCCATCCGGCCTCCATCCGGCTCCCTCTCTGGCTCTTCCAGCGCGTGGGCCCTCCTGGATTCCAGCTATCCTGGGTGTCTGCGGTCTTTCTGCCTCCCCAGCACTGGTCGTCTCGGCTCCCTCTCCCACCCATCGCGCCGCCTGTTGGGCCGCTCCTCCACTCGCCTCCGCTGCTTCCCAAAGCCCGGCTGTTCCTCGACCCCAGCCTCAGCCTCGGCCCCCCCCCCAACCTCAAGCTTCGGCCCCCGGGTATCTGCCACGATGCGATCCACTGCCGGCACCCCGCTCGCTGCCGTCGTCCTGGCCTGTTCCTGGGCCCTGTCGCTGGCCCAGACAAGCGGCAGCGACGATTGCAGTCAGATTTCGCCCATCTGGAAGACCGCCTCGCTGTCGGCGCCCAGCGACTGCTGCTCCTGGAGCAGCTCCGACTCGACCAACTCAATTGTGTGCGACTCTTCTGGGAACATCACGGATCTGAATCTGGCCGGCTTCTTCACCGTGCCCAATACCGCCTTTCCTGCCTCAATCACTCTTCTCGGCAACCTGGCTAGGCTGTACGTCTTGACTCGGGCTCGTCTTGTGACTTTGTCGTCCCGGCTATGCCTCCTGGGTGATTCTGCATTCAGGAGACCCCTGCCTACCAGAGAGCGGCGACGACAGGCCCGACCTGCCATAGCCTATCGCCGGACACACTTTCTAACGTGCCGCTGATCGCCCTGTTCCCTGCTCCTTCGGGATTCTCCTGTTTCTTGGGACTCTCCTGCTCCGCAGCGATCTCTCTCACAACCATCTAGTAGGGCCCATTCCTCCTGCTCTGAACAATCTCGTCAACTTGCAAACACTGTGGGTATTTGCTTCCCGTTCTTGTGTCGCCAGCTCATTCGCATGCATGGCTTCTGTCTCCGCCTTGGTGCCGATTGACAGTGCCGGTGGTCGAACATTTCTCCGCGCGAACGCCACGCTGACCATCCTCTCCGCTGGTCTGTCTCCTCATCCCGCAATCCAATGCCCCCTTGGATACAGTGCCCTCAACGACAACAACTTCACCGGCCCGATTCCAGATATCGCGGCTTTGACGGGGCTGCAGCGGTGCACGCTCCCCAGCTCCTCCTGCTATGATCCATCCACACAATTGCCTCCATCGGTGTGCAACGTAGCACCATGCTCAGGTGCGTTCAGAACCAGCGGGCATGATGACCTAACAAGTTGCCTTCCGCCGACCTAGCGTCCTCCTCGTACCTGTCATTCTTCAGTGCCGGTACTCGCCACCCCTTCCCGATGTTGCCTCCATGTGAAGCCATGGCCACAAGCCTAACATTTCTGCTGCTGCATCTTTTCCCCTGTTGCCGGTCTCAGTGGCACTACCGCTTGCCAACCACACAGCTACCCCCAGCCCCACCCCAAGTTCCAGCATTAACTCTGTTGTCAGCAGCCCCGCAAGCACCCAGCCCGACTCCTCCAGCGGCCTCTCGATTGCTATGATTGCCACGATCGCCGGCGGCGTTTTATGTATTATTCTGATCATTGCCATCTTCATCGCCATCCGTCGGAGATCCGGAGCCTTGCCCCGGGTATCCACTCTGAAACGAAACGACTCGAACGGATTCTCAAAGCTGAACGAAAGCTCCACCAACTTGACTCGTCCACAATCCCGTGCTGACTCCAAGGGAAGCCGCAAGTCAGTCATGTCGGACGAGCCCAGCCAGTACATCGACATCAGCCCCACGGCCGGCCCGGCGATCGAGTTGCAGGAGCAGCCCTCTCGCTCGACGGACCAGGTTTCGATTGCGATACCGTCGGCGGCGTCGACCGCAAGTGACGCAAAGAATCCCACCCAACCCGTGCGGTATCAGTCTTCAGGCAATCCCTTTGTCATTGCCGACTTTGACGAGAAAGAGACCTTTGGCGTAACCAAGGATACCGGTTTGTTGAACTGGCCCGTCAGCTTTGGCGACAGCACCATCTCGGCCATCTCGAAAATCGCCCCAGACTCGGAGAGCACGGGATCCAAGACCAAGAGCGACAACGACGGCGACGATGCCCCTGTGGCCGCAGCTAGCGCGGATACAACAGCCCCTGCTGCCTTGATTGCGAAAGACTCGCAATCGGATGCCACCTCCAAGGGCCCTGCCCCGCCAGCCCCGGTCGCCCTTGCCACCACTACCGTCGCCGGTCCCCCCGCTGCAGGTAGCGCTGTCGCCGCAGATGGCTCCATCCCTGGCGCCCCGCTCTTGATGCTCGACGAGCCCAACCGACTAGAGGACCGCATCGACGGCGGCGAGACTGACAACAAGAGCCCGCAGCTTGAATCGCTGAATGAAGACTCGGAGAGCGAGACGTCCTCGCTGTCGTCGTCGTCCATTGCCGATGTCGACGACAAACATATCCAGCACCGCAGAGTGCCCGCGCGCAGCACAAGCATCGGGTTCGATAGCCCTCGACGAGCGAGCCAGCCAACGAAGCGGGCCTCACCGGCGTTCCGCAACATGCAGCAGCGCTTCCCTCGCGAAAACTCGCTGCGTCGGCTGGCCATTGCCAACTCGTACGTTGTTTCTGCCACGTCTGTGAATGCCGCGCAAGCCGCTGGCACCAACGCCAACTCGTCGACTCCACAGCAACAGCAGCAGCAAGCGGGTATCTCGAGCCCATCCTTCATGGACTTCAACACCATCAACGGCCAGATTGAAGGCGCTGGCTCGCAGGAGGACGGCACTCTGCAATCCGATTCGCTCTACCAGTGGCTGGAGATGTACGACTATGCTCTCCGCAACCTTGACAGCAGCTACCTCGAATGTTTGAGCGGATACACCTTCAAGATTGTTCATCCGCACACGCGGGACCTGCCGGACGAGATTGAGCTGCAGCCTGGCGACCTTGTCACACTGGAGTAAGTCTTGCGCGTGCGCTGGTATTTGTTGCAGTGTTGTTGTATGGACGAGTGCTGGTATCTGCCGGGGCGAATCGTTGCCTGAGGTGTATGCTCTTGCTTGTTGGCGTATATCGTTGCGTTTGGTGTATGTCTTGGTTTGTCATTTGTATCCACTTCTACGCGTGCTATTGAAGTCTCGTGCATGGTTTGCTCTATGCATCATGCCCCCCCCCGGCAGTATTCTAACGCCCCTGTCTCGCTGCTCTTAGTCAACCCTACCTCGACGGCTGGGGCCTGGGCCGGAATTTGACAACGCACCAGTCCGGCATGTTCCCGCTCCGCAGCATCATCCCCGACCATGTCGAACAGGACGAGATCCAGTTTGACGAGAGCCATCCAGACGTCATGTCCGACAACCCCTTTGAGTCGTGACACAATACAGCTTCGAACTGGACCCTCGACCCTGAATCCGGTGGGCAACAGCTCTTTCGAGGCTTCCCGGGAACTGGAGATGCCCTCGGATCACCTGGGTGACCCATCCACACATCCTCCCTGCTCTTGTCATGACTTGCCTCGCCCCTCGCTTCCAGGCCGTCCTCACAGATTCCCTTCTCAATTTCTGTCCCGTTGCTACTGCGTCCCAAGTCTGCCCTCAGCTCCTGTTCTTTGATTCCCGTCTGCACTGATTGATTGTACATGCCTCCCTCCCGTGCTTGCTGGCTGGACTGGACAGTCATATCGAACGGGCATTCGCTCCACAGCAACGACCTTTTTTTTTCTCTCCTTCATATCTTTTGTTTGTCTTTCGGCTCCGGCTGGCTGTGATGGTAATCACTGTAACGGGTTGTTCAACTGCCGACATTGATGTATGAAATGTTTGGATGTATCGGATTGGATCAAGCAAGTTTGCGGTTTCTGTTTCAACCTCTGTTCCTGGACATGGGCGTGGCGAGAAAATCCCTGTCGGCGCGTGAGTGCGGAGTACCGTGGAGTACCGTGGAAGGGCTGGCGATGCTATTGATGTCTCTGATCGCTGATGGAAGGAAGAATGAGCTGTTCGCCATTGCTCTGGGCCTTGGGTGACTTTTGGTGGGGAATCGCGAACTGGAGTGCCCGTGGGCTCGGCGTGTATCCCTTCCTTGCCTCCGCGAGGCATGGTTCAAAGCAACCGCAACTCCAGTCCGTTCGTCGTGGTGGACGGGTGTGCACTCAAGAATGAAGTGACAGGCCTAACTCAAACACAAGGCACCCAGTTTCGGGTGTGCTTCTGTGTATAGATTATACTCGTAGAACATTCATATATCTTGTCGGTGGCCCAGATCGAGGCGATAGGAGACTCAGAGGCTCTCAAGTTTGACTGTTCTGTTTGCTTGCGTGTCCAGCTCCGAGTTTTGGCGGCTGGGAAGTTACATTCGGTGATCAAGGCCATTGACCGAGTCTCCTGAGATTTTCGATGGCCCAACGATGACCATTGTCTGCGGACTTGCGGAACCAATTGACGGCAGTGTCGATGTTTTTGGTGACGCCGTAGCCATTCGAGTAGCAGACGCCAAGCCAGCACTGCCCATAGCGATTGCCCTGCTCGGATGACTTTTTCCACCACGCGGCGGCCCTGGTGCGGGCTTCGTTGGAACCGGATTCGTTGAGGCAAGAGTAGCCAACAGTCCACTGCCCATACGAGTTACCTTGGCTTGCCGCCTCGCTCGACCAATGCAAGCTCGTCGATTCGTTCACGAGGACTCCAAGGCCACGATCGTAACATTCACCTATCCAGAATTGACTATCGCTGTGGCCGTCGCGAGCGAGTTGCTCAAAGATGCCCGCTGCCTTTGCTTCGTCCTTGGCGGCTCCGAATCCATTGATCAAACATATGGCCACCAGGTGTCTGCACAACCAATTTCGATCGCATCCCAACTCGCACAGCTGATAAAAGCGGCGAGAAGCAGATGTAATGGGTCTAGAAGCATCGTATCCAGCCAGACACTCGTCTTCGCCGAGTGGGAACCGGTCTGACTTGTTTTCTCGGATGAGCTTGATGCCTCTCGACTCATCTCGCACGGTGCCCCGGCCGAGATAATGCATCCAGCCAAGCATGTGGGTGGCAATGGGCTTGATGACTGGATCGACGGACTCGGTGCTGACTTCCTGCCAGTGGTGGAAGGCATCGACATCGCTCTGTTCGACACCGTGGCCGATGAATGAGAACCATCCACGGAGGAACACGATGTGGAGTCGACTGTCTTCGCTGCCTTGATCTGCGGCCTTGGAATACCACTCGATGGCTGCGTTGTAATCTTGATCGACACCTTCACCATTCTCATAGCAGCGACCGAGGGCGATCTGAGCCTGAGGGATTCCGCGATCTGCAAGACTGCGATACAGCTCGACGGCCTTGGTGTAGTCTTGGTCGACCCCGACTTCGTTGTGATAACAGCCAGCCAGGTGGAACTGTGCCATTGGAAGGTTTGGGTTGGAAGCCATCTCCAGATAGCGGAAGATATGATCACGGGTGGTCACCCGGTCAGATTCATCCGCAGACTGCTGCTTTTCGAGATCGGCTTGGAGGATCCGTGCCAAGAAGTAGGAGGCCGATGCGCTTCCTTGGTCGGCTTGATCTTCAAGCCAGGATCGGTCGGCTGTGTCTGGATCGTCGCAGTACAGCGAGAGCGCAATCTGGTCGCTCGGTGTGAGGCCGATCCGCAGCTGTCCGTTTGGATTGCACAGTTCTGCCTTCTGGCACCATTTGTTGAAGCGAGCCACCTTGGAGCTAAGGAGAGGACGGGCTTGTTTGCACACTCGGAGGAGGGTCTTGATGGTGTTGTGATCAAGGGCGAGTTGGAAGCTGTCGTTGCAGCAGATGATTGTGAAGATGTCTGGGCTGTGTTCGAGTGAGTGCTGGGTGATATCGGTCGAGGGATGGACACTGGCAGCCATGGGGGCGATGTGGAGTGGGATGTGATGAGAGGACGGCGATTATGTTCAGACGATGAGTTGAGATGAGACGAGATGAGTGGAACCGGAGTGTGGCACAGTCACCAAACCAGGGACATGGCTGGATCCACGGATCGAGTGCCAGTCAATCGATGCTTGTCATTCACATTCCCACACATTCCCACACATTCCCACAAATTCCCACACATTCCCACACATTCCCACACATCCACATTCCATTTTTTTTTTTCTTTCTTTATTGTGCGCCGCCGTGGCGGCGCACTAGCCATCAGGACCCCGTGGTCCCCGGCATCTCGCTCTTCATGGAGTACATCGAGTGTTTAAAAGTCCCACTCAGGAATGTCGCCGGGCCTGGCTTGCCATCCAGCGAGTCTCCACATCAGGGTATGGAAGATCTGTTCCAGATCAGTCCACAGACCGTTGAAGGCCTGTCCCACGATGGGTTCTTCGTATTCCAGCTTGCCAACCTCTCCCAGCATATCCAACAATTTATCAATAGGCCCGACACCTTCGGTCTCGGGCTCGGTCCATCCAGTGAAAATATCCTTATAGCCCTGTACCAGGGCGTCCAAGGCGTCTTCCTCATCCACACACGTCTGTGCGTGGGATCTGCTCAGTTCGATTCGGCCTTCGCCGTTGCGTTTGCACTTTTTGCAGAGGCGGTACTTGCCGTGTGGGTGCCCGGGGAATGCCCCCAGTCTCCACCACACCATTACTACGTGTAGTCTTCGTGGGATGCTTGGTCCAAGTTGGGTCCAGACTCCCGACATCTTTGTTCTTGGTGTGCACGCAGCCGTCAGCTGCTGTCCTCGCTTGAACGATGTGTGGGCATCGTGGGTCAGCATGAGTGTTTTGACCGACAGAATCTGTGTGCGATCCGTGGTCGAGTCGTCGTCCTTGGCAAAGGCCATGGACATCGAGAACGTGGCGTTCTTCTCCTTGCGGGTGCAGGTCAGGTTCCATTGGATGCTTTCGTAGAAGGACTTGCCAAGGTATGGCTGGTCCTTCATCGCCGTGGATCGGATAAAGCGGGTGATGAGGGCGATCATTTTGTCGTCGTGTGTGGCGACGTCTTCCCATCGTGCTCGGCATTGGATGCCGAGGACCTTGGCTCTTGTCGCCATCGTGGGTAATCCGCAATTGAGGTGCAGTGCTCCGTGTGAAGTCGTGCGAGCGGTGCGGAACAGTAAGTTCAGGCAGAAGGTTTGTGTCCGGTGGAGCCGCTTCTGTTCGTTCTTTGGGATGGCGTCGAGGGCGAGGCCGTATTCCATCATCGGCCGCAGGAACGTGCGGTATGCAATCGTTAGGGTCTTAGCCGTGAGGTTCCCAAGGGTCAGGCCCATCTTGGCCATGTTGGATGCTGCTTCTCTTGTCCTGGTCACCATTCGGTCGACTTGTTTGTCGATGCGGAATCCATTGACGTCGATCATGGCGCCGAGGTACTTGAAGATCTTGGTCTCAGGGAGGTTTTGGCCATAGAGGCGCAAACCCGTTTGTTTGTCGGTGCAGTGGTCTGAGAAGATGACCTCGCACTTTGGGGGTGAGAACCTGTACCGGTTTCTCCGGCTGTGGGCCTCGCACAGATTGAGGAGTGGTTGTGCTTGTCCAGGTTTGCAGATCAGGACACCGTCATCGGCGAACCACAGTGAGTTCACTTTGATGGTGGCCCCGTTGCGTCCCTGGAGGGGAGTGCCTCCCATATCTCGAAGACGTCTTGGTAGATCGTCGATGAAGGCGCTGAACATGAGTGGGCTCAGCACCGATCCTTGGATCAGTCCTTTCTGGAGCCATACTGGCTTGGATCTTCTGCCCTTGCTGACCATTTGGATGGATACCCGGTCAAACATGGCTTTGAGGAAGCCGAGGGCGATGCCGTTCATTCTTCGCTGCTTGAGCTTGGTCCAAAGTCGCTCGCGCCATACTGTGTCGTAGGCGGCTTTGATGTCGAGGAAGATCAGAGAGTACTCCTCACCGTTCATCTTGTGGTGCTTGATCAGGGTGTCCAGGGCGACGATCTGGTCAAGGGTTCCTCGTCTGGCTCGGAATCCGCCTTGGGCGACGTCCATGTCTCCTGCCTGTTCTGCCAGGAAGGGGAGCATGATCCTTTCCACGATCTTCCTGCAGGTCTGGGTGAGGCCGATAGGGCGATACATGGCCGGGTCCAGGGTCGATCCCTTCTGCTTGTACACTGGGTGGATCAGCACGCTGTTCCATTCGCTTGGCACCACACTGGCCTTGAGCGCCGCCATGATGATCAGGCGGAGCCACTCGGCTATCACTGGTGCGACTGGTATGAGCATTTCGCTCTTGATCTTGTCGGATCCCGTTGCCTTGCGGCGTGGTGCCTTCTCGATGGTCTCTTGGATGTGCTCCAGCGATACTTCTGGGAGCCGCTTGTCGGGCGGCAGGAGGGTCGCCTCCGTGCTCAGGGGTGGTGGGGTTATACTTCTGTCGTACTCTGTCCCGCTGTCCTGCGAGGCAGAGGATACCTTGCCAAAGTGCACCACGAGTTTCTCGAGAGTCGGATCCGAGTTGTCAAAGAGATGTGATCCTTCCCTCTCCTTCCTCGTGCGCATCGCTCCGATGGTCTTGGTCATCTCGGAGCACTTCTGGGTGTCCATGGTGGCCATGGATTCCTTCCATGACCGTATGCCGTTCTTGCGCTTGAGCTGGGTGATGGCCTTTCTCGTGGACCGAAGCTGACGACGCAGGTCGTCCAGCTCTTCCGTGTCGTACTCGGGGGTCTGGGCGAGCATTCTGCTCAGGCATCGCCGTTCTCGTTCCAGGCGTCGAATTTCGGGCCCCTGTGTGCCCTCGATCCGACCAGGGCTGATGCTGGCGCTTCCGATGGTCTCGCTGGCGATCAGGTCGATCGTGGTCTTGAAGATGCTCCACGCGTCGTCCATGGACTTCTGGGCTGCGGCTTCGCTGATGGCAATCTGGCTGCCCTGTTGAATGGGCGTGAGAGCCTGTTCCATCAGCTCGGTGCATCCGAGTTTGGCGGCGTTGAATGCGCGTATGTACTTTCCCTTGACTTTGGGGTATCGAATCATGCCGATCCGCCATCTCCAACAGTCCGTTTTGGTATATCGCTCGGGTTCAATGTTGATCTTGGTCCAGATCGGTTTGTGGTCTGATTCACCGTATCCTCGCTTCGAGTCCACCTGGAGGACGGGCGGGGGTCGGGCCAGGTTCCTGGATACCAGGATGTAGTCTATTGTGGAGACTTGGTTGCCGTTCGTCCATGTGTGCGTTGGGACGGCTATGGGGGCGACGACTCGCGTGTTGGCTGTTCGTATTGTGTCTTCCATGATGATAGCTGGTCTCTTCCGCCGTTTCTGCTGAGGGTTCAGCATGCTGAGGCGGGTGTTAAAGTCGCCCATGACAATGACCTGGGCGTGGGGTTTGCGACATTGTTCCTTGATGGACTGCATCGCTCGCTTGAACTTGACTGTGTCCAGTCCCGGAGGCAGGTAGAAGCATCCGATGTATGTTCGGCTGCCGTACCTGATCCAGGTGAACAGGCCGTCCGGGTCTATCCCTTCGACGTTTAGATCGTTGGGATCGATGGTTTTGCTGTTGTATAGGATGGCGATGCCGCCACCCTTTCGGTCTGTTCGACGGTGTTCGACGACCGTCAGCTGCTTCCACGGGTTGGTCGCTCCGGGGTAGAGGAGCGTTTCCTGGGTGGCCAGGATGTCGACCTTGAGGTCTTCTATGAGGTTCTTGACAGCGGTTTGCCTCGCATGGAGGCCACGGACGTTGAAGGATGCGACGGTCAGCTCTGTCCGTAGAGCGCCGCCTCCTGTTGGGTTCTCACTTATCATTGGGGGTGATGGTTTCTGCGTCGCTGACGTCACCATTCTCGTTGTTTTCGTCTGCACCACTCAGGTCCATGAGTTCCGCGCAGTCGTTTGGGGTTTGGGGCCTATCCAGTTGGGTGGCCTCGATGCGGATGTCGCGGCGGTTGACCGTCTCTCCGTCAAGGATGGATCTGGCCAAGCGGTCAAACTCCTGGCGGTATGCCAGGGGAATCTGCATCTGGAGGCTCCTCTTGACCGTGAAGTCTTTGGCCCTCTTAACGCGGTTGAGGGACTGCAGCATGTGTGTCTTGAGCTGCTCTTTCTCATTCTCCTTAGTTTGGGACTTTTGGAGCTTCTTCTTGATGGGATCGTAGCCGGTCAGGAGACTCAGCTTCTTTCCCTTGTCGGTGGGGAGGTTGAGGATTTTGGAGAGGATCTCCTCCTTCTTTGCAGCGTCACGGATCAGGATCTCGATGACGTTATTCTCCGGGAACGAGATATCGGCGATCTCGCGGCTGGGGATGCCGATGCTCTGGAACGTCTTTCTGACGAGTCCGTAGGGGAGTCGCTGGATCCCTTTGACGTAGACCCACTCCATTCGGTTCACCTTCTCGCGGAGGGGCTCGTTGGTGATGCTGCTGTTGTTGATGTGGCCCGAGATCCAGGCCGGTCGCTTGGTGGCGCTGGGGACGATCTTCAACTCTCTGTTGGGGACTCGTCCGGTGGTGAGGATACGGCCACACTCGGCCATCTTCTCGTTTCCAGAGAGGCTCTGGACGTGCTCTGTGGCCTTGGCGATGTTGGCCTTGAGAGCCTCGCTGTAGCTCATCATGGGCGGTTTGGACGCCGAGTCCTTCTTCTGGGTAGCCCTTTGGGGGGCTTTTTGTGCCTGTTCGGCTTTGATCTTCTCGATGACGTCTTCAACCGATTTGAGGGTGTCTTGGATGATCTCGATAGCGCCGGTAGACAGCTTGGCTTTGTCGGCGCTCTTGGCGAGCTTGGTTTGGAGGGCCTTGAGGGTTTCAAGGGCCGACAGATCTTCGTCGTCGCTTTCGCCGCAGCTGTCGCTCATGCTGCTGGTAAGGTCAATCTCGGGAGCGTCTGGTGTCAAGTCAGGCTTGATCCGTGCATAGGCAGCGGCGCACTTTCTGTTGAACCCCTCGATGATGGCTTGATCTGTGCTGTGGAGGAGCTCTTCCGCCCTGGCGGCGGTGCCTCTGGACATAGCGGCCCAGGCGTGGAAGCAGGTCATCTTGAAGTGTCCGTACTTCTCTTCGCATCCTCTGCTGCAGATGCGGTGGCCTTTCTCGTCGATTGTTGACGGTGCACCACAGTACACGCACTCGGGGGTGACGAGGAGGTGTCGGGTGGCCCAGAAGAAGAGCTCTGCAGGGACTTGTTCGAGGGGGATCTGCTCGAGCACCTCTCTCTGTTCTTCTTCATTTCTGCTTGTCCAAAGAGCAGCAGCGATGGTTCCTATGTCGATCTGGCCTTGGGGAGGGGGGGTGGAGGGGAGGGGGGCTGGAGGGGGAGAGGGAGATTGGGGGGGGCCGGAACTTGACAGAGGTGTTCGCTATGCGTCCTCGTTTGAGCTGGATTACAGTTGGCTTGGTGTTCTTGGAGGTCCTGCCTGCCATCTCTGGCTTGGCATTCTTGGAGGTCCTGCCCGCCATCTCTGGCTTTGAGCTTAGCGGTGTGGTTTATCTGTTGGTGTGTGTATTCTCTCTCGCTCAGAATCCCGCAAAATCGAGATCAGGTGAGTTGATCCACATTCCATCACTCCAACGTTTCATCCCGTAACTCGGTCAGTAAAGCGGTCAAGCAGCTCCTCAACACATGCAGCATACAGCTCGCCTAGTACAACCAAGTGATCGATATCTGGAAGCAGCTCGGCCTCCCCAACAACCCTCTCATCGATGCCATCAACCAGGACGGCAGCAACACGATCCCTCCCTTCTTGGGTGGCATATCTCCATGACGGTTGCATCAGTCACGACTAAATCAATGCTGCAAGTACCCTCCTCGACAGTGGAGCCCTTGCTGTCGCCACCGATATCGGCCAGTCTACCGAGTCAGGTCGTCCAGAGGTTCTTGACATCCTCGAGGGACTGGACGAATCGCCCTGACCGACTTGGCCAACATCGGCGGGTCTGTGTCTTCGCTAGTGCTGACTGAACCAGATTCAATGCCTTCATACACTCCCGATCGGCCATCCATCACGACGATAATCGGCTCGGGTCATACAGCACGATTTCAATTGGCGTTTCTGACAGACTCCCTTGAAGTCGCTTGAATTGATGTACCAGAGTTGCAGACATGCTTGTCAAGCGAGTCGATGGCTGGGTCGGTGCGAGAATTGGAGCGAGCAGCAGGTGGTAAGATCTGCAAGCAGACCAAGTTAGCCGGTATCAAGACTGAACTATGGCATCGCGAGCAACCAATTCTCCAGTCGACAAGAGACACCTCGCAAAGTACTGAAGCCGCAGGATGCCCGCACAGCCAAGTGTTTCGTGTTCCATCATATACCATGCTACCATCCGGCGGATTGCAGATCTGAGTCCGAGCCAGACCGAGATGCCACCCATCGCTGGATCTATGATCCGGTTAAGCACCATCTCCATCGAATCACGATCAGGTGCATTATCGATGTATTCTGCGATTCGACTCGCTCGTGGTGATCGTTTCACTGTCAGACAGCCATCGCAGATGTCCCATTGGTGACAATGAACATCGTCAGCTCAGCATCTCCCAAGGAGTGCCATTCTACTGGATAGGCATTTGCGAGTCGATGGTGGGTGGGACCCATTCCAAGTCTCCAGCCTGCATCTCCGACTCGGCGCTCTGCCAATATTTCGACTCGATGCAAACCAAGATTTCCTCAAGCTTCTCTGCTTCTACGCTGTTGGATTGATCTCCTTCGAGCACCATTCTCACTGAGTCGTAGCGAGCCTTCATAACATCTAACATCTCCAGCTTCTGCTCGTCCACGACTTCGTGATTGTATGCTTGCAGCTTGATCTCTTCAAAGTCGGCGCTGTCCAAGAATGTCTCGTTTCTGATCACCACGGAGTGCTTGCGGATATAGACACTGCAGGCCGCCACTTCTTTGATCACTTCGGCCTCAGAAGCAGTGAATCGATTCAACTTTTCCCGGAGTCGCCTCAACTCCTCAGCTGCCGAGAGCAATTGATATGTTATCCCACCAATAATGACCTGTCCGATTGTCGTGGTCTTTGGTTTCTTGACATCAACAACAAAGTTGACAGTTTCGCGATAAGAACTCGGGTGTCCACAACTCGGATGGGCTCCATCAGAGAACTGGGAATTATTGACATTTTCAAGAAATGCTTTGGTGGGTTGGCTAATTCGATGACGAATACCATTGACTTGAACTTCTGTGATACAATCTGGGTGGGCGCAGATCTCTGTCCCGTTTGGGTAATAGCTCGGCACAGAGATATCTCGGCTTGTGTCAGCAATTTTTGCACCCTTCTTGCTTATCTGTTGAATCTTGATGCCGAGCTGGTCGATTTCCGCTTGCAACTCAGCCTTCATTCGGTGAAACTCAAGGAGCTTTGGTGTCAGCTGTTGAAGGCACGAACGCAGCTTTCTCATCCTGGCAGTCGGTCGAAGATCGTGCGGTTTCATATCTTGGACCCGCTTCATGAGTTGACGGACAGCCGCCGTTGATTTTCTCCATGAATATTGCAACAATTGGATGTTTTCATCAGTTTCGATCATCTGACGCTCGGCCAGAAGGTATCGATAGCTCTCGTTGTCAACCAAGAATGAATTGCAGTCATCGATTGGTATCTTGACACCAGACTGTGTCTCGATCTGCGCAAACAGACTCTGCAGAGCCGTCTTGGTCTCGCCCATCTGGAAGAACGTCGAGCGTGCCTTGGTGAAGACAAAGACGAGGTTTTCAACCACCTCTCGGTCAAAGTACTGCAGGAGCTCCAAGACGCAGAATCTCAACCAGGCCGCTATATTGTTCTGAGAGGCCGGAACTATCATGACGATTCCGTGGATTTCGCCGATGCGGGTGATGTGATCAACAATGTTGGTCATGTTCTTCTTGTCCTGGGCGATTCCTCTCGTGTCGCCCATGCCTGAGGTGTCGATCACCCGTATCTTAACCCGATGCTCATCGTCATTCTCAAAGTCGAAAAGATACGACTGAGGGAACTGGGTCGTGGACTGACCCTCGACATACTTTTCGTTGTCGCTGATGTCTGTGGTGACGTACAGAGCGATGGACAGTGAAGAGCAAGTGTCAGCATTTATCCAGCTCATGGTGTGTGGTGACCAGCCATACATTGAGCCCTGATCAACGCCGACGGGATCAACGTCTGTTCCAGATAAGATTGCATAAGCAGAGTTCCTGACAGGCCCGCTTCTGTCGGACTCTGTCAATGACAACACAGATCTGGATTGCGACACTCGCTTGTTTGATGGGCTTACTCTGTGCTGGGCTGCTCAAATGCAGGGTCGTGGACGTGACATCAACAGCCTCGAAGGTGTCCGGATCGACGAGTGAAAATCGAGCAGGAACAAGGTTGACGGGTCCCCCTGATGCAGAGGCTTGCTCCAGGCTCTCGTAGGTCAGATAGTTGGCGATGGCGTTGATGAGCGTCGACTTGCCCACACCAGTCTCGCCCAAGACCAGGATGGTGATGGGTTTGTTTGAGTCTGGAGGCGATTGGGTCTGCTCTGAGCGACCTGACGAGTAGAGTCGGGCATCATCCAGGAATGTTGCAGAGTAAGCATCGGGTGCGAGCACTCACGGATCTAACGGAATGAGTCGGCACTGGGGAAAGGGGGCGTGCTCAACTCTGGAAATCAAGCTGCAGTCGCCCTCACTGCATCTGCTGGCAGCACTTACCCGTGATGTCTTGGTCTTCTCTGCTTGGCATATTGGTAGTCATGCCGAAGAATGCGATGGCTGGCTCTGGCTGAGGAGGGGAGCGAGTTGGAGTTGGTATATCTACGGTGTCTCGCCCACTGCCCCAGAATCTTGCCCTCCACGTATCGGAGGGGCTGATTGTCCGTCCCTGGCTATGCTACCGTATGCGATCTGGACAAGCGGCATGCTTCGTCGGGAAGGGTATCAGCCAAGGGGTCCTGCACGAACAGGGCGCAACCCATAATATTGCGCCACCGGATCGGCGCCAGGGATCCCGAAAACCTTGGCCGAGCCTTAGTTTGGGATGGCCGTCGCGATTGTAACATCACATGGCATCTGGCTGGCTCCTCATTTGGAAACCATAGGCCACGTGTTGGCGAGAAAATGGGGTTGTGCTCCCAGCGTGCTTTGGTTTGGGGCTGCGGGTGGTCATGCTGGCTTGCTGCCAGATACCCATCTGTCAGCCACCGGCTGCACGCAGTCGTGGGTATCCAAGAAAATACTCTCCCCCAAGCTCGCCAGTCGGTGACGCCATATCCAGAGGGGGATATCCAATTGGGTCCCTGATACCATTTCAATTCCGGTTGGTCCCGGAGGGAGACTGCAGCGGTGACGTCGGTTCTTTTGGGCCCCTGATAAATAAGATGCGATCCCAGTGTCCCCCCAGAACCATCCCAAGCACCTTACTGGCACATCCAGGTTGATACGTGACCCTTGTCGCCTGTTGACTCAACCTCGATCTCGAGAATGTCAACTACCTCCTCCGCCGGGAAGCCGACTGGCGCCAGCAAAGTCATCAACATCCTACTCCTGGGCGAGACTGGTGTGGGCAAGTCGACATTCATCAACGCCATCGCCAACTATCTGACCTATGAGACCCTCAATTTGGCTGCAAGTGGCAACAACGTGATTTCTCTCATACCAACCAAGTTCTGGCAAGACAAAGGCGTTGACGAATGGGTCGAGATCACTGAGAAACGCTTGAATGTCGAAGATGAAAACCGAGGTAAGTATCGAGAGAATCATCACCAAAAGTCACATCCACTGATATTCGGAGAGGAAACTGGCGCTGTCACAGCCTCAGCCTCCCTCAGGTTGATTTCTAACGTCGCGGTGTCATGGTCCGATTGTTGATGAAGCACGAGAGAACGAGGGTTTGAAACTAGGTCAATCTTCAACACGCAGCGCCTGCACCTATCGTTTCATCCACGATAATGGCGATCAATCTGTCGAAATACGCATCATTGACACTCCAGGCATGGGCGACACCCGAGGCTTTTCTCAGGACAAGCAGAATGTCGACCACACCATCAATTACATTGCAAACTATCCCGAGATCCATGCGGTGCTGATCCTCCTCAGGTCCGATAGTGTCAAATTGAACACTTGGTTCCGCTACTGCATCCAGGAGCTCATCGGCAACCTTCACCGTGACTGTTTGAAAAATATGTACTTCATCTTCACGCACTCCAAACTCACCAATGGCAAGCTTGGCGAAGGTTTCCTCACGTTGAAATCATATTTAGAAGAACTGGAGCAGGAATATTCGGTGGAGATTCCAATGAGCCGCTCAAATACTTTCGCAATCGATAACGAATCGTATCGATATCTGCTGGCAAAGGGAGATATTGTCTATGAAGATAGATATCGGAAGGGAATCGAGGAGTCTTGGAAGCACGCTAGATCAACTGTATACAAGCTATTGGAACAAATATCGAACAAAACAACCCACGAAACAAAGCTGACTGTGATACTCTACAATTGTCGCCAGCTTGTGAACCGTAACTATAAAGTCTGGCTGCAGGCGCTGGCAAATGTCAGCGGAAATCTTCAAGGTATGGAGAAGGTTGCGGAGCAGATGAGCAAAGGAAAGATCGGCAACATGGACAAAATCCTCGAGTACACCATCTACACTCCGGTCAAGAGGGAGACTTGCGAGCGACCCCAGCTTGTCTGCACTGTTGCAGGTTGCTACGGGTACATCATCAATGAAGATGGGACAACATCAATCCGGTACAAGACGGATTGCCACAACCATTTGATGAAGCTTATCAAGAAAAAGGCGGACGCTCAAGCCAGTCAACAGTCTCAGGATGCGGGAAATGCAACCCAGCCAGAGCCGAGCTCCAGAGCTGGAGCCCAAGTGCACAGCCCATCGGCCGAGCCATCGTTGGATGAACTCCTTCCTGGCGAGCTACCATCGAGCTTGATTTTTTGGTATCCATCAATGAACAGTTGGGGATATTGCAAGGAATGCGGTCATTGGTTCATGTGGCACCAAAAATGCACAGTAAACTACACGTACGTGCAGAAGTGCGTGTTCAATGATGAACAAATGAAGCTGATCAAGAGCGAACAAAACAGTACAAAGCGAATCGATCACATCAAGAAGTCGTTTGCCAAGTCCAAAGACAATCTTTCGTCTGAAGCTGCTCACATCCGTCAATTGTTAGCCAAGATCGCGGTGACAATCGAGAAAGGCGGTATCATTTCGTATAACGATGCGTTTCTCAAATACATGGACGAGCTGATTACCTCGCAAGAGGGCTCTTTGATTCCCAGCAGTGTTGCTGGGGAAACAACACCCGAGGACAATCGAACATATCTTCTGCGTCAGAAGGCTGAGTACGAAGAACAACGAAAGCTACTCTTGGAGATGAAGCAGGCTGTGACCACAACAATCGAAAGTATTGAAGAGCTGATCAATCTCATTGACGAGCTGTCGCACCTTCGATATATTGGCGACTATATCTCGGAACACACTATCAAGCTCGACATCAAGCCACCAACCTTCGAGACGACTCTGCATTACAGATAAACGACACGACTTACTTCAAGGCGGAATCTTTTGTCAGATCGGCGTGTGAAGCCTGGAGCACCGATACTAAGCCAGCAATCACTCGCTCGACTTGGATCATCGGATAGTGTCGATATATTGACCATTAATGATGTGACCAGACGGTGTCCAGGGGGCATGGGCAATGAAGCTGTCATCCAGGCAAACAAAGCCATTAAATGATCGAGCTGAAATCGATCAGTATACCTCCGTCATCTGGTTCGATGTCGGGCACGGGATCAGGATTAGGGGCGGGTATCAGGTTCGGAGTCAGAGGTATTGTCAGAGTCGGAAAAACGAATGGACATTGTAAATCGGTAGATCAGAGGGAGGAAGTGTGAAAGTGAGAGGGAGAGACATGTGAAGTCCTGCGACAGACAGAAGGCAACCCTGTCAGGGTGGTCGAATGAAGAGGACACAATTGGGCCATTGGAATTGGACAGAGATCGAGTGGGGAATATGACGATCCCTGGACACGAGTGGATTGGGCGAAAGGAACTATCAGACTATACTGTCAATGCACTTGACACCGCGGTGATGGCCCACACAATGAATCGATCAGTGTTAATGGTACAGCACTGTTTGTATATTGGACGTATTGGATGTCTTGAATGTATTAAATGTCAAGTACAACACCACTCGGCGATTGCGGCCTTATTGGAGCCACCTTGCAAGCTTGGACGCTCGGGTTGCATGTTTAGAGGTGCGACCCTACCCTTGGGATGTATCAATCGGGAGGAGCTCGGGGATCAGGGCCACTTGCCGAGGGACTTGAGACAATTGATGGCCTCTTGGTCACCCTGATTTGCTGCCTTTCGATACCAGTAGACGGCTGTGTTGATCTTGGGGACACCATCGCCATTCTTGTAGCACGAGCCGAGATAATATTGGCCGTATCGATTGCCCAACTCAGCCGACTGACGAAGCCACTCGACTGCTTGGGCTTTATCCTCGGTAACCCCCTCTCCCCGGTGCAACAAATAACCAATCCCATACAATCCGTACGAGTTACCCTGGCTCGCTGCTTTACTATACCACTGGAAAGCTTCAAGTCTGTTCATCGACTTCCCCTTGCCTATGTAGAAGCAGCCTCCAAGCCAGACCTGGCTATCGCTGTGGCCTTCGTTGGCGAGCTGCTCAAAGGTTTCCGCTGCCTTCTTCCAGTTTTGAGTGGTACCGAATCCCCTGACATGGCAGAGAGAGGCAAGATGTCGACAGAGCCATTCACGGTCCGATCCAAGGTGGCAGAGATTGAAGAACATGCGCGCAGCGGGGGTGTTTGGTAAAGACCATTTGCCAACCACAAAGCACTGATCCTCATCAAGCTTGAACTCATCCGATTGGTTCTCTCGGATGAGCTTGATGCCTCTCGACTCATCTCGCACGGTGCCCCGGCCGAGATAATGCATCCAGCCAAGCATGTGGGTGGCAATGGGCTTGATGACTGGATCGACGGACTCGGTGCTGACTTCCTGCCAGTGGTGGAAGGCATCGACATCGCTCTGTTCGACACCGTGGCCGATGAATGAGAACCATCCACGGAGGAACACGATGTGGAGTCGACTGTCTTCGCTGCCTTGATCTGCGGCCTTGGAATACCACTCGATGGCTGCGTTGTAATCTTGATCGACACCTTCACCATTCTCATAGCAGCGACCGAGGGCGATCTGAGCCTGAGGGATTCCGCGATCTGCAAGACTGCGATACAGCTCGACGGCCTTGGTGTAGTCTTGGTCGACCCCGACTTCGTTGTGATAACAGCCAGCCAGGTGGAACTGTGCCATTGGAAGGTTTGGGTTGGAAGCCATCTCCAGATAGCGGAAGATATGATCACGGGTGGTCACCCGGTCAGATTCATCCGCAGACTGCTGCTTTTCGAGATCGGCTTGGAGGATCCGTGCCAAGAAGTAGGAGGCCGATGCGCTTCCTTGGTCGGCTTGATCTTCAAGCCAGGATCGGTCGGCTGTGTCTGGATCGTCGCAGTACAGCGAGAGCGCAATCTGGTCGCTCGGTGTGAGGCCGATCCGCAGCTGTCCGTTTGGATTGCACAGTTCTGCCTTCTGGCACCATTTGTTGAAGCGAGCCACCTTGGAGCTAAGGAGAGGACGGGCTTGTTTGCACACTCGGAGGAGGGTCTTGATGGTGTTGTGATCAAGGGCGAGTTGGAAGCTGTCGTTGCAGCAGATGATTGTGAAGATGTCTGGGCTGTGTTCGAGTGAGAGTTGGGCGATATCGGGCATCGACGATGTTGTTCTGGTTTCAGCTTGTGATTGGTGAGTGGAAGATGATACTGTGGTTAAAGCGGGCTCGTTCATGCTAGCCATGTTGACGGAGACAGGAGGAGCCAAGCGGATGATGGAGATGGACAGGTGAGAGGCAGGTCGTGGCGAAGCAAGCCAAACCCCTGGCAATTGGAGGCGAAGCAAGTCCAAGCCACACCGATGGCTTGATGGCTGGATTCGTTGTTGCTCTTGTACTGCCACAGGCACTGCCACAGTCATCAAACATGAAATCAAACATGAAATCAAACATGAAATCAAACATGGAATTGCATGGCATTTACAGCCTTTGGAGGGATATTGTCCAGGTCCTCGAGTCCCTAGACTCCCGCAACGACATCATCGCATCCGAGTAAATACAGCTCTCGATTACAACAAGAAAGCTCCTTCCCGGGATCATGCGCACCCGCGAGGAGCAACTCGACCAGATAGCGGTATGCATTCTTGGGATTCTGACCCGCTGTTTCGCCAGCGCATCCGACCAAACCAACCCGCTCGACTCTCAAGCTCGCATTCTTCCCGAGATCCTGGCGGAAGCTCTGCTCAAAGTACATCAGCGGGCATGTGGCAATGCTGCGAGAGTATTTCTTGCCGCGCTTCCTCAAGGCCGATGGTCGGGGTGACGGATAGATGTGCACCATTCAACGTCAAAGAAACGGATGCAGGGTGATCCATTCATATATTTTTTTATACACTATTAACCTGTTTTCATAGGCTGTCGCAAACGACAGAGATTAGGAGGTTTTTCCAAAGTGAGAGAGAGAGAGAGGGAGAGAGGAAGGTATTTGCCAAGGACGGAGACGCAACGAGAGAGAGAAAGCGGCACAGTCACATTTGGGAACAAACTTGGATAGAGGGAGGGACTCAGAGTAAAAGTCAATTAGTAAACTATGAGGAGTAACGAGGGCGAATACCCGACCCGAGCGGAAGGATATTGGCTAGATTAGGACGAGGCACGGTAGACTACGGTAGCATAAGTAAACATATAAGAGGTCGGTGAGCGCGCAAGCGACTTGGATCGAGAGCAAGCCGAGCAAGATACGCGGAGGATCCGCATAGCTGCGAGAAGAGACACTGAGGACGAGAAGAAGGACGAGGAAGGAGAGGAAGAGCCAAAGTTCTCAAGTAAACACCGGCGATGGGCCTGGCAGCTTGAAAGCTGCAGGATCGATCGCATCCACGTCATAAGCATCAAAGGAACAACGGCAATCCCACGGAGAGCGAGGACAACAAAGGAACATTCCACCACCATCATAAACTTCCCCCCGGCCTCTGGGATGGTGCAGGGGAAGATCCGGCAGATAAGCCATGCCGGCGAGGTGTGGGCCATCATCAGCTGCGCCTTCCAAGAGACAGCATCTCCAGCGCAGCGACGAGCGCTGTGAGGCGGCTATAGCCGAAGCTGGTTCTGCGAATGCGCTTGCATCAGCAGGTTGATGTATCCATCGACATCGTAGAAGACTCCGTCTGGCTGGTTGGCAACGGGGGTGGGCGTACTGGCGATCGACACGGAAGCAGCGGCCATGAGCGGGGCAGATGGCGGCGGAGCGGCCTGTGGGATCGACGAGTAGCCAGGGTGAGCTTGAACAGGATACGAATACATGCCCGCTGCTGCGGATGGGTCCAGGGTGGTTGAGTAGATCGGGTTCTGTAGACCCACGGGCTGTGGCATTGGGTCGGGCGGTGGCATTGTCGGTGTGGCCAGCGCCATTGGTGGCAGCAGCATCGTTGGAGTCAGCTGGGCTGCGGGTCCTATAGGCGCCGACGAGATGGTCGGCGTTGGTGCATTCATGAGGTCCAGCGGGGTCTGTGGCGGCCACGGCGAGAGCGCAGCCGTGCCACTCTGGGACCGAGCAACTTGGGGACTTGAGAGACCCACACCGAGCGAGACTGAACTGCTGCTACAGCTGGTGCTGAGCGATAACGGGTACTTTTGACCATAGCCCTGCGGCAGCGGTGAGACCCGGACGCTGGCAAGACCGCTGGGATGGTCAGGCAGACTGGTGTTGGGCGAGTGACTGCTGCTGACCACATGGCCGGAAGAACCGGGCGACCAGATGGTCGAAGGCGAATATGGCGAGTATGGCGAGTAGCGCGGCGAGATGAGATTGACGTTGCTTGAGAAGGACTCGGCGATCTCGTCAAAGGAGGATACCGACGGAGTGGACGTGGGCGGATTCCCCATGCGGGTTGCTCGCAGCAGAGCCGGGGCCGTGGTGTCCAGGCGCAGAGCGGTGCGGGTCCGCAGGCCCTGTGGACGACCCCGCCGCTTGAGGTTGGGATCGGCGGCCATCTTCTCTCCGGCGAGGCTCGAGACCAGTTGCGGACAATCGATCTGGACCGAAGCCGATCGGCCGCGGCGGAGGTAGGAGACAGGCGACGAGGGTGAGAGCGACGAGGCGCTTGGGGAAGAGGGAAACTGCGTCGACAGGTGCGGGGTGCTGAAGGAATAGACCATGGACGGGAGCGACGGGATCGACGGGTCAGGACGCGACAGCGCCCTGGGCGGATACGGGCCGGGGGGCGCAAGGGGCTGGTGCGAATAGGCATCGAGCGGCGAGAGACCAGCAGCCGAGAGCGGACTTGGGCTCGGGTTTTGGGCCTGGGCTTGAGCCTGGGCTTGAGCATACAGCTGTTCGGAGACGGCGGGCGGCTGCGAGACCACGATGGTGGCCAGCGGGGAGAGCCTGGCTGGAAAGGCTGGCAACGGATGAGTGGAGGAGCTCAGAGTCGAGCCAGTGAGTTCCGACGCCGGATAGGAGAACTCGGGGGCGTATTGATGGGCATTGAAGGCGTACAGGGCACCTTGGTCGACACGCAGCGCAGCTTGATCGATGTGCTGGGGAGCCTCGGGAATGTGCTGAACGTACATGGAAGGAACGTGCGGCTCGGGAAGGCCGACCCGGGCCGCGACAAAGGCCGGGGTCTGGCCGGCGGAACCGACAAGATTCGCCGGATGGGCTGTCGAACCATGGACAGCGGCGACACTTGCGGCTGACACCGGAGCATCAATAGCAACGACGACGGGACTGCCGTCGACCGAGGAGACGGCCGAGGCGGCACGGGAAGACATCCGCGCGGGCGAATCCCGGTCTTGGCTCGATGTGGGTGCATCGGGCAGGCCAGCAGAAGCGAGCGGGCCTGCGGCAGCAGCGAGGGCGACATCCATCTGCACGGAAGCAGACATGGCCGCCAGCATCTGACGCTTATGCGTTTGGCGCTTGTTGCGGAACCAGGTTCGGACGGTGGTGATGTCGATGTCCATGACTCGGCCGAGCTCGACGAGGTCGTCCTTGTGTGGGCGATGGCACTTGATGTAGAGGCCGTTGAGGGCTTCGAGCTGGGCCCGGGTGAAGTTGGTCCGCTTCTGTCGCTGGTGCGGGGGATGGGGCGCCACAGACTCGCTTATCTGAGTCGAGCTGGCAGGGCTGGCCGAGCCGGCAAGCGAGACTGGGATGAGGTCCTGGGATGGCGACGATCCATATCCTTGGAGCGATGAGGCAGCGAGGCTCGGGACGCCTTGGTAGGCCAAGGCCGATGAACCAGGCGGATCCATAGAGGGCAGCGATGGTGTTGGAGGTGGTGAACGGAGGGATGCGAGGACGAGAGAGGAGGAGGCAGGAAGTGCTGGTGATGTGGAGGGGGGAAAGAGCGATGGCAAGCGAAGACGCTGCGATTCCTCGGTCGGGAAAGTGCTGTGCTTGGGAACTGTCTGTGTCCAGAGGCCAGTGCGCCGCGGATGGCCGAGCCCAGAGAGAGAGAGAGAGCGGGCGGGGCGAGCGGGTGGGGTGGATGGCGTTTGGCGGCTTGGAGGAAGGACTTGCGCCTTGGGGTCGGAGGAGGTTGGGAGAGGACGGATAATGGTGGCCAGGACCAGCAGCCGGTCTGGGCAGCAGGAATACAGCAGCCGGTTTCGGGCCAGGATCGGTGTGCCGGGAAGACGACGCTCGCTTGGCCGAGGCAACAGCACCCACAGCCGCACAAGCGCACGAGGCACGCGGGCAAGGCAAGGCCGGGCTGCGTGTGGGTGTGGGGGGGGGCAGGTGGAGGCAGATGGGAAGGCGGATGCTGCCCGGAGGTGTTGGAACGAACGGCTCTTCAAAGCAGTTGAACATCAAACGCCCGGTAAAAAGTCAACTGCCGAACGATAAGAAGCGGTGTCAACTATTAAGCAACATCGACTATGAAGCAACATCGACTCGGCGGTCGTCAGGCAATTCGACAATGCAAGTGTCTGTCTGCCTGTTCATGACTGTGGCGATGAGTTCGCATGTGTGAGCGCGCCCACAGACCCGTGGCAGGCGCGTCGTGGAGTGGTTGTTTGCATCCGAGGCGGCTGCTGACTGGTGCAGCCGCCAGACACATGGGCAACACAGCGACACCACAGATACAATGCTGCAACAGCAGGCACAGTGCAGCACCGACACAGCAACAGTGCCGCCTTGCCGCACTGTTTGTGCCCCGCACAGCGGCCACAAGGCGGTCAATGGTGCTGCGCATGCTGGCGCCCCTTGTGCCAGAGCGCCTCGCTCGCATCGCGCGTCGCCACACCAGTGTCGCACACGGCTGGGTGGGCGTTGTGTCGCCCAGAGGCCCAATCGATTGGTGCAAAACCGGCCAAATGGTCCCTTGTGCTGCCCGCTTCAGGATTGGCCGGCGCTCTTGGTGTCACCCGGCCCGCAGCCAGCGTGTCGGCTTCCGGGGTGCGTGCCTGGAACTCTGTCCTGGCGAGCTAAGCGTCCGCCTTGCACCCGCGAGAAAACGGGCATCCACATTTCCGCTATGCCATCAAGGGATCGCATCGGCAGTCTCCGAGCGAAGCTATGGCTGCGCTACCGCCTCCACAATCGCGGTTCAATGCGGCTGTGGCTGTCGCATCGCAGCGCAGCGACGGAGAAGTGCCCAGGACCCAGAGGAAAGTGGCGCTTTGATTCAAACGGCGTGAGCGGTGCCGTCGGTACAAGGCGCCGCCATATCACCGGCAGGATGGATTCGCCTCGGCAGGCGGTTGAATGCCTGCAGCAACATGCCATCCAGCGGCGGCGATGCGGCCAAACGACGTCCCAAGCTCTCGTCGCGGATCGCAGCAGACAGCTTCGTCCGTGGCTGACTTGCGCACTCGGTCCGTCATGCAGCCGGATGAGTCGCTCTGATGCTGCGGCGGACCATGCCATGTGCGTCGTGAGCGACAGCGTCGCTTCACATTCGACACCTGTAGCCAAACGTGGCTCGCTCCTCACCTCCAGGCCAGATGGACTCGTCCCGCGACTCCCGCGACTCCCGCGACTCCCGCGATTCGCCGAAACCCCAGCAGCTGGACGAGCCCGGTGACCCGCATCGTGATCCAACCAGCGTCATTACGGCGATTCCGAAAGGCAATGTCGCACTGCTGGGGCATGCATGACCAGCAAAGGCTCACGTACCACGAGGGACTGGTGGCTGGGAGGGAGCTGCTGGCCGCTTCAGGAGACAGCGTGTCGAAAGAGCAATGGACACACCGTCACCCCGTCGTCACCCGCAGACAAGGCGCGCCGAAAGCTGGACGATACACACTCGGCCGAGAAAGCTGGCCAAATCGTGTCCGTCGCAGGGTGTTTCATCGACCGGTCCATCGCAGCAGCGCTGGCGTCGGCCGGCAGCACTCGGCCAGAGACTGATCAACACCGCGGGAGCTCCATACAGAGTGACTCGCTTCAATGACGGCGGGGCTGCAGCTGCCCCTGGCTGCCCAGTCGGCATACCGGATACACAGGCAACAAGCGCTGCAGGCCGCGTGTCGGCCGCCCTTGCCCGTGCTCGCGCCAATCGCTGCCGGACCGTTCTTATCGGGCCGGCTGGGGCACGCACAGCACATCCGTTGGCCTTGAGCAGACCCGTCCCATGGCCGAACCATGTTGCACACGCATCCCGGTAACGCACGCGCAGCTGTGCCTGTGCGACGGCCGTAATGCAGTTCTCTGTTGTGCGCAGCCGGCCGCGTCTTGTCCCAGAAACCATACCGCTTCCACAGGACGCCGCACTCCTCTGTCGGGTCTGTGGCTGGTCGCACGGGCGCGCTCTGCCGCTGCGTGCCAGGGGTGAACCACAGGAAACCGCTCCAGACTGGCGCTGTCCCACGACCCTTGCGCCAGCACCGACCAGTGTCCCAGAGGAAAGACGAAAAAACTCATCCCATAAAACCCTCCCTCTGCCCGTCGCCGAGGCACCCTGCACCCGAACCCGCCCTGCAGCATCTCGCCCAAGCTCGGCTCTGCACCTCGTCCCCCAAGCAATGTTCGTCGTCAGCCCGCCGCCTGTGTTCATCCCAAACACAAACCTCGAGGAGGTGCGTCTTGTGCATGGTGTCTCTTGGAGTGGCGCATCGGCCGCTTCGATGTGCTTGTCGCCACCTCCGAGGCAGTGTTGGAGTAGCAGGGCATGACCAAAGCGAGGGACGTTGGCTGGTCGTGCTTCTCCGTCTGCCCATGGTGGGGCATGTTCTCGCCCTCGGCTCCGGCAGCGAGCCTCGTGTGGCTCTCATGGCTTGTCTCTGCGGCGCCGTCCTTGCGGCCCGTCGACTCTTCGTGGCTCTAATGCTTCCCGGCTTTCTGCGCCGTCTTCAATCCATCCTCCGAACCTGACTGGAATCCAACCTGCAATCGTCGATATTCGCCCCTCCGACTGGCACCAATCACACAATCTGCGCACTCGTCTCCACACGCAACCACCCAGGTCTGGGATATCTTTGTCGATTTCCCAAATTATCATCTCTGGAGCAAGAGCATGCCCGAGGTTCAGATCATCAACCGCGAGCGAAGGATCGGAAACGGCACCAAGCTCAAGCTGACCGTCCAGTTTGGCTCCAAGAGGCGAGTAAGCTTCGATCGGATCACGGTGTTCTCCCCGCCAACGAGCACTCGGACAGCAGCCGTTGCATGGGATTTTGATGATGAACAAATGCGGCTTGGCTGTAAGTTATCACTCCATCGTCAGCAAGAGAAGGGGGACGATTGAGTCGGTGTCTGCGGTACCCAACTCGTCCGAAAATGAGGATGGCGGCGCCGCGCAAAAGCCTTTGGCGGCCCTGGCTCGGTCGACGGAAGCGCATCTCTGATTAACCATGGTCTCTCGTCTGTTGATACCATTTGGCTTGCGTCTCCGAATTTGCGATCCCTGCCACTCGACCACAACAATCTCGTTCATCTCCTCCAGCCGGATACAAGACACACTTCCTGCGGACCTTCAAAGAAGAGGTTGCCCCGGATGGCACTCTCGGTGTCCTCATGACCTCGTATTGCCGGTTTGACGGCTTCATCGGCGATCTGGCTGGCGTCTTTGTCAAGGGCGACATCAAGACGCTCATCAGCAACGTTGCTCTCGAACTCACGGAATACGTATGCTCCCGGCGAGACTACGGCGTCGTGCACATCCCACGGACGTATACGCCGCAATCGGGGCGCTCGGACAGCCTCGACCTTCGTCACTGGTCATACACTTCAAATTCCAGCCAGAATTCGCACTCCCGAGCCTCGTACTGATTGCTCCCTGTGCCATAAGCATTCCGATACCATCGCCATTCACTGTGTCGCTTTTTTGGTCGCTGGTGACAAGTCCGGCCCTCCTATGAGTATTATTCCTATCTGGCCGCTCTGTGTTGAAAGCCTTTAATTTGTATGATCTCCGTTGTTTGTGGCCATGTCTGCGACGGACGGCTCGTCCTGGCGCGATGGCGACAGGTTTGCTGCGCTGTCAAGGGCATGTCCCCAGCGAACGTCATCCATCCCATCCCCCTCATCCGTTATCAGTGTCAATCGCCCGTTATCAGTTTCAATCGCTCGTTGTCGGTTTCAATCGCTCGCTCGTGTCGACTTTTGGCTTGGCTGCCGCGCCGTTGCTTGAGCCGCCCTCTCGGCCGACCCGGTCGGTCCTGGAATGCCGCTGCCCATCATAACACGACCCACGAGCATGCGCAAGCCTTGCACGCCATGACCCGCTATTGTTTCCGACATCCGTCGCCGAAGCGGCAGCCATGTGCTCGACAGCGAACTTTCCGGCTGGCCAGCCGGCTGTGCGGGTGCTGCTGGTGGTGGTGGTGGTGGTGGTGTGTTTTTCTGCTGCCGTTGCCGCACGGGGTCTTCGTCCTGTCTTTTTGCCCACTTGCCCGCTTGCCCGTTTCCCTGCTCGCTCGGTGCCCCAGCGTCCTTCTGCATCGCTCCGCGGCAAGGGGGGCGGGGCGCTTTCCTGGCTCGCTGGGCCGCAATGACGCGGGGATCCAGCGGCCCGCCAGCTCGCGCCGCGTCATTGTGGCTGTCTGGCCGCTGCGGTCCGGCTCCTGGCTAGCAAGAGCCCCACTGGTTCCGCACCCGGCATGAGCCTGGGGCCGGACACACGGACACAGTCGGCGCACCACACAACGACCGGCCCCCGAGTCGCCCCTGCGACAAGTGTGCAACCGGACGCGCTTCTCAGGCGCGGACCCCGCGCGCTGGTTGGCCAGCTCCCCGTGCGACGCTGTGTGACTCTGCGCGCGACCGACGCGCCAAGCGCTGTTGTCTCTGTGCAGAGCATGCTGCGTTGTCGGTGTCGCTCTCGCTGTCGCTTTCGCACCCTCTCGGCCGTCGCTCGCTCCTCGCCGCCGTCTCGCTCGCCAGCTTGCCACCTGCGCCACCGGCTGCGCGTCGTCCTGGCCACACAGTTTAAGGGTCGTCTGTCGCGGCCCCCGCGTGAAAGGCCCTCGGCACGGCTGGCGCTCTTGTTGCCGCCTAATTGCCTTGCCTGATTTGCGCAGAGTCTTTTTGTTTGCGACGCTGCTGGCCTGGGACCTCGTTCCAGATTTTCTCTGGCCGGTGGGTGCACATACACCTTTGCCCGTCAGCTTATTTATCCTCGGCCGTCGCCCCCCGCCCGCCGCGCTGGCTTGGCTGCCTCTTTTCGTCTTCAGGACTCGTCGTTCTTTCCTCCTCATCGAGTTCCCTCCTCTCCCCTCTCGAAAGAACACCCCTCGATCCTCCGGCTCTGACTCTTGCGAGATGGGAAAGCTGATTGTTGCCGCCACAGCCGGATACGTCCTGGCTTCGTCGGCGCTCGTCCACGCCTACAGCAGCAACCCGACCAACTTCCTGAATGCCCACAACAAATACCGCTACTGGTCGTACGCCAACAACGTCCAATGGTCCAGCACTCTGCAGCAGCACGCCCAAAACTGGGCCAACCATCTGGCCTCCACCGGCGGCAGCGACCACGGAAGCGATCTGTCTGCCAACAGCGAGGGAGAGAACCTGAGTTTCTACTGGGTTAGCACCGGCGCCAACATCAACCAGGCCACGGGCAACTCCAACATGGAAGATGCCGTCTCGAACGGCTGGTTCTCGGAGTGGACCAGTGTTTCCAACTGGAACAACGTGGGCTTCTCAGAGTCCACCGGCCACTTTACCCAGGTGCGTGTCGCCCCGTCCCGCCGCCTGAGCTTGCTCAGCAGGATCCGGTATCGAGCTCCGCGCTATTTTGGCCCCCACCCCGAGCTGTTGCCTCCCGCCGCACTTGCCTCCCGCTGATCTTGTCAACACCAACCACACATCTCTCTCGACAACACCGCCCAAACTGTCTCCATATGGTGGCGCCATTCATCGTGCTCGCACTCACCCTAATCTGTGCGGATCTGTCGATTCTTCTGTATAGCTTGCCTGGAAAGCCACCACCACCATCGGCTGTGCTGCTGCCCAGGGCGTCTCTGGCGGATGGGATTACTATGTCTACGTCTGCCGATACCAGCCTCCGGGAAACATCATCGGAGCGTTCCAGTCCAACCTTCAAGAGCCCAACGTTAACCGTGGCAACGGTGAGTTCGCATCCGGATTGTGCGTGTGGTGTCGGTGGGAGGGCGAATGAAACTTGGCAAGAAATGATGCTGCTGTGGTATGTCCCACGCATGATCTACCAGCTGACTCGTCAACGTATCGTGATATTTTACATTCCTGTATCGCCTCAGCTCCCTCTCCTGGTGCCACTGGAAGTAAGTGTTGGATCGACATTGCATCAGCGCCTGTCTCCCTTCTGCGTCCGGCATGGTCTAACCATAACTCTGTGGCTGTTCATCGTTGCCAGCCCAAACGATCCCCGGCTGTTTCTATGACGGATCTAGCCGTGTCCTGACCTCCTACCAGGGTGTAAGTACCTCTCACAGTCAACAACGATGCTATCTACCCCCCACAGCCCTGCTCGAGACTGACACGTATCGATGATCCAGACCACGTCGTCTCCCAGCTCCTGCTCGGGAACTTGCGCCAGCAACGGCTACAAGTGAGTGTTATTCTCGCGCTGTCCGATCTGTGGATGCATGCAGCGTTTTACAGCGGAGCACCTGCATCCGTATCGTTTGCTATCGCCTGCGTTGACCGTCCTGCTCGGCCACCAGGTACTACGGTGTCGAGAACGGCAACGAATGTTGGTGTGACAACCAGCTCTCCAACGTGGGTGCCGGCAGCGGCGACGGTGCCGGAACTGTGGGATACAACGCCCCCAGCGGCTGCAACGGTGCCAACGGTGGTGCTTGGCGAATCTACATCCAGAAGGCCTCTGCCCCCGCTCCCACTAGTAAGTTATCACCTTCAGTACTCTGACGTGCAGCAATTCAGAATCGCTCCTGTGGCCTTGCACTTGATCGCCTGTGAGCTAGCCGACTTGGCGCCTCCTCTTCCTCAGCTCGGAGCTGGCTTTAGAGTCTTTGTCGCTCAACAGCTGCTGATATCTGTGCTCTGCACTCTTTGCTCTGCAGCTCAAAACATTCCCGGCTGTTTCTATGACGGATCTAGCCGTGTCCTGACCTCCTACCAGGGTGTAAGTACCCCTTCGCGAGTCAGCAGCGATGCTATCCAATCTCCCGCAGCCCCGTTCAATGCTAATCCCTGTCATCAATCCAGTCCGCGTCATCTGCCAGCGCCTGCTCGTCCACCTGCGCCAGCAAAGGATACAAGTAAGCAACACTTTCACCATTCTCTCGCACCGTTATAACGCTGTCCGGTGTTGACGGCATGAGCACATCCGCCAAGTAGTGTTCACGATCGCCGGCGTGTTGTTGACCACCGCCCCTCTCTTTCACCGACAGGCTGTACGGTGTCGAGAACAGCAACGAGTGCTGGTGCGACAACCAGCTTTCCAACGTCGGCACTGCCAGTGGCGTCAGCGGCGCCTTGACTGGATACAATGCCGCCAGCGGTTGCAGTGGCTCCATCGGTGGCGCCTGGACTATCTACATCAACAACGCCCAGGGATCCTCGCCTGCTCGTAATGTTGATTCCGACCGCTCGTGCATTTTCCTTGTTCTTGATCGACTGCAAAGAAGCATCGTCGGACTCAGGATCCTGGCTAACCTTCTGGGTTTCTATGCGCATCCATGCAGCCGCTCCAACCGTCCCTGGATGCTTCTGGGATGCTTCCTCGCGTGTTCTCACGGGCTCTTCATCGGTGGGTCTTGGCTACTCTGAACATCCGCGTCGCCTTGGGATGCGTGCGAATAGCATGCTCGCGCCCATCCCCATCTCATTTCTCATTGGCCATACTCATGCTCGCCTCTGCCTGTGTCTAGACCGCCTCGGGACGCACCCAGTGCTCATCCAACTGCGCCAGCGGTGGCTTCAAGTAAGTTTGTGCCAGCGTTGCCGTTGTCGCACTGCGTGCTGCCACCATCGTCAGGGTTCGTTTAGATTCTGACCACCGCCAATCACTCCAGGTATTACGGCTTTGAATATGGCAGCGAATGCTACTGTGGCAACCAAATCCAGACCGGCGGCACTGCTGGCGACGGTTCTTCGACTCGCGGCTCCTCTCGCTCTGTCTCGGATTGCAACAACAACGCAGGCTGGGCCATCTATATCGATCTTGCCACTGGCTCCTCTGGTACGCATCCCGACAGCGACTCGCCCAAGCAATCACAGCGCCTTGGTTTGTTCTGCTTTTGCTCTGCCAGCTAACTCGCCCCTCTGCTTTTCCCCCTGCAATACTCCAGGACAACAAGATCCTGGCTGCTACTACGACAACAGCAACCGCATTCTTCAGGGCCCCAGCCAGATCGGCAACGGCATCCAGGACCGCACCACGTGCAAGACCTTCTGCACCAACCAGGGCTATCTGTACTACGGCTACGAGTACGGCGACGAGTGCTACTGCGGCAACAGCATCAGCAGCGGTGGCTCCGGCGGCTCGGGTGCTGGCCCGCGTGGCACTGCTGCCCCTGCTTCGTCGTGCAGCAACGCATATGCCGCATGGATGGTCTACATCGGTATCGCCAAGTCCACCTCTGCCACCATCATGGTCGCCACAGGCAACTCCACCGTCTCGGCCTCGGGCTGGACCCAGTGCAACAACCCTGGCGAGATCAGCCAGTCGTACGACTGCAAGGCCAACGCCACCTGGTCCTGCAACCTGGGTCGCTGCACTTGCTCTCAAGGTTCGTACCGTCGACCGACGTTGCAATCATTGCAGCGTGCTCGTCTCTTTTTGTTGAGCCGAGATCTCGGAGCGCCTCCAGAACAATCATGGCGTTGCCTTTGTCGCTATTGTTGCTACTGTCCCATCTTGCCGCCCAATGCTCGATGGCTGCGGATGGCCGAGCGAATACTGGTGTCGAGGCTCGACTGTACTTGCATTTCTAACATGTGTCTGTCGTTGTGATTCCAGGCTACATCCTCCAGAACCATGCCTGTGTGGCTCTCCCCTCGACCGCCGTCGACCCCCTTGCTGTCATTCGGTTCGAGGTCCGACACTAAATTGTCGGATGGTCATCCGAACCATCAGGCTTGTCGCCGGGCCGCGCTCAGCCTCCAAGGATCGCTCCTCCTCCCTCCCCTGGCCCATTCCTTCCCTTCTCCTTTTTCCTGAGTTCACTGACGATGGGTTGTAGTCGTTGACTCGATTCACTTCCCAAAGTTGTGTGCGCACACAAGCCAGCAACGGCAGGAATCGGGCTCTTTCCCCCCCTCTCCTTCTCCTCTTGGTTTCCGGTTTGGTTTCGCTTGATGTTTTTTTTACCGCGGTGTGCCGTGCTGCTCAACTCTTTTAATGCCTTTCATAGATTTGGAGTTTCTAGCCGGCCGATCTTTAGAGACGCCTCCTCCAGTTTGCGCAATCTTCCTTCCAAGGATCCTTTGGACGGCGGGCCACGCCTTCGTCAACTTGAAAGCTTTCCTTTCGGGCTCTCCAAGTTACTTTTGCGGCGCAGCCTCCTCTGCGATTCCCAGCGCCGCCCACCCCTCCCCCCTCTCTCACACTCCTATGATACAGAAACAGAATGCATTTCTTGCATACCCGCTTGCTTTGGTGTCGTCTTTGTTGCACTCCATTCAGTCCTTTCCCGTCCACCACCACTATCCCCCCCGTCATCACCTTTGCCCATTCTTCCTCGTCTCTCATTTCATTTTGCTCGACTTGTCCTCTCCTCAATCATCCTTTAGAAACCCCGGTCTTGCTCTCGTCGCACTGTAGCCCCCAACTGGTCAGTGCCTTGTCTTTGCCTTCTGCCTTCCCTCCTCCCTCCTTTTTTTGATTTCTTTCTTCTTTCCTTTCCCTTCTGTTTGCTCCTCGCATCGGCTTGCCAATGCTGACTGAGCGTCTCTCGTCGTCTCCTCATGGATTCAATCTGGAGAGCAAATCAATCAATACACAGCGCTCCCAGAACGAAATGGGACTCCCTGTTTTTGAGCCAGGTTAGTGTTTTTATCTGGAACCTGAATACACCTACCCACTCATCACATTCATGGCCAAGCACAGCACCATCTTGATATCGAGAACCCACACTTTGTCCGGAGCTGTGCAAGCTGCCATACGCTGTGGGATCGAGACATCAATGCAGCCAGGAACATGATCTCGGTATGCCAGTCGATCATCGCCACGGGAGATCGACCGGGTGTATTCAAGACTGTGCTCCCGAAACCAACCAAAACCACTCGATTGCCAGCCAGGACGGGAAACAATTTCACGGCTTGCTCACTGGGCCTACAGTCAGTCAGCGGGGTTCAGACATCTGAAGCCAGGAAGGAACTGTCCCGTTTCTTTCTGGACCGACTGTAGCATGGTTCAGGCACTCCGCTGAGGAACACTCTCGTCTCTTGGATCACCACCGGCGTTTGCAAGCACACCGATATATTCCCATGGCTCACTTGACCTGCTTGGTCATTCGTTCGTCTCGGTGCCGCCACTCGCACAGGCTCCTTGCATCCAAAGTAGTGCTCTCCAGTGTCGCCAAGGAATGCGGGCCATGACATTCAGACAGCGTCGCCAGGTCCATAATCACCACATCGACATCCGCACCCCGTGGGACAGTCGCTGCTCTGGCGGAACCACCCCCGGAGATGGTCAATGTGGCCGCCGTGCCCACAGACCATGCAGAACGTCGTCAGGCCCTTGGGACACGGCAGCTGGCAGATACTGCATTGCAGCTTGAGCAGTTGATTGCACTTTGAGCATTTGCCGTCGTCGGTCTGGCTTTGGCCGTTCGGTGTGCCCTTGGATTTCTCTGCCCCGCAGTGCGGGCAACGCAGACCAAATGCTGGCGACCCGACATACCCATAGACACGATCGTCAGCAGAGACAGCAGCAGCACCAGACCCAGCCAAAGGTCCCCATGGCACAGTGGGATGGACGAGCGCGCCCATCTCGCAGACGATACCGCTCCAGGCTGACTTACCGAACGTAGACTGCATCGAGCGCTCCTTGCTTTCGGGGCTGTCCCGCATGTACTGCAGCACCTCGGCGCTCTTGTCAAGGAATCCCCACTGGTAGAGCACGTTTGCATAGATCAGCTTCCATTTGTTGAACTCGCCGGCCCCAATCTCGCTGTACTTCAAGAACTGGGAGCGGTTGCTGGCTTCGTGTGAGCTGTCGATGTTGGCCTGTCCCTCGGCCGAGCTTGGCAAAATCTCGAGCTTAATACGGCGAGTCGGGGCAGAGGTCTCCTCGGCTATGCCTGCACCCTCGGATCCAATTGCCGCTGGGGAGTTGAGCGAGCGGACATTCACGCTGCGTTGTCGAAGAGCGTTGCTGCCAGGGAATTGGCGGTAGGCCACTGCGTCTTTCGAAGCCGGCTTAGGATTGGGATATGTCGCCTCGCGGCCCGCAAGACTTCGAACACCAGTCATGTCCAAGAACGCATCCGCCGGAGACTGCGGTACCTTGAACGTGCCAAAGATAGATCGTGGCTCGCTGCCAGCCGGCTGCTCTTCGTTCGAGGAATTTACTTCGACAGACTCGCTGCTCGCGCGCCTCACAATATCCGACCATCGCTGGCTGCGCGCCTTTGGCTTGAAAGGTTTGGCTTCCGGGCGCACCGTGGGACGCACATGGCCATCTACGACATGGGCAATGGTCTCGACCTGCGCGTGAGGTGGACAAGTACAAGTGTGAGCTCCCAGTCCGCCGACAAGCCAAATGTCGCTGAATCAAGCCACCAGCTGCTCGATCGACACTGAGACCATCTGCATCGACAGCAAACGGCGAATCTTGGGACTCATGCTCACCGGCGTCGAATGTGTGCTCTTGTTGTAACACGTCGAGAATATACACGAGAGCATCGCCAGTGTTTGGTAGTCTCGAACCCTCCGCAGGTGGGTGTATCTGTCGAAATGACGCAGAGCGGCATATCAGACACGCACGCAGCCACCAATGACCAGGACGCTCTATCCAGATCCGAAACCCGATGCATGCATTGTCACATTGCGCCATGTACTGAGGCACTTACATTGCCTTGACAAGATGCCAACCAATCGGATTGGCCCCCAGAAAGAGCACCGAGCCACTCCCGGATGGTTTCTTGTCTCGTGCTTGGGCCACACTGCTTTCGCGACGGATCGGATCCTTGGATCGACTCGACACGGCTTTGCCGAGCCTGGACTGTGTCTAACATCACAAAAGCTCCAGTCAGTCTCGATAGCTACAGCTGCAATCCGACATCGGGCTGCTTGATACGAAAGCGGTATGTCCAAGCGCTCGTCTCAGTACCAACCTCATTTAGCTCGGAGTCCTCCCCGACGATCAGCGACGCCATGCCCCAGATCTTGAAAAGGTCAGGTCGGTCCAGGCTCTTGGCGACATTTGCATTGTGGAGGCATATGGATGCTAGGTCATCGCCAGAGAGACTGGAGTGCGGTTCGTCGCGTCAAGTATGACTGTGAGCTTGGCGCATCTTGTATGTTCATCAGCATGCATATTCCCCCACTTGACCACTCGCATAAATGGCAGGATATTCCTCCGTGGTGTGATGCACCTCGCCAGCACCCCCCCCGTTGCGCGCTGCGTCAAGCAGCCAAGCTTACATGTATCGCTCTGCAAGCTCCTTGTCGAAATCCTCGAGGCGCTGCAGATTTTTGATCGTGACGGGCAGAGCCAGCTGCTTCTTGGCCGCCTTGGTAGGAATGTATGCATCAGTATCAAGGCTCTGCACGCTGAATCCGTCGGTTTGAATAATCTTGGGCACGATGTCGATCGCATGCGAGGACACTGCGTCAGCGTCAGTCCAAGCGTCTGCCCCGGCGTCTGCCCCAGCGTCGACATCGGCCCCGACTTCAGGATGCGGCGATGACGACCGAGAGTCGTTTTGGGGATCCAGTGCAGCCGCAGCCGCCTCGGTCGGGTCTACGAGAGGATTTGGAGAGCCATGTTGTGCGGTAGCCCACTCAACGGCAGCGGGTGGTGCTGGGGGAGCTGCTGCATGTGGAGCTGCATGTGGAGCTGCATTGGCTTCCTTCTGAGCCAGCATCGCCAGAACATCAGCAGGGCGTATGTTTTCAAAGCGATTCATCTACACAATCAGAGTGGACGCTGATTAGCGCGACCGAAGTGAACAAGCAAGAACAAGCAAGAACGGGCAAGAACAGGCAAGAACAGGCAAGAACGGGCAAGAACGGGCAAGAACGGGCGCCCATCTCCCTTCCCCGCAGTCATAGTTGCGAGCTAGAGTGCGCAACATGGAGGTATCCACACTGCAGCTGCGACTCAGTTGCACTATTGCCATAGGCCGATGCACTCAGATAAGCAAGGCCATCCAAAGGGCACTCAAATCAACGCAAGCGTACCTCCTCCCACAGCAATTGTGGAACCTCGCCATCTATATCATCGTGAGCCCAGCTATCGAGGGTTTTCATCGGGTCTTCGTGGGCGCTGATCTCCAAGCTGCCGGGATCAGCCGGGTCTGCAGATACGACTGGGTGTCCGATGGCGACACTGGGGTTGAAGCCAAAACCGGTCGTCGCGGGTGGAGCCACAGCGACTGCGGCGGCTGGATTAGCCAAAAAGGAATAGCTTGTCGGATGCTTGAGTCTGAGAAACTTGCAGTAGCTCAGATAGAGCTCGTATGTCTCGGGCTGACAGTCAAAGCGCCGGCTCAAGTACTTTGACGACTTTGCCAGCTTGACAACGACGGACCAGTTCTGAGATTTTGGGCTCGGGATTCGCGAGTGGAAGTACACGAGCTTGCCTGGTAAATGAAGCAGTGCGTAAGCGTAGGTCGTTACCACTCTCCTCGCGCTCCGATCTATATGCGTGGACTGCTGATTACCGCTTGGTGAGAATACTGCCGAGCTCAGTCGCGGATACGGCGTATTGTCGCTTTTGTTAACCGGAGTGTTGGGCTTGGATCGATGCGCCGCATCGACGATGCTGAACATGCCAGGCTGGCCCGTACTGTCCTCGTCCGACGAAAGCGACGCTTCGTCGTCACTGGCGGGCACAGCCACAACAGAGTTGATTTGCCAAGGGCGCGGCTGCTGAGACTCGGCCGTTCCCAGGATTTGCCCATCTATCAGGCCCAAACTCGACTGCGACATCTCACCCCCTTTGAGCGGGCTGTTCTCGGCGCTCTCTCGGTGACGAATGTAATCAACCAGCTGGAAGAGACATCCTTCACGCCGGTGCTCGCAGCTGCTTATGATCAGCCTCAGGTTCTCTATCAGCGATTGGAAGACTTCACCGTGATTGCTCTTGATGTCCGGGCCCCGCTCCGGATAGTCTGCTTCGAAGTAGAGCTCTATCTCCAGGGGCGGGACCACAAACGACGGCTGCTGGTCTTGGGCTGGACTGGCAAATTGCCCCTCCTGTGTAATCGACGAGTCCGCGAGGGCCATGCTGTTGGAGCTTGTGATCGTGCACACGAGACCATCGATCTGGGCGTTTGGGGAGCACGAAAGACGTGAGTTTGGGCGAAGCACTGGCCCGATACAGTGATCGAGACACACATGTAGCGGTTCGTGTGTCAGTGCCGTTGCGGAAGCACGCGTTGGTCCTCAAATCTTCCGCATCTACCGACCTGTTTGACGGCCACACCGTGATTGTTGCCCAGCTCCGCGATTTCTATTCTCAAAAGCTCTGCACCAGAGATTGGCATCAACCCTTGGTTTGCCTCAAAGGAGGCATCGCCTGAGTATTGCGAAAAGTTGTGCAGCCCGAGTCCATCTGGCTTGTTGTCTGAATGGACCAGCAATGAAGCAACTGGCTCATAGGGCAAGTCGGGATGCGATTGCTCATTCCCAGTGCCGATTGAACTGTAGTTGTATCGAGGCGTCGCAGCAGCAGACTTGGGTACCCTTGGCGAGTATCCGATGTACTACGTCGTCGGTAGGTGTAAGACTGTCAGATTCGCAACTCTTCCACAAACACCTTTGGCTCGTCGAAACACATGCAATCAGGACCAACAATTCCTCCATCCCGTCCCACGAGGTTGCTGCTTCCGGCGCTCGGTCTTACAGCAAGGATATGTCTAGGGACTGTTTGCAGGTGAAGTTGCTGGTTGCGATACCATGTCACAAGTTGTACCGCATCTTCGCCGTCTTTGCTGGTCTCGAAGTTCCAAAAAAAGTCTCGTGCCACATCGAAACACTGCTCAAATGTGTGGACGGGCTTTGTGGCCCCCATTTCGCCACTAACGCTCATAGCCGGGGATAGGTAGCCGTCGGTGCTGCCTTGACGACTGACTGACCCAAACCGAGATCTCCAAAGACAGGGCGACTTTTCGACCTGCTGCGGAAGCGTCACCACGCCAGCTCCAAAGGGCTGCCGAGACCGAGTGCATTTTCACGATTAGCGACCGTGGTTTACGGCACCAGGCGGACCAAGTTCTGAAGATTTTGATGCAGCAGCCACATACCGTGAAGCGGGCTCTCCAGATTGGAACTCCGGCCGAGATCATTCTGAGGGGCTGATGAATCTGACGAGTATTCCAGAACTATCACAGTTGCATGGATGGGATTGAGGCGGAGCAAACGAATGAGCTCGGAATGGGAAGATCTTCGAGCTCAGTTGCAATGTGCTTTACATCTTGCCAGTCGATTCTGAGCAAAGCCGCAAAGCGTCTCGCCCACACCGACACAGCGCCGATATATCCCCACGCACGCCCTCTACAAACCTTGACCTGCTCGTCCAAGCTCCATGTGATCAGTTCATTGTTCTGCATCGGACTCCAGTCAAGGCCACAGATCTTCTTGCTGTGTCCTGTATGTGTATCGCTGATCATAACAGGTTTCTACCCAAACGAGTTCGATTAGCACGCTGCCTGATACCCAGGAGATCTTGTATTGCCCTGAGATGTTCTGCAACAGAGACGGGCGCATGTCCTGAGAGCTATAGGGCTCGGAAGTTGGCATGGGTGCAACCCCCAGAAGCACTGCTCGGCGCTCTCGCTCGACGCCAGGATCGTCAGGATGAATACAGTCGCCCCCACGTACCCGAGTATCCCAGATCTGGAGATTCGTGTCTTGTGAAGTTACGAACGTGTGCTCGTCGCTGGGGCTCCATCGGATATGGTTGACGACTGCCATCGCGCCAATGAAGTTTGGTCAGAACAAGCCCGCAGCAACATTCTCTTGAGACCGACACCGACCCAGCCAAGGATGAGGCAGGGAGGGTACAGGAATGACAGCGATGGTGAGTGAGCCCACAGCAGATGCAATGGCAGCGATGGGAACTACCTTTCCATCCACAAAACTTGGATGCTGGCCTGTCCCCGGCTCGCAGATCCCAGGTGTAGATATATCCGTCAAATGAGCTTGTTGCCAGCATCTGCGGGTCAAGGGGCGACCAGTGCAGACTGCTCACGGCTCGAGTGTGTCCCCGGAAGACATAGCTGACGGCTTTCTGGTCGGTCGACGCTTGAGTGTCCCAGATAAGCACCTTGTGGCTGGATTGCTGTGGGTGTCATCCACCGGGCAGGTCGCAAGCAGGGAGGAAAATATCAGCTTGCCGGATGGCCGTGCAGCCATCGGGCTCGTCAAGTGGATGGATCAGGCGCCAAGAGCGGGACGGTATTTCGGTGGCCTGGGCCGAGTCAACCAAGATCGCTCGCAAACCCACCGTGGATGCAAGCAAGTGGCTTGATCCTGTATGCGGGCTCCACTGCATTTCCGAGACATCTGCATGGTTGTGGTAGGGTATCATTTGAGCCGACTGAGCTCTATCGTGGAGGTTGACGATGCATATTCCAGTCTCGCTGTCGGGCATAGACCGTAGCGACGGCGATGTTAGATGCGGATGAGATGTTGCGGCGGTGCGTCAGCGCCAGGACGACTCAACAGGCCGGCAGCAAAGCCGCCATGCCTCGGCCAATGACCCCTGTTGGGAGTCATTCTGTCGGCATGCTCCCGTATTTGCGACGCCGTGTCATCATCGTCTGTCCCCTCGGCCAAGCCCGTTGAGCACATCAGACAGAACGTGGATGCAGTAAACCAGAGGAGTTGGAAGCCCGCTTACGTGGCCAGCGCCAGATTTGGGCTCCTTGCCGACATTGCGAGCGACGTCGTCGAAGGATTGAGGCGGATTCTTGTCTGAAAGGAGGCCACGGGGGTGCCTCCACCATCGGTCGAGGTGTGCGGGCTGCCCTTGGGCTGGATAGGGTGCATTGCTGTCATTGGAAGAGTGGAGGATGCTCAAGATGGTTTCACGGTTTGCCCAACGCTCGGACGGGTTGGAGCAGGTAGCTGTCTCTGGCTGCCTCTGGAGGGAGAGCTGAATGGATGGGCGACGGTGGGCGGCGGTGAGCAGCGGCGGACGCTTCGCTTGCCCGTCTCGATAGGCGACTGATGGAAGCGGCGATGGCGGCGAGCAAGGAAGCAGAAGCATGCAGCCCGCCCCAGGCAAAGGAGATGCGGCCCTGGGTCTCGCAGGCGTGGTTGGATCCGGCAGAGGCCCGACAACACCACACCGCATATCCACCGCCGAGTCATCCGATGATGGATGCGCCCGCACAAACGAATGCTCTGGCGCGCGGCTCGATAGATAAAGTGGTCTATTCAGCGCCTGCCCAATGACAGGTCGACTCCGGACTGCTCGCTGTTCGCGGCAAATCCATGGATCGCAAGGCCAGGCAATGCCGCGGTCCCTCACACATCATCCGAGAGAATCCTCCCTGGGCCGCTTACGACGACTTTTTGCCCTCGGCTTCGAGCTGTCGCTGGCGCAAATCGACCTCGGCCAGACGCCGGGAGGCTCCAACCAGCTGAACGACATTCAGGATTTGCTTGAATGCCATGATCGGAAACATGGTCACGGCCAGGGCAAAGGCACCCTTTTGAGCAAACTCGTCCGGAAGTGCGCCCGTCAGATACCAGGCAATGAAAAACAGCTCGTTGCCGGCACAGACCAGGAACAGCACCGTCGAGCTTGTGTAGTAGAGCCGCAGGAGCGGGTTCGATTTGGAGTCCATAACCTTGTGCGATGATGCTCCAGATGTCAGCGACGAATACATGTGCATATAATGCGACGACAGATCGAGCGATATCAGAACTTGGAAGAGCAGAGCGAGTTGCGGGTGCTGGAGGGTCAGATGCACCAGCAGACACGTTGTCGTCGATCGGTCGGTGACCATATCCAAGACCGCACCAAATCTCGATGCTGTACCCAGAAAAGATGGAATGCATGATGCATGATGCACATTAGACAAGATTGAACTGAGGTTGGCAAGAACCATAGCGAAGCAACGAAGCAACGAAGCAACGAAGCAACGAAGCAACGAAGCAACGAAGCAACGAAGCAACGAAGCAACGAAGCAACGAAGCAACGAAGCAAGGGGCCAAAGTCAAAGGTGTTGGTCCGGCGATCATTTGCCGCGTCGATCCGGCCAGTCCAGTTGCGACTGCCGCGCCATTGCAAAGAATTACAGCAGACGCAGCATTGTTGGAGCTTACTCTGCTTGAAGTATCGCGCAGCGTGACCATCGACGGCATCGAGGAGACAGGAGATGGAGTAGAGTAGCATCGCTATCCACGGGCGGTTCGACAGGAAGTAGAACGACGTGAGGGCCAGGATGACCCGGAAGTATCCGATCACGTTTGGAATGAACAGAAAGACATTTTCGCGGACAGCGGGACCATCGCTCGGCCGAGAGGAGCTGCTTGGCGGGGATGCCATGCCGACGATGCGTTGTGCAGATGGCCGTCCAAGAGGGGGCCTGATCACGACGACGGGTGTTGGGGAGGCACGAAGCCAGTAAGCGCGTTCGAATGCGGATTGAGCCATGTGGGACAACAACGTGGAAGCAGACGGCGATGGCTTGACTGATAACTGACTGATGGCAATGGCAATGACAATGGCAATGGCAATGGCAAGATGGTACGCGGTTCATGAATGATCAACAGATGGATGACCAATAGCACCTCGGCCTGGCCGACAGTATCCCCCAACCGCCAGAATATACATAGTGATTTCATTGTTCTTTCTCGAGGATTCAGGGCGCAAACAGTGTCAAGCCGTGCATAGGAGCCGGGACAGGGCGGTGGTGAATTACAAACGAATCAAAGGCAGGACAAGAGGTGCGCTGGTTGGGACGACAGAAAATGTGCCCGGTGGGCATTCGTGATGACGGAAGAGGTGGTGGTAGTGGTGGTGGTGGTGGTGGTGGTGGTAGTGTGGTGAAGAAGCTCAGCCCGGAGGCAAGGAGTGGTGCCAGACTGTCGGTAGATACGGCTCAGACAAGGCGTCTAAGCAATGGCGTTCCACAACTTGACCAAGAACTGCTGGAACTTGGTCTTGGGGGCGCCCTGTTCGTCGGCATCGGCGTCCGACTCGGTGACGCGATCAGAGTCCAAGTCGACTTTCTCGAGCGGAATGAACTTGGAGCGGGTGATGAGCTTGTGCAGAACATACAAGAGAATAAAGAATGGGGCTCCGACTGCCAAGCGAGGACGGGAGGAAGCGGCACAGTTAGACGCTATTGCTCTACCAGCGCAACCACAGCTCGATCCCAGGCAATACTTACTGTAGGTGGCGATGATGTTTCTGACATCAAATGGAGTCGTGGTGACGGCCTGGTATCCTTCGGCAATGACGATGCCAAGAGCCAAGATCAGGGCAACGATGGGGCCAAAGGGATAGAGCGGCGAGCGGTAGGGCAGCTCCGAAAGAGGCCGTCCCTGAGCCTTGAAGGCCGCACGGAACCGGAACTGAACCAGAATGATGGACGCCCAGGTAATGATTCCTGAATAGAGCGGCATTCTGTCAGCACATTGGCAGCGGGATTGTGCGTCGCCGAGTTGGCACATTGTCGCAGCAGCCAGTCGGGCCACACGCCATGGATTACGTGGATTATTCCCTCATCGTACAGCAGGCGCGGATCGCTGCGATTGTCGCTACCAAACCACCGTCGATGAAACTCACCAAGGACTCCCGTGATGTTGATCAGCCAAGTAAAGACAACGCCGTCTATGGGAGTAGAATTGCGTCAGTTACTGTCCGTTGTACATCACTGTCCTGCTGCCGGCATTTCCACCGGCAAGCCACACGCATTACTTACTGCCCCACAAGGTTCCAAGGAAGCTGATGGCGCCAAAGGCAGCCGTAAGCAAGACACTGGCGGCGGGAACACCCGAGCGCGAGGTATGGGCAAAGATTCGGGGGGCCTTGCCCTCCTTGGCCAGGGCGTAGAGCGTTCGGCTGGAGGCATAGAGGGCGCTGTTGGAGGCCGAGAGCACAGCAGTGCAGATGACGGCGTTCATGATGTGGGCGGCCGCACTGGCGCCGGTTCGCTGGAAGACAAGCGTGAAGGGCGAGACGGTGATGTCGTTGTTGTTGCTTGAGTTGAGGAGGCTGGGGTCGTCATTGCGGATGTTGATGCCGATGACAAAGATGGCGAGGATATAGAACAACCTGTATCGGGTAGCCGGAAGCCCGGTGGGATCAAGATCGGCAAGTTCAGCACCCAAACTACAGGCAGCACAGGGCGAGATGTCGCCATTATGCAGGGCAGCCTCATCATGCGAACCATGTCGACACACGTACAAGATTCGCCAGAAGGTTCCGCGGATAGCCCTGGGAATGGCCTTGGAGGGGTTCTTGCTTTCGCCAGCGGTGATGCCGACCAGCTCTGTAGATGCGGATTGGGAAGGATGAGCCTTGCAGCACAAGATCCGAGCCGCAGAGCGGACAGGGCAGCCAGCGATCGGATTCCGGCCTCCAGACCTGACCTTGGCACAACTCGGTGCTGTCCCACCCGCCAGCACCGACCGAGACTCAACCAGGCCAGCAGACACATACCCGTTCCACCAAACGAGAAGAAAGCCAGGAGGAAGACATTGAAGATGCCCGAGAAGCCGTCCTTGAAGGGGGCGCCGTCGATAGCCCAGTAGCTGAAGCCCACGGCAGCTTGGCCGGGAATGCCGCCGGCATTGAGGACGATGCCGACGATGATGAAGATGCAGACGGTGACGATCTTGATGGCCGAGAGCCAGTACTCGGTCTCGCCAAAGCCGCGGACGCTGAACAGGTTGATCGCCAGCAGCAGCACCAAGGCAACGCCGGACCAGATCCAGGCCTGGATATTGGGTGTCCAGAACTGCACAATCAGGCCCAGGGCACTCAGCTCGGCCGGCAGCGAGACGGCCCACTGAAGCCAGTAGCTCCAGCCGAGGGTGAACTGCAGCGACGGGTCGACGTAGCGACCGGCGTAGGACGAGAACGAGCCGCTGATGGGAACCAGGGCAGCCATCTCGCCCAGACTGGTGACGACAAAGAAGACCATGATGGAGACGAGCACATAGGAGACCAGCGATCCGAGGGGGCCGGCATAGGCCACCGTTGCGCCCGAGCCCAGGAAGAGGCCGGTTCCGATGGTGCCGCCGATGGCAACTGCAGCGAGAGAGCACGAGAGGGAGGGGCATGATATGCATAAGCAGCCAGCATAGGATGCCTGGTGGAAACAGCCGGCGGCGCGACGAGACGGACAGGATGAGCAGGCAGCCAGCGGACATACTCATTTGCAGATGCCGGGGCTCCAGCCGGCGCTGGACGTTGGACTCGACATCGCCCGAGGGGGCGGCTTGGTTGTCACTTTCGTGGGTGCCCATTGTTCCGTAGGAGCTCGAGCCGGTGGTGCGCATCGCAGAGCCGGGTTGCCCGAAGCCTTTTTATCGGTGGTTGACCAAGGCAAGGGCGGGCTGGCGACGGGGTTGAAATGCGAGACGGTTTTTTTCCTGGCCTTGTCGCAGCACCCGCCCACACAGCGTGGGTAGCACCACATGGTTTGTTGGTGGTGGCGAGCCGCAGTGATGGCGATCGGATTTCACAATTGCGTGCTGGCTCGGGCGGCCTTGGGCTGGCCTGTGGGTGTATGCGCTGCGAGGCCTGGCTCTGACCCTGCCATGAGGGCAGTCGCATTTGTCTGTGGCCTCTGTGCTCCTGCGGTGGCTGGATCGGCGAGGCCGAGCACCATCTGCAGCGCTCCGGAGACAGCGCTCTCGGCCAATGCACCTGCGGATGCATTCGCTGGGCCGGAGGTTACAACTGCGTCTCTGGATCTGGCTGTGCCAGGACCAGCGATGCCAGTCCATGCTTGGAGTGCGCCAGTCCTGCCTAAATGCGCGCATGGGCGATCTGGGATCGCTGGGCTCCACCCCTTCCTGGAGCCGAAACCCTGACCGGCCTCCCAAGGACGCTTGCGCCTTCGCAGAAGCATCAAGGCCAGACATGAGGATTGGCCCGCTCCTGGCTCCGACGCAGAGACGATTGGTCTTGCATGGCGACATCATCGGCCGGCATTCGCCATCGGACCAGCATGGCTGTATCTGCCTTGTCTGCGGCGGGCAGGGTGTTTGTGCCAGGTGTTGGTGGGAAATCGCAAAAACCAGCCGCCCGCTTTGCTCGACGAACCAGCCCAGACGGACCGATTCCCACGACGGATGCGTCTGTGACACAGCCACGACACAGCCACGCACCAGCCGGCTCTGTCGCACAGGAACCAGTTCCAAACCATCGGCTCGATCCGACTGCTGGATCGATCCGACTGTGGCTCGATCCATCTCGGTCGGCCCAAAAGGTGTCAAGAGCGCCTTGCGCTCGTCATGCCTTGGACGCTCACCAGCACCTCCCGGTTCCTGCCCATCCCCGCCTGCAGGCAGACCCCATCGAGTCGACGACGCAACGCACAGGTGCGCTGGGCGCGGCACGAGGCCTCACATTGTGCCTTTGACTTTGCATTTTCTGGGTCTGGATGGCCCTTGTCCCTGTCGATGTTGCTGCTGATGCCAGGGCACCCTGGTCTCGTCGGCTTTTCTTGCACCATCGGGCGACCAGCAATCCGTCGATCAGCAAGCGTGCCTGGACTAACTACCGCCTATGATCCAGAAGCAGTGTATCTCTGCACCTCGGCAGCATGGCTTCTCCAGATGATTGGCGCGGCCAACTCGCCTCGTAAGTTCGAGGCAACACTGTCTTGTCCCCGCTGCTTGCCTGGCCTAGCTTGAAGCTGCCGGCCAGCTCGTGCGCCACCATCATGTCAACGATCAACGGATGTCTAGCAGCATATTCAAATCCTGCTTCGTCGATTCACCAGAGCCAAGCTTTGCATGAGCGAGATTCGCTGCAAGATCCAAGCCCATCGACAGGCAATCGAGAAGCACAACGACGAGATCAAGGATTTGGAGCGTCAGCTGATGTATTGTGAGCGCCAGATCCAGGAGGTACTGCCGTTGTGTTCAACCATGTGTCGCCTGCTGCCATAGTATGATTTACTGCCTCACGGCTGATGCTATTTGCGCTCACTCGCCACTTGCTCTGGCCCGCTCACGACGCCGCTTCCTGTTTCTTGACAATCAAGGTCGTCATGTCGCTTGAGAGCAATCCCTCGGCTGTCGAAAGCGCATCTGGATCTCTCGAGAAGACTGGATCGATGACTATCAAAGATCCGGCCACGGTAGCGGCAGCAATTGCTGCTGCAGATCGCTTCATCCAAGTATGGTTGTTGAGCATCAAGCTTGTCCAAGCATGGCCGGCCACTGTCCCTGAACTCCCCGTCGTGGCCATTCATGCCCCTGCTGGACTCTCTTAACCAATGCGCCTATCCTCCAGGACGATGCCTCTGAAACTCAGAGCGACTCAAAATCGGGCACCAACAAGGTCGACCCGTTGGCTCCAGCCCACCCAGATCTGGCGCAAACTGCTCCGTCCCCCAACCCCAGCCATCCCCCAAACATGCTGCCAGCCATTTCTGTACTCTCGGAAGAACAGCCGCCGTCAAGACCCCATATCCCGTTGGATTTTGTTCGAATAGCGTCGGCCCCGATCGCGGGGCTGTTTGAGAACACAGTCGATAACGAGGTCGTGGTCAAACCCACCGATACCGAGCCCGAGCTCGAGCCCGAGGCCATCAACCTCGATGCTGTCGATGTCGATGCTGTCGATGTCGAGCCCAGCCATGGTTTTAGCTCTGCCAGTATCGAGCTTGATGGTAAAGCAGCCAATCTTTTGTCGGCCAGCAGCTTCGACCCCGCTTCAAGTGCTCCAATCGGCAGTATACAGACGTCCTCGACAGCGGTGGCCAATGTAGATCGCGACGGCCCAATTTCAGCACAATCCAACACAGATGCGGATGATATAGATGTGGACGTTGAGATATATGAACCTGGAGAGCTCCCAGCCTCAGCAGCCGAGTCGTCCGACCTGCCAGAAAACGCCAGTATCACCCAAGAGCGTACATCTCAAGTGACACCGGCAACCGAAACCTCGACGCTGGTCACCATTATGTCGCTGGGGGCCACGATCGCCCCGGGAACTGCCCTTCTCGTGCCTCCCCCCTTCGACGTGTTGCTTTCGGCTCCAACTAAGCCTGCTCCCATCGATCCTACCCCCATTGAGTCTGCTCCCATCAGTCCTGCCCCCGTCGAGTCTGCTCCCATCGAGCCCATTGGTCCTCCGGTCACTCTGCTGATTCCAAGAGCGGCTTTGATGCCCGAGCTGCTGGTTCCGCCGGGGCTCGTGATCTCCGACCATTTTGCACCATCTCACAGCGTATTTGCTCCTTCACCTGCCGGCAAGGACACAAACAAGCCAGTGGGCACCGTAGATCCACATGCATCCCGCCTTACTGACGATCAACCCGCTCCTGAGACTGCCAGTACATCTGGGAACAAACCACTCAGCAACGCCATTGATGACGCTGTCGACTCTCGGGCTGCCAATCGTCCCAGCCAGCCAGCCGCAACTGTCGTCTGCGAGACCATCGGTGCCACTGGCGAGCGCTCCGTAGATTGTGCTACCAAAATTGCTCTCGACAATCCCATAGACTCCAGCTCTCTCGACGAAATCATCGACAAGTCCCTGGACGATGTTCTCGGTACAGCAAGATCGAATACACCCGGAGTCATTCCCGGTATCGGTGCCACCACAGACGTGCCGGAAGATTCAGCTGCTGCCTCAATCGATAAGGCGCCCGCCTCCTTGGCCCACGATCTTACGAGCAGTACTATCGCAGTACCGACTCCCAGCATCGTCGCAAACACCGCTGCGCCAATAGTTGGTGGATCAATCCAAGCGCCTTTGCCGCCCGCAATCAGTATTCCCCCCGATACCCTTCCGGCTAATGGCACTGCTGTCCCATCCGTACCAGCGCCCTCGGCGTTCCCAACCTTTTTGGAACACGGCTCCGATGCACCGATAAACGCACCACCAACGACAGGCTACTACGAATACGCTCTGCACCAAGCAAAATTGAGCGGCGAATGGCCTGCTTCATACCCCTCGCCAACAGATGTCCCCATCACTGGTATACGCTATCGTGAGCTTGATCAAACGGCAAAGCAGAGCATGCCTCTGGTTTCTGCGGACCCGAAAGGCTCGCTCGGTGCAATTCACAGGCCGCCCAATCAAATAGCACGGCCGTCGACCGAGTCTGGAGGCGCCGTCCCCACGTCCACGACAACAGCTCGCTCTGGACACCATTTGTCGGGTCCCAAGATCAAGATCAAGCCATTGAAGCCGTACCACCGACCGGGCCATGCTGAACCCCCCGCTGCCCGACCTTCTGTAAAGCCGCTATCTAATGCGGCGCGACCTCTGGGGACACACAAAACCGAGACTGCTTCAGCCAAACCGCCGATCGTGATCAAACTTACGGCTCAACGTCCGATCCATCGCCCCAGCGAAGTGAACACTGGAGTTCAGCAGAGACCTGTGGGCTCTCCGCAAGCACCCAAAGCCACCAATGCCAACACCAACACCAACACTGGTACTAGCATCGGTACCAGTGCCAGCACCATGCCTGTGCCCAGTGGTGGTGCGACCTCGGTGCAACTCTCGTCTCAAAGCCAGCGTCCGATAAAGCCATCTCATGATTTATCACACCACAGTCGTGTCCAGCAAAAGGACGGACCCAAGCCCGCCGATGTTCATTCAACAGTAAGTCACCATGTAGATCATGATAGAGCAGTATCCGGCAGAGCATCTATCGATTCACAGGCGGGACTCCCACCCTTGACTTAAACCATGGTTATCATAGCCTTCGAAGATTCAGTCACTCAGTCATTCGTTGCCGCCTTCAGTCAAGCACAGTGCTGCTATCACACCTCAGCGTTCACTTTCAAGCCACGGTGAAGATCCTAGCAGCGACTCTCGCTCTTCGGCTGTTTCCCAACGATCACACAGCTCACACAAAGGAAACTCGTCGACGGCACGGACACCGCCGCCCCTGGTGTCCAAGGATGTGACTGTATCTCTCGGCTCCGCAAGTAGCAGCGACAGCGATGACGGAGAGGAGCAGCTGGACTATAAAATTAAGAGAAAGGTTCGTGCGACTGTGCGCTCTATTCGAAGCACAATGGCCGACGGCCCAGGTTGACGCCCCACTACCATCTAATCGAATGCTGCCAGAGTAAATCGGATTCCGCAGTGACACCGAGCAAAAAGGTAGAGAGTATGATGTGCACATACGACCACGATGCTTCAGCACCCTCTTGTGCTCAGCACGCGCCCTGACATGACCCCTTTTGGCTCCCCGAGAAGATGAGAACTCTGGAAGAGAACATGCCCATCTTCATGACACACAGCAAATATCTGGAGGTAAGATACGACGGCTGCAGACCGATCCGCCGCTACTCTACGCACAGCATCGAAACTGCAAACGAGCCCCTGACCCCTGCCTTTCTTCAGATTATTGCCAATGCGACCAGCTCACTCTGGAGCAGCGTCTTTGGGGGTCCGATCCAAGGCGGAAATGTAGTGTTCGAGTTCCTGGACCGTGTGCACGGTAAGCAGATGGCAGTCATGCTGAGATCCTAATCAGTTGGGCCCTTGGCCAGTGATCTGTTGGTGAAAGTCCTCTGACAGCAGTCCTTGGCTAATGGCCCAAATGCATAGAAATCATCAACAACGAGGCAGTCAAGATATCCCACGAAAGCGACAAGGACGAAGATGGCGAGTAAGTGTCGGCTTGGACGACGTAGCTTGCAGCACCACGACTGCCTCAAGACATGTGTGGCCGTACTCCTGCTGGACCTGGAAAGCCCTCTGGTGGCAAGATGTGACTTTGTTTTTTTCTGGATTGGCACCGCGATCCACAGGAAAATCGAGATCTTCAATTTCACCGAAACCAACGATATGCGGGGCATCCTCACAGACCTCGTGCTTCCACATGATGCAGGTACGCTTGGCCTTTGCGGATATAACGAGGCTGTCCAGTCGCCGATTTTCACCACAATCACGGTGGGGGTTGTTTGGGGGACGATTTAGCCGGCACGATTATGCCATTGACCACCTCGCCGCTGTCATCGCTGACAGATAGCGACCAGGGAGAAGGCCGGAGGAAATCGCGATCCACAAAGTGCTGCAAGCTGCAGAACTTTATCGGCGTCGATTCGGACAAAAAGTCATTCTCACACCACGTCCACGAAGTGGCGACGAACCGGCTGCAGAACCACTGGCGCAACTACAGCGCTAACAGCAAAAGCGTCAAGACAGCAGAGCGGCTTACGATGCTCACGCTTGTTTGGGTACGCTGGCGATAGCCCTTTGGAGAGGAGGGGCTCCGGCGGTATCGATGGTATCGGATTGAGCATCAGCGTTCGGGTCCGGGTCCGGGCGAGGTGCTCACGACTCATTCTTGGACACAGATCGGTATACTCCGGATCGAAGACTTTGATATCATCATGGCTGCCATATCAACCTGTGTAAGCAAATAACTGGGCACTCGAGCTGGCATATCGCCCCCTCTACCTCTGCGATGAGGACATGTGCTTTGATAGAGCGGCCGAGCGCGACATTGTTTGGTCTGGTGTGAGCTTAGCTGACGTTCTTCGCCCACCAGCCCGCCTTCTACGACTGCCTCTTTGAAGTTTACATGTCGCTGCGCGAGCTCTGCCCCGACATGATGGCCGAGATCAACATGCTGTACCGCTACATCGGGGTGTTTCACACATACGGTCTCATCGACCGAGACAACAAGAACAGACTTCCGCTCTTCTGGATCTATGGCAAGAAGGAGATCTTGATTCGTCCGGTCGAAGACAGCGTGCGGTGCGTTTCTAGCCGGAAGTGACTCTGGCTTTCACGCTGATGCCTGCACAGAGAGGCTGGTGTATGATCGTTCATGGCCTACGGTGATACGACGACGATGTTGGCTTGCCCAGACGTGTATGGAGGACTTCCGACTGTCTGCTCCCCCCCCCCGCCTCATTTTACTCAAGCACTAAGCCTCTGCCGATTCTCAGGTACATCGGCTATATTTTCACAACCAAGGAGGAGATATTGAAGCAAACAAAGTTTCTGGAAGTGATGAGCACCAAGTTGCAGGATTTGATCAATGATGTCATCACCACCGACCGGCTCGTTTTTATGTGCAAATTTGAGCCGGTAAGTCCTGTTTGTCCGTCTGCGCTTTGGCTGGCTAGACCGAAATGTGGGGGGGGGGATGAGCGAGCGCTTTCGCATCGGAAACAGGCCATGCAATCCCACTGCTGAGCTTGGGTTTGACTTTGACAGAAAAACACAAAAGCGCAAGCCGTCGCGAATGCAACCTGTCCACTGCCGTGTTGATGAGCTGAAACCTGCTCTCATCTTGTCATTCACCCTATCTCCAAATCCACCGGGAATATACTCCCATCCACAGCGCAAGCAGTACAACCGCGATTTGATTTTGGTCAAGAACCTCATGCAAAAGGGTGGTCAGCGCATGTTCCGGACGCTCCGTAACCTTGGGTGCTTCTACGACTCCTCGGATAACGACACTACCAGCCCTTGCACTAAGAGTCGGCACATCTGCACCACAGACACGGGCAAGTTGTGGCTCAAGCAGCCGTCCATTGCAAGATTGCTGTCTGAAACAGCATCTCGGGACACAGTTCCCGACTCCGACACAATATGCATGATCTCTTGGCTGATATTCGGACGTTGCATCTGCCCCTCCCTCTTTCCAGTCCAGAGGTTCCGAAACAAAATCCAAACGCTGGACACCCAGACAGGCATCAAGTTCGACAGTGAGTGCGGTATCTGGATGTTTCTGTCGTTTTGCGCCTTCTTCGAGCCCAGTTTCTCGATCCTACACATTCTTCTCGAGAAGCATGAGCAGTACAGACGGTTCAAGAGGTTCCTGACGCAGCATGGTTCGTATCACATCATGTATATGAGGGGGGGGGATCGCAGCCGCAATCGTATGTACTGCTATGAAATCGTCGAAACGATCGTATGCTCCCTTTCGTTTGCAATTTTGAGAAACCATTCGTGCTGAGCGTCGCTGACGAGCTCCAACCCATGGATTCCCAATGACAGATATCATCCACAAAGCTGAAAAGATCGATGCGCATAACACCGTCGTGATCGACAGCGAGGGTAAACTGCTCAAGCTGTAGTCTTCAGGCGACTGGGTCGTTGGTGTCAAGTCAGCCCTTCTCGTGATTATGGGATAGTATGTCATGCGATTGGTGCCGTAGCCAACGGCTCAGCACAATTTGGCTATCCACCGTGCAGTGCAGTGGAGTGCATCTGGGGAAGGCAAACCCGGTAGGGTGGCTGCAGCCAAGCAACACCAGTATATCAGCTTGGTATTGTTGTTTCAATAGGCCATGTATTTGTTGGGACATATGGCCCACATGTATCGAAACAACGGTCGGGAACAAGGGAGAAGGCGCACGATGGCGCTTGGCTTTCATCGCGGGAAGGGAGGAGAAAGTGCAGTCAATAGGATTGCGAAGGCTTTGCTGTTCGCAAGGAGAGAGAGAGGGAGAGAGAGAGAGAGAGAGAGAGAGAAAGTAGGGATGGGATGGGAATAATCAAGAGTGAAGGCGAGAGAGCGAACGAGAGAGCTCCTCAAATGGAGGCATGGGCGGAACACCAAGAGGTGGATCAAAGGCCGGCCCGATGCTATCCGGACGTGCGCACCGGAGGGGAGAGTGAAGGTTGGAGATCAAGAGAAGCTTGAATTATGGCGACGGGGAAGCAGGACGTTGTGCAGGGGGATGGTGGATGATCCAGCGCAGGAAGAAGCCTTGGGGCCCTATGATGCTTGCCGACTACACGTCAGACCTCCAGTGTATGCCTCACGGCTTCAAAGATCGATCCGCGGCGGAGTAATGGGAGGTTGACATGGGCAATCGGCCAAGAAAAGGGTCCGGCCAGGCAGGAACCGATCCGAACAAAGGCAGTTGGGATCGCTGGCTCAGTGGTTTTTGGCCAAAGAGACCCCGGTGCCTTGACGCTGGTTCTGGACCCACTTGGCCATGGTGTTGAGCCCATCGGCCACCAGGAGTGTGACCATGGCATGCGGAGCGATGCGGACGTAGTAGGTGCCAAAGCCGCGATAGAAGGCGAGCGGGCCTTCGGTCCTCAGAACCTTGAAGAAGCAGTCAATCGAGCCGGCGTACAGGGGCACCTGGCCAGGGACCTTGCGCTGCTTCTGCAGGCGAGTCTTGATGAAGTCGAAGGGCAGCGACAGGAACGAGGCAAAGAAGCCGGCGATAGCGGACGCGCCAAAGGTTGCAGAGGCAGAGGGGCCGAAATAGCCCTCGAGTCTGCTCTTGGCTTCCGAGTAGCTGGATATCAAGGAGAGTGACAGGAGCAAAAGGATGGTCAGACATGGCTTGCCCAGATGCTGGCTGCGGGTTGCGGTATGGTGTGGTGCGCCGAATCATGCTGGTCGCTCCAAGATGGCCGAGTCGCGCGACCAGCGGCATATCCACGACCAGGCACTTACGTGGAAAGCATGCCGACGTTGAGAGCCATGGCACGAACCACTGTCGGGCCCGCACCACCCCACAGGGCCAGGACACCCTCTTCACGAGCGATGCGGGAAAGGGCGTTGAGTACGCCGGTATAGTTGCTGCGTTTGGCGGGCTCCAGCAGTCCGTCGGCCTGCATGCGGATGAGGGCCAGATCGCAAGGGTTGCCGATCATGGCGCCAAGACCACCTGCCGCCAAACCGGCGACGGCCCTCTGGGCGAATGTGATGGGCTGGTCGCCGTTCTTCTCCTTAGCATAGGCAATGAAGGTGTTGAAGAGGCCCATTCGTGCTGTCGTGTACGTGGCCTGGATGGCGAGATCAGAAGAACAGGCGTTTTAACGAACGGCCTCGCTCCGATTGCGCCTGCAACCGCAGCCGCAAGTACTCTGCTCATGCAGCCCCCTGAGGATTTGCTCGCGGATCCAGCGGCGGGGCGTAAATGACAGCCAATGTCATACCTGTCGCAGCAGACCCGCCGAGAGACCGCTGTAGAGGGTAAAGATGGACTCGCTGCGGATGACCTGGGCCGCCATGGCGATTGGGTTGGTGGACGAGCCCTTGGACAGCAGTTGGATTCGGACTTTGATAAAATCGATGGGCTGGATGACGGCGGTGGCGACCATGCCCGACAGACCGCCGAACACGAAAGGCTGGGCAGCGCTCCAAGCAGAGACAAGGGAAGGGGAGTCGGACTTCATGGTAATACGATGGTTTGGGGGCAAGAAAGCAGGATCAGGGGAGCGGTCGTGGAGGACGCTGGAAAGACAGACAGAAGGAGGGCACAAGAAGAAGAGGTCGGTAGAGGTCGGTAGAGGTCGGTAGAGGTCGGTAGCGGGTATAGAAGATTCGTTAGCCGGGTTGAACTCTGGGATCCAGCAACGAGAGTCGCGAGCCAGGAATTAGGACCAAAAAAGTGGAGTCTGGTGAAGGCAGACAAAGTAGGCGTTGCGCCTAGAGGAGGGAGAAGGGGGGGTATTACGAGGTTGGGTATTAACGCTCGTCGGGTGCTGCTCGAGATGGGCAGACAGAGGGGGGGGGAGTATAAAGGCCTCTGGGGGGGGGCCAATGGCTATGAGGTCTCTCGCCGAAGCGCGGATGCAGAGGCCGAGCAGGAACAGGAAAGGATCGCAGGAAAGGATCGGAAGGCCTACCGGGAGCAGCGATTTATCTCTTATCGAGTTTCGGCTTGGGGCTTATCGGGTTGGGACCCCGGAAGGGTGGCTGCAATGGAACGGCGGCTTATCGGACCCGGTTGGGGTGCAGACGGTGGACGCACAGGAGCGTTCGCGATCAGCCAATGCTGCCGGAGACACAGTGGCAGGAGATGGAGGAGCACACAGCGAGGCGGATGTGCGGGCTGCACCATAAGAGAGAGGGGGGGGGAGGATGCAGGTGGTTGGTCTCATGGTCAGTACGGGAAGTGGACGAAGAGGCTCGTGCATGGCGGGTGGTGGTCGCTTGAAGGAGCACCGAGCCGGAACGGACGGATGGGCCGGCATGGCTGAGCAGCATATTCACCCGAAGGTGCTTCTGCTGCTGTTGTCACCGACGGCTGCACGCTAACACATCCAGACGCCCCGCATCATCGTCGACCTGTGCAACTGCATCGTCATCGACTTGTGTGTCTGCATCGTGGTTGACTTGTGCGTCTGCACAGCGAGACCGGCCACACCGATGTTGGCACACAAGTGCCGGCACAGGTTCTCACGCACCTCGTTCGGGTCCGGAAGCGTAGGAAGCCCACCAAGTAACAGCGGATGAGCAGAGGAAGCGGAAGAGGAAGCGGAAGAGGAAGAGGCAGAGACAGAGGGCGGTGTGCACCAGGGCGAAGGCGGCCCAGGGATTTTATATGGCAGGCAGGCAGACAGGCTCATGGGCATGGCCCCGTCCGCCCGCGGGCCCTCCCGGCGGGGCCCCCAAGGTCTGGAGGAGGGCCTCCGGTTGGTGGCCTGTGCAGCAAAGGAGCCGCATGGCCCAGACCCAAAAGAAGCAGCCGAGCCGGTGTGCTCCTGACCACCGGGTGGAGGGCGCGTGGGCATGCAGACGACATGGAGTGTGCGGGCGCCGCCGACATCCGTCGAGGAATGCTGCCAGCGGATGCGAGCGTCGACCGATAAGATCGGGTATCGATCGGGGAGGGGGAGCAGCACGGACCTTGGCGGGAATCCAGCGGGGAGAAGTGCCCTGGCGGGATCGAGGTTGGCGGGAGGGGTCCGGGCTGGGGAAGTATGAACAAATGCGTTGCCGCGAGGACATTGGTGTCCGGGGATATACCAGCATTTGATGTTGTCGGGCATTTGATGTTGTCAGGCATTTGATATTAGCTCTGGCTCTGGTGTCGAACAATCGGTGCTCGGAGGCGGCGCAGCTCCTTCCATGTCGGGTGTCATATCACATCGCATCATAATGCACATTGCACATTGCACAGTGCCACGGCCCCGCCAGGATCATATCGCATCACATCGATGCGATATCGTGTTGCCGAACGTCTTATCGCGCCGCCCGGTGCGGCATATCCTCTCTGCAGACCGCAGACCGCAGACCGCCCTCTGACCAAAGGCTTGCTCACTGCGTGTCAGCGGTGCCGTCGTTGCAGTTCGCCGTTGCGGCACCGTCGCTGACATCCCCGCCCTCTGCCCAAGATGCCCTCACAAACCACCCATCATCTCGTGCTGTCTCCTGCAGTTTCCCGAACGGCACCACCACGGCCTCTTCGGCACGACCGCACAGCCGGCGTCCTATCCGCCCCGCAGCGCAGTCTACATCGATGTCGTCACAGCGTCCGTCGTATCTGTCGCCGACACAGCCGCGCCAGACATGCAATCATGACACCGCGGCCCCGGCGCCTTGTTGCTCGGCCGCGCCGGACATGGCTCACACTGTCCACCAGGGCCCTCGATACCTCCCATCGGCCGTCATCTACCTCATCTGCCCCTCTGCCATCATCTGTCCCCGTCTGCCATTGCCTGCCGGCGACCCTCTCCACCGCCATCTGCTGCCATCTGCTGCCGACATCTGCGCTCGCCTCCCGGGGCTGCTGTCGCCCCCTTCCGGCCGCTGGGCTGGCTGGCGCTCCTTTGCTCGCTTGCTCTCCTCCCCAAATGCCCCTCCACGCCACCGTGCTGCCCTCTTTTGGTAGCCTGTTCGTCTTGGTGCGCTGTCCATTCCCGGTCTGCTACATGTCCCTCCCCCCCAATCCTCTGGCGTATTTCCATATACGTAGCGCTGCTCCGGCGCTTCCAGCCCGTGCCTATCTCGCCTCGGGGACGAGCCCGCTGCCTTCCTATCTTCGAGCCGGCGACGGTCTCCGATCTGCGCTGACCTCCTGCCTCTTTTGGGCAGCGTCGGCGGTGCAGGCGGGCTCGGCGAGCTTGGCGAGCTCGGCGCTGCGTCGGTTCTTCCCTCGGTCTAGGCTCGAGGTGGGAGCAGCCCAGAGCCGTTCGATGCGACATGGTCAGGCAGCATCCTGATGGAGCATCCTGATGGAGCATCTTCTGGGCCACGGGGTCAATGCCGGGCCAGTTGCGCACAATCGAGGCTGTCGTCGCAGCCATGGGCTGGTCTGCTCAGACACGATCTTCTGGACCAACACCAGGCTCAGACTCGCAGCCCTGCGATAGAACTGCACAAGCGTCTGGCGTTTCCAACCCGCTCGTTGCCGTGCCTGATTCGCCCGGAGGGATACGTGGCGCTGCAATGTGGCGCTGCACAGTATCACGTGCACAGGACTGGATGCAATCGAGCTGGATCGAATGCAGTCGGCCTGGATCGAATGGCTCCAGTCCCAAATTAGTGTCGCACCGCACGTGATGCGTGCACGACCCGTGTGCGACGGCGCTGGTCACCGTGCGTCTCCCTCGCTCGTCGTCTTGCATCCACCGCCGCCAACGACACCCCCAGAGCCCGCTGCTCTCTGTCCAGCTCTGCTCCGCCCGTCCTGCCTGTCTGCTGTGCAGCTATGACCTACCAGAAATACGTCTTTGTCGGGGACGAGCAGTCGGGAAAGTCGGCGCTGATCCAGCGGTACCTCAAGGATATCTTTGACGAGGTATGTGGCCTGCTCTTCCCTCCCCTGAGCCATCCGAGAAGCAGGCTTGCTTTTTGCCGCTTGCTTTTTGTCGCTTGCTTTTTGCTGCTTGCTGCCGCTTTCTGTCGTCTGTCGACATCCCTGCCGCCAAGTATTCGGCCCTCTGCTTGGGATGCATCGGGCAAGAGTCATGCAGCTTGACCTCTGAGGCTATGCCGCATCCGCTGCCAGCGCTCTCCTGATTCGTTGCTCTCGTTCCTGACGGAATCCAATATCCCCAGGTTCATGTACCCACAGTCAGCGACTCGTTTTTCGACTCGGATGGATCCGAGATGTGTGATACCTCGGGCTCGGCAGAGTTTGACCGTCTGCGCCCGTTTTCGTATGACCGGGTCAGCGCCTGGGTGGTGTGCTATGCTGTCGACAACCATATGTCGCTCCAGACCGTCCAGGAGAAGGTGAGTTTCGATAGAGCAAGAGGCAAGCTGGTCCGAGGCTGCGACTGCACGGGCGCTGGGAGGGACGTTGCTGCTCGAGTTGCTGGACTCGGCTGGGTGTGCTGGCATTGCTATGTGCAGAGACCGAGACGGCGCAGCATGAGGACGTCTCGAGTCAGCACACGAAGCATGCTCTCTCTGTTCTGACCCACCGGATCTTCCCCATCGGTGTCTGCCTTCCATCCCCCCCCCCACCACGTCGGTGAACAGTGGGTTCCCGAAATCCGATACTTTGCCCCCACCATTCCGCTCATTCTGGTCGCTTGCAAGGCGGACCTGCGGGACTCGCCCGAGGTGGCTGCGTCGCTGGCCAAGCTGAACCAGAAGCTTATTTCGACCCAGGAGGGCGTCAAGGTCGCCAAGGACATCAAAGCCTTCAAGTTTGTGGAATGCTCCGCCAAAACCGGCCATGGGATCCACGTAGTCTTTGACAACCTGGCCACTGACTACAGTCAATTCGAGCTTATGGACCTGGACGAGGCTGCCACGCCTCTGTCGCCGACTGGCCAGTCGCCATTCTCCTCCAAGGCCGGCGGTGTGCAGACTGGGGGGACGCCGTACGATGCCAAGCTCACGGGTCGAAAGAAAATGAATCGCATCAGCAAGCAGCTGGAGATTCGCCGGTCGACCTCCTCGGTTCTTGAGGCACATTCGCGCCGACAGAGCACTCTTGCCTCGAGCATCACATCGTACTCGGATGACGACGACGACGACGATGAGGGCTCCTATACCGATCGCTCGTATACCGACGACGGTAACTCGGCGGATCAGCAGTCGGTCTACTCGGGCTCGATCCATCCCTCGGAGCTGGAGTCGGGCCATCCGTCAATGCCCAGGGGCAAGGCCCGAGGCCCACGACCCGTCAGCCGCAACTCGTCCTTTACGTCCCACAGTCGCTACTCGCAGTACTCAGTTCACGAAGAGATCAAGGAGGCTGAGGAGGAAGAAGACGAGGACATGGATACGGCGCAGGTTCCCGATGAGGAGGACGCTGCCACACATCTGCTGCATGACGAAGCGGCTGTGCCGGCTGTGCCAGCGCCCGCGGCTGCCGACGACAAGCCGAGCGATGCCGTGCCCCTCACCGAGTCGGCGATCAGCCCCGAGCCGCCTGCCTTCCAGCCCACCAAGGAGACCAGCCGCGCGCACGAGGGCGGCGTCAATTCGTTCGACAGTACGCATTCACGCATCCGCTTGACGGCGACAAGAAGTACAACCTGGAACCGGAGTGGCCTGCGGACCAAGTCCAGGTCCCTGTCGGGGGCGTAAACCTGACACAGCCGCCACCTCCACCACAGGGCGGCGGATGCTGCACCATTCTTTAGTCTTAGTTTTAGTTTTAGTTTTAGTTTTAGTTTTAGTTTTAGTTCTTGTTGTGTGGGTGGGAGCGATACTGCGGCTCTCCCTGTCCTGGCCGCTGATTCTGCTTGGGTGCTTGTTTTTCTATCCTGAATCCGGGGCGCCTTGCTCGCCCCTTCCCACATGTTCTCTCTCTCTCTCTCTCTCTCTCTCATTGCTGCTGTTGCCGCCTTGCTTGCACTCCATCATTTGCCAGTATTCTTTTGTCGTCCCGCCCATATCTGCTTATTTGTTCTCGCTCTCTATTATTTATTTGCTCGGCAGTGCTCATGATGCTGCACTTGCGCACCCTTCCACCCTTCTCTGGGACGCATCCGATATACTGAACTCTTGGGCAGGGAGGCTCACCGCATCCGCTTCGCGCTGGTTTCTCCTTCGCGTGCCTCTGTTCTGTGGTTTTGTCCCTTTGCGTCGATGCCGTCCATATCTTTATAAACCAGTAGATTCGACGACAGCAAAGGTGCATCGCGCTCAACCTCACCGACCAGCTGTCGACTCGGTTGGTCTGTCCATCCCTGCGCGGAGAGTGAAGTGGGTTCCAAACACAACTGCGATGTATTCACGCACTCGCTACCACGAGTACACTCACACTTACACATACATACGCACCAACAAACGCCTCGAACATGAGGGAGGACATGTCCGTAACAGCCAGACAGTTCGCAATCGTAGATTCCGGCTGCTGAAGATTCACGATTCTCGCTCCCTTTGATCACGATGAGTATTCATCCCGTTCTCTCCTCGTCGATGTTCCAGTGCTGTGTTTCGCTTCTGAAACTCATAAATCATCAAAGGGGCAGTCGGAGCCGTTGATGGCGGTGCAGGACAGGATGGCGGAACGAGCAACGGCCTTCGACATGGACTCGGGGACGTTGGCGCGAAGGGACTGTTTCGGGCGAGGTTGTTGGTCCCATGACAGGTGAGGTTTTCGTTTGACGGGAGCGCGAGTATGTGTCGTGTGTCGGCCAGAGGTGCCATAGTGACAGATGTAGGTCCGGCCGATTCGTGGACGTAGTCGGTGTCCAAATCAGACAGTTTCCCAGAGGGATATCGAGGAGTTGCGCACCAGAGGGGATTCACGTTCCGATCCATGCAGACGTTGCGATTTGTTTGACACCGAAAGAGAACCAAAGACGTCAGCGGGCTGTCAAATATAAAAGAAGATTGGGAGGATCTATATCCGCCAGGCTGTGTTGATGGGATCATGCAACAGTCCGCCTCTGCTGTCACACTTCCGGTGCTGGGCAGCTTCAGCTCGAGCACATACGCTGGCAGAGGAAAAGCCTCCGATTCCCGAGAAGGACTGAGGTAACGAGCCAAGGCCGGACTGTGAGGGCATCGAACCAGGCTGGGCGCTGGAGGCCGTGTGGTGGGATTGGGCAAATCGGGCGCCGCTAGAGGCGGCAGGAGCAGGAGCAGACGCAGGGCGTCCGCTGCGGCATCCAGCACGGGCAGAGCTTCGTAATGAGGATAATCGAATCATGGCTTCTTTGGGTTGAATAGGAGTTTGTTGCTGGTCGAGCCCAGGGAGTAGGTCTGTATCTCGATGCTGTTGCAAGTTTGATTGGAGAGACGGGAGGGAGGACCGATTTCGATCAGAGGGAGGGGGATGAGTGAGATGAGAGCGAAAACCATGTCGCTGGAGTTGCCGCATTCAGATGGTGGTCGGCAGAGGCGATCGTTGAAGCTGAGATGCCTCGTGTCGCTGGTGCAAGGACGAGGAAACATGCTCGGAGGGAGGGAGGTCGTGGGACACAAGTCCCAGACGACGCTTACCACAGAGTCAGCGATGCAGATGTGTCAGGCGGATCTACTGGATGCGACGGCCAAGGCGATCTTGGCTTGGCTTTGGCTTGTCTTGCAAAGGAAGGGAGCGAGAACGGAGGGGATGGCAAAGGCGGGCCTGTTGCAGACGATGCCAAGAAGCTGCGATACGGCTCTGGGACGAGAAAAAGCAAAAATCGGAGCGGCCCAGATCGACCCACAAAAAAAGTTGCTGGCGCTTGTGAAAGGCAGAAACGCGGGTCTGCTCTCCTCGCCGAGAACTGCCCGCCCTCTCGCCGAGAAGCCTCGGCCCGGCGCGCAGCAGCGGCCAGCAGCAAACCATGCTGCCTGCTCATGGAGCCCGGCATATGTAGACTCAAAAAAAATAGGGCAGTCTCTTTATTGGAAAACAATGCAAGGGCAGTGCCCAGGAGGCTTGAAGAATCAATGCTGTAGAGTACAGTGGGGCTGGGGCGGAGGTGGAGGTGGACAGCAGGCATGCAGAAATTACGTCTTGCGGGAGATACTGTGGGATCGAGAAGAAATCGAGCTTCGAATATCGCTGATGCTGCCCGCCTGCGAGCCTCCCCTCTGATCGCTGACACAGGCCATGGGGAAGACGCCTTCCTCGCCTGACCTGACGTTCTTTCCGATACACCAGCCATCGTCATAGACATAAATGACTTGAATGGCTGCGGGCGGGAGACAATGGGGAGTGTCAGTAAGAAGGGTCGCTGGACGGCGCAGTGTATGGGGGGCACTTCAAAGCCAGGTTGCAATCGCAGGCTGAGACTCACCATCGCCCGGGAACACCTTGAGCTCGTCAAAAGCCTGTGGAATCCATCCGGATACAGCCGTATACATGCGAACCTGGCTCTCGGCGGTGGTTTGGGAGACGAGGCTCTCGGCCACGACGCTCGATTGGACATCTTCTTTGAGGAACGAGACCGTCGAGGCTGCATCTTTGGTTTGCAGGCGGGATTGGTCGGTCTGCAGGCGAGACTGCTCCGTCTGAGTAGAGTACATGACGGTTTCTTGAACGACCACTTGGCCAGAGCGCGAGTTGTCCTGCATCATAACGTCCATGATGTCGGTTTCGTCAACTCGGGTGTTCGCGCCAGAGCCAGGACGCACGCGGAAGGGCGATGTGAAGGAGTTGCGAGACGATCCCTGGCCAGAGCTGCCGGCGACGGCGAGCGAGGAAGTGGCAGGCGGCGGGCGAGAGAACTTTGTGAGAGGCGACGAATTGCCTGCGAGCGGCGACGAGTTCTTTGGACGGGAGACGGGTGTGCCGATTTTGCCCGGGATCTCGGTTTTGATGGGGATGCTGATGTTCTGCGGCGACTTTTGCCAAGGGTTCTGGGACGAGGACGGGGACGAAGACATGGGCGACGACGACGAGAACGACGACGATGCACCTGCAGCAGCGCCGGAGGAAGTTGTAGCGACCATGGCGGCCCCGGCCCCGGCATTGTTCACGGCAGAGTACAGGCTGTATCGGTAGTCCTGAACAACTTCATTCAGGCGCGGGGCAGAGCTACTGCGATAGCCATTGCCCGTGTTCTCATCGACCCGCCCGACGCTTTTGTAGGGATTGGTGAAGGGTGGATAGCCGGGCTCGAATCGGACGCTCTGGGTCTGCTGCTTCTTTCTGCGGCGCCGAACAAAGAGAATGGAGCCTATGGCGACCAAGGCAAGTACTAGGGCACCTCCGACGGATGAGAGGATGATGGTCAGCGGCGGCGGACCGCTGCTGGCGGTGAAGACTGTGCCATTGGCGGCAGTTCCGTTGGCGCCGACCGAAGATGTGGGTGTGACTTGAGGAGGAGTTGAAGACGCCAACTGGATGACTTGGGTGATGCTGGAGATTGTGGACGGGCTGAGGGTGGGCTGGGCAGAGACTTGGGTGGAGCTGGCGAGTCCCAGAGTCGTCTGCCCAACTGTAGTCGCTCCCGAGGTTCCTGAAGCGATTGGCGCACTGGCTGCAGTTGGGACGACAGAGCCGCCGGATGTCGCTGTCAGCGAAGGAGGCCCCGCAGTGGCCGACCAAGAGACAGTTGCCGAGGGCTGCCATGGCAATGATGTGGCCGAGGGCTGCCATGTTGCTGCTGTTGTGGGGGGTGCCCATGAATAGCTCTTGGGCGGGTTCTGTCGCGGGCGACACTTGTAGTACTTGCCCATGATGTTCTACGATTGCGGATGGGAGACGGGTCTGTGGAGAGGGTGATGGATGGCAGTGGAGGGCGATGGATGGCAGTGGAGGGCGAGGGATGGCAGTGGAGGGCGATGGATGGCAGTGGAGGGCGAGGGATGGCAGTTGCCCAAAGAGCAGAGGCGGATGCGGACGAGGCCGTTACTTGGCCAAAGGTGCCTGGGAGAGTGCCTGGACTCGGCTGCAGCCAGGACCGTGGGAGGCGACCGACCAAAAAAGCAGAACCGACAGGAGCGCGCCGGCCAGAAGTGTCCAAGAGGGCGATTGCGAAGGAGACAGAGGGCAAAGCCGGAGAACGGTGCCGAGAAAGAAATATCCCAGCCCGGCGGTCGCCCCCCGAAGAGGCATGGAGGAGACCTGCGAGGCCCAGAGCCAGACGCACACAGGGCTGCACCGCAACCAAGCCGGCAAAGGACCGTCTGGCTGCTGGCGCCCAAGACGCCCGGCGCAGGAGACAGGGCGCAGCCGCCCCGCCCCGCCGTGGCGCGTTTGGCGGCGGCCGTCGCGTCGGGGGTGCGGGCTGTCGTGTTGCTGCTGCGGCGCTGTGCTTGGTTCAACAATGGAGTCGATATTTCAATCTGGCGCTGGAGTCGATATTTCAATCCACCGCTGGAGTTGATATTTCAATCCATCGCTCGGGGTCTACAGCAGGATGGGGTTCGGCGATCGGGTCCGGCACCAAGGGCCCGTGCAGCCCGTCGCCACTCCAGAATGAGGTGGGGGCCGTTTGGCTGCACAACGAAGCGGGCTCTGCCAGAGCCCCGAGCGGCTCTTTCTTTTGGGACCTGGACAAACATGTCCCCAGACGGGCGTGCAAGTGATCGACGACATCAACGACAACAGCGGTCATGAGCCGATGTGGGACACGGATGAACCCAGCCCGAAATGCAGACCAGCGAATCCCCGTCGGCGCGGCTCCGTCGCCAACGATAACCGGCCGGCCCGACTCAAGAACAGCCTTGATCGCAACACCATTATGCGTGGGGTGGTTTGCATTGATACAAATTGTATTTGGTCCCGCAGCGCTCGCATCCCGCGGTCTTTCCTCGCAGGCCATGGCCACCGACCCCGCATCCATGAAGGTCACATCGCCTTCATGTTCTTTGTCGCTGGTGGCCTTGGTTCGTCAGAATGTTGCGCGTGGCTGCTCCCTGCCGGGTCGCATGTCTTTTGCCCGTCGTCTCCAGGGCATCCATGTCCGCAGTCTGGGCGGTCTCGTCGCTCCGGCGCACGATGTTGGTGACCGCGACGCACTTTATCGAGCCGAGTTGACATGGCCACAGACCTTGCATGTCCGCAGATCGGTGCTGGCATAGAACTTTTCAATCACCGGCTTGAGCTGGACTCCCAGATTGGTGCAGTAGAAGGACTCTTCGTATACGATCGTAAGGTTCTTGCGACACTCCTCATTTTCGCAGTACCATCGCATCGAATCTGGCCAGCAAAGATCGGCATGGTCAGATCGACTCTGTCGCAGGCTACACTCATCATCAAGGCGACTGCAAGCTGATCGACAGAATCGCGACGGCATGTTTCTGCGAGCTGCCATCTCCCTACCAAGCTTGCCCTCCGGTCGCTGGACTTCCATCACAACGCCGACAGTATTCTCGAACCGGATGGGGTTATGAGGGACGTTCGCTGTTTGTCGTGAGATTCAAGTGCCAGACCGTGACCACAATCGGGACGCATTGTAGCGCAGAGCAGACGGAAAAGTCAATCGAGCTATTCGCCATCCTGTTGGCGAGTGTGCAGGCGGCCAGAACCGTTGTTCGCACGGCCAACAGCGGGTGGCGGTCTATTGACCCGTCTCGCGCCATCGCCTGGATGGGCCAAGCCCTGATCCTGATCCTGATCTTGCTCCTGCTCCTGCCCAGACCGAAACTTACGCGGCAGCAGAAACATATCGCCTTCGCGGATGTCGATATCCCGGAACACGCCGTCGTCCAGGACCCTGAGAACCATGTCGCCCTTGTGCTGGTAGAACCACTCCTCCGTGGGATTGACGTGGAAATCGGTGCGAGCATTGGGGCCGCCGATGGCCATCACCACAAAGTTACTCGAGTTCCAGAGACAAAAGTTGCCAACGGGCGGCTTGAGCTTGTCGGCGTTTTCGCTGAGCCACCTGGGGAAGTTGATGGGTGCGGAAAGAGGCATGCTGTGCGGATCCAGGCGTCTGGCAGTGCTGTCGTCTGTTGTTGTTGGAGAAGAGGAGCAAGAAGGCAATGGCGTGCAGCGGGATGGAGGATGGTAAGGAGAGCCAAGACCGATCTGGGTGGTGCTGCTGCTTGCTCCTGAGCTTCGCGCACTGCTGGTCATTTGCAATCGTCTTCCTGCCTCCATGTGACTCAACCCTGGGCTGCGCAGCGATCCAGCCGGATCGATCTGCTATCGCTGGCTTGACTGGATCGAGCCTGTCGAGCCGGCTTTGGCTGGATCGAACCGCGCCAATTTCACATGGCGCCGGTGCTCGATCATGCTCCTCCGGCCGCGGCCCGATGATCATAACCGCCCCGCCCGCCCCAGCATCTCCCCCCAACGTCTGCACTCTGTCCCGAGCCGAAGCAGATTCAGGACCGGTGAGGGGCCAGCTGGCTGTATTGACGCTTCTCGACCTGCATGTTCCTCACAGCGGCATATCCGATCACCGCCCGGCGTTCATGACCGGGATCTCACAAACGCGCTCCCACGCACTCACAGGCTTCTGTCGCCGCAATTTCCATCCCAAAGCTTCTCTTTCCCAGCAACCTTTCTCCCAGAAGCTCTTTGAAACGATAGACAGCATCTAGCCATGGCCCAGCCACGCCTCCCCATCCCCGACCTCGACAAGACCATGGCGCTCTTTCTCCGTTCTCTGGAGCCAATGCTTAGCCCAGGCGAACTGCATCTGGCGGCCGAGCGTGTCCGCAAGTTTACCGACCCAGACAAGGGCGTCGGACAGCTGCTCCAGGGACGTCTGAAGCAACACGATAGTCTGCAAAAGAACTCGTGGATCGAGGACTGGTGGTAAGCAACGGCGCTCAGGCTCGTGCCGTCCACTGATGCTGATCCATCGGTGTGGGTTGCCCTGGATATGCGTATGGCTCGTGGCGTTCTCACCCTTCAGGCCCGCATCCAGCATGTTCAGTATTTCCTCTCGGCGCTCGCTCGCGCTATCGACCCTGTTGCATTTATGTCACTTGACTATATCGCCCTGCGTGCGCATTGTGCCTCTCTGTCGATGATGGGTTCTGGCACTCACCCAGTGTCGCACTACTCCCTCCGTGTTGTGGCCCCAGGCTCCGTCTCGCATATCATTCCTGGAGAGAGCCGCTCATGGTCCACTCAAACTGGTACGTCGTCTTTCGTGACGAAGTCGAAACCCTCTGCACCTCGTCCTCATACGGCAGGTTCCTTGAGGCTGTTTCCGGAGCTCCCTTGGCTCCCTCCTTCGGCATTGGCGACTATAGCGCCTTCCAAATCAGAAGGGCGGCTGGATTTATCGCGAACCTCCTCAAGTACAAGGACCTGATTGACAGGTACAGCTCACTTTCCTCGAGGCATATACAGCGACCCTGAGGCGACACTCAATACTCTTGACTGAGAACCTGTGCACTCACTAACGTGGCTCTCGGCCATACTCTATCACCCTGGCTGATCGCTTGCTCCATCGCCTGCAATCGATCCAGAAACGAGATCCCAACCGAGCCCGGGGCCGCCAAAGGCAACGTCGGTCTCTGCCTTGACCAATATCGATGGCTCTTCGGCGTCACTCGTGTGCCTCGCCCCGAGTGCGATGAGAATGTTGGCCCGTATACAAACTCCCGACACATTGTTGTCTTGGTCAAAGGACAGATCTACCGCATGGATATCTGCGATCCATTTGGATCCCGTCTGGGTCTGGTTTCTTTGCAGAGGTGAGTCGATCAGCACATTTGGAACTCGCCACTCTTGAACTGCATGAGTGCGGTCGCGGGTTTCTGACCACCGTTTGGAACGGATCCTTCTCTTCTTGGCTCACAGGCAGCTCGAGTGGATCGTTAGAGACGTTGAGGGCTCGACCCGTCGCGAGCGTCCCATTGGATTGCTCACGGCTATTCACCGAGACCGCTGGGCTCAGGTGAGCCTTGCAGTTGGACAAGAGGCTCGTGAGATTCAGTCTTGCATTTGCAGCGAAGTCTGATCCAGCTTCTCCACTGACGCGCATGACTTATGCTCTGCCAAAAGATGTACTCGTACATCCGCCACCTTTCGCCCGAGAATGCATCCAACTTGGAGATCATTCAAACGTCTTTGTTCGCAATCGCTCTTGACGACTACAGGCTCTCGGAAGGCGTAACCTACATTGCACGTAAGGATGAAATGCCGTCCCCCAAAGATCCGCTTTGAGCTCGTGGTGCAGCGGGTGGATGAAGGAATGAGTGAATGGGCGTTGGGCGGCGATCCGTGAAAGAACAGTCGTACGTTGGGCCCACCTGGTACATCGTGCTGGCAGATTTTGGGCTGGCGAGTTTCGCTCCCCTCCAAGCTTCTTCGATGATGGCACTAACGTTGGTGATCTGGATATCCGCACACCGGCAAACGATCGAATCCCTCGCCTCACGGCTTGGCACCTAGGAAACTGCTTCCACGGCTTCCGCGGTCGCAATCGGTGGTTCGACAAGTCATTCACAGTGATCGTGTCGTCGGATGGACACGCTGGTTTGAACGGTGAACACTCGCCCTGTGATGCGCTTGTGCCCTGTCTCATGGCCGACTTTATCCTCAAAAAGTATATTTGCGATCCCTTTGCTTCTCTGGTCTGAGTCTGGTTGGGGCGCTCGCAGCATAGATCCTCGTCGCACTGCATACCGCGGCTTGGCTCGAGGCGAGTTACTTCTTGATTCTGACCTCATTTGGCCTTGCCCTGCAGCGAGCCGGCTCAGGACTCGAGTGACCTACCTCCTGGCACTGGTCTTCCTCAGCCGCATCGACTCAGATGGAGCGTTGATCAGCGAGTCGAAGATGCCATCCACTTGGCCCAAGAGGAGGTCGATGGCATTATCAGCAACAGCGATGTCCGTGTCATGGAGTTTGCTGGCTTTGGATCCACCTTTATCAAACAGAAGGGTATGTTGGCAATAGCTGCACTTGTCTGATAGCCGAGAGACTGTGGACCGGAATCACTCGACTGTTTTCATGCAAGACATCTGCACGCCGGGGAGGACATATTGCGTTGCGATATCCTGGGTACATGTTCTTGGTCATGACAATCAGAGATTCGGCCGTGCGGCCTGCAGCATTCGCAAAGCTTCCGCAGCCTTTGCTACTCGGTTTCATTGGCTGCTTGTCCTAGTTTTCATGTTGCGCTTCTATCCGACCCCATTCTGATACCGCAATCTTGTCCGCGGTCCCTCCAAAACACATGTGCGACTCCGCGACCGGCTCGACGTTCGGCCCATCTTCACCGCCAAAAACGTGGCCGTCCTCACATGGTCCTCTGTTTGCCATCGCAGCCAAGGTGAGCCCCGACGCTTACATGCAGATGGCTCTCCAGCTGGCCTTTTACCGGATGCACGGGCGGCTCCCAGCGGTGTACGAGACAGCAAGTGTCCGCCGCTTCATCCACGGCAGAACCGAAACATGCCGATCGCTTTCCAGCGAGTCGGCCGCCTTTGTGCGATCCTTTGACCAAACCACTGTGCCGGTAAGCATCCAGTCACGGCTACTGATTGAGGTGGAAGTGATGTTGCTGAGCGTGGCTGTGTAAATGGACAATATTGTTGCCGTGGGCGAGTGGCCTGGCTCCACGGAAGCCATGAATACAGCTCTGGAAGAAGCCTGCGCTGCCCTTTGTCCGCTGGGCCATGTGGCAGGCTGTGATAATGCTGTTGCGTCTCCAGTAGTCACCTAACACTGCCGTACCACTCTCAGGGCAACGTCAAGGTCGGTTTGTTACGCAAGGCATGCTCGGCCCATGTCGCATATCTCTCCACCGCATCAAAGGCTCATGGCTGCGATCGCCATATGCTGGGCTTGAAGATGTGCATCAATTCACCAGGCGAAGCACCCTTGAACCCCGAGAGCGTCAGAATCTTGACCGACCCGCTTTATGCGCAATCGAGCCACTGGCAGCTCTCGACCAGTGGGCTCTTTTCCAACGTCACTCTGCTTGCCACCGGATTCGGCGCAGTCGCGCCCGATGGTTACGGACTCAACTACATCATCAACCCGAACATCATCCGTGCCGGCATCGAGTCCAAGCACGGCTATCCCAACACCAGCACACCCAAATTTATCGAGCACTTGCAGCGAGCCTTGGTGGACCTTCGACAGCTCATCGAGGACACCCCGGACGCTTCGAAGCTGTAGTGGGCCTCCATGGAGACGACCTCAGGGGCTTGGGTGTGCCTGAGCGCACTGGGTTCGCAGGACAGAACACGTTGGGAGCATTCTCGGAACATGCCAAGCTCAGCCAATGTCTCGTTGCGGGGTAAACAAATGCTCTCCGAGGACATCTGATATTGCGCGCTCGAAATTTGCCAGAAATGAGAGACTCTTTTTGTTTATTTCATTTGCTCTCCTCAAACGTCCAGAGAGGATGGCGGGGGCACGAAACAGGGAAACCAAGGATCACCACGCAAAGTGTGTACTTTGGCCGCGCGACGCCAGGCTGGACAATGCTCCGTTCGCACCAACAACAGAAACAAGAGTAAAACACAAGCAGAATGACGATGTACCCCCCCCCAGAGAGCGCCATCGTTTGTGCAGCCTCGGGTCGAGTGGTTTAGGCCTGCTCGACGGCATCCAGCTCGCTAGGGGGAGGAACGTACAGGAAGCGGTTGGGGGTGCGCGAGCCGCGGGGGACGTTCGAGATCAGGTTCTTCTTGGAGAGACGAATGAGGCGGGCCTTCAGGACGGCAGGGGAGAGGTCCTCATATTCGGGGCGGCTAAGGAGGGCAGCAATGGCACCGCAGACGTGCGGCGAGGCCATAGACGTGCCCGAAATCACGTTGGTCGCAACATTCGAGCCGATCCAGGCCGAGAGAATGTCCTGGCCGGGAGCGATGATATCCACACACGATCCCCAGTTGGAGAACCAGGCGCGAGCGTCGTCGCTGTTGGAAGCAGCCACCGTCACGGCCTTGGCGGCAGCAGCGGGGGAGGAGTTGCAGGCATCGCGGTTCTCGTTGCCAGCAGCGACAGCAAAGTGAATGCCGGCGGCGACGGCGGCGTTAACGGCAGCATCGAGCGCAGGCGACTTGCCACCACCCAGGGACATGTTGGCAACCGACTTGGCCTTCTTGCCCTTCTTGCGGAGAGCCTCGTCCTCACGGCGATGGGCTTCGACGGCCCAGTCGATGCCGCCAAGGACATCACTCATCGAGCCGGAGCCGTTGGAGCGCAGGACTTTGACGGCAACAATCTTGGCCTTCTTGGCAACGCCGAAGGTCTTGCCAGCAATAGTGCCTGAGACGTGGGTGCCGTGGCCGTTGCCATCGGCATCTTCATCGCCCTCAGGGATAGTGGCGCCCCAGACGGCACGGCCTTCAAAATCGACATGATGGATGTTGACACCAGTGTCGATGACGTAGCTGCAGAGGAGCCGTGAGGTTGGATGTATTAGCGAGGAAAGCGGAGCGACCAGCGTCGAGGAATACGCATTGATCAACGGACGAGTGAGGGAGGAGAGATTGGGCGGAAACAGTTGTGCAAGGAAAGAGGTGCATGGCCAAGTGCCGTCAGCGCAGGCTCTCCGATCAAAGTCGGCCGATATCCCTGCCGCGCGAATCGGCTCAGAGCGAGAACCTCCGCACCGGAGTCAAGGGACGACGAGCAGCCCATGCGCCAAGAGTCCGACTTACGCAGTCACGCCCTCTCCGGCGTCGGGGTAGTAGGAGTAAGTGTTGGCGTCCTCGCCTTCGGGATGGGTAGCGTGCGAGATGCGGGCAAGTCCCCAGGGAGCGTCGACTTGGTCCTCGGTGACGTAGACAACAGAGTCCTTCTCGACGTAGGCAACGTCGGCGTTGCGCTGCAACTCATGGACGTCGGCCTCGGTGAAGATGCCGACAAAGCCACGGACCTCAGGCGCAATATTGAAGACGTTCTTGATACCGCGGTTGGCGAGAGCCTCCTGGAAGGGATGGCAAATGAGCCGCAGCGACACACACCACACGGGCATGAGATATTAGATAGGTCAGACTATGATATCAGGATCAGGCCCCACGCGATGCAAAGCCAAAGGCACAACAGTCCACCAAGCCGCTCGGGCGAGCGCGACGATCGGCTCATGCCCCAGGGTGAGCGAGTCTGCAGCCCACAAGGAGGCAACTGCTCCGCGATCGCGCGCAGAAGATCAGCGGAGCCAGCGACGCTGCAGAGATCCGACAGAAGCCTCAACACGAACCTTGGTCGAGAGCGTGGTCTGCAAATAGGCCGTGAAGGTCTGGACGTTTCTCAGGAAAGCATCCTGGGAGAGCTCCTCCCTGAAGACAACAATATACGAGTCCTTGATGACGGTGCTGCCGTCGGCAGAGAGGAGAGGGGCGGAAGGAACCACCTCGGTCTTGACGGCCGAGGCCGAAACCTGCAGAAGCAGGGCGAGGGCAACACAGGCGGCCCACAGATAAGCACGCAGAGTGGTCATTGGTGGCGATCAGAGTGCTTGAGCAGGAAAGCCGGGGTATGAGGAAGGGAAAGCGACGGCGACGAGAGAAATACGGAGCGGATGGGGGGCGAAGACTCGAGCCAGGCGGAAGGACTCATCGGGCCAGGGTGGTGGGGCGCGGGCGGAGCGGCCGGTGACTGCGCGTCTGGACAATGGCCCACGGCCACAGTCCCACGATGCCCACGGCATGGGCGAGGACCGGGGGGGTGTCTGGGCTGGTTGAAGGGTGGACTGGTCTGTGCGGATGGCAATGTCCAGCGGGCTGGTTTGGGCAACACAGAGACAGACGTCGGGTGTACCGTCAAATGCCAAGGATGGTGCACAGTCCCCCAAAGGACAGCCGCAAATTGGAGAGAAACACAACCAGCAGTACGAAGCAAGGATCAACCGAGGAAGCAACAGCGATGGAAGAGATCACGACCGCGGACATGAACATTGTTGCGTCTGTGGGAATGCTGACAGGAGAGTCGGACTGGGCGACAGAGGATGCCCTCGGGAGATGGCGGGGTCGAATGGTGGGATGATGGACCTGGGGAATGGTTCACAAAGGCGACAACAGGAGGGACGGCGGACGAGCATTGGAACAGCCGGGGCGACATATGAGGGACGCCATGGTCTTGATTGCGTCTGAACCCATCTCATCAAAGAGGTGGGCAGCTCGGAAGATGACTCGACACGCAGGTGCCATTGAGCCTTAGATAGTGGCGGAGCTCGAGCGCGACCCTTTCGACCGGATCCTGCTTCGGATCTTGATGAGCTTTGGGATGACCTTTTCGTAGAACTTCATAGGAAACAAAATGATCATGGGGAGGACCAAACAAGCAAGCTCCTGGCCGAGCGGGGTGGATATTTGCACTTGGAAAGTTTGGAAGAAGTATGTAACTTGCAATCGAAAGGATCCAAGAAGGATCAGGGCGGTGTATCCAACGATCTTGACCGAGTTGTCGACGGGAGACCGATACGGCATCGTAAAGACCCTGGCAACAGAGCGCGGCAAGCGTGAGTCGACTGGTGGATGATAGTGATGAGCGGGAGGGGTCGGGCAGATAGAGACTGATATGGGCTGGTTTACAGTGATGTTTTCAGGTGCAGACTCGTTATCAAAATCACACCACAACCACACAACCACACAACCACACAACCACACAACCACACAACCACACAACCACATACCGGATCAAGAGAAACATCCACAGCAGTATGACCACGCAATACGTGGTCACATACTCTGAAACGCGTGTACAGTAGGTCAGATTAAAGCCATTCAGGCGTTCATGTTCTTCCAGCTGATCCCATCCCTGCTGCAGTTGAGTTGCCGCTACAGCATCTACACGCACATTTGCACACGATGCACACGATGCACACGATGCACACGATGCACACGGTGCAGACTCCCGCTTACCTCCTCGAGACTGAATAAGAACCGGAACACCGCTGACGACCGAGCGCTCGACCAGATCAATAGGCATCCACCAGTACCACCCTGGTGTGTAGCAGCAGTACAGGATTTGGTATGGGTCGATCTGAGCTGGCTTCGGGACGGCTTTCTCTGTGGCCTCGCCCTTGTAGTGGCGAGTCACATGTTTGTAGATTGAGATTGGAAGAACAAGGCCGAGGGCGACCAACAACACGCCGGCGATAATGCTGAAGACCAGGTGATATCCGACCCAGCACTGGCGAAGTTGGGTGAGACGGCAGGCAGGTTGATAAGTTGTGTGGTTTCGAGGGCATGGTTCGCAACAAACACGGTTCGAGTCGAGTATCATTTGTGAATTCGACAGTGAGAGTGATAGTTGATGTCCAAACATGGAACAGTTTATCATTCGACGAGATTGCGTTGGCGTGTTGGTAACAGTCGTGATCGTTCAAGGAAATACAGATCGATGCAAGAATATGCAAGTTTGGCATCAGCATAGAGCGCTTTGGACATTTCCACAGCCCTTCGTCCGTCACGCTCCATCTCGAGATTTTCAGCGCAGATATCTCATTACCACCAGAACAACGAATCTTCATTGAGGACACTCAGCATCCATCCTATATATCATATCTCTCCACTGGCTCCACTGGCTCCACTGGCTCCACTGGCTCCACTGGCTCCACTGGCTCCACTGGCTCCACTGGCTCACCTGGATTGATGGATAGCTCCACACTACCGGTGGGTATCCCTCGACTTGTCGGCACGAGAGGATGTTGACGGCTGCAGGATATTGTGCGATAATATACCATATGTAGATACATAGTGATAAAGAGCGGATTCCCGTCCAGTGTGAGTAGGGTCTCATTTGTCACAGACGGAGAGCCATTTAATGACTGTAGCAGCAGCGGCTTGCTGTCTTTTGTTCTCTGGATCCTGTGTGCTCATCGCCTGACCCCAGTGGCATACCTGCGTTGTATACTGGCGTGTAGCAGAACAGCAATATCGTCAACATCACTCCGATGTTGGAGTTGCCGAGGCCGCCCTTGAGATGAGGAAAGTAGTGCAGCCACGTCCTGATAGTCTTTTTGGCCAGATGCGAACGAGGCTCCAATGACAGAATTATTCTCGCGATGATGTACCAGAGGATTTGGCACACAAACATCGCAACCGGAATGAAGAAACTCGAGATCATCTTGAGAAGCGAGGTGAACGGGAAAATGCATCCGCTGCTGATACTGATATTTGTGTTGAAGCTCAAGATCGACAGGCTACTTTGGATCAAGTTGTTATCGCTGAAATTGAACATGAACGATATCTGGTAGATGAAGAGCTGTCGGAGAACAAAAAAGCCAGCTCTTAGTAACGAATATGGCCTCCCGTGCGTCTAGGTACGGTGGTGTGCGGAGTGGAGACTGGCTGATGATGCCTTGTGGAGATATGCGACCAAAATATGGCTGTTCATGCTATCCATCCACTGCTCCAAATATATCATCAGACACAGTGATAAAAGCGTTGTCGGATTGTTGTCGGCCCGATTGACTCGGACAACAATGCCTTACCAGATCCACGAAAAAGTTGTCCTTGGACGGTGGAATGATGTAGATGATCCCAACACCAATAAAGGTCAGAAGGAACGTGAAGGTGTACATCAGAGTATTTTGAACCGTATTGTTGCAGTAGACGCATCGGCCGCTCCATTCGTACATTCCATTCGGACAGCTTCCGCAAAGGCTGCGTGGAGTGGATGATCATAGGCACATTCGAGCCCGCATCGGTTGTTGGTGTTGGTGTTGGTGTTGGTGTTGGTGTTGGTGTTGGTGTTGGTGTTGGTGTTGGTGTTGGTGTTGGTGTTGGTGTTGGTGTTGGTGTTGGTGTTGGTGTTGGTGTTGGTGTTGGTGTTGGTGTTGGTGTTGGTGTAGTTGATCACGGAGGACCATCGTATCAGGAGAAATCGTTGTTGGAAGGATTAAAAACAATAGCGATGTCGGGTTTGGGTGTAATATCGGCGGTAGGTAGACACAATCAGCTTACACTCCAAAGTGATTGTTTGAGCAAGTGTTGTTCTCTGATATTGGACATGTACCGGAGCAGCCTGTGTCGATCCGATATGGTGAAAGAATTTCAAACAGATATTCAAGATGGGTCTGAGTAAATACCGTGTGGAGCCAAGCTATTTGGCGTGGATTATTACTCTTGGCCGTCGGGTCAGTTAATGATGGCAGCTATAAATAGGCAATATATGATTCGTATCTATGTCGTCCGCATCTGCGGTGATACTCACAGCGATTGTCGGATCCACAGTAGAGGAATGCACTGGTAATATCCTGCGCACGTGGGTTGTACCAGTAGTTTTCCGTGACCATGAGGGTGCTTCCAGAACATGTTGCTCCAGTTGGACACGGAAGGCAGGACGAGTTGTAGTTGAGATTGTATGTTCCTTATGATATAAATGTGGTGTTGTGGTGGGTGAGAGGGAATAGTATGCAATCCAAAGGTTGCTCTCCAAAAGGAAAAGGGAAAGCAGGCCATACCAGATAAACACGGGGTGCATATCCATTCACCAAGGTTTGAGAGGAACGGCTCCCATCCTGGGGGACAGTCTGTGATGGGTTGTGACGATCACGGTGGTTGAGGTGCATTTCCGGAACCAACCAACACGGTCCGTGGTGGATGATCGAGGTCGAGTCAGCGAAGCGCAGGAGAGCGGCATCAGCCGGAATGGAATGGGCGGGGGTGCAGAGGCGGCCTTGGCTGTCCCTCCTATCCCTCGTCGGCCAAATCCATCCCTCTCTCCGTTTCCATAACCGGGGTCAAAAGCTTCTCGTTCAACTCACTTATGTTGGTGTAATCAAGAGGTATCTGCGTTGAACGAATCGATCAGTTGCGCGCCCAAAATTCTTCCCTTCCGTGGAAATTGCCAATGCTGGAGTGAGTCTCAGCCTCACATGATATAGATTTGAGTTGTGCTCCAGCAACATGACTGATATTCCACCGGCATCCCTCATACTGACGGCTTCCCCATCATACTCACAAATGACGTTCCGTCGTTATTGAGGAATCGACAGCCGCTACATTTCAAGTTGATTGTGCCGTTTTCATACAGTGCAATTGTATTCAAATTTGTGCTGCTGCTATTTGCTCCTTGGTAAGCCTGGATAAGAAAGGGTCTCTTTGGCAAACCCTCTTGTCAGTACCTGAGAAAGTAGCTATGTCGCAGCAGAGGTCCCCGAATCGCCAAATCGTTTCCTCAGCACACTCACATCCATGATTCCTTGGCTGTCGAAGCTTAGTATGCCACTCGCACCGTCAAATGTGAGGTCCTTGACGTACTGAGCAATGTAAGTATAGTTGATCCAAAGTAGCTCGTGGAAGCTCATTGAAGGGCTCTTGTGTATCAAATCCGTCTGCGACCAACACAAAATATAGTCAGGATATGTGTCTCATTGATCTCATTTCGGCAGGTAACTTACCCATGCCAAGGCGATAATGTAAATAACGTCATAGAGTGATCTAAATAGATTGTAATCGTCAACCCAAAGTGAGCGCTGCATTCAATCCATCATCTCAGCCATCCGTGGGGAACTGACCTCAGCGCATCTCCGAAGCTGTCCTCATTCATCGGTGGATATACGGCGGGATCTCCTGCGACCAGCGCTGCCCATTTGGCGCTGAAGTTCTTGAAGCCCGGCCCATCGATTGAAACTTGGGTAGCTGTGATGGACAAGTACATCAGGTTGAGAATTGCGCTGCGATAGTGGGCAGAGTTTATTCGACTGCGCTCTATTCACCTGTGATATATCCCTGAGATGCAAGGACGGGGTCGTCCTGGAACCAGGAGACATTCAAGAAGTCATAGTAGGGCTCGTTCAGCCCCTATCGGCGCTTTTGTGTTAGTCAGTGACGCATAATGTTTCTGCGGTACTCCCGCGCAGTGGCGCTGGCAACTTACCATCCATACATAGTCTCGACCAACAAGGCCGATATTGTAAGCGCTCAAATATAAGTCGGCGCTGTACCATGGCGAAGCGCATAGCAATATGATATTTGCCCCAGATTCCTTCAGATTTTGGAGAGGAATCACCAATTCGCTGCGATCTCCCTGTGTTGCTCCATAAAAGCCCTGCCAAACTCTGTGTCAGCAGCTCGTTTACTTTCGGCTACGCAGTAAGCCTGCCACTTACCTGTTTCAGAATGACTGCCAAATCAAGTTGATTGGCAATAACCTCAGCATCGGCTAAAGCTGCAGCGTGTCGAAGGAAGAGGTTAATACAGGATCGACAAGCTCAATGCCGAATAGTCGGCCGTCAGAGCACATGTGGGGTTCAAGCTCCATCGCATGCCGCCACCGAATTATTACCTCCCATTCCTGATGTGTCGCGTCCATACACAATTGCTATCTGTGACCGAAATCCGGCCGTCGTTCAGCGCCCGGGCCAGAGACAGATATTCTTTGGCACTGCTACCCCATGAACATGGCTCTTACCCTCCTCCAACCCATAGCCACCACAAAGGCAAGGCAGGTTTGGATGTAGAGTTTGTTGGGCTCGATAAGACTGACCAGCGACTGGACGTGCAGCGATAATTAGTTTCGTCAAGCCGGATACACGGGACGCTCTCCAATTTCAACCAACCGGATACAGTGTTCTGTTCGAAAGAGTTGTTGCTGCAGTTTGGAGCCCAAACTGGGCTTTCTAATGATGGGAGATTTTGGCATGAATCAGACATGTGCACGCAACGCTCTTGTCGGTCGGATATGATCCGTCACTACCCTCCAAGAGCCATCAATACCTATCTGAGCGACTCCTTGGATTAAAGCAAGCGTGTCCTACCCGATAGTAACCCGAAACCTGGGCCTCGTACTGCGTGAGCTTCACATATATGCAGGTCGTCAGCTCCACGTCACAGCACATCGCACAATATCCTGTCTATGGATCATCGATTGATACCTCGCTACGTGTGTCTCCGATGATGGCCGATACGCCGTCAGACTGAATGAGCTGCAGAATATTTGCTCTGGAAAGCCATCGCCAAGACATTCAGCAGCAGTTCGCGCGCCATTAATGAGACCCATAGCGATCCCCATTGGTGTCAATTGACGAATCAAAGCAGATCCTAGAAGGCTGGGCGTGGCAGATATTCGCGGTATGGCATGGCATGGCATGGCATGGCAACCTACATCCCCTGTGGTGTCGCATCCAGCGAATCGCGGATAACGAATGCGAGGGACACATCTGCTTGCCAGAGAAAAAGCACAGCATATTCAGAGAGCTGGCTCAATCCTGTGTTTGCGAAAGCAGCGAGGAAAGGTTCCTTGCTAACTGTTGAATGCGCAGACAAAGGCTCCTGATACCCGCACCACAGGCCGACTCACGGCATACTTGGCAAAATAGCAGTATTGTTGTTGATCTCGTCGACGGCAATCTGCATGACCTTTGGGATGAACTCGGCCTCCGGATAGTTGTTTAGATCAGACATACAGTATGTCACGCCCAGGACGGCGGTAGCTTGGGCCACCGCGCCGTTCATGAGGGCGAGCCATAGCGATAACCAGTAGTATAGGCGTTGGACATTCATGTTGCTGCCGATAAGAGATTACAAATTGGCTCAAAGCGAAGTCGGATCCGTGACGGATGCCAGAGAACTCATATCTCGTGGGAGCTCGGACCAAATCGGTCTCGGAACAAACGAGCTCGCTTGCATCGTTTCCTCACGTCAGACCCCACCAGCGGCGAATCAGACATGATCGGCACCGCCCTGTTCACAAAATGAACAGGACCCTGTCTTCGGGCGCACGGATCGCACTGTCCGCTACTGAGCACACACTCGTTGATCGATGAATCGATCACTGTCGCTTTCCGCTTCGTGGAAACAAATGATGGAGGGACTCGCATCGACCGCGACATGTGCTGCTCAGAGCTGGACTGGTGTGGCGCAGGGCAGGTGACCGACACATGACCACGGAGTCGCTCGTGTCCAAACGGCGACCATTCTCCAGCGACCTTGGCCGCCCTGATTGCCACAAATCATCCAGGATGACCCCGTCCAGCCGCTCCCCATCGCCGCTGAAGCTGGCCGTTCCCGCATCTCTTCAGCACCGGCCGGCACCAGTGTCGTTTTATTTGAAAGCCGGGCTTCTTGGCTTCGCGATTGGCGCCGCACTGGAGCTGACATTTGTCAAGACCAACTCATGTGAGTGTCGATGATGCTGATGTGGACCAACCGAGCCTGCTGGCAGCATCGCCTGGACCTGTCCGCTCCAGGCTTCCTGTCCGCACAATGGCTAAGGCGGGCGAATTTGCGAGAATCTCCGGCAGCGTATTCTGGCTTATCTTCTCGGAATGGCTAACTGGTCTGTTCTGCTTCCTGCCGACTGGCATTTGCAACGACCTCGTGCTGTCCGGCTTGGCTGTTGTGAATCCATGCCTATTGGTGACGGAACCTGAATTACATCGACAGATGAGATCATGAAGAAGACGCAAGCTCGCAAGCGGCTGCAGGAGCAACTGGACTACGAGGCGCTGCTACAGTACCAAGAAGAGCAGAAGGTCAATGCGACTTCATCGCGCCCATAGCTTCCTTCAACACAACCAACAGATCCGGCCTGTTTTTTGTGCGATCGGCGTTGCTATCGCAGATCCAAATACATCACCCCATCATCGACATCACCTTATGCTGATACGTGAAAGACAAGGCTTCGTATGGACACCCCGATAGGATTGTGGATCGAAATGCAGGAACTCTCCGGATCCTGCGACTCGACATATCCGCGGCGTCTTTGTGCTTCCGACGCTGGATTGGCATATCGATGGTGCGATGGCAGTGCCGAGGGAGCGCAGTAATCAGCAAGATGCGACTTGCAATGAGGCAGAAATAAGCGGAACGGCACCCGCTCTCGTGGGGACAACCGCGATGGCCTCCCGTCCTGGCTGGCGATTGAAGTGCTCTTGTGGAGTTAGGGCGAGAGTGCACATTCTTGAACAGACTCGGCCGATCTTCATGGTGGCGATCGACTGGGTTCATGCTCCGCGGGGCGCTAATGTTGTGATGTGTGCGTGATGCATGCATTCAATCCGTTTAGATAGTTATAGGTGTGGTTCATAAAGCAGAGCGTCTCGCTTCGGGTCGAGCATGTTGTATCTGTCGATGCAGTATCTGCAACAGCGATATTGGCGAAGGCTTGCATGTGTTGGAGGAGCCAGAACAGGCGACCTCATTCATTTCGCGAGTGCTGTGATTCGATCACGTATCATCAATTCTGGTTCGCCAAGTTGCCGCAGATCCACCATGCCAGTCGAATCCACCCAAAATCCTCCGGCTCGTAGCTTCCGGGGATTCATATCAACTCGCCAGATCCTGACGCGCAATAAACCCCGTTCGCCCGCCCCCTTTCCTTTGACCAGCGGCGTCATGTTCCTCCGAAGCCAGAAATGGCTGTGGTTGTGTCTGATTCTGCTTCCACCCCAGCTTTTGCTGGTGCCCGTATCATGCAACACAACCACAAACTTCACCATTGGCCTGAATTACTGCTTTTCCGACTTCTTGGACTACCCCGAAGCTGCCTATCTGGTCTCGGCTGTCCAGCTTGCTATCGATGACATCAACCAGAATACAACATATTTACCGAGTGCGTGAGTCCGAATCATTTGGTGGTCTGATGCAGTGATGGATATTAATGCAAACATCCGATAACCTTTTGCAGACTTTGTCCCTCATCGGCTTATGGGACGATGATGGGTCCGCAAAAGCTAACCTGTTTTGCCGACTGTCGTAGACGTGTCTCTGAGAATGGTGGTCCGCAATTCTCAAGACGACACAGGCACTGGAATGTAGGTGCTGCTTCAATAACGAATCGATTCGCGGCGAGTAACTGAGCCGTGTTGAACTTGCAGGACAACCTTGCTAGATATGATCCAAAACGAAAACATCCACGGGGTCATCGGCGATACCCGCAGTCAGGTACAACCCGGCCAGCACTGTTAGAGGTAGCGACAAACAAGTTGCTCATACCGATGTATTTATTTCAGCTGAACGAATACGAGGCCTCTATAACTGGATACTACGAGGTTTGTTCTCGCGCTAATCCTGCACCGCCAAAGTTGTTTGGAACGATATGCACGCTTGGCTGAGATACACTTGCATTCGTAGGTGCTCCATGTCGGCCTCCAGACATCTGCAACTATTCTATCCAACAAGACCTTGTACCCGGTAGGGTCGAGTGGTGGTCGTGTGATATTCGATATTGCTTATTCTGACAGTACCATGGGATCAGACATTCTTTCGTCTTATTCCGTCAACGCGAACCTTTACTCAAAGCTTCTTTGCGTACATCAAAGCCATGGGATGGAACTCGGTAAGGAACGGAGACGACTGTCGCCGACGATCCAAGCATCGAAGTTACTAATCCCTCGCACAACTGCAGATTGCTATCGTATACGGTCGTGATGGCTTTGGAGAGGGAGGTAAGACACAATCAGCAATCAAAGTGCCCTCTTCATCAACCCCACAGGCTCAAACGTGCGACAATCTGTCATCACAGCTGCCAGCGACGCCGTCGATATAGCGAACAAAATGAACATGAAAATATTGCTGAAGCAGGTAGAAAGGCTGATTTCGGTGCCGTTGTTGCGGAATTAAACTGAACGCAATGCTCCTGAGAACTGGCATGAGCAAGCCGATATCTTGCGAGTTTGGCAAAGTCGTATTCATATTGGAGCGCACAACAACCCTACAGGGATTCTATGGAGCGTCGCTAGGAAATAGAAGCGAGCTTGCCATTCCCGTACAAAATCTCAAATCCTCAGGGGCAAAGATCGTGATCCTCTGCGCTGTTGTGCCATACAGTGCCGATTTCTACTACACTGCTTATCAAAATGGGCTTGTCGGCAGCTCCTATTTTTGGGGGGTAGGTTGAATCCGTTCGAAGGAGTGCTCCGCAAATCGCATACCAATCTCTGATCCTCAATTTGCAGGGATTAAATCCGCCGTACTCGAATACGATTGATCTGTCCTGGTTTGACGCGGATCCCGTCCTGGTAGCACGCGGATATGTCTCTCGTAAGCAATTGGAACGCAACTCCAATGGTGCGAAACATATAATTTACTGCTATATTTTGTTATATAGCAAACAGCAATCCAACCCTGACAAGCGCATTTTACAAATTCTCAAATCGATGGGGAAATCTGTCTTTGACAAATCCGTCAGCTTATCCAACCAACGCCGATATCCAGTCGTTGCTGCAAGCAGGGTAGGCCGAGTGTTGCTTTTCCAACATCAAAGTGTTCTCGAATTGGTTTCATGGACTAAGTTGGCTCTATTTCAGACAATCCTACGATGCAGTATTTCTTATGGCCATGATTTGGGTGAGTTATTGCATGGAGGTGAGCGGTAAATAGCACGCATAGGGCAGAATTAACCTATTTTATCAGCGGCAGAGAATACTGGGAAATCCAGGAATGAGCCCGATCCAAGCCATTACGTACAGTGTCGACTCCGAGCTCAACTACATCAAGAATTATTCATACGAAGGAGTCGGAGCAAAGTACATCTTTGATGAAAACGGAGATATGCAGGTAGGCGAAATGATACTGGGGCATCAACAAAAACACGAGCAATCTAGAGCTCTGATGGGCTACTTGCCTTTGAAAAGAATTCAATATACGTTCAGGCATTCCTCAACACAACCGGAGCCAACATCGAATATCATACAGTCGCCATTTACGAGGACAATGTGATAAACATAAATTGCAGTAATTGCAGTTTTCTGAATAACGACGGGTCGTCAAATGTAAGCAACAGAGTGCGATGAGTGATGGGATTTAGATAGCATCTACGATTATTGGATATGATTCCGACGTTCAACATCAAGAAATTGAGTCACATATACAAGGATCAGCCAAAGTGTCGCAAAATATCACGCTCAAGAGTGGACTGTTTTGAGGTGACGTTCTGACCCGGATATTCATCTCTATGAACTGACTTTGGACGAAGGTACCGAGCGACAAGATCATATTTGGTGGGTCATAGTGAAGTTGCTTGCTGTTGAAAGCAGCTGATGACGGCAACCCCACGAAATGCACGAAGGGCAGAAAGCTGAACCGTTAGACAGCAGGAACATAGATGCAGCCAAGGCCGCCTCTGCACCCCCGCCCATTCCATTCCGGCTGATGCCGCTCTCCTGCGCTTCGCTGACTCGACCTCGATCATCCACCACGGACCGTGTTGGTTGGTTCCGGAAATGCACCTCAACCACCGTGATCGTCACAACCCATCACAGACTGTCCCCCAGGATGGGAGCCGTTCCTCTCAAACCTTGGTGAATGGATATGCACCCCGTGTTTATCTGGTATGGCCTGCTTTCCCTTTTCCTTTTGGAGAGCAACCTTTGGATTGCATACTATTCCCTCTCACCCACCACAACACCACATTTATATCATAAGGAACATACAATCTCAACTACAACTCGTCCTGCCTTCCGTGTCCAACTGGAGCAACATGTTCTGGAAGCACCCTCATGGTCACGGAAAACTACTGGTACAACCCACGTGCGCAGGATATTACCAGTGCATTCCTCTACTGTGGATCCGACAATCGCTGTGAGTATCACCGCAGATGCGGACGACATAGATACGAATCATATATTGCCTATTTATAGCTGCCATCATTAACTGACCCGACGGCCAAGAGTAATAATCCACGCCAAATAGCTTGGCTCCACACGGTATTTACTCAGACCCATCTTGAATATCTGTTTGAAATTCTTTCACCATATCGGATCGACACAGGCTGCTCCGGTACATGTCCAATATCAGAGAACAACACTTGCTCAAACAATCACTTTGGAGTGTAAGCTGATTGTGTCTACCTACCGCCGATATTACACCCAAACCCGACATCGCTATTGTTTTTAATCCTTCCAACAACGATTTCTCCTGATACGATGGTCCTCCGTGATCAACTACACCAACACCAACACCAACACCAACACCAACACCAACACCAACACCAACACCAACACCAACACCAACACCAACACCAACACCAACACCAACACCAACACCAACACCAACACCAACACCAACACCAACACCAACACCAACAACCGATGCGGGCTCGAATGTGCCTATGATCATCCACTCCACGCAGCCTTTGCGGAAGCTGTCCGAATGGAATGTACGAATGGAGCGGCCGATGCGTCTACTGCAACAATACGGTTCAAAATACTCTGATGTACACCTTCACGTTCCTTCTGACCTTTATTGGTGTTGGGATCATCTACATCATTCCACCGTCCAAGGACAACTTTTTCGTGGATCTGGTAAGGCATTGTTGTCCGAGTCAATCGGGCCGACAACAATCCGACAACGCTTTTATCACTGTGTCTGATGATATATTTGGAGCAGTGGATGGATAGCATGAACAGCCATATTTTGGTCGCATATCTCCACAAGGCATCATCAGCCAGTCTCCACTCCGCACACCACCGTACCTAGACGCACGGGAGGCCATATTCGTTACTAAGAGCTGGCTTTTTTGTTCTCCGACAGCTCTTCATCTACCAGATATCGTTCATGTTCAATTTCAGCGATAACAACTTGATCCAAAGTAGCCTGTCGATCTTGAGCTTCAACACAAATATCAGTATCAGCAGCGGATGCATTTTCCCGTTCACCTCGCTTCTCAAGATGATCTCGAGTTTCTTCATTCCGGTTGCGATGTTTGTGTGCCAAATCCTCTGGTACATCATCGCGAGAATAATTCTGTCATTGGAGCCTCGTTCGCATCTGGCCAAAAAGACTATCAGGACGTGGCTGCACTACTTTCCTCATCTCAAGGGCGGCCTCGGCAACTCCAACATCGGAGTGATGTTGACGATATTGCTGTTCTGCTACACGCCAGTATACAACGCAGGTATGCCACTGGGGTCAGGCGATGAGCACACAGGATCCAGAGAACAAAAGACAGCAAGCCGCTGCTGCTACAGTCATTAAATGGCTCTCCGTCTGTGACAAATGAGACCCTACTCACACTGGACGGGAATCCGCTCTTTATCACTATGTATCTACATATGGTATATTATCGCACAATATCCTGCAGCCGTCAACATCCTCTCGTGCCGACAAGTCGAGGGATACCCACCGGTAGTGTGGAGCTATCCATCAATCCAGGTGAGCCAGTGGAGCCAGTGGAGCCAGTGGAGCCAGTGGAGCCAGTGGAGCCAGTGGAGCCAGTGGAGCCAGTGGAGAGATATGATATATAGGATGGATGCTGAGTGTCCTCAATGAAGATTCGTTGTTCTGGTGGTAATGAGATATCTGCGCTGAAAATCTCGAGATGGAGCGTGACGGACGAAGGGCTGTGGAAATGTCCAAAGCGCTCTATGCTGATGCCAAACTTGCATATTCTTGCATCGATCTGTATTTCCTTGAACGATCACGACTGTTACCAACACGCCAACGCAATCTCGTCGAATGATAAACTGTTCCATGTTTGGACATCAACTATCACTCTCACTGTCGAATTCACAAATGATACTCGACTCGAACCGTGTTTGTTGCGAACCATGCCCTCGAAACCACACAACTTATCAACCTGCCTGCCGTCTCACCCAACTTCGCCAGTGCTGGGTCGGATATCACCTGGTCTTCAGCATTATCGCCGGCGTGTTGTTGGTCGCCCTCGGCCTTGTTCTTCCAATCTCAATCTACAAACATGTGACTCGCCACTACAAGGGCGAGGCCACAGAGAAAGCCGTCCCGAAGCCAGCTCAGATCGACCCATACCAAATCCTGTACTGCTGCTACACACCAGGGTGGTACTGGTGGATGCCTATTGATCTGGTCGAGCGCTCGGTCGTCAGCGGTGTTCCGGTTCTTATTCAGTCTCGAGGAGGTAAGCGGGAGTCTGCACCGTGTGCATCGTGTGCATCGTGTGCATCGTGTGCATCGTGTGCAAATGTGCGTGTAGATGCTGTAGCGGCAACTCAACTGCAGCAGGGATGGGATCAGCTGGAAGAACATGAACGCCTGAATGGCTTTAATCTGACCTACTGTACACGCGTTTCAGAGTATGTGACCACGTATTGCGTGGTCATACTGCTGTGGATGTTTCTCTTGATCCGGTATGTGGTTGTGTGGTTGTGTGGTTGTGTGGTTGTGTGGTTGTGTGGTTGTGTGGTTGTGTGGTTGTGTGGTTGTGTGGTTGTGTGGTTGTGTGGTTGTGTGGTTGTGTGGTTGTGTGGTTGTGTGGTTGTGGTGTGATTTTGATAACGAGTCTGCACCTGAAAACATCACTGTAAACCAGCCCATATCAGTCTCTATCTGCCCAACCCCTCCCGCTCATCACTATTATCCACCAGCCGACTCACGCTTGCCGCGCTCTGTTGCCAGGGTCTTTACGATGCCGTATCGGTCTCCCGTCGACAACTCGGTCAAGATCGTTGGATACACCGCCCTGATCCTTCTTGGATCCTTTCGATTGCAAGAAACCTTCTTGCTGCAACAGTACGGCCTTATGACTTCCACGTCGAACGCAATTGTACTGACTATCCTCCTGATTCCTGCAATTGCTCTCATGCCCCTGAAAATCTTTACCAAGCTTCCTTCTCGCGTGCAACACAACGTTCGTACTCGTCTTAGTATGCAGCGACGGCTTCTTGGCACCAGCAGTGATCAATCGCGGCGACCAAGCTCGTCACGATACTCGTCGGAATTGGGACGACGACGATCATCGTCTGTCCCGCCGGTGTAATGCTCAGGATCGTTTACCCTGAATACATCCTCCAACTTTGTTTCCTTATCGCTGTGAATGGATTATCCGTATGCTTCGTCTCCCAATTGAGTGGAGGAAGGGCTCTCGGTTGAAGCATGCGATACTCACGTTCGGGAATCTGTTTCAGTTTCTCGTTCACTGACGAAATGGACAGTGCTTTTGTTCTGGCTTACCACCCCAGTGACAACGCGGCCGTCGCTGTGACGAAGTTGCCGTTTTGCTGACCGGCTCGAGGACAGGGCGAATCGATATCATCGATTACACACAAATATATTGAGCACGATCATCATTACATCATTGACATTTGCCCTGCCAGCCATAGCTTTTCCGCTGCCCTTTGTGACGGATCTAGTTCACTGGATTTATCGATTCGAAGCTTTAGAAGTCGTATGAGCATCGTGAATACATGTCCGACCTTGGAAGATGTCTCATACTGCTCTTTCAAGGCATCCAAATCCTCGTTGTACTTGCTCAGTACCCACTGGAGCTCTGAATAAGTTGCTGACTCTAGTGAATCAAGAGGCAGCCCGTCACCATCTGCATGGAAAAACAGCTTCAAGACATCCAGCATCAAGGATAGATATGACGTTTGCCGTACGTTCCAGAGCTTCCTGTCTCGATCCGTTAGCGAGCCTGCCAATGGCGGTAGAAGCAGTGACTCTGCGGAGAGCAAAAAATCGATCCAAATCTTCTTGATAATCAAATTGGAAAGCCTGGTGGACAGATGCGCACAGATGGTCTTGAAGCAATCTTCAAGCAAACCCACGAACGGAGAAAGCGACTCTTCAACCTGCCTCATTGTGGCAGGCACATTGATCATATGTCCATCGACTGTTTCCTGGGAGTACTGAATGCCGGCAAAGACGCCGAGCACTCCTCGCTGCCGCTTTGCCGGTGCAGCCTCCTGGTCTCGTATGGCCTTTTCCATCATACCCCGGATATCTGGAGCAACCTTTGGATCAAGAATTGACACAACCGCTACATTCAGTACCATTCAAACGGATCACCTGCTCCCGGCCTCCACTCCTTGGTCAGAATTTCTCAGTATTTTTCTTACCAGAGAGGCAATGTACCGAATCAGTACCACAATGGACGAGCTTATCTCGGCCCTGCTGTGGCTGAGCCAAGTTGAAATATCGCTCGGATTTCGGTGAAGCTGCATCATCACTGTGAGTTTGCCACGAGGCCGCATCTCCATAGAAAGCTCGTGTGAGTTGTAATCCTCAAGGATGTTTCTCAGACTGGAGCCTTTCTTCAATTCCAAATATGCCTTCCCTATAACTTCGGCTGCTTTGGGACTTTCGCCCGACTTGGCAATTAGCTGGACCTCAAGGCGCGCCGCAGTAGGGAAGCTCTTCACAGTCGGAGGACCGTCGATCGAGCTATCGGCATACTCAACGTGAAGGAGTGTTGGTGGCTCGTCGAACCCCTCGCATGCCTCGTCCCATGGGCGGGTGGGCATCACAAAATTGATCCTCAGGGATGCATTGTCCTCGACGTCTTCGATCTTGACAAGACTGACCGACAATTTACCGCCCAAGCAGTTTTGATCTGTGCTGGGACAGATATCGACGGCATCGCGCAGGAGAGAGTGGATGTGGTATAGCCGGTTGACGAGATAATCGAGATTTGATAGCTTCAGGCACACCTGTATTTATATTGATTCACGTCCGTCAGCTTGCTTTGGATATTATCATGATTGCCAGTTGGCTCAGCATAGCCCTACCTCAACTAAAACCGTGGCAGATTCTCGACTACCGTATATTGGATGAAGAATCCCTGTAATGGAGTCGTTTGCCGAGACACACGTTTTTTTGATCTCGTTGACATAGTTGGTCACCATCGCGTGAATGACCTAATGGTATCAGCACGATGGTTACTCGATCGATATTCTGCAACCTTTCGGAGTTCATCGCGTACGAACTGGGATCGGATCGCAGCATCTGCCCTTCTCGCATACATCCGGACCCATCAGCAAACATCGCTACTTGCCTTCGAATAATCGAGGATGAAATTGTACTTCTGCTCAGGTTCGTCCCATTTGAGCGATAAAAGCTTCATCAGCTTGGCCTCAACGAGGCTCATGACGTCCAGGGCCGAGCTCGAGCAAGCGGGGGCTTCAGTATCGCTTTGACTGACCACAGTCGAAAACTCGTCAAGATCAATGGCTCTAGATACCCAATTCGGAGCTTGTGAGAGCAATTCATCAATCCAGGAGCTCACAAAGTACTGGAAGATGGATTCTCTTGTGGGGATCGGCCGTGATCCCGTCCTGCAATCGCACCAAACAAACCAATAGGTCTCAATGCGAGTGATGATGCGCGATCGCTTCTCTCATTTTATATGCTGCTGACGGCATCCGATAGCTTTCCAGAATACTGGAGACTCATGTCAGTATCCAATAATTGCGCTCGGGTACGTACAGCAGTGATTCCTTTCCAAAGAGCTCCTCCATAGACTGCACTCGCTCGTGCAGTTGGAACATCAGCTCCGAGACCTCTTCGTTTGCACTGCAGTTCGAGATGTCCGGGTCACCGAGTAAACTGGTCTTGAGCATATACTGGTAGATGGAAACTGTGATGGCAACAATATCCAGCTCTCTGAAGATTTGTTCGGTGAGAGGAACGGGGCATGTGCACCAAAAAACACTGGGTGAGCGCAAACTGAGAAAGTGCTCAGATGTTCTCGACGGGTGGCAGCAGCCCACATCGGGGTATTATCCGATCCATACGTTTTTGAAAATTCTGCATGACGGTACCTTTTGAATGGATCAGCAAAATACTGCACGTCCAAGTTGATATCGTCCACCAGAGACTCGGTCAGACGAATGTATCCCTCAATAACAGCTTGATGGTCAGATCGGTCAAAGGGCCGTGAGTGCTCGCTGAGCTGACGATAACGTGCTTTGCACGCATCGACCATATGATGCTGTAGATCCAATCGAAAGCTAGGGTTCGTTTCGGGGTGCGCTTCGCGGTAAATATCATTCTTCTTGATCATCCGTAGCATTATGAAGGTGGCATACAGATTCGTTGGGGGCGTGTTTTTGGGGAAAAGCTCTTTGTAGCGTTTCACCTGGTTGGTGAAGTAGACAGCCATCTCGGAAAGCAGATTCGAGAGGTATTCGCGCTAGTTGGACATAGGAACATTGTCAGAAGCGCAGGTCGGTATCAAATAGCATAGTGTACACCGAAAGCAAAGTTGCCATTAGTGTCCAACCTCAAGCACAGTGATCCAGCCGGACTGCTTGGCTCCGTCGTAGAGAGCTTTTTGAGAGACCCAGAGGGCAGCGAGCGGGATCTCAAATGACTGGTATTTGCTGAACAGGAGCTCGACCAGCATGATCTGCTGAAATGCGTGGCCCACACCCCAAACCCTGGCAAAGTATTTCAAGATCTGGTTGGCTTCGTTGCCCAGCAGATACTTTGTGACGTCCAGGATGCGATCTCGGTTCACAGTGAGCTCTAAGGTCAGAGTCGAGCGAAGCAAGTGGCGATAGAGGCTGAGATTGCGGAGCTTTGTAGACATGATGCGCTGCTGAAGGACGGCAAACTTCTCGGCTATTGCACTGAGTTTCTCTGCTGGCTGAGCGGCCGAAATCTACATCGCAATACGTGGGCGTAGAGAGCCAAACATACATGAGGCGTCGCTGTCGTACTGGCAAGAATATCTTAGAATGATATCTCGCAGATGATGAGGACACGCTTGAGAGATCTACGAGCCTGATGCCATCGGCAAGACTCCAAGCGACCAGCGCAGTAATGGCAGCTTGGAATACATACTTTTTTGGGGGCCCGATCCAGGCAAAACTCAAGATAAATCTGGCCACATTCAGCAGCTTTATCCTTGCCCTTCCTCGTCGGCTTTGATCCGAGCGACCACCAACCCGAAAACAAGCCAACAGAAGCACAGGACCGGACAATGGTCATGACCGAGATGGTAACTTGTCCGAGATGCTCGTCCTTCTTCTTGCCATCGCTCTTATCAAAGACACAGACGACGAGCTGATCTGCGATACTCTTGATTTCGAGGCTTATATGCTGATCCCATACAGGACTTGTTGTACCGCTAACGGCATCGGTAACGAAGCCAGCGAGCTCGTTTGCGGATTGCCCGTCCGGGCTCGGAAGGCTGGGCTCTATTTGAACCATGCAATATGGGTTCCGAGGATGCCCGTCTGGAGATGGTGCCAGGTCACTTGCCTTGACTGCAGTAAAGTTCAGAGTTTGGTGAGCGGCCGTATCACGCGAAGCACCTCGGTCCTGTGGAGAAAGCAGGCAGTTGGACTGCAGGTAATCCATCAAGATATCCTGGAAAGAGGGCCTGGGAAGGGACGGATTATTGGACCACTCCTCGAAGCCATCGAAGGCCAGGAAATCCTCGGGTGCGGGATACGCTGGACTTTCGAGCTGTATCACATTCATTAATGCCAGTATATACATCCTGGGCACGTTTATATCCTGCGAGGCAGAGCACGATCCCGCCAGAGAGGGGCGGTTGGGTGTCCGTGATATCGTATGAGTGTACCGATCAGGATGGCGCAGATTTTGAATTGTCTCTGCAAAAAGACAAAGTGTCCTACCGGAAGTATTTCAGATGAGACAATCCCGCTGCTCGCTGTTAACGGAGAGGGCTGCATCATGGCTGCAGCTCTGTCGACGCCAATTCTCAAGCGGGTTTCGGTCGAGATCAGTTTGGTCGAGCGATAGCGACTCGCAAGGCAAGGGCACAAAGAACAGGGTCAGACCGCCGACTCTGTCTCCCCCCCCCCCGACTTGTGCACCTCCAAGACTGGTAGGCATCGGGCCCTCGGCTCAGGACGAGCAGCCCAGCCCAGCCCGCCGCCGAGACGGAACCAAGGCAAGCGAACAACAGGCGGAGGCAGACGACCGCGCCAAAAACTCCGACGAGACCGAGACCGAGACCGAGACCGAGACCGAGACCGAGACCGAGACCGAGACCGAGACCGAGACCGAGACCGAGACCGAGACCGAGACCGAGACCGAGACCGAGACCGAGACCGAGACCGAGACCGAGACCGAGACCGAGACCGAGGCTGGGCCGGGGCCTGGCCTTTGGTCCCCCGGCTTGTTCATGCGGACACTTGTCATCCTCACACCAACGGAAAGCAAGCAAGATGCCTCTCGGTAAGCCATGGGTCGCCAGCCGCCATGCCGTTGCCCATCAACTTGATTTTCACTGATCGCTTCAACCACAGCCGACACTAACACGACGCTACCACACACCACCAGACTTTCCACTCGACCTGGTGAGCAGGGAACTCGAGAGCTTGAGATGTGTGATAAGATGCGGGCTGCTCATCGAAAGTCGGCCCGATGCGGACAAGCAGCCATTTAACTGGCTTCCCACTTCCGTCCCGACGTCCCCGAGGATGAATAGACCATTGAGCGCTACTACCTCAAGGATGTCCTTCGAGGTTTGTTTGACCTAGTCGCACCGGCATCCAACGAACATTTGCATCAAAGGCCCAACCCTCGCCGCTAATGCATATGCCACGGCTTCCCGGCAGCCATCATCCACTCTATACTGTTCCATAGGAGCTTTTCTATGACCCGACCAAAGGATGCCGACATCGAGCTTTTGAATATTGTTTATGTGAGAGCTTGCAAACGAGGCCTTCAGCCCAGACCAGAGTCCAAACGCCGCAAAGTCGATAGGCTGGCATTTTTGCAGGGTCAAAATCATGGCCTGGCACCGTCCTTGACTCGGATCTCACCATCGTATTTTGCATGAACAATGGACGTCCGATCAATCACCAGCCTCGTCTAGACGACCCCGAGGTGAGGTAGACGCCGAGCAGATATGGATGATCGGCTGGGCCGATACGAGGCGTACCGACAGTTTGCTGGGATCCGATCCATGCTCCCGCAGTCGCTGCAACACAGACAGCTACTGTACCGGGCTGACGAAAAGCCGGCGAACTACAGATCGAAAGGCTGGTCGAAGAGAAGGTCGCTGCATTTCTGCGAGCATTTGATCCTGCGGCTGGAGGCAGCAACACTGGACAGGTATCCGCTTGCTCGCTATGCGAAGCAGATTGCGGCTGGCTCTGAGCAGTCTCGGTGCGAGAGTCAACTGGATGCGCCGTCGCCCTTTGCCCGTGCTGTCGTCGCCAGAGACGCCATAACCATGTCGGCCTACGATACTTCCCATGCGCTTTGCCAGGTCATTATCATGTTCTCAGAGAGACGAGAGAAGAAGAGCACATGGTTCGTCAAGGTCTCAGACGATAGCTGCTGGGAGGTATGTCTTGGACATGGCGAGCGGATCCGTCGCAGCAAATCGGACCCGCCCAGCTTGGATATCCATTCCAGATCCATCATTTTGTCGATAGCAATGGATTGTCACCCTTACTTTAACTCAAGCAAAGACGGAGAAAGGTTTGTTGCATCAAACTTGCAACTGAACGCTGCACCGGCCATAGCCACTAAACGGCTGAATGTGACGAAGCCGCCAGCAAAATGCACAGCTAAACTGTTGACCACCTGGCACAACAGAGCAAATCGAATCCAAGAAAATGGTGGAAACACAACTCCTGAACTGCCTGTCATCGATTTCACAAAAGACAAATGACCACAAGGACCATATCCCTCCAGTAACCAACAACGACACATACCCTTTCCCATTCCAGGTCGGTGGTCTGGCTGTCGATGAGCAACAAGGCAAGCATCGAGGCTCGTCCTTTAACCCACCTGTGCCATTGCTTTTCGGCGCCAAATGCGTGTCCGTGGTGCAACAGATCATCGTATCAAACTCGGAGATGAAGTGGACCGGACTGATACAGCTCTTTCTTGAAAAGACGGGGCACCCGTGATTCCCAAAATACACTCGGGGCGGTATTTTCTCGATGAAGCTGACCCTAGCCCAAACCAAATCCCCTCAGGCCCTTCCCTGGCTTCCTGGAGGCATATCCAAAGCCAATCGCAATGTCCGTCTCCTTGGGGACGCCGGTTGTTCATGGTGAACAATGGTTGGTGTATATTCAGGATCCAGAAAAAAAAACGACAGCCGTGACTTGAAACAGAATGTTCGTTTCGTTTTGCGTGCGCTGTATATTCACGATCCAGATCTTGATCCAGATCCAGATCAGGGTCGCTGGGACTCGAACAGGGCATTGGTGTCATTTTGTGGCCACGCTATTCGCCCGGTCCGCGGGCCGGATCGGCTCCGACCATGCCCTTCCTCTTCGTTGTTGCTCTGTGGTATCCGCCTCATCGTCCAGCTTCATAGATCCTCGATCACATCCTCCTCAAAGTTGGATCGTAGTAACGAGGCTTGTGAGTGGATTGACTCGGACAGAATTCGGGGGACCTCTGAAGACTGTAGCGTAGAAAATCATGATGAGATGAAAGGCCCTGTGCTCATGCGATGGATATTGCCTCATATTCAAGGCGAGCCGATGCAGGCGGATCTCGTCGTCGGCAGCTGCTCGGGATGACGGGGCGGTGACATGATTGCGTTTGCCGCTCCAAGATGCCTGTGCGTCCACAATTATTGCTGCTGCCATCGAGATTCAGTGAACATGCCTTTGATATAATATCCGAAAATATCGCAGCAGACAGGGTCGCTTGGGCGCATGTCGCCGATGCCGATGGCTGCGTTGAGAACGACGCCGATGATGATGACGACGATGGTGGATTCTGTGGGGATGGTGGTGGGCCTGTTGGAGACATTGGCGCGAAGCGGCTCCAAGACGACGCAGTGTGCGTGCCAGGATACCACGAGCCAAGGCCAGCCCGCACTCCAAACAGCGGGGAGACTCGGCAGCGGTTCATTGCGGCTGGTGTCGATCTGCTCGCTGTGGTGCAGGATCAAATCGAAAGCCGATGAGAACCCGCTGAAAAAAGAAAATGGGACAATCCCAGGCACGTGACAGGCCGCGAGAACACCGGCCGCGCTCTCGCTGTCCTCTCGGCTGGCGAGGACGGACCAGCGGACGCGAAATGTACACTCGTCCACCATGACCCAACAACATCCAACGGGACTGGAGTTGTGGTTGGCTTTGGGGGATACACCATGGAAGCAATATGCATCGTGTCCATGGAGATTCAGCGGGCACTCATTCAAGACCCATGGGGCAGCCAAGCGACTCGTTTGCCCCTCTGCAGGCTGACAAAGTGTGCATCCGAGGTGCTCGACTGAGATGCATGCAGTTCATCAGACACAATAGATCCACCAGAGAATCAACGCCCATGACTTACTCCGTGGCTCAGACGCCCTCGCTCCATACTTCAAACCCTCTCGGCTCAACACGTATGTATTCCGAACGGATATGCATCTACATATGCGGCCGCGAGAACCCATTGTACCAGATGAGCATGATGTTGAAGCCGCTGGCAACCGACCCGGGTTCCTGGAAGACCTCGGCAAACTACCACAAGAGCTCGTAATGGCGGAATCAGCACACATGTTCGATTCGGCTGGATCCCTCAATCCTGTCTCCAAGATCCAGAGAGAGCTTGCGGTGGAAGAGCTCGAGGAGAGACTCAAAGCAGATTCGGGCCAGCGAGGCGTCGTAGCGGCCCTTGGACAGCTCGTCGCGGATAAAGGCGTGCTGGGCTTGGTACTCACACCAAGAGAACACCAAGCCAGGATGGGCTGCAAGCTTGGAGTGGATCAGCTGTCGACCAGCATAGGGGATGTGTGTGTCCTGCTTGCCCCAGATCATCAACAGCTCGGCTTGGATCTCGCCGGCCCGCTCGAGCGAGTCGTCGCCACCCTTGCCGAGAGTTCTGGAGTGGATATCGGTGGCAAAGTAACAGACGGCGGCACGGACTCGAGGGTCGAGAGCAGCCCGGAAGGCCAGATGGCCACCGAGACACATCCCCGTGGTGCCAAGCTTGCCGTTGCAGTTTGGGTGACGAGCAAGTTCATCCAAGGCAAGGCGAGCATCTTCATCGTAGGCCGACACGAGCTTGTCGACCTGGTGATTCAGTGCAGGCGGTGTGAGACCAAATCCGATGCATGGCAAGGGTGAGGATGTGGGCTCCAAATCAGCATATCCTGAAGCACAGCACTGGACGATGCGATTTCATCTTTCCTGCAAAGGGCTCCGCCCCGATGGCTGCGATCACTCAAGCTCGGCGCACGGACGTACCTTGTAGCGGTTGCCTCGATCGGTGCCCTCGACGTCATAGGGGATCTGCATGCCCAGGGGCTCAAACTCGTGGAAGGACTCGGGACATGCGACAACATACCCTGCAGATCGAATAGCCAGGAGGGGTCGCAGAAGGCGAAACGCAAGAGACCGTTACGGCACGCTGGAGAATTGGAAATGAAAAGACCGGCTACACTCGACGGACCAGGCCAGGGGACATACCATGCGAGGCTATCTGGCGACAGAACCGCTCGAGTGGCCCGGTGACCTGGTAGATCTCGGTAAAGACGAGCACGCCCGGGAACTTGGCATTCGGGTAGTTGGGCAGGGTATTGGGCTGGAAGAAGTGGATCCGCATCGGACCAGACGATGTCTGGACATCGCTCAGCGACTCGATCACCAGCATGTCGTCTTGTCGTGCTCAGGGGCAGATAAACCGCAGATGAGAGCGGCGACGGGGCTGAAGGGCTGGCGCTCAACGAAAGCAAGCCGGTGCCTGGAGAGCGGCCAGCCATTGGCCATCTTTGGCCAGATGCGCCTCCTTGCTTGCTTGCTTCCCTGGATCAGCCAGCGTCCATGATCCCAGCAAATCCCAGATGCAACAGCCGCCCAGCACCGACCGAACGATTACACGTTCCTTTCGGTCCGAGATCGTGCTGGCTGGCGTCCCACGCACCTCCGCTGTCTTGCGGTCTCGATGGGGCTCGAAGCACATGGGGAACACACCCAAGCGAGTTCAAAAATCCACACTATTCCATTTATTCGAGAGGGTCACAGTCGGACAAGCGCAACAGCATGGCTCAGTCGGATGCAGGCGGTTCAAGCGTTTGATGATTCGAGTCTTCAAAGCTGCCGATCCAGTTGTTTACTAAGAGAGAGAGAGGACGCACGAGTACGGTTAGCGCCATCGGAACACGGTGGGATCCACAGACGATCGCCGCGAAACAGGCACAGTGTACCAACCTTGGAACGAGCGCGCATCTTTCTTCTCTTACGCTTGAGACGCCTTTGGCGCTTCTTTCTCCACTTGTCACGCATGTCTGTGGGATGGGTGAGGAGCAGGGTACGTCAGCGGTGCGTTGAAGAGACGGGTGGGAGTGCTGCCTTCAACCGACCAGCCAGCCAAGCTGGGTACACCCAAAGGCCACGGCGGACGTGGCTCGCTGCCTCAACAGCCGATATGTACCTAAGTGAAATGGATTAGACCTGAGAGGGAGCTCAAGAAGGTGCTGCTGGTGGGCAACTTTTATACGCGCCGCGGGTGCGGTTCGAATGGGATCGACGGCCTCAAACTTTTCTATTTGTGCGACTGCACACACACACGGGCCAATCGCAGGCCCACATCTGATAAATTAAAATATAATTTCCGGCTGCCCTGGACACGGCGCGCGGTCTTCTCGGCGGGAAGCTGGGCGATGCCTGGTCACACGCGCTCCGTGTGCGCAGCTGGGCGGCGGTGGCACAACGCCATGTGGTTTCTGGGCCGCCATGGCGCTCGCAGTGCAGCAGCAAGATGGCAGCAAGACGACAGCAAGACGACAGCAAGACGGCTGTATTGCGCTCGGCCTGGACCAAACTCATGCCGCCACCGTCTCCGACGACGACCCTGCCGTGGCGTGTCCAGCTTCAACGGATGCTTTCTCTGCGCCCGGCTGCGATGCGGTGCTTGATGAAGTATCTGGTCTCGCCAAGGTCGCCGATTCAGATGGCGACGGTACTGGTGGTGTAGATCCGGAGGATGCAGCCGCGGGCTCGGTATCAGGTAGCGTCTGTGCTTCTGGCGGCGGATAAGCATGATGGACGGGCCGCATGCGCGACTTGAGCTCCTCGGTGAACGACTGAATCACGAGGGCAAGGTAAAGCTGGAGAGGAGCAGACATGGTGTGCGTGAGCATCGGCGCCAGCTCTCCATCGAGCAACTCCCTCCATCTCCCTCACACACAGGCACTCCCTCTCCGCCTTTGGATCCAAGCTGATCTCTGCGGCTGGCCATCCACAGGACAGCCCCTCAAGGATCATACCGATATGAGGAGGTTCAGAACCTCGCCGACCGTGCTTTCATAGAGTCCATCCCAGAACTTGACGTCGCCAGTGGCAAAGTCGCAAAACTCGTCCGCGCCGTCAAACTCAAATAGTGTTTGGGTCGGGATCCCCAGCATGCGCGCTTGGATGTCATGGATAGGATGTGCCGGAACGGCTCCAGACGAGGTGTAGGACGCGCAGGTGATGCTGAGGAGGGTGTAGTGGAAGTAGATCATTCCGAGGTGGCCCAGACCTATTCGAGGGGTCAGAGATTGACTGGGCGTTAATTCCGTCAATCTGAAGCGGAACGCATGTCCATCCTGTGTCCAGCGAGGGCCTTGCAACGTAATGATGCAAGAAGCAGCCAGGGCTTGGCAAGTGCACCCGCCAGTGTGCCATGCTGTCGATGTCGTTGAGTAATGCCTCGGATCGACTGTGATGGCTCCGAAATCGGCACCAAGATACCGACCGATATGAATCCAGTAGTAGAGGTTGAACATGCTGATGAGACGCAGATCTTGCTAAACGCGTCGAAGATGAGGCATTTGATGCCATTGGGGTCAGTGTGGGATGAGTCGCATGCGCGATGAGAAAGCGGTGTTCCGTCAGTTCTTGGGATCGAGGTGCGATAACGGTATCCGAATAAATCCACGCCCCGAATAACCAGTCCCCATGGTCGAGATGGTGGCTTCGTCAGTAGAGTGGCGCTAGCGCCCAAGCTCCAGAAGCGCCGTTGAATCGAGGCTGACACCAGGGATCAGGAAACTCGGAGGAGCCCCGATTTTGGCCGCATTCGCTCGATCGGGTCGAATCCACTTGGGTTGTATCGCATCTGTCCATGCCTCGCATGTGACCTAGCGACGAGTATGTTCGTCATGGGATCTGTATCGTTGATGTTGGGAACGAGACGATGGAAGCGAGCCCAGCTCGGACCGCAACGAGGCTATGCCTCACGTTTTGTAGCAACCTTGCCAAAGCAGGTCGCTCTATCGAGGTTTCGTCATCCCGACCCCACGGATACAGTGTCCACGATACCGTCCGACCAAGCATCCACAATGTCGGCCAGCCCGATTCTCAACCGTCCAGGAGGGGAAATATCCAATATTACCGTGATGGCTCCGAGCATTCCAAGTGACATAATCACCAGATCCACATATGCCAGAAATATCGACCACAGGCCGAACTTGGCCCAAAAGGCGAAATCGAACGAGCTCAGCTCGATGTAGTTTTCCAGAAAGGATGGGCGACTCCGGGTGAGGACGAAGAGACTCGAAAGAACGGCAATGACAGCCAGGTCGCACCACCAGTTGAGGCCGATAACGATCAGAGAGCCGGTTCGCAGCGCTGAGGACAATTGGACAAGATGTGAGCGAGCAGTCGAGCAGGTGGGCAGCAGAAGGTCGAGCGCCGCCAGAGGCAAGGGGGGGGGCAACCGGTCAGCCAGCAGACAAACGTTCGATGAGATGCATGAGCCCGAGGGTGTTGCGGCGAGACACACACATAGGCAGCCGCAGCAAGTGCTGAGGGGCCGTCGGCCTCGAACTGGCAGTTGGGGCGGGGGCATGGCGCTGTGCGAGCGAACACGGAGGCCGGCGAGGCTGCAGATACGAGGGCAGGACGATGCCGTGGTGGTCGCTCTGGCTCCCCGACAGGAGTTGCTCGATTTCGCGAAGGCGCGCTTTCCCTTCTCGCTGGAGAGATCGGCGCACCAAAGGATCTCGCCGAGAACATCCACAAAGCAGCGGGCCTGGCCATGACAGGCACAAATGCGGCCGTCGCATGGCCATTGCATGACCGAGGCGGCCAGTAGTGACCCCGGGCGCATGTGCGGCGAAGCGGGTGGTCGGGCAGATAGATGGACGAGTGAAATGTTTTCAGGGAGAATCAGGACATGCTCCCTATTCCCTCGTGCCAGCATAGTTACGATGAAATGAGTCCAACAGAGCCGCACGCATAGTATAGGGGTATATGAGGAGCTATACCGTTTCTGTCGTCTACCGACCCCACCGTCCCCCGCAAAAAAACCGGTATAGTTCCTCATATACCCCTATACTACTGGTGTCCCGTTTCGTTTTGGGAACGCTGTAAGCGGGAACTGTTCGCAAGACGGCCAAGCAAGATCAGACAGGCCGACGTGCACGCCCTCTACTTGGCAGCGACATCGTGTGGTCTGGATCTGTCTTGTTTCTCTTTGCCCGCAGCCGTATCGGCGAGCTCTGTCATGCATGTGGGGCCTCTGCGCTGGGCGTGGGAAACAGACATGTCGCAGGCAAGGCCGCCGCTGCCGTGGAAACCGCACGGGCTGCCGATTTGGCGCTGTCCTCGCTTCCGTTCCACAGCACGGCCAGGCGCCTCTTTCTCTTTCGCCCACAGGGAAAGGGACGCCCGGTAAGCCCATGTCCTCCACCGAGGCCGAGCGCATTGTCGTCGCATCTGCTGCCAGACAGCACCTGGGCTGCAATCCCAGGAGCCATGCCAAGAGCCATGCCAAGAGCCATGCCAGGAGCTATGCCAGGAGCTATGCCAGGAGCTATGCCAGGAGCTATGCCAGGAACCATATCATCGGAGCCATACCATCAGAGCCATGCCATCAGAACCATTGAAACAGCCGCTCGCTGGTGTTTGGGGCACGGCTTCCAAAAATGGGCTGCGGCAGCGGCCTTCAGTGGTGCCGTCGCTCCTCTCGTCTGCGTGGCCAACGCCGTGTGGCTCTCGCACCTCTCTCTCCTCCTCTCGCCGCCGTCTCGGCGCTGGCCCTGATTCCTTCGATCCATCCCGAGGCTGCTCGAGCTCCTCCTCCTTTGACCCCGCAGACCTGGCTCCATCGGCCCTTGGCTTGACCTGCACCCTGCATCCTGCTCACAGTGTCGGCCTGTGGCTCTTCACACTCCTGTCCGCCGTTGCATAGCCGGGCTGCTCTTGCCCCTCTCTTTCCCCCGCAGCAATGTCTGATGTCTTCAACTTCAGGCAGAAAATGCGGGATAGGTCTCACTCGGACCGAAACCTGAATAGCGGGTCCCCGGTTGTCTCGCCCTCAGCCTCGTCACCGACCGGCCCTCGCATACTGGCCCGCAATGCCGACGGGTACTTCACCCCGAGCTCGCACAACGGCAACACCATCTCGCCGGCAGACTCCTACGACTCGCAAGACTATTCCACCGACGTTCCTCCGGCTCGGGGTGCCTCGCATGCCGCTCGAGTGCCCCAACGGCGTCCCCCATCGCCCAGCCACCTTGACGACGAGCAGCCCCCTCCGAGAACAGCGGCGTCGACCCGGCATGGTCTGGCCTTGCGGCGAGACCCCTCGTCCACGGATGTATCGGTCTTGTCCTCGTCCCCTGACGGTGGCTATCATCGAACGGCCAGGTACTGCTGCATCCGTCTCCGTATACGTCCCCCGGCCCTGACCACAGCCCGGACAAGATCCATGTCGATTCTTTTAGGCAGCTGCACTCGCCGGCACAGCAATTCAGCAGCCAATCTACACCTACTTTGGCTCGCTTATGACCGCTGGCGGGAGAGGGAGGGAGGGCAAGCGAGGCTATGCTTGGCTGTTCTGCCGAGCCCCATGTCCATTTGTTCAAAGCTAACGTAGGCCTCTGTCGCATTGTACAGAGACCGAGTCGTTGCTGAAGCCCCACCCAGGCGGGTCATGTCTCCGGCGCTCCCACATGTCGACGGCGATGCCTCCAAGTACGTTTCTCCAAGCATGTCGTCGTCCCTGAGCCGAGAAGGCCATCGCAGCCGCGGCTCGGCTGCCCCAGACGACACCCCCGCTACTTCCCGCCGACGACGTTCTCCGTCGAGAGCACGAGATCGGGGAGACCGGGGAGATCGAGGCGCCCGAGGAGCAGCACCCCCCGACGGATTCGACGAACCACCACTCCCAGCCTCCGGCATTCCACCCAGAGCGAAGGTGCCGCCGCGAGCCGAACCAAGCCGCAACTCTGCCAACATGTCGATGGAGGACATGCTCAAGGACCTTGAGAGCATGACATCGCATCGCAAGCCTTCCATCGCTCCGGACTCGGCTGCAGGTCTTGACACACCCTCGGCACATCCTGCCCGGCCACAACGAGGTTTCCGCGGACACGACAATGGCGATTGGGACACTCTCTCTCATCGCAAACCCTCGATTGCACCGGACTCGGCGGCCGATATTCCCGCAGCCGCTCCGTCGCCGTATATGGCATCCCGAAGGGCCATGCGAGACCCTGCCCCTGAGCGCCCTGAGCGGGCAGGGAACCTCGATGCCCTGCTGAGCGAGAATCTCAACGAGATGGACGAACTCGAGAAGATGGCCCAGAGTCTCGATCTCCTGCGAAGAAACCCGAACGGTGCTCCTTCTGCGGCTGCTAAGAAGCTCGGAGATGACCCTGACAAGAGCTCCGGCACCCTGCCATCTCGCTCCCGGCCAGAGCGCAGACGAGGCGGCGGAAGCGGTGACAGCCATGAAAACCGAGACTGGCCTTCTGACAGCTCCGTGCTGGCTCAGGAAAAGCTCGACCGAGTCAAGCAAGAAAAGGAGCGGCTGGAGCGTGGGCGTCGAGAACGAGAGTCCCTCATGGACCCTACTGAACGTGAACTGGCTGACCGTGCTCGCGGACGCAAGGACCCCGACCGCGGCAAGTATTCCAATGCCGCTGGATCGCCTGCCATCTCGGCCGCCTCCCTGCCTCCACGAGAGCCCGAGCGCAAAGTTGGTGGCTCTGTGTCCCGGACGTCGCCCGAGAACGGCCTTGATGAGGAATCTACCGAGCCAGCAGTTGTACCCGAGAGCAAGCTCGTCCTTGGAGTCTCACGCAAGAGAACTGTTCACAGAGACAAGAGCCAAGATGCTCTCCCTGCGCCTGTCGAAGATTCCGCCGAGCCTGAGCGCCCGCCTGTGCGGAATCATGCATTTGACTCTGACCGAGCCCAGAAGATCGCCCGTGCTCGTAGCCTCAAGCGGAATGCCACCATGACGACTGAAAACGAGTCCCGCGAACCTGGCTCTGGCTCCGTTGTCGATCGCGAACGGGAGCACGAACATGAACGGGAACGGGAACGGGAACGTGAACGTGAACGTGAACGCGAACGTGAACGAGAGCTGGAACTGGAGCGCGAAAAGGAACGAGAAGAACGCCAGCGAGCACTCGAGCTCGAAAAGGAACAGGAGAGGGAGCGCGAAAGAGAACGGGAACGCCAGCTGGAAACGGAACGCGAGCTCGAACGTGAGCGCGAAGCCAATCGTCTTCGAGAAGCAGAGCGTGAACGCGACCGCGATCGGGATCGGGACGGACCCCGATCTCGTGGAACCGTAGGTCGCCAAGGAACCCGGCGAGAGAGAGTGCCACGCAACGAGCGCGCCGAACTCGAGGCAGCCGAAAAGGCTGCTGAGAAGGAGCGGCAGGAGCAGGAGATGGAGCGTCAGCGAATAGTCTCGGAGCGAGAACGCGATCGCAACAACGAAAATGCTCGAATCGACCGCGAACGACGTGAGCGTCAACAGCTCGAAGAAGAAGAGCGACTGCACCAGCGAAGCTTGGAGCTGGAGCAGTCCCAGCCCATCGACGAGTCTTTGGTTACCCCTGAGTATGTCCGTGCCGTGATCACCACCCTGAAGAAGGACCCGGTCGCCACCGCTAATCCTGAAGACTTTTTGAACACCGAAGGCTTCGAGAGCTGGGGGGAGCAGGTTGGAAAGGGATTCCAATATGTCTTGGTCGAGCTGTTGAAGGCAAAGTACCTGACCAAAGATACTCCACCGGCCGAGAAACCCAACCCGGCAGTCTCCCAGGCGATTGCGATCAAGATTGTCGAAGCAGAGGGACTGCTGTCAAAGGATCCGTCCAAACCACGCGAAGCCTTTTGCCAAATCGAATTTGGAAGCATCCCCGACGATGTTGCCCTCGAGAACGAAACAAAAAAGCAGCGCAAAGAGCGCGAGCTCACCAACGAAATCTACAAGACGGACGTGTCACCTCCCACGAACTCTCCGATCTGGCAGCAGCACCTGAAGCTGCAGGCGAAAAACCTGACGGATGTGATTGAAATCACGGTCATGGACAGCCGCAAGGAAGAGTTCCTGGGCAAAGTGCGGCTGAACGTCATCGAGATCATCAAGAGCTGCACACGTGACGGCTACATCAGCCGCTGGTACCGCCTTGAGCCTCGCGGTGGAAAGAAAGGCAAGAGTGACAAGTTTGTCGGAGGTGAAATTCTGATCGACTTTGATTTGCCGGGCCATGATGTAAGTTTAAGCGGGGAGGAAGCAGCGAACACAGTTTTTACGGCAACCCACGTCCTCGCGGCCGTTCCTTTGGCCGAAAGCCTTTGCTTCGGTTGTGTGGCAAAGAAATGGCGTATCCAGTATGGATTTTGCGACTATGCGAACGTATGCGCGGCGATTCAATCGATTCGCGAACAGTGTATCCCTTCGTTCCGCCGATGCGGGCGTGGGAAACCGCCTTCCCAGCATACAAGTCGTGCGCCCTCCCTCCCCTCCCCTCCCCTCCCCACATTCATCTGCACCCGCCGCATGCACAGTGCTTGTGTCGGCCCATCCAATCTAACGCAGCAACTGTAATTTGGCGCCGACGTCCCAGCGAGCGGCCCCCGTGAACACCGAACCCGCAAACACCGCATCCTTCCTGCAATCGCAGCTGCTGTCGTGCCGCGTGAATCTTCGCTCGCTCTACAAGACGCTCCTGCGCTGCTGTCTTGTGCTGGACATGAACGTGATCACGTCGTCGAATGTCATGGACGAAACTATATCCATGCTCCTGTCGCCCGAGTCAGAGACTCTCCTGAAGGCCTTTGGGCGAACATGGGCAGTAGGCAACTGCTTCCAGGTCATTGCCTACCTCGAGCTGCTCTTTGACAAGTACAAGAGCTACGAGGTGCCCACCAACGCGCTACTGGCGGCCCATGAAACGCTGTACGAAAGTATGAAGGCCCCCGGATGGATTGGCAGCACGGACGTAAGTGCCCCGAGCATCCTACACATCACCACCAAGCAAGTGAAGCGCGGTTCCGCATCATCAACTGGCAAGACCTCCCGCTGCTGAGTTCCATCGTGGTTTAACTGGTTGACTCTATATCAATGTTGCCGTTCACAGCGTCCGATCATGGTCGATCTACTCGACCAGATGAACGACTACTACCGGTCGCACATTGTCAAGTACAAGGAGTTCTTCCCAAAGAACCAACCCCGCGGCGGCCTTGAAACCACCATCCTCATGCTTCGCATGATCCACAAGAACACGCTCTTCCGCAACAACCACCCAGAACTCCAGGAAAGCTTCAGAGAGGAGATCAAGATCATCATGACCGAAGCCGTCGAGATGCGTTTCATGAAGCTTGAGGAGCTCTGCTCGCCCTTTGACGAGACAGACATCATTGGCGTCATAGAGGGTCTTCAGAAACTGGCCGACCACCTGACCGAGGAGCTCGAGGCGGACATCCGATACTTTGCCCCAGCGTTTGATCGGTAAGTGCATTGGCCACGGCGGAGTCTTGAAGGAACCGACAGCCTTACTACTGCGTTGCTGTGGCGATTCAATCGTGCGCACCGATGCTCATAGTACGGCTCACCACCCGTTACTTGAAACACCCCAGCGAACTGGACATTGTCAAGATCAATGCGGAAACCTATCTCCAGAGCTTTAGCAAAACGCTCGAGTGTAATCAGGAACTGATTGGCTCGGCCGAGGCAGCCTCCTCGGCAGCAAAGCATCTCTTTAGCCTCTACCGAAGCGTCAAGGACATGGAGGAAAACTACTCGCAGATGGCGCCATCGTGGGGCACATCGGATATCCGGGCGGAGCAGCGGTTCGCTCCGTTCGTGACCCAGTGGCTCGAGCATTTGTCATCCGAGACGATGAACTGGGTGAAAAATGCCATCTCGGCTGACTCGTTTGAGCCCGAAGCCGAACGGCCAGAGGATGCACCGCCCCATTCAAGCTCGATCACGGACCTGTTCACGGTGATCCACTCCGAACTTGAGATTCTGGCCAACCTCAAGTGGGCAAACGATGTCCAGAACGCCGGCTTTTACCAAGCTTTCGCCAAGGTAGGTCAACTGTATGGCACACGGGAGACCACATTCAGTCGCTATGAGGCCAACCTGGTTACGCCGCGGCAAAAAAAGGAAGAAAGGAAAGGAACTGATAAACTCCACTGCGCTGGCTCGATCAGACGGTCTCCAAGGCAATTGAATTCTATTGCGAAGCCACGGTCGAGGGCGAGATCAAGAGCGAAGAAGATAAATCCTGGCAGAGCGTAACCCAGCGGCTGATCCAGCAAAAAAAGACCGGCCCCGCCGATATCGCCATGCAGGTACGAATGCATCAGCTCGGTCACCTGCTAGCGCTGGTAAACGGGCGAACAGCGGCCCGAACACCACCGTCGTTCTGATTGTGGCCCACCAACTAACGTGTGCCTGTTCTCCGTTTTCAGTCCTGTGTAAAGCTGTCCAATATTGAGTTCGCACGGGAAAAGCTTGATGATTTGTCGGACCGCATGAATGTCCGCGGACTGACAAAGACCACCAAGAACTACAGAGCAACGCTGGCACCGATGAAGCTTCGGTCTCCGATCAATCAGGAACCCCTCGAGGAGATGATCCACGGCATGCTCAAGCTGCAGATTGTGTACGCCGAGAACCTCAAGCCGATCAACAAGAACGGATTCGCAAACCCCTTCTGCATTATCCGCGTCCCCGAAGGCACCGTGGTTCCTCCGCCCAGCGAGGATGACCCCACGGCCATCAGCAACAAAGTGAATGCCGGGCATGTCATTGTCATCCCTGGACACGAGATGCTCCCGGCAACGACTGTGAACAAGCCAGCCGAAAAGTCCGGGCCCGTCGTCTTGACCGGCGCCAGTGCTGAGCTAGCGCGATCCAGAACCATAAACGACACGCTCAATCCGACCTGGGACGAAACCTTCCAAGTCATCCTGCCGCCCGTCAACAAGCTCGAGGTCCAGGTGAACAGCAAGAATCTGCTGACCTTTGCCGATGTTGTAGGCAAGGCTGCAATCGACCTCTCCAAGTCCACCCGCCTGAGGCGGAAGATGGCTGACCACCAAACACACGAAGTTTATGTGGAGATGGAGCCCCAGGGCCGTGTGTTGCTCCGCCTGGCCTTGGAAGGCGAGGATGAAGACGTCGAGTTCTGGTTCAAAAGAAGCGTGGAGCGTCTGGGACGATCCAACGACGATCTGATCCGAGCTCTGACGGCGAGGGTGAGCTATTCGTTGCTCCAGTGTGATGGGGTCAAGAGTCACCCAGGTCCAACTGCCTAACCAAGCACAGGTCGAAACGAGAGCGAACAGAGAGATTCGGGGACTGACAGGCTGTTTTGTGTGCCCTTCTTCCGAATACCTAGATCTCGCCATATGTCCGCGAGTTGATTTCCAAGGCCATCAAGGACCACGAAGCGGTGGCGATTCCCCAGAAGGGCTTCTTCACGGCTCTGACGGCTGCAACACAGTATTCGCGCGAGACAGCCACAGGCGTCTCGATTGATCTTCCAGTGAGCGTACGCGAAGTGGACGCTGCTCTGATCCCGCTCACAGACTATCTGGACAAGAATCTGAAGACACTTTGCGAGCACCTGTCAACGATCAAAGCCCCCGAGGTCATCAAGAAGACCTGGGACGACACCCTGCAGATACTGGAGTCGATCATGATTCCGCCACTCTTTGGCCAGATCGAGAAGGAGCGTCGGGTCCTCAACAAGCGCCAGATATCGATGGCCGGATGGGTGCTCAAGACCCTCCGAGACTTTTTCCACGCCGAAGGCGGAGGTCTCGCCAAGAGGGTGCTGGAGACTCGCAAATTCCTCGAGGTAACCAGTCTCATCAACGCCTATCACGAAGATCTTTCTCGCCTGCGCCGCGATTACGAGAGCGGCGTCCAGGCCGGGAAGGAGAAGGAGTTCCTGTTGCGGTTGGCTCGATTCCGATACGAAAAGCAGGACGACCTTCCGGCGACGGAGCGAGACGAGGGCCGAAAGTGGGTCGAGCTGCAGCTCGTTATCCGCAAGGAGCGCCGCAACCAGTAGCGCAGACGACGACCCACTGCAGGCGACCGTCAGCGACGGCACCCCGGAGGACAGCAGAGATGTGTGCATATCGCTTGAAGCTTCGAGGATGCATCTCTGGAAAATTGGCCTGGAGCCGAAGCAGCGGGTCGGATGCGTGCATGTGCTTGGATATTGTGAGAGAATGCAGCCGCCAAGCCCGGGCAAGCGGTCGTGGAGCAAGTTCTGAAAATGAAGGCAGCCAAAGTCGTGAGCACCAGAGCCTTTTGAATTATCGAGTCATTACAGGCAATCCAATAAAAAACGGGACACCCGGGATTTTGACCATTCATCGAATATTTTGTTACCCAATGTTATCGCGCGCTGGCCATGACCATTCGCCACACATCCGACTTTCGCACCGCCGCATTGCGATGCTACGCCCTCATCCATAGCCTGCGTAAGGTCGCCTCCATATTCAGTGTATCCAAGAGCACCATCCATCGATGGCACCGAGGATGCAAGCTGGATGACCCATCCCGGGTCCCAGCTCGCAGATCCACTTTCTTCGAGCAGGCATGTCCAGTCATTCGCACCCTGATTGAACAGGACCCGTTCCAGACTGGTCCTGTGTTGCGATGCAAGCTCGAGTCCATCCTCCAGAGGAAAGTATCACTCTCACTCTGCCACACTGCCATCCACCGAGCAGGTCTCTCACACAAGAGGGCAACACACCTCTACAAGTCCAAGCGACTGGATGAGCGAGTGGCACAGTTCAGGGACCAGGTCCGCTCCATCGACCCACGGCGATTCGTCTTTGTCGACGAGACAGGGATCAGGAGATCCATTTTTCCTCTTTACGGATACTCACCGAAGGGTGCTCCGCTTCGCCAGCGCAATCACATGAAACACAAGTCTGTCTCGGCTGCATTTGCCATCAACCACTCTGGTGTGCTGCATCGCATGTACATCCCCACATCATTCAAGACACACTCGATGGTCGAGTTCTTTGAGCGAGCGAGCTTCCCAGACGACTCTGTGATTGTGATGGACAATGTCAGCATGCACAAGACAAGGGCTGTCCTGGACTGCATCGAGCGCCGAGGATGGTCAGTGATCTTCACCCCACCTGCCTCACTCGACTTCAATCCCATCGAGAACTTCTTTGGGATTGTGAAGCGTCAGTACAGGAAGGTGGCAGCGCTGAATGCGTCAGAGGGGTTCAGAGTCGGGATGGTGACCCTGTTTGAGTCTGCCGTTCGGAGGGTGCTTCCAGATGTCTTCCCACGGCTGATTGAGCGAGCGATGCGCTTCTGGGGTTGAGTTCCCTCCAATCAAGCCGCCGTTCTCACGTTCACATCCCTGGCTTGAACCTCTCGGCGATTTTTGAACAGGTCGCTTCCCCAACCAGCCCGCAAAGTCGGGCTCCTGCTCTCGGGTATAAATGCCACACCTTCGTCCTGCTGCTTTCTTCCCTCATCTCGCCTTGATCGGATCATCGCGCCATTGTACGATAAAAAAAGTCTCTGTTCTGACCAGTACCACTGGCAGGCATCCAGCATCCTCTGTTCCCATGCCTCCGAAGCGCAAGGGTGCCGGTGATGGCCAGCCTCGGCCACCCAGGCCCAAGAAAGCCAAGTCACAGTCGGAGCCTGTCTCTGGTTCGTATTCTGACCCCACGCACGCTTGGTCGTCTGTTGCTCCGTCGCTCACCACCACTGCTTCTGCAGATCCAATGGATGTCGATCCCACCGAGCCTGGTCCATCTACTTCCTCGAGTACCGGCAAGCGATGTCGCCAGTGCGACGGTACCGATCACGAACGTTGCAACACCAGCAAATGTCCCAAATACCGGCCCCTCAAGAGTTCTGTCCTCCCTCTCGTGGATGGAAGGTCATCCGCTCCTCAGTTCAGCTGCTTCAAGCAGACGATGGATGGCTGTTGTCTCAATCCCGCTCTCCGCGACAAGATCCAGGCCACCGTCGAGGCCATGACCCAGATCCAGTTCGAGGCATCCAGGCTGCTCAACCTGCACATCCTCCGGTGCATCGAGCAGGATCTTCCCGTCCCTGTCATCTCCAAGTCCACCCCTGCTTTCGTTCGCCAATGCTTCACGATTGTCGAGGCCGATGCCCTCTCCCAGACCGGGGACAATGAGAAATACAACGAGCATCTGGTCGCTTCCTTTCGCGACTACCAGACCACTCGGCACGCAGACCTGCCTCCGGCCCCTCGTCTGCCTGATGGTGCTCACAGTCAGCTTCTCACACTGGCTGTCAATGCCTATGCTACCAACTGCACCACCCACCTCGACCTGGCCTACTGGCGACTCCTTCGTCGCTTCTGTGCTGCTGTCTTCCCTGCCAACAAGCATAAGCACGAAGCCATCGAGGCCTGTCTCGAGCTCTTCGAGAAACCAGGGCAGACACCACCCAAGGCCGATCTCGAGTGCCTCTATCCAGACTTTGGCCACGTCCTGGACGAGTTTCGGTACAGCAACGACCAGGACCGCTTCCGGGCCCTCCATCGCCTCTCACACCATGTGAGAATCCTCGCCCGAGACAAGATGGTCGACAATGTCCACAAGTGGATCGACTGTGACATGCCCGCCCTCCGATTCACCGAGCTGCAGCGCCAGGCCAAGCTGGACAAGCTCACTGCCCGAGGCATTCCCTCCGACGACAAGAGGTTCACCACGGCCAAGTCTGAGCTCGGCACCACCAAGTCCAAGATCAACAAGCTGGCCGCCAGGATCAACTGGGCACTCAAGCAGCTCGCTCTCGACACTCCTCCGGCCGTGTGCACGATGGTCCCTCTGTGCACTGCAAGGGCCAAGTATGTCAAGATCGACACGGTCACTCTCTGGGAACTCCTTGGTCCAAAGAAACGCCTTGGCCTCACCAGGGACAAGCTCAAGGAAGAAGGTGAGGACGGTGTCAACAACCAGGATCGTCTCTGGCGCAGTTGCTTCAAGCTGCGTAATTCCCTCTTCCAAGAGCGGGACGTGAACAAGAAGCTGTTCAACTACGAGATCAGCACCGATGGCATTGGATGCACCATCGGCCTCGTCAAGTTTCTGCCTCGAACCGATCACACCGAGACCTCCGAGCCTCCTCCGACTGCCGAGCAGCGTATCCAGACCCACATCGGCGACCCAGACCCCAACAGGACCACTTGGATTGGCATCGATCCTGGAGTCGGCTCCATCTTCACCGCGGTCATCCAAGCACCGGGCCACCAAGACGAGGTGGTCTCGTTCTCCAATGGCCACTACCAGCACATGTGTGGCCATACGTCCAACACAAGGTGGCACAACACCATGAAGTATCGACTCAGCATCGAGACCTGGATGTCGACCACCCCCTCGCCCAAGGTGTCGTCCTCGGAGGCTTTCAAGGTCCACCTCACCCATGTCCTGCGACCGGAGCTGCGAGTGCAGCTCGACTTCCACCTTGGCAAGAAGGCTCGTCACCATCGCTTCACGGGCCACAAGAGGCGCCAAGTGGCCGTCGACAGGATGTGCAAGGCCGTCCTGAAGCACGCCCCGATACGGACCGATGTGGTGATCGCCTTTGGCAATGCGTCATGGCGACAGGGCAAGGGCTATGCATCCAGCCCTCGGAGGCAGCGGTTTGCTCAGTACTTTGAGCAATTCGAGCACCACCGACGCCGTCCCAATCACCATCATGGAAGCGTCAAGGTGGCCTCGACGAACGAGTTCAACACCTCGCAAGTGCGCTCCAAGTGCCTGGAGCCAGTTCGATTGGAAGGACTCGATTCGCCCAATGTTGCGAATTCCCACTTTGTCAGGAGCTGCAAGAATCCCAGCTGCCGGACAGTGTGGAATCGCGACGTCAATGCGGCGCGCAACATGATCACAGTATGCAGGTCGATTGTGGAGATCGGAGAGCGACCGGCGGTCTTCACTCGGAGGCTGCCAAAGTGATCTGTTTTATTTCTTGTGGCTTTGCTTGACGCAAGCACAGCACATACTACCTGTTCATGGAAACGGCTATATTGTCCCGTTTTTTTCTGAATAAAGTGTATATATGAATACCACACGCCCCAGCCGAAGCCAACGGATAAAGCCCTGGCCGTCCATAGCGAGGCGGGATGAGTGCGGGGTCCATGTGGTGGCGGAAGGAGCGACAACGGACAAGCCAGCGATCTGCATTGGTCCAGTTGGTCGATAGGTGGGTTGTTGTTCAGACCCTGCCTTGGCGTCCGGTTTGGTCTCGGCGCTGGGTGCTGGTCTTGCCAGGTCATTTAGGGTCGTCGGTGCAGCTCTCTATCCCATGGGAACCTGTTTGCAGACGGACGGCGATGCACGTTTTGCCAAACCATCCATCCAGTGACACTTTGGATCCCCGGTTACGAGTTCCGAGTTCCGAGCTCCGTGTCCAAATGGATGGCCAGGTGGCTGGGGTTCCTTCATCATGTTCCTGCTTGTCGCAGTTGGCAATCTCGGGGATCGGTGCGGTCACATATACTTCTCGAGTCGGTCCTTGGCTCGGACACATTCCGACGAGTGCGGGCGAGAGGACCGAGCCTTGCAGCAGCCCGATCTCCAGCCGGTACGGTCGGGATTTGATGCCGCTCACGAGAACAGGAGGGGCCACGATGTCGAAGGGCTCGCGAAGTGTGCGGATGGTGGGATGGTGGTTGGGATGGTGGTTGGGGTGGTGGTTGGGGTGGTGGTTGGGGTGGTGGTTGGGGTGGTGGTTGGGGTGGTTGGTGGAAGTTTGACATCCTTGTGTGATGCGTGGTGTGTGGTGCGTGATGTGTGTGTGTGGCGTGTGGGGTCAAGTATGCAGGAATTGGAAAATGGACAATCCGCATTGGTCCAGTGGCTAGGATTTCTCGCTCTCACCGAGACGGCCGGGGTTCGATTCCCCGATGCGGAAGACCCCAATCCCAAATAGTATAGTGGCTAGTACTCCCGCCTGTCACGCGGGCGACCAGGGTTCGATTCCCTGTTTGGGAGATTGTTTTTTGGTTTTCGATTTTTGCTCTGTCCTGCATTTGGCTGGTTGTCTCTCTGGTTTCGTCCCTCTGCCCCATTCCAATGCACTCCATGATGTTTTGCTCCATCACACTCCACACTCCACTCCACTCCACTCCACTCGCTCTGCAAAGTCGTTGCCCTCGACTTCGTTTCCCGATATCCTCGCAGCGGACTGTTCTGCGTCTGTATTCGTCCCGCCTGTCGAGGACATCACCGTGCGCCATCCAAATCTCCACCATCAGCCACAACCATGCCGCCACCCACAAGCGCGTGCAATGGCACCCTGTCGCTCTCTTGGTTTTCACGAGATAACCCACTCGGCGTCGTATCCCCTTTCGCGGATCAACTTCACGGACAGCTCCCACAGTTTCTTGGCCAACTCCTTATCACTTGCAGGAGCGGATGGGGTCGACAGTCGAGTGACAGGATCAAAGTACTGGCCGCGATAATTCTTGGTCTCGATGTCCGGCGAAGTGGCAACGTAGATCTGTTGGTAGCGATCGATGTGATAAATGGCGCCGAGAGCGTTAGGCAGGCCGCGGGCATTACTCTGCGGCAGCGTGAGCTGTCCAGGTCGCCGGTCGAGAGCTGTGTACCTGAGTCAGAGCGCCCTTGGTTTGGGGTACGGCGATGAGATTGAAGAAAAAAGTTTTGACGGAACTCATCAGAGGATTCTGCTTGGCACCGTCGGTGGCCACTGCTCCGGGATTCAGGGCATTCACGTAGCTATTCACCCCCCCCCCGATTCCACACAGATGATCATGGAGATGGTTCGATCGGAGTGAGTCTGTGAGCAAGGTCGGCCTTCTCTGCATGCACCTCGCTCGCCCCGATCCATGTGTGCTTCAGTGTCGACACGCCAGCGAGGGAGAGTGAGTGAGTGAGTGAGTGAGAAAGAAAGCAGAGCAAAGCATCACCCACATCTTGTCATATCCAGCTGCCTCGAGGCGGGCTTGCAGCTCCTGCGTGAACAGGATGTTGGCAACCTTGGACTGCCCATAGGCGACCCAGGGATTGTAGGTCTCGGGATTGTTGTAGTTTTCCAGATCGAAGCCGCATTTGGGAGCAAAAAGTTGATGGGATCTCGAGCTTACGTTGACGATTCGGCTCGTGCGGTCCTTGGGGAAGGCCGGAATCAGGCTCAGCGTCAGGAGGAAGTGCCCAATGTGATTGGTTGCCAGCTGCATCTCGATTTGATCGACCGACAGAGTGAAAGTCGGGGGCATCAGGATGGCTATGGGGGTCCCGCATTCGAGTCCAGAAAGCGGTGGCATTAGTCGTGGCATTGCTGTCGACAATGACATCGGTATTGGCAAATTGGCAAGCCCACTGTTGCAGGAGGTGGGGCCATTTCGCTCTGTACAGAGCCCCCCCCCCCGCCCTCCATACCGGCATTGTTCATGAGGATGTCGAGCTCGATCCCGCGTTCGAGGAATCTCTTCGAGAACCGCTCGACCGACTTGATCGACGAGAGGTCGAGCTCCATGAACTCAACATTGGCGTTCCCGGTCTCCTTCTTGATCTCCTCGACGATGGGCAGCGCTTTGCTCTCGGTTCGGCAGGCAAGGATGCTGCAGGTCGGCCCGCCCGACATTGGCGTTAGCACCTTCAACTCATCGACGATAGCAGCGACGGTCTCGAGAGCCAGCAAATCTCTCGAGTTGCATTTCCTGTCTTTTCTTGGCTCCTCTTCGAGCCCACATGCCGTGGCCTGCACGCAAACCTACACATGGGCACCCTTGCGGGCGAGCTCCATTGCAGACGCTCGGCCCAGGCCCGCATTGGCGCCGGTGACAATGGCGACCTTGCCGGTCAGGTTGGGCACCTGTTCAAACGAATATCCTCCAAAGAACATTGTTGCTGAAGCACAGAGCGTCGCTATGTCGCCGTGTTGATGTGTCGAGGGGCGGGCGGGTCGACAAGAATCCAAGGGGGGGCTGCTGGTGGGGGCCAGGCCCTTTGAGGCGCAGTCGGCGGAACCCACGTGGCACAACCGCCCAGGCGCTTCACTCCGGGCACATCGCTTCCTGACAGCGGTCGATGTATTAGGTAGTCGGTGGGGGGGGGCAGACGGTGGTCATTATGGGTGGATGGAACTGCAGATTGAAGAGGGCAAGCAAAGGCTGAGTGGACATTGGCTTTGCGCTTTCCAAACTGCACCAAAAAATTACAACGGAACATTATAAACAATCGTGGGAGATTCTACATATGGATTCAACGTTGCCAGGCGTGGGTCACTCTCGGCCGCTTTGGTTGAAATGGAGGGTCATCGGATGCGGCATCCCGGGCGTGGGCTGGAAGATGTATATGTTCTTGTGCTTCTTTGCCTGGAGATCCGACTGCATGCGAGGATAGGGTTGCTCGGCGTGCGACTTTGCTCGAAATCCAAAGTCTCCCCGGCAAACGATGGTGCCGGGCTGGTGAGGCGCCTTGGTCTGCTTCTGCTTTCCCACACTTCTCTGGCTCACCGAGGCGCATGCCGGTTGGCTGAGCGGGCGATAGCCCCAGTCTAATTGGACGAGTGGTTGTGGGTCATAGAAGCGTCAGTGGCGCCCTTCGTTTTGCCGAAACGCACTCTCGACTGCCCATCGTCCTCGGCTAACACATATGATATCACTCTTGCCGAAGCCAGCCGAAGCCAGCCGAAGCCAGCCGAAGCCAGCCGAAGCCAGCCGAAGCCAGCCGAAGCCAGCCGAAGCCAGCCGTAGATGAGAACCTACATCCACCCTTGTATTCGTTTTCGTTTGTTCGATAAAAATCTTTGTTGACGGTCAGGACGTGGCGGACAGCATTCTTCCAACGATTGGTCGAGAGCGCGCCGAAATATGGATAGGTCTTGACAATTTCTGCATAGATCTCGCTGACTCTGTGCTCGCAAAGGCCGGTGGGTATGGATTCCGTCAGTTAAGCATCTGCGATGCCGTTTCTCCTGTGCTCACTTATGCCGCTCGACACAGACAGCCCGCAGGACTGCGGCCATTGTGCGGGCACCCGCCCGGAGTGTGACTTACAACAGGAACTTTCGGTTGAGCGAGGTAAATGTCCCGGCAATGATCTCGGCCCAGGAGAGGTTCGGTCGTTGGTAATCGGCTTCGGTCTTTTTCGCCTGCGGTCCGACTGCAAAGGAGCCCTTCTGGAAGTTCTGTGGATACTGGTATGACGGCCGGGCGACAGAGGAAAAGTGGCCAGACAAGGGCGGCTCGTGGGCACCAAGCCTCTGTGCCCCCCGCTGGAGTATTGGATCCAGCGGCAGCGGGCCGCCGAACGGGTTGCCGCACTTGATTGAGAAGCTTGCTTTCGGGGTATCCGGTGTGAGAGGCATTGCCCTCCCGGGATGTGGCTGCCATTCCATTGCGCTCTCGGGCGGCGCCGGCTCGCGTTTCAGAGACTTGGTGACGAGTTTGAACTGGATACCGCCGGTGCCCAGGGTCGTGCAGGTCGCGGCGGGACTTTGGCTTTGGCACCGCGCCAAGGGAACGACGGTCTTGGGCTTGTGGAGGCCCAAGGACGTGGGCTGGTGGGGGATGCGGGGTAGTGCGGCTGGGTACTCGAGAAAGGAGTGGTTGGCGGATGGTCCTCCATGCGCAAAGCCAGCCACGTTTGGGGGCCAGCTCTGGGTGGCCGCGAGGGTGGACGGGTGCCCTTCCCAAAGAGATGCTGGATCGTAGGAGAAAGCACCGACGGCCGGAGCCCTCACGGACGATGCAGCCGGGACAAATTTTGGTCCATGATGGCAGCTGCAAGTTGGTCCCGCTCCGAGGGATGCCAGTCCCCAACCGCGCGTGCCTGGCTCGGTTTGATTGCAGCGACATAGAAGCGAGAGGTTGTTGGGCGACGTCAGCATCAGCGGAGAAAACAGGTAGTCCTCCATGAGGTCGGTGGCCTCAGTGTCCTCGTCCGGATCGGCAACGGCGGTGTGCTCTGTAGATGCCGTTGGAATGGAGTACATCTGGCTGCCGAGGTTCAGTGTCGAAGGCGATGAGAACGAGGGCGACGAAAGCGATGAGCCCGAGCTGTCGGGAGAGTCTGGTCGAAAATACAAAACTTTGATGCTGTCGATGTCGAGGATGGCCCAGTCGCCGAGAATGTATGGCACGGAGGTGTACTGCTGGATGAACTCGCCGATGACGATCGGCGGGGACATGCGGGCGACGGCAACCTCGAAGCACTGGAAGACGGTGTTGTATCGAATGGCACAACGCTCACGGTGCTTGAAAGGTGTCTCTGGATAGTAGCGAGTCAGATCGAGCTTGAACATGGTGCCCCATCCGATGCTTTGGATTGGAAAGCGCGACACCCAGTCGACGGTTGGTCAAGGACATGGCAGGGATATCGGGGGTACTTTGTTAGCGTCTCGGGCCACCTGCCGAGCCACCTGCCGAGTCGCCCGTTGAGCTGCCTGCCTAGCCGCATGCCGAAGAGCAGCGATGCATCCAATCTACGGAGAGGGATACTTACGTGATCGGCTCGACAAACGATCCCACGACGATGGCGCTGACGCCTGGTGGGAGCTCCAGCAGAAGACTCGGATCCAGCATGTTTGATTCTTCGGGCTGACAGGGCATCTGATAAGTCAGCATCGGTGCGCCGATATCGTGCGCAGTAACGGTAGTTTTTGCATCGGTCATCATCATGTCAGCAGCGGCATCGGCGGAAGCCAGCGACGAAGCTGTGCTGGGAATGCACTGGGAATCGTTGTCGGGCAAGCGTGTTTCGGCCAAAGTGACTTCGGTGGAGTGGATCGGATCGGGCGACTGAGAATCGGAATCGGATGTGAGCCGCTCCCCTGCGTCTGCGAGAGGGAGGCTTTCGCTGGGCTGTGGCGTCGTATCGATGGTGGGTATGGGATCTTGGAAGAGCGTTGGATCGTCGAGAGCGATCAGATCGCTCTCCAACAGAGCCATGTCTGTGAGGCGGAGCACGGGTGCATGTCAGCATCCATGTACGATCGCCGGTGATGGATCAGAGGCCAGCGACAACGTAGATCGGGGCTGGATCAGTATGGGTGGCTGCCGGCGGTGTAGAGAAGTACCGGGCCCAGGCTCTTCAGCACGTAGCTCCCTTTTTCCTTTCCGCGATCAGAGCCCAGGTATGCTCGGGCCAGCGGCGGCCCGCAGGATGGCGAGCTTCAGGGCGGAATAGAAGTGCAGCGGATCTTACCGGCTGAGGCATAATCGAGAGACTCGGAGCAGTCCGACACTGGGGCGTGGGACATGGTGATGTATGCAGCAGACGGTTCGCACGGCAAGGCTCGATCTCACGCTCGGGATGGTGACCACGAGCAGTTTCCAGGGCTGGGTCGAGTGCCCTCGGTGCCGGGCTGGAGAGCGGCGTGGGATATTAAGCGCTCGGTGGTTGTTCCCACCGGCATCGAGGTCATTTCAAACCAGAAGGGTTCAGGCATTGGCTTCCTGACAGCAGGGCCTGGGAGAGGATGTGGGAGCAGCCACGACAGTGCTCCGCCGCGCGCTCCGTCAGCGAGGACAGGGTGCCTCTCAGGGTCCTGTCCCCTCTGCGAGCTCCCCGGCTCCGCACACTGTCGATGCCGCCACAGATCTGCTCTGGAATTGCGCTGCAGCGCCTCTTGTCTCGTGGCTCGCCCTGCCCATGTCCGTGACCGACTCCTCCAAAGTGTCAGGCGACCGTCAGGGGCGACGGCGGACTTGATTTGCTGGGCAAAGGAGTCTTGTTCCCCGGCGGACCACCGTCATCCTCCGACAGCAGGACTCTTGTCGAGAAAGGGAGTCGATGCGGAGGCAAAGGGGAGGGGGATCGCTGGGGAGGACAGCTGAGCAGGACAGATCCTGGGAGCATCCTCGGGTGCCGCAGACGGACTGTGTGTGCACATGGATGCCATCGATTGCAGGCACCCCGCCGACGCCGTTGATGGCAAGCACCCCACCCGATCGCGTAGACGAACGGTATTGATCACGAAGATGGACAGTGAAGATCGCGTGGGCGATGCAGATCGCATGGGCAACGGAGATCGCATGGGCAATGCAGACCCAACGAGACTGCCTGTTGCACCAGATGGACCGGGCCCCTTTTGGTTTGGGGCAATCTCTGGATCGACAGCCCAGCCCCGTTGCCCCGCGACAAAGGCTATCTCGGCCCAACAGACGGCGAGCAGCGCGGCCAGCGCGGCCAGCAGGCAGATCGCCCTGCTATCTCGCAGTGGTACAAGGGGGGGGCTGGGCCTGCCCAATGAGCGGCGGCAGCGCGGCGGCAGCGCGGCGGCGACGCCCCCACCGCACTCGTCACCGTGACGGCGATCGACGAGGTCTGGGCGACGGGTGGGCGATCGGTGGGCCGAGACCCGCCCAGGCCCGCCGCCCGGACGTGCCCAGAAGCCCTCCTGCGTCGGCAGCCCCGTCCCGAGGGCGACATATGCTCGCCCGGCTGGCCCGGCGTGTCGCAGGCGGCCTCGGGACGAGCGTTTCCCGGCCGTCGGGGTCGGCCGAGGGTGGCGGCGACGGCACTGGGCGGCAGGCCACTGTGTCTGTGCGGACACGGATCGAGCCGGCTCGAGCCGCGGCCGGAGCGCCAGCGCCGCCAGCCAATCAGCGGCGGTGCGTCCGACGAGAACAATCGGCGGGCGGATCTAGTTGCTACTGCTGTTGCTGTGTGGATCTGCCGTTGCTGTGTGGATCCTGTGGGAGCCAGGTGCATTGCGAGTTGTGCTTAGCGAGGCGGATAACGGAGTTGCACATTACGGAGTTGCGCATTACGAGGTGCAACACCAACACCAACACCAACACCAACACAAACATCAACTCCAACATCAACATCAACATCAACTCCAACGTCAACTCCAACTCCGACATCAAGTTCAACTGCAGCCCCAACTGCACTCCACTCGCAGATCTCGACTCAATCCGACGCAGCACAGACGCAGACACGCGCGGACTCGCCCGCAGACACAGGCCTTGGCCTTATCTCGCATCCCTCTCCAGCAAGGCCACAACAATCCCAATCACCAAGCCCGGCCCACCGCGGCCCTCTGGTTGGCTGGCCCGCCCTCGCCCGCATCAGCCTCCGCCCGCGTCCTCGCAAAAGCAAAAACGCAAAAGCCGTCGCCCCGCCCATATAAAGCCCCGGCCCGCCCCGTCTTCCCTGGCCCTCTGTGACCCGAAAACCCTCCGCGTCGTCCGTCCTCATCTCCCGCTCCTCTACTAGCCTCTTACGCTTCTTGTCCGCCATGGTCTTCTCTGCTGCCCCCGAAAAGTTCCGCGCTGAGCTCGCTGCCACCGCCAACGCCATCGCCGCTCCCGGCAAGGGTATCCTCGCTGCCGACGAGTCCACCGGCACCATCGGTATGTATGCTCGTCTGGGCCGGGTTTGTGGCCGACCAGCGCTATTGCTTCCGGCGCGAGCGGCTCCCATCGACTGTCCTATGTATGACTGCGGCATCTGCGTTTGCGAGAGGGGGCTGATCGCGCTCATGTCGAGGATCGCCAACCAAGTCCTGCGATGGCGAGCTGGATCGTGCAGCTTGTCGAGGACAAAGCGGATATTCCGGATTGAAGCCCGCCGCCCCCTATTCTTTTGTCGCTGTCTCTTTGCTCGCGGCGTCAAACAGTGGGCTTGAACGGATTCCTAACCAGCTCTGCGCATCTCCTATTGAACAGGCAAGCGCTTCGGCCCCATCGGCGTCGAGAACGTCGAGGAGAACCGCCGTGCATACCGTGAGCTTCTGTTCACCGCCGGTGCTGGTACGTAGTCTGTTGGTACTGTTATCTAGATCTCTCGAGCTGGTCGAGTCGAGTCGAGTCGAGTCGACGAAGCGAGTAAAGAACGTTCAGGCTTGCTGACCTGCCTTCCCCGACAAACCCGTCTAGATCTGCCCAAGTACATCTCCGGTGTCATCCTCTTCGAGGAGACTCTGTACCAGAAGACCGCCAGCGGCAAGCCCTTCGCCGAGCTCCTCCGCGAGCAGGGCATCCAAGTCGGCATCAAGGTCGACAAGGTAAGCTAGCGATATCTCGCTCGCGTATACTGCACTGCCCTGCGCTGCACCATATTCATTCTCTATCCACGGTCGATATGCAAAAACAAGCGCTAACACGGTCATCCGCTTCGCTCTAGGGCACCGTTGAGCTCGCCGGCACCGACGGTGAGACCACCACCCAGGGTCTGGATGGCATGAACGAGCGCTGCCAGAAGTACTACGCTGCTGGTGCCCGCTTTGCCAAGTGGTGAGTAGCCAGTGGTCCACATGCTGCCCTGCATGTCACTCGTGTATACTGCTCTTGCGCGCTGTGCCTCTGTGGTCATCAGTGTGGCCACCTTCTGTGTCGACTTGACCTTCTGTGCTGACCTTGGCTGTCCTTGCACATGTCGTCCTCAGGCGCTGTGTCCTCAAGATCGGCAAGGGCTGCCCCTCCAAGCTCGCCGTCATTGAGAACGCCAACGTCCTCGCCCGCTACGCCTCCATCTGCCAGAACAACGGCCTCGTCCCCATCGTCGAGCCCGAGATTCTGATGGATGGTGACCACGACCTCGAGACCGCCATGGTCGCCACCGAGGAGGTCCTCGCCACCGTCTACAAGGCTCTCCACGACCACAACATCTACCTCGAGGGCACCCTCCTGAAGCCCAACATGGTCTGCCCCGGCCAGGACTGCCAGAAGACCTACACCCCCGCCGACATTGCCGACGCCACCGTCACCGTTCTCAGCCGCACCGTTCCCCCCGCCGTCCCCGGTGTCACCTTCCTCTCTGGTGGCCAGTCCGAGGAGGCCGCCACCGTCCATCTCCACGAGATCAACAAGGTCAACCGCCCCCGCCCCTGGTCTCTGACCTTCTCGTATGGCCGTGCCCTCCAGGCCACCGTCATCAAGACCTGGGCCGGCAAGCCCGAGAACGTTGCTGCTGCCCAGAGCGCTCTCATGATCCGCGCTCGCGCCAACTCCGAGGCCTGCCTCGGCAAGTACGCCGGCTCTGCTGCCCACCTCGGTGGCGAGTCCCTGTACGTCAAGGACTACAAGTACTAAGTGGCCCTCTCCCCCATCCTTTGCTCTCCGAGTCCTTCCTTCTCCTCACTCTAATTCCCTCTCGAGGCGGCCGTCTGTACAGCTCCCCATTGGGCCCCTCTGCTTGATTCTGCTCATTACAACTTTGCTCCGCCTTGCGATCTGCTAAAAATACATGCGGCGTTTCCAATACGGAGCGAGACATTCAATAGTCACCTGCTATTCATCTCTCGTTGCTGGTGCATGTGAGTGGGTGGGCCTGTCAGTCAGCGGTGGAATGATGCTCGGTGGAGAGATGATCTGCTGCTGTTCCCCTGGCAGGGCCATCTGCTGGCTGCCAAACTGCCCTGTCGGCCATCTTGCTCTGGTGCCCTCCCCCCCCCCTTGGACGGCTCCTGATTGACAGCAGTCTCGTTCTCGTGCTCGCCTTTCTGCCTCCGGGCCCCTATACCTTTCCGCTTCCCTTGCTGTCGGCCTCTTTCTTCTTCGTGCTCTCTCCCTTTCGTTTTCCAACCGGCCCAGTCGCTTCCCCAGCAGCCCATGCCGTCTCCCTCGTCCGCCCACCTGCTCGTTCTCTGTCGCCTTGGGCTTTTCGTTGGTCCGGCTGGCTCGCGGCGGCTCCGTGTGACACACAAGGCCCCGACGCGCATCGTTTTTGGCAAGCGCGCTTGGGCGGCCTGGGCGCCCCTCCTCCACCTGGACCTGGGCTTGACGGCGAGCCCGCCTTGCATCGGCTCTCACCACATCGCATCGCATCGCACCGCACCGCATCGCATCGCATCCGCTCCCCGCCGCATCCGTCTCCAAACATCGATCACACCGCACCGCACCGCACCAGACCAACCGGAGTAAGCATGACTGGACGGATCCGCGCTGCATCGCTCTCGTCGGTGTTGCCCCTGGGTGGATGGAAAGGGCAGGAGGTTAGTCCGGCCAGTTGCGGGGAGAGGGAGGCTCGGGAACAGCGGCCTTGCTCTCGGCTGACACCAGTCATTCACTTGCATCGCCGAAATCTCAAGAAGAAATGTCGCAGGTAGCTTTTCATACGAGTTCCAAGTCTGCAGGCGCCCCTGCCCTTCCACTTTGCTTGGGTGCTTGGAGGTCCGACCGCTTCGGCCCAAGATTGGAGTAGTGCCGACCTGCCTGCCCCAAGAACACACCGGTGGCTCGAGCGACAGCAAGATTGCATGGCTTCATGCCTGCTATATATATCCCACCCATGATCACCGTGCTAACCCACTTGTCCTTGAACTTTTTGCTCTGTGGCTGCTATGACCGCCGCAGAAACCTCTGAGCAGAGTGACAACCATCCAGCGCCGAAAGAACTTTGCCAACTCGTTCTGGGGCGAGGACGATCGCGGCCTCGAAGTGCTCATCGGTCGACTGAGACAGGCCAAGCACATTTGCGAGGATGTCGCTTCGATGCTTCGAGAGCGTGCCTCGATCGAGGAAGAGTACGGCAGACGACTGTCCAAGCTCGCCAAGCTCTTCAACCCTCGCGAGGAAATTGGGTAAGCGGCATGGCCACCCTTCTCCCTTCCCTTCAAAGGAGCCGGGGCTTGATTCTGTCGTCCAAGAGCAAGCCCAACACCTGTGGCCTGGACGGCGACGGCAGATCGGCTGCATGAATCGTGCCCTGAACGTGCCTGCAATATTCTCTGATCCAATCTGATCCAATCTGATCCAATCTGATCCAATCTGATCCAATCTGATCCAATCTGGTCTGGTCTGGTCTGGCTCCACAGTACCTTGGGAGCTGCCTTGAGCGTCTGCCGTGAGGAGCTCGAAAGCACCGCTCGCTCGCACATGAACTTGGCCACCGACATCCGAGCCACGCTCGAAAAGCCCCTCGTGGACTTTATTGCCTCTCAGAGTGCGATCCGAAAGAACGTAAGCCTCAACGAGCCATGCCATGTGTGCATTGTCTAACCGATCATCTGAACGCCGACCCCCCCCCGCTGGCCGCTTTCTGCACTCCACTCCCTGACTCTGGCCCGGTCTCAGCACAACAAAACCTGCGAAGCGGATCTCAAATCCAAGACCAACCAGAAGGCGTTGGTGCTCAAGAACAAGCAGAGATACGAAGACCGCTGCCAAGAAGTCGCCAACTTGCAACTGCTCGCTGAGCGGCAGGGTGTATTGCCCAAGGAAGCCGAGAAGGTATGTGTGCAGAGGAGATGAATGGGAGGAGATGGATGGCATTGCGCATGCCGTGCTGTGTGCTGTGCTGTGCTGTATGTCGAATACAGTGGCCCAGCCTTTGCGCCCATCCATGTTCTCGAGGCGAGCCTTGTTTCGAGTCGCTCACGTATGTGCTCTGGTCCGACACCTAGGTCCGCGCCAAGCTCGAAAAGGCTCAGTCTCAGCAAAAGAGCTCTGACAGCGAATACAAGAGCTCGGTGGAGAAACTACACGACATCAGCCGAAAGTGGGAGGATAACTACAGAAAGGCCGGAGTGGTGAGTGTCTCGGGTGCTGTGCTGCCTATGTCGCAGCGGATGCGCAAACAAGACTCAAACCTCCGCTTGCAATCCACGCCCGTGTCCGCGTCCAATGCCCATCGCTTCAGGAGTGCCAAAAACTGGAAGAGGACCGCATGGACTTTTTGAGGACGAACCTTTGGAACTATGCAAACATGGTGTCGACTGTCTGCGTAACGGACGATGAGGTTCGTGGACCAAGTTGCCGGATCCCGTCGCCTCGAGGGCTACTTTCTGCTCGGGCTCTCCTGTGTTGATGGAAATACAACCCTCCCCCGCGGATCCACCTTCCCACGACGCACATTGACATCGCCCGTTGTGCTTGCAGTCTTGCGAGCGAATCCGACAATCCCTGGAGCAATGCGACATTGAATATGACATTGCCAAGTTTATTGAATCTAACGAAACCGGATCGGAAATCCCTGGTGAGAACGGGGGGGGGCGGCGGCGGCAATGTAGCTGTCAAATCGACCTGCCCGGGCCGGACCTGAGATCACGGAGTGCTGGCTGTCCGAGATCACTAACCGCATCTCTCCCCCCCCCTCGCCGCACGCTCTACCCGGCAGTGCCTCTGCAATACACACAATTTTTCGCCGTCGGCACCATGTCTGGCCGCTCTGCCACCGGCACGCTCCTGTCCAAGATCACACGCTCAAACAGTTCCAACACAGATTTGTCAGCCACGAACCAGTCCACGATCCAACGCTCAACCACGCTCACTTCATCGCCTGTCACCATGGCAGCCTCGCCGTCGGGAGGGCCCTTCCTTGAACTCACTTTCGACGACGCCACCAGAAAGGAAACTCAGAAATCGGTTGCCTCGGAGAGCGAATACACCGGCATTTTCAAGACGCTCTCAAACGAGGATGGCGATGCATCGCTCGCTGCCGCCTATTTGGCTGCCACTGACGACGATCTGTACAAACCCAAGGTCCGACCGATGAGTGCGGCGATCACCCAGAGCGAAATGTACTATCAGTACGATCCCTACGACATTCCAAGCGATATGCCGGTTTTGTTCAACGGTAAGTCAGCCTGTCGGTGCGAATCTCACGGCTGTCCGTATCGCTGTTACCGACCCGGGTGATGGCGAGGCGAGGCGAGGCGAGGCGAGGCTGGGTTGCGCGCCATCGTCCCGATGCTTTGGGCGGCGCGATGCAAACCTTGAGCTGCGGGTTTAGTCGGGCATGCACATGTGTATATGTTCAGAGTCGAGCAGGCGTCGCTCCTGAGTTGCAAGTGGGACCGGTGACACCGGGGGCGGAGTGTTGATCGAGAGCGCGTCGTCCAACGTGAACATGAATTGGTCTGCCATCTAACCGTCCGTGTTCCCCTACAGTCCGTGCATTGTACAACTACGCATCGCAAGAGTTCGAGGAGCTGACGATCAAAAAGGGCGACATTATTTCTGTAATTGCAACACACGAAGACGGGTAAGTTTGGTCGATGGCTCTGCGCACATCATCGGGATCGAGGGCTACATCGGTGGCCAAGGTGCCAAGGTGCGATATATGGTGCGCCGAGGTAAACCTGTCACAGCGATCCCGTTCTGACACTTCAATGTGTTCATCTTGCCACCCAGATGGTGGGAGGGTCTCAGCACCGAGAATGGCCGCCGGAAGCGAGGGCTGTTCCCGAGCAATTTCGTGGAGGAAATTAAGTAGATGCCTCCTGGCAGTGCGTCCGACGTATCTCCGAAATTGACAAGCACACTATCTTGCCCGGAAACTGTACGATATTGCTGCAGACCCCGAGCATCGTCACCCTCCTCACTCCTCTCCCTCTCGCTTCTCGGCTCGCCTTTGCTTTCTTGCCTCTTTGTCTTATCGCTCAAGCCTTCCCTTTCCTCTTCGATTGTCGCCCATTCGACTGCGTGTACTTTTTCACATGACACTGGACCTTTGGCCTCATAGAGTGTTGTAGTTTTTCGACAGAGAGATCATCCTCTGCATTTGCCTCAGCGGTGCCGCTCTTTGTCCGTTGTAGTTTGCATCCAACTCTTGGCTTTGTCGATACGTTATTGTAACATGGGATATGAGTAGCCAGTAGGCTCTCGATACAAGCCAAGAGATCGAGCTGCGGCAACGACGACAGCAGCGACGACGGAGAAGCAGACGAGCGACCGAGGACGGCGATGGAATGGTGATGGAATGGTGGTGGAATGGTGGTGGAATGGTGGTGGAATGGTTACAGTACGGCAAGAGAGGAGAGGAACCACGGCACAATGAACAGCAGACAAGAAAAACAGAGCGGCATGGGCGGGACTCGGGCGAGAGAGCAAGGGCAGCAGCGCACAGGAGCAGAATCAAGTGAAGACGAAAGTGCAGGTGAAGATGCAAGAACAAGTGCAGGCGAAAGCAAGAAGAAGCAAGTGAGAAAACAGAAAGCGAGTGTAAAATAGACACAGGATGGAGGAGACAAAAAGCAAGGTCCCACCGAGATTCGAACTCGGGTTATCAGATTCAAAGTCTGATGTGCTAACCGCTACACTATGGAACCTGCTCATTTGCCGCCTCCCGGGATCGAACCGGGTGCCTTAAGATCTTCAGTCTTACGCTCTCCCAGATGAGCTAAGGCGGCTTGTTGTCCCCCTTCCCTCCAGCGCATATCTAAACCCAATCACCCATCGCCACGCGCTGTCCGCATTTCTGTGTCTGTGTCTGTGTCCATGCATGTGTCTGTGTCCATGCATGTGACTGTGTCCATACCTGTGTGTGTCTGTGTCTGTGTCTGTGTTGCTATCCAGCACCCAGGCACATCCTGTGCTGTCTCTGCTCAGTTGAGGAAGCCGCCACTTTCGGGTCGCTGGCAGGTCGCTGGCAGGTCGCTGGCAGGTCGCTGGCAGGTCGCTGACAGGTCGCTGGAACCCCTGGCCGATGGCACAGAATGCAGGCAGAGGGTGAAAACGAAACAGAAGGGTGATGTATTGAAGATCCAGACGAGCCGCGCGGCAAACGCACAGCAATCCTTTCGCAGTCACAGGAAGGATCGAGCAGATGCAGCAGAATGTTGCAGAAGATACTCATGACTGGTACAGCGCTGCACGCCGTTTCCAGTCTGTGTGCTTCAAAGCTCTGGACATCACGGAGTGTTTGGGCAACACCTCGTTTCAAGCGGGTCTGGCTCATCCCATTCGTCGATAATACACGTTCAGAGTCGGCTCCAACGGCCGAGGCACTCGAGTGGAAGATTCTCAGTAAATCTTGATCTAATCTCGGAACTCAGTGTGGTCACGAATATGGCTTCTTAATTTAAGAAACGAAACCAGTAAATGAACTTTGGCGGAGAAACGCAGCCAGAACAGAAGTAGCAATCGCTGGAAGCAAGGATATCACTTGAAGGTCGGCTTTGGCACACATAGCACCACCACAAGCAATCAACGTGGGTGGTAGTCGTAAACGAACTTGAACTGGTAATAGCTGATCCGACAGCCCTGCGGAAGGTTTGACGCCCAGCATATCTTCCACCGATGGTTGATGCGGTCGCACATCTTCTGATACTTTCCAGCAATCCATGACATTCGATCGGTACTTTGGGGATACTTTGATTCCAAATACAAGGACTTGAGAGAAGGGAGCTTCTCGGCCAGTTTACTGATCTTTCGTACTGATCGAGGGGCATAGAGAATCTCCAGACAGGGATACGATGGAAGCCCATCCAACGACTTCAATTGATAGCACACTGTCAGATCAAGGATCTTCAATGAGCTTTGGTTGACACAGAGATCGACCAGCTTCACATAGAGGTTGGTTATGACAAGGTGGCGAAGCTTTGGAGTTCTTGGGAGCTGGTGTATGATGTTGGTTGGTCTGCGCGAGCAGATCGTGAGCTTGGTGAGGGAGGAGAGCTCCTTAGGGACATCCACAAGATCCTCAACGCTTTCGGGTATATTGAATTCGACCAGCTTGGGCATCTCGGGCATTCCTTCAAGCGACGTGAGTCTTCCGTACATGGTTAAATTGAATTCCACCAGCGAGGGCAGTGCCTTCAGCATGTCTTTCAGGTTCTCAAATTGACCAACAATCGAGAGCTTCACCAATTTGGGCATCTCAGGCATTCCCCTGAGCGACGTCAAGGTACATCGTGCCAGGTCAAGCTTGGTAAGCGAGGGTAGCTCCTTGGGCATTCCTTCCAGGCTCTTGATGCTGCCGGTGATCAAGAGCGTCTCCACATTGGGCATCTCAGGCATCCCCCTGAGTGATTTCAAGTCCGAGTGGCTGTATATGGAGAGCCATGTAAGCGAGGGCAGCACATATGGCATGCCTATCAAGCTGGTGAGCACATCGTCGACTCGTGAGTTCAGGTACGGATCGTCCCTGGTGATGGTCAGATACCGAATCGAAGGCAGCACCTTGAGCCATCCGGACACTTTCATAAACGACATGTTCTCGATTCTCAGCGACGTGCTGCTCGCGCTGTCGATCTCTGGGATATCAAAGGGCAGGAGCCTGGACAGGCAGGCGCCTGTGTCCGGGGCCTCGCTGGGTCGAATCGTCACTTCGTAGAGCCCAGAGCGGACCTGTATTGGCGACCCTATGTCGAAATCTTCATCTTCGGCAACCTTGATTGTTTCTTCGACTGAGAGCCACTCGTATGGGCTTGCCGTTCGATTGTCAGGGAAGCGGAATGCTGGGTCTGTTACTTGGCAGTAGCGCCGAACTCGGTTGTAGAGCATAGCATCGCGATAGACTTCGTGCCAGAGCCCACTCTCCTTCTCCGACATGAGTGCGCTGGTTGACTGTTGCTGATTTCGGCGAAGTACATAGCAGTAAAGCCCACGCAGCACATTCAGGCGGTTGATGGAGGGATGGACGCCGTCAAACAGAAACTCGGTCGTGATTTGCAAATCGGGGGACAGGCACACCTCCCAAGTCTTGCTGGTATTGAGGATGGCTCGAGTCCGCTTTGAGACTCTGAGGAGCTTTTGCAAACAAGGATGGGCCGGCACTGCGGATGAACGTTTCGTTTGTGACGAGGATAGTGAACAGGTCAAAACGAGTGAGGCTTGTTTGAACAGCAGGGGATGCTGACGCCACCGTTCCGGCTGAAAACGACATGACCGGCGGCGGGGCGAAGGCTGCTCGAGGCGGAAGTTGGAGGTGGGAAGTGGAGGCGGAAGTGGATGACAGGAGAAGTCGGAGAGGCGAATGAGATGAGGTCAAGGAGGAAAGGCAAGGACCCGCAGATTTTCCTTGTGGATTGCCTCGAAGGCAAAGCAGGCGATATCCATGTCACACGGACCAGGGATCCACGTGGAGGGAGATTCCGAATGGATCGATATGGATCGATATGGATCTGTCGATTCGCACCAAACGATCCATTATTGGAGTGTCAACGGAATGCACTCGCTGCGAGCCAAGGATGCTGCTCGACTGACACCACCCTGATGCTGTGCGTTTGCCGCGCGGCTCGTCTGGATCTTCAATACATCACCCTTCTGTTTCGTTTTCACCCTCTGCCTGCATTCTGTGCCATCGGCCAGGGGTTCCAGCGACCTGTCAGCGACCTGCCAGCGACCTGTCAGCGACCTGCCAGCGACCTGCCAGCGACCCGAAAGTGGCGGCTTCCTCAACTGAGCAGAGACAGCACAGGATGTGCCTGGGTGCTGGATAGCAACACAGACACAGACACAGACACACACAGGTATGGACACAGTCACATGCATGGACACAGACACATGCATGGACACAGACACAGACACAGAAATGCGGACAGCGCGTGGCGATGGGTGATTGGGTTTAGATATGCGCTGGAGGGAAGGGGGACAACAAGTCGCCTTAGCTCATCTGGGAGAGCGTAAGACTGAAGATCTTAAGGCACCCGGTTCGATCCCGGGAGGCGGCAAATGAGCAGGTTCCATAGTGTAGCGGTTAGCACATCAGACTTTGAATCTGATAACCCGAGTTCGAATCTCGGTGGGACCTTGCTTTTTGTCTCCTCCATCCTGTGTCTATTTTACACTCGCTTTCTGTTTTCTCACTTGCTTCTTCTTGCTTTCGCCTGCACTTGTTCTTGCATCTTCACCTGCGCTTTCGTCTTCACTTGATTCTGCTCCTGTGCGCTGCTGCCCTTGCTCTCTCGCCCGAGTCCCGCCCATGCCGCTCTGTTTTTCTTGTCTGCTGTTCATTGTGCCGTGGTTCCGCTCCTCGCTTGCCGTACTGTCGCCATTCCACCACCATTCCACCGCCATTCCATCACCATTCCACCGCCATTCCATCACCGTCCTCGGTCGCTCGTCTGCTTCCCCGTCGTCGCTGCTGTCGTCGCTGCCGGGCACGCCCAATGTTTGCCCACACATCCAACCGAATATGTCCAAATTTGGGGTGTGCTTCTGGCCTCACCGTCCCGCCCTGAGCGGCGGCGCCAACACCAGCACCGTCCTCCAGGCTCGTCCACTGCACCTTCCATTCCGGTTCCCCTCCTCACCCGCCAAACGCTGGTCCCACCGAGCCATCCGCTTCGACCTGCTTCCTCGCACAGCGCATTCACTCAGTGCCCTGCCCGGCCTCGCTGGATATGACGCTCTCGACCCCTCAAGAGAGGCTTATGGGCGTTGATTTCTCCCAGCGACGCTACTCTTCCAGCCCCGCGGATCGACGCACATCGTCTGCTCTGTCCTTTCGCTCCTCTCGACAATCTCTGCCTGGCCCAAGTGGTCTGGGATTCGGCTCTGATCGCAGGGTCCTTTCCGACGATCGGCCACTGCCTTATATCCCTCCCAACGGCAACCAACCCCGCCCCAGGCCACTGGAGCCGCTTCTGGAGTTCGGATGGAGCAACGGCGATGCCTCGGGCCATCAGGACAATGCTGGCGCTGCATTGGGATCAAGCCTGAACCCGGGCACATACATCGAAAACTCCTCTTCGCAAGTCTACCCCGAGATCCTCTCATTCCTTGAGCAGGATCCGCTTGGGCAAAACCCGAGCTTCGCCTTCAGCAGCGGACCCAATAGGAGTAGCTTCTATGGCGACCTCATCCAGGTAAGGTCGTCTCGGACACTGGCTGAGTGGAGCCCAAAGCATCAACTGGACCGCTCCTCTGGAATGCTGCGGCTTAATGGCGTTGCAAATCACACCATTCCTTGATCAACCTCGCCCATTCTCAGTGTTGGGCGAGACACCGACGATATCTCGGCAGCTATTTTGGCGGCTCATGATGCTCTTTCCTTTCCTACACTCTGCAGCCTGTCGACGACTTCTCCACCGAGCATTCCGCCGTTCCGCTTTCGTCCTCGAGCCTCACTGCCGACCGTGGGCGCATGTCGCTTGCCAAGGAACTCGGTTTGGAGGAAGAGTCGTCGTCCCAGAGGCTGAGCACAAACGGCTCGCTGTCTTCTGATGGGCCGCTACGGTATGGCCAGCATACACGACTGTCCTGCTTGAATGCCGTTCGGTTTCATATGGTCCTTACCGGGTTCATTAATTTCTAGCTACCTATCGACAAGCAGGCTTGAGGAGATCAAAGAGGCCGCCAGAAACGCTGCACGTGCCGAATTGCAGATGGCATACAACGATAAACTGCAGGAGATCGATGATCTTCGCAGCGATATCCGACGACAGGATGCAGTTCATGAGCAAGAGGTTAGGCGGCTGTGTTTGCATGCTGCAACTTGATACCAGGACTGATGTGGGTGCAGCCACTGACTAGGGCTTTCGTTCGGCCAAATCAGATACACGAAATGTCGCAGTTTATTTCTGTACTCCAGACGCCGCTTCAGAGAAAACCTCATCTGCTGGGATATATATTTGCCGACACTGAGGACCAGGCTGTCCAGGTTGACGCGGCCGAGTTTGCCCCAATCCCGACACAGAGGACTTGCCGTGACATGGAGTCAATGACTGATGATTCCAGCAATGCTCTTGAAGCGCCCGAAAATGTCGAGGTACTTTTCAGCATTCTCTCAAAACACCGCTAGACCTGTCCATGCTCGTATCACTGCACTCACGTATCCTCTGGGTTAGCTTCAGGAAAAGCTTCAGCAGGCCCAGCTTGCCCTCGCGACCACTCGCGAAATCTTGAAGAAATACCGTCATATGAACGAGAAGAATACCTGGGAAGCGGTAAGTGCAATCCATTTCCTGTGAATGCGACCTGCTTCGTACTTTTGTTCCTGACACATAGCCGTCCCGCATTTTACAGGAGAAGCTCATGGAGTTTCTGGAAGAAGAGCGCCAGACGCTCATTGATGAAATCAACAGTCTCTCGGTACGTGATGCCACATTAGCCCCGCAATCACGCTGTCCCAGGAGCGGCTTTGGAGCTGACCAATCCATCAATGTTTCACAGCATCAACACCAAGATGCCCTGAGTCAACTCCAGATTGTCGGCAGCCGGCTCCGTGAGCTTGAGAGTCAAGTTGGCGGTCTACCACATGCCCTCGAGGCGGAATCGCAAAGGCAGACCGACCTGATCGTTCAAGACCTCCAAGAGACGGTCGCTGCTATCGAGCAGGAGAAAGCTGAACTGCACGACCGTATCGACCAGCTCAAGGCGGCAGCCGAGCAGCAAAAGATCAAGCTCGATCAGCGCGACAGCCGTGTGCAGGAGCTGAAGGAGGAGCGCAATCAACTGGCCCACTGTCTGGAATTCGAAGTCGAGAATGAGCGGGTTGAGCGAGAAGCCCGTATCCGACAGCTCAAAGAGGACCAACTTGCACTGCAAACCGAGCTCCAGGAAAAGCAGCAAATAATCGATCGGCTTATGGAGGAAAAGTCTGTCCAACACGAGCAGGCAGCGCACCAAACTAATGAGCAGCAGCAAACCATGCAGGAGCTGCGCGCTCAGAACTTAAACCTTGGCCGTCTCCTGGAAGATGCTGCTGCTACGACCGACGCTCTCCAACAACAGATATGCGAGCTGCAGAGCCAGAAGAACAGCGTCGAATCAGATCGATCCTCTCCCTCTGATACCGCTCAGCTTCGACAAGAACTCTTGAGTTTGCAATCACAACTTGCCAGCGAAAGGAGCCAAAACAGCGAACTCAAGTCCAGCATCGATCTTCTGAAGCAGGAAAAGAGCGACTTGTCACAGCAGTGGGAGCAGTCTCGGGGAGAATATGAAGCCAAGTGTCAACGCTTGGAAGACGAACTTCATTCGGTCTCCGCATGGAAACGCGATCTTGAGATTTCGATGCACGGCTACACCACCAAGAACGCTGCGCTGATCGAATCAAATCGTCGACTGGAAGCCGAGGTCGAGTCGCTCACTCGAAATAAGAGCGGCGTTTCCGGCCAGCTCGATGCTGTTGAGTGCGAAAATAGTGAGCTTAAGAAGCAGATCGGCCAGCTGACCAAGGATGTCGAAAGCGCCAGGTCGGCATCCGATGCTCTGCGGCTAGAGCACGATCGGGCTCTGGGAGAACTCAACTCCAGGCTTCACTCGTCCCAGACCCTGAATCAAGAACAAGCGACTCGCATCGCTGCCCTCGAAGAGAATATCTCAGCTTCATCCATCGACCGTGCACAGCTCATTGCTGATACAAGCGAACGCCTCCATCAAGAACGGGCGAGGCTACAGAAGATCGAGGAGCAGTACAATGCGCTGCAGACCCAATATCGACAGCAAGTGCAGGCCAACGAAGCCGCGCAGAGTCGACTGCAGGCCAGCGACACTTTGGTATCGGATCTGCAGTCTCAGCTTGCCAAATCGCAGGCAGAGGTCCAAAAGCTCAACAAGGAATATCTGCAACTCAAGGATCAAGGATTTGACCACCGTCGATTGGCCCTTGCCCATAAAACCCTCACCGACGAACAGCAAGGTTGCCGCGTGCAGCTAAGCTCCGCCCAAGAGGAGCTCAGCCAGCTCAAAGCCGCATTGCACAAGACCAGTATCCAAAACGAGTCCCTCAAGAAAGAAAACGAGGGGCTCCACAAAATGTACTCCAATCTTTCCGAGGAGAAAAGCCGATACCAGCACGACTCCATGGTATGCAAAGCAGCAAACAGCGTGGTTGCGTGGAAGTAGATGGTCGCGTGGGCCCTTGACTTTCCACTTGGTATCAGTCTTCATCGGCGAGCTGGCCCAAGCTGACTCAGTTCTATGGCGACTACCACCCCAATAGATCTTCAAGGCTCAGCTCGATGAGCTGACTGCCGAAATCAAGCGCATTCGCGAGACCACCGCCAGTATCACAAAATCGAATCCAGCCCCAAGCGCGGCGCAGCTGGTTCCCGTCACCCTTGGAGGCGCAGCCGTTATTGAGAGCTCACCAGATGCGGCAGTCCCGACGAGTGAGCGAATCGCTGAGCTGGAGCGTAAGCTTGCTGACTACGAAAAGGTCTACAAAGAAAACCGCGACTACATGGAGAAGTACCGAGAAAAGTGCACGGAGGCAATCGATGGGTACAAAGCAAAGGTAGGCTCGCTCAGCTCCTGCTTGGCGAGGACAACGAATTCCACGTTCGCATCGTTCTTGCGCTTCTGCCACGGCCAATCCACTAAATCGAAGGCATTGATGCTGTTTGGCTGCTGACGAATACAGAACGCCCAACTCAAAGACTACGTCATGTCCCTCAAAAATGATGTAAGTGGCCGCCACGGCAACCCTGAACCTGCATTCTACATTTGGGAGATCATCGACGTTCATATTGGCACACTGACCAATCAAACTCGTTTGCAATGCCACAGCATCAAGCAATTGTTGAGTGCGTGGCTGAGTCTCTCAAACTGATTCACGACAATCAAGTTGCCTTCCCGCAATATCCCACACTCAAAATTGCCTACAGCTATTTATTGAAAATCGACAAGAATTTTGGAGCGGCGAGTAAATAAAGCCAATGTTCCCCCTTGGGGTCAAATTTCGAAATTGCCGCTATGGGTGATGAGTGGGTTATCTCGTGAAAACCAAGAGAGCGACAGGGTGCCATTGCACGCGCTTGTGGGTGGCGGCATGGTTGTGGCTGATGGTGGAGATTTGGATGGCGCACGGTGATGTCCTCGACAGGCGGGACGAATACAGACGCAGAACAGTCCGCTGCGAGGATATCGGGAAACGAAGTCGAGGGCAACGACTTTGCAGAGCGAGTGGAGTGGAGTGGAGTGGAGTGTGGAGTGTGATGGAGCAAAACATCATGGAGTGCATTGGAATGGGGCAGAGGGACGAAACCAGAGAGACAACCAGCCAAATGCAGGACAGAGCAAAAATCGAAAACCAAAAAACAATCTCCCAAACAGGGAATCGAACCCTGGTCGCCCGCGTGACAGGCGGGAGTACTAGCCACTATACTATTTGGGATTGGGGTCTTCCGCATCGGGGAATCGAACCCCGGCCGTCTCGGTGAGAGCGAGAAATCCTAGCCACTGGACCAATGCGGATTGTCCATTTTCCAATTCCTGCATACTTGACCCCACACGCCACACACACACATCACGCACCACACACCACGCATCACACAAGGATGTCAAACTTCCACCAACCACCCCAACCACCACCCCAACCACCACCCCAACCACCACCCCAACCACCACCCCAACCACCATCCCAACCACCATCCCACCATCCGCACACTTCGCGAGCCCTTCGACATCGTGGCCCCTCCTGTTCTCGTGAGCGGCATCAAATCCCGACCGTACCGGCTGGAGATCGGGCTGCTGCAAGGCTCGGTCCTCTCGCCCGCACTCGTCGGAATGTGTCCGAGCCAAGGACCGACTCGAGAAGTATATGTGACCGCACCGATCCCCGAGATTGCCAACTGCGACAAGCAGGAACCTGATGAAGGAACCCCAGCCACCTGGCCATCCATTTGGACACGGAGCTCGGAACTCGGAACTCGGAACCGGGGATCCAAAGTGTCACTGGATGGATGAGTTTGGCAAAACGTGCATCGCCGTCCGTCTGCAAACAGGTCCCATGGGATGGAGAGCTGCACCGACGACCCTAAATGACCTGGCAAGACCAGCACCCAGCGCCGAGACCAAACCGGACGCCAAGGCAAAGTCTTTAATAAAGACCCACCTATCGACCGACTGGACCAATGCGGATCGCTGGCTTGTCCGTTGTCGCTCCTTCCGCTACCACATGGACCTCCACACCCATCCCGCCTATGCGCGATGGTCATCATGTTCAGGAACTCTCAATCCGCTTCATTCACGATCGTATGTTCAGATTCGCCATGTACGCAGCAGAACAGGGGACCAACTCGCTCGCACACAGTCACTGTCCTCCATAATGTCTCGGGTGCTCTAATTGCCTTCACGAGCAGCCTTCTCGGCAGCAGTTTCGGGCTTCATAGCTTGCGGGGCGCAAGATCGGGCAGTGTCAGTATGGTTATTTTTCTCCCTGCCCTCGTTTGCACGCATTGTCCGCTCCCTCGTCCCATACCGCACACTCATGATTATCCGCTACTTTCAGTTCAAGCAATACTCCGTCGAACGTGTTCTTACCAGGGAACAGCAGAACCTCCTTGATGTTGTTGGAATCAGTCAAGAACATTGTGAGACGATCCAGACCCAGACCCCAGCCACCAGTGGGGGGCAGACCATACTCCAGAGATTGGCAGAATGTCTCGTCAATCAGCTGGGCTTCGTCATCACCGGCATCCTTGTCCTTGGCCTGCTGTTCGAAGCGCTCGCGCTGGTCGAAAGGATCGTTCAACTCGGTATAGGCGTTGCAGATTTCCTTGGTAGCGACGAAGCACTCGAAGCGCTCGCACATGCCCTTGATGCTGCGATGGGCCTTGGCAAGGGGCGACATGATCTGGGGATGCTCCATAATGAAGGTGGGGTTGATGCAGTCGACCTCGATAAACTCTCCCACGAGCTTGTCCAGGAGTCGCGAGGCGGTGCGAGGAGCGCTGCACTCAACCTTGTGCTTGATGCAGAGATCCGACAGGAACTTGGCTCCCTTGTCGGTTGCGAGCTCTTCGCCCGAGGGGAACTTGCACTTGAGAATGCGCTCAAGCTCAGGGATCATGCGCACGCGACGGAAGGGAGGGGTGAAGTCAATCTCCCAGGCGACGCCCTCAGGGCCGTTCGGGTGGTAGGTGATCTTGTAGCCGCCAGTGATGTACTTGACCATGCTGGAGAGGAACGCCTCGGTAATCTCCATCAGATCGTACATGTCGGCGTAGGCCATATAGAACTCGCAGGTGGTGAACTCGGGGTTGTGGGTCAGATCGATGCCTTCGTTGCGGAACTGGCGGCCAATCTCGTAGACACGGTCGAGGCCACCAACGACGAGTTGCTTGAGGTAGAGCTCGGGGGCAATGCGCATAAACATGTCGAGCTTGAGGTCGTTGTGGTGGGTCAGGAAGGGGCGCGCGGTGGCACCGCCGGCGATCATGTTCATCATGGGAGTCTCGACTTCAAGGAAGCCCAGGTTGTCGAGGTAGCGGCGCAGGTAGTTGATGATCTTGGCGCGGACGATGAACTTGTCGCGGACGTTGTTGTTCATGATCAGATCCAGGAAACGCTGGCGGTAGCGGGATTCCTGGTTGGTGAAGCCATAGTTGGACTTGGGGAGCATGCGCAAGCAGGGGGTCAGGAGGATAATGTCCTTGGGGAAGATCGACAGCTCGCCCTTCTTGGACTTGCCGGGCACGCCGCGGACGCCGACAATATCACCACGGCGAAGGTTCTCGTGGACCTTGGCAAACTCGCGGCTGGGGTCCTGGTCCTGGAAGGCGGCCATGATCTGGATCTTGACGCCCTCGGCGTGGAGATCGTAGAACCTCAACTTGGCGCCGGACGAACGCTTGTTGTGGATGCGTCCGGCGACGCAGACGACCTCCTCGAGGTGCTCACCGGCCTGGATGCCGTTGTACTTTTCGATAAAAGCAGGCAGCGAGATGTCGACGCTGAACTTGTGCGGGTAAGGGTAGGTCTCGGGAGACTCGCGGAGCTTCAGGAAAGTCTTGGAGCGGTTCTCGAAATACATTCGGGGATCCAGGGCCTCCTCGGCCTCTTCATTGCTGGCATCGGCCGTGGCAGCAGCGCCGCCAGCGGGGGCGGGCTTGGCAGGGTTGGCGGCCTTCTTGGCCTCCTTCTCACGCTGCTTGATGCGGCGCTTGAGCTCGCTGGGAAGAAACAGATGCAGGTTATCACCAAGCTGTGCGAGATTCAGGACCTGTCACAGCAACAGGGACGCCGAACTGCACGCACGATCGACTGATCGATCGGCTGCCACGACACCCGTAGCGGTGGCAGAGGCAAAAATACAAGATCGGGTGTGTGCATGCGGCTGCATGAGTGACCAGAAGGAAAATGAATGGAGTGCATCCGCAGATGCGATCGCTCTGGAGCCACAGACGACCAATCGGGCCTCGGACACAGCCGATCGCGCCGACGACAGGATGATCTGTAGGGATCGAGGATCGGCAAAGGTGGACACATACGACTTGGACACCTTCTCTCCGGTGAGTTCATCGAGGACGAGGTTGACGTCGTTGTTGTCAGCCATGGCGTTGATCAGGGCGCAGATGGGGGCAAGGTGATGGACGACAGGAGGGCGGGCCGAGTGGTTTTGTCGATAGCGCGCCGGATCAGGCCAGAAAAAAAATGGGCGTGAGTCAGGCGATGGTGTGGCTTGTGGCGGCTCGCCCTCGCTCTCGGTCTCGCCCCTCGGTCCTGGTCTCGGGTCTCGTTCGTGGGGGTTGGATCCTGTCTCTGGTTGATCTCCAGCGTCACCTCTTGCATCGGCCGACATCACAACCCGGCCACCCGCAGCGACTCTGCCTCCCGCTTCCTGCTCGCCCAACATCATGGCTGCTGCAGCCAATACAAACTCTCTCTTTGCCGAGCTCGAGAAGCTTTGCCACCAGGGCAACCACGAAGCTGTCCTCAAGCAGTGCGACAAAAGTATGTCTCCTGCAGGGGCTGATCCGTCGTCGCAGCCGACACAGCATCGCAACAGAGGCGCATCTCTGTGGCGGAGCGCCTCCGAGTCCGAGCGAAGGGCACTTTGTGGCTCTCTGGTACTTACTGCCGATCCGGCTTGGTGTGTCCCTGCCAGTCCTCAAGCTCCTTCCCGACGATCGCGATGTCGTTCATGTGAAGAGCATCACGCTCATCCATCTGGACCAACACCAAGCCGCCATCGACCTGCTTTCGAGCACCTCGCACTCGGATCTTTTGGATGCCCTTCTATACGAGCGAGCCTACTGCCTGTACAGGCTGTCGTCCCTCGAGGAGAGCCTGGATCTTGTTCGCTCCTTCAGCGCAAAGGATGGTTCCCCTGACCAATTCAACCACTTTCGCCACTTAGAGGGCCAGATTGTTTGTATCAATCCTCGACCGTCCCGTCTGCGCTCGATATGGTTCGGACCTTGGTGGCTAGAGGCAGATAATCTCGCTGACCGCGTGCTGTTGTTCTATTTGCCTCTGGTTAGCTTTTCAAACTTGAGCGCTATGCCGAGGCACTGGAGCTCTACCCCGAAATCGTCAGCGCTACCGAGGAGGTATAAGAACGCATCGTCGCTGGATGGATTGTGTAAATGCCCACCAATGCTGTCGAGCGAGGACGCCCGTGTGTTAGCGATCCCGCTTTCATCTTCTGACCCATATTGCGCAACTATCCAGTCCGATCCTTATTACCAGGAGGTTCTTTCCAACCTTGCTGCAGTGGAAGCGGCGACGGCGATTGCTGCCTCGTCCGACTCGTGTGAACCCGGTCCCTCTCAGTACCAGGTACAGACATCGAAATCGCCATCGTTGCTGTGTCATTGGCTGGCTGTGGACCATGTATCGTCGGGAAACAGCCAGTCTTTCGGACCATGGCCTGACCAGACAGCAACTGCGCTCTTTTATTTCCTTGCTTATGTTTGCGCCCAAAGGAGGTGTCCGAAAAATCCATCTACGAACTCAGCTTCAACCAGGCATGCAAAAGCATCGCTTCTGGCGATTACGACGACGCCGAGCGTCGCCTGGTTTCGGCCAGGGCCCAATGTCGCAAGAGCCTCCAGGACGAAGACTACTCCGAGGAGGAGATCGAGCGAGAGATTTCTCCGATCGCGCTGCAGCTTGCTTGTGTCTATCAGCTACAGGGTCGAACCGAAGAGGCCTCGGAGATATACACCGGCATCCTCAAGTCCGAGTAAGTTTCGGATCAGGTCAGCGCATCGCCACAGTCGTTGCCGTTGGTCACCGAATGTCTGGACTCACACGCCGTTTATGGTAGCATCGACGATGTTGCAGTCATTGCAATCGCCTCCAACAACATGATGGCGATCAAGAAGGATCACGATCTGTTTGAGTCCTCCAAGCTCTACAAGCAAACAACCGCCCCTGCTCTCAAGGCCAAGTTTACCAGCCCCCAGAAGGAGATTGTGGCCATGAACGGCGCTTTGCTGTCTTTGCACATGAAAAAGGTGACTCGGTTCAGTCAATCGAATGACCCCGGTGGCGGTACCGATGTGCGGATCCGTCGTGCTAATCCACAGATGCTCTCGCTCTCTGCTCCAGACTGCGGCCGCCAGGGACAGCGCTCGTGCTTTGAGTGATGAGTTCCCCGAGAACGCCACTCCCTTGTTGATCTTGGCTTCGATTTCTCTGCTTGAGAAGAAGGATGCCCATGCTCTCGAGGATTTGAAGGTCTGTCGCTTGAATGCGCGCTCGATCTGCCCGGCGATAGAGCGCAGCTGTGAACTGCGTCCCTTCGGCTTTCTTACTCGTTGCTGTCGCTCTGATGTTCGCAGGGATTCTGTGCCAAGCTGGACTCGAATGTCGAGCTCCATCTGTGCCTTGCGCAGCTGCAGATCCAGGCAGGACTCTACCAGGAAGCTCTCGAAACCCTGGAGGGTCTCTACAGCCGGACCTCGAACCCTGTTCGCTACCAGCCTGGCCTGGTGTCGCTGATGGTGTGGCTTTATGGCCAGATCTCAAACCATGGCAAGGCCGTGACACTCTTGGAGCGTGCCACTGAATACTGGAAGAAAACCAGCGGAAAGTTGGTGAGCTTTTTGCCCTCCGTGTCATGACGAGCACAGCGTCTCAGTACCTTGGACGACTCTCCTGCTGGTGCCATGAACAGCAGCTTATCTGACACAATGGTGCTCTATTCCGCAGACCAACGACAGTGCCCTCCTCAGACAGTTTGCTGACTTCAAACTCCGCTCGAACAATGTCGAGGAGGCCGCAAAGGATTACGAGCGCCTTGTGAAGCAGAACCCGCAGGACATTGAGAGTGTGGCCAAGCTGATCATTTGCTACTCGCAGTTCAACGTCGGTCTTGCCCAAAAGTACCAGAGCTATCTGCCGGAAGCGTCCTATGATGCCACCGTCGTGGATGTAGAGGCTCTCGAAGCCCAGTTTGGGCAGAAGAAGGCGTCTGGCAGGTGAGACAACTGCTGCCATTTGCTGGGATCCATGACTGTTTGTGCCAGGTCGCAATTTTGGAGCACTAACGCCGATTTGCGACGGCTGGGTCGATAGCGGAGCCGCTGCCAATGTCGAAAAGATCAAGATGAGACGCAAAAGAAAGCCCATGATGCCAAAGAACTACGACCCCAACGTCACTCCCGATCCTGGTAGGCAGCAACATGTGCAGCATGGACCTCATTGTGGTGACTGCATGTCGCTGAAGGAGCGAAAGCTCGGACCTTGCAAGACGGGACGCGTCCATACTATGGCCCAGAGACTAACTTTCACCTCTCGCAGAACGTTGGCTCCCTAAGCGTGAGCGAACCACCTTTGTGCGGAAGGGCAAGGCCAAGAAGGAGCTTGGCAAAGGTCCACAAGGTGTCAACATGGAAGGCGGTGGTATCGGTAAGCATGGCTCTGGAGCGGTTGCGGTTGCGGTGCGGCGCATGGTGCATGAGCAGCATTGCCCACCAACTAGCGGCAGGTGCCGATCTGACATCCGCGAATCGTGTCCTTAGGCGGAACTGGTAGTGCCAACATTGGCGGCAAGTACAAAAGGTGTGTACTTTCGTTGATATTGTGGATGGCTAGCACGACACACAACAGGCTGCGTAGGCTCGAGCTTTTGCAGATTGAAGTCTCATTCATGTCCACCTCACAGCGCCGATAAGACCAAGCCCGAACCCGTGCCGGAGCCTGTGGCCGAGCCTGTGGCGGAGGCCGCCGCTGTCAAGCCCGCACAAAAGTCTTCCCAAAACGAAGGGGGCTCGTCCAAGAAGAAGAAGAAGGGCAGAAAGTAGGCTATCCGACAGCAGTCAATCGAATATATGTGCCACCTGATCCAGGCACATCCACACGACACCCAAGTCCGTTGGATCGGGCCTGTACGAGTCTTGCCAATATACAGGTTGCGTGATGCCTCGACAGCACGCGCTGGATACGGTTTCGGAGAAGCTGTTTTATTGAGCGAGAGCGAGCAGTTGCCACAAGGAGCGGGCAAGGATAACAGAGATGCGGCAGCTGCGAGCGCTCCATTCAGCAACATGGGCGGGCCGCGGGGGGCATCACCGTGGCCCAATTAAGCCGACTTGGTGGTTTCTTCGGCGACTTTACCACCAAAGCTATTCGTTGGTACCGAATTGGATCGCCGAGTTGGAGAGGCGAGGGCATCAGCACAATAAGCAGGCAATGTGGGTCAGGCAACGGATCGAGTAGGGGGTTTGGGTCAGGCAACGGATCAGATGGTGGTCGGTTGGCTACTCCCTGAGTGCAGCTCAGCCGTGCCCGAGGACCATCCATAGACAGCCACAAACGAGGACTTACTAGTGGTAGTTGATGTAGCGGTAGCCCTGACACAGCTGGGCAGCTTCGTTGGTGGCATGGCAGGCGAACAGGAGGTAGTTCACGGGCTGGACACGGAGGGCAAATCGCATGAAGAGGATCGAGTAGAGCGACAGGGCAAAGGTCATGTTTCCGGAAATCAGCTCGGGCGACTTCTTCATGTCGGCGATGGCGGCCAGGGGCAGGCCCCAGTTGGCGACAGGTCCCCAAAAGTGCTGGAGTGGTGGAGAGAAGGATTAGCAATCGAATCGCCTGGTCCGAGGGCCGGTGCCTTGGTCGCTGGATCCAAGCCACGAGATATTGCAGGGGGCTGGCAGCGAGCAGAGCCATGGCAAGGGAGCGGGGTCGTCGTGTCCACATTCAGACTCTCAGGACAAATTGGGAGCTGTCCAAGCCAACAAGCTCGACCGAGCTCGCTGCTTGGACCGAGATCATCGCACCGCAGGAGGCGCCGCACCATCCGCACAGACTTACAGTGCTTGATCCGGGGCAACCACAACGATAGAGCAAAGTCGATCGCCCAACAAGCGTTGACGAACAGACAGAGTGACATCGTTAGCAACGTAGACGATATCGCGCAACCGAGAGCAGCTTGCTGGCCGAGCTTGGCTGCAGAAGATGTGCCAGGAGGAGTGTTGGTGTCCAATAGCCGGACCCTGGCTAGGATTGGCAGGCCATTTCTTTGGTCACGGCACAGCGACAAAGTACCTCATGAGGTAGGTTCTAAACTCGGGCGAGGCGGCATACTGGGAGGCCTTTGAAAAGAAGGACGACATGGCTGCTGGCGGTGCTGGTGCTGGTGGACGATCAACGCAAAAGAAAGTCCCGCAATGGAAACTGAGACTGGGGCGAGAAGCTTGCGGCCTCGGTCAGGTGCCGGTCACGTTGTCGCTGCGCCACGGCCAGTCCAGCCCGCCAGATCGCCGCTCGCCGCTCGCGCTGAGCAGATCCCGACAGCCAGCACGACCAAAGCCATGCGCGTGGGACTCAATAGAGCGGGGGGCACTGCAGTGCGCCGTGTCGATTAGCCGGAAGCATGAAACTCATCGAGAGATGTCGAGCGTGCGCCAAACAGCTACCTTCCACCCGAGCGCACTCAAACGGCAAGTCTTGCTTGTGCTCCCATGCCTTCACTCATTGCATCACAGAATGAAATCGAGCGCCACGGCTTCATTTTGAATGAAGATACTTGAATTGATGAGTGAAGAACCGAATCCAATCGATTTGATTCACCACACGGAGACGACGACAATCGGGAACCGCGGATATGTGAGAGCCCCAAATGTTCCAACCGAGTGCGATCCATAACAACTGTGCGACGGTTCTGAGACTACATAGCCATGAGGCCAGCTCAGCGATATTACATCCCAGCAACGCCCCGATTGATGAATATTGCTCGCTCATCGCAGCTCTCAACCATGATATCTGGATATGTCGTTTACTTTGGGAGAGACCATCACATATCGAGTATAAGGCATCGAAAACAGATCGCTCGATTTGGGTTTGGCTGTCTCGATGGCTGGATGGCTGGCTTGCTGGGCAGCCGAGGGTTCGGCGAGGACGGATGGATGGCGCCCTGGGGCCTCCAGGACGAGTTGCTTGCGACCGACCCCCGAAGAGCGGGTGGGCGGGCGGGGATCTCCAGCAGATCAGGATCCCACGAGTCAAGTGCCTGCCCAGAGCATGCGACCGCATGGGTTGTGGTTTCTGCCATTTCGGCCCATCCACCCAACGTCTCCCAGATCGATTCTGCCTGTATCTTCCTCCCCCATCTTGATTGCGGGCTGCTCTCCGTTGCTCAATGCAATGCTTGCAGTAGTGGGCCCACGCGATGGCAGGCCGACCGGCTGATGGAGGGACTGCCTCTGCCGCCCCTGCCGCCCCTGCTGCCCCTGCTGCCCTGGCGATGAGCCCGGGTCCGCCCACCAGCCAAGGCGCCAACTTGCTCCGTCGATCAGCGGACCCTCCGGCTGCCATACCAAAGGCTGTGGAAAGGCAGAGGGAGGAGGCCAGGCGTCGGCGGGAGAGTCGGGACGGTTGTGTCCCACACCTCTCGATCTTCTCTCCTTCGCAGCGACTGTTTCGTCCGGTTGTCAGTCGTGAAGGTGCAAGCATGAATGTCCGCCAGCAACTCGCCTTCGATGTCGTTGTGCAAAGCGAATTCATGGGCCTCGAGCTGCTCTTCTCGCTCGGGCTTGTGAATCGGTTCTGTGCGATCAACTACTACTACTCCAACGCTTTGTGGAGATGCGCACTCGCCCGGCTCCTGGAAGTACCGCTGGCGACACTCTCGCTGTCGCCTCAATATCGCACCTTGGCTGCCGGGTGCTGCTCGTTCCTCAATCGCACAGATCCGCGGCCCAGACCCATCGAGGCTGTCTTCTGGGCATGGATCAGCCAGAACCGGAGGCTGTACACGGCCATGATGCGACTGACTGATCGCCGGCGGACTCGATTGCAAGCCCGCACCGACTGCGAAGACAGGCTCCTGGAGTTGATCGACACCGTCGGCCATCACAGCGAGACTGCCTTGGCATTGAGCTCGGCGTGGCCTGTCGATCGGGTGCAGCAGCTGCCCGACACACTCGGGCTGCTGGGCCATCTCGAGTCCCTCAGCATCAGCCGGATCGGCCTCGAGTCCGTTCCAGAGTCGATCGGGAATCTGGTGCTCCTCCAAGATCTATTCATCGAGCGCACGGGGATCTCACGAATTCCGGATTCGGTGGGGCATCTTGTCAACCTACGCCGGCTTTTCCTCCATGGCAACAAGCTGTCGACTCTGCCCCTGGGCATCGCACAGCTCCGTTCGCTGACGCAGCTCATCCTGGACAGCAACCGGTTTGCCAAGCTGCCGGGCTTCATTGTGTCGCTTTCGCAGCTCCGGACTCTGTTTCTCTCCCGTAACAAGCTGACCTGCCTGCCTCCTGATCTACACAAGCTAACGCATCTCGAGCGACTGTATGTTACTGGCAACCACCTGCTGCACCTCCCGGATTCGATCGGCGGTTTGGCGTCGCTCGAAAAGCTGTATCTCGACCACAACCAACTGACGGCGATCCCCGAGTCGTTCGCCGGACTGCAGTCCCTGACGGCCCTCCACCTCCAGAGCAACCGCCTGAGCCACTTTCCCACAGTGATCCTGGCCCTAGCCAACCTTCAGGAGCTCCGAATGGATGACAATCACATAGATCAGCTGCCCGAGGGCCTCGAAAATCTTCAGCATCTATCGACCCTGTCCCTCAGTGACAACCGACTCGATAGCATCCCTGTGGGGCTCTGTGCGCTCGAGTCTCTGTCGTTCCTCAATCTCGGCCGAAACCGAATCCGGCATGTCCCTGCGGAGATTGGCCGCCTGCAGAGCCTGACGATGCTGAATCTCTATGGAAACCAATTCGAGGAGCTTCCGGAATCGATCGGCTGCCTGAGCTCGCTGATGTGGCTGTTTGTCGACGGCAACCGCATCACGCATCTGCCGTCCTCGATTTCCGAGCTCAAGCTCCATCGTCCATGCAAAGTGGGCAGCGACACTTGATCGAGGGCATAGCTGCCTCTGCTTGGCCCGTTGAATACAGCGCCTCCCCATGCCATGCCATTGGGGGGGTCGTGCGAGCCGACGGCCAAATCCGTGGCGGTCATGGCGATTCATGAATCGGAGTGTTGTGTTCCTCGGACGGGAAGGACCCATCTCCGCCCGCTGTCCCTCCGTCGTCGCCGGACCAACGTATTCCCCTCGATTCATCGCCGTCGCTGTCGCTGTCGCAGACAGGCACAGTCCCGGATGCACGGACTCAAGCTCCATGGGCGGTGGTTGACTGCAGCATACTCTGCACATGAGGAAACAGGACGCTATTCCATCTCGAACATTCAGCACGGTATGGCTCGAGTCCAAGAAAGCCGTATGCAATAAAGCTGATCCCTTCGGCAGTATCCGAGTGAAGGCCGTAGCCAGCGTGCAATATTTCGAGGCAGCCAAATATCCCCTCGTTCGTGAAACCGCCCGTTTCGCTTCGTTTCGGGTTCACTGTTATCACGGCACGGCGTTCGATCGACGGCCTCGCAGCGTCGCAGTGCGGCAATGTGGAATCGGGGGGGATATTGAGGCTGTGATGGAGAGGCAGCAAGCGCACTCAGGATCCAGAATACAGTCGGCGGCGACTCGGCCTGGGCGCTCTGTTGCGGTTGTGGATACTTCTCCAGAGAAAAACAACAAACGCACACCCCGCTCGGGCCGCCGACGCTGTCTTGCATCTCTCGCCTCGGTCGTCTTTGGCGGCACCCTCCCTCGATCCTATGCCCTCCCGGAGCGGAGAGGATCCTCCGTAGTCATCATCCGTCAATCACATCTGTCCAATCGTTTCGACTCTCCGAGTCATCCTATTGCTCTTCTCTGCCACCAGCGGGCCGAGGAAATCAGTGTATTGCCCCCTCTGCCCACCCACGCCTTTGGCGGCCCCGGATTATCAATTGTCCTGCTTGCTCCCTTGGCCATCGCTCTGAGGGTCAGCCGGGACTCACCCCTGCACCCAGCTGGACCAATATCCCCACGAGCATGCATCTCATCCACCCTAGCCCGAATGGTATGTTGGCTGTCTTGCAGGATTTAGAAAGCCGCTTTCGGAGCTTGCGAGTGCTGGGGTCATTCGCATCGCTGGCCGTTTTCCGGTTCCTTCGTCGAGGAATGCTGCTTTGGCCTTTGGCGATCTCCAGCTCTCGCCGGTCGTACCCACCCTCGCCCCAGCAACCCGCATTGATCGCTCTGGCGTCTACTCCGCTCGCTGTATGGTCTCACGGATGCCGTTTCGTTGGTATCTCCATGATGACTCTTGTCGTTCACGCTCTCTCAGTCGCTGACCCATTTGCTTTGATGGCCTTTGGTCTTGTCTGCCATATTCCAACATCCGCCCAACATGTCTGCCCCAGTCCTCGAATCTGCACCGCTTTCCCCATCGCCGCCGTCGCCTCATCCATTTCAAGATAGCACTCAACCGAGTCTTCCTGAGCTCGATGAGCCGCTGGCGGAATCCCAGTGGTTCATCACACGAAGCCATGCCAATACCGTGATGCAGTTCATCCAAAAGATTGGCGAAACCATCTTGCGGGCGAGGGTCAGTCCGGCCAGCTTCAAGCCATCCCAGGTTCCGGCCCCATCATCTCTGCCCGGCGTGTCTCCAAGTGCTCGATTCACCACGCCGATCCACTTTGACTATTTGCTTGAGCGGTTGGATTTTTGGAAGTTTGGGCTTCCAATCAACGTCGATATCTGTCTGGATGGTGGGACAATACTCCTCGAGCGATGGGTGATATCGTATGAATACGAGTAAGTTTGGCTTGCCGGAGCTTGTGTGGGGTCCGTCGGTGCATCGATGGTACTCCGCCTGGTTTGCTTCTGTATCGATGGCGGATGCTGCAGAGACAAGTCCCCGTCGCTGCATCGATCAACCAAACTAACCTGTGGCTCTGTGTTTCTCGCCGCAATCGATGATTCTGATTTGGCGGCATCCTGTTCTCTGCTGGACTCATTCACGATGAAACCCGCAATCTCGTGGCGATGCAACCGTTGATTCGTAACGAATGGTCCGGACCACATCTTCAACCCTGCTTCTTCTCTGCGGTGGATATTGGAACTGGGTCCTCGAAACACCTCTGATATGGACTCGTCTGTCAAAACGTATTCGTCAATTGCTCCAGCGCCACATCCGGCCGGGCCCGGTATCCCATCGACAGCTCAAAAGATGTCACAGACCTTATTCTTCTGGCTCAGTCTCTCTATTCCTATATCCGACTGATGCCCCTCCACTCGTCGCTCGGCGACGGCAGCTGGTCTCGCGACGACACGAGCTTCTAGTACGTTTACTCTTGCCGCCTATAGCGTCCGCTTTGATGGATGGATGGCACCTTAACCATGGCCTGTCTTGCTCCTGCAGCATCTCTACGGCGGACGGATACTCGCTGTCGCCGCTCGGGGAAAACTCGCGTGGCCCATCGGGATTCGATTTGGGGGCCAAGCTGAAGGTGTATCGGTTTCGCAGTGCTCAAACATTATTTGGGAAGCTGCATCTGTCTGTGGTCTACGACTCCAACACATCGTCGCTCTTGCAGAGACTTCGCTCCGCCACTCGACAGATCAGGTCGTGCGACGACGCTACCGCCCATCCTGTATCGACTCGCTCGGAATGCACACCAGCCCATGGTGCAGTCTCCCCTCCGAGCCCTTGCCACTCAGCAAATATCGACACACCAGTGCCATGTTTCAATGACGACGGCGATGACGGCGACGATGGCGATGGCGATGGCGATGGCGATGGTGGTGATGGTGGTGATGGTGATGGTGGTAGACTCGCTGACTCGGCCTGCCAAACTCAAACACCGACTTCTGCGGACACCTGTCAGAGTGCATCGACTTCGAGGTCGCGGAAAATCGGTAGTCCGTTCCCAAGTCCTGGCCTCCAAAAGCGAACGGTTTCACTGCTGCATGTTAAGTATGCTGTCTCTCACTCCAAGTCATTGCCAACGACGCCGCTCCGTAGCCGCGCCCATACACCAGCATCAGCAACGACAGCAACGACAGCAACTTCACCTTTGGACGCAGAGGCTGACAAAGATATCGAGCGCCACCGACTGCCTGCGAGCACCGTGAATACACTCAAGGTATAGCTTGACTCGGTCGGGGCATGTGTGCTGGCGAACCGCGGTGCTTCTCCGCCTTGACAATATCGACGATCGATCCGCAGCCTTTGCATAGCGCTAACGCTACTCTATTACCAGCATAGCGGCTTGAGAATCAAGATCCCCACAGCCGAACAGTGCCGGCCTGATCGTCCTCGCTCTACCCCTGTCGGGGAACTGGGCCACGGAGCACACAAGCGACTCGATGCGTTCCTCTGCCCCAATTTAGAGCTGTTTGGGAGCCTGGTTGGAAGCTACGAGGTAGGGGCAGCGATCACCGTCTCGTCGCAGCTGATGACTCGGCCATCAACAATCTTTGATACTTTACACCGATATTGCGTGTCCCGATGGAGCTGGACATTTCAGCTCTGTTGCTGGCATAGCTTGTTCTTGAACTACCCATCTGCACGGGCTTCGAGAGACCTGACGAGATTGTTGCTTTCCTCGGATCGGCTTTGCGCGGATAGGAGTCCATCCTTAGCGGCCGAATGTCCACGCTTCCGTCCAAACCAATCTCGTTCATTGCCGAAATCGGCGTCATTGGCCTGGCAAAGTGCAAAAGCTCGCTTAAATGCCCGCCGCACCTGACTCTTCCCTTCCATGCCTATTTCTACGAACTGCCTGGGGACGAAAGCCCATCCACACCGTACGTGGGCACGATCTACTTGCAGAGCCAGGAGACTGGGGCTGACGGACCCGGCGACGGCATTGGTAACGGCCACAGTGAAGTACCGGTCCGCGAGGAGCTGACTGTCTTTGAGCCCGATCACACCCGATTCAAGGCGAGCGAAGGATATCGCCTGCCTGGAAAGGGCCAGCTTCAAGTGGTATGTATGCCTCCGTTTGGCACGGCTTTACACCACTCTGGTCGTCGAGGAGGAGGCCGCACTCTCACCCATTGCCCTTTCTGTGATACTAGATCATCAAAAACCAAAGCAGAACTGCCGCCAAGGTTTTCCTGCTCCAGTATGACTTTCGCGATATGCCTCCGAACACCAAGACCTTTCTGCGACAGAAGGTCTACACCGTCATCGACCCGCACGATCGTCCCGAGCTTCGACATAATGCACAGCGCACGGCCAACGACCCTTCCTTTGCAAAAGCACCCGCGGCTGGACCCAGGGAGATTCCTTCCGCAAAAGTCCCGAGTGGCTCCGCGACGGATGCTGTGGGTGCATCGGCAAAGGATGCCGGCCAGCGATTCGAGCGGCTCCGGAACGCCATCCATCTCCAGTTCCACTGCACCTCCAAGCGGAGGCTCTACCTTTCCAAATCGATCCGGGTCGTGTTCTCTCACCGCAACCCTGACGGCGAAGAAAAGATCCGGGTGGTCTGCGAGGGACCGCAGCACCCAAAGTACATCCCCGTTACGACCCCTGTCTTGCAGCGAGAAGCTGCTCCGCCAGACCGATCTAGCCAGCCGCCGCTACATCCAAGCCTTGGTCCAGCAGTCCTGCCAAACGAACCTGCCCGCGGGCTCGTTGACCCACGACCAGGTCCGGATGCCGCAGCTGCACGCAATCCAGACTCCCACGCCCAATTCCTCGGGAGTGTGGGTTCCGACTTTGGCGGGCCTCAGAAGATACCCTTGCTCATGCTGTCCACTCCCGATGGCTCAGCCCGTGCTCTTGCCAATCCAAGCCCCGTATCTTCACCTCCGGAGTCTCGTCGCGTGCCGCCAAAGCCAGGGGCAAAGCCAGGGGCAAAGCCGGTTACAAGTGAGGCCATTCCAATACTCAAAGCCCAGCGCTCGACCATCCACTCAAGTCCGTCCGACAGTCAATATCATTCGCAGAGACTCTGGGAATCGGATACGCCACATCGACTTCATACGCCTTGGCCGATCCGGCGTCGATGCTCGGGCCTGGAGCTGATGAAGCTGGCAGGCGTCAATGTTCACGATTATAGTGTCTCGCCTATCAAGTCTGTTCCGGTTGATGCTCCGATCGACTCCTCGGCTGAATCAAGTCCATGGTGCAGTGCCGACGACAGCCATTCGCCTGTGGGCTCGTTGCACCTGCCCAAGGGGGTGCCGTTCCGGACGGCGACTTGCGATCTCGACATGGCCTCGGAACTGGGGGTCAATCATGGTGGTTTTGTGTCGGCAGACTCATACCGTTTGCTCCCTTCCAGCCGAGACGGTGCCGAGGGATGGATTCACGGCCTCGGTCCCGGCTCAAGCTTTGCAAAGAATCCGCATGGCCATCTCGATGACGATGATCACAATCGCAACCACGACTGCGATCGGGACCGTGCTCTCGGCCGTGATGACGATGGCGATGACGATCTGACGACACACGCAGCTGCCCCATTTGCAACGATGGAGGATCTGCTGGACCATTCACACGCCTCCAGCTGCAGCCCCACCGAGCTAAAGGCTTCGCTGTCTCAGCTCTTCCTTGCCCGAGGTCGCCCTGGACCGAGGCGCACACATACTTGCAGCGACAGTGCTCTGCCTGTGGCCTTCAGCTCACATCCAGCCTTCGGATCCACTTCGAATAGCACGGACACTACCCTTCAGGTGATGCGATCGGCGGCCTCGATCCCCAGCACAGCTGATCGTTTCCCCCGGCTGGTGTATGGCGAAGCCCCCGCGTTCCGCACAATCGGCAGCGGACCTGGCTCGATGGCTTCAAGGACTGAGTCTCGCGAAGCATCGCCCTTGATTGAACCCAGATACGAACGCAACACCAGCAACAGCGAAAGCCAAGGCAAGCTGGGCGAATGGCTGCCATCCGGAAGCGACTATCCTGTTCCGAAAGTCTGGACCATGCTCGATGATGCCGCGCGCTAGGATAGACGACAGAATTGCCGCAACAGTCGCAACATCTCTCACAACCACAGACGACAGTAGCGGCGCGCAGTGCTCGTAGATGTTGAAATGAATGCTGTGCGATGGTTCATGAGGATGTAGCGGCGTACTGAAATACATGTCTGGCTTGCGACAAGAGGGCCCAGGAACAGAGTCTCAGTCGTCAACATCGAGCTCGTACTGCTCGTACATCTGGCGGGTGGTGACGCCTTCGATCTGAGCAAGCTTGCCCAGGAGCATTTGTCTGTGGAGGTAAACGAGTTCTTGTCAACAGAGCGATGCAAGGAGCAGGCGGTGTGGGGGAGGAATGCCGAAAGAATGTCGAAAGGATGCCGAAAGGATGTCGATGACGCAACGACATCTTCGAAATGCGACAACTCAGACTGGCCAAACAGGACCAGGACCAGGGACAGGACACACGCACCCATAGTCCTTGACGTCGTTGTAATCGTGCAGCTTTTGGATCCGAGTTTGAACGCAGCTTTCGTGGTCGAGGCCGGAGCTGGTAAAATGCCGATCGAGTAAATCGAGGGCAAGGAACGGAGGAGAGGGGGGGGGCAGTATCGTCGGAATCATTAAATGGATCGGGTTGATGGGAAAGATCACTTACGGCAGCTTGGCTTTGAGGCTGGCGTTTTCTGTTGCGAGTTGGTCCTTCTCGACATTCAGTCGGGCCAGCTGTGCGGATAGCAGCTGATGAATTCAAGCGAGCGAGCGGAATAAGGCGAGGGAGGGAATATAAAATTCAATATCGGCATGAGTTTGAGGGGGGGGGGAGAGAGAGAAGGAATCACCGTCAAGAAATAGCGCCGACGGGTCATCCAGGACACGGATCGGCGGGCATGTTGCTGCAGGCAGCCCGGGAGCAACTGGTGAGCGAGCGAGCAAACCTTTTCTTGGTGATGCAGCTTTCTCTGATCCGGACTCATCCAGACGAGCGACAGGCCGGGGACGATCTCCTTGCGAGATCTAGAGGGAGTCGAGCCATGATCAGGGAGACGACGAGGGGCTGCTTCATGCCAAACCCATGCATCTTCCGTGCTCAATCAGGCATCTTTCGTGCTCGATCGAGTGTTTTGCGGGTTAGGTCAAGCCATGGATGCATACATTCTATTCTGTTCCAGCAGCACGCCGAGGGCATTTTTGAAGTCGCTGTCGGTAGTGGTGTTGCTGCCGTTCTTGCCCAGGAGCTCGATGATCTGATCATCCGTCTGAGGGCAGTTCAAATCAGCAAGTCGATCGATCAGCTCGGTCTCCAGAGCATTCGCCATGGCGATCGGTCGGATATGGACGCAAGTCTGGTTGGATGGACGATTCGGCCGAACACCCGTCATGGACGGAAGGAGAAACGGAGCGGGGCTTGGCCTGGCATGGTGCGAAGTTGGCAGGCGCTGAGCCCCATTGCCACACACTTGGCGGCATGCGATGGTGGCGTGGCCCCGGTCTTTGGGTTACGGCCTCCCGCCGGGTATGCATCAACCCATCGCATGCCCGGATCCGGCCTCCCTCTCGCAACGAAATGTCGTCGTGGCTATAGATGTGTGTATTCAAGATCCGGAACGTCGGTCGGGCTCGCACGGGGTGCACGCCCAGGCCATCGTGGCCGTTGTCAAAATGTGTCGAGGGGAAGGAGGGGGAGAAGGCGAAAGAAAAAATATTGTCTGCGTTTGAGAGCAGAGGACCATAAAATGACGAAAAGGGACTAATTGCTATGGATACTGGATCCAAATCGTGCGATCGCGGTTTGGATCGACGGAAGGACAGCCATCGCATCGGCTTGGATCGATGGAACTGTAGTCATGCTTGGGTTGGAGATGCTGGTTTGTGTGTTCGCAGTGGGGACACTGTTGCGGGACGGGTGTCTGGTCTTCCAGAGACGTGCTGGTGATGGTGGTGGCGTTGGTGGTGCTGGTGATGGTGGTGGATGGGGCTGCAGGCGATTCGCAGAATGCAAAGGCCACTCCGTCTTTGTCGGCATTGTAGTTTCGTCATGAGTCGACATCCAAGTCGGCGTCCTCGGTCAAGTTAAGAGACGACTGAGACGACGCCTTTAGAATGTGCAAAACCTGAGGGAGATCGGTTTCTTCGACCTACGGCGATGAAGAGCAACGTAAGTGGGAGGGGACCGTAACGCTTGAGCTGATTCAAGCAGTTCACATGGATTTCATCAGAAACGCAAGTTGAGGTGCATTCAAGTGGGACATCCTACCAGGACATTGGATGTCTTAAAAGTGCTGAGAAGCAGCATGTTGATGCCCACTTGGCTGATTGGCTTGCTCATCGAGTAAACGATGCCATATCGATCTTGAGAGCCAGTGATGCAACGTAAGGGTGAGGACGCAGGCAGCAGGATCCTAGCCATAGAACCATGATGTGCCGTCGCCGTGCCTGGCTCACAAACGCACAGTGGATGCAAGCCCCCCAAATTGATGAATGTGCTGCTGGGTGCGAACGCTTACCAAGTCCGAGTTGTGCGAGATCGACCTGGATACAGATGAGCGGCGAGGCTGTTGTGGTCAGCAGCCAATCGGACTCAAACTTGCTGAGGACATTGTCGTCGGCGACGAGAGAGATGCCATCGGTGGCGTGCGTGTAGGACAGGAATCGGCTGCTGGACCCGAGACTGGTAGAGATACGGCGATGATTCGGTGAGATTGATGACGATACAGATGTCGATCGAAACAGAAACCGAGGTATTGCCGAGAACAAGTGAAAACGGCCAAGGTACGAGCGCGTCCACGATTGTCAGTGATGGCATATCACAGCGTCGTCGGCTCACCGACCAAGACGCACGACAGAGAGTTGATGCCGGTGCCCCGGTGCCCTTGGCCATCAGCCATCTGTCTCATGCCATACAATTCGCCACCACCACTATCTTCAGCAAACAACAGCACTGTCTTGCAGCAGCAGAACCGGCTTACCCTTGGTCGTCGGTCGCGTAGAACAGGGTCTCTGTCATCGCCATGGCCCAAAGCTCAATTTCGTCGATCCGGAGCCCCACTAGACGGAGATGGTAGTTGGGCAGGACCTTTTTGGGCAGGGCCTCGACATCCACAAATTTAGGCGAGGCATATCCCTGGCGCGAGCCACCGTTGGTTTGATCGCGGTGACGAGGTTGGCCAAGTCCGTGCCCGTGCCCGCTGGCGAGCAGCTCAGAGTCGGGACTCTCGGTCGAGGTTGGTGATTCGAGCTCCGAATCGGTGCCAACGGCCGTGGACTCGGAGGGTTGGCCCGAGTCGGTGGGAAACTCCCTGCCCGGACTTGCCTGAGGCTCGCAATGGCCGTTTGATAGCTTGGGCAGTATGCTGCCGAGCGACGGATAGCACAGGTCGGCTTGAACGTGGAGCGACGGAATCCGGGTAAAGTCGAGATTGACAAGCTCGTCTGGTTCGCTCATGTCCACAAACTCAAAGTCAAGGCCCTGCAAGGTAGCGGTGACGAGGGGAAGCCGCTTCTCCTTGAAAAAGATGTAGTCTGTCTGGTATGTGGACAGGTACAGGATGCTGACGCCCGCCTTTGCCAGGGGCTCCGAAAGCGCATTGATTCTGCTGGCAGACTGGTCTGGAGAGTAGGACACAGCATGATGAGTACCATCATGACTATAGAAATGGTGGAGGGGCATGCGGCGATTACGGCAGGATGCCGTAGGATGCCGTAGGATGCTGAAGGATGCTGAAGGATGCTGAAGGATGCTGAAGGATGCTGAAGGATGCTGAAGGATACGCACCGAGCCCCAGCTGAGAATCGATCTGCAAGACCCTGAATGTGTCTTGACAGATCATTAGTTCGGGACAGCTCAGAAGATGGATCTGATCGATCCAGTCTCCCTGGACTGCGCAGATGTCTGTGATGATGGAAACTTCGAGGGCGTTCTCGGTGTACGAGAAGAATGCATCGGGTCTACACATGGCGAGTTGGTGGCCAGCATTAGCACGACATGGTGAGCCCAGGATTGGCTGCGGGTGCGAGCAGATACTTGCCGGTGAAAGAACATGCTCTTGACGATAGGATGCATCATCACGGGCAGCGACGACCTTGGGAAGGTCAAGAGACCCAGGCGTGAGGGAAGCAGAGCGATGGTGGTCATGGCGTTTGAGACGGGAGGCGGGATGGACAGGCGGTGCTGGTTCGGGACTGTTGGACAGCGGGGTCGGGGTCAACGAGGCGGAGGAGCAGGCACGGCCTGGGAGGTGTCGGTCGTTTTTGGAATGGCAAACGAGCTGGGATGCTTCAAGTCTGCCTATGGACGAGCAAAGAGGCCGGATATGCAAGGGCGGGCATGTGAGTGTCGAGTGTTGGGAAGGTTGGCGCCAAACGAGAAGCAATCGGCAGAACAGAGACAAGCAGTGCAGAAGCGCCGGCTCATGGAACAGACGCCGCCAAGACGGGCGGAACGCATTGCGGGGCAAACGAGGCCCAGACGGAGACGGACCCAGAGACGGACCCAGAGAGCGGGAGCGAGCGGCTATCGGAGGGGATTTGCAGCCACGGATGCGAAAAGCGGAACGAAGATGCCGGGCACGACGGAGCGGGATGAAGCGGGATCAGCGCGAGGCGAGACCGGCCGAGACGAGCGACAGACGAGCAACAGACGAGTGAGTGAGTGAGTGAGTGAGTGAGTGAAGGAACGGGCAGGGCAAGACGCCAATCGAGCAGAGATTGAATCGATCGGCGCTAAGTTGGTCGTCTTGGCAAGCGACTGGGCTGTTTGGCGGTCGGGGCGGAGCGACGATGGAGGGGGGCGGACGGCGATTTTATGTCCAGCAGATGGGTGCTCAGCCCGGACGGAGAACACACCTTGGGATCACCTCGGGATCACCTCGGGACCACGTTGGGACCACGTTGGGACAGCCTTGGGGCTGTCTTGAGACCTCTGGGGGGGGGGTGCAGCAGAGCTGGCGACGGCGCTGGAGTTTGGCGGACTCGGGCGGCTGAATCGGCCGGTTGATTCGCCGGTTGATTGGATTAGTGCCCAGCCGGACTCGGCGTTGCCGGCTGAGTTTCGAGATTGCAGCGATAAGGGGCAGATCATGCAAAGGACGGTGCTGCTCAAATGGACAGCGCGCAGCTGCAGTGCAGGCGGGCGACACGGCGGGGAGAGTTAACACGGGTGAGCATGGGTGAACATGGGTGAACATGGGTGAACATGGAGGTAATGACAAGAGTTAACATGGATGAACATGATCAATGACAAGAGTTAACATGAGAGTTCACACATGGTCTGTGCTCTGTCTGTTCTCGCCATGCTGTCTCTGTTCTCGCCTTGTCGTTGATGCGGTGCGCAGCCGCGATAGGGTCCGGTTGGCCCCGGACACAGCCCCAGGGCAGCATGACTGAGCACCAGGACATGTGCCTGGACATGCTCGGGCTGGTGCGGCGACTCTTGGCCGCTCCGCGTATCCATTCATCAATGCCTCAATGCATCGACACCACCGACACCACCGACACCACCGACACCATCAATTCGTCCCCGTCGCTGCCCGCTGGTTTTCATAGTCGGGAGCGGCTGATCTTTTGGATGCGTGCGCGCTCGTTCTGGAGACCCCCCTCATGTGTCGGTTGTTTGGTCTTGGGATCGACGGAAGCGTCCTGCAGCACCACCAGTTGCCGCCAACCCACTCACTCGCTGGTCCTCCCCTTCCGCCTGATCAGGCCAGGTGGGCATGGTATCAGGCATCCGGTCGGTGCTGCCTTCGACCCCCGGGGCGACAATCTCGTCTGGTCAAGGTCCAGGCCGCTTTTCTGCCCAAAAATACCCACACATACCCGCCTGCGCCCCCGCCTTGATTCGATCGCTCCCCCTCAGATGCAACGCTGAGCCGGCTGTATCGCAGCTCGCTTGGCGAGGGGTCATGCCATTTATTTGTTCCGTCCATTCGTCGGGGCTCATGCGGATCACATTTGGATCTCTGTGGATGCACAGGCACGGGGCATCGATTGGCCTCAGCCCCACCACCGTGCTGCCAAGCACAGGCATATCCATTCCGTTGATTGTCTCCGCTTGGTCTGCTTCCTCTATTGCGCCTTGACCAGCCGGCGAAAACTCGGGGCGCTGCCTGCATGGCCTCGGATCCTTACATCCCAAGAGGCATGGCGTTTGCACCAGTCATGCGCGGCAGCAGCGCCGTGCGCTGGAATCCGCCGTATCCGGACATGCCCATTCCAGCAAATTGGGGGTGTTGCTGCTGGGGCCGCTCGTGCTTGAAGAAGAATTGCAGGTGGAACTGCTTGGTGTCGGGATCCCAGTGCGTCCAAAACTTCCCGTCACCCTTGTCGATCTCGCGGCTCTGCACCTTGAAAGCGATGGATTCGTAAGGCTCGGCCGCAAAGACCAGATAGTGGAAGTGCTTCGAGGGCGCCTCCACCTTTTGCTCGTATGCGGACATGAATCGGTGTCGGGGCTGGACATCCTGGCCAATGTCGGGATACTGGATCTGGAACAAGAGTCCCAACTGCCGGGTCGCCGGATCTCGAACCTTGGTGACCTTGTATCCTGGCCGCCCGATCTTGATGGCAATCTTCTTGGGAGCGACCCGCGCGACCGAGCCAGCACCGCTCTCGAGAGCCTCTCGCGACTGGACGTTGGTGGTATCCTTGGCATCCCGAGCCGCTCGCCGAGCGAGGTTGGTCTGATGCTTCTTGCCCTGCGTGTGCGCCAGGTACGAGCCTTCGTTGTTGTGGAGGGTTAAACACAGCTTGCACTCGTAAGAGCCAAGATGGTTTCGCATAAAGTACGGGTCCTTTGAAAGATCGATGGTCTCCAGGGCCAGCTTGCGTAGCCGCTCTCTGCGATCGACATTGGACTCGCTGTATCCGGCTACACCACCGGATCCGGCCTTGCTGCCGACTCGATTCTGGATGATGAATTGCGAGTTGTGAGTTGTGAGTTGTGTGATGCGGTGGGCGATGTAGCCGAGCTATTGCGATGCAGCCGAGCCAAGTCGGTGTCGAGTAAAGCGTCGCAACCACTTGATCGGCTCCGCTCTATTGGCTCTCTCTCGAGGGCCACACATCCCCTTCCGCATCCATTCAGGCAACGCACAGAGCCCGTCCTTGAGTCTAGGGCTCTTCCGCCAGCCTCGATTATCGGCTGAACTTTCATCCAGATATTGTCCTTCCTCCTGGCATGCGCCGGCTCGGCCCGCCTGCCGCACTTGATCAGCCTGCTGCTGTCAAGGAACGCACCTGAAAGTCCATAGTATCAGCGACTCTGTGGTGATGGTGGTGATGGTGGTGATGGCTGGATCGGCTTTGGTCCTTTTGGGCTCGGGAAGCGACGTGGGGAAGAGGGAGATCGAGGGCGGATGGGGAGCGAGGAGCGAGACAGCCCAGAATGCCGATTGCCGAGATCTCGCTCGTTGGCGGTTCTGTGCTCTGCGATCGCGCCACATGCGGATGGCAAATGGCCTTTGCGGGAGAGGATGCCGCATTGTGATTTGCAGCCCATGTGGCCATTTGCATGTTCGTCCAACGAACCAAACGACCAGAGATATAGAGACCCAGTGGTCGCTATGCTCTGCATCGATCATTCACTCATCGATGGACATTCGGTGTTCTCGGATGCACCCTGCCAGATCGGTCTGGGGATTCGCCGGGCCATGGACGCACAAGTCGAATCCTGAGTTCGTGCTTCCAGCAGCCATGGCAACGGCATCCACAAGCACCATCAGACCACCCCCAGCTTCGGGTTGCCGGAGTTGCACCCGCAGGCGCACAGCAGCGTGGGTCCAGTGATACTCCAGAGACTACATGTACTGTTTGTTTATTGACAAAAGCTGCCCTAGCATCCAACTGAAGAAGAGCGCTTATTTGTTAAGAACAATACCGTCGAACTGGAGGCAAGGGGAACCAAGCGACAATGCGTTAGTCTCGGTCACTGGCATGCATACGGTCCAGCGGCATTTCGGCACAACTGGCGCCACAACACATGGACAGCAGCCGGCACGAGATACTTACTCTCTTCTTGAACCAGGCGATGGTCTCATCCTTTGTGACACGGTGGTTGAAGCCGATGCGACCAGCCTTGGCCTTCTTGCGGTGGACACGGAAGCCAGGGCGGCCCATGCAGACGTAAAAGTCCATACCGTAGATACCAATGCTGGGATCGTACTTGATACCCAGGTCAATGTGCTCCTGGATACCGAAACCAAAGTTGCCGGTCTCGGAGAAGTTGCGCTTGTTCAGCTCGTATTCCTTGACCTTGAGGCCGCGCTCGAGAATCTCCTCGGCCTTGGGGCCACGGACGGTGACGTGGACGGCAATCTTTTCGTTACGGCGGATACCGAAGGTACGGACGGTGTAACGGGCCTTGGAGAAGACGGGGGTCTGGCCAGTGAGCTGCTCAATAACCTTGGCGGCACGGGTGAGTCTGTCACCGGACTCGCCGACACAGATGTTGATGCAGAGCTTCTCGAGGCGGAGCTCTCGCATGGGGTTGGATGAGTTGGTGCCGGCTTCGGTCTGTTGGTTGCGAGGAGGAGTAGCAGAGTCCGAGACGACAGAACAGGGTCAGTCAGGCTTGCGACACCAAACTTGCTCCGCTGAAGTCAACTGCAGCGCTGCCACTGCCACTGCCTGGATGCCACATTCGTTTCAGCGGATCGGACTGGAGTGGACTGGATGTTGGATGTTGGATAGTGGACGTTGGATGTGCCGATCGTGATGGACGTCGCCGATATCTATGACGGTCTGGCCAAACCGAGTGCGACACCATGCGGGACTTGGCGGCTTGCATCCTGATTTGACCATCGCGGCCAGTCCATCATGCTGCACCGGCCCGACTGGCTCATCGCGTTCGTCGTGGGATGTTGCAGACCACGATTGTGGCGATTGTGAAGGTACACAGGGGACACGTCGGCCAATCGGGCTGACGATATGCAGGCGAGGAGGGTATCGCTTGGCTGCGCATTCTGTTCTCCACCGGCAAAGGGCAGGCGCGGAGCCTGCGGTGCCGCCGTCCTTCGAAATTGCCTCTTCGTGGGTCGACTTGTTCGTTTGTCCATCGATCCTGCACATTCATCCATCCATCCCATTCATCCATCCATCCATCCATCCATCTATCCATTCGTGGTGTGGTCCGTGCAGCAGCAGCGGTCTGTTAGGCACATTGCGGTCGCGGGGGTACTGGCGGCATTACCATTTTTGCAAACTATCAAAACCAATTGGCTCGGTGGAAAGGGGGAGAGAAAGCGGAGGGGCCCGAAATGCGCTTGTCATTACTGCCCACACGCAAGCGCCGCACAAAGCGCGACAGAGCCCGGCGCACGCACACGTGATCGGCGAGCGACACAGAACAGCGAGGCGGGGCGAGACGGAGCGAGACGGCAGCGAGCCGCGCGGTGGTTGGGCGTCGCGACTCCCGGCGAGACAAGTGCTGCTGCGTCGGACACGCTGTGCCCTGTAGCCAGCCCGCCCGGTTGGGCCGCGTCCTCGCCATCGTCATCGTCAAACCCGATCTGCCGGACAAGACTGGATCAACCAGGGCCACACCAGAGCCGAGCATGGGGAAGCGCAAGCCTCAAGCCAAGGCGAGTCCCAAGCCGGGTACGCCGAAAGATACTTCTACCGCCAGTGAGCCACGGAGACAAAAATCTCGGCATGCTTCCCGGCACGACGATGACGACGGCAGCTGGGACGAGGGAACGCGGGTGCTGCAACATCAGCTTGGTGAACTGGGGCTGCTTATCAAGGTTGGTGTCGCCCGAAACAGTTGGAGAAGACCGATGGACGGTCATTAATAGCTGGCGATCCAAGTGCTTCGTGGTGCTGTGAGCTTCCCCACCGAGCCTCGACGAATGTCGCATGCTAGATTGTAGTTTGCGCTCTGATGCAGCCTTCTGCTCCTGCTGCATGTCGATTGGTCTGCGATTTGTTGCTGGCATCGACGGCTCATTCGACCGCTTCACTCGCCCGAATCGTTCGTGCCTGTTTGCCGCCGCAGGATATGACCGGCGACGGGAACTGCCTATTCCGAGCCCTCTCGGACCAGTGGGACGGCACACCAGACTACCACGCCAAGCACCGAAAGGAGGTCTGTGTGCACATCGATGAGAAGCGGGAGTACTATGAGCCCTTTCTTGTCGACGAGTCTCTCGACCAGTATGTGAAGCGCATGTGTAAGCACGGCACCTATGGTGAGCTGACCAGCGTCTTTGCATTTTCATGAGGAGGCCATGAGGCTGACATTGCCGAGCCCGGTGGGCCATTCCGCCATCGAGAGGCCATGAACAAGTACTAGCATACAAAGTGGCAGCTTTGGGTATTCTGCGCATGATTCTGATGCATCTCGCATCTGCTCTGTTCCCACTCCATCAATGCCTCCAGGCGGGAATCTCGAAATCGTCGCCTTCAGCCGCCTCCACAATGTCAAGATCGCCGTTCACCAAGCTTCCACTCCCATATGGATCGTAAAGCCAGACATGGAGGGTCAGCCAGCAAAAGGCAGTGCCGCGCCAATGGTGCATATCGTGTATCATTCCTGGGAACATTACAGCAGCGTCCGCAATGCCGATGGTCCATATGAAGGTCATCCTCGGATCGTCCTCAAGCCCACGACATTGCCGCCCCTCGAGAAACCCGATCCCAGTGCACCTGCAAACCACATGGAGCGAACGATCATGAGCTCAACTGGATGTCACGACCTGAATCGCATCCGCAAGCTGCTTGTACAAAGCCGGGGTGATCCTGGACGAGTCATGAGCATCCTCTTTGACGAAGCCGAAGCCGAGGCCGAAGCCGAAGCCACGCGTGAGTCGACGAATGATACTTTGGACGAGAATTCGCTGCAAACCGGGACCGAGACTCAAGACTCAGTGCAGACGGCCCCTGCGCTGCCTGATCCATCCGACAGTGCATCTAGTGGACCTGGTGCTGCAGCTTCAAGCGAGCCGGCCGAGTCGGCGGCATCCACACCCAAGAAGCCCCAGTCGCGGGCCCGGAAGAGAGAGGAGGCCAAAAAATTGCAAAAGGAAAAAGCCCTGGCCAAGAAGAGGAACAAGACCAAGGGAGACGTTGCGGCCGAGGACAAGTCCGTTGGAACGGCCGGTGCGACCGACGCTGACGATGTGGACCAAGTACTTGTGGGCCTGAAAGCCGTATGCATCTGACCCGCAGGTTCGTGGTCACCGCTGTTGCTTGCTTTGACCGCTTTTCGGTCGCCGCTCCATGTGATGGTGCTCGACAATATCATAATCGGTTCAAGGCACCCGACCGAGACCTTGCGCTTGCCAAGCCCGTTGTGCATCAAAGCAGCGGCCGCACCGACCAGACCCGAGCACGATCTATGGGGCTCGCCCTCCACGTCAGCGGGTCCGGTTCCTGGAGTCCGTGAGACTGAGCGGCGGCAATCCAGGCGCTGCGCACTGGCTGCGCTGGTCACGAGAGCGCGCCTCCCGCTCGCGGCCTGCCACCGTCGTTGGCAAGCAGCCGCTCTCGCCTCATCGCCCTGTCCAGCCCAACGACACCAGCCAGCATCTCCAGCAGCCCCCAGACGTCTCCGCCCAAGCGACTGCAACTGCAACTGCGTCCATCAGTCATGTCCGGATTCTTCAGCTATATCTCGGACTCGATCGACTTCATCCTGGGCCCCATCATTAACCAGAATGAGATTGTATGTCCGGCATATGGTGCTGCCCGACTTTGCTGATCCCGAGCCTGGTGTCCACACGCATGGATGGGATGCGCTTCCTGATCCTTTGGGGCTGCTATTGCTCCGTTCGAGTGAGCGTCTACAGAGTCCTACCGCAGGAGCCTGCGTTCTATTTCTCGTTTCAACAGGCCCCGGACTCCGAGGCCGTGCTGACTCGCACATATCGCCATTCGACAGGTCTATCCCGCCGACTATCCGCCCGACTCGCGGACCAACGTCCCCGATCCCTCGCAATTCAGGATGCACGACTTCCAGGAAGAGTACATCACCACCCCCGACGGCGTCAAGCTACATATGTATGTCATCTATGCACGCAAGTCCAGCGCCCGTTTCGACATCCGCTCCTTCAGCTCCACCAATATCTCGGACTACACCCTGCTCTATTTCCACGGCAACGGAGGCAATATGGTAGGCGAGGGCCCTGGTCCATTCGTCTCATTGCTGTTCATCGATCGCCAGCCGTCGGTGCCTGCGTCCCCTTGTGGTCTCGGCAGCACCAGCCTGGGTTTCGCTGTTTAATCGCTCAACAGGGGCGCCGAAGCTTGTCGGATCTTGAGCAGATACATCCGCCGAGCCCCCGCTGCGTTGCTTGACCACCGAGCAAGATTCATCATACCTATTGACCGTCCCCTCAGCAGTATCGATTGCTAACATCAACCCTCCCATCTCGCCTTGAATAGGGCCATCGTCTGCCGGTTGCAGCCCAGTTTCTGGAATCCTTAAAGTGCAACATCGTCATGCTCTCGTATCGAGGCTACGGCAAGAGCGAGGGCAAGCCCGACGAAACTGGACTGAAAACGGACTCGTACTGCGCCCTCGACTTTATCAAGCAGCATCCTCTCCTCAAAAGCACCAGGGTTGTGCTCTACGGCCAGTCCCTGGGTGGTGCCGTTGCCGTCCATCTGGCCTCCAAGCGGTCGCCGGATATTGCTGGCCTGATCATCGAGAATACCTTCCTGAGTCTGGTGAGCAAGCCCCATCGGCTGGATTTAGGGACTTTTGTTGTTGCTGTCCACAGCCACCCGCTACTATGTATCTGTACTGTGGCTGCCTGTGGCTGCCTGTGGCTGCTGTTGTCTCGGCCGGCTCCCCCGCAAAGGTTTTCACTAGCCGAAACAATGCCAACCAGAGACTCGGTCTCACGCCTACTCATGCACCCATTCTCCTCCGACTCTAGCCCAAGCTGATTCCCCACCTGATGCCCATGCTTCGCTATCTCTCGTTTTTGTGCCATCAAGTCTGGGATTCAGAGAGCGACATTCAGCTGGTCGATCCCACCGTCCCGATGCTTTTCCTGAGCGGCAGCAGAGACCAGCTCATCCCCCAGAGTCATCTGCGACAGCTTTACGTGACCGCAGCCAGGAGCATGCAAAGCAAAGACCGCCGACTTGCCGTTGTCCAGTGGTCCGAGTTCCCCAACGGCGCCCACGACGACACATGCATCCAGTCCGGATATTTCGAAGCCATCCAGGAGTTTTGGTGTCAGCACATTGTCGAGCCCGCGGCGCTATAGAGGTCTGTCGGACCACGAACCCAGTTCAGCCGGCATTGCCAAGGCCAAGATTCTGTAAAATTCACCTGCCCAGGATTGGCGTGGAATCATGTATACCACCCATTTGTGCAGCGGGACGTCCAGCTCGAAAGCTGCGGTGGTTTGTTTGACCTGGGAAAATACAAACGAATAGCTCGCGAGCATCCGACAGCGCGGCATGCGCTGTGATGATATCTTGATGTACCACGACGCCGATATGTGCACGGTCGGGACACAACAGGCATGTCCCTCCCCGAGCAAAGGACATGGGTTGGCGTGGATGACTTTATCTGAATACTGTATTATCCGGCTAATGTCATCGACAGCAATTGCGTTTTCGAGTGTCTCGGGACGGTCTCGACTCTACAAATCCTTGGCAGCCTTGTTCTTGATCTGCAGTCATGCGGGCCACAGCAGGAGCATTGAAGCCGATCCAGTGGAAAGGGGAGGAACCAGGGTCATCAGTTGATTGCCGCTCCTGGAGACCGAAGCCCGCGCGGGCTCGTCGATGGTCGCCGGCGGTGATCGCCCGCCATCCGACACTCCCTTCCGATCGGCTGTTCTCAGCGCCAACTGTCTCATCAAACGGCCCCGCCGAGCCCAAAAAGAGCAGATACGTACATCCAAAAGCTCGACTTCGAAGACGAGGGTGGATCCAGGGGGGATAGATGCGCCAGCACCGCGGTCGCCATAGCCAAGCTGGGGAGGAATGACCAGACGGCGCTTCTCGCCAATGCACATGTCCAGGAGGCCCTGGTCCCAGCCTGGAGAGCAGCAGTAGCCGTTAATAATCACGATCAGGGAAACGCCATGGCTGGCGTCTCGGCAGAGAGATCTGCGGACTCTCCGTGTCCGTAAATGCTTCTGCACTCCAAGCTTCGCCGATCCAGCCGTTCACGCCACTTACCCTTGATGACCTGGCCGGCACCAAGAACAAAGTCAAAAGGCGAGTTGCGATCCAGAGAGGAATCGAACTTCTTGCCAGTCGAGACTGCAGACCGCGAGCGGCGCCCGATGGATCGATACAGGTTGAGAGAAGCAACAGCACGAGTCGTCAGTCAACCAGCTTACGGAGCACCGTCCCTGCTCCAAGCATCCCTCCCTCCCCCTCCAATGATCGGCTTGCCCAACAGCAGCTCAGAATCTGTTAAACAGTAGATCAGCTCAGCTGCCCTCCCGTTTACGCTCGTAGACATGGCCAGGCTCCCCGCCGGTCGGCATTGGATCTTACAGAGGGTGCCGGTGTAGTGCATCGACAGGGTGTCGCCCTTCTTGCTCTTGCGGGTGCACTCCTCCTCGGGGATACGCTTCTTGACGCCGATGCGCAGGGTCTTGGGGGCGTCCTTGGTGGATTCGGCCGCGGCCAGGACACCGACCGAGGCGAGAACAGCAACCAGGATGGTAGTCAGCTTCATCGTGGATATCGAGCAGGGAACGGCTGCAAGACGAGGCAGAGACAATTTATATCACTCTCCACGTGATCCGAGCACGGTGGTGGCTGCTGATTGGCCAGGGGGACATGGCAGAATCACCAAGCCCAAGCGATGTTGCCCGCATCCGCACCCAAGCCGGCTGGCGACTGCACCGGGAGAAGAAGGGCACAGAGCCCAGTAACAAGCATGTCTGATCCTCCAGCACCACCGATCCGACTCGCGATCAGGGGCTGCAGATGCATGTTGTTTCATGGTGTTGTATTGGGGGGGGGATGGTGCCGCTGCATCAATCCCAGTATCTGTGTGGTGACAGGTGCCGCAAAAGCGAGTGCATCAGCGCCACATACCAATGGTGTTAATATCGGGGTTCCAGGTATCCTGCCAATGAAGACGCTCTTTGCATCCGCACATATGGCTTGCGCAGGTCGCCTCCAATCCCTCCACAACATGCCCGCCGAGCAAGCCAGAATGACTGCCCGGCGCGCAAAGAGTCAGGACACTTACTTGATTGTTCCGTCCCACGAGCATGTTGCCACCTTGCTTGTCTCGTGCGGATGCCACTCGCATCCAATCACCACGGCATCATGGGCCTTGAACTTTTTCATGACCTTGGTTGACTTCCAGTCCCAGAACCACAGCTTGCCTTCCGAGTCACCCGAGGTCACGTATCGTCCGTCGGGAGAGAAGCTGGGCTGGCAAGCATAGCCTGCGACGAGGTGTCCTCGGAAGATCTTCTTGTGGTTGGCTCTGAACTTGTCGCGCGCCGAATAAATCACGATCTGGTTGTCCAGGGATTGGAATGCCAGCCATTTTTCTGTCGAATACAAGCGTCATGGAAGCATTGTTCGTCAGTAATGCCACACCTCCTGACATAGCGCCTCACCGAGAACACTCGCAGAAGCAGTCCAATCCAAATCTTTGCCGAATGGAAGAACATGCTAATATGCTCCATCGGGTCCATCCAGCTGCTTCAGATCCACCGTTTCCGTTCTGATCCGAGTCGACGCATGCCATACCAAGATACTTACTCTGCGGATGCACAGCAACGGCAGGCATCGAGTGCATGCTGGGCTCGGCGACGTATTTGATGACGACCGGGATGTCGAACTCCCAGGCCCGCAGTGTCTTGTCGTCAGATGTACTGATAAACCGCCTGTTCTCGTCCACGAAGGTGATGGTGTTGATGGCGCCGAGATGCTGGTTGTACTCCTGGGTGATATCTCCTGTGTTGATGTCAAACTGGTAGATCACCTTGTCGGCACAACCAGCCAGGAACAGATTCTGCTTGTCTTCGTCTGGGTTGAACTTGACGCAATACGGGATTCGCTTGGTGGTGAACCTCGAGATACACTGGCCTGCAGTCGCCCATGTGTCAGCAAAGGTACATTCGTATCCCAAGCAACAGTGCCGGCCGCCGTAGGTCGGCACTCAACGAGGAGTGCAACAAGCTACTGGCCCCAGGATCGTCGACCAGAGTCTGCGCGCACCTGTTTCTGTGTCCCACAGCTTGATCCATTTGTCGTAGCTAGCTGTCAGGAACTTCCGACCGTCGTTTGTGAAGCAAATGTCACGGACGGCCTTGGAGTGGCCCATGTAGGTTCTCAGGCACTTGCGGTCGTGAAACACGTCCCAGATCTGCGGAGCAGAGCCGCATTGCATGCCATTTTAGTGGACGACAGAGGCCTCGTGCTTATGCAAGCCTAGTCACAAGTCACTCTCGCCCAGTCTTGTTTGCAAAGGCTCCAGCGCACATTCGCTCGGTCATGCAGCACCTACCTTGACGGTGCTATCCATACTGGCACTCAGCAGCAGATGGGCACTGTTTGGGAAGAATCGGATGGCGTTGACGCCCTTGGTGTGCCCGGCCCAGGTATGGATCAGCTGCTTGGGCAAGAAACACTCGCCCTGGCTTCCGATTTCGTGGTTCAGGTCCACATCCACATCCTGGGGAACGTGCATGTACGTTCTGCCCTGCCAATCGAGCACACTCTTGCCATGGAAGAGCGTGCGCTCGGTCCCGGCGGAGGGGGCTTTCTCCGTTGACTCGCCCTCATTTGCTGCCGAGCCGGCGGCCCCGTCTTTGTTTTCGGCTTCGGCATCAGGGGGGAACTCCAGGTGGATCTGCTCGCCCTCATAGCCAGCCCACGGGCCCAGGAACCCCTCGATGTTGGACGGGTCCTTTTTGCTCTCGTCGGCCTTGGTGACTCTGGCCTTCTTGGACTCCTTGGACTCTTTGGCTTTGACTTTGTCGTTGATGGTTGCAAACGTCTGCTCAGAGGCGCGCTCGATGTTGCCGTAGAGCCCGGCTGTGTGAGTTGACGGATCGTATGTGTACCCGAATCGGTGGTAGGTGCGTTGCAGTGTATCAAAGTCAAAGCCGGACATGGCATGGGACTCAAAGTGGCCTGAAAGAGAGCCAGATCACAGCCACCCACATGCCCGCCATTTGGTCGAGACGGATAGTTTATACGGGCAATGTTAGATCACGATGGTATCCGTGCACGGCCCTTCAGCTCCAAAGGGACTTCTTGGTCCTGTTCTCGACTGTTTCATCCAGGCGGGCTCTGAACATGCGTTTGCTCCGATAGGTCTCCTCCTGTCCGAGGTACCCCAGACGAACCTGTCAGAACATTCCGATGCGTGTTATCTTGGGACCGGAACGGGTTTTCTGGGCCCTGGATGGGCTTGGACAGATCCGCATACGGGACATTGTGGGATATCTCTTTGGTCTCGTGCGATGTCAGATACCGACTGGTGGACAGGTCCTGTGACGGGCGATGGCTCCCACCGGTTAGAGCGCTGTTTTTTCTTGCACGCCGGCATACTCATGGGGTCTGCGGCTCTGGGCTTACGTGCACAGCGACATCCGGTGCCAGATCGACTTTGATTTTCTTGGAATGGTGAGACTGGGCCACCTCGTCCTCGTCAGAGGAGCCGTAATTGCCGAGCAGGTCCATGCTTCTGCCGTGTGTGGTATCGAGGCTGTGTGTGCGCTGGTGCTGGCGTCGATGCTGGTGCTGGTGTCGATGCTGGTGCTGGTGTCGACCGAGCGGCCTGCTTGTTGGATGAGCAGAGGACGAAATCCCACTCGAGATCTCGGTTGGTGCTGTGGCTCGCCGTCGCCGATTGGCTCCCGCCGCGGCCTCGCCGGCTGTTCTCGCTGGCGTCTCGCTGGTCGCTCGGGGCTTCTCCTTGGCCCCTGCATCGAACCCACCACCAACATCTGAATCCGAATCTGAATCTGAATCTAAATCCGAATCTGAATCTGGCTCCGGAGCTGGACTAGAGCGAGGGCCGTGGCCGCCGCATTGCACTGACAAACTCCGAGCCATGTCGTCCGAGGACGCCCTCAACAAGCGCCTGGACGATGAATTCGCCCATCTGATCGACAATCTTGGATGGATTCTCAAGGCCGCTCCGGTTCGTGTGGCATCGACTTGCTCGCTTCGCCCCCCCCGGCATCGCCTCGCTCGTTTGCAGGCGCCCGCCCGGCCCATCTAATGCAGTATCCGGTGCATATAGATCAAGCAAAAAACAGTCGACAAGCACGGACTGGATCGCACCGAAACAAAGCCGCGATCCAAGCTCTCGCAGGAGCATTTGCTCGTTGACGCCGCATCGGCAAACATTGTAGGGCTCATCCTCGTCCCGCAGCTTCATGAGACGTCCGACGGGGTTGCATACGCCGCAGGTTTCATGCGGTCTTGGATACGATTCGTCATACAAACCGTGAGGCGAGACGGGAATCTGACCGTGACTAACCCGCAACTTTGGAACTTTGGTTCTGGCTGGATTCGCCCTCCTCTTCCCTCCCCTCCCCGACCCCAGATCCGCTCAGTCGAGACGCTGCTCTCGCTGACTTTGGAGCTCAAGCAGTCACTGCTCATGAACGACTTCAAGACCCTGAACTCGACGCTACGCTCGCGGCTCGGCGAGCTCCATACTCGCCAGTCGGCATCGATCGCGGGACTCTTGGAACTGCAGACCGAGCTGGACGAGGTGGCCGTTGAGATGGAGGAGGCGCTGTATTCGTCCGCTTACTACAACGTACCCAGTTTGAAACGGGACACCCTGTTTTGAGTCAGGGTTGTCGCTGACTCCCGAGCCTGAATGCACACACTCTGCCATCGCTGCCATGACCATACGGCGTGTCCATAGTGTCTGCACCCAGTTGACCCAAGAAGGCCGAATATCTCGATATCTGTATGCCAGTCGATCGTCGCCACAGGAAACGACCAGTGTATTCAGAATAATGCTTTCCAGACCAGCGAAAACAGAAAGATTGCCGACCAAGGCCGGAAGCAATCCCATGGCCTGCCTACTGGAGGCTACGAAAGTTCAGCGCCCTCGGGTCGCTGATGCCAGAGAACAGCAGGGACTATCCCGCTTTTTTTCTGGATTGGCTGTATCAAGAGGAGAAAGATGAATGCCGGGGTCGCAGCCACCGCAAGCGATCGTTCGCAAGTGCCTCCCGGACACCGAGCACAGGCTGTTGCGATGTGCATGGATGGTATCGCCGAGATGGCCGGCGGAGCCAAATTACATTTGCCTCGGCTCTGAAAGCGGCCCCGCAGCCCAGCGCCGTGCGATGTGTTGCGATGCAGTCGAATACAGCGCAGCCGGTGCGATACGAGACGGCCGGACAATCCAGACGCTGCTCTCATGTCCGGCGCATGCTCGGCCACATGATGGTCCTGTGGGCTCCCTCCCCCCATGCTCGTCCGCGAGAAAGCCTTCGACCCTGGGCTGCTATTGCCGTCTGCAGCCGGACAACTGGCCCAGACACGCCGGATGTCGCCTCGCTCATGGGGGATATATGACGGCATCGGCTCCTGGGCCGCCCTCCATCGGCCGCCACCGATCGCCTCCTCTCCATCGGCTGCCGTCCTGCTCGCTCGTCTGCGGCCCAACAGCCGTCCGCTCGTCTCGGCGCTTCTCTGCTCCTTGCGCTCTCTGGTCGGGGCTCTGCGCCGCTTGTCTGCTCCGGGGCTGGCCTGCCCTGAATAGAAACCCCGTCGGAAGCCGCTTGGTTATGGCGGGAATCTGCTTTGGCGCCTGTATCCCCCCTCGCCGCCCATCCACTGCCTCCACAACCGGACTCATTCGCCAACACAAGCCCGAGGCTGTCTCTGCTGTAACGGCCTCATAAACGACGCCCAGGCCTCTGCCACCATCGCCCAGTTTCTCACCAGCTGTGGCCCACCCCTCGAGCCCTGCCACCGCCTGTGTCTGCCTCCGGCTCCATCGGCTGCTTCCTCGCTCGACCCACCCCTCCCAACCCAACCCAACCCAACCAGTCCGTCCCACTTCCATCCAAGAGGGCAGGGCCCTTCCGTCAAGTCTCAACTTAGATGGGAAACACATCGTCGACTCGCCAACAACATGCCTTGGACGGACTCTGCGAATCGCCCGTCCATCCGTCATGGTATCCCGAAGGATCCGTCTCTGGGCACAGCAGCTCGCACTCGCTGTGCTCAGTGCCGCCGGCCCCCATATCCCAATCGTTCGCCTCCGAGGTGCTCGTCTACATCCACGGTCGGATGGAGTCCATGGCCCAATGTAAGTCCCAGCGATCCTTCCGACCGAGCCATGCCCTCTCCGTGAATGTCGCTGCTCGGTGGCACCAGGGCAGTCATCCAGGGTGCATCAATCCACCGGATGACTTGCTGTGGCTGACAGTCTCGATGCAGTGATGGCAGCCCTGCCTATTGAGCAGTGGCATCTCGTAGCCTGCTAATCCCCTGGGCTTCTCTTGGCAGACGAGAAAGGCCTACCGCACTTCCGGGGCCAGCCCAGGCCCATGCTGGACTCTCCCGAGCCGTCGTCTTACTACCCTCCGACCCATCGCATCGCTCGCCCACGGCCCGCCGCTTCGCCAGAAGATCCTGCAGATCCATTGGGCATCGTACCTTGCTCCGCCTCAACCGCATCGGGCAACGACGAGTGCGCAGGTCCATCGTCCGACCCCATGTGCTCCATCTGCTGTGACTCCATGCCATTGCACAAGGAGTTCCGAATTCCGTCGTGCGGCCACAGCTTCTGTCGCACCTGTGCGCACTCGGTCGTCACCGCCGAGTTGTTCGCGCGCCGGCTCCCGATCGTATGTCCCATCTGCAAGGCCGAGAAGGTTGTCCCGACAGTCAAAGTCCGAGCCACGAGGTCCAGCGACCCCGTCTATTCGCACGGAAGCTCCGTAGCCTCGTTCTCGGACGCTGCCCCAGCCCCTCTGGGAGCGACAAGGAGAAACTATTCGTTGTCTGATGTCTTTCATATTCCGAATCGCTCAGAAGTCCCCAAGCGCTTGTGGAAATCCCACAGCTTCATGATCCATCGGCTATCGAAGTCAGATACACTCGAGATCGCTACCGACATTGCCGAGCCCAGGATCGGGGTTATAACGGAAGATGTTGCCGCCCAGATTCTGACAGTCTCCGAGAAGGTAGGCCGTGCGATCGCGAGCTTGTGACTGTGAGTTACCAGAGTGGGATGAAGCCACCTGAGTAGGATGAAGCCACTTGAATCGCCAGTGGCGGATACCGTCTCCTTACGCCGCTAAATGACCGTCATTTCACCCTCGATGCAGATCCAGATGCGACGAATCACGATCCAGGTCGAAGTCCTCGACAAGTCCAATGCCCACTCGGGACTGGTTCTCTGTCCAAACACCAGTTGCTTCGGGGTATTCTCGATTGACCCGTCGCTGACCCAGGCCAAATGTCCGTTCTGCGAGACATCCTGGTGCGTATCCTGCAAGGCCGACACCAGCCACGAGGGCCTGAGCTGCCAGGAGTACACGAAAATGCGAGAGGAGTCTCGGTCGGCCGACGGGACCGTCAACTCTGCCTTGCTGAGGGACGAGTTCAAGTTCGAGACCCTTGTCCGGCAGATGCAGTGGACTCGATGTCCAAACTGCACACGGGTGTGCGAGAAGGACGGAGGATGCAATAAGGTGAGGCTTGTCGCTCGCTGGCGCCAGGTTTGTCGTTCGCCTTCGACGTGCGCATGCGGGCTTGCGATCCGCATGGTTTCTGCGGCGGCGAGCCGGCCGACCTCTAACAGCAACTTTCGGCGGTCAGATCGTTTGCGAGATGTGCAACACCATATTCTGCTATATCTGCGGCAAGAAGCTCCATCCAAAGAAGCCATACTCGCACTACGCCAAACGATGGAAAAAGTGCTATGGAAAGCTGTTCTTTGGAGACCCGACCGAATAGTCCAGCTGCGCTGGATGAGGATGCACATGCACAAGCAACTCTCACGATTCTCTGTGAGGGGCCTTTCCCGTATCCTTCTCTGATTCCGGTGTCCACTTTGGGCACTGCACCCTCCACCTCGTGGTTTTTGTGTTATTTGGGTCCATATTGCTCTGTAATGCACTCAGACGAAAAATGGAACATCCTCATATCCACTTTGTTATTGTCGCGATTGAGGAGTCTGTCGGTGGATTGCAACGTGCCGACGCCATCCACTGCATGGGCACGTACCAATCGACTCATGTGGGTTACATTCTCATTGCTGGTGGTGGAGGCGCTGCTCGAATTACTTGAGAGGCCCTCAGGGGACCACAACTCGGAGCATACCACCTGCTCTGCCTCCGCAAGGCCGGCGATGGCGGTGCCCAGGGCACCAGGATATGGTATGTTTCATCCAAAAGCAGCCGGCAAAACGGGTGTCTTGTTGCCCGACCCACAGCCGATGGCTTGTTGGCGAGTCCGTGCAGCAGTCGTCAGGATGCAACCTGAAAGCTGCAGCAGCGGGTTGCGTCGACACACTCTCGCGCATGATTGGCGATGATGGTGATGATGGTGATGTCATCACACCTTGCTAGGCCATACTGATCGGCGACTACAATGGCCGGCTGTCTCAAAGTGTCGGCGCCATGGATATGTCTGGCGGCGTCACATAACAGCCACAGTGGATTGAGAATCGTGGCTGCTATGGATGCGTGAGAATGCGGCGAAATCGACGGTCCTCTCCTCTCGCTCAAGCACACCATGACTGCAATGTAAGGGCAGAGGCACTGGCTGCTGAAGCTTCATAGATCCCAGCATCGGGTGCTGACTGCTACCCTGGGACTATATACGGTGCTTGGGTGGGCACTTTTAGGCCTGTCTGTTTGCTTGTCTCGAGCCCGGACTTGTCTGCTAACTCACCGTCGCTTCTGGATCGCCTCGCCCCGCATTCAAACCCTGCTCGCCAACGAAGACTTGGAGGATTCCGCAAGATTCCGGACTTGGAATCCCCCGAGGTGTCCTCGAAGCATGACACGCCCGCAGACACCTCGTCCAGCGACATCAAACCTACATCAACCGACACACTTGCACAGACTGCAGTGCCCTCGAAAACGGCATGGACGGACCTGCACGACCGAGCCATGAAGCTTGCCGGGTCGCTGTCGGCTTGGTTTTGGCTCGATATGAGGGTCCTCAAATGCGTCATCACTTACACGGTCGCCACAGCTTTCGTGGTCTTCAACCCTTTCGGCTTGGATATGAGCACATCCTTCTGCTTTCTGCCCTACACCATTACCTTTGTCCACCCCGCACGGCCCCTTGGGGCAATGGTTCGGGCCACCTACCATGGATTCCTTGGCCTGGCCTTTGGAACCTTCATCTCGTCGTCGTTCCTGGTGCTGTCGGAGTACTTTTATCAATGGGGCCTGGAATTGACGTGGATATCGAAATGCATTGGCCTGCTCTACTTGTTCGTCGTCATCTTTTTCGTTGCACTGATCATCGCCAAGGCCCAAGGCGTGCTCTCGATATGGACAGGTATGGATGGATGCGTGCGAGTAACTTGAGCGAGTTCCCGGGTGTGCTGTAGCGGCAACGTCCCTTCCGCTGTGCCTGTAGACTATTGGCGTGACTGTGCAAGTGCTAGCCATACGATATCTTGTCGCTTATCGATTGGCTGCCGGTCCTTTCTCTGGATTCAGGGTGTCGCTTTGCATATCTCCTGACCTTCATCACCTGCACCCAAGTCACAAACGCAAGCCGTCGCGCGGTCCTGAGTCTGACCATCCAGCGCGTAGCAGGATCTCTGGCAATCGGCATATCGATCTGCGTCCTATCATCCTTTGTCCTGTGGCCGGTAACAGCTACCAGTGAGGCAGAGTAAGTGGAGCAGCGCAGCCCAAGCAAAACCTATGGTGCATATCCCCGTCGCGGCCATAAGGTTTCAGTACAAGTGCTCCACACAGACATAACCATGCCCGCCCTGAACGATCACAGGAAGCTTCTCGACAGTCTGATCTTGAGCACCAAAGAGTTCTCCGATCTCTGCCGGAAAAAGTACAGCCAGCTGAGGAGGTCTGGCGGCGAGATCCATCTGGTGGCGCTGGGCGACCTGGTTCGGCTCAATCAGCGCACGCTGCTCAAGCTCGAGTCGAAAAAGGTCGAGGTGTACTTTGAACCGTTCTCGAAGATTTTTCTGAGCTGGGGCTGCTACCGCAATGTGTTTCAAAGACTGGAGCAGATCATACAGGTACGACGGGAGCAACACTGCGGCCTGGCCATGGCGGGATCTGTGCTTCAGCGATTGGATTCGCTGGCGGTACTGAGATATCTATTGAGTCAGAGCGCTGATCATAATTGGTCGCTTGGCGCTGAAGCATATGGGAAGCCTGATGTCCAACCTTCGAGACATGGAGGATGAGGTGGGAAGCCACAAAGTCTTGCAGGACTACCAGGCGCTCCAGAACTGTCACATCGAGGGGCTTCTCGAGTGCTGCAGCAACACCATCGAAGAGCTCCGTTTGGAACTGCTGCATGGCACCGGCAACAGCGGCTGCCCCGATAATGCCCACGGGACCGACAGCGCGAATAATCTTGAAGAAATACTCAAATCCTTTGATAAGGAACAGAAGAGCGCCATTGTTGAGCTCTTTGAAAAGCACGGCGAAGACGCCTTCTCGATCTACCTCTTGTCTTCGAAGATGGTCGAGTTTGCGCACGAAGTACTGGGTCTCTCAAATGCCGTTATGGAAGCTCGCTTGAGTGTCGTCAAGCTCCGCAGCCAAGGATTTGGCCACTACATCTACCGTCTATTAGAGAGCGCTGCGGCAATAGCCTCCCAGAGGTAATACCAGGCAGAGCAGACGTGGAGGGGTGGAGGAGGATACCGGCGCACCGAATGTTCAAGGATGCAGTGCACATGTATGGGCAACACTTCCATTTTGATGGCTCGACATGGACATACTGACCCTTCGGACTTGAATCTCAGTGCTCGACAGGCATTTATACATCCCAGTTCCAAGAAACAGTCGGCAGTGTCCCGACGACTGTCCGTCCACATTGCCCATGCTCGCCAACCTTCCTGGGTGCTGCTGAATCTGACCCGAATCCGACGCTTGTTCAAGGCATTCAATGTATTCGATCTAAAATTTGCGCTCAAAACCGCACTCACAATCACGGTGCTCGCCTCTCCATCGTTCATGGATGTCTTCACAGCCCAGTACTATGACTACAAACTCTACTGGGTCCTCACGGCAACCATGGTGGTGCTGACTCCCTCCGTCGCCGCCTCGAGTATCGCCAGCTTCAACTCGATCGTCGGGACAGCGATGGGAGCGCTCGGGGCAATTGCGCTTTGGAATCTGACCGATGCGAATCCCATTACTATTTGCTGTTTGACCCCATTCCTGGTGACTTTCCCGTATCACTTGTACTTGAATACCTCCTACCAGCGAATAGGTTCGGTAAGTGTAGGGTCCTTTGAAATCATACGAGGGTGTCCACCACCGTGCTTGTAAGCGGTCGCTGGCTCTGCCTCACAAGAGGAACGAGCGGTACCAGCCTTTTCTTTCATCGCTCCTGTTACAGATGGCCATGATGACCTTCAGCATCGTGTTTTTTCAAGTCTATGTGTCGGCAGACAGCAACAGCGGCAGCACCGACTTTTCCATCTATAGCATCGCCTATCTCCGGGGTGTCTGCGTGGCAATCGGTGTGGTCGTCGGTCTTGCAGTCTCATGGGGATTCTGGCCCTACAAAGCACAGACTCAGATCCGCAACGTGCTCTCGGACGCCATCTTCAACGTCAACATCATCTTTATCCAGAACTGCATCCTCTTTGGATCACCAAGCGAGCTCATGGATAGCGCACGCACACCGGTCCAACTTGCCCGGGATTTCCATGACGTTGGGATCATGGTGCGGTTCAAGCTCACGCTCGCCGAGAAGCTGCTTACCGACGCGGACCTGGAGAAACAGTATCTGCAACCTTTCCCCACCGAGATATACAGAAGCATTGCAGCCTCATGCGATCGTATCCTCAATAAGTTCACGGCCATGCGGCTCGAGATCGATGAGGACCATCTCAAGTCTCTCAGGCGCGATGCCGTGGCGCCGTTGGGGGATACCAGGCAGGAGATGATCGGGCAGCTTCTGCTGTGCTTTCATGTGCTCTCAGGAGCGATGATTCTGAAGGTGCCTCTACCGCCTCGCATGCCACACATCCGAGACTGCCGTGAGCAGATCCTCGAGATCATGCGCAAGACGCGGTCGTTCGGCAGTCTGGACCGAGCCCGAGAAACCCGAAACAGCCACTTTTACTATTACTATGCCTACGTGCGGGAGCTTACAAGCATCATCAAGTGAGTACATGGCACCGTTTGGTGAACAATCCCAGCTGGATTCCCACATGCTTGTCCGTGACACGCAAAGGCGTAATGCAAGCCACACGCCATGTCGATGCATCACTTCCCAGCAACAGTTGTGCTACTGCCAGGCTGACTTGCGTTGCCTCTGTGACTATTGCCAGCGAGCTTCAGCTGCTGTGGGACCTGACCAAGCATTTGTTTGGAGAGATCGATGTAAGTCTCGGCATCGCTCAACGTTTTCATCTGGCGATTGAGTGTGATGGGAGGGGATGCTCTTGACTTGGCCCATGGCTAATGTGCAGCTCAGAAGGCGTCCTTGTGTGTTCTGCAAGCATGCGCGCTCATAAAATATGACCTTCATGTTCAGTACTGGAACGCGCCGTCCTCCGAGTGAGCATCAGCGAGTGAATCCTTTCCAGAGAAGCACCAGCTTCACTCCAGCCATACTCGATTCTCCCTTCTCTCAATAGCGTCGACTTGGTCAAACGGGCATGTTTGCCGTCCATAATTTTCAGATATGATACCTCGAGGAGAATAAAACTACCATACAACCACACGCGACTGCTCAGCAAAGTTATGAAACTGTCGTATTGGCAAGCCCATTTCATCTTTCACCAACATGAACAAGCGGGCTGGGGCTTCAACCCAGCAAAGCCGAATGCCAATCTTGGATAGAGCCAGTCAATCTCGTTCGTCGAATTGTCTTGCCTTGCAAGGTTTCACAATTCAGCAATGCTCTGACTCTATACGAGCGCTCCACTGGCTGCAGAATATTGAATCGCACATCTCTAAACCGGGGATGCCACGGTGTTTGTTCCGAGTATCTCCATCTATTTAGTCTTGCGCCAGTACTGTTGAGCCAGTTTCAATAGCCATATGGCAACATCAGCGTTAGAATATAGAAATCTCGATAGCACACACACATACGCAGTCAGTCCCATTATAGGCATCGTAAGCAAGAACAATAGAGTGGTGGTCGCTAATCGTGAGCTGCAACATGATCTTGCCCAAGTCGCTTGGCTGTACTTACATTGATCTCACCAAAGAGGGTTTTCATCGAGTCCCAGATAGCCGACACCTCGCTGCACATTCATCACAGTGAGTACGGTCGTGCTGGCGACAAGCAATTGCCAACACAGCCCATGACAAATGCAACGCTATGCGAGATTGTATGGATGGTCGACGTTCCCCAACCGCAATCGACATTGTGCTGATGACTTACTTCACCACCAAGGCCATTTCCAGAATGTAAGCGTAGTAGTAGTAGCAGTGGATCTTTTGGATGGTCTGTGTCTCGCCCTTCTCGAGGGCCACGATCATCGGGAGCTTCCGGATGGCTCCCAAGACATTATCGCGTGTGGTCTCGATCTGTGGCAGCCTGGGCGGCATTGGATTCTTGAGTCTCATCGACCCGGAGAGCACATGGAAGATCAACAGGATCTGGCCAATGAACTCCTGGCGATGTGTCTGGATCGGCCGCACGAGGTCGGTCGCTACTTGGCTCAGATAGGCATCGCTGGGCCTGAGGCGCATCGCCGCGAACTTGTTCAGGATGCGCTCGCATCCATCGGCAATGCGGTTGTAGAGCTCCATGTTGCGATCATCCTTGATGGGGCTCTCGTGCTTTGTCATGACCGCAAGCTTTCGAAACTCGGTGAGCTTCATGCGCACCGACACTTCCACCTGGCGAAAGACCTCGACATCAACATAGCCGGGCTCGCCGCTCGGGGTCCCAAAGATTTCGCAGTTCTTGATGTACAAGATGCTCATGCTCGAGAGGGCCTCTGAAAGGATGATGCGAATCTGTGTCTTGGCTTTGTAGGGCCAAATAAACCACGACACAGACAGGCCGACCGCCACGCCAATGAGATTGGAGAGGCCGCGCAGATAGGCAATGTTCTTGATGGAAAAGTCATCGCTGATGACGACGTTCTGAGTGGCGCCGAGCGCTTGTAGCAATACCACATTGTAGGTCATCAGGGAGATCTGCGGAAATGGATGGGGCTCAGAGTGTGCATCCCTCGCAGCTGTACCGCTGGATGCAAAATGCAATGATGGTGGGCGGTCGCGAGAAATATGGCTCGGTAACGAATCGGCTCTTGCGCAATACTCGGTATGGCGCTATATGAGCTGGAAAAGCTTATAAAACACACTTCAATGCCAACAGGTTTGACACTTACCGATCCGATCTTGGAGTACTTGCTGTTCCGAATGTTGTAGTAGAGTGGCAGAACCACCAGCGCAACCGAGACCAAGCACAGCTGCACTAGATTGGCGCTGCAGATCATCCAGACGCCCGCAGCCAGGGCCGCTCCGAGAATGGAGCCCAAGATGGAATTGAGTCCGGCGATATTAGAGGCGCCGACCGAAGGCGAGATCACGATCGTCACGGTCGTAAGCATCCAGTACAGCCGATACTCATAGTAGGCAAGCTGGTATCGCTCCAGAAACGACGGCAGAGCCAGCAGCGAGATAGTGATGGCTGTCTTGAGGGCATACTTGACATGGAATTTGTCAAAGCCTTTGAAGTACTGCTTGATATACTTGAAGTAGCGCAGGCGTGCTGGTGCTCTTGATGCATTGGCGAACTCGATATTGAGCTGCCGCTCACGGTGACGAGCAGCTTTTCTGGAAGCATTGAAACTGGTGTCAGCTGAAACAGCTCGGCGACCCCATTCTGTCTTACGGATACGCATGCCGCACTTGCAAGACCAGCCTCACCGATCTTTGCGAATCCTAAGAATGGAGGAGAGGCTGAAGTTCTGGAAGCACCACAGCAAGGACCCATGGCTCTTTCTCGCTTGGATGGCTTGGTGTGCATTTGAGGCCGCCAGAGCCAGCTCCAGGATCTCGTTGGAAAACTCGACCAGCTTTGAGGAGAAAAAGTAGATTGGCATCATCTTCTCCTTGTGGATGCGAAAGAGCACCTCGAGTTCGTGCTCCTGTCTCTCTTCGAAATCTTTGATGGCCTTTTGGAGGCTGACGAGGACGTCTTCAATTTGGTCATTGGAGGAGCGAGTGATGGAGCTGTCGGCATCCTTTCGCCCGAGCAGCTGGAAGGAAACGAGGTCGAGCGCGTCCATGCAACGTTGCATCACCTTCTCGAGAGACTCGGACAGAGATTCACGAAACTGGGTGTAGATAACCTCACCGCACTCATGGTTCGATTCGATCGAACGAAAGCTCGATATCAAACTACCCACGTGCTGGGAAGCGAGACGGCGTCAGCAAGCGCACAGTCTGGAGGCGGGATGGTCCTGTGTCACACTTCAGCACTGCCCGAAGTGGATGCTCTGTACCTGAGTGAGGTGCTCAAAGCGGTTGAAGATGGCGTTGAAGATCCTCAGATGCATGAATATTTTCGAGAAGGGTTCAAACAGAACCTCGACTCGAGTCGTCTCAAGGCTCAGCAGTGTTTTCTCGTGGCTTTGCTGGAGCGCCGTCATCTGCGACAGCGACTTGAGCTCCTCGGGATTGGTGACCACTGTGTCCTCGGCTTGAGGCGATCGAAATATCAGAGAAGGTCGATTCTTGACCGTGATAATAACTTTCTTGAAGTTGTTTAGGATCTTCCGGATGTGGTCTCTGAGGGAGCAAGTCGGATGATTGGCTATCAGCATTCGCTGATGGTACAGCCGATGCTCGCGGATATACTCCAGTACTTCAAGCAACTCCATCTCATCCTTTTGTTCGCGCTTACTCTGCCTGGGACGACGCAGATTCAGGCCAGACCAGGCAACAGCACACGAGGCTGATGCCCAGGCCAGTAAGGAGCGCCATCGCCGTCGTCTGTGTTGTCCGGAGTAAGAGATCGATTGTGACGGCGGCATTGGCGATCTGTGTGCTTGTAAGGAACGTCAGGTTGTAGGCAAACAGGCATCCTGTTTGCCGGAAAACCCAGTCAGTGGTAAATCGCTGGCTATCCACAGACGGTCCTGGATCGTTGCCAAAGGTAGCATGGCTGGCTGGGGGGGGGCACTTGCCTGTGCTCACATTCGGGCTCGAATAGCGAATGTTGACAAATGCGATGAGATAGACAACAACAAAGAGTCCCCCAATTGTCATGAACTTGGCAACCCACTTCTCCGAGCTGTCGAGGGTCGACAGTAGATAGGACGAGTACAAAAACGAGACCGAGATAACGAGCCCGATAGCGATGGCCGCAAGTGAGTGCAGCGACGACTTGAGCATGGCTCCGACCGACCGGGTTGGGGCGACAAACACAATGGCCGTGATAACAAAGCAGGAACAGGTGCCGAGGATCTTGCCGAGCGGCGTGAACATGATTGCGGACATGGCAACGATGTAGGCCAGGGTGACCTTGGCCAGACGCCGGAGGTCGGTGCGGTGCGGCTCCTGCCATGGCTTTTTGAGCAACGACGCAACGGAACTCTTGAGCGAAACGATCGTGGGCGAGGCTTCCGAGGGCGAGTGAACCGGCGATGCCTCGGCGTCATGCATCTGCATGAAGCCCCTGTGTCTGCCGATGGTAAGACAAGATGGCATGGGACAGGGTAGTAGGGACAAGATAGTAGGGACAAGATAGTAGGGACAAGATAGTAGGGACAAGATAGTAGGGACAGGATAGCGCACTGATTAGGATTACCGGGCCGCAAAGAGGCTCTCGGATTGTGCTTTCGGCTTGACCATGGGCACATTTCACGACAATATGTGCAAGAAATGGTTCCGATTAGATACTGCCAGGAACTTACCGTTGCCAGAAGGGCATGGTGTCGAGAGATTGATGCAGGTGAATGTGCGAGGGGAATACAAGTCACCGGGGCTTGCAGGACGTCAAATATGCTGGTACAAGTCAGAAGTCGAGCTATCTCCGTATTGGCCCCTGGCTTCTGAGCGGGATCAGATTATACGTTCGTGTGCGTCTCTGAAGCTGAGCAATCGCCCAAAGCCCAGGAGTAGACAGTGGTGAAGGTCCCCTCGGTTTGGCCAGCCGGGATCGCTTGCTCGAAGACCGGACCAGCCCGCCAGCGTCTTGCGTCGTCAGCACCTTGCGGAACAATCAGGGGCCGGCGCGGATCGCAGTCGACGTCAGAGAGGCTCGGGCAGTGACATCAGATCTGACTCGGCCGCTTGGGATGTCTTGCGGATGAACCGAGGCATTCATGATTCGGCTTGCATTGGGATGATCGGCTGCGCATCGGTTCAGAATCAATCCGATCGTTGCATCCGGACGTCGCCCAGCATCAAGCCTCGGCCCGCCATCCCAGTGTGTCCGTCAAGCGCTTTTCGAGCTGCAATGAACACTCTCCGCTCGGTTCCTGCTCTCCGGAGTCTCATTGCACGATCGCACGTTAGGGTTGAATATGGAGCATATTTGCTGCCGGCATCTCGTCGAGCTTGGCTCGGCCGCCGCTTCTACCATCCGCTGGCCGAGGCCCCAAAGAACTTTGGCTTTGTCTCTCCGGAGGAGCTCAACGACTGGGTGAGCGACCCTGCTCAGCGGCCCGGGTAGGTTCTGGTGCCAGAGCGACGGATTCTTGGTATGCAGGTCCTCCGTCCCCAGCCGTCCGCACCTGGCCAGACCCTTCCAAGCAGCTCCGTTCCCTGTTTCCTGCTGGCTTGGTTGCCAACTTGCTAACTTGCTAACTTGCTGGCTTGGTTGGGCGACCCAATCGAATTCTCTGGAATCACCGATTCTGGCTCCCGCTCGGCAACCCGCTCTAGCCTCGACTATCTCGTCGTCGACGTTCGAGAGACCGATTATTATGCCAAAGGACACATCCCTGGGGCCATCAACCTGCCATCGTCGCAAATCCTGCCCCTCGAGGACTCTCAGGTCCTGCAAGACAAGACTGTCGCCAAGCTGCTGCTGCGGCAGGATCGCAAGAACGAGTCGGACTCGGTGCAGCTTGAGCATCTTCCCCGGCATTTGATCTTCCACTGCCAGCTCTCGCTGATTCGCGGCCCGTCCATGACCACAAAGTTCCTGAGAGCATTCCAAAGCCTCTATCCGGAGCGTGAGGGACCGCCCGAACTTGAGCTGCTCGATCCTGACTCGGATGAGTACCAGCAGGCCTTCGATGGCATCCATTCGGCCGAGGAGGACGAAAGCTTTGTGAGCCTCTACATCCTCAAGGGAGGATACAAAGAATGGTCCAAGTTCTACAAGGTGGAGAAGAAACCCTGATCCGGCCGACCAGCAGCATGGCCCACTGGTCTTGAGTGCAATCGTTAATCTCGATGGCAGTCGATCGCCTTGAGGGGCCGCGCAGTGGGTCCTGAATACACAACCTCCCATCGCTGCACTGCGTTTTCTTCCGAGTATAAAGTGTATTGTGCGGGCAATAGTCCGCGGCTCAGACCGCCAGCACCCGCCGGTATGATCACAGGGAGCCTGCTGCAGTGCCGTACATGTTCTGAAGATGTCGATCATGCTCGTCCATCGGGCCCAGCGCTGCGGTTTCGTGACTCGGAGATGACGTTTCGAGCCCTCTGCATCCGTATCACGAGACTGCAGGTGCTGGGAGATTGTCAGAAGGAGGCGTGCTGCGGCTTGAGAGAATTAGGCGATTCGGGGTTTGACGTTTTCGTTCCAGACCTTGACCAGGCCGCTAGCTGTCGCGGCGAAAGGTCCGTCGATCGTTCCAATCTCTTTTTCCGGGTCGACGGGCATCATACAGAACGGAGACGTGGACGTCTCCCAGTCCCAGATAACGTTTCCCCAGGTGGTGTCGGTCGCCCAGTGGGTAAGCTGCATGGGCGCATCGCCATCATAGTGCTTGTTGGGCACAATGCCGCCGTTGAACCAGAGCGGTTTCATGTTTTCGTCAGGGTGATAGAGCCCGCCGCAGATATGGCCGTTTTCTGGGTTTCGGTAACCGACGGCGCCGCCGGCAGCCTTGTTCAAGAAATAGGGAACGCGCATGGCCTCAAAGGCCACCCAGAAAGTCTCCTTATCGCCTGAGAAGATATGGATGGCAGGATATCAGCGAACCACTCGACCAAGAGCATCAGTGCTGCAGCAAGGGGTAGAGTCGACATCGAGGTGTCCACAGTACGCCCACGGTCACGATCGACAGCTCCGGAATGCTGAGATGCATATGAGGTCGCTGGGTGCTTGGCTTACCGTAAAAGACGTCATAGAACTCCTTCTTGAAGTAGTCCGTGTTCATCTTGCAGAGCAGGAGCAGGACATGGAAGGTGCGGGCCTTGTCAAAGACCAGGACACCAGACTCGCCCTCGTGCACACTCAGCTTGCGGAAGATGCGGCCCTGGAGGGCATACTCCGATGGCTCCCGGATGATGCTGCGGACGTAGTTGGCGTGCTTGCCCGATTCGGCGTCCATCTTCATGGTGCGGTCACGGAAGAGCAGGGTGCCGGTTTCAATATATCCCTTCTGTCGGAACACCACCTCCGGGTCTTGCAGGAACAGGGCATCGGCGTCCATAAAGATCACCTCGCTGAAGGACGAGAACAGAATCATGAAAGACTTCATGGACCAGCCGCCAATGCCAACGGAGTTGACCAGCTTGGAAAGATCGATGACGCGAACACGGGACACCTTTTCCAGCTCCTTGATCTTGTCGGCACTGAGATCTTTGTCGCCGTAGTAGAAGATCTCGATAGGCAGGTGGCTGTTGAAAACCAAGCGGATGGTTTGGATCAGATGGAGGGCGTAGCGGTAATGGAAGTTTCCGGTTGAGAGGACGATGCCGCGCTCGTTGTTGTAGCTCTTGAGCAGGCTATTGAGGGACTGGATGGGATTGTCCTTCTGGAAGAAGGGGAACAGGAAGGCCTCCATCTTGCCCAGAGCCTCCTCCACCTTCTTCACTTTTTCCTTTCCACCGGCACGGAAGACCGCATCGGGATGCAGGTTACCGCGAGCATCGTAAATGACGTTGGAGAGATCGCGGAAGAGCCTGCAACGCTTGGACAGGCCATAGATATCGCTCTCTTTCAAGGGGACCTCGTCGCTGAACTCGAACAGATCCAGCAGGCGATCAACGGCGGGGTTTGAGAAGTTCTTGGAAGGCGACAGATAGCTTGGGTCGTTGGCGAAGACGGTCTCTGGTTTGGCCGACGGGGGTTTGTCCAGCAAGAGCCTGCTGAGATGGAGAAGAAGCAGACAGTCAGCCAAGGAGCAGCTGCCGAGCGACAAGCGACTAGCGACTAGCGATCAGCAATAGTACAGGTGCAGAGGAATGGGGGGGGGCAATGCACGGCGGATCGGTGACTGCCGTCGAGCATCAGCAGAAGCAGCTGGTGTTTACCTGGGCTCTGGACCCATCAGAGTGATGATGATGGTGGCCAAGATGAACGAAATCAAGACCAGCACCACGAGTCTCTTGGTCAGGAACGTAATCGGCCGCGGCAGCGACATGTGTGGCAGGCGGGAGCAGGGGGAGGATGGACGAACGGGCGATGGGCAAGCAGAGGAATCGACGAGCAGCGGGTCTGGAGCGGGATGCCAGAGGAAGAGGGTGGCCAGAGCAAGAGGGTGGCCAGAGCAAGAGGATGACCATCCAAATACGAGGCCTTGTGCCATGGGCTAAAAGGGTTCAGCGTTGCCCCCCTTTGGAAGCGTCGCACAGGCAGCGGCCACAGAGACAATGGTCGACAATAGACGCGCACGCTGCGTCGCACCGCCCAGTACCGCGCCCGAAAAAGGCAGGTCCGCGACCGTGCGGAGGCGGTGTGCTCACTGTGGCTGTGGCGGCAATGTCGGCGAGGGTGGGACAGGCACGGGCGTGTCGGGCACAGCGGCTGCAGAAAACACAGACGTGCTGTGCAATGGCAGGGCAGAGCACGCGCCTGGCTTGTCTGTGGCTGCTGCTCGGGTGCTGTCACACGGCTGCTGTCACACGGCTGTTGTCACACGGCTGTTGTCCTGCTCAGCCACGCCCGTTCCTCGTGCAACCAAGCCATTCGAACCGCCCTCCCTTTCTCCTGGCTGCCAGGGGTGGAGGGGGTTCCACATGCTCGGAACAGATGGTGCCACAGGAACGCATGCCTGGCGCTCGCACAGGGGTCGAGTCGAGTCGACCGCCCAGTCTCGCCGTTGTGTTGCACTGGCACAGGTCGCAAGATCAGTCTGTCCCATCCTGCCGCCCTTCGCTCCGGCTTGAACAATAGTTTCCCCCAAAGCCGCTCCGTGACAATGCTCCAGCCGCAAGCACACTCGCTGCATCGTGCTTTCGAGAAAGTAGCGGATGTCTCACGTGCGGTGCTCGACTCGTCGATTGTGTATCCGCGCTTGGTCTTGCACCTGGGATGCCTGTTGCCTGCGACCTCCGGACAATCCTCGGTCTCTCCTCAACGGCCGCGTCCTTTGGAACCGGCCTGTGCCGCCATCGATCCATCTCCCAATCATCCAGACCGAGCCAGTGTCCTGATTCGTCAAAGTTGACAAACAATGGACAGCTGAATGACCTTGCTGCCATTGCCGTTCAGACGTGAGACCAGCAAGCGCAGCCTCTTTCTCTCGATTCTGCGTTGACTCGCACTCGCCTACACTCGGCCCAAGGAAGCAAGGTGCTCCTTAGCAATCGGTTGCTTGATTCCTCTTGTGCCTCGGCCAAACCCCGCTCGAGAGCCACTCGCTTTCCATCAATCCGGTGTAGCGCGCGCACTCTGGGCTGATAGTCTCTCAAGAAATACCGAACGGAGGTCGATAGCTTGTTGGCTTGGTTGAACGCATCCCCTTCCTCTAACCACCTCTCATCCCCAGCGATATGGCGACCAAGGTAGGGCCGTCGCGGTTTCCCACGCATTCATTCGAGCGACGCCGTTGCCCACACGCAACTTCTATATCCTGCCCGCTCGACTAACGCCACATCAACTCATTCACCATCCCTCTGCCCACTTGCTCTTCCGCCTGATGCCATCGACCCAACGTGGCCTTGGGATATAACATCGACAACCCTCATATACTCTCAACACATCAACCGCTCGTGTGCTCATCATTCACCGCCTTTTCTCACACGCGCATATTCATCTGCACGTTGGTGGTGCTTTCTCACGCGCCATTCGCCGTCGGTCTATTGCTGGGTCACTCGGGCCACGGTGTCTTGCGCACACCACATCTCCTTCGCCGTGTATGGTCATTGTTCTGGCTCCATATCCCTTCCATGTGTACCAGAAAAAGGACACGGAGAAGTTCCTGTTGGACTTGGCTGTGCTTGTCGCAGCTCTGCCCATCAACACCAACAAAACTCTCTTCAAGGCTTTCACAAACACCTTTACGGGCGAGGACGCCATCAGCACCATACTTTCGCTGCCAGCTCTTGGCCTCAAGAGCAAGGATGCCGCTGTTGAACGCATGGATGCGTATTTGGAAGCCCGTCTGCTCATCAATGTCGAAAAGCCCTTCGAGGACACCTTTCGCTCGAAATACATCTACGCCGTCTCGTACAAGGGCGAGGAAATCCTCAAGGACGTCAAAATGGGGAAGCTCACCCATGAATCTCTCGAGTCGTCGCACCTGCACGGCTTTACCATCCAGTCTAAGCTGGCCTACATCGACCGGACGGCGAGCGGCAAAATTAGCCTGGGCTTCAACATGGCCGAGGTGCTCTTCAAGCGCTTCTGCGGCAAAGAGCCCAACATCACCGAGAAGAGCGAGCGCACCGGACCCATCTACCCCGGTGAGAGCCCCAGTAAGACTCCGAGCTCGGTCAATCTCGGCGACATAGACGGCGTCGCCAGCGCCATCCAGCTCAAGAACCGCTCCCATCTGCGAGAAAAGATCCCCATGTCCTTCAGTGGCCACCAGGCCGTGACGTGGTTCTTGGATTCCACTTCCATCCTCACTCGCGCCGAGGGAATCGTCATTGGCTCGCACTATCTGTCGCTGGGCTGGATTCAGTCGGCCGGGGACTCGGGCGAGAAGACCCTTGTGGATTCAAAGCATGCCCTCTATCAGTTTACTCCTGTTGCCATGGGGCTCGCCGGATGGCCGGTTTCCTTTGTCGAGGAGGCCATGCGGCAGATGGATAAGCAAGGGCTCCGCAAGAGAGGATTGGCCCGAGGCGCCGACGAGCCTCCTCCTGGCACCAGTCTCATTTCCAAGGACAACCTCGAAAAGTTTGAGCGCATCCTGCGCAAGTCCCAAGAGATGCTCGACGGCGACTCGACTCGAGATTCAACGGCTTCCTCCGTCGTGGCTGCCTCGACTCGAGTCTCGACGGCCGTCAGCCATAAGCCAAGCGTCAAGCGAGTCTCTGGCCTCGGAGCCGACTTTGATGAAATGATGGCCGGACCACCCACCGAGGAATCCGGCGTCCGACCATCAATTGCAAATAACAACGCTTCCACGACCCGACACCGGGCCCACACCTCATCCGAGGCCAAGCCGTCTACTGCTGCCGGTGGCCGGGCTGAATCGTCCCGAGTCAGTACTGTCCTCTCGCCGACTGCACAGAAGGCCAAGACCGGTCCGCTGGCCGAGCAGTTTGCCAAGGAATCCAATTCCAATCGGCTCACCACCATCATCGAGAACCAGGATCTTGCCGATGCCTTCCAAAAGTTCCTGTGTTCGACCTTTTGCGAGGAGAACTTTTTGTTCTGGGTGGATGCTGACCGATTCAGAAAGATGTATGGTGCACCCCTGGCTGGAGCCGATCCATCAGTGCCCGTCAAGCCCCAAGATATCATCCTGAACCACCACAAGCTCAAGGAAATCAGCCACGTTTACCTCATACCTCACGCCCTTGCCCTCTACCAGAAGTACATTGCCCGCGATTCGCCCTTTGAGGTCAACATCGGATCCAACCTGCGCCGACAGATCTGTGCCATCATCGAGAGCCTCGGTGACTCGCTCAAGCTCATCGACATCAACACGCTGAAGCAGCCCACGCCCGTCGACCCGATGGAGGTGATTCTGGCCCCACACACCCCAAGCGACTTTCCCGCGACTACCGACGGATTCTCGGCCACCATGTTCGACGGCATCCAGACCCACCTGTTCCGTCTCATGTCGACCGACTCGACCCCAAAGTTCACCAAGACAGAGATCTATCAAGAGCTGTTCTGGTCGTATGTCTCACAGGGTCTGATCGCCCCGAGGGTCGCTGCTCCGAATCTGACCATCGAGCGGCGCCGCTCGAGCACCATCCAGACGCGACCCATCAGCCAAATAGTACAGCCGACACAAGCCCCTGTTCTGAAGGAGGAATCCGAAACCTACGAGATGGCTGTGCCCATCGCAGGTTCGAGAAAAACCAGTCTCAAGATCTCCGATCCCGATCTCCGACCCAAGAACAGCACGAAAAAGGCGTCCGGGTCCGGCGAGGAGAATGGCCATCGTCGACGGAGCAGCATTGCAAACATCAACGAAGCCGTCCAGAAGTCCGGTGCCTTGTGAGCCGTGGCGATGTGCTCTGGTCCAGAAGTTGCAGAGGGTCTGTTTCTACTGTGACCATCCGGGCCGTCTGCTGGCGAGAGCATCCCGCTCTTGATATTGTTGGGGTGGGGGCGAAGGCACTTCAGCGACGATTGGCAACACAAGATGCGCAATCGATCGGATGCATCTCCACTTTGAATATGCGAGCTCGAACCGCCACAGCAAATCTACCCCCCGAGTTAGCCGCCTGTCTGTCCGGTGACTGCATGCTTTTCTTTGCCGTTCCCGGTACATGCCCAAAATGACACTCTCTCTTGTCGATCTGCCCATCTTTCTCATGCCGCCGCGGATATTCTTTGCACATTCCGTTTCGTCTCACTCCGTTTCGTTTCATTTCGTTTCGCTTCGTCTCTGCCTCCTGAATTGCTCACGCTGCTGGTGGTCTCCATTCTGTTGACTTTTGATTTCATTTCGCGGGGGTTATCGTGATTATCTTGTCCATGTTTTGCGGAATGCTGGGAGCAATATAGAATAAAAACAGCGATACAACCGATGGCGATGATGGCGAATGACCGCGATGGCGGCAACGCCGTTGAAGAACCAAGTGCTGGAGCCACTCTGCTGACGGACCCTGCATACTTGAGCCTTCGCCCGCCGTCCGCCACACTCATCCGCCACACCCACCCATCACCACCGATATCCGCATCGCCATGGCTGATACACTTTACACTTTATTCAGAAAAAAAAAAAAAAACGGGACAACACGGCCGTTTCCATGAACATGTAGTATGTGTTGTGCTCGCGTCAAGCAAAGCCACAAGAAATAAAACAGATCACTTTGGCAGCCTCCGAGTGAACACCACCGGTCGCTCTCCGGTCTCCACAATTGACCTGCACCCTGGCCTCGGAGTGCCAGCGGTGAATGGTGCTCTTGGACACACTGGCGAATGGTCATGGCCAGCACGCGATAGCATTGGGTAACAAAGTATTCGATGAATGGTCAAAAACACGGGCGTCCCGTTTTTAATTGGATTGACTATAAGTGACCAATGTGTGTGTATTCAGGATACAAAGAGGCAACGCCTCAATAACAGGATATCCCCCCACTACCTTTTCATTTCGTTTCTGGTCGCTGTTGTTCAGACGGCCGTCTTCCCCTCGCTTTGGGTTGTTTGTGTGCGATCTGTGTTGGGGGAGGCTGGATGGTGCTCTCCATTGAGAATGCGCGGTCAGATCACTTCGCCGCGCTGCAGAATGCGATACTGTGGAGTTGGGTTTGAGGCCGGAGGGGCGCTGGGAGCAGATGCGCTCGGCCCTTTATCTCGCTTGCGGGGCTTTCCGGAGCCTGTCTGGCTGCTGCGGTGGCTGGGCTTATCGCGGTGGCTGTTTCGAGCTGCAGGCTTGGTACCGATCCGCGACTGAGAGGAGCTACTTCGCCTCGAGGGCCCGGCAGACTCCAGAGTGCTATAGTCCATCTCCTCGTCTTCGTCCTCGTCTTCTTCGCTTTCGAGCAGGATGGGCTGCGGCTCCTTGTGCTTTTTCTTGGCGAGCAAATGCTGGTTGTTTGGCTTGCCGCCTGCAGTTGGGCTCGCAGCACGTTGGGCGTGCTGGGGGAGCTGGAGGCCGGCTGCGGGCTGCTCCGAGGTCGGCGAGGCGATGCCAAGCAGTGCCTTGAGATAGTCAACCGGCTGAGGGTCCGGCGTGGGTTCAGTTTGTGTCTCGAGACGGAGCTTGACGGATGCACTGGACGACTTCTTGCGGAGGATCGAGGATGTGGTTGTTGAAAACTCTCGAGATTGCCGGCGGACAGGGACCTGACTGGGCTCGAGCTTTTGCAGTTCAGAGTCTGCGCTGGGCTCATCCAAGCTGTCAAGTCGACCGCCAGTTGAGAAACTACTCAGCAGGTCCGTTCCCGTCAGTGGGTCCGCTTGGGAAACCACCCCGGCCGAATTGATTGTGTGAGCAGGCTGCAGACGATTGGAATATGAATCGGCACTCGGCGGTGCTGTGAACTGAGTCAAATCCAGAGCACGGTGCCTTGGAGCAGACGCCTCGGGCGCTTGCTCGTAAAGCGAGCTGTAAGCCTGGTTGCTCTGGACCGGGGGCTGCCCGCCCGTCAACAGGTTGATAAAGTCTGTGCCAGTCTGCGTTGTGTGGACATGCAGCTTGTTCGGGGTTGTTGGACTGACGTTTCGGTGACCAGAGAGCGGGGGCTCGACAGGCTTGGGAGCACCGGTGCCGACGAGGAGCGAGAGCAAGTCGCTCTTATGTTGCTGAAGGCGATTGGGGGGATTCCATACCTGGCCAGCGGACGAAATCGCATCTGACTGGGGAGAGGAAAACAAGTTTGTGATGCTGGAAGCGTTTGTGCCGGGGTGGGCCAGGGGTACTTGCTCACCGGTGCCCACGGGGATCTGTACCGGCGGTGCGATGCGGAAGGGAATAGGCGGACCGGCAGCCTCAAATGATGCCGGCGCGACAGCAGCGGGCCACTGGGCTGGTACGCTCGCAGCGGGAGGTTCGCTCGGGTTGATCACAAGGTGCTCGTTGGGGATGGCATAGGGCATGTTTGCAAGAGGGAACTGAACCAACGGCGGTGCGGGTGCCTTAGTGGTGAGGATTGAAAGTAAATCAAGTTTCGGGTCGATCAGGGTATGGTCCGCCGAGGGCGGCAGCATCATGCCTGGCTGCGGGAAAGCAGGTGGGTAGATGCCGCCATCGGTGTGGATGCCCATCATACTGCCGCCAGCGTGGCTCGGTCGGGCAGGTCGTGTCGAGTCGGTATTGCCTGTCAAGATGGTCAGCAACTCCGACTTGTGATGCGAATTGAATGGAGCAGGAACGGGCTTCGACGATATGCTCTCGAGTGGCGCGGGCGGCGCAGGGACGGGCCAGCCCTGGCGTTGGGGCTCAGTCGATATTTGAAGCGGAGGAGGGCCTCCAAGGAAGGGCATGGGCATAGCCAAGCCAAAGTCTGGAGTGGACATGGGCAGAGTAGGTGGAGCAACCGCCCCGGGCAGGCCTGCGGACGGTGCAGGTTGTGGCGGCCATGGCAGTGAAGTAACCGATGGAAGTGCTGGTGCGGCGACTGGCATTGTCCCTGGCAGGGTACTAGGAGCAGGCGCGGCAGAAGCTGGCAGCGCAGAGCCAAGTGCCGAGAAAGAAAACGGGTCGAGACGTTGCGAGAACAAGGACTCGACTGAAATGGAGATGCCCTCGGGTTGAGCGGCGGATGTACCCGGCTGCTGCTGCTGCTGGTGCTGCTGCTGTGGCGGCAGTGGCGGTTTGAGAGCCTCTGCCGCGCCAATACCGATCAGGGCCTTGAGCGAGTTTGTGGCTGCCTCGTTGGAGCCGGAGCCCGGTGTTTTGACAGGAGAGACTCCGTTTGGCTGGATATCGCGCACATCTGGCTGAAGCTGAAGAGTGGTTGCGGGCTGGGGCTTGCCCTTGCCTTTGCCGCCTTTGGTTGGTGTTTTGAGGCCGCGCACATCGATCTCGGTGGCATTCTGGATAAGCATCTCCTGATCGAGACGCGAGACCAACTTGGAGGCGGATTTCCCGGACTGGTCCGGCTTGAGGGGAGTGGTTGGTGGAGGCTTCTTTGGGACAGGCGTCGCTCGCTTGCTGACCTCGACATCGGAGGTCACCTGGTAGTGCGCGACGCTCAAATCCAGATCGCTTTCCCACTCACTGGTACTCTTGTAGTCCTTGGAGGCCAGGGCCTTGCGCGAGGCAGACTTTTTGCTCTGCTTGTGCTTTGCCATCCAGCTTTTGATTGCACCCACAAAAGCGGTGACCATGTAAAACTTGTGCTTGCTGATGGATCCTATTGCGTCGCTCTGGAAGCCCTCGGGATCCTTGCTCCAGCCCGAAAGCGAATTGAGGGGGTGCCATTTGATATCCTGAAAAGCGAATCGCACAGTTGGCATTAGTTATGCGGACGTGGACGTGGACGTGGATGTGCAGTGACATCGTAGGGGGGGGGATATGTGCCAACGATCAGACAGCCATTGCTTACCCCGATCTCTTTCCGGGTCTGTGTCTCAAACACTGTGTTTTCGGGAATACCGGTGATGATGTACAGCCGAATCCGCTGCTCCTTCATCGTCCGTTCAACGTAGTCGGACTCTTTCAAGAACGCTGAGATGTCAAACCCTGTTTCCTCCATGACCTGGAACCACAGAGCAGGATATGCATCAGCCAGTGCCCCGGAGACGTTTAGAACCGAGCAGTGATGCTCAGCGAATGCTTACACGATCGATGAGCCATCTACCACCCATCGAGTATTCGTCACCCAGATGTCTATGAGCGGACTGACTCCACCCGGCTTTACCTCTCGGACGGCGCAGGAAGTCAGAGGCTCATCCTTGTTGATCTTGCCCTTGGGGAAACCCCATCCGGATCCGGCTTTCCATCCCTTGACGAGGAGGACCTTGAGGACCGAGATTTGGAAAGCGGGAGAAGTGAGTCACAAATGAGAAAGCGAAACAAGGGCTGCAAGATCAGCGCGGAACGACACCGCCGCTTCGGTATCAAGCGATCACCGCAACGACAGCAGGCCACAGTAAAGAGGTTCCCGTTCACAATCACCGGGACTGATACCGATGGCGTGGAGAAGGGAGCTACATAGATCTTGCTCTTGGATGGGATCCTGATGCAGCCTTGCCTACCTTATCCATCTTGGTGTTGAGGATGATGGCGCCGCAGACGGGCACCCTGACCTTGTACTCGATGAAGTTGGCAAAGGCGGTTTCGTGGTCGTGAGCCCATTCGTGCAGCAGCGGACAGTATTGGAAGAACCTCGAGGAAAAGTTCTTGAGGGAGTACGATGGGAGCTTTGGATTCTCTTCACGGACAAAGTCCTCGTAGAACCAGTGCGCCTGTTCGATCTGGAAGCAGATACGCTCGACAGACTTGAGCTCCTCTTCTGGTATGTTGATGATGAAGCGGCTGGAGAGGTGGCGTTGGTGGTCAGAGCAACGGTCAAACGGAGAAGCGCAGGTTGGGAAGGCCGGACAGCCCAAAGAGGCGAGACGAAGGGATCGCCGATCGCCAGGGGACTCCAGCAGCGACTCAAGACCGATCAGGCCAGCAAAGATACGCATCAAGGACAATGCAGGGGCTCGATTTAGAGCGTCTTGGTGGCGACAAGAGCCGTCGACCCGATGGGTGGATGGATGGATGGGGGTGGGCTGCACCTCTGCAAGTCGTCCAAGACCTCTTCGAATGACATGCGCTTGAACGTCATCGTGTTCTGGCTGCGATGCAGAAATCGGCTGGAAGATGATGCTCTGCTCAGACAGACACGGACAGAGTGCTGATGTGCAAGTGGGCTCGAGGCTGGGGAGGCGATGCGGCGGGATGAGACGGGGCAGGACGAGATGGGATAGATGGAATAGATGGGATCGCCGAGGCGGAATGCGTTGGGCTGGAGCAAAGGGAAGCCGGGGTGTTCTCGGCGGAGAACGAGGGCACGCGAGAGCACAGCGAGAGCGCGGCGAGAGCTCCGTCCAAAACGGGCGCTGTTGGTGCGTTGGCGTTTCGTTCCATCTTCCAGGCCGATCTCCCACAGACCAGGTACGTTCGGCTGACGCCTGATAGACCCCGACAGGCTCTCGAAAGGCTTTTTGGCAGGCTCTCGGCAGGCTGGGACCCACACACGGCCCCCGACCTGGCCTCGACCTTGCGGGGCCATTGCCGACCCGAATTTCGATTTCAGGCCCTGTCTTGATCCCGCAATCCCCCCGATTGACCCCCTGCTTTCCCGTTTGCCGGCTGCTGGTGCTTGCCATCGCCATGCCATCGCCATGCCATCGCCGTGCCAGCCCCTCCAGAACCGCAGCGCCGATATGACCATCACCGACCTGCAGCTCCAGTCCGCCGTGAACTTCCTCGGCGGGTCGATCATGGTTCTGATCATCATCTATCACTTCCTCCAAGCCAACGCTGCCAAGCCCTCCTCGCACCCCAAGTCGTCCTAGAATCCCCGACATTCGAGCGAGGGGTGGGCCTGCTGTGTCTTTCCTCAGCCAGTCCAGCCAGCTCAGTCCGCTCCAGCTCATCCCCGGTGGAGCAACCCATAATAGTCTGCCCTGGCAACGCCGATATGACAACCGGGCTTGCCGGATTGGCGAGATTCACAGGCTGAGAATCTGGATGTCTGGCCAGCGGGTCACCTCTGTTTCGCAATATATCGATGCTGCTTGATGCGCAACGCAACGCCCGAGAGACTGCATGGCTGTTGGAAGGGCCATCGGCCCAGCGAGGGATTGCGGGGACTGTTGCAGATGGGCAGAGTCGCATGAGCGACGGCGAAGCCGTTTCAGCACAGATGCGTGTCCCGGCCGCTTCGCCGCGATCTTGCCCACGATCGGCTCTCCCAGCACACCAGCACCATGTCCAGCGACTCTGAGGAAGACGGCGGTCCATCAGAGCTCAGCAGCGAGCTGGATGAGGCGCCAGAGGATACATCCGAGCAGACGCTGGTATGCAGCAGGCCCGCCGTTTGGATTGTGTCCCAGTCCACATTCTGTCTATCTGGACTGAGAAGAGCGTTCTCTTTCCCAACAGCGACTGAAGGCGGCTGTCTACTTTGTCATCTCCAAGCAGTGCGAGAAGCTAGGTATATCATGCCCCTGGAGATTGCATTGGCGAAGGGCTGCCGACTCGGCTGGAGGAAGCTCAAAGCTGCGACTTGGTTTGGATCAATACAGCCTAACTTTTGGTCTGGCATGCGCAATGCTGTTTCCTTGGCTTGATGGGCGGGAACACATGTCCGGTGATAGCCCGAGAGCACAACGTCGACATAACGCCGCAGTTCATCCGGGCCGTCTCGGAACTCGTCTACCAGCAAGCAGGTGGGATCATGGCCGCGCTGGCAAACCGACGCAGATCGACAGCGGCGAGGACAGCGTTTCCGATCTAACGCCCCTCGCTGTGGATCTCATCCGATCTTTCGATGGAGCAGGCCATATGGGCACTGACCTGGAGCTGTTTGCCAAGTGGGTTTGCTGGCTGGGCGGTCTGGCGGCACAGGGGCAAGCCCACATGCATGCGATCGTCGACTCGTTGAGCGGGAGCCCGGTGGCATCCAGCATTATCGGCTCCGTGGCCGCATGCAGGGCCGGGCGGGTGGGCGGCAGTACCACTGGTTGACGATCCATTCCAATAACGCAATCGACGCAACGGCCAGGCACGCGAAACGGAGCACGATTGCCGTTGATGATGTCAAGGTAGGCTAGAACATGGTCTATTCTGCGGCTGCATTGCGATCGCCGCCGCACGATTGCCGCTGGCCGGCTCTCGCCAGAACAACGGCCTTCGATCCGGGATGATCTCTTGCTCTTGCGCCGGGTCATTGGGACTCATACATGCCGCTTCCTCTTTCTCTCCTCGCTGGCGCTGCCTGGCGCTGCTGTGCTGGATGATCCACATCGGCCGGGGGGGGGGCCAGCTCTGTGTGCGTCGCAACGAGCATGCGGTAGGTTTCAGGCTGCAGACAGCATCGGGGCGACGAGACCGGGATGGGCGAGTGCCTGTCGATGGGAGTTGGTGGACGGGTCGAGAGGCAGGGCGGTGTGTATGGAGCGAGGCGAGGCAAGGCAAGTTCCGGCGACGGCAAATTCCTGACCCTCCTGTGTTGCGTGCAGCTGGATGCCATTGCTGGGCTGGTCGAGACACTGAAGCAGGGCAAGGCCCGGCCGAACAAACGGCCGCGGGAGTGAGCGCCTTCACCCGGCCGGGACCCCTTGGTTGCGCACCGGGGAACCAAAGGCGATGTGGGACCGGCGGTGTGGATGTCGACGGACGAGATAGGATTGGCATTGCCTGGGGGATATCGTTGCGGTGCACCGGCCCTGCTCTGTTGTCTGCAGATATCGCTCGGCGAGGGCCAATACAGCGAGCGCTTTGCTTGTGCTGTCCTTTTTGCACCGCAAACACGACAGCCGTCCGAACGGCAAGCGAAAGTGCAAGTACAAATGCAAGTACAAATGCAAGTACAAATGCAAGTACAAACGCAACCGCAAGTGCCACCAACACCCCCGGTGACCCCCCCCATTAACAACAACATCAACAACAACATCAACATCGACATCAACAACAACATCAGCATCGACATCGACACCACCGACAGCCCTGCCACCCACCCAGCACGCAGCACCAGCAGCGACACCCCGATCCGGTGTCCTCGCCGCTCGCTTGTCCAACCGAGGCCCTTGGGCATATTTATAGCACCTGGCGTGCTCGTTGCCCCTCGCTCCTTCCTCCTCCATTCGCCCTGTCGCTTGCGCTGAAGCAATCCCGTCCTGCTTCCACTGCCCTCCCACCAAGGAGACGACTCGGCTGTCGAGTCGCCCTGCTCTGCCTGTCCTGTCGCCTCGGCTCCATCCCATCGACTCGCTCAGGTGCTGACCAGACCCCTCGAGCCGGTCCCATTCTCCCGACCTTGACCCCCCCCTCCTGCATATCGCATATCGCATCTTGCCGGTCATGTCCAAGCTCCAGTCAGTCAAGCGCTGGTTCAAAACCAAGTTCCACCTGGGCAAGAGCCACCCCGACTCTTTCCCGGCCGACCCGCCGGCCAGCCCTGCTGCCGACGACGAGGAAGACGAGGTCGTGACCTTCATGGATATGCTCGACTACGAGCCGCGGCCGTCCCCTGCCCCGTCGTCTCCATCGTCTCCGTCGCCGTCGTCGCCCACGCCCTCGTCTCCCGGCCTTCCGTCTTCGCCGGCCTCCAGTGGCTCATCCTTCTTCCGCAGCCGGCGTCCCTTCCATGTCTTCTCGACCGACCCTCCTCGCAACCAAGTTTCCGGCCGGCTCGGCCGCACTGGCTCGGTCCGGAGAATCGCCAAACGAAATTCCAGCGCCCCTGCCCTGTCCTAACGTCGCTCCTGCGAACCTGTATGCCTCAACCAGCCGATTCTGCTCCAGCCAAGACCAACGCCTTTCCCCAAAGGCAACCAACTTGGACCGCTGGTGGTTCCTTGCCTCTGGTGGCTCTTTTCCTCTGCTGGGCTTACTCGAACTGTGTCCTTACACAGGGGCCATGTCGCTCTCCTCCACCACTTCTATTACTTGCTTTTAGTCATGCTCGCCAAGGTTATTTATATATACGTTCGATGCCACTGGGTCGCATCCGTCATTTTGTTAGTGCTGAGTCACAGCCCGCCGGGCAGTCATCTCGTGTCAATCAGAAAGTCAAATCAGCGTTTTGAAATATGATCATTCGCCAAGCATCTTGTGCTTGGTATCACACCCTGCGTTCCAGAGACGAGAGAAGGCGCATCGTGGATGATGTCGTTGGTGCTATTGATGTTGCTGTTGATGCTGTTCGTATCGTTGGTGCAGTTGATGCTGCGTTGCGCGTCCCTTCATGCAATGGGCTGCTGGGCTTCATGGCGAGGAGCCCATGAATCGTCGATGGGCATCAGGCCGGCTCGGATCCGCTCGACAACGCTATCAACGCGCCGACCGAGTTCGTCAGACTTGCTCTGGATCGTCTAGAAAGACAAAACCGGTCCAGATCAGCTACAGAGGCATGGATCGGAGCTTCTCCTGCCCGGATATTATCCTGCCTGGATATTGTCATCCTAATGTGCATCTCTTCCATCGCCGACTGTGCTTACCGTCTGTCCGTCCGGGGCTGCTGTCACAGTGGCGGTTTCGTGGTCCACCCGGACTTGCCAGCCGAACCCGCCTGCAAAGCGCATCTCCCAGTTGGCATCGTCAAGCAGGTCGTCGAGTTCATCCGGCCCGACAGTCTTGCCGTTGGTATCTAGCACCTCCACAGTGCCATCTCCAAACTGCAGGCACAGCAGCATCGTGCCGAATTTGAGCAGCTCTCGCTGCATCAGCGACTGTACCGAGACAAGGCCGCTGCTGTCGTGGCCGCCATCGCCGTCGCTTTCTTGGTCAGACATGTCCTGGTCGCTGCCGAGGGTGGCTCCCTGGTCATCATTGTTTTCTGTTTTGATCTCGACGTCCCAGTCGGCCTTGGGCTCGAGCTTGACGACCCCGGCTCCGCTGCTGCCAGCATCGACGTTGGCAGCGTCCTTCTTGTTTGCGGCCTGCTCGTCGTGGGAATGGTGCTGATCCTGGCCGTGATTGTGGCTGTGATCGTGGCTGTGGCTGTGGCCATGGTGGTGGTGATGCTTGGATTTGGTGGCTGAGGGGAATAGCACCGAGGGACGGTTTGGTGCCGTCAGTTGCCGACGGGGTCAAACCATACGCCTCATGGAGTGCACTTGCTACAGCCCGCTCGTGTCTCATCAGCTGTGACATCTCTGCATCTCCAGCGAGTGGCACCGATGGCAATCAGGGCTCGCGCTCAAATGGGGCAGCGTACGACGCCGCACTCACCTTTAACGGAAGCCGGGCTGCTCTCGGCCATGACGACCACCGAGAGCACCGAATCGGCAATCATGTCGTTGATGGCGCCGCCTTCCCACTCCAGCACGTAGATGCTACCGCCCACATCCCTGACCTTGACGGTGTTGAAGACCTGGTCGCGAGCGAGTCGTTATCAGCATCAGCGCCGGCATCTGAGGAGCGACGACAAGGGGCATCAAGCCGGACTGCTCCAGCACCAATAACACCGGGCCTCACCGTGAATGCACTGGAATCCGCTCCAGATTCGACTTTGCCGTAGGTTTGCTCGAGGTGCCAGCGCACCAATCCAAACGGCGCCCGGCTCTTGATGCTCTGCTTCTGGAGCACGACCGATGTGTTCAGCCCGGTATACTCGTCCAGCTCCGAGGGGTCCATGAGATGGTACTGGAAGTCTCGCTGGACAAGAACTCCGGACAGAACGTGCCCGGCAGCAGGCTCATCCGATGCCAGTTTGCCCAGCGTCTGATTCCAGAATAGAGCAAATGGGGAGGAGGAAAACGAGAGTGTGCATCGTTGGCTTGCATATCACGAGAGACCGAGCACCCTGGCCATAAACACCGATGCACCTGGAAGCGACGCGAGCGATGCGGGCAAAGGGTTGGTACCTTGGCCATTTTCTCGCCCTTGAAGGTCAGCTCGACAGACTCGCAGTTCTTTGGCGTGTGAATGACGATCTCCTTGTCCTTTTCCATATACTCGCTCTGCAAGCGGCTCTTGAGGCGGCCCATCTGCATGGCATCGCCGTGAACCAAGATCTGGAAGAAGTCGAGCAGTGGGGTTGAGTTTGTGCGGCCGAGGCAGACGAATACGCTTGCAGATGAACGGGGGTCGATGGACAGCGAGCTCGGAAAGACGAGCATTCCTACCACAGAGCCCAGATGCACTGTCCTAGGTCTCTCTTTCCACCAATCTCTCTATATCTCTCTCTTTCGGCGAGATGCCCTCCATCATACCAGATGTGGTGCGCCGACTTCTTCGATAAACTCGGAGTTTTGCAGATAGTCCACATGGGCCGAAAATGAAATGTAGTCGATTGTCAAGCGGAGAGGAAGCTTCATGCCACTCATGGATACAATTTCGTCCGGATGGGTCAGAATTTGCTGATCAACGAAGGGTGGCGTGTGGGCATTCCAGGAGGATTGGAAGGGGCCGGCGTGCGAGTTAGCGCCTCGTGCTCATGTCGGAAGGTGCACGATCTATCCAGTCCAGCGTTCTCGGTGGCAACAATGCTATCAGCGGTGCTTACATTGCCCAGGGTGCCCTCAACGACGTAGCCAGGGATGATGACGCCGTTGGCTTTGTTGATGCACCACTGCTCGAGCAGTTCGCGTGAGAAACCACTCTGTGTAAAGCGAGGAGCAAGACGACATTATTCAGGCGGCCATTCCATTCTTGGGCAGTTGACAGTTGACAGTTGGTTGTTGGCTGTTGGCTGTTGGTTGTTGGCTGTTGATTACGTCCTGCGCCACTCATCTCGGCGACGGTGCCGCAACCGCTTTTCCAACGGCGATGCCCAACTGACTTTGCTGACGGATCTACCTCAAGCTCCAGTTCCAGCTCCAGTTCCAGCTCCAGCTCCAGCTCCAGCACGGACTTGGAATCATACCTGCAGCATGCCGGGGCTGGCCATCATGACACATGGGCCAATGTCGTCATAGTCATGCTTGCTTCTGAGGTTGCTGATGTGCTTGAACTGAAACGGATTCGAGATCTTGACCTGCTTGCGGATGCGCTCGTTCATCATGTTGGTGTAGGTCTGATAGACAGCCATGCACTTTTTGGCAAGGCTGCTGGCGTAGTAGATCGGGATGTTGTGGAGCTCGGGGTGGCTCTGCCAGTACTCATCCAGGATCAGCAGCAGCTCCTGGGCTCGGCCGAGAGCAAAGACCGGGATCAAGCATCGACCGCCGCGCCGCACAATGTCGTAGACCATCTTGGTGAATCGGGCCTCGCGCTCCAGGCGGGGCTGGTGCGTTTGGACGCCGTAGGTCGACTCGGCAATCAGGACGTCTAGGGAAACGTTGGGCGGCTTTTCGGCGGCCATCAAATGGCGATCCTCCTCGCGAGAGTAGTCGCCCGTGTAGAGCACTCGTACGCCGGCGATTTCAATCAGGAACATGGCAGCACCCAGGACGTGGCCGGCGTTGTAGCCCGTAAATCGGATGCCCTCGACTTCGACCTCCTGGTGGTAGTCGATGACTTCGATTTTGCTGTAGGACTTGATGAGATCCTGTTCGGTATACAGGGCGTCTTCGCTTTCATCGTCCAGATTGCTGTAGCACGGACATTGAGCGATAGCAGCGGGTGGGTCAGCATCAGGCGATTTGGAAGCATTTCCCCCCTCCACCGAACACAATGCAGTGGATTCGATGGCATCTCATCCCTCTGCAGAATCAGATACAGCCCAGATCTCATGTCGTTGCGTACTGCATATCGCACTTTTGCCGCTCCCCATAAATCGATGTCGGCTATGTCGGGGTCTGCCCAGAACAGAATGCATCTTGGGCACCAAAGCCAACCCGCTTGCACACCAGGACGTGATCAAATGCATCATTACCTCACTTGGCTCACTTTGACATAGTCCGCCAGGAGCCAGCGAAAGATGGCGCGGGTAGGGTGGGTCATGAACACGCGGCCTTTAAACGTAGTCTTTATTATGGATTCATGCAGTGCATTTTAGTAGTGAGCAGTGGCGACGACAACAACAGCAGCAGCAGCAGCAGCAGCAGCAGCAACAGCAACAGCAACAGCAGCAGCAGCAGCAGCAACAGCAACAGCAGCAGCAGCAGCAGTTGACTGGCGCCGGGGGAGTTCGGGAGATTCCACAGATCCAGTAAAGCGATCCCAGCCGGCGCTGCTTGCGATGGTCCGAACTGCACCATCCGATCAGAGCCACAGCGTATCCAAGACCAGCGGAGCTCAAGAAGTCGTGCTCCAAGAAACGATGTGTCGAGCACAGGTCCAGACAGAGGGTGCGCTGCAGGATGCGTCTCTGAATCGAGGCCGTGGAGATCTCGTCGAGGCTGCCCCGGTGCCTATTGCTGCTGCTGCTGCTGCCACTGCATCTCGTTCTGCGTTGCTTCACACTGACACTGGCAGGCTCGCTTATGCATCTCGATCATCCAAACATAGCCCTGGAGCTTGCGCGACAGGCGGTGGGGTAGTCCGCATGCATATTCACAGAGTAGCCCTTACCTTTTCCGTGAAGTAAGGAAGGGCGGCAGCGTGGTCGACATGGAAGCTGCAGTATACACACGATGATATGGGGCCAGATCAGCAATGTCAGCCAGCTGATCGAGGCGTGGTTGGCTATCGGACAGCGCAGATCGCATCATCGTGGTTGGGCCGGGGGTGTCAGGACGAGAAGCGAGCAGGACTCACTGGGTGATCAGCAGGACGTCGATGCTGGCGGGATCGACCATGTCAAAGAACGGTAGCGACGCCAGGCCGGTGTATGCGGGATGCAGGCCGCAGTCCAGCATGACGGTCTTGCCCTTGAACTCGAGCAGGACGCACGAGCGGCCGACTTCGGAACCGGCGCCGAGCGGGGTAATTTTGAGAATGTCGTTCTCGTTTGGGACGGGTATGACGGTGGGCTGCAGCTTGCGCTTGGCCGATGCAGACGCAGACGCAGACGCAGACGGGGGCGCCGAGGATGCCATGGTGCGTGCGCTATGCGGAACAAGTGGAGGAGGATGAGGAGTGTGATGAGTGCGAGAGGCGGGCGAAGGCGCTGGGTCTGGGACGGGAAGGCGGGCCGCGAACAAGCAAAACAGCAGCCGGATCCAGCCGGATCCAGCCGCTGGCACGTGTCTGTCGCAACACGTGTCTGGCCCATCCAGGCGCTCTCGTCGCGCTCTCGCTGTGCTCTCGCTGTGCTCTCGCTGTGCGCTCGCCCCAGCATGGCGCGGCCTCGCTCCTCGCCAGCCCCAAACGCCCGCCGATTGCATCGACTGTGTGTGCGCAGCCCTTTGGTCTGCTTTCCGATCGTCTCGTTCACAATCGATCGATCAGGCCGGGCTGCAGCTTTCCTGCACTTCTTGCATCTCTCCTGCATCCTCCCTCCCCCGGGCATCGTCTGCCTCGTATCCGTTAGGCACAGCATCCGGTTCGTGCGTGTCTGTCGCGCTGTCTCATGTGCCGCCCTGCTCTTCCTGCAGCCCGACCTCGTCCTGCAAACCAGCCAGCCAGCTGCTCACCCGCTCTCTTCTCGCCGCGGCTCCCCATCCAACCATCGTTGGGTCCTCATCCAGTCATGTCCGCAAGCAAAGAAAAGTCGGCCGACCAGCCCGAGCGCCGCCGCTACCGCCCGGCAACCGAGTGCGTCTTTGTCGACGGCACGGGTGTCTCTGATCAGTACAATGCTTCGTCCGTGCCCATCTACCAGACGGCCACCTTCAAGCAGGCCAGCGCTACCGAGATGGGCGAGTACGACTATTCCCGCAGCGGAAACCCAACTCGCTCGAACGTCGGTAAGAGTCGTCTGATCCTTGTCGGCTCGAGGAGGGCACTGGGCGCCGGAATCTACAGCCCTGAATAGGCATTCTCGAACCCCATGCCTCAACGTTGGCACCTGCCACTCGAGTTTGATGCATGAGCCCAAGACGGCGCAGCGGCGCATAGCCATCGGAACGCACATGCTCTCTATGGATGGTTGCGGTGGCGCTTCCGTCGTGGAGCAAGCACTGTGAAGCAACAAGCAGCATCGACCATGCGGCCGAGCGCCGAGACCGAGTCCCGGAATCACCTGCATCCGAAACCTCGAGAATCACGGCTGACTCTGCTCCGATCCGTGAATCGATCGATCTGCTGCATCGACGACTTGCGGCTGATCAAACTTCCAACCGTTTGTGTGCTCTACAGAGTCGCACCTGGCCAAGCTCATGGGTGCCACTCGGGCCTTTGCAATCGCCAGTGGCATGAGCGCCCTCGATGTCATTACTCGCCTGGTCAAGTCTGGCGAGGAGATTATTGCTGGAAACGATCTCTACGGCGGTATGTGCCCTATTTCGGGGCCGGTCATTGCATTCCCCTCTCCCATCGCTGCGGCCCATTGGCTCTCGCCGCTCGCTTTTGCTCACTTTTCCGCCTCACGCATGCCATCGCTCCACCGTTACCGATACGGGTGTGCAGGCACCAACCGTCTCCTGACTTTCCTCAAGACCCATAACAATATCGTCGTCCACCACATCGACACCACCAACTCCGAGACGATTCTGCCCTATCTCAAGGCTGGCAAGACCAAGATGGTGCTGCTCGAGACTCCGACCAACCCCTTGATCAAGATTGCCGACATCCCCACCATCAGCCAACACGTCCACCGCGTCTGTCCCGACGCCCTCGTCGTCGTCGATAATACCATGATGAGCCCGTATCTCCAGCGCCCCCTGGAGCTGGGAGCCGACATTACCTATCACTCGGGCACAAAGTACCTCAGCGGGCACCATGACTTGATGGCGGGTGTTGTCGGTGTCAAGGACAATGCCCTGGCCGAGGTAAGGCGAGTGCGCGAGACCATAGCTGATGACGCCGATGGCTCTGTTGCTACCGGTACTGGCTGGGTTTCTGTGTTTCGACCACCCCTGCGGTGCGGATCGAGTAGCCATGTAGCGGCGTGCTATATGATCATAAACAGATCTTGAGCGGTGGCCTCCCAGCATGGGATGCTTGGGCCAAACGTGTCCCGCGATGTAACCACAACCGGGGATGCCACACCGCACGATCCACTGACACACCCACCCGCATACTCCCCGCACGATCCACTGACACCCGCACACTCCCCGCACGATCCACTGACACACCCGCACACTCCCCGCACCAAATATCAGAGAATCTTTTTTGTCATCAACGCCACGGGTAGCGCACTGTCTCCCTTCGACTCCTTCTTGCTGCTACGCGGTGTCAAGACCCTCAGCGTGCGCATGGAGACCCAGCAGCGCAACTGCCAGCAGATTGCCGAGTTCCTGGAGGCCAAGGGCTTCAAGGTCCGGTACCCGGGCCTCAAGAGCCACCCCCAGTATGAGCTGCACCACCGCATGGCACTGGGCTCGGGAGCCGTGCTGAGCTTTGAGACTGGCGACGTCGAGAAGAGCGAGAAGGTTGTCGAAAGCACCAAGTTGTGGGCCATCTCGGTCAGCTTTGGCTGTGTCAACTCTCTGATCAGGTGAGACCGAGTGCTCAGACAACTGCGAGCTGCGATGACTGCGAGCTGCGATGACTGCGAGCTGCGATGACTGCGAGCTGTGATGCAGCACCACACAGACTGCCACTATCCCGCGATTGACCCCCCTCTGCACCACATATACTTTCAGCATGCCCTGTCGAATGTCGCATGCGTCGATCCCAGCACATGTCCGCAAGGAGCGGGACCTGCCAGAAGATCTGATTCGTCTCTGCATCGGCATCGAAGATGTGCGGGACCTGATCGAGGATCTGGAAAATGCCCTGCGCATCGCCGAGTGCATACAGTGAGCAACGGCTTTGTGGTGCCCGAGTGGCAGCACCTGTCTGTAGTCAAAGTCAAGATGAACGCAGGCCAAGGACAGCACAAGACAGCGCAGGGGCAGGGACAGAACAGGACCGGACGGCAATACCACCCGCCATGATGCGCATGTCTATGGCTGGGTGGTGCGTGGAGCGCGATTTGGGCTGCCGAGTGCGCCAGCGACGGGGCATCGATGGAGAGATGTGGATCGGCCCGCTGGGATCGCAATATAGAGCGACTGACTTTGCCGATGGATATGCTGCTGGAATGCTGGGATGTTGGGATGTTAGGTCGTTGGCTGGGTGAGGCCATGGCACGCACGCTTGTTGGTCCTGCCAAACGGACAAGCAGATCCATGGGACATGTCCTTCGAGCAACATGTCTTTCGGGCGGCATGTCCTTGGGACGACACCAACAACACGCACCGCATTACCGCAGCAACACAGCAAACAGAGGCCCAGGAGAAACCAGCTGCTCCAAAGGCATTTCGGATGTGCTTCACCACGATCGCGCTTGCTCTCGGGCCGCTGCATCGTCCGCATGGGGGTCCGTTTTGGCGTGGTCGCCGCGGACTGCCATGGCGCTGTCCAAGCACATCGCCGATCCTGGGAAGGACAACGGCAGAGGCTGCTGTAGAAGTTGCCTGGCTGTCGACACTGCACCGGATATCGCACTGATTGCATATGGATATCACACTGATTGCATATGGAAATCACATTTGGATATCACATTGATTGCATATGGATATCGCATTTGGATATCACATTCTGTATGCCGCTCGCCACATTCACCACATTGCACTTGGCATCGCCGCGCTGTTCGATATCGCATTCATTCCATCCAACACTTCCAGCACTTCCAACGCATTCATTCCATCCAACACATGTGCTCTCCTTGCCTGCCCGCCTTGGTCGCCTTGGTCGCCTTGGTCACCCCCACAACAACAACAGACCCAAGCAGCGCCCTTGTCGCCGCACGGCTGTGCGATCTCGGTGGTCTCTCGCCTCCTCCTCGCTGCATCGGGGCGTCCTCGCTTGCCCGCGGCGCGGCCTCTTTCTGGTTTGGTCGACTTGTGCCGATTGTCTTCCTGACCTCCCCGCTGGTCCTGGCCTTGGTCTGCTCTTCCTCCTGCCCCTCACCCGCACCCGCCCGGCCATGGACTCCGATCCGGTCTTGCGGCCAAATCCGCTGCACGTCGTTTACTTCCTGTCGTCCATCCTCTTTGGCCCGCTGGCTGCCTCTGTGCTGTTCTCGGTTGTGTCGCTCCTAATACCCAAGAATGCGACCCTAACACCAACGTCCAGCCCAACCCCTGATGCCCGTTCCTCCAGCTCGCTCTCAAAGTCGGCCCGCACGGTCGCAACCTCCGTGGCATCAGTGCTCTCGTCTTCGCCATCGCCGGCCGCTGTTCGTCCATCCAGCTCGTCGTCGGCGTCTGTCTTGGCCACTCCATCGCCGTCGCTGGCCGCTGCTGCTGCATCGGCAGCATCAAGCCCTCATATCATCGCACGCTTTTCGCTTCACTCCTGGCTGCTGTCGGTCCTGTGGCGATTCGTCTTCCAGCTGGTGCAGTCGGTTCTGGTTGTCCTTTTGCTCGGGCTTGCCCTGCGCTTCCTCATGTCGCCGCAGAAGGAGGACTGGCTTGGTGCACTCCGGAACCAGTTTGGTCGCTATTCAGCCATCATGATGCGGAAGCTGGCAGCCTCTAAGCGATCCTCTGAGAGCAAGCCGGACGCCGATGTTCCTCCAACCTCCGAAGCCGCCCCACCTCCGGTTCCGGCCAAGGACAGCCCAGAGTCGCTCGAGTCGGCCGGGCCGATAGTCTCGACGCCAACATCAACGTCGGTATTCACATCCACCACCACCACCAGCAGCAGCAGCGGCAACGCAACCACCGCCACACTCACGACATCGCCGTCCCCGCTCGCTTCCGTGCCCTCGACCGACGCCGTCGACGAGGCCTCGGGTTCCGCGCAGCGTGTACATCCCAGCGCAAAGAAAGGCACTGGCGCAGAGGTTCACATCCTCGGCACCGTCCGGGTTCTGAGCCATATCTCGCGGGGCAGCATCGACTCGGACACCTCACTGGAGACCGAGTCCGGCCCATCGTCGAGCCTCAAGCGCGGAAACTCGCCTCCCATTCCCCCCGCGAAAGGCTCCTCGCGAGCGACCATTCTTGGTCGGTCGTCGCCTCCACCGGCGACCTTGCCACCCGAGATCAACAAGCTCTTTGCCGAGCGCACCGAGACATTCAAGGCTGCTCCTCCGCCTCGATCGACCTCGCTCGTGACGCCGATCGTCTTGGGCCGTCCGGGCAATGAAATCGTCGAGCCCGCAGCATCCAAGCACGAGTCCTCTCAGCTCCCCACCTCGATCGTTCCTCAGTCGGTCCAGTCGATTCTCGATTCGATGATGGAGGACCGCTACTCGATCATCTCCGACGCCTCGAGCACCCTGGACACCTCCATTGTCGACAGCGTCGTCCTCAGTTACGGTACAGTGACATTAAACGAACCCAAGGCGGACCGGTCAACATCACCTTCGAATGTAAGACCGGCTATTTCCTCTGCCAATCACCGCCGCACCACTCGAGTCGCACAGGAGCTCAGGACACCATCAGGATGCGTTCCCCCCATACGCAGCCGCGATGCTGCATCACGTCTGCCATGGCCGATGCGATAGCCTCGTGTATCTGTGCTTCATCTTGTGTCTGTTGCTAACACCTTCCAACGCCTGACTCTATCCTGATCACTTTTAGAAGCCACCTCTCCCGGATCTGGGGCCGTCGGTGCTTTCAGCAGACCTCTGGACCACAGAGTCGTCCGCCATCAGCTTGAATCTCTCTTTCAGGAACATCCAGAATCTGCCCACACTTCTCCAGCCCCTGAACAACCTGACAGTCCTGCAGCTCAACTGCAACCGCCTCACCGAAGTCCATCCGTCCATATTTCAGTCGATTCCGAGGCTCCGAGTCCTGGACCTCTCGCAGAACCAGATCCAGCGGCTTCCGACCGAAATCCGGCTCAGGAGCGAATCTCTCGAGGAGCTTTATTTGGGCTCGAATCTGCTCGAGACGGTTCCGCTCGAGCTTGGGGCTCTGTCGAAGCTGCAGGTTCTGGACCTGAGCGAGAACCGGCTGACTCATCTTCGTGAGTGTTTGTTGCAGAGAGTGGCGCGGTGGTGGGAGCAACAGTACTGGCACATGCGGGGACATGCGGGGACATGCGCCATCGGCTCGAATCAATGTCGTTTGTATACACATGCATTCCATAACACCTAATGCTCTCCGGTACTGAAACACCTCGCTCGCACGGTAAACGATGTTCACGTGCTCGTTTCCCAACCTTCTCTCGCCTCAGACATTCGCCTTTTCACACACATGGTCAATCTGCAAACCCTGTGGCTCAGCAGGAACCGACTGCAGTTCCTGCCTCCCTCGCTCGGGGTGCTCCGATCCAATCTCCAGCTGCTGTACATCGAGGGCAACCTGTTCGATCCATCGCTCTCGCGGCTGACCGAGCCTCTGATCAAATCGATGACCATCACCTCCTCGATGCACTATCGCAAGACCATCGAGGAAGAAGTCATGGACAGCGTGAATATGACCGATGGCGCACCCACCCTGGACGACGACATATCTGCGGAGCTGCCGAGATTCCATCTCACTCGGACGCTGAGTCTGGACCGTCAATCCAGCCGCTCCGTCAACACGGTCTCGTCCAGCGAGGGCGAGTCTGTGGGCCCTAGCGGCTCGAAGCGGTCCTCTTTCCGATCAGGTATGTCTGGCATTACGACCCGCGTGGCCGCTTTCGTTGTGTCGTTGTGTCGTTGTGTCGTTGTGTCGTTGTGTCGTTGTGTCGTGTCTTCATTTCACTAACGCGGTGCTGTGGATGCCGAATGTGTCAACCCGATCCGTAACCGTCCTCGAAGATGTCTCAATGTCGTTTGGAGACTCGCAGCGCACCCAGTCCTCCAACCGCTCGCTAGACGTCACCCATCTGCAGCGGCTGCTTGTCTTCCTGCTTGATCTTCACGATCTCGACAGCCGTATCAAGTTGCGCGACGATAGGGCGCCGTCGCTGAGCTCGATCGAGACGACTCGCTCGACCATCAGCGAGCTGTTTCCCAACATGCGCCACACGCGATCGGACTCGTCCAACTTCTCGTCCAACTTCTCATCAAGCCAGTCGACCCTCAACAACTTTTCCGACACCGAGTCCATCGCGACGATTACGGTGCTCAAGCACAAGGACAAACCCGAGCGGCGCGCGCAGATCGTGGCCGAGATATGCAGCACCGAGCGCACCTACGTCCAGCAGCTACAGTCCCTGATGAAGGTCTATGTCAAACCCCTCGAAAGCATGATCAACCATGAGAACGAGGTTCTGAGCCGAGATGAATTTGTGACGGTGTTCTCCAACATCCAGATGATCCAGCTCTTCCACCAAGGGTAAGTGCCCTGGCGTCGCCGATGTCTGCGAATGCCTGCGAATGTCTGCGAATGTCTGCGAATGTCTGCGAAATGCCGTCGCTACCGTTGTTGCGTGTAGCCGTGCTGCGTAGGCTGACCCATGCGGCCCCAATGGACCGATTCCAAATCATCCGAACTCGGCCTCGCTTCGTTTTGATCTGATCCCGCACCGACTCACCCTTGCTCTTGCTCGATTCTGGCTGCGCAGAACCCTCCTGCCTCAACTCGAAGCCCGTCTCGGAGAGAATCCTCAGTGTCTTGGCGCCGCCTTCCTGCTGGTTGCCCCGTACTTCAAGATGTATTCGGACTACTACAACAAATTTGACGGCGCCAACAGCTTTATCGTTCAGGTCGACACCATCGCAGCCGAAAAATCCAAGCCCTTCTATCCAAACAGCCTCAGCAATCGCGACTCGAGCAGCAGCACGGTTTCCATGAGACGGGTTGCCAAAAAGTTCAAGGCGTTCATGTCCCAGGCCAAGCTCGACCCGGAACACACCCAGATCAGTCTGCAGTCGTATCTGATCTTGCCGGTGCAGCGATTGCCCCGATACAAGCTTCTGCTGGACCAGCTCCTCGAATACACCCCCCCTGATCACCCGGACCACGTCGATCTGCTCAAAGCCACGGAGGAGATGAAGCAGCGTGTGTACGAATGCAACGAAAACAAGCGCAAGGCCGAGGAGCTGAGCAAGGGGTTCCAGATCATCCACAACGTCATTCGCAAGCTCGACTGCTCGGCCGGCGGCGAGTACATCAACGCCAACCACCGACTGCTGCGTGAGACCACCTTCAAGGTCCTCAAAGTCGTGGAGCTCAAGGGCAGCCTGTCCAAGGCCAGCCGCGTCGATGTGCTGTGGAGTGTGGGCGGCAAGAAAGACAAGATCATCAGCGACCACTCCAGCCCGCTCTTTGAGATGCGCTACCTGGGCAAGAAGGTCTACTCGGACCGATTCATCGGCTACAACGACAAAGCCCAGAAGGAAATCGAAGCAGGTGGTGCCACGGCGGTGTACGGTGTCTGCCGCACTGCCGGCAAGGACTTCAAGTGGTTCCTGTTCCACGACCTGATCTGCTGGTGCAAGCCCGCCGAGGAGAGCTCGTCCACTCGCGCGGATCTGGTGATTGCGATCGAGCTCAAGCCGGAGAAGACTCGGATCGAGTTCCTCGAAGTAAACGACGATGTTTTCCGCGCAAACCCGTCCGAGTACGAAGCACAGCTCCGGCCGCGCCTGGGCTCGGACCGCGAAGCGATCATGCGCGTCAGCGACGGCGATGTTGTGATCTACTGCCGAGGCGCGCTATCCGAAATCAAGGCATGGGTGGAGTATGCAAACGGGCTCAAGAACCAATAAGCCCTGGCTGACAGCCCCACGCCATCGACTTGGTCTGTGCAAGGGTCAAGGTGCAGGATCGGTAGCTTGCCCTTCTAATTATCTTTTCTATATTCATCCCTAACACAATCATTTGTCTCGTTGGTATTTGCTGGCTGTCGGGGCGCTGCCCCATCGTCGATCTGCCGACAATGTCCCCTCCCCCCCCCCACGTTCACACGCACGCCGCCCTGCTTTCTTTTCGTATCACTGCTCTCGTTCAATCACCGTCCCGTACTTTACGCTCTCTTCCTTCCCTGCCTTTGCCTTTGCCTTTCCATCGCTTTGAGTTGCTATAGTTTGCTTTGCTGTTGTCCTCATGGTTGATATTTTGTCTCTGCCAGCCGGCATCGGAATGCCCGCTTGCTTGATTTTCGGTATGATTACTGTGTATTTTTTGGGTTTGCTCACGCCAAACACCGACCGACTTGTCACTCTCCCGCGCCCTCTTCTCTCTCTCTCTCTCTCTCTCTGCCGACACCCGCTGGTCGCTTCTGAAGCGCCCAGCCACGCCCATACACCTTGCTCAGCTCAACCCACTCAACTCTCAATCATCTCAGCTCGCTCGACTGGCGCACTGCCTCCCACGAAATCTTTCAGTCATTCAGTGCTCTCCATTCTCACCCCCGTGCTTGACCTTTGTCGCCACCGTCATTGTCATCATCACATTACAATTCTTATACAATACGAGGCATCATCCCCCCCTGAAATCTTTGGTCGATTCCCGTAATTACCGCGCAGTGATCACCACGACGCTTCGTGGCCCACTGTCACCGCCTATTGGTGTCTGAGCGCAATCATGCTGGGGTTGCATTGGGTGGTTTGCTTTTGAGAGCGAACTGTATTCAGGCTTTGGGCATGAGAGGGACCACAAATGTCCTGATCCGCAGCGCTCTATTCTATCCTGGGCACAAACGCTGCAAGCTGGTGGCTGCTGGCAACGACTTGTTGCATTCCGATCTGCTGCCAGCAGATGCACAGGTCGATCGTGCTTGCGGTACGCACAGGGCCGAGGGAATCGCAGATGTACGGGCCGAGGATATTCGCAGGAAAACAGGCATCCGAGGGACAGCGCCAGGGCGCAGGTGTTGATGGGTGGTCAATGATGGCTGTGTTGTGAATGATGCAGGTGATGAAGATATCGGCCCCAGCAGGCGTTAAAGGCTCCGATTGGTCGCTGTCCCCCCATCAATGCCACCGAAACTTCGGCTGCAGGTCCGGGTCATATCAGTCCTTCGACAAAAGATCACTTCCGGGACTTGAGAGCCCGCTCGCAGCGTTTTCGCAACTGGCCCTCGGTGAGCTGATAGGGGTTGAGCTTCATATCCCGAGCCATCGCCGCGTAGTCGTCACCGTGCTTCTTAACAAGGTCCAGCATGAACTTGCCCTCCTGCTCAGAGGTCTTGCGCTCTAATCGCACGGCGCTGGCTGCCTCCTTTTCGAAGGCGGCAATGAGCTGGGCAGCCAGGCTATCTTTCGGATGGACCGTGACGTGGCCAAATTTCTTGGTGGCCTTGGGGATCTCCGAGTCGACGGACGCAACCGTGGTCACGACTGCGTAGCCGGGATCGTTGCGGCGGGAGATGATGGTGCCGATCGTTGCCGGGCGAGGGTCTAGCGTCAAATGGCCCTCGAGCGGGGTATACGATGGGTCGTCCTCCTCAACAACGGTAGCCTGGATAGCCGGGGCGGTGTCGGTGGAGCTGCCGCTCCCGCAAGGCGGTACCATCTCGGCTCCACCCGTGGTGCCGTTCAGCGACGACAGCAGACCCAGACGCTCGTAGTTTTGCTTCAGCGTCAGCTTGGAGTCCCAGTGCTTCTGGACGAGCGGATGCACGCCGGCAAACGAGATGTCGTATCGGTTCTTTTGCTTGCGGGTGGTCTTGGTGCCGGGGTTGCGGGTCTTTCTGCGAGCTCGGGGGCGGACCATGGCGTCGGACGAGGGCGAGGGGAGATGGAGATGGAGAGAATCTACGGGGGCTCTGCGGATGCGCTGTCCGTCGAGTTGGTCGATGGGCTGCAACTTCAGGAGGGCGCTGTTTGGTCGGTGTGGGTTGGGCTGGCTGAGTTCGAAAGTGCAAGCAAAAAAGACGACTGCGCTGTGGCGCACCCAGTGACGTCAGCACTCGTCCTGCACCGCCACTGTGGCTATGCTCAAGCGATCGTCCTGCAATCGCCCTGCAATCGTCCTGCAATCGCCCTGCAATCGTCCTGCAATCGCCCTGCAATCGTCCTGCAATCGCCCTGCAATCGTCCTGCAATCGCCCTGCAATCGTCCTGCAATCGCCCTGCAATCGTCCTGCAATCGTCCTGCGATCGTCCTGCGACTGCCTCTATTCAATCCCAGAAACGACAGCATCGACAGTGTCGACAATGACTCCCACAGGGCGATTCCACCGAGATCTTTTGCTTCTTGCGGGAGGATGTGCACTGGGGCTGGCTGCGGCCGTGCTGGCGCAGCGATGCAGTTTGGTAAGCTGGGCTGGGTGATGGATCGCTGCAAACCAATTGCATTGATCCCATCCGATGGTGCGGCAGCGATGCCGATACGAAGCTGAATGCATCCTTGCCGATTTTATCGTGCATCCACAGCTCGGTCTCGCTTATCCAAGCGACAAGCCAGCGAGCCACAGTCGCACCGTCAAAGATGGGCGAGATGGCGACGATAGCACTGACGATGGCACTGACGACGATGACGATGGCGATGACGATGACGATGGCGATGAGGGCGAGTATGGTGGCCTGAGCAGCGCCGACCTTGACACCCTGGCCCGGGGCGCCGAAGGATACAACTACAACGAGGAATTCAAAATGGTTTTGGTGGTCCGCACCGACCTCGGCATGACCAAGGGCAAGATGGTTGCTCAGGTATCTATCCGGAGCCCGACCGATCATTCGATGGAAAGGATCCAAGTGAATAGAAGCCGAGTGATACGACTGAGTTCATTCACAGCTGCAAACTGACCGAGCCTGTCTCGATTGGCCTTCCATGAACCGACCGATCTGCGTTTCGTCGGTCAGTGCTGTCATGCCGCTGTGCTTAGCGTCGATGTCCTGCGGCATGTCTACAAGCGGGCGCTCCGTCACTGGGAAGAGACTGGATGCGCCAAGGTCGCTTTGAAGGGAAGCTCACAGGAAGAACTGTAAGTGTCGGTGCCCTTGATTCCAGACGCTCGAGTATTGCGCTTCCCTCAAAGCTGCGAATGAGAGGGCAGTTCCCGCCTGCGAACACCTCTCACACATTCATGGCCAATAATGTCGTTTCAGCCTGCAGCTCCAACAGCGTGCCCGTGCCGAGGGCCTCGTTGCCGAAACCATCGAAGACGCCGGCCGGACTCAGATTGCTGCCGGATCAATGACGGTCCTTGCCGTCGGCCCAGGTACACCGCAAATTCGATCAGCCTGCCTCGCTTGCCCACCACCTTTCCTCAGCCAGTTCGTGGCAGTGCTTTTGGGATCGTGTTTCTCAAGAAATGCATCGCCATAACACCGAGTCCGGAATCCTCCATGCACAGCTCCGGTCAGTCTGGTCAACAAGGTTACGGGACATCTCAAGCTTCTTTAACGGCCACTGCCGTGCTGAAGTGACCGGCGAGTCCTTGAATCCCATGATGGGTATGGATGGGTATATCTTCAAGGACCAAATGGCTTGTCGCTGAGTCATGAGGTCGTGGATCGTTGGCATGAAAAGAAGGTGTCAATCCTGATATGCTTGCAGAGGCATTTGCTGGGCCTCTGGTTTGAATGCAGACGCTGTTCGCACTTGGCCGCCCTCTCATGACATCGTCCGCATCACAAATCAAATACCTGTCGCCCGGGGGCGCATTTGGGTTGATTGAAACTCGTGAAGCTCGGGAAGCTCGGGGAGTGAATCGCTTGTTGCGGATGCAGCACAGATCCCAGGCCAAGTTTCCGATCCAACTGAGCAAGTACAGGATGCTGCCCAGGAAGCGGATTGCGGCCAGGCCCGTCACCGACCAGAACAGGAACGTCAGATACGGGTTCATGGTGCGTCGGACAGGGCTGGCTCCGCGGTTCGAACGGACCATCAGATCGGTGATGGCCGGGGTCGTAAAGATAATGACCAGGACGACGTTGGTGAGCATCCACGCCAGCACCACGTTTGTTCGGTAGAGCCGGAAATAGTCCTCGTTCTTGGTTTTGGCGTCGACCTTGGCGGCGACCCTTTCTTGGGGCCGGTTGAGATCCTCCATGAGCCGAGCATAGTTTTTGTCCATCTCCTCGGGGGTCTCGTCGGGCATGGGGACTTCGACAGTGACATCGGGTCCTTTTACCTGGAGAGGAACAGACGGTCCAGAGGAGCCCCCTGGTCCGTTGTCGCCTGGATATACACCCCATTTGTCAACATTGGTGCTGAGGTGGTCCAACAAACTGTCTTCACAAAGCCCGAAGACCCCATGGTGGGTGAATCGCAGGCCTCGTCAGTGCGACAACGCTTACCTTTGGTGCCCCAGCTGATATCATGCAGATTGCAGACTGATGCGCAGATCCGTGTGGGTTTGTGGGCAAAGTGAGTCTTAGCGGACGCAGACCAGGCCGATCAAAGTATGTCGCGTGCGTTCATCAAGGGGAAGGATCGACAAGCCACTTACATGCGTAGATCATGAAGATGTTGACGTACATCGGCAGCAAAACCAGATATGAAACCATCGACGTAAACATGTGCCACGGGTCCAAATACAGGAATGAGGCCACAAAATACAGTCCATAGGTGCTGGCCAGACTGATGACAAGGTCGCGGAAGGTGGGCTGGTTGATCAGCGAGCCAATGTCGCGCCACTCATCGAGGGTCTTTGGAATAACCACATAGACAGTGTAGCCCGCCATAAACAGGAGGAAGCCCATGATGATCGACCAGATGACAAGCAAGGCGTAGTAAAGCAGCTTGAATCCTTGTGGGCGATTGCCTGTGAGCAACATCAAGGGGCACTCAGACCATGTTGCCGAGACCTTTGCTCAAATCGCTGACTCGTCCTGAGCGCGCCGGGATATTCACTGAATCCGACCATCGCCCACACCTACCGAAGGATGAGATGAACTGGATCACGATTGCGGCAAGATAGACCTGTGTTACAACTTGAAATATGACTGGGCCATGTCCGGCAAAAGGATCGCTGTAGTATACCCCCTCGAACAGGAAGTCTGTTAAACGAATAGAATGTCAACGAGTCAGTTCCAGAAGCCATTGGCAGACCAAAGTGTCGTGGCCATGCGCAACCACCTTTCCAGAATTCACACTGTCCAACGGCCCGCCAGTTGCAACCATGGCTTACAAAAGGTCAAATAGAAGCTGCCCTGGAAATCAAGTAGGGGTGGATAGCGTCAGAGGGGTGCTCGCCTCGATTTGAGGGCTTGGTGTGAATCTCGTATGCTCCTGCGGGACACAAAGCAAGGCCTGCTGTGCACAATACCGACAATGGTGATCCAACTAAAGATGACATTGATTATGTTGTACAACGTCTGGAAGGTGAAGATGAGCTTGCGTAGGATGGAGTGGTTGGACCGGAAGAACATGGGGTAGTTGGTGATGGAATGCACGGCAGCAAAGAACGACCCGTTCAGCCATCGGCGGCGCTGCGACACCAGTTCTAGATCGATGAGGGGAATGTAAGCATCGTTGCCACACAGCCAGGCAAACTTCATTGTGATACGGGTGTGTCGTGAACCTTACCAGGCAGACTGGATGGTACATCGGTCTCGGCGCTGGCGGACTAGTGGACCACATAAACGAAGAGAGTCAGAAGTGTTACAGGCACCTGACTCACATGCAGAAGCGCAGAGCGCAAGGGGATACCAGGGAGCGTCATCGATTGGCTGGTTATCGTACCTTGCAGTACCGAAGCAGCCATGCCTCGTTCCTTTTGGTGACGAGCTCGAAGCACAGGATACGGTCTTCGGCCTGGTGGATATACAAGCGAGCGTCAATACCGTTGTTGTTTTGGACCCGCCGCTCCACCCAACTCATTCATCTACTTTTCGTCTTACACGCCAATTCGCTGTCTCGACCATATGTATGAATCCTCACCAAGTACATATTGGCAGAGAAGACATCGGCTGCCTCGGAATGGAGGGCTTCGCCTCGAAAGTACGATGCCAGTGGGCCCGTGTTGGGCGACGAGTTTTGCAGAGCCGAGTAGCGATAGGCACTGAATGCTCCGGGCAGAACCTGGATGTATCCAAAGACAGACTCGAGTGGCTTGTCCAGAATGTTGCTCATCCTATGGCCACCATCGGCGAGTTGGAGGGCCACATCGGTGTAAGTTGGCTTGACCCAGACCGGCTTCCAGCGAATGGCAACAGACAAAGACGTACTTGTACTCAAAGTTTTGGGATGCCACCAACGGATTCAAAAAGTTGGAGCATCCCTTTCCGCCTTCGGCGCGGATCTCTCCGCAAGCGCCGCCGACGTGCTTGTTGCGGTCAAACTCTGGGACAAGCATGAATCAGAATCAGAATCGTCCATGCTCCAGCACGCACATTTGCACTTTCATGCTCGGCAGAGACAAGTCCTGATCAGCGCCGAAGAGTTGGAAAGGATGCTCACCACGCCATAGGTAGTAGATGGATCGACCAGTGGGCTTGGTGCCAACATCCAGGAGCACACAAACGTTCGGTTTGATGACCGGCCCGAACGCATTGAAGAACCACCTGTGGCTATTGATCTTTCGGACGGGGACAGCGTCAGCCCGATTCACACGTTGTCGACACAGACAAGCGAGTTCCAAATCGGTGTCGCAGCGGTCTTACCTTCTTGGCGTTCTTTTCTTTGAGACAAAACAGGACCTGCGGCCAAAGTACAGACATGGATTACTCTGACAGCCCTGTTCAAACAGCGATATGACATGGATCCAGCGGCGCCTGCTGATCCAGACACCCATCATAGACAGCAAGTGTCTTGGGAAGACTGGCGGACGGACATATATGATAGGCGGACGGATATCGCTCCCCCGCTGGCACAGATCGGAGTACTGCATCGCATCAGGATACCTGCACGGGCACCAGCCCATCCCGGTGGCTGCGGATCCTCATGTCGCGATCAACGACGATTTGGGTCGTGAATTCAAACAGATGCGCTGTGGTGGGGTTCTTTTGATTGACAGCCTTGGCGATATCAATGGCAGCCTCGTTGTAGCAGCCCATGAGCGTCAGCAGCTTCAGAACTTGCGGATGGCATTTTGTTCTTCCGTCTGCCACAATGCAGACCACGACGTTGGTCCATCCATTCGGGCCCCAGGACTTTCGGCACTTGTCGCTGCAAAGATATGCGATATTCTTCATGACGCTGCACATGGACTTTGCAAACAGGACATCGTCTTCGTTGTACCTGTAGTTTCGAAAGCCGCGCAATCAGCTTGAGAAACAGCAACAACCGCCAAAACCAAGGTCGCAGTAGCACAATGACCGTGATGCCCATCGAGTAATAAGCGAGCGATGGATCTCAGTGCGGCGGTGGCGACCACGACATTACATGGTGATGACAATAAAGAGCTCGGTGTCTCGGCCAAACATCCGCGGCCTGAGGTTGTAGCCGGCCTCTGGGCGACAGAACTGATCGGGATCGCAAGTCACGGCGGTGTATCTATCAACGGCAGTGATCGACGCAGGAGCGGGGCCGTTAGCTAGTGGCTGCCACATTCTCGACGAGGTCCCTCAAAGCGATGGATTGACCCGCACTCATCTGCCGGGCTTGGCTGATCAACTCAGGTGGAACTTGCCTCAGATGGGTGAACTCTCGGCCATCGGTGCGGCCACAGAGCTCCAGATACCGATTGGGAACAGGCAGCTCAACCACAAGATTGCCGTTCTGGGTCTTGATTTTCTGGACGGTTGTCCTCCGCGGAGCTTGCTGGAAGCGGGAGCTCGACGCAGCGGGCGGGGGAAACTGCGAGATGGGATGATGCAGGTCTATGCCTTGGTTGCTTGGAGGAAAGCTGCTCTGTTGATACGGCGTCGCTGCCGGATACTGCGCCGCGTCGTTTTGGGGCGGGTTCGCATTCGAAAATTGAACATTGTAATGGGAGTGTGGATCCGAGGGATGATGGTCCTGAGAAGGGCCGAATGTATGTCCCGTTGACACAATCAGCATATGTCCCATCGACAGAAAAGTGCCGAGGCGGGTCCTGGAAACAGCACCGGCAATGCAGGCAGCGACAGGACCATGTGCAAGGCAGTTCCAGACGATGCGCTCCCGGGGCACATACACCTCGAGCGGAGCCATCGCCGCCTTGTGGAAACATGGCTGGGAGGTACTTTCTCAGGGGATCTTGTGGGAGTGGCAGCGAGCTTGACTGTTATTCTCGGGCAGGCCGACGCAAAGAATGGCGCAAATGTGGATAGCTGCTCGTTGACTTTATATTGCCTGATCGATGACTTTATTTGCTCGCTCGATGGCGTTCTATTGCCAGCACGGAATGGGAGCAGCCGTCTTGAGCCGAGCAAGCAACAAGCAGGCAGTCCGGCGGCATGTCTCGGACCTTCCAATCAGAAGCCGAAAATTCTCCCAGGAGGTCCAGGGGCGAAGGTTCGCAACTCTCTTTGCAGACGTCTGTGGCAGTCAGGCATTTGTGGCGGCGGACCATTCGGTGGGAACGCACTGCCGCTGGTGCTAATGCTGGTGCTGGTGCTAATGCTGGTGCTGGTGCTGGTGCTGGTGCTAATGCTGGTGCTGGTGTGGGAACCCGTGCATGTCCTTGTCTTTCCACGCCAGATCGACTGCGAAGTTTGCGCTGCTTGGTGTCCATCCGCTTCGCCTGCGATCCAACGCCGACACATCCTCCGTCACATTCGCTGCAGCCACTTGCTGAGACTGTCCGCCGCGGCAGCCTTCTGCTCACCCCATCGTTGATTGATGTCCCTCCAGACGGATCGCCTCGTCGTCCATCCACAGATCACCGTCCTGCTCTCGATCTCACTCGTCCTTGGTTCATGTCGCTGTTACCCGGTTCCCAGCATGCTTCTGCGTTCGACTTCGACTCTGGACTGGCAACCCTGTGCTCGCTCTTTGAAGAGGCGACACCCTCCGAGCTCGCCAAGGTGCTGACCAAACACCGAGGCAGCGTCGACGCCGCTATCGACGCCATCTTGTCGAGCGACAGATCCGCGCCGACAGCTGCTCCTCGTCTTGCGGGTCTGAAGCGGCGTCGAGACACAGCCCGGATCGACCAGTTCCTAGTGAAGCGACCAAGGAACTCTGGATCTGAGCCGGACAGTCCGCCAGTAGCAGCCCCTGAGCCCGATCGAGTGCATGATGGCTCGGAGCAGCCGGCGGATCGCCGAGGACACCCTGATGCGGCTGGCCGTATGGATGCTCCGATGGATGACTCGCTGCCCCCAGTGGTGCTGCCCAATGCGCTCTCGATGCTGCGGTGGCAGCCTCAGGCGAGAGCGCAAAAGCCGATCCTGGTGACGGCCAAGAACATCCACGAGCATGTGCCCTGCGTCCTCTTTCTGAACTTTCTCGACAGCGGGCTTGCCGAGACACTGCTGGCGAGTCTGCTTGAGGAGTCAAAGGGATATGAGCACGGTCGATTTGTCTTGGCCAACAAAGGTGAGCCACCTGAAGCGGCTCAAATCACCGCAAGTGCTGCTGCGAGATGCGAGCCTGGATGAGTGTCGTGGTACTGTTTTGCGCCAGCAAGGCGAATAAGCTCACCGGCGGACACTGCCAAATCCTCCAGTAGTCGAATCGCCCCATCTGACGGCATCCTACCTTGATGCTGAGCGCAATACCTATGACCCAAGCATTCCATGGTACGACTCGGGCCGTCGCAAGACGATGCGCTACTTCAATCCGGACATGCAGCTTGTCCGAGAGCTAGTGGAGCAAAAGGTCAACCAAGTGCTCGAGGAGCGGGATCAAGCTTCTCCAACAGGACGGCACCCCGACGAACACCCAGGGCCATGGCAGGCAAACATTGCGCTTGTGAATGCATATCGCGGAGCAGCCGAAGGTGTGGGTCCGCACACTGACAGGGTAAGCGCTGCAACCGGCTGCATCGACCCGCACTGGGCGGCTGACCGCAGGGATTCCCACTATTTGCCTCTCATACTGCCATCGCCACTGCTCTTGACTTGACATGCTCTATACAGCTCACTATCCTCGGGCCACGAGCAACCATTGCCTCGCTTAGTCTCGGGTGTGGCCGCGTGTTCCGTCTCCAAAGAGTTGGCCGGCCCGGCGTCCTTCATCAAACGTACAACGTCGTGTTGCCTCACAACTCGTTGCTAATGATGCTTCCGACGACGCAGGTGGGATGATCATCGGCGCGCCATTGTCAGAGCCTGTGAATCGAGTATATCGTCCGTGAGATCTTTGCTGCGACAGAGGCAGACAGGGCTGCTGGACACTAACACTAGATATCTACGTTTGGCGGCGGACCCAGGAAGAGTACAAGCATTCGATCCCGTCAAATGTCGATCCTGTTATTCCACACGCCATCGCCAGAACCACCCGTATCAACATCACGTATCGCATGGCGCGGCCGATCTACCAGCGGTCGATCCCCGTTTGCAAATGTGGAATACAGACCGACCTGCGGCCTGTCGTGAGATCCGAAAAGACTTTTGGGAGGTACTTTTATAGCTGTCCGGCATCTCAAACTGCCGCCGAGTCGGAGCCATTCGACACTGAGGAGAAGATCTATGTTGGTCTCAAAGACATGGATAAGTACTCAAGCGATCTCATCGGCAACAGAGGCAAGATCCGGGTCGTTGGATGCGGTTTCTTTGAATGGCTAGACACGGAGAGTATCAACGAGCGTGTACGTCAAGAACTGGACCAGACACAGCCCAAAACTAGAGCCACCATGAGCGATAAATCACCACCCCGTTGTGACACAGGAAGGACCATGGATTCGGATACTGGCTGAGACCGCGGTCGCTCGAATGCATGGGCAGCACCCAAGCAAGCAAGGCATCCATTTGTTTCATAATACATCGTGCGTGCTTGAGCGGCCGGCCATGTCGCTGTGTGAGATGGCAGGGCAGCTGCTCGTACAGCGGGGGTGGATGAGATCCAGACCAGAGCTGGAAAGTGATTGGCTGGCGCACGATCCAGCGGATCCAACCATGTCCCTGGCTTGGTGGCTGTGCCACTCTCCAATTCCGCCCATCTCGTTCCATCTCGTCTCATCGCCTGGATATCGCCATTGTGCTCTCAACGCATCCCACTCCTCCGCATCGCACATCATGGCTGCCAGTGTCCATCTATCAACCGACATGGCTCGACCGATCATCAGCAGCCACAACCCAGACATCTTCGCCGTCATCTGCTGCAACGACAGCTTCCAACTCACACTCGATCTCAGCCCATCAAGATTCTGCTCCAGGTGTGCAAACGAGTCCAGCCTCTCCTGAGCTCCAAGGTGACCCGCTTCCACACCTGGTGCCAGATTTCAGGGCTGTGTCATCCAGATGGATCTCTGCGGATCGGTCTTACACCCAGTGACCAGATTGCCCTCTCGCTGCACTGCAAGGATCCAGTCACAGCCGACCGATCCTGGCTCGTTGGTCTGGTGGACCGGGACAACGCTCCTGCCTCGTATCTACTGGCTCGGACCATCCAGCTCGATCTCAACCGATGGAGGTATCTGCTCGAGTTCGAGCAGGAAGCCATCCTCAAGCAAATCATCCTCTATCTGGGGAAGGCTGCCGAAGCTGGTCATCCAAAGGCAAATTTACATCTGGTGCTGACTCGCGGATATATCCAGAACCTTGGTAGAGATGGCTCATCGCAAGAGCCAGGACAACTGATTGGCGACCTCGGGCACCGTCATTTCGAATGGAGCAGAAACGACCGCAGGAACATCGGGCCAGTGGGCAGGCTGCTTGGCCTGACGAGAACGATCCGAGACTACATTTGGCAAGGCATGCAAGTGCGCGACTGGTATCGTTCGGCTGAAGCCATATGCCGGACGATTGGAAAGGCATTGGAAACAGGCGTCGCGGTTGTCGTTGGGTGGAGATCCCCGAGACGATGAGGAGAGTCTGGATGCTGCAGAGGCCAGAACATGTAGCTTGTTTCGTCTGGTGCCATGTGGCGGCAGTGGTCTGGATCGAGCTGACCTTTCTATCGTCGAGAACATCAGTATAAGGCACCGTCGCTCCTGAGGACGATGTTCATATCAATGTTTGACGGACGATCAGAATTGACGACGGTTATGGAGCAGCCCCATGATGTATACTTGATATATTGAATGTCACAACTCGATCGAGGGGTTTGATCGAAACTACTTTGCAAGTCCACTGAGTCTTGGTACCCGAGCGCTTGGTACATGCTGCCCGTTTGGCTGCCCGGCTTGCTGATACGTTCAGTGGGTCGATATTGCTGTTGGGAGACGATCGGGGAATTAAGACCACTTGCCGATGATCTTGAGTTTGTTGATGGCCTCTTGGTTTCCCTGGCTCGCAGACTTTTGGTACCAAAAGACAGCGGTGTCGATGCTCTTGGTGACTCCCCGGCCATAATAGTAGCACAGCCCAAGGTAGTTCTGCCCATACTGATTTCCTTGCTCGGCCGACATTCGGAACCACTCAACTGCTGCGTCATTGTCGTCAGCGACTCCCTGTCCCCAATAGTAGCACATTCCAGTCCAGAACTGGCTGTCGGTGTGGTCGTCGGTAGCAAGCTGCTTAAAGATATATGCTGCCCGTGGCTGGTCCTGGGCGGTTCCGAATCCATCGAAAAGACACACAGCCATCAAGTGCTTGCACAGCCAGCTCTGTTCCGATCCAAGTTGGCACAGCTCGAAATACTTGCGAGATGCGGGTGAGCTGCATGGAGCCAAATACCAGCCAGACAGGCACTCTTTGTCTCCAAATGGAAACTCATCAGACTGGTTGTCTCGGATGACTTTGATGCCCTTTTGCTCGTCACGCACGGTGCCCCGGCCAAGGTAGTGCATCCAGCCAACCATGTGAGTGGCGACAGACTTGTGGACGAGATCGCGGGAGTTGGTGTTGACCTCTAGCCAGTATCGGAGGGCATCGGCATCACTCTGTTCGACGCCATGGCCCATGAATGAGAACCAGCCACGGAGGAATGCGATATGGAGTCGACCGTCGTCACTGCCTTGGTTGGCAGCCTTGGAATACCACTCGATGGCTGTGGTGAAGTCTTGATCGACACCCTCGCCATTATCAAAGCATCGACCGAGGGCGACTTGAGCCTGTGGCATTCCTCGGTCTGCAAGACTGCGATACATTTCGACAGCTTTGATGTGGTCTTGGGTGACTCCATGGCCATGGAGGTGACATCCAGCCAGGTGGAACTGTGCCATCGCATGGTTCGCATTGGCTGCCGCATCGAAGAGGTGGAAGATATCCTCTTGTTGGTCCGCCCGCTCGAACTCGAGCAGATACCTCCATCGGTTGAGATCGAGCTGGATGGTCCGAGCCAGTAGATACGAGGCAGGAGCGTTGTCCCGGTCCACCAGACCAACGAGCCAGGATCGGTCGGCTGTGACTGGATCCTTGCAGTGCAGCGAGAGGGCAATCTGGTCACTGGGTGTAAGACCGATCCGCAGAGATCCATCTGGATGACACAGCCCTGAAATCTGGCACCAGGTGTGGAAGCGGGTCACCTTGGAGCTCAGGAGAGGCTGGACTCGTTTGCACACCTGGAGCAGAATCTTGATGGTGCTGAGATCGAGTGTGAGTTGGAAGCTGTCGTTGCAGCAGATGACGGCGAAGATGTCTGGGCTGTGGCTGCTGATGATCGGTCGAGCCATGTCGGTTGATAGATGGACACTGGCAGCCATGATGTGCGATGCGAGATTTTGAGCGATGTCGAACTGGAGATGGAGGAAGAAGTGGGAATGCACGAATCCTGGGCCAGGGGCGAAGCCATCCCCAACGACCCATGCCGCAGACGCTCGATGGAGTGGTTATGCGCCTGTCCAGACAAGGTCTCGATCGACCCGCAGAGTGCCATTGCATTGCTCCAGCACCGAGGGCACTGTATTGGCTGGTCACTCGAAAACAGGCTTCTGGCTGAAATCCATCTCTTCCCACTCGTCTGCCCAGTTCAGATGCTCGGTTGCCGGCAGCGGTTCGCCGGCCTCGTCGTCGTCCGGGCATGCTTTCTGGCGGTCGACACCGGAAGAAGAGTGTCCCGGACGAGCACTTGTTCCGTGGATCCGAGACTCTCCCGTTGCCTGTGGCCCACCATCACACTCCTCCCATGCATGCGCAAGTACTGTCCTTGACGTTTTCGTGGGATTGGGGTCGCTCCTGTCTCCATCGCCGAGCTGCCTTTGCGGGGAGCGCTGCTTGCGTCTCCAGTAAGCCTGTTCTCGTTCGATAGGCCGTGCTCTGGGTCCCCGCTGCGACGATGGGGCATCGCTGTGCTTGGGCGAGTGCTCCGATCCAACGGCAAGGCTGTGCGGAGCATCCGTTCGTGTGATTGTGATGCATATTCGGGTGGGATCGCCCCGCTGTGCCTCGACTCTGCGCTGGGACGTTGGCGATGCCGAGTACTGGCTCATGGCAGGCTTGTCTGGGCTGTGAGGACGATGGTGGGCCGTGCTGGGTTGGCTCGTTGGTGACGCAGATCGAGGCAGGGCTTGTGCATACGGAGGATCGGACTCGGACCATCGGACGGTTTTCTTTGCTTTTGGGCTGTGTGCATAGCGACTGCTGGCATCGGGGCTGCGAGCCGGGTTGGTGAGGAGATCGTTGGTGCTGGTGAGGAGATCGCTGGGATGGTAGAGATCCGAGTTGTGCGCATCGTGATGCCAGCGATCCCTTTCGTTTCGACTGGCAGCTCCGACGATGGATCGGGAGCCGCTGGGACTGGGAATCGCTTGCACTCGTGATACCCGGTCTGGAGATGGCCACTGCAAATCCGAGCGCTGGTCGTCGTGCGGATGACGGCGGCTGTCGATGGAGTGACCAGCTTGGTCGTCGTAGGAACGAGAATGGCGATCGTCGTGACGGATGTAATGCTGCGGGCGGGTCCGTCGGGGGCTCTCCAGCGATCCCGACAGCCGATGCGGCTCGTGGTGGTGCCGTAGTGCTCCGGAGTGGTCGGCGAGTATATCATCGTTCAAGTCCGAGTTGATGGGGTCGCTGCGATGGCCAGAGCGATTGCGATATCCGTTGGTGATGCGGCCATCGATATCATAGTCTGGGCTGGCGTGGTGAGGGTCGTGGCGACTGGAGCGGTGGTGGTGCTTGCTCTCTCGATGATGCTGGTGGTCCGCATGGCCATGGTCGTCAATGTACTGTCCTCGAGAGCCGGAGCGAGTGCTGTGTTCACCGCTGTTCTTGGGACGAGTGTGGCTGCCGATGTCACTGTCATGGCTGCGGTGGTTGCCCGACGAGCCATGGCCATGTTGCTGCGAGGGCTCTCGTCGCAGAGTCGAGTCGGTGCTGGGGGAGTGGATCCAAGGCCGCTCGCTGGCCGGGCGAGGTGGGCTGCACTTGCGATTGTTGATCTGCCGAATTGATTGCTGCGGGTTTGCTGGCGCTCGGGCGGCCTCTCGTTCCCAGGCATGTATGCCGTCCCATTTGCTCTTGCTGTCGGCAGCCATTGGGGTGGCAAGTTGAAGACAGAAGCCCAGTGATCGTGGATCTATAGAGAGATGGACAGCCAAGACCAAAGGGCGCAGGAATCGCCACAATGAGAGGGAATGGTGCGGATGGAGATCCAGAGGATGTGTCCGCAGCGGGGACGATGGATGGGGGCGACAGCGGGCACACAGCAGACTTGGGCTGTGTGGGTGTCGGAGGGACTCGGAATGATGCAGGTGGATGTCAGGGATGAGAGGGGTATTACTGGTGAAGTGGAATCACTCGAGTGATGTAAACGGGGTGTTGGATGGAGTACTTGGCGAACGGCGGCTGCTCTCAAGGCTGGTGGCTCTCGTGGGCGACAGCGGATCGATGGAGCGGCACGACGGATCGCTGCAGCTGGCGGATGGCGATAGAAACGGCTGAGCTCATCATCTGTCGCAGCAGTCGGGGAGGTTGTTGATTTGGGTTGCAGCTGCTGGATCTGGGCTGCGGTCGCCGGATTCTCATTCGAAGCAAACGACGATTTCGACGGCGAGTAGCCATTGGCGGATGTGCAAAACACATTGGCTGTGTGCACAACACAGCACCGCGGCGCTGCAGGCTGGGGCGATCATGTTGCGGCGGTGCTGCCACGGTGATCATGTCGCCGCGATGGTGCAGAGCCGATGTTGTAGTGCTGATGGTGCAGTGCCGATGCTGCAGTGCCGATGCTGCAACGACACCCTGGCGATGTCGATCCGCAACAAGCATTTTGTTCCTCCAGCCGCAGGTCAGGTGGACACGCGCCACACGCGAAACGGCACCTGTGGCGGGTCTGTCTTCCGCGCTCGCCTTTCTCCTGGCTGGAGACGTTTTGCCCTTCGTCCAGGTTGCCTCCCCCTTTGCCTGGCCGTCCGTCGTCTCATTTGGCTGCCCAGGCACCCCGACGCTCGCCATGCCACGTTCCCGGCCATGCGCCCCCGCACTCGCCCCATGTGTCTCGCTCAGGACAGCGCGCACAACCAGCAGCTTCCTGTTGGGGCTGCTCTGTCTCCTGGCGCTCGCGACCCTGAGCCAGGGCCAGAACTTCACCGGCCCAAACTGCTTTAAGACCTTCAACAGTTGGAATTCCCCACCACAGGGAATAGTCATAGGTGAGTTAATCGCTTTCAAACCAATGCATGCAGCATCGTATTCATCATCGAGTCATATGCTCGCATGCAGCCAGGCAGGGAGATGGCTCGGAAGCGCATGCTTGGCAGTGACATGCTCATCGAAAACCATGCATCGCTACAGATCAAGGTCCATGGACTACAGAAACGAGAGGGGCGTTCGATATGACACTGTCGCCGTAAGTTGAACAAGTCGGATAATCAAGCCAGATCACCAGCTCGAGTTCACCAAGCCCTACTTCTGACTTCTGCCTTGACATGATTCATCACTCCATCAAGCAATACATCTCGGTTCCACTTCTATACCACCGGCACTCTGCTATATGGACAAGTCTCGGCTCTGATTTTAGGATCGAGCACGCCTGGAGTATTCACTTCTATGCGACTCGAGAACAGCCAAACGGGAGCGAACATATCACTGAGCGTATTCGCTGGGGGACTCATCCAGCAGCGGCTTCAAACACCAGGTACAACATCAGCGTGCACATCCTTATCATGTGAAAATATTCAATAACGTTTATGCTATCTGTGCACCACCGATATTCTCTATCAACCAGTCTCCTCTATCGCCAATCAAAATACAACGACGCTGCCGACAGATACACAGTTTATCAATTATACCATCAACTGGACGCCAGGATCTGTGGTATGAACTAGTTTGCGCTGTAGTTGTTGTACATCACGGTATTCCAAGGTATAGTTTGACTCTTAGCATCCGTCCTACAGTCATTTCAAGCCGAAAACAATCCGCTGGCCACCTTCTCAAGCTTCAATGCCCAAAACGTAGGTGTCCTCTCGCTCAAACCCTTCCATTGATTCATCGCTCAATTCTCATCTATTATTGGTGTATGTCATCAGATTTTCAACTCGCCAATGAGGATTGCAATTGAGACGTTCTATCAGTCCTCGAACAGTAGTCGGTATTTTCCCCGAGCCCAGATATGCTTGCAATATCCTCACAACTCAAGATAATGGGAGTCACTCACTCACTCCGACCTCTTCCCAATTTCTCACCGATTGCAGCATCAATTCCGGCTGGTGCCAATTATGCTGCCATATCAAACTTGACCATATCATGCAACAGCACGGCACAGTCCTCAACCACTTCCAGCGTCACTCCTACGTCGATCGTCACTTCAATCGCTTCCGCACAACCCAAGCCAACAACGACTCCTCCGCCAGTGGTTGACCCTCCTGCCACGAGTCCCGCAGCCATTGCTGTTCCTGTTGTTGTTGTGGTCATCCGTAAGTATGATCCAACACCTTCCCCAACTCGCTGCCCTGTCCTCCACCGATCTGTGCCTTCACTGGCTGCATATTGAGTCTGCTCCCACCGCTCACATGTTTCTGCGACTCACTGTGATCCCGAATCAAACTGCCTTGGCCAGTCGTCGCTGCTGGTGTTGGCTTCTACAAGTTCAGAACCCGCCTGGGACTCGACAAGTTTGCTGGCTTGGGCAGACAGAGCGGCTCCGGATCGTCAGAATCAAGATCTGCTCAACCTCGTGCAATCCCACCCATCCAGATGCTTCAGTCCAATCCCTCATCAACAGCGGACCCATTGCAGAACAGTATCCAAGATCGAGAAATGACTCTGCCTGATCGTGATGTCCTCAGTGCATCATCCGATCACTCTGCTACTTACAGAGCAGATCAGCTTAGTCAAGCCGACATTCCTTTGAGTGCACTCGATCCCTCCACCGGCAATCGCCGTGGGTCCATCGCCAAGCTGGGTCTGCCTGATCATTCATTCCACGACTCACAGTCTGACGGCAACGACCACAGTGTGCCGGCATATCCAGAATCTTCACCAAATCTCCTCTCGCGGCGCCATTCAAGCTCAACGCTGCCCCCTCCCTACTACCAGAGCATAACCTATGTGCCTCCACCTGTTCCAGAGATCACTGTCTATGTATCAACCTCGGAGCCAGACTCCAGCGACAATACGAACAACCCGCCCACGACGAATCGCGAGTCCATGCTCTCTGGCACCACCGACTCGGTGCCTCAGAACTGACACATGGATCTCCTTCCTCGAGGGCTTGCAACCTCATCAAGGATGTGACAACATCTACAGCAAGTAGACGTGACAACATCCACAACAAGTACAACACCTTCGCTATGGCCAGCGGCAGCATTTCTGGATCAAATGCTCAAATGCTCGGTTTTATCTATGTATCTTGTCGTGTTTGTTGCTACAACAGTACATTTGATTCAATATGACAGATTATCAGTGCTACAAAGTCTTCATCAAATGAGGGGAGGTGTATGTGCTGCCGATCCAAAGAGCCACATGTCTCCGGAGATCCGCTCGGCCAGACAATAGACTTCTCAGGTGCAGATCCTCAGAGTTCAGCTCTTACTTCACTGCGCTGTCCTCCCACCTTTGCTCTCAGGCGGTAAGGCCAGGCACGCTGCGACCGCCGCTCTCGGCCATGCTCTCCAGCCTTTGGACCAGGTCCCACATGATCGAGTCCGAGACCACAGAGTCATTCCTGTACTCCGGATGCTCATGAACGAACTTGCGGATATATCCCGCGGCTGTCATCAGCTCGCCACTGGCTCTCCGAGCTATCAGAGCGAGATACGCCGACAGCTCCGTGCGAGTAGCCGAGTCGAGATCAGCAGAGTCGAGATACGACTCGATGATGGGCACCAGCCCAGGGAAAGCGCCCTGATGTGCAAGGTCAAGGCGAAGGTCAGTATCGATTGGCACAAGCCCGGTGGTTGATATCCATGCCAATAATTTCCAAGCCGAGCCTCGACCCGCTGGATAAATACTACCAGTCACAGTAGCGTCATCCCAAATAATCTCTCAACTTACGCTTCCATTGATGATCTCGTTGATAGTGAGCTGTCTCGCCTCGTCACTGTCCTTCTCGGATGTGCAAGCAAAGCTCGCGAACCTCGGTGGGGGTACTTGGTCGATGGCATGAAGAAACCCGATTGGACAATTCTGAGTCAGTCGCTTGTGCTGGTCATCATACACGACTCTTGTGCATGTCCTGCCTTTACCTCCTCCAAAGATATTATTGCGGAACCAGAATGCTTGTTGTGTGACTGCCGCACGAGTTTGGGCCCTCTGCATGTTCTCATCGACCTGCGTCGGGATGGAAAGAAAGCCCTGTGGGTGAGACCGAGGCGGCGCTTACTCGAAGCCAGGACGGACTGGTGCTAACCGACCAAACCAACCAAGTCCACCACTAACGAGCACCACGCACTCACCTTGCTGAGAGGAAGGTAAAAGTTCAGGTCATAGCTGATGATGACCCGAGTCAACAGAGCGACAAAGATCGCATAGGCAGCGTTCTCAAAGTCCGTCAGCTGGACCTCCATGCTCCGGAACTCGACTCTCCATCCGATAGGCATGCCCGGGGTCGGCGCCTTGAATCTTATCGTTTGCCAGTTGGTGCTCTGAAGGCCCTGCAGCGGTTGTTCGGCAAGAGCACTGCATATCAGACAGGGCATGGCAAGACTCTGGCTCACGGTCTTGCTTGCATCGCTGATGTGCTTCAAATGCGTTCAAAACGCACAATGAGCGCCAGGCCGAACGTGACAACGAACCTCAAAGTAGCCCACGCTATCGCTATCATCAGTTTCGAGTGACCCCTCAAAGAGGATGAGTGGGTCCCGGATGAAGAGGTGGGCATAGTGCTTTGCCATAAACTCGTCGAGGCCTGTGCGGAATAACATCGGTCAGACCAAGCTTACCACAACAACGGATTGGGCGTTATCGGCGGCTGTAGACACGGACAGTGGCCGCGGGCACTCACCTCCATCCTGCAGGGCTCTGAATGTCTCGTAGTCGTATGGGACATTGAGATCGTTGTACTTGTGTTTGAAGAAGCAGTCGGGTCGGAGAGTCTCGGTATCATCGCCCATCGAGCATCCATCCTCCGAGGATGTGCTGCCACCGGCAGTTCGGTTCGATGGGGTACTGGCGGCACTGTAGTCTGGGCCGGGAGAAAGATACAGACTGATAGAGTCGTACCGGGATTTGGGTATGTAGAATTGGGAGGATACCTGGGGCTGGATGAGAATATGGGGTTGGTACATGTGTATCAGTCCGTCGAACAAGGGCAGACCCACAAGCCCATCTGCCTGTCTTGGAGCCGACATCGAACAGGCACCGGCTGAAGTAACATTGAACACCTGCCTCCTCGCCTCGCTCCTCCTTGGTTCGATCATCGACGCTTGCGGCAATAACATTCCATCGGCAATCAACGTCGGCGAGGTATCCTCGAAAGATTGGTGCAGCTGCGGAAAGAGCAAGCTGTGGCCACGCAGCCACAAAATGGCAAGCAGCGAGGTGGGTGGCAGCAGAAACGGAGATGAGTAAACCAAGCAGTCAAGCAGCGGTCCATGCCAATCGATAGCGGCACTGCGGCAACGGATGGTTTGGAGTCTGTGCAATATGTTGGCAGGGGCAACGCCATGATTTTACGCATTCAACTTACCATAATGGGGGCTATGACGGCGAGCTGGTCGTAGAGGAGCCTGGTTTCCTTCAATGACTCTCCCTGGAAAGTGGCCTGCAGACAGCAGCACGAGCATCCAAAGGCCATACAATCCATGAAGATGTGATTGGGAAGGGCGTCTGGGATCAAGTCCGACAACGTACAACCGTCGAGGTTCATGGGATGCTCCGACTGTGTCTTTGTCTTTCTGGCTGGAGAAACGGCAGAGAGACCAGGAATATCCTCGGGGCTGAGCGTCGTGGCTGAGTGAGGGATAGGCTCAAGGAATGGCCAAGCAGTTTCATTATCGATGAAGACTGGGACATTGATGGATACTTTGGAACCGCGGCGATGCATGATGTTGGTGGTGAGGGCTCTGGGTAGCAGATGGAGGCAGCAAACAGACAGGCAGAGGGCATCAGAACCTCGGATCTCTGTGGATGCTGCAGCAGCACATACCTCGGACGAGCCCTTCCCATCAGTGGTCAGAAGGTAGTGCCACCGGACAATGACAATACGTACAGATACCGAGCATGTGACGTGATGGCTGCATCGGGGATGAACAGGCTGCGAGCCGCTCCATTGACAGGGTCTGGGGCGACGTGCGGGTCCATAAAGCCGCTGGTGCCCAACCGAGGATACGACGTCATCGTCAAGACGGTCTCGTTGGGACCAAGACATGCCTGTGCCAGGACTCGTCTGTGGGAACGGAGCTGTATCAGCCACTGAATGTGCGATATTGGGTTTGTGCAGGCGCTTTGTTGCATACCTTTTGTGCATGTTGGGCTCGACGAGGGTCAGGTCTCCGAGTGTGGAGCCATATGGAGAGCCTGGAGAGGCTAGAGATACAGAACGGTGTGCACTCGACGGGTAAGCAGAGACCAAACCGGTGGGAACATGGCATGTGTTGCACACGAGCCCTGGTAACGGTCGTTGATCCAGTCATCACAGTGTTGGCTCGCATCCCACTCGGCAGCAGCAGCGACGGCAGGGTGAGTGTAACATACATTCTAGCATGTATCCGGCGTATTCGGGTTTCCACGAGCTCGCAAATGCTTCTCTGTGGGTGCAACCAGGCGGATTCAAGAGTAAGCAACCAACCAAGCTCATCCGGATCGAAGGCCGCTGATGGAATGGGAAGAGGCGGGTTCCGACATGGTGGCTGACAGCAGAACGCTCACCCGTTTGCCTGAGCCTCTGCCTCGAGCTCCTCCAGCTTGTGCAGGGCATCTTGAGCTCGGAGCGAAAGACGCACTTTGCGGGTGCTGTCGTCTTTGGAGACGACAATGTATTCGATCTGGTGGGCCAAATGTACGGCAGGGTGAGCACACGGCGAGTTCCTCACCATTGCAATAGGACATGGCGGTGCCCGTCACTCGCTTGCGTCGTGCTGCACCTCGTCGCCCCAGAGATGGGGGTCGTTCGACCGGGTCTTTTCGCGGTCCCAGAGGGCGAGGAGCTGGGCGATGCCGCGTTTGCGAACGGGACTGGTGTGCTGTTTGATGTCTGTCCATGAGAGAGGGGCACCGGCTGTTAGCCAACCCATGATTGTTCTGGCGAGAGGGAAGTTGGGGTGCGGAGCTTGAGGCGGACTGGACCGGGGATGAGATGGCGGCGCTGGCGAGCCCACCGACGGGCGGTGGGCAGGCCTTTTGAATACCAGGGGACGATTGTGTCGCCAGCGGTGGTGGTGGGGGTGGTGGGAAATCCGGATCGATGCTCTCTGCTGCCCCGAACACGAATGGGGACTGAGCGGCACTGTCCCAGGCTCGGCAGCAACAGCCAGCATCCCATCCCGCAACCCCACCCACTTGGTTTGCGTCCGGAAGAGACTATGTATCACATTGCTTTTCAGAACGCTGTTCCGTTGGGCGCTCGGTCGTCCCGGTGGAGGCCGTTTCGGTGTCCCTGCTCCGAACTCGGGATGCAGTCGACAGCGGCCGAGGTGGATTGCAGTGCACCTCCATCGGCGCCGAGGTGCAAGCGCCAGATAGGGGATTGCTGATCGTTGCTGAGAAGCCGGCAGCCAGATCAATTGGCCACACTCCCCCCATGTGCCCCCACAGCCAACGGACAGCATTTGGCTTTGCTCCAACGGGACCCGAGCGCCACCTCTATGGCGTGTGTCCAAGGAACAATTCGGAAGCATCCTCGCCGATTGCGCCTATGGCCGTCGATCGGATTCCTTGGCAGCAGCAGCATCGCTCAGTCCCAGCCGATCTGCTTCATCGAGAATGCGCTCCTGCTCGTGCCTCGCGAGCCGCGATGAGTATCCGAGCTTTCCGAGGTGGAGCTGATGACGACAGAGGAATCGAGGCTTAGCGGCGTTGTCCAACATCCATCGTACATGCTCCACCGCATCGCACCGCCCATCGATTCTCGTCTGTCGGCAAGATATGTCGCTGGCGGTTGCTTCGATCGAGCTCGCGAATATGGCGGGGAGATCGCACCTTTTGTGTCTGCACGCACTGTCTGAACAGATTCTGCTGCAGCTCGCACGGGGTGACGTTGGTGAAGCTCTTGTTGTGCTTCAGGCACTTGAGGAACTCATGCTGGAGATCGGCACAGTTGGCCTGGGCGCCCTGGTCAATGAACTTGTCGTCGGCTTTCTTGTCGCGGATGAGCTGGTCGAGAGCTGCCTTTTCCTGGCATGGCAAATTCCAGACGGCCGACGCATTCATCGCCCAGTTCACCGCAGGAAAGCAGATGAGGGAGATAAATGTGAGAGGCAGCACATTGATCGAGGGCCGACGCTAGGCAGTGGAGGCTCTCGAGCCAACAGCGCTTGCCGGGTGTTTGACGGGGGTTGGTGCAGACAATGCTAACCTGTCGTATGGCGGCCTTCAGAGCCTCTTTGTCCTCACTCTGGCTGCTCGCGGGGGTGCTGGAGGCCGACAGAACGTCCTCAGCAGCCTGGTTCATCTGGTTCATGAGATTGGCCGCATAGTCGCCGGATGGGTCGTTGCTCGGGCTGGAGCTTGTGGTTGGCCTGCTGCTGTTGCTGCTTCCGAAGGAGAACCAGGAGGACATGATGCTGGCGGGAACAGATGTGGATAGCTGGTGTGCGGATGCGATTGGGCCAACGCAATGCAGGATCTGATCTGGTCTGACCCGGTCTGATCTGGGTCCAACACCCCACGCGGAGCTCGGGCGGCTGCGTTCCTGATCGGGCTGGCGGACTGGGACTGCCATGCGCAGACGACGGGCCAATGCCATCGACGGCGAGGGAGATAAAGAAGTGCATGGGGCGATCGATGGAGTTTCATTTTGGAGCCTCGTTGCGCACACAGTCAATCCAGAAAAAAAACGGGACAGTCACTCTCTGGCAGAGGCCTGAAGTGTACTGAACTTCCATAGGCACCAGTGAGCAAGCCATGCGATTGCTCCCGTCCTTACATTTGGTCGATCGCCTGTGGAGGCCATCGACTAGTATTGATCTCGATGTGGGAGTGTGTTGCATTCACTCGACCCTCTGGACAGCTCCATGATGATCGATATCAAGATATTCGGCCTTCTCGAGTCGCAAGGTTTTGAGTGATAGCATTCACCAATGCTCAAAATCCGGGGTGTCTCGTTTTTTATTGGATTGGCTATGATCGAGCGAGGAATCAAACTGCCTCCACATCACCCGCATTCTCATAGGCCAAAATGTCCATCACTGAGAAGGGAAGGTAAGCAGCCGGCATGGGCAACAACGAACGCCGCATGCATCAGTAAGAGTCGCGAGTGGTGCTGCAGCACATATGCACGCATACAGGCATGGAGACCCCTAGAGCAAAGCCGTGCCATCGCATGATGGCCAGGGTCACTCACCGAGTCCGGCAGCCACAGTCTGGGATCCGCAGCGCAGCGTAAAGCGGCCAAAGAACTTGTTGTCGGCCGATTTTTCGAGGCAGAGGGGTCTGAGCAGCTCGATCTCGACCTCGGCGGTGAGGTTCTTGGTCAAGGCTCTGAAGGAAAGGCATGGAATGATCAGAAACATTCAAGGCGACACCACGAGGAAAGCCCTCTCCCCCAAATAAGCCATGCACAGCGGCCATACATCCATCCATCCACCCATCCATCCATCCATCCATCCACCCATCCACCCATCCACCCATCCACCCATCGCGGAGGCAAAGAGTTACCGTGGGCGCTTCTTGACAACTTCGCCTGTAGCCTTGTCCAGGATCGAAATAAGCGACTTGATTGAGCCAGCTTCGGCGAGGCTTTGGGTGTGGAAAACCACCTACGCAGGCGTTGTTTGTGAGCGAAAACGAAAGGCAAGCCCCAACGAAACACAAGGCAGCTCGGTCGTGTGCAAGATTCGAGTGATGACTCACTGGGACGCCGATCGTGAGAGGCCGGCTGATATCAAAGGTGACAATCTGAGCCCGGATCTTGCGGGTGATCGGGATCGGGTGGCCGACTTGGCACAGGACGTTTCCTTTCCTGCACCATCGCCAAAGAAGCACTCGACTATGTGAGACAGGGCTCGGAATCGCGCCGTTCGCACACGATCAAGGACGGCACATGGCTACGGTGCCATGGCGATGTTGATGCCACGGTATCGACAGTAGTTCTTTGACCTGCCAATGTCAGAACCGACACTGAGAACGTGCTCGCGATGCTTACTTGACGTGCTGGCTGTCGATGCCACTGAGCGAGATGGTCACGCTGTCGCCGGCTACGGCCCACTTGACTGACTCGTGGTTGCACTCGATTGCTGCGACGGTGTCGAGAGAGCAATGTCAGCCAAGTCCAGTACAGCGGTGCTTGCCTGATCGACCAGCCAATCCACTGGTGCGCCAGAGTTCGCTGCTACTCACCTTTCACGACCGCCACTTCGTTGATGGGCATCACAAGTACTTCGTCCTTGAGCTGCACGCTTCCACAGTCGATTCTGCCGCTTACCGAGACATCGCCGCCCGTTCCGGTTCCCAGGCCGCCCTTGAAAAAGTCCGATACGGACATGCGCAGAGGACGGTCGATCATGCGCGTGGGCGCCTCGAGTTGATCTGGGTGCAGCACGTCACCAGGGCAATCGCAGATGCATGATCGTCAGAGCAGGAACGAAGATGGCTACCATGCCATCTGTCCATATTGGGCTGGATGCGCCGTTGAGCGATCGTGCACGGCCCAGGATCCTGGGTCGCTGCCGCAGATGATGCCTACCGAGCTGGCCGATGAGCGTTTGCCCCTTGTACCACTTGTTGAGCAGTGGCTCCTCTCGCTTCACCAGATTCTCGCCGAGCCATCCACTGGTGGGGATGTATGTCAGCTTCTGCTTCTTGAAGCCGGCGTGGACCAAAAATGCACCAAGCTTCTTGCAGATTTCATCATAACGCTCCTGGGACCACTCCATCTGCCCGAGAACACAAGAAGCGAGGCGTGAGCGATGAGGAACAGAGCAGGAACGAGGTGCTCTCGTAGATATGGAGCCAGTCGGAAAAAAGTGCAACCACCGAAGCACCGATTGAGGTTGCCACGGGTGACTCCGCGAAGGCGTCGCCGAGACCGCAGGGTTCATGTTGGCGTGAACGGAACCCTCGACCGCTGCCGCTCGGCACGCACTCATACCATGTCAAGTTTGTTGACGGCAACAATGAGCTGGGTGACGCCGAGAGCCCGCACCAGAAGAGCGTGCTCGCGAGTCTGCCCGCCGAGGTCAAACCCAGCCTCGAACTCGCCCGGAGAGCTGTCGACGACCAGAATTGCAACGTCGGCCTGCCAATGCCAGTGGGTTAGAGGTGCAATCAACCCAAGCCAGGGAACGAACATGTGCAAAACAATTGGATCGCCACCCCGTATTTAAGGCTCGGGGGCGGTTGAATTCCGCCAACATAGCCCGATGCAGCCCGCAGAATGCTTACTTGACAGGCACCAGCGATCATATTGGGAATGAAATCACGATGCCCGGGTGCATCCAGCAGAGTAAACTGTCGATTTGGCGTCTCAAACTTCATTTCGGCAACGTCGATGGTCACACCTCTGGACAATCGTAAGGAAGCACCATCAGTGCGAGCGCAACGATGCAGCCGTCGCCGCCGCAGCAGCATATCTACAAATCAAGCGCCAAAACGAGCAGCCTCAGACCTGTTGCGCTCCTCCTCGGTGGCGTCTAGAACCCAGGCAAAGCTGAAGGACCCCTTCTTGATCTTCTCAGCCTCGTGCTGGTTCTTCTTGAGTGCGCGGTCGCTGACTTCTCCCAAGAGACACATCATATGGCCCATGAGTGTGCTCTTGCCCGCGTCGACATGCCCTATTGAGATACAAAGGGAGACGGACAAGGTCAGCAACGACGCCGTCGAACAACACCTGGATGGATCACGGTCTCCGATGGCAGTTTGCTGCGTCGACTCGGCGGCCAAAGGGCACGACGGGCTGGACTGGAGATATCACCAACGATGATCAGGTTCAGAGAATCCTTGGTGGACTTGCGCTTGTTGTACTCTTCGGCGACGTCGATTTTGTTTTTCTTGGATTGGGCCGGGACACTCGGGGGCTTGGGTGTAAACACCGGCTGTGTGCGAGCCGCGGGGGGAGCCTTCGGCGTGACGGTGCGGGCAGCCGGAGGAGTTGGCTTTGGCTGTGAGATGGCCATGCTGGCCAGGGCTGCGGATGGGGGCTCCGATGGCAAAGTCACAGTCTTGGCAGCAGGCTTTGTGCCCTGATTGAGCTGGAGTCCAGCTGCAGGGGCTGTCCCATAGGCAGCATGCAATGAAACAACTCGCTGTCAGTAGTTCGGTAAGGGCAGGGTTGTAGGGGCAGTATCAGCAGCAGCTGGGCCCAAACAGAGCTGCGTCGCCGCAGTCGTACGGCTGGCATCAGAGATATCGGTTTGGCACGGCCCGAACAAGTAGACTGTACCTTTTTTGCGGGCCATAGCAACGACATCGTCAGGGCTGGGGGTACTAAAATCAAACGGCTTGACCTTGGATGCCCCGCCAGCAGGGGCAGAGGTCGGAGCAGGGTCTAGAATGGAAGAGAGGATATGTTGAGTGGCGGTCGGCGATAGGCCAGGGTCGTCAGACTCAGCAAGCCAGGAGGAGGCAAAGTCAGAGGGTGCTGCCATATGATGGCTCAATTGGCCACGCAGCTTGGATGGCGCGAGCTTGGTCGAGCGGGATTTGATTGAGGATTTCGCAAAAGCGCCGTGACTGGTGATGGAAGGCAGGGCCGGCTGGGAGACAGGCTCGAGCGAGAGCAAAGCGTCGCTGCTGTTTGCCGCAGGTAGGGCCGAGATTGCTGTTCCGATGATGTCCGAGATATTGAGCGAGCTTGACTGGGCAAGTCCCGCAAGCGAGTTGGCTTGGAGCGCTCCGAGCCCCATATGCGAATCGATGGTACTTTGCATGAAGGGGTCTGTTGTAGCTGAATCAATCGACATGTCCCCCAGCGTCAGTCCAAATCCTGGAATACCAAGAGCGAGCAAATGGATGGCATGTCAAAGACAGATCTGGCAGGTCGATGATGCAGCCGCACTGCATGCTATATGCGATCGAGAGTGGAGCGAGTTCAGCAAAGCGACTGCGGGAAAGACCCGCGGAAGCTTGGTGTGTGGATGTTGATCGATCGAGTGTCGGTTGGATCGCCCGATATATGCTGTGGGAGGATAACTAACTCACCTCCGGAAGCACCGCCAGAGGCCGATAAACTCGCAAGGCCGTCGTGATCCATGGCGAATGAGTCGAGTCCAGAGAAACCCGAGCTTTCCAGGCCAGTTGGGTTGAGCGTGCTGGTCAGATCGGACAGGCTGAACGAATCCATCGGGTTGCTTTCCATGGCCAGGAGCGAAGGCACGCCGTCCAAGCCAGGGTTGGATGACAGCGTCGCAATGTCCATTGTGTTGCTGAGGTGAGGGGCACTTGACAAGGACGACAGATCGAAAAGGGGCGAGTCTGTGGCGAGGCTCAGGCTCGAAGCCCCTCCAAGCGAGAAAGGATCGGCAGTGGGGATCGTATCGACAGCAGGAGCGGCTGAATCGCTGAGCAGAGATGGCATTGTGATATCAAACAACTTGTTGTTCGTGGAAAAGACGTCCGGAGGGATGTTGTGACCAAAGAGCTGGGATTCGATGGAAAGCGGGGCTGGGTGGCCGGGGACATGTTCGACAGTGTCCAATAAGTCGTCGGAGCGCGCTGTGGATGCAGACGACCGGTCAGTGTATATAACATGAGCGGGTGCGCCATTGGGTGATCGAAAACAGAGGTCGAGAGCACCGCGATATGCAGCATTGGCGGACATGGATGGATACGCGAGCTACTAATGGATGAGGGTGTGGTTTGGCAGATTGTTGAGAGTGTGGCTGGCGCATATCACAAAAGGACTTACTGCGGCTTGCCAGGGTGGGTTTTGGCAGATCGAATGCGAGGGCGGCCTTTGGAAGATGAACTTTGATGGGCTGCGAGAAGAACGAAAATCCATTTTGCGCTTCCTGGAGGGCCAGCCATACATCGCGACGTCCTAGCCAGAGTTGGATACGATGAGGCGATGTCACGTCGATCGGCAAGCCGCTCGTGTGCGGCGTCGTGGGAGGAGTAGCCCCAGGGAAGCGCCGTCGTCCAACAGCGGCGACTCTAGCTGCCGTCCGATAGTCTTGAGGCCGCCTGCTCGGCTCGAGCTCCGAAGGCATTGATCGAGCTGTGATGTGTCGGGTGGTTCTTGCAGCTCGAGCGAGGGAGCGTCCTTTGCCAACTACGCCATGATATGGAGCACCTCTTCCTCAAACCATCCAGCCGGTTGCCCCATCCAGTATGCGAGTAGGGAGCGGAGCGCATGCAACAGGAGCAAGGACGGGCAACATACGTGTCAGCTTTTCGCTTTGTCTCGACGATCCCTGCGAGGGGCCGTCTGGGGCAGTGAGATGGGATGCACCATGAGCGCCGATAACACAGCGCAGATTGAGGAGCCGTTGCGACAAACGGCGGGATCGAAGGGAGGATATTTCAGGTGTGATCGATGGATTGGCGAATGTATGAGAGGAAGTGCGATGGTAACGGTAAGCCAGCATTCTTGGAGGCGAGCACGAAATAAATCAAGGAGATGCGAACAAAGTCTCCCAGGATGCAAACGCAAACGACTGGAATCCTGCGCTTGTCGGTGAGGGAAATTGAGAGCCCGTGAACATTCGAGCGCCTGTGGCTGCTGGTGTGGACTGGGGCGGAGCCTACCAAAAATCTGGTTGATGGTCCGTTCCACGTTGCAAGAATTTTGAAGAAGGATCTTTTGGACTTGCTCGTCGGACAGGATCCGACCGGTGACGGACTGCACCTCGCCGATAAGGTCTGCACAAAATAGCACAATAGGGCACAAGCCGACGTGAGCCGATTGCGGTCGATCGTCCAAAGCGTGCGGGAAACAGATCGAGCATCGCAGTCTCGGCATGCGATGGTGTGAAAGCCGGCGAGGTTGGATGCGCCGGGGTTGCTCAAGACCGAAATAGTACCGTTGATTGAGAATGCCTTGTCTTGCTCTGAAACCCAGAGGAGGCGAATATGAGTTTCAGGATGGGATAGAGCAGGCCAGCGATGAGCGATTCGCCAGCCGGGATGTAGAGGGCTGGTAATCAGCCATATAATGGCAATGCAATGGCTGGCCTGGCAGTTGCGCTGCTCGAGCGATGCAATCGAGCCGATACCGAGGCGCAAAGTACAGCCGAAAGAAAAACGAACCTTCTTCATAGTACTCATCGTCGTCGTATCCATCGTCGTCATAGTGGCCGCCGTCATTCTCGTTTCCATAATCTTCTTCCTCGTCGTCGTCGTAGTACTCATCTGTTGAGCCGAATTGAAGCATCACAGCGGTGGGATATGGGACTGATGCAGTTAGCGAGACAGAGGACGGATATGAGTGCGAGGCAGAGGAACGAGACTTGCCATCGATGTTCATGTTTCGGATGTGTCTGTGTCTCGACATGGCTGCGGTGATTTGGGCAGGTGTAGAAGGCGGCTTGACAGGCAGACGGGATCGGATCGATGGGATCGGATCGATGGGATCGCGGCAATCGGAGGGAAGGGCAGATCTGAGAGAAGGGCAGGGGCGGCAGTGCCGATCGCAGAGATCAAGGATGGATCGGTGGTGAAGCCGGGGCGGACAAAACCAGGACGGAATCGGCTGGATCCGGCTCGAGCCAAGGAAATCCACGTGGCGCCAGCCGCACGGTCGCACAGACCGCGTGCGTGGCGCACGGGCTCGCACCAAGGGCAGCACGCGAGCCAGGCGGTCCGGCAGGGCGGTCCGGCAGGCGGTCGCATTGCCGCGTGCCCACAAAGACCAAGGGCCGACACAGACACAGCGGCAGAGACAGCGACAGACAGCGGGCGTGCCCACGGGTGCATGCTGCCACAGAACGAGCCAGTAGAGAGCGGCCACAGCGCAGTGGCAACAGAGAATAGCGTCGCAGCAGCAAGGAGGTCACACAGCCAGCGCAACACAGGACAGCAAGGCACGACACACGACAGCACAACGCCGCACAGCACAACGCCGCACAGCACATGCGGCCTGCTGCGCGCACTCTGGCTGCGGGTGCCAAGTGCGCGGCTGCCCGTCTCGCTCGCTCTGGCCGAGAGCGTCCTCGGCGCGTCCTCGGCACGTCCTCGCGCCTCGCCCGGGCCGTCGCCGCTCTTTTCTGCCCGGGTGGTCTTCTCCATCGGCCGTTCGGTCTTTGCTCGTTCTGGCCAGCTCTCGGCGCATCGTTCGCTCAACTTCCAGTCCGATTCTGCCTCCTGCTTGCCTCGGCTTGGCCTTCGTCTGACTGTCAATCTGTCGGCTCACCCGCCTCCGGCTTGCTTCTCGTCGGCTCCAACCCGACTCTGCTGTCGCAGCCACCCGCCACTCGATCTCTGCCTCAATCAAGCCTGCTCCTGGAACTCTTCCACCCTCCAGGAATCCATCCCACCCTCCTGGAATCAGTCCAGCCTCCCTTCATTAGGTCTCTGATCAAGCTCGCCCATGTCTGACATCAATCGCCAGCGTAGCCAGTCGTCCTTCTCGACGACCTCGCCGCACCAGCGCTCGAGCACGTTCACCCCGCCGCGAACCCCGCCGCCGCTGGGCTCCCCCCTCTTCTTTGGCACCTCCAGCGCCGGTGTGTTTTCGCCCCCGCCGACCTCGCTGGCCTCGGCCCAGTCGAGAACCAACCCGCCGTCGATCTATCTGGCACAGAGAACAAAGCATACCTCAAAGTCCTCCTTCCATACCGTCGGATCTGCCTCGTCCCTGGGCCAGTACCCGACCTTGGACAAAATCAGCTCCTCAAAGCCCATCATGGGCGGCAGCGTTGCCATGCAGTGGCACCGCTCTGAGGTCTCTGGCAATTCGGCTCCGCCTCCCCTGCGTGCACACACCATGACCCTCGTCAAGGACAAGATCTTTGTGTTTGGTGGCTGCGATGCCTCGGTCTGCTTCAATACCCTCTACATCTTTGACCCCGACTCACTGTGGTGGGCCAAAGCCAAGACCAGGGGCAATATCCCGCCGCCATGCCGTGCGCACTCGACCAACTACGAGAACAACAAGCTTTGGGTCTTTGGAGGTGCGTCGTAGCTCTGCGCACTCGTGCTGGTCGGTCGGTTGGTCCAACTGACAGCGTGGCTAGCTTGTGCTCTTGCGGGATCGTCAGTTCGCTCCGGGCTGCTTGGCTCGCCATTGTGTCGAGATCCGCGCTTGGTTGTCCTTTTTTTTTGTTCCGTTTCTTTGCATGCGCACACTACCGTTTGCGAGCACATTCTCCTTTGTTGGTGTATCTTGTCTGCGACAGCAGCTTGTCGGACACTGAACTGGACTGGCTCTAATCATTCACCTCTTTTTTTTTCGACACCCACCAACCGACGTATATCCTGTATTATGTCGTCGCTGCTCGACCACGCCGACATCTTTCCATCGTCTCATTCCGCTCATGGACTGCGAATCAATCTTGGTCTTTGATCTGCTCGTCATCATCGGATTGACATCTCTCGGTCTGCACTCCGCCACCGCCGGTACCTCGACCCTGGTGACTCGCATCTGACAACCGCCAATACGCCCGCGTGGCACTCCTCCGTAATCGCAGGTGGCGACGGCCCATACTACTACAACCATCTGTACGTCTTGGACTGCGACACTCTGACTTGGTCTATTCCCGAAACCACCGGCGTGGCGCCAGGACCCCGCCGAGCTCATTCTTCGTGGATTTACGACAAGGCACTGTGGATCTATGCCGGTGGCGACGGCGTCCAGGCCCTCGGTGACATGTTCAAGCTTGACCTGGCCACCTTGGCCTGGACCAAGGTCACCGGCGTCATGGGATCTGTGCCGCCTCCGAGGGGCTACCACACCAGCACGATCGTCAACAACACCGTGATTATGTACGGCGGAAGCGACGGCCACGAGTGTTTCAGCGACATCTACATTTTCCATCTCGAGGAGCTGAGATGGAACCGCATTCAGTACGAACGGCCGGCATATTCCAGACTCTCGCACACCGCCACCCTGGTTGGCTCCTTCCTGTTCATCATCGGCGGCCACGACGGCACGTCGTACAGCTCGGAAGTGCTGATGCTCAATCTCATCACGATGGAGTGGGAACAGCGGTTGGTCGTCGGCCTCGAGAGCCCGGGCGAGCGCGGCTACCACTCGGCCTGCTACAACGACTCGAGAGTCTTTGTCTTTGGCGGCTACAACGGCCAGGAGGTCTTCAACGACATGTTCATCCTCGATCTTTCGTCTGTGGCCTACCTGACACAGACCAGTGACTTTGAAATCACGATGCTTGACGACAAGAAGATTATCGGGATCTGAGCCTCGCTATTCTCTGGCCAGATGTCTCCTCCGTCTCGATCGATCGACTGACCGATCAACTGACCGATTGACCGACCGACCGACTGACCGACCTACCAAATCAGCCCGGAACCGACCTGGAGCCGTCTGTCGTGCGACCTGTTTGTCGGAGCCGTTATGTGTGTCGATCGCCTGTTGCCTCTGTTTCATTCGTCTTCTGCCTCGGCTGCTGCCTCGTCGCTCCGGCTTGCCTGTCGGAAAGCCCTCCTTGCGGGCGCCTGTCCTCCGTTTCCCTCCGCCTCCTGTTGATGCTCTGGCACTCTCAGCATCCGGATCCCCATCCTCATCTTTGTCCTGCGCTGTTGGCGTTGCCTTTCTTTCCATCGCCCGCTGCTGGGCCTTGTCGGGCCACGGCGGCCCACAGAGTCTGCATCCGGCGGCTCCCAAATCGCTTGGTGTCGCTGCCCGCCCCGTCTTTCTCTGGTCTCTCAGCCGGGTCTCCCTTTCTTTCTTTTTTCCATCTCTCTCTCTCTCCCTCTCTTCCTCCTTGTCATTGTCTCAACCGTCTTGCTTCTTTGCCTCGATCGTTACTCCCTAGAATGCCCTTAGATTTTGTCGTCGTCGCTGTGGTGTGAGGCTCTTTTTCACATGTGGCGGCACCTTTGTCACCCGAGGCTGCTCTTGTTTTCCCTCGGCGGTGTTGTCGTTTGGTCTGGATGTGCGGTCCTGGGATCGTCGGATACCCGCCTGGCTCACCAACTTGCTCTCCCGGCTCCATTTGTATCTTGTGCTCTCCACCCCGCTTTCCCCGCGGTCTGTATGTGTAAAAATGCAATTTTCTCTATATGTTCCCGCTCCCGTCCCTGCTGTCGTCCCGCTCCCGTCTCTGCTATCGTCTCCTGGCGCATGCTGCCGAGAACGACAATACACAGCATCCTCAAAATGAAAAGTTGAAAAATGAAAAGCGAAATGGGGTCGCTCTGAAGCTGGGGCTCTCTGGGGGCTCAGTGGCTCTGCCACCACAATCGACATAAAAACCGGCCGGCCGGCCCTCAACCACCGTTGCGTTGCACTTCCGCCATGGCCGCCACCAACCTGCATTTCCAGCTGCCGATCCACATCATCGCGCTCATCGGCCACTGCCTGCAGTCGCCGATCGACAGGCTACACTATGCCCGCGCCCTCGTCTTTGCCGAGTTCGAGGCATCGCTTCGGGAAAGCTTTCCCCAGATCCAGTGGTACGATCGAATCGCGCAGTCCTCTGCCACGAGGTTCGCCTGGAACCCGGACGAGGCAGACCCAAGCGACGGCGAGCTCGTGGCGAGCCAGGGATGGTCGTCGCTGGCATTCCTGCTGGAGGGCGTCCGATGCAACCCGCATATCGTCGAGCTGGATCTGTCAGGTAAGAGCCAGAGGCTGCGTTAGCTTGACGAACTGAAATGACTTGCTTGGATGCTTCTACGTTTCATTCCTACAGCAGCGCCGTGCCAACACCCGAGCGATCCAGCGGAATCCGAGACTCTCTCTCTCTCTCTCTCGTTCTGCATCGGCTCAAGTATTCGGGCACTCTGACGGTGGATTTCAACTGACAAACCTTGTTGTCCGACAGAAATGTTCATCGGCGGCTGCGGCGCTGCTCTGTTTCCGCAGACTCTTGCTGGGTCTCTGCGTCTCTCCAAGCTGGTACTTGGTGGTAAGCAAAGCCGAACCCTCACCGTCAGATCCTTGGGTTGAACTCATCGTCGACACCAGCAGCTATGAAGCGCACGCCGATTGCCGCAAGAGGGATCTGAAACTCACCGATTCTGTGATTCGCTCACGGAACGAATGATTCCTGCGGGGGACGACGTTTCAATAGTCAACAACATTGACGACGAGGGCTGCAGACACATTGCCGTGTTCCTGAGCCATAACAGCTCGGTGGAAACGCTGGATCTTAGTTGTAAGCTGGATGCGCCATGCGTCTGCTGTCTCACTTGCACGGACGGACGGACGGACTCACATGGCAGTTGCTCCTGTGCTCATCTGCTCACCTTTGGATCTCAGACAATGCGATTTCAAGCAGCGGTGTCGCACACCTGTCCGAAGCCCTTGGAGCGAATCGGTCGCTGAAGCATCTGATGCTACGTTTCAGTAAGCCCACCGCCTGGACGCACCGAGATCGCCGAGCAGTATTGGTGGTTGTCTATGGGATTGTTATGTGTGCGCATATGCACGGCGCGGATACTAATTGGCTGCCTTCGCAACCGTAGACAGCAATATCAACGACGATGCTGTCGAGTCTCTCGTCAATCTGATGCATTCCCACACCGCTCTGGCGCATGTCGATCTCCGAGGTGAGTTGCAGTCACTGCACGGATTTTGAATGTGAATCTATGTATATCTGTCTGGTTCGATGAGCATCAATGGCGCACAAATGTGCTCTCGAAGCAGCAGGTTGGGCAGCAAACCTGTGACAGGAGGAGGCACTCCACTATGTGAGCACGATCCATGCCTGTCTCACGCCGGTACCTTCGCCGATTCAGACACCGGCATCCGGTACGCTGGTATGGACCAAATACTGGAAGCCAACCGCCGCCGCGTAGCTCCCATCAAGATCAAGCGTAACCCATTCTAGCACGGGCAAGCTCGTTTGTCGCAAGGATGCATCATGGGCACTCGCTTCGAGATACAGCGCATCCCCAAAACGAAACAGGACACCCACTTCTGAATACACACCCACAATGACCAAGTGTCCAAGACGACTGCTATTGCGATTGCCTTTGGGGCGCCCTGAGGGGCAAGGGGGACATGCTACAAGGCAGTGGCCGATGTGTGGAAGAGCATATGTGGGCACCCATTCTGCACAAGTTGCCCATATGCACATGGACACTTCATCTATTCCGCGACTACGCGACAAGGATATCGATGCTGAGCTTGGTATGTCTCGGCTTGTTCGTACTCGCAAGGCAACCCAGTTGCTGAAGCCAGATGGCGAGGGTCATGTCGCCGATTTGCTCCGCAGCTCATGCAAGACAGCCTTGTGCACTTTGCCCTTGCGGCGCCATCGACCCCGGCGAGCCAGATCGGATGTGCCCTGGCCGAGCCGGACAAAGTATCCGATCGCACCAGAGATCCAACGGAAGACAAACGACTCGCCGATCCAGCTGAGGAGTATGCTGAGCAGACCGACTGCCAGAATGTAGAGGCGACCGTCCATCGGTAGCTCGATCAGCTCCAGCCATTCACGCATCAGACTTGTTGGGTAGAGAGTCAGTTCCACGGTGACGCCCAGCAGGACCAGGGTCGTCAAAATGAACGGTGCTGCGGGTGGAAGCGGCAAGGTTGACGGGAATGCCGAAGGTGAGTGCGCCAGTTGTTGTCGCATCACATCACACGCTTGCAGCCCCCATTTGCCTCAACACAAATCAGAGGCTGCTCTGCTCTCCCTCCCTCGACAGAGTCAGCAGGGCAGCAGGGCAGCAGGGCAGCGGGCTACTCACCGTTTTTCCAAATCGACTCGCGGTACGGAGGGCCGCCATAGAATACCAGCGCCACGGCAATGTACTGGTAGCAGCTCACCAGAAACACGGCCGTATTCTCCATGCAAATATAGATCTCATCGTCGACCGAGATATCCGGAGGCTGATACCAGGGCTGTCGCCGAATCCACATGAAGATGTAGAGCTGAGAGGAGACTTGGAGGATAACCTGGCCAACGATCGACACCAGCACCTTCTTTGAGACAAGCGACGCCGTCGGCCGCTTTGGGTGGATCTCCTTGTAGCCCCTCGAGCGGCCCATCAGAACGGCCATGGGTATGATCAGCACAATGTCGATGAACATGAACTGAAAGTCGCCGAGATTGCCCACGATCGAGTACAGGATCGACACGGACGTGAACTGGATCAGCGAGTACAAGGCCATGAACTTGAAGCAGCTGAAGGAAGTCACCAGCGCGGCACGCCCCTCGCTGATGACTTGCAGGACACAGTCCAGCTCGGTGAACTTGGAGGTGAACGGAGCTGCGACCGAGGCCTCGGCTTCAGACAGAGACAGCCCGACATCGGCACCTTTGAGAGCACCACAGTCGTTTGCTCCGTCTCCACAAAAGCCCACGGTGTATCCAATCTCCTGCAGGCGCTCGACCAGTAGATGCTTCTCATCGGGAGACATGCGGGCAAATATGTTGCCCTTGACCAGCATCTGCGGGACAGATCCGGCACGCATCGTATGGGTAAGCATCCGCAGCCTGCGGCCCATATGGAGAAGGCGCTGTCGACAGATGCATTTGTGCTTACTCGAGTGATGGTGTGGGGCGAGCCGTACTCCAGCAAGCAGTGGAACACGTCTCCAGTGATGGCCAGGTCGTAGTCATCGCACTTCAAGGTCGGCTGTCCCGGCGCTTCGATCGGCTGAGTCGAGTGCAGTTGCAGTAGGTCGCGCACAATTCAGCAAACAGTACGCCATCAAGAGTGGCGTTATCAGTGAGTGCACTCAGGTACCGTCGCCAGCGCAGCATGTCCTTCCTGTACTTACGAGCAGAGACAGCGGATCGAGGCGCATGCCGCTTCCATCCACATCTTCCCATACAATCTCCGAGCTCTCGTCGTGGGGCTCTGGCCCGACAAACTTGGGCACGAACACAATGTTGTTTGGCTTGATCAATCCACTCTCACGAGACACGGAGACCGACGTGAGGACATTGTCGCCTAGCGGCAGCGTGCGAGTCCGCAGTTAGAAAGTCGCCACACAGCACCCATCGCCCGACACATCCACAGCCAACATTACCGGTGCACATGATCTGTCGGATCTTGGCCTTCGAGAGCTTGTGAACCACCGCCATTGTCCCCGACTTGAGCTTGTTCTCAAAGATAATGAAGCCTAGGAACGTCAGGCCACGCTCAACCTCGTCCCGCTTCATCTTCATGACGCGGGCCCAGCTCTGCCCTTCAAGACGCCGATGCGCACAGGCGATCACGCGATAGCCATGATGGGCATATTGGCCCAGCAGCTGGTCATAGTCTGCAGGAACTGTCACAAGCACAGACATGTTAGCCCGAGTAGGCATCGTCCTACCAAATCAAACTGATTGCAGCGTCGAGAAACAGGCCCAAAGAAACGGCCGTGCGGCACCTACTTGACTCTGGAATGCACAGCGACTTCATCACCTCGGGAGCGCCCTTCAGGAACACATCAAACTCCTTTCCTGTTCCGGTGCTGCCCGAGGCGGCCGAGTCTAGATCGCCATGAGGGGATTGGTGGGGTAGTCCGAGCCCTTGTCGCAGAGACGCCTCCGAAAAATGCAGACGCTTCACTATCACGGACATGCGCCGCAGCGAGCTCACAAATTCGAATTCGCGGATGACGCCAAGCTCGGTCAGGTTCCGGTCGACGGCCTTGGGCCTTGAGAGAGGCGACGCATCACCGCCGTGTCCGCCAACGGTCGACAGAACGTCGTGGAGGCTGTCGATGCCTGGCGGTCGCACCACCATCGGGATAATGCCGTTGGTCTTCTTGAGAAACTCGGCGGACTCTGCCCGGCGCTTGGCAAGGGCTGGCGAGACGGCAAGGTTGCCGTCCTTGGTTGCGGGTGAGGACACGGCGCTTCCACCGCCAGCACAGTCACCGCCTTCCTCGATGTACCAGTTCGTGAACTCAAACATCTTGAGGTCCATGGGATCGCCCATGAGCTGGCCGTCAATGACCTTGATGGAGTGGCAGGTGGCCATCGCGCAAAACAGCAGCGGGAATGGAATTGTGCCGTAGTCCAGGTCACACGCCTCGGTCAGGATACTGGATTCGATCGGGATGGCCAGCGACACCGGTCCCTTGAGATCCAGGCCGCAGAGAAGCGACAGAGTCTGTTGACGAGACACTGTCGGAGCTGTCTCTTGGGTAACGACGTTCACGGCGATGTTCATGTCGACGTGCACATGTGGCTCGAGTCTGGAGGCGTGCAGCGGGTCCAGAAGCTCGTCGATAGACCGGTACAACTGTGAAAAGCGGAGCCGAGACAAGCTCCCGGGAACGTGCTTATCCATCGAAGATGGCAGCGTGAAGCGGTATCCCAGAACGTCGAGGCCCTCCTGCGTCAGGGTTCCGGTCTTGTCAAAGCACATCACCTCGATCTTGCCGCCGATGTTGACGCGCGGAGGAGACACACAAAATATGCCCCGCTGCCTCAGACGAGCGATCGCAAAGCTGATGCCGATCGACATGGTTGCCGGGAGAGCAGGCGGAACGACGATGGTGATCAAGTCGAGGGCTCGGATGATGATTACGCTCCAGTGAACATGTTGGCGCACAAAGTTGTAGCACGAGACGAGGAATCCCAGAAAGGCGATCAAACCGAGCACGCCGATGAATCGAAAGGAATCGCGGTAGAGCTTGAAGTCATTGGGCTTTGGGAACAGCATCGATCGGAGGAGATTGCCTTTGGCAGTGTTGAACCCCGTTCGAACAACAAGCGCGCGGGCGCCGGTGTGATCGTCACTATGCGAAAAGAGACTGGTTCGACTGGAGACGATGCGACGACGAGCACCGGCACCGGTGGAGTGCAACCGGGAGGAGAACAGAAGGCAGCCGTAAGTACTCGCATTCTACCCGCCAGCCGATCAGAGACATGAGCGGGGTACTTTGAAAGAACCTTGACAAACAACTCGATGCGCACGCAGCTGATTGTCGGGAATCACCAGGCAACAGCAGCCACACAGCAATCGACCCAAGAAGCGGTGCGCAGAACCAAGAACCCGAGAAAGCCTGAGGATGTACAAGGTCGATACACAAGCAGCTTGACAGGACGCATGCAGTGCCGAGAGTCGGCCCCGTACCTGGAATTGTTCACCTGCTTGGATCTGGCGCGGATGACCTTGGTACCGCAGAACAAAAAGAACCGCGAGAGACGGCTGCTCAAGGCAGGGTCCTCCAGCTCCCAGTCAAGGGTCTTCCAGTCCGGATCGCCGATCGTCACCTTGGACACCGGGATACTCTCGCCCGTCAGCATGCTCTCGTTGACGATGCAGTCGCCCTCGAGCAGTATGGCGTCGCATGGGACGATGGCCGTCTCGGCGCTGAGCTCGATGACGTCGCCCGGCAGCAGGTCGTCCGACCTGAGGGACCACCAAGAGCCCCAGCGAAAGACGCGCACCGGACAGCTGAATCGGGAGAGCTCCTGCATGCGCTTCATGGCCTTCTTGGTCTCGACCAGCGTGGAGATGGTCGAGACGACGGAGATGAAGAAGATGCAGCCCGCATAGTAGTAGTAGTTGTCGATGAGCCACAGGGCAATGCTCGCGATCTGGAAGATGAAGAACGGATGCAGGACTTCGTCGACCAGGAGCTGCAGGGTGGGCTTTTCCTTGACGGCAACGACATTGTCTCCAAAGACAATGTGGCGCCGCATGGCCATGGCCTCGTCTTGCAGGCCGCCGAGCACCGCTTCGGTTGTGGTCCAGTTGGGGTCTCGCCAGTGGTAGTTGGTTTCGTACAGTCCGGTGGCTGGGTTCAGGATGAAGTGGGTGTATCGGTACGAAAAGAACCGGAGCGAGCTCATGGTGACCGGCTCGCCCGGAGACCGGGAGTCGTGCGGGGCAATCGGGTTGGCAGGATCATCAAAATGCGAAAACCGCCGCTTGCCGGTGGTGTTTGGAAAGACCTCATGGACATATCCGTTGTACGGCACCGCCGCAACCGGCAGAACCTCGATCTGCTCCCACTGGTTCCTGACATATACGAGACTCGCCTGAGAGAGCGGCACCTTTCGGCATGTCATCCGGAGCTCCCACCGCGGAAACCAGCGGCAGGCCAGATAGAACAGTCCACCGGTCAGGACACAGAGCAGATAGTAGAGAGCGACCTTGGCCCGGGCACGGGTGTATCCCGAGAGCGACAGGACCATTTCTTCGTCGATGGCGACCTCTTGCCAGTGCGCCTCGATGACGGGGTCGACATCGTCGCCCCGATGTGGCGCCGGAGAGGCTGCGGTCGCATCGTAATGGATATGGGGCGAGCCCAGCAGCGGCTCCGATTCTTGCGGAGCGATGGGCATGGGAGCGTGTGTTGAAGCCGGAGCGACGGAGACGATCGTAGCTCAGCAAGACCAATGTCGCTCGAATGCCCAAATGCAGTCAGAGGGCCGATGCTTGCGGTATCTGTTCGAGGGCGATGCGGCCCGATGCAGTGCGATGCAATGCAATGTTAATGCAATGCGATGCGATCAGCGACAGAGCTTGCAGCCGTGGGCCAGCAACGGGCGTGGGTCTGCGATCAGCGAATCGGTTGCTGCGGCGACGGAGCCGAGCCGGGTGTGGATTGCAAGGTCTCGCAGAGGCGGGCAAGCGACGAGCTGCAGAGACACAGCTGCGATTACCAGAGAGTGCTGCCGAGCGGGTGTGGGGTCGACTGGGGCAAAGCCTTCAGGACAGCGCCGAGAATAGTAACAGAGCAGGCGAAGACTGGCGATACAGTGCCGGCCAGCCCCAAGGACGAGAGCGGGTGAGTTTGTCGGGATGTACTTTGTTGCGCAGTGCAGGCAGCGAATGCAGATGGCAGACAGCCGGAATGAGGACCAGAGCTGCCCAGGCCGAGCCTACCTGGAGACACGGATGCCGAGTCGGTCCGGACGATACTCTGCGGTGCGACTGCTCAGGCAAACTGCCGACGGCAGCCCCGAAGAAGTACTTTCGAGAGAACACCAGTCACGTGGGTGCTGTTTGGATCAGGGCTGGAAGGTCGGCCAGAGAGGCGAGCGAGCGCGGTGGCCCCGAGGGCGATGCCGGGAATGCGATGCAGGGAATGCGGAATGTGGAATGTGAAATGCGGACGAGCACAGGGCAGTCCAAGGCGTGGGTGAGCGGCACGGGCGACCAGAGGCCGCTGCTGGTCGATGGGCAGCCTTGGGCGGCCATCAGCATCCGGGGAGTGTCCCAGGCAATGCTGCTTCTCGCGCGAGCGAGAGCATCCGCCTCGGGCAAGCGAGGGGCAGCATCGCCTGGGACAAAAATTTTCGTCCTGGCACTGATCACCGTTTGGCAGCTATTGTCAGATCTGGCAGCAGCACCAGCACCACCAGTCCACCACGCCGCGCACCTCACCCAACGCATCCAAGCAGCAGGCCGCAGGGACTCCTCCGCAATCCGATCCAGTATCCAACTCCACAGACATGTCGACCTCCGCAGAACGCAAGCAGCAGATCATTGACGAGATCCAGAGCCAGCTCGCCATCCAGAACTTCTCGGCACTGCTGGCTGTAAGGCAGCCATGAATCGTCGCCATGTCTTGGTGCACCACCTGGATTGAAAAAGACGTAGCCCCGCCCTGCTGCAAACGTTTGGGGGAATGGTCGCTAACTCGAGTCCTCCCTCTGTGCACACGGCCGCTGCAACGGTCGATCCGCGGACTCGCCATCACCGTCCTCCAGAAACTCAACAACAAGGTATCGACCGGAATCTTGCGTTAGCGGCATCCGCAGCATGGCCATCCGGACGTGGTCAGCCGCCCAGTTGCATCAATCTCATTGGCCTCTTCGTTTCCCTCGACAGTGCTTCACCAAGTGCGTGGCAAAGCCCGGATCCAAGCTGGATTCGTCGGAGCAGGTAAATCTAGCAGACGAGAGCGTGCTACTCGAATCGGCATTGTGAAGTGCCATAAGCAACAGTCGTGATCGAGACCTTGGGGTCTGTTGTTCATCCTTTCTCGATCCGCCGCAGACATGCATTGCCAAGTGCTCGGATCGCTACCAGGAAGGTGAGTAGTCGACCTGGCGGATTTAACCTGCGTGCGGCTTGTATCTGCATGGGACCTTGACTCGAGACTGATTGACACTGATTGACACTGTTTGACGCTGCTTGTCCAACCAGCCTGGAACATCGTCAGCATCGCTTATCTGAGACGGATGCAGCAAATGGAGCAGATGAAGCAAGCCCAACACTAAACCGCACCCAGAACGAAACGAGACAGTGCCTTGGGCCAGAGTTGTCGCTTTCTGGATCCTGAATACACCGCCTCCATCGCCCGTCATGACCCAACAGTGTGCCCAAGGAGACTGGAGGCGGAGCGGCTCGAGCCGCTCGACTATCTTGATATCGACAAATATCGGAGGTGGCCCAATTGCACACCACACTCCCGCATCGAGACGTCAATGTCAGTCGATCGCCTTCGCAGGGGATTGATCAGATTTGTTCAGGACCGTGCACCCGAAGCCAGCAGGCAATGATTGATGCGAGAGTCACTCAGGGTCACGCTGCTTCGTTTCGCCCTATGCAAAACCCGCCGCAAGTGTCTGAGCAAGTGTCTCGGCTCGCCAGCAACGTCATGCTGGAATAGCGCCCACACCTGATGCGCTGGAGCCGAATCTGGGTTTGTTCCGTGCAGAGTGCCGCAACCGACGACCGTTCCAGAATCGAATCGAATCGAGCTCAACGGACAGCAATCGCGCAGCGCGGTGGTGCCGCGACGATCCTGCATCATGCATCGTTGGCAACGTAGCTGTATTGCAGATATACTCCCAGCCGAGTACCCACAGCGAGACCGGGATATGCAGCGGAGCCGGGAGCGCATGTCGCAAGTCGGGACGATCACGAGAACTTGGCCTTCGAGAACTGCGGGGGTGCAAACGCATGCATCAGCACCGGGGAGATCAACACCCTCCGGCAACAGCCGTCGCGGGCATTCGATGCTTCCGAGAACAGCAGCAGAAATACCCACGTCCATCTCGGGATGCTGTGCATCGGGGATCCGAATCGATTTCACGGGGGCAGTTGGTCAATTGCATGGATGTCAGATGTGTCGAGGATGAGGCGAGCAGAGAAGACTCGCGGATGCTGAACCTCGAAGACCCCTCGACAACAGAACAGAGCTGGAGGATCAGACGGCCGCCCACCACGCTGCCATTGATGCAGACCTGCTTCTGGAAGTTTTTGAGGATATCCTGCTTCTTGAGCTCGTCGCTGGACGGGAGCCCCATCTGTTTCTGTCTCTGATCGAACTGCAAATGCAAGAGTGCCAAGCGGGCGACTGAGTATCGAATCTCATTGCATCCACTGGGCTGCGACCGAGCCCGAGAGTGCGCTGCCACCTTCCTGGGGCCTTGCTTACCATCATCTTCTCAACCTGGAGACGCAAGCGCATGCAAAAACGAGTCAGATCGTGTTTGATGCGCACCCGGCAGGCGCTGGACACAATAGCACCTACCATGCCACGAGTCTCGCCGTCCAGATCGGACAGCTTCGAGTTCTCTGGCTCGATCTTGGTGGTGTCGATGGCAGGGTGGTGCGTGACGACGTTCTTCCACCACGATTGTTGGTTGGCCTTTTCGAGGTGGATGGCCAGCTCACCGTTGTCTGTTTGGCAGCGGATTGTCACAGCGAGCACGTTTGAGCCAGACGAACAAAACTGTGAATGCGTCGCAACGATTCCGGAGACGAGCCATCCCCCACACCGATCCAAGCAAACACCGCCGAGAGCCCCGTCGCAGCAGCCAGATCCGACGCACCAATGAGCCAGGTCGAGTCGTCGACCTTGACGGCTTCGCACAGCTCGCCCTGTTGAGAGTCCGAGTCCGGTTTAGCATTGCGGCCATCCGAGTCGGGTCGGGTCGGGTTGGGCTATATCAAATCGAGCCCAATCCAAGACGAGTCGGACACAACCGGTCTTCATGCATGTCTGTCTCGCTCGGGATCGCATCCGTGCGATACTCGACCTCAAGGATCGGCTCAGCGCCCTTGAGCCCGGCCTTGATGTGCTTCTTCTGGATCACGACAGAGAGGTCGCGGCCTTTGGTGCCCTTCGGGATCGGGATGGTGATGGCGACATCGATCAGCGTCTGGCGCCACTTGTATGGGAGCGCTGTCGGATTGGAGCAGGCGTCGGCCGATGCGAGCAAAGGAAACAGAGTCAGCCCTCCATGCAGATCGCCCGAGCTGCATGCACGTTCCGGATCGGCCAGAGCCGCAGCCTTGATTGATCGAGGATTCGAGTCCGATACCCACCAGCCTGCTCCTCGGCCTCCTTCTGCCGGGCAGCCTTATCGAAGGCCGCACGCTCCTCCTCGGTCATGTTGTCGTACTCGGACGTCATCTTGCTGGTGGTGGTGGTGGTGGTGGGAGCTGGATTGTCGGTTCGCTTGGGTTCGGGACGCAGCAGATCGGGTGCAGATGGGGCCGACGAAAGTTCCCGCTTGCCCAGGCGGCGCCAACCGGGGTTGTGGAAAGCCGTCGAATGCTGCCGAAAAAACGTGACTGGTTCACAATCACCGCAGGGGGATCATGCCAGGGGTCGCTCAGCATCACATTCGGCAGCGACAAGTGAGAGCGAGCGCAAACCCGATGATCGCGTCTTTGATGATCATGGTGTAGAACAAACGATGGGACACATCGTCTCGCTCGGGCAACAACACGTAGTAGTCGGACCATATCGCACAACCCACACCAGCCATCCGCATGTGAAGATGTCCCGTTTCAAAACGAGTTCGCTGTATTCAAGATACGGAGACAACTGCGACTCGTATCGTGCACGATCTGCAAGCGGAACAGCAAGTCAACGGGCGACTGCCGCACCCTGAACAAAATGGCAGCGACATCCATATTCCCAAAAAACAAAACACACAAACAGCCAAGACAACCAAATCACCCAAAACTGCCAAGAACAGTCAAAACAGTCAAACCAAAAACCAAAATCATTCAAGAACAACCAAAAACAGCAATTCGACAGACAGCAGCACTTGGGAGATACAGCAAGCGCAGTACAAACAATGTCCAAATGTAAATCGCATCCAAAAGTGAGCGCGCAAATCATTCAAGATCAAAAGGCGGATGATCCGAGGGGGAAGATGTCGCCCGGTGGCGATTACGACGGGTCAACAGCTCGGGGCACGCTGAGAGGCGCTGCTCGGAACTGGACCAATCTCGGCGGCCCGCTGCAACACGAGGCCGCCTTCTGTGCAGCAGGATTGGGACGGGGGGGAGAGGAACAAACGTTCACATTCGAGGAAGGCCCGCGGTCGAACGACGTCGATGAGGGCCGGTAGGAGTAATAGTCCACCGCTAATCCGAGGACATCACGAAGCAGTCTCCACGGATTAAACTTCCATACTTTCCATCGTGTACTGATCATATGCGCTGTGTCTGTGGATTGGCGTTGAGCGCAAAGAACGAGGCAGCATCGCTTGTTAGATCACAGCTCGCTCGTGCAGCACTCGCACTAGCTCGATGGGCTAGCCAAGATGCAGACCCACGCTCGCTGCGGGTGATACGTACTCCATGAGCGGCCGCTCATCCAGGATATCGTTGCCTTCGAGCGAGAAGGGCTCCATGTCCATCATGGAGTCGGTATCGAGATCGGCGGGCAAGAGTCTGGGTGCCATACAGATATCAAATGAGTACCAAGCAGATGGGCGCCGCAATGTCGGCCAAGCAGCGCAGAGTTGCGATTGCGCAGTGATGTACCTCACAGCACGGCAGGTGAAAAATACGATTCTCTTGAGCTTCTTGTCGTAGAAAAAGTAGTAGAAGCTCCATCTGTGTGCGCCGGGTTGCGGGTGGACCACGGAGAGGTATGCATGTTAGCAGCGTGCACTCGACCAGTGAGCACTGGCGCTTCTCGGCGCGGTGTAGGCTCCATTCAGACGATCGCCGCGCTCCAAAGGTTCCGGGGTCTGCGGACGAATCACACCGTTACGCCTCCAACAGCTCTATGGAGTCGATACGCTACACATTGCCTTCTTCAGCGTCAGGCTCGATGTCGGGGTCGGGGTTGAAGGAGTAGATATCGCAGTCTGCAAGCGGAATCACTTGCTCGATGGCGGACCAGATTTTTGGCGTCAGGACCTGGGCAAACTTGTCGTTGCCCAGGTTGTAGAACGACATGTTCACATCGTTGGCGACCACATGGAAGGATGGCATGCGAGTGAAATACTCAGGCTTGACATCGCTGCGGAAACACAAACACAAAGGCAGACGGGTTGAGTCACGGCCTCGCGAGCTGGGACCATGTGCAAGAGGCAGCATGATCTCCGCCCGAATCAGTTTGTAGTGGAGTGCAAAGCAAAACGATCCGATCGTGCACGGGGATGATGCAACAGGGCTCGAGAGCGTCGCGTGTGATGCTGTGAAGCGCCGCGCAGTGCAGCGTGCAACGCAGCGCGGTGCTGTGTGGTGCTGTGTGATGCTGTGTGGTGCCGTGGGAGGTGGATCCAGAGGGCGAGACCATCGCCGCAGCAGCGATGAGTCGGCAACCCAACCTACCTAAAATCGTAGTCTGGGAAGGCTGCATTCAAGGTCGCCAGCAGATAAAAGAGTGTCTTTCTGGACGTTGGCTGCGACAACGGGCCGAACGGCGACCGGGGCGACATCGACAGACCCAGCAATTTGGGCGAGGGGGCTGAAATCTTGGGCGACAGCGAAAAGGCGGTGATGGACCTTGGCGACGACGACGGCAGCAGCACAGGCGAGGTGAGCGAGTTGGACAGGTCCTCGTCGTCGAAATCCAGGTACTTTGTCTGGAGGTGCTGCTTCAGCTTTTTGTCGTCGCCGGTGTTTTTACCTGTGCGCAAAAACACACGAAGGGAGGTCGTTGGCATGAGCCTGCGTTGCCTCCGGACGACTCATCCGCGAATGTTTGCGATGTGATCGGAACCCCTTCCCGGCAGTACGCTGCATGGGGAGGCACAGAACAGCGAAGCACAAGCAGCCACGTATCGTTGGGTGGGGGCTCTCGTGGCTCTCGTGGCCGGAGACGATGCCGGTCGTTCGGGGAGATGCATGTGTGTCCCGAGCCGGGGGGGGACTGGACATATCCAGACAGACTCGCTTCACAGGGTTCCTGGCTGATCGCCATGCGAGACAGATGGACGATGGGACTGCTGCCGGCCCACGACACACCCCGGCAAGGCAGCCTCGATGCACGCCGTCGCCAGTGCTTCGAGGGAAAGCCGTGGCTTACAGGAGTAGGACTCGATTCGGCCAAAGGCTTTGGAGTCGCCGGCCTCGATGCACGACAGGAGGGTGTTGACTTCTTCCAGGGCCGGGAATTCGAGGAACTTCATGGTTGCGGAGCGGGCAGACACACAGCTGGGTGTCCTAAGCTTGAGGGTGAGGGTGCGGTTGCGGATGAGGCGGGCCACAGGCAGGGCAGACGAGGCACAGGCCGGGGCAGGCTGGACAGGGAGGTTTGCTTGATGGAGGCTGATGGGTGCCAGCCTCGGCCCTTCGGCTTCGGCAGTGTTTGTCGCCGGCGTGGCTGGCTGCCGGCGATCACGTGTGCTCCCGCTTCTGGCCGGCCGCGTCGCCTTATCACTATCAATTTTTTCCGGCCCCCTCGCTCTGCTTGCCCCCCTCACTCTGCTTGCCCCCCTCGCCGCTCATCCCGCCTGCCCAGCATGACCTACTCGACCCGAGTCGTCGGAGCCCCCAATACCCTCGAGTACCGTGTGTACTTTGGTAAGCACCGCTCGGGCTGCTGTCTGCGCCCGCCAACCTGCCCAGCTTGCCCAGCCTGCCCAGCTGCCCGGAGACTGCGTCAGCCCTGTCCTTGAGGGGCAGGGGTCAATGCCCCAAGGCGGCCAAGATGCCAACCAGCTGACCATCTGTGCATCTGCACATGCCAGAAAACGAGCAGAAGGAGCTGGTCTCGCCCTTCCACGACATCCCTCTCTACGCCAATGCCGAGAAGACCATCCTGAACATGGTTGTCGAGATCCCGAGATGGACCAACGCCAAGCTCGAGGTGCGTCTCTGTCGGGTTCCGAGGTGTTCCCGCTTTCACTGCACCAGTGCAGTCCTCTCAGCATGCAGTAACCACCGATGGGTGTGTGATTGGGCGATGCTCCTGACTGCACCCCTTGCCCCGTGTCCAGATCTCAAAGGAGGACACCTTCAACCCCATCAAGCAGGATACCAAGAAGGGCAAGCTCCGCTTTGTCAAGAACTGCTTCCCGCACCATGGCTACATCTGGAACGTGAGTGAGATGCTGTCTGTCGCGGCGAACTGCGAGCGAGAAAGCCCTTGCGGCCACTGTCTTGTCCTCTCTTCCATCCGTTTGTGCTAAACCATCGCGGCTTCACTTCATCCCTCTGATTGGGAACACTCTGGCAACATGTGCCGATGCCTGCCCCAATATTCGGGTGGCGGGGAACTGGTCTGAAATCGTGATGGGCTGCCCATCCTTTGTCCTGTGGACATGGACTCGCTCGGTAGTATGGAGCCCTTCCCCAGGTAAGTGTGTCGCTCACTGGCCCGGATATCGCGGCTTCTCGATGTACAGCGGGTGTCTGATACCCGTTTACTTCTGACACGCCTTCAGACTTGGGAAGATCCCAACCATATCAACCCAGATACCCAGGCCAAGGGCGACAACGACCCGGTCGATGTCTGTGAGATCGGCGAGCGCGTTGGCACTGTGGGCCAGGTCAAGCAAGTCAAGGTCCTGGGTACCCTCGCTCTGTTGGACGAAGGTGCGCTTGCATCAGGATGTTCTACAGTCCTGCTCTTGTCCAGTAGCCAAAGCTGTCGTCGGTTTGCGATGAACCCGTGGCCGGAGCAGTGCGAGCCCACCTGGCGGCTGGTGCCGAGCAACCTGCTTACTGTGCACTGACACCACTAGGCGAAACGGACTGGAAGGTTATTGTGATCGACGTCAACGACCCCTCTGCTCACCTCGTCAACGGTGAGTTGCGTGTCTGCAGCTCAGATGGCGAGAGAAATGGGGGATGAAGCGAATCCAGCGGCGACTCTTACTGCCACGTCGGGGTGGACAGAGAGAGAGAGCTCATGCTCATCCCCGTTCCCTCGCATAGACATTGCCGACGTCGAGAAGCACTTCCCGGGTCTGCTTCACGCCACTCACCAGTGGTTCAAGATCTACAAGATGCCCGATGACAAGCCTCCGAACGAATTTGCCTTTGGCGGCAAGGCCAAGGACGCCGCTTATGCCAGGCGCATCATCGAAGAGACCCACGAGGCCTGGAAGAGCCTCGTTTCCCACGCGACCGAAAACACTACCGGCATCGCTCTGTAAGTCTGACTCCCTCTCTGCTGACCTGCTCTCTGGCAGTGGTTGCGTTGCCGCTGTGATGGCCCGGCTCTTACACTCCACCTGCTCGTCATAATCCGTTGTTTGCTCTGCCAGTGCCAACGTGAATGTTGCCGAGAGCACCGACCGTGTCCAGGCCAGCGACGCCCTTGCTGTTCCCAGCGACTCTGCTCTGCCGGCTGCCGCCATCGATCCAGTTGGTGAGTGGGCCATTTCGGCAGGCTGATCTCACCGGATCCTACCAGCCCTGCATACTGCCACCGTAACTGTGCTGTGTCGTTGCTGTGTCGCTGTTGTCTCAGACCCATGGCTACATGTGCTTCATCCGCAATTGTGATCGCACACCGGCGCACCACCGCTCACCATGTTCGCCTTGTATTTGCGTTTGCGTTTGCGGTTGCAGTCGACAGATGGTACTTCATTCCCCTGCCCGAGACCCTTGTCTCTCCTGTCGAGGTCTACCTCAAGCCTGCTTTCGAGGCGGTGACAGGCCTCGTGGCCTCGCTGCAGGGCATGGTTCGCAGCTGGTCGCAGCAGTCCAAGAGCCATTGATAGGCTCTCTCGTCGACGTTGCTTCGTCCGAGCAACGGCATATCCCAAGAGGCCAGCGTGCAGGTCTATAGAATACGCAGGCACATCAACCTGCCTTGGTTTCCTCCTGTCGGTCAATAGAGACAGTCGCTGTCTCCCCCTGCAACGCCCGCACGTCCACCCAGCGTAGCCGTGAGCACAGCCATATCCATAGTTGCATCTCGGCGCAGGGATTGTGGATATCGTAGGTCGATCGATCGGTTCACAAGCGGGAAGCGCGAGGACAACCAATCAGATGGATGGACCTGCTCGCGATAAGCGGCGAGCACCGAGCACCGACGATCCTGCCGCCGGCCAGAGCGACGCCGAGCTTGGTAGCCCCGCGCGATCGACAGGTCCAGGCCGAGTCAATCTGAATGCGAGAGTCTCGCGGGCCAAGGTGTCGATGGCTCTGCAGGAGACGGCGGAGACTGCAACGGACTTGCGCCCAGACAGCCGAGTTCCTGTCTACCCGCAGCCCCAACGGGAAGAGCCGCAGCCCACCCTTGCTATACGAGATCCGGAACGGGATATTTCCACTGGCACGCTCGTGCCCAGAAACTCCACAGCCTGAGGACTCAGAAATGGTGGAGGACAAGAGGGGAATCGCGGCGAGACGGCGAAGAAAAAGGGGCCGCCCCGACACTGCTGCGCCACGCGGATCGAGTGTGCAATGCGGATCGAGTGAGTGTGCCACGGATCCAGCCGGATTGCTTGCGCACGCACACACACACACTGCCTGTGGGGTTGCGTTGCCATCCCCACATCCGATCAGCTACATCCACCATCCATCTGCCGCATCGATCGATCGCACCGCTGCCATGGGAGCCCGGTCATCCAAGCATGCCGTTGGCGTTGCGGCCCGACGATATCCCCAGACCGTCTCGATGATCAAGGACGCGGGCGATCCGGCCATTCTCTCGGCGACCCAGCGACCGACGCCCAGCACCGAGGCTGCGACATCGTTCCAGGCCGAGTCGCAGCAGCAGCAGCAGCAGCAGCCATCGACTACTTACAACAACGGCAGCAGCAACCCGCTGGATCCGCGAGTGGAGCACCAGAGGCTGCTCCAAAACTTTGCCCAGATCCAGTTTGAAATCAAACCTGTCTCCAAGTTTGAATCCAAGCCGGTGAGGGCAACGCGAGGATCGCGGCTGGATGCAATGACTGCGGGCTCGATATGAGGCACTGCTCGTGCAGTTGGGGGGACTGCGTCTTCAGCTCCACTCTGGCGCTGCCGTCGAGCTCGGTCGTTTGCAATAATGTGCGCGAGCGGACTATTCAATCTCTGGATGAGCCCCATGACGCCGTGCTGTCCCTGGCTCACACCATCCGACATCCGCCTGCAATCGCATCCTCCGTCATCTGCCTGCAATCGCACCCTCCGACCACTGACCCAAATCGGCCTGGCTTTGTCCCGACTGCGAATCCAGGCTAACGAGCTCTTGAGTATCGTCAACACCCTGGCGGGAGCGCGATGCCAGGCTTGAGGAGGACGACCGGAACCTGTTTGTGCGGCCAGAGGGCAAGCTCAAGGCCGCGGAGCTGGAGCTGCTGTTCTCGCAGCGCAAAACCAAGCTCTCGTCCCCCGAAGACCTCGCGGACCAGTTCAAGCTTCCAAAAGAGACTGTGAAGGCGCTGCTGCTGCACCTCAACTCGATCGAGTCGGTCGGCAGCACGAGCGGAAACGTATCGGCCCGGTGGATCGAGGATATGGCCGAGTACCGGCGAAATGAAGCACGCAGGATCTGAGGGTGCTTATGCTGTCGCGGCTGGCTAAGCGCAATACAGCACGATTGGAGCGAGACTTGGACGCAGTCGCCCATACCCGAACCGACGGCTTCGATATCTGCCCGAATTGCGCCTGGCCCTGTCCACGGAGAGACCCAATGTCCTGTGCATTTGTCGGATTTCTTGAGCGGCGGCGCCAGCGCAGGAGGATGTGATCGCAGCGAAGGCGAGACCGGACACAGATCTCATGGGCCTCGGCCCCCCACCCCAAAGTATGTCTCTGGCCCATCCATTCTCTGCTCGCTGCCCGTCCCCCTGCGCATATCTCTGCCTGCCTGCCCCCAACGGCCCGGCCTGCTGCTCGCGGCCGCGCAAGCCTGGCTCACGCTGACACTGGCAAGATTCACAAACAGCGAGGGTCACGCGGCCGCGGCGGTCTGATTGGAGTTGGGTCTGCCCAGCGAGCCACACACGGCCGGGATGCACCATGAATCAGACCGGCGGCGGGCCTCGGGGTGACTCACTGGCTGTTCGGGCAGGTATTTATGGGCCGTGGCCGTGCCAGGACCGAGCGGACTCTATCGCAGCCACAGCCATTCACAGAGCACCCATCACCACTACTAGCACTTCCTCTTCAACCAGAACCAGTACCAGCCCCTCTTCCAACATGCATGATCATTACCTCGTTGGCCTGGACTTTTCCAACACTGGCAGCGAGCCCTCCACCTATGCCCTCGAGTGGGTGTCCCAGCACTTCCTCGCCGAGGGTGATCGCCTGACTGTCGCCACAATCCTTCCCAACATCGCAACCGAGGAGATCCAGGAGGCCGAGCAGGCAGTCATTGCGCGCGCCCAGGCCCTGCTGGAGCACATGGCCACAACCTACTCCAAGAAGCACATCGAGGCCGATTTCAAGCTGATTCACTCATCGCAAGACACTGCATTGGCGCTGTGCGAGATGGTACGTCGTGCTGGGTCGCAAGAGGGAGGAGTCTCTGGGCCGGTGCCATGTGCATCCGCTGGCTTTACGCATCCGATGGTGCCGGGAATGGTCCGTGTTGGGCTGATCGACCCGGGCTGACCTAACTGTGTGCTCTGTCCCCAGGCCGTTGATGTCAAGGCCACCAACCTGGTTCTCGGATACGACCCCTACAAGAAGTCACACCACATGGGCAACTATTGCTTGGACAACTCCGAGGTCCCCGTGACTGTTGTCCGCCCCGTATACCACTACAAATGAACAGCTCGCCATCTGCCTCTCGGTGGGCTTCTTAGCCGCACACCATCCGCACGTCATACAGCATCGAAGGGGGAAATCCAGCTCACCATTGACTGGCTGTCCGCCCTCTCCGATGATACATAGTCATGTACGATAAACGGCATGCTAAGCACCAGCCTGACCCAATACACAAAACTATGCACTTCACTTGGACCACGAGATTTGCTGGTGTGGGCGTCGTTGTGGAGGAGCTGCACTGAGCCGACAAGGGCGAGCAGAGTATCCGACAGAGATGCCGCAGAGCCGATGCTCGGAGAAGCGCCTGTTAATGATGCGGATGGCTCACGCCAACGACCTCGACCGCCCTGGATCGTTGCGGATCGGGGTGGCATGCTGAACCCGCCAGACGTGCCTGGCCAATCGACAGCCCGATTGCCAGACCGACGACGGACCAATCGACGCCACCGAATCCAAAGTCCGACTCATCCGCGCTCGCGATTGGTTGCGGGTCAGGCGGACAGCGGAGCTGCCACGCCCAATCGCGGACTGGCCGCGTCCAACACACCCTTCATCTCGCTCGGGCGAGAGCACAATACGAACGATACGAACGATACGAAGGATGCAAAGGATGCAAAGGATGCGACGGATGTGAATGATGTGAAGCATGTGAGGGATACAAATGATACAAATGATGCGAAGGATGCGAATGGTGTCGGAGGGGCGATATATGATATCGATGCGATGCGACATCCCATCCGCTCGACACACCGAGCGCCCTCTGACTCCTGCTCCCTCGTTTGGCTCGCAGCTGCCCGCCACTGTCACTCCATCTCTGTCCCGGGATGACCCACTTCGATTCACCTTCGAGGCGCGAGCCCTCGCCGATCGCCGCATCGGCCTCCCTCCCAGGACCGCTCGCCCCGCCCCTCCATGGCCTCCGCATCCAAGATGCAGCCCACCCGGCGGCATAAATACCGTGCTCGTCGCCTCCGTCTCGAGGAGGCCATCTGCTATCCACCCTTTCAATAATACCATCCAAGCTCTTCTCTTTGCCCAGTGCCCTTTGCCCATCGCGCCTCGCTCTTTGATCTTCTGCACCATGCACAACCACTATCTTGTTGGTCTCGACCTCTCGGACTGTGCCCAGGAGCCCGCTATCTACACCATCGAGTGGATCTCGGACCATCTCCTTTCTGAGGGCGATCAAATCACCATTGCCTCTGTCCTGCCCAACATCGACTCGCCCGAGGTCCAGGAGGCCGAGGAGAGCACCACCCGCCGGGTCAAGGTGCTCCTCGAGTCGCTAGAGGCTCAGTATGCCAAGAAGAAGGTTCGCGTCGAGAGCACGATTCTGCACTCGTCGCAGGAGCCCGGCCTGGCGCTTTGCGAGATGGTGAGTCAAGACCGATGTCTCTGCCGGACGATCGCCCCGTCCTTGGTCTCGTTGCATTATCACTCTTTGCATTTGGTCATTGCAGCGGTGGATCCTGGTCTTGATCGTGCCTCGCTAATCTAATGACTTTGACTATTTGCATGTCAGGCTGCAGAGATCAAGGCAACCAACTTGGTCCTTGGATACGACCCTCACAAGTCGTCTCACAGCATCGGCAACTACTGCTTGGACAACTCCGAGGTCCCAGTCAGCATCATCCGGCCAGTGTACCACTACAAGTAGAGCGGTCTGATCTGTCACATTCCGTGATTCCCCCCCCCCTCAGCTAAACAAGCATGACGGGTTGTTGCCGTGGCCGTTCGCTGCAGCCGAACCAGCTCCATCCGACGACACCTGCTCCCCATCCCTCTATTTCTCCACTTGATCACTTTACTGTTTATTATTCGGTTGAGATGTTGCTAGGTTTTGAGTAATCAAACACTTTTTTCCGACACTTTAAACTCATTCATGGGGCAGTTGGCATCTGATCCTGGTCCGGTCCCGAGAGCATGAGCGAGTGTCCCTCGCGACCTGAAATGAAAAAGGAATACTGCATCATCCTGTTGGCAGCAGGGCTGGGAGTGTGGTGCCCCTTGATCGAAACCGCCGGTGGGGGGGGGGAGGCAATCAAGGTACGGCCTTCTCCGATCAGCGCTGCGGGTGTGCTCTGGTTTGATCTCGAGCAACCTCCTCCATGCCGTCCAGCTACTGCCCTTCGTAGCCATGCAAGTCCCTCCTCATCCGAGCCCGTCCTTGGCTGCCGCGATTGTCGGTCCTTCACTCGCATCGACATCCGCATCGACATCCGCATCGACATCCGCATCGACATCCGCATCGACATCCGCATCGCCATCGATGCCGTTGTCGTTTCGATCCCAAGCCCAGCAGCGGCCAGGCTCATTCTCCAGCCAAGTCGAATCCGCTGGCCCAAGCTTATTGTTGGCATCGAGCCCCCAGCCATCTTTCGGGTCCTTTGGAAACACCTGGCGAGAGTCTCATAAGCGCGGATTCCCCTCGGACTCGGACTCGGACCGGGACTCGGGCGATAGCGACACTGACGACCATGGTCCCAGAGTTCGCAAGAACGGAGCTAAGCGGATCCGCCACTGCCCAGATCCGGACGAGAACGAGTCTGCAGATATCATGGTTGGGGTTCAAGCCGAGAGCGAGGATATCTCGAAGCTGGTGGAGATGATGGCTCTCCTAGAGCTCGCCCGGATTGCCCATGCGGGCCTGGACCGCCGCACCAAATCCAAGGCCTCTCGTCAGCAGAAACAACAACCACAACCACAACCACAACCACAACAGCAACAGCAGCAGCAACAGAAGCAACCGCTAGAAACCGTCGCAAAAAAGGGCCGCTCTCGCCACCACGACGGGCGCAAGAACAAGCGTGCTCAATACCACTCTGTGCGGAACCAGATCAGCGCTATGATGGAACATTTTTATGGCCCTGGTGCAGGCTGACCCAGCTACAGAAATAGGGCCAGAGCTGCCTCGCCCGCTGCGTCCGCGGGGCACATACCTCGAGGAGATCACCATCTCGGGGTCAGTCGCCACAAATCGAGCCGGAGTGTTTGGGCTGACATAGCAATGTCAACTCTAACGTTGGCTCAGATGACCATCTACCCCGTCTGCTACTCTTTCGTTTGCGTCCGAGTGCCGATCTATTCCCACTTCAAGACAACATCACGCAACGGAAGAGGTGGTGGGTGTTGATGATACACTGTATTCAGGGGGAAATGGGACACCTGCCCACAACCCATTTGTCGGCGTAGTATGCGATGGCATGTCTAACTATGCCATAAGAAATAGAACAGATCACTTTGGCAGCCTCCGAGTGAAGACCACCGGTCGCAGTGCAGCGATGCGGAAATCGAGGGTGCTGTGTTTGGCCATGATTGCTATGAGTGGGTGGGTGTATTCAAGTCACAGAAAAAACCACTCTCATGGCTCAAAACGGAGTGTCACATTTCATTTTGGAAACGCTGTAATACCGATATCCACTTGCAATCGTTGGTTCCTTGACGTCCAGACCTCAGCAGAGTTACCACCTGTGTCATTGGGATTCGTGTGATACTGAACTTGACGAATTCAGCCACAAATATGAAGCTTTCGCTTCTCATTTATGTACTTGAAAAACTCGACGCAAGCCTGCAACGTCTCGGGAAACTCAAGACGCAGCATTTCAATCTGACAAACAGCCACTCCACTAATTACGATTCCTGCCAACAAGAGTTCATGGTCTTCACTGGTCAGTTTGAATCGGCGTGATTTTGAAGGTGCTTCTTCTTTGGGTCCTCACATCATACAGATGGCAGGGATACATGAACAGGAAGCGATCATGTGCAGGAGAGGTGCAACTGCGACAGGGAGTGCGATCGGAACTGAGCAAGTACAGTCGCTTATCTCCTTGCAAACAAGGATTTTATTGATTTAAGATGGCTCGCCTTCATCAATATGCAGTACTCCGGCAATAGAGTTCAAGTCGACCCAATCTGTTGTGACTCGCACTCAGATTCCTTTCGACCAAGTCACGCCGCAGAAATACGGGATGCTGCAAGATCGCTGAGTGCCGATTTTACCGGCGTCAAGTTATTTGATGTTTCTCATGGTTGTTCAACTTCAGTAATAGATATGTGACAATACTGCTTGGCATATCGGATATGTTGAGGGCTGGAGGAATGGCTTGACTGATTGGTCTTGCTGCCTGTTCGGTGGGGCGACATGCTTGTTTGGGAGTGATATTCCAGGGAGGGGGGAAGAGTTCGGTTGGGACTCGGGGATCAGGGCCACTTGTTCATGACCATCAAGATATTGGTGGATTCTTCGTGGCCTTGCTCTGCAGCCTTGCGATACCAGAGGGCAGCGGCATCGATGTCCTTAGCGACGCCGCGACCACTTTTATAGCAGTCGCCGAGCCAGTACTGCGCTAATTGATATCCCTGATCGGCCGATTTACGGAGCCACTCGAATGCCTTGGTATCGTTCCTGGAGACTATTACTCCATGGTAGTAGCTCACACCAATCCTACGCTGTCCATAGGGGTTTCCTTGGTCGGCCGACCTACTCCACCACTGGAATGCCCTCTGGCTATCTCTCGGTATTTTGTGGAAACATTGATGCGACTCTCCGATCCAGAACTGGCTGTCGCTGTGGCCATCGTGAGCCAGTTGCTGTAAAATGTCCACTGCCTTCGGCCGGTCCTCTGAGACTCCAAAACCGTCGAACAAACACACAGCAACGAGATGTCGGCACAGCCACTCTCGGTCCGATCCCAGTCGGCACAGTTGATAGAACCTTCGAGCCCCGGGTGAGTTAGATGAGGTGAAACATCGAACCGCCAGACACTCGTCCTCTCCGAAAGGGAATTCATCCGATCTGTTCTCTCGGATGATCTTGATACCCTTCTGCCTGTCCTGCTGGGTGCCTCGGCCAAGGTAGTGCATCCACCCAAGCATGTGGGTGGCGATAGGTTTGAGGACTGGGTCGGTGGATTTGTTGCTGACTTCCTGCCAGTGATTGAGAGCATCTTTGTCGCTTTGCTCGACACCATGACCGGTGAATGAGGACCATGCTCGAAGGAACTCGATATGGAGTCGGCCATCTTCAATGCCTCGATCTGCGGCCTTGGAGTACCACTCGATGGCTGTGTTCAAGTCTTGATCGACGCCTTCGCCATCCTCGTAGCATCGACCGAGGGCAACTTGGGCCTGGGGCATCTCACGTTCAGCAAGACTGCGGTACAACTGGACAACCTTGGTGTGGTCTTGGTTGGTACCGATGCCATCGTGATAACATCCAGCCAGATGGAACTGGGCCATTGGATGATCAGCTTCGGCCGCCCTCTCCAGATGGCGTACGATTTGCTGGCAGATTACGGGCTGCCTGGATGGGTCCACGGACTGCTGGCCACGGAGATCGGCTTGGAGGATCCTTGCCAAGAAGAATGATGCGGCAACATTGCCCTCCTCGGCTTGATCTTCAAGCCAGGAGCGGTCGGTTGTCTCTTGATCCTTGCAATGAAGCGATATGGCGATCTGGTCGCTCGGCGTGAGGCCGATCTGCAGCGATCCATCAGGACGACACAAGCCTGCATTCTGGCACCAGGTGTGGAAGCGAGCCACCCCGGAGCTCAGGAGAGGCTGCGCCCGTTTGCACACTCGGAGCAAGGTTTTGGTGGTAATCAGGTCGAGGACAAGCTGGAAGCCCTCGTTGCAACAGATGATGGTGAAGATGTCTGGGTTGTGGTCATCCATGGCCAGTCGAGTCATGTCCCAAGAGGAGGAGGCAGAGAGGCAATGCCTTGGCTGGAGATGAGAGGAAACGAGGGCTCTGCGAGGAACGGACGATGCAGTCGAGGGAAGAGGGGAGAATCGATGAGAAACCCGGACGAGTGGCAATGCATACACAAACGCAAGCCACACCCCGCCTCAGAAGCCGTGATCGCCGAGATGGCAGGGCGACCGCTCAGATGGGTCCAACTCCACTGGCATGAACCCGCACAGCCAGGCGCTATCTGCGGCCCTGGAAGGGCCATGCTCCACGAGTCGAGACGAGTCGACCGACTTGGAGGCAGCACAAAGCCCACTATGGATAGAGTCTCATCCTTGGTATGAACCGATTGCATTGCGGAGCACGAATGAAGTGTGCCCACAAACGAGGCTGCCTCTTCGGCCACTGCAAGTCTCCAAGTGTTCGTAAAACAAAGCTCAAGCATGCCTCGGACAGAGACCCAGAGCAGCCACCGTGATGGACAGACAAGATCCGCGAACCGCCGGGCGGTTCAAGCAGAGGAATCGAATAATACGGCACCCTCACAAAGAACAACACTCATACAAAAGGAATGTGAAAGAACCACCCATCGAATCATTGCCGAATCACCGCCTGCTGATCAGCGGCGGCCGGTGCGGGTGAAGATGCTGACTTCGGGGTACTCTTCGTCCTTGAGTTCGCTTGACGGGACCTTTGGCTCGCCCAAGAAGCGAGCGTGATAGAGGTAGTTGAGACACTTTTTGACGATCGTCTCTGACGAGGGACAGGGTGTTGGGTAGATCGAGCGGGTGTTGGCGTTGTCGACCTTGAAGGACATGTCCATCATGATGTGCATGAGCGGGAACAGGGCGTTGTTTTCAAGCGAAGGATTGGCCTCGAGGAGAGTTTTGAACTTTTCGCGGGTGTCGAACAGGACCGGCCACCCACAAGCATTCGCGATCTCAAACACGCGCTTTTCGGTGATGATGCTTTGTGAAGAAGGAGTGTGTGCATGGTATGAGTGATAAGCGGACACTGATGGCAGAGCCCTTTGCAGTCGACATTCTGCACAAGGCATTCTGCGGATGGACCGACAGATCCAGAGGATGACGGCGACAGCCCAAGTAGTGGCCCAACGGATCGCAAGCAAGGATACACCCTCAGCAACATGACCGCCAGATCGCTGGTGCGGGTCTACAAGACCTTTGTCCGACCGACGATGGAGTATGCCCTGTCCCTCGATCGGCTCGAAGCCAAACAAGCCAAGACACTCAACCGAACCCAGATGCACTGCCTCACGGCGCTGTTCAAAGTGGTCCGAAACACATCGTGGGGAACCATGCACATCAACTGCGGGCTCATCTCAATGTCGGGCCGCCTCAAACAGCTGGTGATCCAATACCGGGCTGTCTGGGAGGATCGGAAAGACCAGGACGACAAGATGGTCTCGCTGGTGCTCCGATTCACTCACGCAGACCCAGAGCGCAAGTCCATATTTCTGGGAGCAGCCATCTACGAGGACGACTACTGGAAACGCCTCGAACAAGTCAAGACCCGGCACCCCCTGGGAACAATGGGGTGGCTCTTTGCAGAAGGAACGATTGAAGAACCTGGCCCACCTCTGAAAATGGTGATGCACCTCGAAGACGCCGCAGTTTCGACCGGAAGAAGGAACTGACGGCGGCCTGCTCGCCTCTGACGACCATGTCGGGCCTGTGGGCTGCCAAGAAATCCAAAATGGACCGATGGCTGCACTGCATCGCGGCCCGATGGAGACTCGGAAGCTTCCCTGGCCACCCGAAAGGCGGGAGGAGACACTGCAAGCAGTGCACGACAGACCCAAATGACCCGGTGATCCTCGACAGAACGCATGCTCAGGAATGTGCTGACCCAGACGGAAGCCTCCACGAGGTGGTCCGACAGTACAAAGCCCGACACCCAGAGTGGGAGGAACCGACCCACGACAACGTGGGGCCGATAGACAAGATCCTCGACCTCCTCAGCCATGTTGGATACGACAGAAGTGAGAGGATGGTGCGCTTCGTGAGAACTGACCCAGATGTAGATGCTCTGTGGGGTACGATCTCACAAATCTTCATGAAGCTGACCAAAGATCTGGCTGGGTGGGCAGCACCTACACATAGAGGATAGCACAGGGGAGGAGGCATGTAGCCGCCTTCCAGATAGCCCAGGGGAGGAGGCGTATAGCCACCTTCCAGAACGACACTTTGCCGAGTATCAGTGATGCTGAGGGCTGGCGCACAAATAAAAGTGCGCTATTGAAACAAAATAATTGATGATACGGGAGTCAATATGCGAGCCCAGGGCAACTACCGACCTATGAACATCAATCCAACATATCATATCCCAGATCATGGCCTCTGAATTTATCGGATTCCCACACCATCCACACCATCCACACTGATACCACGCTCAGGACGATAGAAAAAGTAGGGCTGTCCACCTCCATTGGGAAGCACTCCGGCTTCCACCACACACACCACTGCCAAAATGATCGGGTGGGCTCATCGACATAGAGACACGGTTTCGATACTGCGAGGTACATTTATTCAGTATTCCAATAGTGCCATCGGTCTCACACTGCCTCAAGGCAAAGGATGCTGAGCACCCGCTAGATTCAAGAACCGTGCGAGCGGAAACTGTCCAAACCATCCGCTGCCATCAATCCAGACACATATTACAATGCCGACGACTGGTGAGCAAGGCTCTTCTGCATCCACCGCGAAGATCCAAGCAACGCACGGCTTGCGATTCAGTCGAAGGCAGAGGCTATGCGACTCAGTGGCCCAGAAGATGTTTGGTGTTGACCAACGCAATCTGGGTCTGAAGCACTTCAATGTCCTCGAGCTTCAGCTGGCCCGCCCACGCTTGGTCAAGCTGGCTGAGCATCTCCTCGGACTGGACCAGCATCGAAGGCGCATCCGGGGGAGGGAACGCCGGCACGGTGATCGGGCATTTGGTGCCTCGCTCGGGAAGAATGCCAAAGTAAAAGTAGCTCCACAGCTTGCCCATCGTGCACAAACTGAACTGCCCCAGGCTAGTGTGGCCCGCGCCGTCATGGTGCAGCAGCACGCCGTTGCCTCGCATCAGCTTCTCGACGTGGCGGGCACTCGCGAGGGGGGTGACAGGATCGTAGGTCGAGCCAATGATAAGCACCTGATGGGATCAGCGGAAGCACCGAAAGCAGCGGAATCAGTACGACCTCCCAGTGGAATCTGTCGTTCTGTGAATGCTAGCGGCACATACGGGCACAGGAGACAGGGACAGGTGCGCCTCACCTTATTCTTGAGCTTGCGGTCCCAGGGGCCGGTGTAGCGCTCAGCAGCCTTCACAGGCCAGTACTTGCACGAGAGCGATCGCAGCAAGAGACCAGTGCCCAAGAATGAGTACTTGCTGTTCATGTCGATATCGGCGTCGATCCAGTGCTGCAGGGAAAGCTTGTCGCTACCATGTCCATCGAGGCAAAACACCGAGGGAAAGCCGTTGTTGCCCGAGACATCCTTGGTTTGGCAGAGCTGCTTCTCGGAGGTAATGCCCGACATCCGGGCGATCGCTGTGGCGTTGCGGCTCTCGATAATGTCCTGCAGAGCAGCTGCCAGAGCGGGCCAAGCCGTGGTACTGTACATGACTTGGAACACGATCTGGCCCACAAACCTGCCGCTGATGACCGTGGGGATGCCAGAGTCAACAAAGCTGATGGGGTCGGCGTCGAGCTCGTTGATGAGGCTTCTGATGCGCGCCGTGACATCACGGCCGCTGCCCTCGGGTCTCGACAGGGCACAGCCGGTGGGGCCGGCTTGCTGGCACTGTCGGCCAAACTCTTCAAACTCGGGAAGGATGTCCACGAGCGAGCCGGACCACATGTCGATGGGGGTGGCCGTGTACATATCTGGGTTGACAACGCCGTCAATGACTACGCGGCCAACTCGATCCGGGAACATGTTGATATATGTGAGACCGAGGAAGCTGAGGAGAGAGGGGCCAAGTTCTTCCAGGTCAGTGCGAGAGGGACGGTTGTACCCAGGATTGTCACTCGGGATTGTCACTCGGGATTGTCACTCGGGATTGTCACTCGGGATTGTTGCTCCGATCCTCCCTTGGTCCCGCACTGGCTCGCCAGCACAGCGGAAGCATGACGCCGCCCAGTCATGTCAGCGTCATCTTTGTGCGCTTTCGAGCCTCACCCAGACACCCAACAACATCCTCGACGGACCACTTACGTGCCGTACGAGAAGCCAAAGAAATTGAGCACGCTCTCGCCAAGGGCCTCGCGGATGAGGTCCATATCTCTGGCAACGTATGCCGTCGACAGGAAAGGGAGATAGCCGCTCGAGTATCGGCCACAGGCGAGGGCCTTGGTCTTCTGGAAGCTTGCCCAGGCCGGGTTGATTCCGGGAATGTTGAGGGCGAGCTCGAGCTCGATGGCATCGAAGGTCGTGTGAGCGTCGACGCTCGGGTTGCAGAGGACAGACTGCGACTCGCCGATGCCGCGGGGATCAAAGCCGACAATGTCGTATCCTCCGCCGGTGATGGTAGCGAGGATCGACCCGGCCACCTTGACGACCTCGACGCCGGAGCCACCAGGGCCGCCAGGGTTGATCAGGATGCTGCCCATGGAACCATTCGAGATGGAGGGGCGATAGCGAATGAGACCAATCGAGATGGTTTCGAAGCCAGGGTCGAGATGGTCAAGGGGCACCACCAACGACGAGCAGGCATAGGGCTCATCCAACCCAGGGCAGCTGGTCCACTGGACAGATGTGTGCGGAAGGAAGACCGCAGCGCTGGTCAGGGCGAGGGTATCGGCTGCGTGTGGTGGACATGGCAGCCAAGAACAGATGGATGTGTGCACGCAGCTCCGTCCGTACCTTGAGAGTGCGACCCAGGGCCGCCGAGACGAGAGCCAAAGCCAGTGTGGCCCAGATGGCTGCGAGTTTTGAAGGGGAGAACATGGGAAGCGGAGGAAGGAGGTACGAGGCTCGAAGGCGGGCGACGAGAAGCGGATTCAAGCCGACTGATCGGCCAAGCGAGCTATATAAACACCGACCGGGGACGACAGCAGGCGAGCGGCAAAGACGGAGAGCCAAGCTCCAGGCGAGCACAGGCGGGAAAGACGGCTGGGGTTGGAGCAGCGCCAAGGAGCCTTGGCATCGAGACCGGGATGCCCATGGGCCGTGTCCATGGCAGACGCGACCAGGGCATCCCGCCCCGTGACGGCTGCGCAGACACGTGCCAGACGAAACCGGGAGGGCCAGCCACACACACACACATGCCCAGGTGTCGGGTATTCGCTTGATCCACGACGCCGATCTGCACCATCACTGGCGGAAGGACGCTGCAGCCAGCCCAGGAACGAAGCGACGCAGGAACAGGAACAGGAACAGAAACAGGAACAGGAACAGAAATAGAAACAGGAACAGCACCATGGACAGCGACGCCGCGACCAAGACCCTGGAGATGATACGGCGGCTCAAGGACCGCAACGGCCGCTTGGTATTTGAGATCTTCGAGACGCTCCCGTCTAGGGACGACTATCCCGACTATTACGACGTGATCGCCCGGCCGATTGCTTTGGATATGATCGAAGTAATGGATGGCCCCTGTCAGGCTCTGCAGACGCAACCCCATGCCATGCTGCGATGCACTGCGCTGCATCATGCTCCTAGAGACGCTGCGACCGATGAGCTGCGCTGGCGTGTTCTCCTGCCATTGCTAACATCGACTCGCTGACCATCGCAACGATCTCTAGAGCCGGATCAAGCTCGGCGGCTACAGCTCGCTCGCGAGTTTCTACGGAGATATTGCGGTCATGATCGAGAACGCAAAGACATACAATCGCAAGGGCTCGTTTGTGTACAAGAACGCCGAGACAATCCAGGTGCACTGTCGTCGCTTTCCGACCATCTTGAACGGGCATGGTCGGGCAGCCAGATCCGGCGGCAGGGCAAAGCCGCTTGCAGAGTGCGATATCACAACGGTGCACGCATATCACAACGGTGCATGCAGACGCTGTTCGATGGGCTCGGAAATCCTGCGTCCAGTCCGCTCAGGACATCACAGCGACTCATCGGATAATGAATGACCCTGCAGGCCGCAATTGAGTCGACAAGCCCCAACGCCCTGTCCGGTGCCGATAAGGTGCAGTGTATTTCGTTGGCTTTGCTCGGCCCTATCGAATAGGCTCAACTGGCTGCTTCCAGGGCTGATGGATGAGTATCGGGGGCAGCTGATGGGCATTTCTCTGCATTCCAATTGAGCAGTCGCAGGACCATGGCGCTGCAGACATCAAGACCCTGTGGGATCAGATTGTGCGATATCGAGCCATCGGTGGATCCACCGGGGCTGCTTTCAGCCGATTGACCAGCGTGAAAGACTCGACGTTCTCGGTAGGCACCAAGCACCATCGCCTTGAGGCCATAGATCCATGTGCCGAGACACACTGGACACTGACTCTGCTGGACTGCGGACGTTTGTGAAAATAGGAAGCAGCAAGGTTTTTTGAGAAAATGTCGCTGAAGGCTCGGGACTTTGGCTATCCGACCTTTGATTCATTCACAGCCGATGTGCGATCTTGGATCGCGATGATCAAGGGACGCACCGACGACGAAGACCCACTCTCGTTGGCGAATGATATTGAGGTATGCTGGTACAACCGAGATGCTGCTAATCTTGAGGCAGCCGCAGCCGTAGCCGCAGCAATATCAGGCTATCTGTCAAGGCGGGCTGTAGGTTGTGGGCCGAGTTCTGCGCCGCCCCATCAATCTCGCCGAGTCGAGCCGCTGACGCTGCTCATTCAAATGCTACCGTATGTCGTTTGGTACAGCTCCAAGTGGAGGACTTTGTTGTCCAGAGGAGCACGCCGCTTCGGCCCGGAATGACACCGATTCCCGAGCTCGTGAGTGCGGGTACCAAGTTCAAGATAGGTACGGACACCTTGCCCCCGCGTCCTGAATCGAAAAGCGCTCGCAGCTCGCCCTGACATGGCGGATTGTGAAGAAAAAGGCTGCTGTTCGGGTCGTCTACATGTGGCAAGGCGACATCGCGACGGTGGATTGGCTCTATGTAGCAGAGTGATGCTTCGATGGGCTTCGCAGCAGCAAGGCAGCCATTTGACGTCTGACGCTAAACGGACGACAGGCGATTACATCTATCTCAAGCCGGACAGCGCGACCCTCAAGGCTGTGGTTGCGCAGATATATTCGATTTGGAAAGTGTAAGCATGTCCCGCAAGCAAGACTACCGGTGTTGCGGCCAACGGCATCTCGGCGACCGCATGAACAGCAGCGGCACCATGCGGGACAGTACAGCTGACCCGGCCGATGATTTTGCAGCGGTGCCACCGAGAAAATCAGAATATGCATTTTCCTCCAGGCCGACGATCCGAGCATCAAAGGCATTGCCTCGTTCATGGAGAATGAGGTCTTCAAGACGAGCAGCTACCATGTTGTGGATGCCTCGCGAATCCTTGGGAAATGCTACGTGCTGTTTCTTCGCGACTATGTCCGCGGCAAGCCGCCCGGCGCCTCGGCGAGCGATGTCTTTGTCTGTGAGTCCAAGCTCAACTCCTCGAGCAAAGGTCTGGTCAAGATCAAGAACTGGAATACGTGCTTGCCCGAGGCAGTGCGCGGCCAGGAGATCGATCTGGATCTCTACGACAAGGCTCTGGTGCCGACCAAGGCAAGTATTGTGAATTTCTGTGCACCGAGGGGCTCTAGCGCTGCCTCCGCCCCGCGCACCCATCCAGGCAAGCCTGGCTATGCACAGCAATATCCAAGCTCACGCCTCATCCCGGTTTCTTCCCTGTCTCAAAGAGCCATTCCACACCAGCGAAGCTGCCGACGCAACAGGCAGCCATCCATCCGACATCTGGACTCGTTGGGAGTCCAGCCGCCGTTGCGGTGGCACCGTCCTTCTACCCCACACCGATGCTCCCAGTGCCAACGCCGGTTCTTCATCCGCCGCCGCACATCAACCCGGCCGATTCGCTGCCGGCCAGGATCAGTAAGCTCGGCCATCGCGCTGCTCCCACGCTGCTCGTGGATGGGACTCGGGAGACTCAGGTGCTCTCGACCCAACGTCGCCGGATTGACGCACTCTGACGCATTTCGTGCTCCCTCCGTCATGCCAGACGAGAAGTTCCTGTGTACCGATGACTCAAAGTTGAAGTGGTTTGCCTCTCCCCCGATTGATGTGGTCCCAACCCCTGTGTTGACACACTCACTAGCATATCTGGTCAAGAAGAGGAAGGATCGACTGGTACGTTTCTTATGCGCTCGCCCTGCAATCCATCGCCAGAATAACAATCAGACACTGCACGCAAGAGTTCAGCAATCTGATGGATTTGCTGTTCTTTGTGTCGTTGGTTTGCGTTTCGTTTCTCAGAAGGCCGAACAAGACAGAGAGGACCAAGCGACTATCGCTGCTGCCTCGGCTCACGAACCTACTCCTACCGAGCCAGCCAAGCAGTCCGAAAGCCATCGAAGCGATCCTGCATCCAATCCGGCAGTTCTGGAGGCAATCAACGGTAGGTATCCGATGGAAGTCGCTCCCTTGTCCATGACCAGCCCAAGATACATCGCCGAGCCAGTCGAGGCTAACGGGAATACTTGCCGCCTGATTTGTACCCAATGCAACGTGCAGAGCTCGCAAATGTGTGGACAGCCCAAGTCAAGCGTCTCAAGGCAGCGCCATAGATGTTGCAGTGCAAAGCCGTGATATTCAGTGCCATACTCATTTGTGTGCACCGATTGCGCTGAATAAAGATCGCATCAAGCACCCGTCGCCATCTGGCTGTATTCTACTATCTTTGAGCGTGCGCTACAATCAGCAGGGAATCGACATGCACGGAAGGCAATGCATCCTTGGCAAACGATGTCGCCACCGCTGCCGCATTTCGGCAGGGGAGCGAGCACTTGAATCTAGACCAACGAGCTCAAGACCGCAGCAGCCATAGCTATAGCCACGGCTCCTGCCAGATCGTGGGCCGAGCGAAGCTTAGAGAATGGAGCGTGCGAGCGAGCGTTGCTTGGGATGCTGACTTGGGTTGCGGGACCGCCGCCCAGGAGAACAGTGGCCGCCACAGACGGGACACCATCGGACGAAAGCACAAAGAGCATCCAGTTACCCGGTGGGGCGACGGCGCCATTGGGCGGAAGGCTGATATAGAGGGTATCGTCGGTCTTGCCCAGGATCTCGATCTCGATCATGCGCTGGTCCGAGTTGGTTTGATGGGTGGTGCTTGCGTAGCGGAGGAGAGTGACTCGACTGATGGCGCCGCCGCGCACGGCTTTGGGATCGATCTGGACGGCGATAGAGGAGCCATAGGTGGCCTTCTTTGGGGCGCTCGTGATGGCAGGCCGGGGTTTGCTGGTGAGCAGATAGGGAGGTGTGAAACGTTCCATCGCCGTACCAAAGGGCGATCGGCACTTGGTCAGATCAAGCTTGCGCGATGAGTCGCCATAATACGACATGGGGTCGCAGGTATTGTTGGCCCCGAGGAAGGGCACATCGGTGTTGCCCCAGATGTCCTCGACGTTCTGCATCTCGGAGCCGGCCGTGTAGACGTAGCCCGACGGGGCGAGCAGCGCTGTCGAGTGGTACATTCGCATGACCGAGGCTGAGGCCACTCGAACATGGGTGTCTGTTTCGGGATCGAAAATCTCGGCCTCGTAGTTCACGCTGCGGGCATACTGGGCAGTTCCGGCATCACCTCCGGCAAGGCCCCAGCCGGCGCCGTTCATATAGAGAATTTTACCATCTGTGGAGCCAAACCAAGCGTGGGAAACGATGTTTTCGGTCAGCCAGACATCTCCGATCGGATTTACGCCTCAGATCTACGCTTCAGCATGCGCTTGGAATCCTCACCCGGCAACAGCACGCCGTCGATCATCAGGCGCGGCGAGAGCAGCGGTTTGCGCACAGTCCAGACCGGCTTGTCGGCATCGGGCTGGACACTGATGCACATATCCGAGGCATCCGGAGTCGATCTTTTGCTGCCGCCGCAGAGCAGCACAGTGGCTTCGTACTTTGGGTACTTGAGCGGGAGCAGGATGCCGTGCGCTGTGTAGGGATACAGCCAGGGCTGGTGGTCCAAGTCGGCCGGGACATCAGGAACTTTGCTGGGATAGTCGATCGTGTCGGTGGCGGGATCGAGGAGCATCGTCTGGTTGGCGACAAACAGAAAGACCTTCTTTGAGGGCAGCTGGAAGGCAATCGGGTAGAGCGAGTACGGGTAGTTGTGTCGAAGAATGTCCAGAGGCCGAGGCCAAGGCTTGCCGTTGTCTGGTTTGGCAGGATAGTATTCATAGGTGGGGTTGTTGTTGGTCTCGGGATGCCAAGTGGCGGGCGAATCCACTGGACAAGGTGGGTTGGGCAAGCAGCGAGCAAGACAGTGTGCGAAGGGGTTAGTGCTGCTTGAATGTCGCAATAGCCAGCGATGCATCACAGCGGCAAGGACGACTAACGGCCATCGATGACTTGCAGCACCACAGTTGCCAGCAGCCCGCGATGCGCTACAGCCACCTACAGATCAGATTCTCGATAGAGCCCGAGAAAAACACATGTGATCCGTCATAGAGCGCGGCGGCCGTTGGATACCACCGCTCGACCTTGATTTCCGGCAGCGATAGATCCCATGTGCCGATCTTGCATGCCGTGTCGCCGTCGGCGCAGGGCCGGTAGATGCGCTGCTTCTTGCGGCCGTTGGAGATGTATGCGTTGCCAGCGGCATCGTACATGGTCTGGTTGTCGCCGCCGACAAAGAAGATGCTGCCGTCGGCCATCTGGGTGTGATGCCCGCAAAAGCCGTTGTAGGAGATCTGGGTGGTCTCGAAGAGCCGGGTGGATGAGTTGCCCTTGTATCGCTCGGGGTAGAGCTCGGTGGTGATCTGGCCGTTGGTTCGCTCGTTGATGGGGTACTGGCAGAGGAGACAGCGGTGGTCGATGATGGCGAGAACGAATGGCTCTGAGATGTCAATATGGGACAGTTGGATCGAACGCTTATCTGGAAGCCAAGGTCGACTCGCATCCGATCCTTCCTCGGTCAATCCATGCAGGGCTGCGGGCGACCTACCGGATGGATATGAGGTCGCTCCATGCACAGGAACCGCTCGTTTGGCAGCAGGGCCAGGTGGATGCAGACCGCACCGGTATCCCCAATGACCTCCCACTTGCCCATGTTGATGGGGTTGCTGGTGCTCTGGGCGTGGGACATGCCCACGGATGCAGAGAGTAACAGGGCACACAGGCCGAGGCGACTCTGGATGTTCATGGCGGCTGCGATGCTTGCGATCTTGCTATGCTTGCGATGTTTGCTATGCTATGCTATGCTTGCGATGTTTGCGGGGCTCACCGAGGCTCAAGCCTTGGCTTTATGTCGGACCCGCATCTCGCCGCTCGTCGGATGAGGAGACCGAGGCGGATGCTTGACCTGGCTGAGCATGGCAGCCAAAGTTGCGGCGCGGTATTATTGCGGCAGAAACCTTGAGGCGATGCTGGCGCGTGGGAATCGTCAAGGATGCGGGGATGGGATGAGGTGCGGGACAGTATGCGGGGCCTTCCCCGCTCAATGGCCAGTGCGCCATGAAGCTTCGGTGCGAGGTTAAGTTTTGCTTGATCAGCCTGAACTGCTGCCCCTCCAGACAGCCGGAGCCAATCCCGGTGCCCATGTCCGGGTTCGTGTTTGTGCCGGTGTGCTGTACATGGGGTACATGGGCACATGCCCTGATACCTTTGGCACTCTCTCGAGCGCACATCATCAAGAGCCAGGGATCGTACGCATCAACCTGCGACTGTTTGCATGATTGCAGCCATGTTTGCGCAGGCCGAGCCACCCACCAGCCCAGGTTCGGGATGACTCAGGGTGATGTGCCATCGGGATTGTGGCGATAGAGTTGGTGCTCGCAGGCATTCTGCATCAACCACCCGCACAGCCGCTCTGGGTCGGAGGCTCCAGGGTGTCCTCGGTGCTCCTTGGATGAGCTGCTGCATCATCCGCGCGGATCCAGGTAGCTATTGTATTGGATCGCATATAGCAGAGTGGCCATTTGGCCATCGTTGTCTGACCTCAATCGCCGCGACCAACACAGACGATCGTTGCACCGCGAGACTCGCCATCACCATCCGTGCCGAAGGAGCAGTAATGAGACGGCATCCGGGGGGGGGACAGCAGAGGATATCTATCGCATGGTCACCAACTCCTCGGCGGCAGTAGGGTGGATGGCGACGGTGTTGTCAAAGTCCTCCTTGGTCGCGCCCATCTTGATGGCGACTGAGAATCCCTGCAGAATCTCGTCCGACTGACGACCAACCAAGTGCAGACCAACGACCCGTTCCTCGGGCCCGGCACAGACAAGCTTGTAGGCCGTGAACTGCTTCTGGCTCTGCTCAAAGACTGTAAAGTACATGTTGATGAACTTTGTGCGATAGATCTTGATCTGGTCGTCGCCGTACTGCTTGCGGGCCTCGGCCTCGGTCAGACCCACACTGCCGGCAGTCGGATGCGAGAAGACCACGGCCGGGACGTTGGTGTAGTCGAGCTTTCGATCCTTCATGCCGCCAAAGAGGCGATCCGAAAGGCGACGGCCGGCCGCGATAGCCACTGGATGCAAAAGGTTCCAGACGATGAGAAGCAGTGCCAAACAGGGGTCAGGGTTGGTCGCCATTGAACAAAGGCGGATATGGCCGTGGCGGTGTCAGCTCCACCAGCATCAAATATATGGATCGAGCGACGGCGGCCAGCTCAACCAATTTCCGACTTGTGCATGAACAGCCTGATGGCGATCCGCACCACCTGTTCTCTCGAGACCGTGCACCCATCAGAGAGACGCATACCTGGCGTCAGCATGATGTTGCCGCAGACATCACCAAGGGCAAAAATGCCCTCGCTGCTGGTTGCCTGCCACTCATCCACAGTGATGAAGCCTTGTTCGTCCAGCTTGACATCGGTGGCGCCCAGGTTGAGGGGCTCCACCTTGGCGCTGCGGCCGACGGCCCAGATAAACTCCTCGACACCGCTCAGGGTCTGGAGCTCGGGCGAGTCGGCGGTGGTATACTTGACCTCGAGTAGCTTCTTGTCGGCGGTGCCGTGGTTCTCGAGGCGATCGATCTTGGACGACATGACCAGCTTGATGCCAACACGGCGGTACTCGTCCATCAAGGTGTTGTAGATGATTTCGTCAAACGTGCGCAGGAAGTGGTCCTTGCGGCAGAACAGGGTGACCTCGGATCCCAGGGCGTTGAAGATGCCCGCAATCTCGATGGCGATGTAGCCGGCGCCGGCGATGGCTACCTTCTTGGGCAGGTAGTCAAGGTCAAAGAAGCCGTCACTGGTGATGCCTAGGTAAGCAAGGGCAGGTAAGCAAAGGTAGATCAATCACATGCGATGTCGAGCTCCTTTCAACCAGATTGGCCATGATACCGTCGCCCATTGGCCATGGTACCGTCGCCCATTGGCCATGGTACCGTCGCCCACTCCAGCAGCCGCTTTGCTCACCATACTCCACAGCTCCGGGGTGGTTCGGGATCCAGGCTTGGCTGCCCGTGGCAATCAGAATGTGCTTGCCCTCGTATTCGACACCGTTGACTTCAATGACCTTCTTGTCGACGAAGCGAGCCAGGCCCTCGATGCGAGTGATGGTGTCTTTGTCCAGGTTGTTTTCGTAGATGCGATTGAGGCGGGCAATGTACTCGTCGCGCTTCTGCTTGAGCGCCGCCCACGAGAACGAGTTGACCTTGACGTCGAAGCCATAGCCCTTGGCCTCGTGAATGTATTCCGACAGCGAGGCTGTGGGTGGCAGGCAGCACGGGCAGAGTCAGTGCGCACGCCTGATGAAGGAAATGCTGATGCCTGTTGCGCACCGGCCAGATCGACAGTCCCAGCAATAGGGGCCCTGGTTGCCACTGATCCGCGGGCTAGATGCTACTGACCTGCGTTCCACATCACTTTCTTGGGCACACATCCTACAAACCAAAGACGCACAAGAATGAGAACTTTGCCGCTGTGATCGCAATCCAGACTCGGAGCGAGTGGATCGGGCTGCAGTCTGAGCGGATCATGTCGGTAGCTGGGCTGGGCACTCACCGAGGTTGACGCACGTTCCACCCCACCGGCCTATCAATGAGATCAGCGGAAGAGGCACGGGCGACTGTTAGTGCCGGTCCAGGCGGTCGAGAGCAAGCAGATCAGGCCCCAGCACATCCAGAGATGCTGTGCTGTGGACTCACTCGCTTCGATCACAGCGACCTTGGCGCCGTACGAGGCAGCACGACGAGCAGAAGCGATACCGCCGCTGCCGCCGCCGATGACGAGGTAGTCGAAGAGTTGTCGGGACATGTGCTGGGTGCGGATAGGAGAGGAGGAGCCAAGAAAATACGAGTTGGGGGCCAGAGATGGATGGCCAGAGATGGATGGCCAGAGATGGAGAAGAAGCGACAGAGGCTGGTGCAGGCCCAGACTCCGAGGCTTTCATATGGACAGGGCGCTGACAAATGTCCACGCGAGTCTCAGGGATGATGCGAGCGCCGCGAACAGGCTGGCTCGAGCAAGAGCGAGGAGCGGGGAACGATGCAGATGGGCGGCTGGGATCAAGCAGCCGGGTTGGAAATCAGAGCGGGCATCCCATGCGTATGGAAGGGAGGGAGTGCTGTGGGCTGTGGAGGGGCTCGCATCCATGTCGCTGTTGCACTCTGCACACTGCACACTGCATACTGCATACTATGTGACGGGTATCGACTTGTCGCATCGATATCTGCTGCCGGTCGCAGCGACGCTGCCCGAATCAGATCGGTGGATCTTTCTTGCCAGACAAGGCTAGCCGGATCCAGCGACGGTGCAGCAGCAGAGCCAGAAGGCTTGCTCTGGATGCGTCAAGCTTGGCAAGAGCCTTTTTTCCGTTCTGCAGCGTGCGGCCTGTCGTCGGTCTGGCCTCTGCCTTCTTCGTCGCCCATCGGCCGGCCACTCCCTTCCTTTTCCCCCTTCTCTACCAGCACTATGTCGCAGGCACAGATTCCACCCAGCCCGCTTGCCCCGCCGGAGATCCTGGCCGAGTTCCGGCAGAGCATCGAGGAGATCGACGGCGTTCGTCAAGGAGACTGGGATGACTATGTGCGTATACTCACTCGCACCAGCCCTCGACCCATGTCGATGCAGGGTGCTATGCGCTTGTCGATCGCAACCCGGTCGTTGCCATCCAAGACAGTCGTTGCTTGGTGCGATCTCCAGAGTTGTCGATCCAGTGCCGGCCCAATGCCGAGGGAGAGGATGCTGACTGCTGCCTTGGCTCTGATGTTGCAGGCGCTCTCACGCTTCCTGGTCGCTCGCCAGCTGAACATCAAGAACGCCCACGCCATGCTCAAGGGGTACGTCCAGCAGTGGAACAGCCGAGGAATTCCATCCTGGCCCAAGCACGGCATCGACAAGGATGTTCCTCCGCTGCAGAACGTCCGGGGTTTTGAATGCTATCCCGATTCTAACTGTAAGCGGAGTGAGGCCGCGATCGGGGCGATAGAGAGGAGCCGGCTGCAAAGACGATCGAGCAGGGTGGAGCTGTTGGATTCGAGCATGACCTGAGCAGGACCTGAGCAGGACCTGAGCAGGATGTGATCAATGGTGCAGGGGTTGTGTCGATGTTTGGAGTGCAGTGTGTTGTCGGATGGCGCTGATAAGATTCGGTGCAATCCCAGGGGATCCCGACCACCCAGCCTCTCCTTCGGAATTCCAAAGTCTCTCCAAGTACATTGCTGGCGGGTGCTTCCACAAGATCGACAAGCTCGGCTTCCCGATCTACGTCGAGCGCACGGTGAGAAATGATATCGCTGTGTGGCACCAGAGGGTGGGGCGGGCAAGATTCGGCCATCCGGCAACAGGAGGATGGAATGCCCATGGGCCAAGGCGGTGCCTGTTCCATGCGTCGCTGACGAGGGATGCATCGGCATCGAACAGGGTATGCACGACACCAGAAACCTTGCCACATACGTCAAGCCGGAGGAGATGATCAACTGGCATGTCCGCAACAACGAATTCCTGTTCAACGGCATTATGAAGGAGTGTTCCGAGAAGGCTGGCAGACACATTGGCAAGGTACCACGGAGATGCTGGGTCGAGCAGGCGGATGTGCAGTTTGCCGAGGCAGAATAGTGGCAGTTGAAGAGCTGGTGAATGGCCTTGCCGCCTGGATGTGTCTGTCGGGGTGTTGGCAGGTCGACTGAGATACGAGTGCAAGACTGAATGCGAGGTGCGAGTGCAAGACTGATTGCGAGCCACAATTGCTGTTGCATAGCATGTTGTGATCTTTGATTGCAAGGGCATGGGCTTCCACCGTAAGTACTGGTGTTGGCAGACGGCATTCATCGTAATTCGGTCGCTCTCGGACTGCTACGATCGGCTCTGTTCCGGTAATGCTGCTCTGTGATGATGCTTGGTCTGTGCTGATGCTCTTACGCCCATCTGCATTCTGAAGAATTCAACCTGACGGCCATCGGTCTGCTGCGAGGCGTCGGCGAGTTTGATGCCAACTACTACCCTGAACGGCTGGAGCGACTCTTTGTGGTGAACACCCCCTGTAAGCAGAGCTTGCGCCTGAGGGCGAGGGAGACCGAGAGCAAGGGAGACAGCGGGCTATGGAGTCGGGCGGCGACGATTCAATACGGCGGCCTGATTGCTGATCCATCGGCATCTTATCGGCCGCTGGCTCGGATGGCTTTGCGTGGTCGACAGCATTCTTTTCCCGAGCCTGGATGCTCATCAAGATCTGGCTGGACAAGAACACCCTCGAGAAGATCCAGATCATCCACGACGACGGACGGGACGTGCTGCTCAAGTACATTGACGCCGAGAATCTGCCCGAGTTCATGGGGGGCAAATGCACATGCAGCCACATGGAGGGCGGATGTGTGCCCCAGCGAGGCAACGGCGGCCTGCAGTCCTGAGAGAAAGGGCCGTGTGGGGTCTCGAACGCAAATAGACCTGATCGACGATAGCCGCGAGGGCTGAACGACAGTGCCGGTGAATTCCCGCGAGCGAGAGCATGGGTATCCGAGAGCGAAGGCGGTGGAACTGTTCATGACAGAATGGCATCGCATGGCCCCCCCCCAACACCGTCCAACAGCCGATCACCCACCGCATTCGTCAGCGCCGTGCCCTTGTCGATGATCCGCCGCATTCGTCAGCCAATGGCATCGGCCTGGCATCTGCTTGGCATCGACTTGGCATCAACTTGGCATCGACTTAACGTCGACTCATTCCCTGCTCATTCCCTGCTCGTTCCCTGTTCATCGCCTGTTCATCGCCTGTTCATTCCCTGTTCATTCCCTGTTCATTCCCTGTTCATTCCCTGTTCATCGCCCCTCCCCTATCACCCCTTCGGTATCACCGTCGCTTGTGCACCATCGCCATCCGTCGCTTCGCCGCTGTCCGGTTGCACATACACACACTCCTTCCACGTCCCACCTTCGTCATCGGCCTGCCAGGACACCCCGCCGGGATCTCGCTTCGTCCGCTGCCCCGAATCTCCCGACCTCCCACGGCCCTCTGCGAATCTCGGCTTCTTGCCTCTGAGTGTACTAGCTTGCTCCCGTCGTCCACTCCATTCCACTCCGTTCTATTCCCGCCGCTGTCGCCGCCGACTCCTCTGCTGCCCTCGGCTTTATCTTGTTGGTCTAGACTCCTCCCGTGAACCTTGGCCTTCTCGCTTCACCCGTCTGCTCGGCCACACTCCACCCAGCCGACCCAACCCAACCCAACCCAACCGCCCCTTCGTCCGCGCCTTCTTTCCCTTCCGCCTTTCCCTCCCCTTCCCGCCTGCTTGCGCTTTCCATCCGTGGTCTCATCTCCTATCGCCCGTGGTCTCGTCCCTCATCCCCCGTCGTCTCGTCGCATATCGTATCTGCCCAGCTTCGTATCCACACCCGCATCCGCATCCACATCCACATCCACGACCTGCTCCATTCCCATCTCTCTCATCGCCCTATCGCACTGATGAGCGAAGCAACGAGTCCCACCCAGATCCACGCCTCTAAGCTCCTCGCACTGGAGGACTGGCCCAGCATGGACGAGTTCCTCATCCAGGACGAGGCCCTCTACCTGCCCTCGGTCCATTTTGACGGCCTCGATGTCCCTGCCTCCCCGCAGCCTCTCTTGTCCATCGAGTCGTCGGCACTGGCCCTTGATCCCATGGACATCCAGCCGCTTGATTTTTCCGGCGTCGATGCCTCTGAGCCACCCTCGCTCTTCCCTGCCTCGGAAGACCCTGCTGTCCTGGACGGTGGCTTTGATCTGGCCATTGACTTTGCTCCGGCTTCTCCTTCGGCATCCGGCGCCGCCTTCTCGGGCGCCCATGCTCACACCCACGCCGATGTCCATGCCGGCTCCTATTCCCTCACCCATCTCCCCACCAGCACCATCTTTGACTCGATCGCCAGCCCTCTGCCATCGCCCTTCCATGCCAAAGCCTCGCCCTTCTCCCAGCTCACGCTGCTGGACGTGACCCGGGCCGAGTCCGATCCTGTGTGCGACTCGCACGACCTGGTTGCCTCCGAGGGTGCTTTCCCGTCGCCTCTCTCGGAGATTGCCTCGGACATCAGCATGGATGCCCCCGAGCTCTCGCAGAGCCACGTCGATCTCGGCCTCGGCGGGTCTACTTCGCACGAAGCGCTGCAGAATCTGGACCAGGTCCAGGAGTTCCTCAAGTCCGTCGAGAAGCACGCCGCCATCGATGCCGAGCAGGCCCTCCAGAACTCGCTGGGCAAGAAGAGCCGCCGCAAATCCCACTCGCGCCAGAACCCGATTGCCTCGTCGTCCGTCTCTCCGACTTCGCGCCAGAAGACGGCCGAGTACCTGGCCTCCCTCGAAGCCGAGGTCAAGAAGCACCGCGAGGCCTCGGCCATCCTGAACGAGGCACTCCTCCGATATCAGCGAGAAAACCAGCGACTACAAGATCAGATCACCAGGCTAAAGTCGCAGTTTGACCACATCAAGATCTCCCCGGCTCCGTCGTCGGGCTCGCGCCTGCCTGCAGCCGTGCCGCTGGCTCGCCCCAGCGCCGAGGGCAATGTTGCCGGCAAAAAATATCGATCCATGATGAGCGTCGAGGCTTCTCCCGCCGTCCCCAGCTTGGCTCCCAACATCGACATCAGTCGGGCTGCTGCTGCGCCCACGTCCGCCACTAGCACCTCGGCCTCTTCGGCCGATGCCCAGCGTGCCGACGGCGCTGCTGCGCCCAAGACCTCGGATTTTAGCGAAGCCGTTTTGCTCCGCCGCAAGAACTTGAACTCGTTGCTCAAGAAGTTCTCCAGCTCGCCCGCGCCGGCCCCCGTGGCCAGCTCCTCGTCCAAGCCGCCGATGCCGGCGTTCGCAGCCCGCATGCCTCCCCGCATCAGCGGCAGCACCCTCGCCCCGACCGAGAACAGGGTCAAGGTCCACTCGGTCATGATCAGCGACAACAGCCCCTGGAAGCCCTTTGCGCCCGCCTCTCAGTCATCGCAGGGCGCAGGCTGCCCCGAATTTGACTCCCCCTCGGTCGAGTCGCTTTGGAAGCTGATATCCCAGCCACAGCCTTTCCGCAAGAGCGTCTCAGCTTTGCCCGTCCTGCCGCCCGCAAGCAGCCAGCGCGACCTGTCATCGGACCCATCGGTCCTGAAATGGATCGCCAAGATGTGCTATGCTGCCCGGGATGACAAGCAAAAAGCCACGCTGGCCAAGCTGATACTGTCGATGCTCATTCTCAAGGGCGCTAATGTTTCGATCGATATCGATGTCTGAGCCGCCCCACATCTGCCCTGTCCACCTCTTACACTTTCCAATATCTGCCTTTTCCTCCACCCGCTGTCCTCCTATTTATTAGCACTATAAGCCTTGTCGCGATGGCTTGAAGCCGTCCGAATTTGTATATTTTGTTTTCTTGTCGATTCTTTCTGCCTGGTTGCTCTCGGTGTGTCGTCGTGTCCGGCCAAATCCTATGCCACCGCAGCGAGCCTGGGAGCGCGGGGCCAACGTCGCAGCGACGCATTGGCTCGTGCAGTTTCCGTCGGACCCGCCGCGGCTGATGAGGAAGTGGAAATCGAATATATGATATCGAATACCATCCCGACCCTGCCCAGGCGATGTGCCGAGACGGCCAGCCACCCCAACCCGCGCGGTGGGACAACCCCTGTGCGACCCCGCCCTGTGCGCAGCGCACCTAATGAATGAATTCATACGCTGCCGCCAATTTTTTTGTTTCCGTCCGTCGCCCATCGCCCATCGCGAACAAGCTGTGATTTGCTGCAAGCGCCTCCGACGATCGCCCGGGCCAGTCTGCGTCGCACTCCCGATCGACTTTTTCTGCGTCTGTGTTTGCCTCCGCGACCAACGCCGCCGCCGCCATCATCACTGCTGTCATCACCATCATTGGCACCACCACTCCGTCGACATGGGCGCATCGCAGAAATCCGAGAAGCACACTCCAAAACGAAAGGCGGGCAGCGCCAACGAGAAGACCACGCTGCTGGAGGCGATCTCGACCCAGACCCCTCCATCGAAAAAATCCAAGGTCCAGGCCGATTCCTCGGCACGGGCCTCCACCGCCGTCACCACCGTCACGGACTTTCCGCGCGGCGGCGCTACGGGCCTGACGCCGCTTGAGATCCGAGAAATCTCAGACAAAGTCAAGCAGGATGTTTTGTTTGAGGTACTTGTCCGGCCGCATCCAAACCGCTGAAAGCAGCGGCAAGATATAGGCGGGGCACGGCGCGGAGGCGCAGGATGCTGTGGCATCATCCCTGGTGTCCAGCGGAGCCCCTCATCAGCTATGCATTCATTCAATCTGATCCTATTTCCTCCAACTTACCGCCTCGTCCATGCACCCTTTGGCACACAGGAGCAAAACGATGCCGCCGGAGGTCAGTCCGCATCCAAGCCCGGCAAAAATGCAAAGAAGCGCAAACTTGCCAAAGAAACTGCCGAGGTCGAGCCGAAGCCGACGACAACCGAGAGCGCAAAGTATGTCGATGGCCTCAATTTCCGAAAGATCTCCGTGGGCATGACCATAATGGGCTGTATCAAGGAAATCAACGAACTGGACATGGTCGTCTCGCTGCCAAACCAGCTCTCTGGCTTCGTCTCCATCACCGAAGTCTCCTCGGTCTTTGCCAGCAATATCGAGAAGGCTACACTGGATGACAAGGACGACGAGGACGAAGGCAAAGATGATGTGAGTGAACTCTGTATCATCAGGCTGCTGGACCAGTCCTTGCTGGATCAGTCCTCGCTGACCGCACATGCACACATCTCCAACCCGCCCACACACTTATCGGTGCTCTGCTGACAATCCGTCGTTGCGGCTGTATCTGCACATGCACAGGACTCGGGCATCCCCGATCTCAAATCGCTATATGCGGTCGGCCAAGTGGTCCTTTGTTCCGTGATCTCGGTTTCCCATAGCAGCGAAAAGGACGAAAAGACCAAGACACGGAACCGCATCGAGCTATCGCTGCGTCCCGAGCTGGTCAACGCCGATTTTGCGGCCTCGACTCTCACCGAGAACATGGTCGGTATTGCGCTGTCCACCACACGACAATCGACCTGTGCTGCGAGTCGTTTGGCTGTGAATCGCGAACGACGGTCGAATAATCAACAAACGACCCAGCATCGTCTGCAGCCACACGGACAAAGGTTGGCCGAGCAGTCCGACATTCGCACCACCACTGACGAAATGGCTTTGATCCTACGATCGCCCTCCAGACCCTGACAGCGATGGTCAAGAGCAAAGAAGACCACGGCTATGTGCTCTCATTTGGAATCGATGGGATTGTTGGTTTCCTGCGAAACATGGATCTTGGCAGCGGTAATCGTCGGCGTTCAGCTCGTCTTGCATATTGCCACCCGTGAGCGAGGGCGTTCAAAACAGTATCGGCGGGCAAAGCAAGGTCGTCAGTGCGAAATGCTGACGCATTTCTGGTCATGTCAGCAGTGCAGCTCCGCGTCGGCGCCGTGACATTCTGCAGCATCACCAAATTCAACAAGGGTAGGCGCATTGCCTCTGTGGCGATCGATCCCAGCACGGTTGCGGCTGCCAGCGTAAGTTTCCCTGCCGGCATCCTGGCTCCTGTGCGCGAAAGTGCTCGGTGACCTATTTGATATCGACATCGCCTGGACGACAGCAATGCAGTGGTGTCAATGCGACCGCGCGGAGCGACTGGAGTTACTTGGCCCTCTCGCTTCTGTCTAACCTCGACTTTGCGTGCAGGTCCAATCTGTCGACGGCATCACCTATGACTCCCTCAAGGCCGGTACGCTCGTAGACTGCAAAGTCAAGTCCATCCTCAAGAACGGCATCCAGGTCTCCTTCCTGGAATTCTTTGAGGGAACCATCGAGATGGCGCATCTGCCGACGTTTGTCGAAGATCCCGACACTGATTTGAAAGCGCTCTTCCGCGACAGCCAAAAGGTTAGTTAAATTCCAGCCTTTCGCGATGGTCATATGACTTGCTCGACACCTACGAGTGCTGCCGATGCTCGCTCGTACGGAGAAGCATCGCGGATGGTGCTGTCCGCCTCTTTGCCGATGAAGCTCCGCGCATTCAATATCGCTACCTGCTCTGTCTCACCGAAACGCATTACTCGCTCCATATGCACGGCCTTTTCAGATCCAGGCTCGCATCCTTTACGTCGATTCTCTCAACAAGCGCATCGCCTTGACTCTGAAGCCATACTTTGTCGAGCTCTCAAAATCGTCCTTCACCTCGGCCGCCGCCGAATTCGGCAGCATCCACAACCAGATCACTGTTCTCCGTCTCGATGTCGGAAAGGGCGTCTTTGTGCACATCCCGAACCTTGGCAACGGCTATGCCCACGTGAGTACTCTGGACATCACTGTTGGGCTGGCTTCCTCCCATTGCTATCTCCGCCGTTGGCAGAACCCTCGAGCGCCGTCACTAACCTAGCCTCGCTGGTCCAGATCTCTCGGCTGTCGGACTCGCATCTCGACAATGCACAGGTCTCCAAACAGTTCCGGAAGGGCAGCCAGCACACGGGCCGAATCGTTGGACTGGACTACTGCGAGAGCTTGATGCTGCTCTCGTTCGAGAAGTCGGTTCTGGAGAAGAAGTTCCTGAACTACACTGATGTCAAGATCGGCGCGCTGATTGAGGTATGTGATGGGAGGGGGGTAGAAGCTGCTGCTGCTGTTGCTGCTTCTGCTGCTGCTGCTGTTGCTGCTTCTGCTGCTGCTGCTACAGTGTATGTGGTCCAGCTTGACTCTTGTATCGTCCGATTTTCCGAGACCCCGATGATCGGCTGTGGGTGCGGGGCTGAGCCCAAGGAACATGGCTAACCAGCGACCTGGGCTGCGCTGATGCATCAACAGGCAACCATCGTGCGAATCGACACCTTTGGACTCATTCTCTCGATCGCGGAAAACATCCGTGCCCTGTGTCCCTCAAGCCATCTTGCCGATGTGACCGTCAGCAAGCCCGAGAAGATGTTCAAAGTTGGCTCGACGATCAAATGCAGGGTAAAGAATCGAGGAGCGTCGTCTGGCTTGGCGCATTCTCTGCCGACGGGGCACAGCTGCAGATACTGATGCATATTGTATTCACTTGTGACCGATTTCGGCCTGGTCAGGTGCTCTCTGTCAACCCAGAGAAGAGAAGAATCAACGTAACACACAAGAAATCTCTGGTCAACTCGTCGCTCAAGATCTTGTCAAGCTTTGAGTCGGCGGAGGTCGGGGACACAGCCCACGGTACAATCATCAAGGTGCTGAAGAAGGGCTGTGTCGTCAGCTTCTACGGCGGCCTCAAGGCTTTTGCTCCGCTTGCTGAACTCAGGTAGGCTCCTGCAGCTCACGACCCTGTCGTTGACTTGCCCATTTGCACCGCGGTTGGTTGTATTGTCAATGCCAGGTGCTGGGTTCTCTCGCCATCGCGCCCCTTGGCCGCGTGCAACTGCCATCTTGCTCTGACCTGACGCGATGTCTGCCGCCCTATGTCGTGTTGGCTCTGTACAGCACTGGATACATCCACGACCCTCTCGAATCCTTCAAGGAGGGTCAAGTCGTTGCATGCAAAGTCATTTCGGTGTCGCCTGCTGACAAGCGCATGCGAGTTTCCTTCAAGGTAGGTCTTGACAGGGAATCACTACATGTATCGCGCGAAGACTGTTGCTAACCCAATGGCGAACTGCGCAGACCGACGACGAAGCTGTTGTGGCAACCTCGAAAAACGTCCTTGCTGGCTTGGAAGTCGGCCAGGTATGTTCACTCGGCGCGTTGCTACATTCGCACTTGAATAGTGCCGGTCGAGTCCAATGGCCGAGGTGACCGCTGACACAAGATGCGCTTGCAGGTCGTGAATGGACAGGTCCTGTCCAAGAACGAAGAGGCTGTCGAGATCCAGCTCTCGCCCTCAAAGGCCCGCGCGATTCTTCCCAAGAGCCATATCTCCGAGAGCAAGAAGCACAGTGATCAGCTTCTCAAGGCTTTGTCCACTGGTGCAAAAATCGACAATCTTGTGGTCCTCAGGAAAGAGGTCAAGAAAGGCCACGTCGCTGTCGCGCACAAGCCATTCCTGGCTGAGTGCATCAAGGCCGGCCACGTTCCTACTGCATTGGACCAGATCAAGCCCAACAGCATCATCGTTGGATATGTCTCGAACGTCATCGACGAGGGCTGCTTTGTCGCCTTCCTGGGAGGCCTGAGCGGCATGGTCAAGAAGCACGTGAGTATATCCCGTCCCCATGGCCGGATCCGTCGCTGCCACGATTGTATTTCTGATATCACCGCCTGGATTCTGAACCATCGTCTCTGTAACTCATGCTAACGCCATATCATTCGACAGAACGTATCGGATTCGTTCGTGACCGACATCCGTGAGCATGTCTATGTTGGCCAGACTGTGATCGCCACGGTCGTCTCGGTCGAGGAATCGACCAGCCGCATCAACCTTTCGCTCAAGCCCAGCCAGTGTGCCATGTGCGATGGCTATGAGCAGCTCGAGGCCAAGCGCTTGCACGCCATCTTCCGCGAGTCTGACCAGACTTTCCTCTCAAACAAGAAAGCAAGCAGCTGGACCAGCTCCGTCACGATTGGCGGCACTGTCAGCGGGGCCGTCAAGCAGATCATGCCCTACGGCGTCATCGTCGAGGTCGCTAAGAATGTGACCGGCCTGATCACACTGGATCACGCCAAGAGCGTGGACCTGAAGGTCGGCGACACCGTCCGCGGCAAGGTTGTGGATGTCGACTCTGAAAAGAAAATTGTCGATTTGATCATCCGCGAGGACGCGGTGGATGCCGAAAGCGAGGCTGACAAGGTTGGTGTGTGCGCCCTCCCGTGGGACGATTGTTGGGTTTTGATTGCCGTGCTGCATCGCAATCTACTGTGTCGCTGGACTCGCGCAGCAGCAACCCTGCTGCCACATCCAGATACTGATGATGCTGTCGATGCTGTGTTACTGATCAGATCCGCCAGGCTGCCGAGGATAAGACCGTGCTCAGCGGCATCGTCGAGCTGATCAAGCAGGACTATGTCGTCCTGACCGTCCCGGACCTTGGCTTTGCGATCACCTACCTCTCGACAAAGGCCACCCACGCCAAGAGCTCGCATGTTTCGAGCAAGTACCGAATCGGCCAAAAGATCAACCTCAAACTGGACTCGGTCGTTGAGGCCGCCGCCACCGGGTTTGCCGCACAAAGGATCGTCAGCTCGATTGCCGAGAAACCCACCGTAACGCTGGAGAGCCTGATCGACCCTGCCAAGCGCGCGGTGCTCAACCCTGTTGACGAGCGCATCCAGAAAATGGAGGACTTTGAGCTCGGCTTGGTCGTCAAGGGTAAAATTGCGGCAATCAAGTCAGATCAGATGATGATCCAGCTCGGCTCGAATGTCCGCGGTCGCGTCCAAGTCTTTGAGATCGCCGACGACCTCGCTAGCATCCCGAACCCCAACCGTCCGTTTGCTCGCTACCAGGTCAACAGCGTTATCGACTTGAAGGTCCTTGGCTTCATCGATGTCCGCGGCCACCGCTTCCTGCCGATCAGCCACAGAAACGCCGTCACCACGACCCTGGTTGAACTCTCTGTGCGCCCTGCCGAGCTAAAGCTCCCCAAGGGCCAGTTTGCCACCCCTCTCTCGGCGCGATACCCGACGTTTGAGTCGGTGCAGATTGGATCGGACTACATCGGCTCGGTCTCGCGCATCGAGGACGACTACATCACAGTCACGCTGGGTCCGCACATTAGCGGCAACGTCCCTCGCCTGGAGCTTTCCGATGACCTGAAAGTGATCAAGGCATTCAAGAAGCACTTTGGCATTGGCCGCCTGGTCAAGGTCCGGGTCGTGGAGAAGGGAGCCGAGAAGCGTTTCATCCGTCTGTCGATCCGCTCGGCCCTCATCGACGAGGATCCAGTCTCGATCGAGAACATCCAGGAGGGCCAGGTCTACAACGGCGTCGTCACCAAGCTCATACCGAACCAGGGCCTGATCATTTGCTTCAACACCGGTGTCTACGGGCGTGTTGACATCACGGACGTCAGCGATGTCTTTTCATCTAACCCCCTCGGTGGCTTCTCGCTGAAGCAGTACCTGCGCTGCTTTGTCATCTCTGTTGATCGCGAGAACAAGCATATCGATCTCTCGCTGCGAGCCAGCCGGCTGAAGGACAAGGCCAAGACAACTGGTTTCAAGGAGATCATCGACCTCGCTTCCCTCGAGCCTGGCACGCTTGTTCAGGGCTATGTTCACAACGTTATCGACCGCGGCCTCATTGTCTCCATCGGCCGCCATCTCTCTGCATTCGTTGGCGTTCCCAACATTAGCGACCACAAGCTCCCCAACTGGAAGGAAGTCTACAAGGTTGGAAAGCTCGTCAAGGGCATCGTGCTCAAGTAGGTTATCCATGGCGCTAACTCGTAGAAGCGTGCACAGTGCCATGCCGTATCGAGGGCATAGCCAAGTAGAAATCACAATGCTGATTTGCTGGCATCTTGAACAGGGCCGACGCCGAATCCAAGCGTGTATCTCTGGCTCTCAAGCGCTCGGCCATGTCTGGTGTCAAGATGACCACCCGTCTCAAGAAGGGCGATATCGTGGAGGGAAGCGTCAGCGAGATTCTCCAGAGCGGCATCAAGATCCGTATCTTCAACTCAAAGTTCTATGGCATCTGTCCAAACTCGGAGGTAAGACCCGTGCCAAGGACACTCGATCAGCAGACCAAGGCAGCTGTATTCTGATATGTGCGGCTAACTTGCTCGACTGCGCTTCCACAGCTCTCCGACAATGTTGTCACCAGCGTCGAGAAGCTCTACTCCTCCGGCGACGTCGTCAAGGCCATCGTGCTCGAGTACGATCGCGAGACCCGCCGAGTCACACTTGGTCTGAAGGCCTCGTACTTTGAAGGCCGCGATGAGCCCGCCCAGAAGAAGAGCAACAGCACCAATGACGCCGACGGTGACGACGATGAAGACGGTGACGACGACAACGGCGACGACGGTGATGAGGACGAAGAAATGTCCGAGGCCGCCCCGGCAGGGAGTGATGAGGACAACGACGATGTCGACGATGAGAACGACGACGACGGCCAGGATCAACAAGTCGATACCATGGACATTGACGAGCCTGCAAAGCCCAAAACTAAGCGACAGCCAGGCGCAGCTTCTGCAAGCCTCGGTGCTCTGGACATTGGCGACTACAACTGGGACATGGACTCGGCTGAGCCCGTCGAGGATCTCGATGACGAGGACGATGAGGGCGATGACCAGGACAACGACGAGGACGACGAAGCTTTGAACAAGAAAAAGTCGCGCCGCCAAAAGCAGCGCGAGAAGCGGGAGGAGGAGGAGCGCATTGCGCAGCGCGAGATGGAGCTCCTTGATCAGGACATGCCGCCCGAGAGCGCCGACGATTTCGACCGCCTCGTCGTTGGATCACCCAACAACTCGTTCCTGTGGATCAAGTACATGGCGTTCCAGCTGCAGATGGCCGAGGTCGACAAGGCCCGCCAGGTGGCCGAGCGCGCGCTGAAGACCATCGAGTACCGCGAGGAGCGCGAGAAGCTCAACGTCTGGGTCGCGCTGATGAACCTCGAAAACAGCTACGGCACCAACGAGAGTCTCCAGCAGGTCTTTACTCGTGCTGTTGCCCACAACGACCCCAAAACGGTCTATATCCATCTGGTCAAGATCTACGAGCGAACCCAGAAGAGCGAGGTACGAATTTGCTCTGGCATCTGAGAGTGCTCTCGATTTGGGTGCGATGGCGGGGGTCTGGCGAGCTGCACACGGTCGATCGAGGGGCGCAGGCAAGACCGCCCTAGGATCCAACGGGTTCGATGCTTTTTTTGGCGATGGACGCAACAGCGAATGTCTCCTTACCCTGACACGTCCTCCTTTCGCAGCTTGCCGAGGAACTGTACAAGCAGATGACCAAAAAGTTCAGCATGAGCTCCAAGGTGTGGACCAACTACGGTCTCTTCTTGCTCAAGAGCGGCAAATCGGAAGAGTCGCGCAAGGTCCTCCAAAGAAGCTTGAAGAGTTTACCCAAGCACAAGCGTAAGTTGATTGTTGCTGCACTCGACGCTCTTGTGGACTGCCGACTGCAGGGCCGGATTCTCACAGCCCTGCTTGTGTCCAGATGTCAAGACCATCAGCAAGTTTGCGCAGATGGAGTTCCGCTTCGGCGAGCCCGAGCGTGGCCGAACCATTTTCGAAGGCATTATGGGCCACTATCCCAAGCGCATCGACTTGTGGAATATCTACCTGGACATGGAAGTCCGGGCCGGCGACATGTCGATCACAAGGTAAGCGGCGTGGTGCTTGCCAATCTGGTGCCAAGCGAGGGCCATATGTGCCGAGGCTGACCGTTTTGCTGCGCTGTGCACCAGACGCCTGTTTGAGCGCGTCATCAACCTCAAGCTCTCCTCCAAGAAGATGAAGTTCTTCCTGAAAAAGTACCTGGACTTTGAAAAGACCCACGGCGACGAAAACGGCATCGACCACGTCAAGCAGCTGGCCATGGCCTATGTCGAGCGAGTCCAGAACGATGCGTGAGCTGGCTGAGGATGCTTGGCGCACACGAATCGCTATCGCTGGCAGCGACAGCCTATCCTGAGGAGAGGGCTCTGGATTTTTGAGGAAGCAAGCCGTTGTTGTCTGGGGTCTAATGCGCGATGCATGCGCAAGATGCGCCCGCTCCTTTCCCATCCCATCGAGAGACGTGGATGCCAGAGTCTCGCTGCTATCGTATCTCTGTAATTCGTAACTGAAATAGAAGCACCACGGCCGGTGCCAATCGGGGCAGTCCCCGCTGCAAGCAATCGCCCGTGCACTCCCGCCCCGCCCTCTATTCGCGGATTTTCGGAGACAGGGCGTGGGCATGAGGTTTCCACGATAAAGACTCTATTTCAGTCCGTGGTGCGTGAGGCAGGACTCGGCTCGGTCCTGTTCGGCGATCGATCATAATGAGGTGGGCACTGGGTTCACCCTCGGGCTCAGCGCCGTCTGTGCTCTCGGGACTCGATACGGTTATCTACTTTGAACCCACTCGCTTCTTCAACTTGGCAGAGACGTACGCTGCTGAACGAGCCGGGCCGGCTGTGACAAGGCCTTTGATCGACTGTACCAGAGCCGGACGTCCAACAACCCTGGCCAGACCTGCGTGGGTTGGACGGAGGAGTTGATCTCGTTAGAACCAGCATTGCCACTTCCCGATGATCTTGTATCTGGGGGCAGCCACAACGACCCAGGACAGGTCCGGTTTGCTAATCGACATGGATGACTCCATGCCATCACGGAGCTACATGAGCCGCAGACTTGCCTTTGCCGACGTACTCCTCAAAGTGTGGAGAGGAGACGACGGATTGCGAGAATAGCGGTTCGCCTGCGTCGGGTAACAATTTGGCGGTCAGATCAAACCGTCGAGAGGCACCTGCGGCAGCGGCAAGACAGCACGCTAATCCTGGCCTTGTGCTGGATGCTTACCTATCGGTGTCTGCGCCTGGGTTCGAGTGCGCGAGATATACCACCGATGGCTCGTCTGGATGCGTTCCTGAAGACTCTTTGGGAGCTTCTGCAGCATCTGGCCGCGGACCTTGACATCTTCATCCTGCTGCAGCCTCTCGTTGTCGTACTGCACATAGTTCACATTGGGCATATTCTCGATGATAGGCTGGTACATTGCTCGGAACAAGGGCAGCTGACTCGTGACAATGTTTCTGATCTTATGAGGATTTTCGCCAACTTGCATGCGGAAGTCGCCTGGAGGCGTTTGAGGCGAGGCATTTGTCAGATCGCTGAGAGACACATGGTTGTCAAGCCAGATCGTCGCGAGTCGGCAGCGCCCTTGCGTCCGGGGGTAAATCTGACCACTCTCCAGGCCCTGGGCGGGTTGACCGCGGCCAAAGCGTCATTGCCGCCCAGCCTCTTACCTCGGTATGACAGCCCCGCAATCGCAATAAACAACTCCTCCTCGGTGAACTCGGACGGAAGCAGCAGCAGCGCGACCCGCACGGCGTTTTCCAGGTTCGTTTGGTTTGCCAGCTGCACTCGAGCGTCTTCACGGAGTGTCATAACCTGATCATGGAGGCCGATGCGATAGCCGGCAGCCCATCAGCGCCCGGCATTGGATTGCTGATGAGTGACCCTGTTTGGTCGCGCTTGCCGACGGCAACTCACCGGCTTTTGCATGCGTCCTGCGAGATACATTGTCCTCCAGTTCTTGAGATCGTCGTTGAGGCGGTCGATGGAAACCACGCCGTACTTGATCGTCTGGCGCATTGGTCGGCATCAGCGGATATCAACCAGCATCAGCGGATATCAGTCAGCATAGGCCCCATCACCACCGCGTGGTTGGAATGGCCACCAACGAGAGACGAGTTAGGTGAGCGGAGCAGCGGATATCGCCAGCACCGGCAAGGCAAAGGCAAATGACCCCGGCAGCCCCCCACATCAGATGCAATATGATGCGACGATGCGGCGATTCATACCAGCCCATCGACGGTGCAGTACGGGTTGTAGTAGATGTGTCCACCAAAGTTCTCTTGGATCACTGAGACAAAGCGGCTGCCCAGGTATCGGACGGCCGAATAGTGCGATGGGTTCTCGCGCATGTTGAGTGAATGCCAATGCTCGGGGTGCGTGACGCCGAAGATAAAGTCAACCATTGGCGCATCCTGGAAACAGAAATCGACAGAGGCCGGATTCCAGTCGTCCACGGATAGGGCCGAATGAGCACACTGCATCGATGTGCCAGGGCTCTCCTCGGCCAGCAGCATCGGCATCCAGCGATTGCGCCGGATACTCAAAGTGGCTTGCAGTCCATCTCGCGCTCAACTACCTTTGACCCCAGCTTGGCATCCGAATAGCCATGCTGCTTGAACACCCCGCTGCCATAGGCGATGGCGTAGCGGATGGGCGCGGCAAAGGTCTTGATGACTTGTTCCAGACGGCCCTTTTGCGCCTTGGCTTCCGGATCCAGAGGGAGAGCGGAAAAGTGCCTGAGCGAGACATGGGCAGAGGCGATAGGCTTGCTGTCTGTCCGCAGCAGCCAAGACTGAGAGGGAAGTCGCAGGATAAGCGCCGGTTGTCGAGGGGTCTTCCACATGTCGCTGCTACTGCTGCTTCTGCCACCGGACGATGTTGATCAGGAGAATGGAAGGGGGTCGGTGTGGCTGGCTTGTCCACAGCGACGATCGGCTGGGGTGCTCGCGAGATGATGTGCTATGAAAAAAATGCGCGAACAACAGAGCGCCTTGGGTGCTCTCCGACAGCGAGGACACTGGACGAGAGCGAGAGCCCGGCGAGAAGCACCTCTCTGCAGGCCAGCCGCACCGCCACATCCCACATCCCACATCCCACATCCACATCCCACATCCCACATCCCACATCCCACATCCCACGCCGAAGGACTTGTTAAAGCGAAGAACATGTATTTCCAGTCAGCGACGAGCTACTGAGGCGGCTGCGCATGCGCATGCGCATGTCCAAGAACGGATATTGCAGATACTCTCATTGCTGTTCTATAGGAATCAAACCAGCGACGCTGAGGGAAGTATGGGAACGAGGCACATCATCATTTCAAATTGCTGTCAAGATATTTGTGGCAGAGATCGCACGGCCATGCTGTCGCTGCCTGTTGTTCTTGGAATGCGTGCGAAAGCCGAGGGTGCCTGGGCTGGCCACTGTTCCGAGTGGGCGGTGGTCTCCAGGAGGTGCGTGTGGGCTCTTTACATCCGCCCAGCCGTCTTCCTTGCAGGCGAGGTCTTTGATGGGGTCGCTGCGCTGTCGGATCCTGGACTGGCCGCAGCGGGCGAGGCTGCCGCCGCACTGGCCGTCTGTGCGGCGCTCAACGCTTGGGTCGCCTGAGCACCCTCGTATCGGCCCTTGCGCACTGCTGCGAGCTTCGAGCGAGCCTTCTCCAGCTCCTTCTCCATCTTCAGGATCGACACTTGCGCCTCCATCTCCATGACACGAGCTGCCGTCGTGGAGGTTGTTGAGGTCGCGGCCTGCATCATGTTGCTCATCTGCTCGGCTTCGTTGAATGCCAGGGCTTCCTCGGCAGCCTTCACCAGCTGGTCCGTTGCCGATGTGACAGCCTTGCCTGCAGCGCGGAGCCGGATCTGCGCTTGCGAGTTGGGATCTGTCTTTGTGGTTGCGGCCGCCAAGAGGTGTGTCGTCGACGACGAAACAGCCTTGGCCGAGGCAATCACTCGCTCGCGCTGAACACCGCCCTTGACTGCCTGGTTTGCGGCCTCACAGAGGTCCGTCGTGGCGTTAGCGACCATCTTGGCAGCAGAGACAAGGCCATCGGTCCATGTGCCGTCCGAGAAGTAAGTCTTGCCGGGCCCGTTCGAGACCTTGCCCTTGGACACAATCTCGCGCTGGGCCCCTGTGGCAGAGCGCACCAGGGCGGCTGTGGCGGCCGCGATCGCCTTGGCGGCTTCAAGGATCTGGTCCTCAAAGTTGAGGTCCTCGTTGACCGCCCGAGGCTTGTCAGGCGGGCGCAGCTCGAGCAGTTTCTTTGAGGCGGCCTCGATTGATGCAGCGGCTGCGAGCAGCTGCCGCTCGGCGATGACGTTCGGGTCATTTGGATCGACATAGCCTCCTGGCACTAGCCCGGCCGCCGCCGTAACAACCTCGGTAACCGCCGTGGCGACCTGCTTGGCGCCACCCTGGATGTTGGCCTTGTTGGCTAGAGTGTTGTTCTCTTGAAGCTGGCGCACGCGTGCGAGCAGGACATTGACGGCGACGCAAGTCTTTCTCACGGCCTCGATCATGTCGTTCTTCTTGTCGTCCGGTGCGTTTTCCGTCGAGGCCTTGCCGGCCCGGGCCAGGTCGACGACTTGCTTCTTGATCGCGTTGGCTGCCGCCACCATTTCGTCTTGATGGCCGCTCGACACATTTACCAGCAGCGCCGCGGCGGTCGTCAGGTTCTTGGCCAGGTTGACGACCTCTTCCGGAAGAGCCGTTCCCTCGGCGGGAGCTTCCGAGCCCAGGACCTGCACTGCCTCGTCAATGTCTGTCGTGGCGCCGTCGAGGGCGCGGATGCCTCGCGACGACTCGTCGCCCAGGAGCTTGGTCACCCGAATCAGGTCCGAGATGGCGCCAAACTCGACCTTGACGGCTGCTGCCAACAGAACCATCGACGGGTCGTTGGGGGTCTTTCCGAATGCGTTCATGGCGCCGTTGATCAGGCCCTGCAGGGACTCGGACACCGACTTTGCCGCCGACAGGAGCTGCTGCTGCATGTGCTTGTCTCCCGACGTCACCGAGATGGCGGCTTTCTTTGCCTGGTCCTTCAGGGCCTCCATGGCTTTGACCGAGTTGGTAGCCACGGTCGCGAGCTGCTCCTGGTTTCCGGTGACGGCGCCGATGAAACCCTTGGCAAGCTCAATCATCTGCTTGGCGCAGGTCAGTAGGTTGTCCTTGTGGCGACCGAAATTGTCCTTGGTGTCGACCGGGTCCAGCTGTCCGGCTTGCGCAAAGATGATTGTCGACTCGAGATCAGAGATGACATCGTTGACGCTGCCGACAGCCGCCTGGCAGACAAGCAGCCCCTTGGATCCCTCCTTCAAGACGTTCATCAAGTTGGCCACCGCAGTCGATACCTCGCGCGCTGTTTGGTTGAGCTTCAGGCGACTGGCGCTATCCGCGGCACTTTTGGAGCTCGCGAGGCGCATGGCTTCGATGAGCTTGATGTTGGATCCGCCGAGCTCGCGCAGCGCGTCTTGGAGACCCTGCTTGGCCTTCAGATCCTCGGCGGCACAGATGGCTGAGCCGCCGTCCTGGGCGATCTGGTCGTACATTGTCGAGATCTTCTGGGCGAGCTCGCGGAATTGCGCCGGAGTCTTTGCCTTGCCGATGACGTCGCCGACTGTCTCGACGACCTGCTTGCACGAGGCTTCGATGGAATTGGCGCAGACTTGATACGGCTGGGCATTCGTTGCCGTGACGAGCTTTTGGATCCTCGAGTCCAGCGAGCCCACAATGCCCTCGATGGCCTCCACGGACTTGGCAAACTCGCCCGAGTCGTCACGCGAGCCCTCGAGGGTCGTCACGATCTTGCTGATCGCGGCGCGGACCTTGGCTCGCATCTCCTCGTTCTTGACGGCGGCATCTTTGATCCCGGCGGCACTGCTGGCCTGCTTTGCGGTGTGAATGAAGGACACCAGCACATCTCCGAGGACCTTGCTGTTGTTGAGGATCTGCGCTTGCGATTCTGCATCGGGAGAATTGGAAGCGATGGCGATGGTGTGCGCTGCGGCCTATGAAATATTCGAAGAGGCGGAGACACAACATTGGGTGAGATGGCGTACGGAGACGGCGGGAGCGTTGCGGGTATACCTGTGTCTGAGCCAGTGCAGACCTGCCTCTGATACTCAAGCATATCCATGATATGCGCGGCTGGTCATGCAGCGCCCAAACACGACAAGTAGCATCAAAGCACCCCGATAGAGCGCTCCACCCAGCAGCATGGGCCCATCGCCGTTTCCGACGACACGTACTGCCGAAAAGTTGCTTGGGATCTCCAAGATGGACGATCCGAGCTGACTGGTATCTTCCTTCACGGCCTTGGCGGCCAGTTCGACCAGGGATGACAGCGTCTTGACGGTATCGACAAGGCTGTTCTTGTCGACGGGCGGTCTTGGCGCCAGGTTGTTGATGGAGGCCTCCATGCTAGCTGCCTCAAGCTCGCTCACGCCTTGCGCCAGTTGCTCAAGCGCCTGGTCACATTCTTTCTGGCCGGGTGCGTTCGCTGCGATGGTGTCGGCCACGTTTTTGATCGAGTCGGTCAGAGCTCGCACGTACGCCGAGAGCACCTGGATCGAGCCTTGGTCTTTTGGATTGGTGCAGATCAACTTGGCGGTGTTTGCCAGGTCCTGACCGGTGGCCAGGAGCGCGCGGTTGCAGTCGATCAGTGGCCTTTGCGCCACGGCTGCAGTCTCGGAGATCTTTGCTGGCTGTCCGGCAAAGTCCGGAGACATGCCAAAGCTGACGAGCTTGTCGACGGCGTCGATGAGCGGCTTGGTGTTTGCCTCGCACTGCTCGCGGGCCTCAGGGCTCAGCTCGATGGCCAGTGCCTTGAGACTGTTGACCAAGGCTGAGGTCTTGCCAGCAACGTCCTTGGCCGAGGTGATGAACTGCTGCTTCGAGAGAGGACTAACGGTTGGATTCTGGCCAGCAACCTTGCAGCTGGTGCACAGGGTCGAGGTGTGCTTGGCTATGCTGGCCGCCAGCGCAAGAATCTGCTGCTGTGTGTTCTCGGGGTTGACAAGCTCCTTGCACGCATCCTTGATGTCTGCCCCGGCCTGGGCAAACGAGCCCTGATCGAGCACGGGCGGGACCGCGGCAACGGAGGAGCTGTCCGAGACGCCGATCAGGTAGATGGCGCGGATGTTGGCGTCAGTGACGGCACTGAGCACCTTACAGACCTCGACGATGCCCAGGGACATTTTGCTGGGGCTGCCCTCTTTGGCCAGCGGTACGATGTTCTTGGAGACCGTTGCAAAGTCCTTGGAGGCCGAGGAGACTTTGACGAAGCAGTCGCCGTACGAGTCGCTGCTGCCGCCGTCACTGATGCCCTCGAGCTTGGCCAGAGACTGAGCCAGGCTCTGCAGCGACTGGTTGCATTCGGTGTGGCCTGGGGCAGAGGCCGAGCACACGTCCAAGAGCTTGTTGACCAGGTCGGCAACGCTGCAGGCCGACAAAATGAGCTGGTTCCGCAAACCGGCGTTTGCAGGGTCACTGAACGAGGCCTTGGCGCCAACGAGGAGGTCGCAGCTCGCAGATCCAATCTCCACCATGTGCGTGCCGACCTTGGCGCTCACGGAGGCATCGGTAGTCTTGACACAGAAGCATTCGCACGCCTGCAGCAGCTTGGCAAAGGCGGCCTGGTAGGAGCCGGCGGCGTTCTTGAGCTCCAGAGGAGTGCTTCTGGCGGCCAAGACCATGTTGTTGGCGCTGACGGTGAGGCCCGAGGCGGCCGCCTGCAGTTTGGTTTGTGCCGTCTGGTACGTTTCACCCTCGCCCGCGGCCTTGGAAAGTCCGCTGGTCTTGAGGGCATCCGTTGTCTTGGAAATATTGCCGTGAGCAATCGTGAGGTCGCGCTGGCCAGGAAGACAGGCCACAATGCTGCTCAAGGCCTCTGCGGCGCTTTTGGAAATGGCGTCCAGATCGGCCGGCGAGTCTTGCACGTCGATTGATGTCTTCGCGGCCGAGATCAGAGAGGCCAGAGTGTCGCCCACCCCCATGGCGGCGCTCAGGATCTGTTGGCGCAGATTCTCGTCCTTCTCGGAGGAGGCCAGGGTCATCGATGCAGACTTGAGATTCTGCAGGTAGCTGACGGCATCGGCGGCAGCGGCGCGGGTGAACTTGCCGTTGGTCTGCTCGACGCCTGTCACGAGCATTCCCACGGTGCGGTCAATGTTCTTGACAAGGTCCTGAAGTTGCTGCTGGGCAAATCGGCCGTCCTCCTCGCTGCAGGACTCCAGAGCAGTCACGTTCTGGGATGCTACAAGCAGCTCATCCTGCATGCCTCGCACCGAGTCGACGGCGTTTTCGATCTCGGACTTGAGGCTGATGTCCTCGGCCACCTGCAGTGCCTTCTCGAGCGCGGTGAGGTCGTCCGAGTTGCGGTTCGTGGTGGAGTTGAGTTGGTTCTGGGCACCAGCGTCGCCGATCGTCGGGGCGGCAGCCTTGGCGGCCGAGATGATGGCGCTGCCGGGTGTGATGATCAGCTTGGCGGCCTGTAGCAGCTTGAGCTGCGAGACGGTGTCCGTTGGCGCGCCTGCATAGGCCTTTTGCGCAACGACGAGCGCAGGGATGATGTCCGCCACCTTTTTGGAGGCCTGGTTCATCTGGATCTGCGAGGACTGATTGCGGTTCGAGGTGGCGGCGGTTTTGATGGCGGCAGTGAGCTGGTGCGCCGAGGTCACGTAGGCTTTCATGCCGTTGCCGAGCTTGTTGAAGACTTTGACATGGAGTTCGGGTCCGACGGCGCGGCGCGAGGCCTCTTGCAGCTCGTGCAGGGCTGTGTTCAAGGCCTGGCGCTTGTCCATGTCGGCCGTGTTCTTCGAGGCATCTTTGGCGGCGCCGACCATCATCGAGGTGGCATCGGCGAGTAGCCGCGCCGAGTTGAGCAGCCGCCCGCGCTCATCGGCATTGGCCGTTTCGGCCGAGGTGCTCTTGAGGGTGTTGGCATACTGAGTCGCGGTCAAGGCGATGTCACGAGCGGCGCGGATGATGCCCTCCGAGTCGGCAATGTTGGCGAGCATCTGCTCGATCGAGACCTGGAGCTGGTCGTAGCAGAGATCGAGCGGATCGACGCGATTCTTGTCGCCGCCATTCTTGGCCTTGTCGATCAGACGAGCAATGGCCTCCTCGACCTTGGCGATGGACTCGTGCAGAGCCGTCGTCAGCTTGGCGTTTTGGCATGGCCGGGACGACTCGGTCAGCGAGGCAATGTTCTCCTTGAGTAGCACCGAGGCTTCCAGCAGCTCGTCAAAGCAAAGCTGACTGGTGATGCATGGCGAGATTGCGGCTGCACATGCGACCAACTGGCTAACCGAGTCGGCAACAAAGCGTGTGTCTTGAGCAACGGCTTGCTGCAGATCGGGCTCCTTGAAGCCCGTCGAGATGCTTCTTGCGACGGCAACGAGCTCGGCCGAGGCCTTAGCGACGGCGTTGGCGGCATCGATCAGGTCGTTCTGGCTGTCCTCGGAGACGTCCAGACGATCGATCAGGCCAAGGAGATCGGAGGCGGCACCGGCAACCTCGCCTGTAAGTCCATAGAAGCTCTCCTTGCTGGGCTGGCCCGCAATGACGCTCTGGGAAAGCTCGAGCATCTGGCCCGTGGTTTGGGCGAGCGCCTTGGCCGCCTTCAGGAGCTCGTCCTTTTGCTCGTCCGAGTCGGCGAGGCCAGCCAACATCTTCATGCCCTGGCCAATCTGACCCATGTTGGACTGGACGGTGAGGATCTTGGAGCCCATGGCGTCGTAGTCGACCGTGTCGCGATTGCCAGAGACCGAGTTGATGATGGCGGCGATGGCGGCAAGATGGCTTGCGATCTGAGAGGCCACCGATGTGGCACTCATGTCCACGGTCTGCTGCCTCCACGCAATCGAGGCAGGGTCGCTTCCGATGGGTGGCAGCGCCACAGGGATGCCCAAGTCCATGGCCACGGTGTTGATCAGGGCACAGGCGCTCCGGATGTTTTGCAGAAGCGACTGTTGAGCATTCGCAATCTGGGTGTTGTACGCACTGCCGATGCCGGTTCCATACTGCATCCCGCCATACATCTGTGGCCCACCGCCCCATCCAGGAGCCATGCCGACGCCCGTCGGGTGGCTCTCGGTGGCTTGCCGGGCGCCGCCAGCGCTAAATCCAACGGCGATGGCCTTGGCAGGGCGGACGTACTCTTCCACAACAGCCTGCTCTTCGACCTCGTGCTCGACGATCTTTTCGGCGTCCTTTCGCTTCTTGAGGATGATGTCAATGTATCCGGATATCAGCTGGGAGATTTGCTCGCCTTCAGGAGTCTGCACGCTGTAGTATGCGTCTGCATAGTCGCCAAAGTCGAGCGTGAAGCTGTTGTTGGCGGCAGCCCACCGACGCAGCTGCGTGAGCTTCCATTCTTGCATAATCTCCTTGGACTCGACATCCAGACGCACGACGCTCTGCTTGGTGATGCCGAGGAGGACGGGGATGAGCTTGTTTTTCTTTTGTTGCTTTTCCTACGGAGCAAAAGGCATCGGACGTCAGGCAAGATACGAGTGATGGGAGTGGTGCGAGTGGTGCGAGTGGTGCAAAGGAAGCATGTGAAGGGGCATACAAGAGGGATGAGGCCAAGAGTGAGTCGCAAGTGATCCTTAGGAGCAATGCGACTTGATGACCGCCGCGCGTCGCCACAGAGCTCCGCCAACTCAACGGCCCCCATCTCCGAGTACCGGCTATCAATATTGTTCATGACGAACGTCGCCGCTGATGCCAAGCAAGTGCCGAGCTACCTTGCACAGGAAGAAGGTGATGCCATAGGTTTTGAGGGAGCGGCTGAGCTGTACAAAGCGGAACTTTGCATTGAGTTCGGAGAGGCCCTGGAGTTTGGAGTGCTCGACAAGGATCTTCTTTTCGAGATCCTTGGACTTGCGGTATTCGGGAGGGACATACTCGGAGACTCTGGAAGGTCATACAGTTTGGCCGGATGATGGATTTGTTAGGAGGGGGGCGAAAGCGAGGGAGGAAGGGACGGGAGGCCGAGACAAGAGGTTGGAAGCAAGTCAGTGCATGAATCGGCCCCTTTCTCGGTCGATCGATGGAATCATCAGAGGAAGCAGACACGGGAGAGGTCGCATATAGCCGAGCAAACACCACAACATGCGCAGATTGTGCCGGAATGATGTTATGATAAAAGTTCCAAGGTTCCAAGGTTCCAAGGTTCCAAGGTTCCAAGGTTCCAAGCGGCAATGGGAAGCAGGGCAATACTACAAGAGCCGGTCAAATGCGGCACTTACGGCAAAAAGCCAGGCTTGTGCTTGTCCGGCTCGTGGTTACCATACTGGATCTGACACTGGATCGCGCCAAACTGGATGGCTTCCTGCAGGGTGCATGGATGCTTGCCGGAGATGATCATCTCCTTGGACTGGTTGTAGAGCAAGTTGAGCTGCACCGGGTCGTTGCGGTCAATGTTTTGATCGGTGAAGAAGAACTTTTTCTTGAGAATGACGGTGTCGGCCTCGGTCAGACCCTGTTCGGGCAGGCTTTGGTCGGGGATGAGCCAGTTGTGCTCCTCGATCTCGTGGCGGTCCTTGTCCTTCTTTTTGGTCTTTTCGGGCTCCTTGGATGGATCGACTTCGCGCTGGAATGAGTACTCGTCCGAATTGGAGAGTCCTTGAGGGCGAATGTAGATGTGGATGCGAATATGAATGGGGATGCGGATGCGAGTGCGAGTGCAGGAGGCGCGAGGCGGCAGGGATGGACGTAACATGGGAGCCCTCTCAAAGTACTTGCGTTCATCTCCATAAAACCAATCCATCGATCCATCCCCAGAAACCGAAGCCGAAACTGAAACCGACACGAGCCGCAGCTGTTCGAGGCTGTCTCACCAATCTTTTCGCAGACGGCCGCGACGAGATCCTTGACGAGCGAGCTCTCGTCAATCAGCGCCGTCTTGACGCTCCCGTCAAGGGTCCTGAACTTGAGAAGTCGGTGCTTCTTCTTGAACTCGAGGGTGTCACCGGATTTGAGGTCGTAGTAGTCGAGGACCTTGTTGGAGACGAGCCATTTGCGCTGGTCGGGCCAGAACAGACCATGGTCGGCGCCGCCGGAGCCCTCGTACTTGTCGCGGATCTCCTTGCAGACCTCGAACACGGACATGTTGCCCGTCACCTGTCGCGAGGGGATGAAGAGAGCGGTATGACGAAGCAGCGACATGGTCACCAGGGCGGTTAGGAGCGACGACGAGATGCTGACCGGATGCTGGCCAGACGCTGGACTTCAATGGACACGTATCACTGCAGCGACGGGAGGCGCAACACCTTCTTGGCTGCGAACCAAGATCGCGAGCAGAGCCAGCGTTACCTGGATGGTCTTGGTGGTGCCCAGCTGGGTGATGGTGACTTTGATGCTCAGCAGAGTGCTCATGATGGATAGATGCAGCCGTAGGACTGATGGAAGGTTGGATTCAGCGGCGGTCTATCCAGGTTGAGCACCGCAGGGTGAATATTGTTGGAAGCCTCGATGCGATGCGATGCGATGCAATGCAATGGACTTGGACGGGCACGAGAACGAGGATGAAGTGTGTCGATGCGAGATTCAGATGAGCCCAGTGGAGGTAACGAGCGGCAAAGGACACGACCCCCCCAAAAATGCAGGCGATGTGCTCCCGATTTGGAATGACGAGGCCGAATTGATGGGACCGGGCGACTCGGACGAAGGCGCAACAGGAGCTGGGCTGGAGCCTCTGGGTCTGATTGTTGCAGCCAAGTTTGAATATGCAGATGAGTGGACGGCGAGAAATGCGACTGACAGCCTCCACGTCAGCGAGCAGACAGAAGAGGATGTCAATGATAAGGAGGAGGAGGAGGAGAGGCGCGATGGCAGAATCTCGACCGGTCAAGAAAGGCAGACTCGATCCAAAGCACGGGAGGGCGAATATGCCCGAGTGCAATCGCGGAGCAAAGATGCGAGTATGAGAGAAAGGGCGGGGGAGAAACAAGGTCGGCAGAGACAGGATCGAGACTGAGCGAGATCCAAGGACAATGACTGGCTGATTGGGAGAGGTGCTGCCTCTCGACTGACGTTGCGATGGCAATCGGGAAGCGGGACCGGCAGCGCGAGCACACGAGCAGCACGACGGGGAAAGCTGACAGCAGGATCGCCAGTTCGTTGAGCGGCCTGGTTGGAGACCTGCTGGTTTGCTGGCGATGGGGCCGCCGTGACGAGCCGCATGGGAGCGGCCTCGATGGTGTCGGTAGAGTGCAATGGGACCACGCTCAGGCCTCTCGATGGTGGTGCGTTCTTTCTTCTTCCTCGTGGGGATGTTTGGTCATCTGCAACAACAGATCCTACTCGGGATACAACGCCGGTCGCAACGCACGATCATGGGAGTCGCTCCGTGATCGATGGATTTTGACGAAGGCCGGTGGGACGGTGGTGGTGGTGGTGGGGGTGCCAGGCTTTGTGCAGCAGGGCCGGTCCCTGACGAGATGAAACAGGCGCTGGTACAAACGGGATGGCGAGGGCAAAGACGGCTGCAAGGCCTGGGGGCTTGGGATGGGACCGGTCCATGGTCTCTCTGGATCGTCAGGGCCACGGCGAATTGCTACTGTGAATAAACATGTGTATTCAGGATCCAGAAAGAGCGACCGATTGGTCGCGAGAAACAGGGGAGATTTTTCCTCCCCTGGTTTCAGTTGCGAGCGCGATGGTAGAAGAGCAGTCATTATCGAAGGACAGGACGATAGGCGCGGGAGGCGGGTAAAGAACGGCGGTCGAGCGAGGGGGCAAGGAGGATGGGGGGGGGGCAAAAGAGCAAGAGGGTTGGGTAAAGAAAAAATGGAGAGAGGATGCAGATACGGCTTTGAGGTGCAGGTGCATGATTAGTGACATCAGTTGGATCAACCAACAGTTATGGTCAACACGTTTTATACTAGGAAAATTGTGACGAGGAAGGGAGAGGAGGTGGGATTGAAAGGGAAGGATGGGCATAAAGCGCAAAAGGAAAGGATGAGCAGAAGCGCAAAAAACGAGGGGGAAATAGTGGCAAATAATAGCCTTGGCAGACATTGAAAGTGAGTCAGACGCCTTGGAGGCTCGAGAGGCGATGTTGTTCGGGACGGGACGGGTGTGAGTCAGTCGTCAAGGACAGGTGCAAAGGAATTTGGGTCTTGGGACTTGGACGAGGGAGGGAAGGATCCCGCGCGGCTTGGGAATGGGAGAGAAGAGAGGAATACGATTGGCTTGGATCGAACGGGTGCGCAGAGCTAAAGCGCGATCAGACACATGCGCATAGATCTAGGCCTTGGGCTTCTTGGGCCGGGTCGCCTTTGGGTAGCTCGCGTGTGTCTTTTTGTGGGCCTTCATGTTGTCGGCTCGGGAAAACATGCGAGTGCAGCCGGGGAAGTCGCAGGCGTAAGGGCGCTCTCCGGTATGGACGCGGCTGTGTCGAGCAAGGTGCTCTGCCCGCTTGAAGGTGCGCTGACAGTCGGGCTCGGGACAAGTGAACTTTTTCTCGCCCCTGCGAAAGCAAGAGAGCAACAGCGGGGTAAGCAGCGAGGCCATGGCATGGTATCGGGAGACATGGAGCCATGGAGAAATGCAATCGCAAGCAGACACAGGGCCCGTGATGAAGGACTTACTGGCTCAGATCTGCATACTTGAGCGAGACGGGGCTGAACCTGCTCTGGGGCGACAGGGCGTCCTCGTCATCGTCATGGTCATGATCGTGGTCGTCGACGGTGCTGTCGGAGAGCGGGGTGGGAGGGTTTGGAGACACGTGCTCGAGCGACTTGGCCGCCTTGACAGGAATGTCGATCTTGAGGTCGCCGACGCGCTTGCGCTTGCTCGAGCGGGTGAGGACGGACGGGTCGGGGTAAGGCACAAGCATGGTCTGGACGGGCTCGCGCAGGTCCACAGTGGGCATCATGCGGTGGCTAGCAAGGACGGTAGAGTGGCAGGGATCGACGATGTAGTCGTGCAGGTGATGGTGGTGGTGATGCTGCTGGGGGGCGACCGAGTCGACCGAGACGTCCGAGGCAGGCACGACGGCGGGAGGCGAGTTGAAGATGGCGACGGGGGCGGCGGACTGCGTCGCGTCGAGCGGGCCGCACCAGTTGGGCGACACATCCTGCAGCGAGACCAGGGTAAAGGCCGGCGACTCGATGTGGTCCGCGGAGAAACGGCGCATGGGAGGAGGCGTCGGGAGGGCCGTGACCGAAGGAATATCAACGATCTTTGCCGAGTACGGAACGGCAAGGGGATCGGCCGGAGGCGAGGCCATGGACGAAGCGGCGATCGAGTCGAAGGAGAAGGACGACATGGCCTGGTTGGCGGGAGTCGGGTTCAGGGCAACGGGCGAGTCGAGCAGGCTTCCGGGCGGCGAAAGGAGCGAATACGAGTACACATCATGGGCGACCGGGACCGAGAGGGCCGAGTCGGGGGCAAAGGCCACGCCGTCGAGCCGGTAGGCGGCATCGGGCGCGACAAAGTCGGGAAGAGGTTGGGGAGTAAATGCCGAAGGCGCGGCCGAGGCGACAAGATCAAAGTCATAGAACTGAGATTCGAAGGGATAGTGTACAGAGGGCGAGAAGAGCGTGGCAGGGTCGCGGTATGACGGCTCGTGCAGGCGGGATTCGTGGACGGGCGACGGGTATAGGGTCGACGGGTAGAAGGGCGAGGATGCATCAGTGTAGAACTGGTCGTGCAGCAGAGAGTCGTATGAGCCGAGCATGGCGAAGAGAGAGCTTTTGGGCAGCCACGGAGCGTGGGAGAGAAAGTGGGATGGAGCGCGGCGGGAGGGTGGAAGGGCAGAATGGAGTGCACACGGGCGGCAGTGTCGCAGTCGGGACGAGGGAGCCAAAGGATGCTTTTTGGGGTGCGTGGGAAAGTGTGGGCGCCGAGGATGCCAGAGAACGCCAGGGAACGCCAGGAAGGAAGAAAGGCCGGCAGGAAGACTTGCAAGACCAGGCATGAACGGCCGGCTCGCGGGTGGTTTATATGGCGGAATCCCAGTGGCGGCGCCGTGACCAAAAGCCGGCAAGCGAGCAAACAGACGAGCAGCCAAGCGACGACTGAGCAATCGTCGCACGAGAATACCAGCACAGGGAAGTTCCATATTTGGCGAGGCTCTGGGTGCGGCACTGTGACAACGGGGGGGGCGAGGCCGAGACACAGGCGAGAGGCAAGCGAGAGGCGTGTGCAGCACAGAGCGCGTGAACAGCAGCAGCCACGCCAACACAGACAGTGGATCGGGGTGGACAGCCGATCGACACGGACAGTGGGTCCGTGGCGATCAAAGGCGGCATCAGCTGGCATCGACACACCTTGCAGCAGGGCGCCGCATGGCGGTATGGCCACAAGAGCAACGGCGGACGGCAAGCAAGCCGAGCGCACCACCACACGACAGCCACGGCAGGACAACGAGGGACAACGAAGGACACCGAGGGACAGCGAGGGACACTGACGACCGCGCCAGTGGCGCTGCAACAAGCGCGCGGGCATCGACAAGGCAAGGGCTTCGATAATGCACCGGTGACAACGAAATGCACGAGTCACAGGCGACGGCGTGGTGGAACAGCAGCCGAGAGCGCACAAATGCAGTTGACGGGAGCACAGATGCGGTCGAGCGAGCACACGGCGAGTGGCAGAGTCGACGACAGGATACACCGGCGAGAGCAGCAGACACAGCCGCTGGGCGACGACAGCGGGCAGATGCACCGACCGGCGACAAAGCGCCAACGACGACAGGCCCGCCCCGCCAATGGACAGCGCGCCAGCGATGCGGCCTTGCCAAACCCAAATCAAGTGCAGAAGGGTGTAACCATCTTGGCGGGTGCAGGGTCGCACCAGGCGGGTCGGCTGGCCGGCCGAGCGCCGGGCGGACCACTCGGCGACAGGCACCCTTTGGCTGTGCGCGGCTGCGTGGCAAGGGGCGGCAGGCCTGTGTGCAAGTGGGTTGGGCCGGTGCAGGCAACGGTGGGTATCCAGACAGGCTAATGCAGTTTTCTCTTGCTGACCAGGGCCGACGCCCGCCAGTGGTTGCGGGCCGGGGCTTGTGTCCGCTGGCGCGCCGTTGCCGATACGGATTCGCGGGTCCGCCAGCCACATCTGCGACAGGAAGACGACGCGGCGCCAGCTATGTGCGTGCCGGGAGGGGATGGCCGTCTGGTGGTGGTGATGCTGGGGGCAGAGAGCACGGCGATGGACATGGAGCTGGGGCGACCGAGTCGACGGCGAACGAGCGGTGCGAGGCCGAGGCGGATCTGGGAGGAGGAGGGTGGGGGCGTGGAAGCGACGACACCACCGACCGCCGACACCACCGACACCACCGACAAACCGGCTGCGTGCATGGTTGCAATGGCCATGCGAGACACGCAGCAAAGGACAGCCCGGGATGCATGCTGTTTGGCAAGCACCATATCGCCGCACGATGGGCGATGCGGGATGCGCAGTGTCTGTGGGGAATCATGCTGTTCGCCTTCGCTTTTACATTTCGCCTTCGCATTGTTACTCCGACAAAGCCAAATGCACAGTGCTGCCGCCGCATCGGGACTGCACAGCCACCTTGGTGGGCAACGGTGCCTGGTCAGGCGGACAGAGACAAGCGCAGCAACAGCGCGGCCGGCGTGCACATGCCGACACACATGCCGACACACTGATTCACAGTGACACAGTGTCGCACAGCTGCCCGCTGTCGCCAATGACACACACCGACACGCGCCTCGATCCGCGCCCGCGCACTTAGCGCCGGCCAATCGCTGCGCACCAGCACACCAGCACACCAGCACACTGGCGCCAGCCAGCCAGCTCCGCGCAAACAATCCCCAGTGCGCGCAAGCCGGACAGCCGCTTGCGCAATCTCGCGGCGCCAAATGCGTGTGTCGCCAGCTCAGTGCGCCGACCAACCAGACGCCGTGCGACCGGCCAGGTGCACCACTCAGCGACCGAGACACGCAGCGGCACCCGCGCAGCCACATTGCCGGACCGCGCAGGCCCTTGCTGGACCGGCGCTTTGTCGCTCAGCGGACCAATGATGTGGCCAGAGTGCATACACGCTCAGCAAGCGCGGCGGCGCGAGCACGCGACAGCCGACTCCGCGCGATTGGTGCAGCTCGCCGGCTGTGCGGCCGGTGGTGGGGCTGTGGGCTGTCCGCCGCTGCCGTGATCGGCTGCAAATCGGCTTCCAGCCGGGTGGGCGGTGGGGCTGTCGACACGCGCCCTGCCGTCGCTAAGCCACTTTTGCATTTGGCCAGGCGACCATGGCGCCGTGCGGCGGGGGCCGTAACGGGAAGCCGCGACGCCCGCCTGACCTGCTCGCGCACCAGCCGGCGGCTCGGGTTGGATGGTGGTGCAGCTGTATGTCCTGCTGTTGCTGCTGTTGCTGCTGTGGGCTGCTGTGGCCCGTTGTTCCAGGCATCGCCCGCCGTTCGCTGCTGCTGCATCGGCAGGCTTCCGCCAGCACCGAATAACGCTGCCGCTGCAAATTTTATCGATGGCAACCGCCCATCCCCACCAGACACCCGCCGCCCACCGATGCACTGCGTCTGCCTGGCAGCAGAAGCAAGAAGCTGTCCGTCTGTCCCTTCCGTTTGGCACAATCTCCAGGCTGCGCCAACCCCGGCGCTTCCTGCCCTGTCTCCGATTCGCCACCCCCCTTTCTTTTTTCTCGGCTTCCATTGGCTCCTCCCTGTCCACGGCCGTCTGGCCCATATCCCATCGACCCCTGCGGCCGACCTGGGCCGCGTTTCGATCCCCCCTCCTTTCCATACCCGCTCCATGTCGTCCCAGAAGCTCAGTCGTCTTCGCGGTGCACAACTCCCCTCCCTTCCTCCCTCCCCTGCACTGCCTCCATCAGCGATTCTTTGCTGCTTCCAGCCAGGGTGAGCCCTCTTCAAACTCCCCACTGCATTTGCCTACGGGCTCGATCGATCGCGCTGGTGCTAGATTCGCTCGCCGCGCTGCTGTATTCTCAGGAGTATGACGCTATCAACAGAATCGGGAAGACGACCATTTCTTTCCTCATCTTCCTCATCATCTTCCTCATCATCTTCATCCGCGGCTTCCTCGTCTGCTTCCTCGTCTCCAGCTCGGCCGTTGCGCTCAACCACGGCGGTCCGGATGTGGTCAGGGTCGAATCCAAAGCTCTCCAGCGGCACCACTTGACCCACCAGGCCGTATCGTTCCAGCTGCGACTGGATGCAGCGTCTCGAGCTCCGCTCCTGGTACGTCGTCAAGAATACGCATCGCCGGCCAGCTCTGGTTTGCGCTTCGCCCATGAGGTAAGCCACCGTCGCGAGCAGGTCGTCAAAATCGCTCGAGTCGTAAAACAGATCCGCCCCCAAGATGAAATCCGCATCGACCATGTCGGCCCAGTGATGCTCGAGAAAGCTATAAGTGCCCCATTGCAGCGGCACAATCCGCACCGCTGTCTCGTCAAGGCCGTTGAGGCTCCTGTTCTTGGCCACGTTCTTGAGCACAGGCGGATCGGGCAGGTCCGTCAGCACGACATGCGAGGCCCCGCAGAGCGCCGCCGCAATGCCCGCCATGCCCGTCCCGCACCCAAGCTCGATCACCCGTGCGTGCTCAAACTGCTGCGAGTGCGCTTGGATATAGGCTGCCAGGACCAGGGCGGACGGCCAGACATACGAGCCATAGGCGGACTCGAGAAGCTGCGAGACCTGAACCACGAGTCGGTCGGTCGGACGCCCGCGAGGCTGGGGCGCCAGGAATTCCAGTCGTGTGATGTGTTGCGCCATATCGGACGTGCGTTGGTGAGCGGGTCGGTGTTCTGGTCCACACCTTCGAGCGAGGACTCACTCGCTGGTCGCTGTCGAGGGGGTGAGATCGGGGATAGCACAGGCTGGATTTGCGAGTCCAGGTCCGAACACTATGAAAAAATATCTTGTTAAAAAAATGAGCGAGAACGAAAAAACGCGCTCTCGGAGCCACCTCGGTCGGCGAGAAGAGCAGTCTCTGGCGAGAGACCCCCGAGGGAAGGCGAGAAGCCTCTCGCCGTCACACACACACACACACACACACACACACACACACACACACACTTTGCAAGGGAGTCAAACACCTCCCATCGACCATCCCAAGAGGGATGGCAACCCCGAAGTGGACTGCCCAGAATATGGGCGACCCGGCATCCACTGTCGAAATACTCAAGGAACAGTGCGAGATACTTACAGTCTATCCAGAAAAAACGGGACACTTTCCCTTCTAGGCTTCAGATGTCTGAAGCCCGCTGACTGACTTGTAGGCCCAGCGGGTAGGCCATGGCATTGCACTCCTGTCTTCGTTGGCAATCTCTTTGTTTTGGTTGGTTTGGGAAGCACAGTCTTGAATACACCCGGTCGATCTCCTGTGGCGATGATCGACCGGCATACCGAGATCATGTTCCTGGCTGCATTGATGTCTCGATCCCACAGCGTATGGCAGCTTGCACAGCTCCGGACAAAGTGTGGTTTCTCGATATCAAGATGCTCGACCTTCTCGAGTCGCTTGGCTTCCCGACAATGTGAGCATACCTGGGATGTGTTGAACTCGTTCACCGAGCACACATGGATCTTGGAGACGGATCGGTCTGGTGGGCGTCTCTGGTGGTGGTGGAACTGCTCAAAGTACTTGGCAAACCTGAGTCTCCGTGGGCTGGATGCATATCCCTTCCCTTGCTTCCAGGATGCATTCCCAAAGGCAATCACCACTTCGGTCTCCCTTGGTGCCTGGTCAATGACCTGCTTGCACATCTCGTGGACGGTGCGCTGTCGCTTGCTGTGGAGATCGAGTCGCTTGAACCGCCGTCGCCGAGTCAGGCTGAAGTACAGCTGTTTCTCCAGCATGTCTCCATCGAACACACATGGCGAATGTATCGCAGGAAGGAAGCCAACCCGGGGATCTTGGGGCTCGGTGTGGTGCTCATCCATTCCTGCAGACCAAGGATCTTGTGGGTGCTCTGGATCCACTTGGTCGCCTGGGTGGTGCCACATCGATGCTGGTACTCCTTGTTGGAGAACGACACGATCTTCTCGTTGGCACGCTGTGCCTTGGTCACCTTGACACCGTCTTGCTCCTGGATGGATGGTTGACTGGGTGCTCGAATGACAGCGGTGAAGATCGATCCCACACCAGGGTCGATCCCAATCCATGTGGTCCGAGAGTCGTCAATGGGACCGACCCTGGTCTGGATCTTCTTCTCGGGAGTGAGTGTGTTGTCGTCCTTGTCCACGGGTTCTGGTTTGGCATCAGGGTCCTTCTTCTCCAGGATCTTGTACTTGAGCGTGGTGATTGAGCACCCGACCCCATCGGTGGTGATCTCGCAACCAAAGAGCTGCTTTCCCTCCTCCCTGGCACCAAAGAGTCTCGGATCCAGCTTGAAGTTGGTCTGCCAGAAGATCTCTTGCTTTGTGGTGTCGTTGACCTTGGTCTTCAGGTCGTTCCACTTGAGACCAGTGCCAGTCTGGTATCCAAGGATCTCCCACAGTGCTTTGGTGTCGAGCTTGATGTACTTGGCTCGGGCATCGCAGAGTGGGACCAAGGTGCACTGTGCTCGAGGGATGTTGAGGCGCTTCTTGGTCTGGGCAAGTCGATCGGTGAGGCGCTTGATCCGCTTCGTGTTGACAGCGATCTGCTTGTCCACCTCCTTGTGCTGGGTCTGGAGTGCTTCGAGTCTGTCAGCCCCGATGTGGTGGATGGGTTGACACATCTCCTCGTTCAGTCGTCCACGCTCTCCTTTCAGAATCATCGGTATCCCTCAGCGAGCCTGGGAATGATCATCTTCTGAAAGACCACCATGAAGAGGGCCTCCTTCAGGTGGGTCAGGCGAGAGACCTCACTGGCCAGAATTGGTACGACTTTGTACAGGTCCTGGTGGCTTTCGTACCGAAACCCATACAACTGGTCGGCATGGTGGGCGAAGGATTTTCTCAGATCAACGAGGAGTGTCTTGGAGAGGGGATTCTCCATCAGCTTGACACAGTTGTCGACGTGTGTATGACGTTTCACATCCTTGGGAGCAATCAGGGCCAGGTTGCAGAATAGACGGAGGAGAGACCAATACCGATCGAGAACGTGGGTCTCACAGTTGACTGCATAGGTCTTGACAGCCAAACCAAGGACCTGTGACCCAGTACCCTTTGGGAGGGACACAGGAGGCAGGATACACGATCCACTCCATGCACGTCGATACAGCCCATATGTGTCGAGGAGGTGCCTGTCATCTTCCGGGGTGTTCGTCCTGGCACCCACTGTTCCTGTCTGTACCATATTGAAGCACTTTCGAACAAACGCGGGTTCACTCGACGACACAGTGGGGAGGGTGATGCCCTCGTCCAAGCACCGCCTGAGATGCAGCTCCAGGAGACGAGATGCTTCGTACTGCACGTGTGTCATGGCTCGGACAGTCTCCTCGATCTTGTCGTGCAAGGTGTCGTTCTTGATTATGGCATCGAGGGTGCACTTGACGGTGGAGTAGTCGGCCTTGACTTGCTCGTTTGGGCCACAGTCAGGCAAGGTAGAGCTCCAGAGTGGCTTATAGAAACGGCACTTTGGGGTGTTGCTTCTGGCATGACCCACTTGCTTGCACGTGGCACATACAGGGACCTTGGGTGCTTGGCTGACCATTTCAGCGACCAAGGCAGGGCTGCTGTCGATTCTGGCTGTGCACTTCTTGGTGAAGGGCCTAACATGGTTGGTCAGGCCACAGGCACGACACGATTTGATGACGGGTTTGTTGGCCACAGGAGAGTCATTGGGTGATCCCGGGTCGGGGTCGGGGGGTGTCTTTCTCTTGGGAGCCATCTGGCGAGAAAATAGCGACGATGGCTGGTTCTGTTCTTGGGGAAGAAAGAATCTCCTCAAAACCAGCGCATTTTGGGCTGGCAGAGATACTGTGCAGTGGCGTCCTTGATTCGGATCCAGAAACGCATCGCTCGCTCAATCAGTCGTGGGAAGACATCTTGTCAAGGTGAGTCTTGCCTGATAGCCAAACGATCATGTCATCTCGCTGACACACAGCCACGCTTGACTAGGTTTCCAACCAGAGAGATTCAGATGGCGGTGATTCTTGTCCGCAATCGGAGTGGAGCTTCCAACAATGATACAATTGGTCATTCCTCCACACCAATTGCCCACCACCACCGTCAATCGGCTCAAGGTGATACCGAATGCCGTCAACCGACCATGGCCGGATTCCAACTTTGCTGCATCTTGGTCTACAGCGTGTATTCATATTCGAGATGAGCAGCCGCGAGGGGGCCGGAATAAATTGATAGTGAAACCTGGAAAGCGGGTTGGCGATGCGACACGTGCGCGTCACATGGGGGCGCTCCTTTTTCTTCCATGGCGCCCTGCGGATCGGTCTCCATGGCCCTGTCCCGCTTGCATCTGTCCCGCTTGCATCTCTCCCGCTTGCATCTGTCCCGCTTGCATCTGTCCTCCCTCAAAGCTGCTGCACCCCCATCCGATCGCTGTATCTGTCGCCACGCCCGCCGCATCCCTCATGGCCACCGCTCACCAGGCCCTCAGGCCGCTCGTTCGGAAATACTTTCTGCAGCTTGTCAAGAACGTCCATCCGGACTACTATGCCCAGAGCCCCACCGCCCGCTCCACCAACCAGGCTTCGCTCCAAGACCTGAACAAGTTCATCGCCAGTGCCTTTCCGGGCGCTGTATCGGGCCTCAGAGAGCCGCCAGAGAATCCCGCCACTCCATCGACCGCGGCGGCCCAAAAAACACCAATTCGGTTTTACTGTCGACCACAACGGCGGTCCGATGCTTCTCTCGCCAGCACTGACCACTGCAGCGAGAATGCCCCGTCGTCGGCATCCAGTCGCCCAGCGCTCTCTGGTCGAGCGACATCTGTGCGACCCACCATCCAGACCACGCCGGATCGTCTGATACCCGACCCCATTGCATCAGCGTCGCAGCTACGGGCTCACTCGCCCCCAGTGTTGTCAGCACTGACAGAGGAACAACTGCAGCTCATCCAGCACGAGCTGAGCGTCAGTATCGGACTCGGAGCCTCGCGGTCCCTCAAGATCCCATCGCTGGTCGTCCGTCGCCTCGATCGCCAAGCCAGGGCCGAGACCGAGAGCCGGCTGCTGGCACTATCGCTTCTGCACCTGTGCGAAAAGTGCGGCGTCGATCTCGATCAGGACGAAGTTGCTTTGCTCGAAAACCAGGTCAAGGAAAAGCTTGGACTCGACCCGGATGCTCCTACGGCGGCTTCATCTCCAGGATCGTCTGCCAGGCGCGAAGGCGACCGCGATGTATTTGTTCGGGAGATGCGCAAGTCCATCGCAAGCATCGATAAGACCATCGCTGCAGACACACTCGCACAAAGAGCGTCTCCGTCACCGTCGGCATCGTTGCGAGCTGCCAAGAGCATCCGCTCGCGCTCGGACGGCTGGGATGACTCGGAGTTTGAGTTTGTTGCTCCCACCGGCAGTGTCGCCTCGATGTCGACGAACAGGAGATCGACCTCGACGACGGCACAGACTCGAGCCAGACGAGACCCGGGAGAACACGGATCCAGCGACGCCAGCATCCGGAATTGGGTCCAGGCCCATGCCATCTTTGCAAGACACCTCGATTTTCCTCACATCCGGGAGTTGTTCTCCGACCGTCTCCGGAAATGCCGCCGGGATGTCGACTTTGACCAATGGCGGAACCTCCCGGTGGTTGTGGGCGACCAGTACGAAACCATCGAGGGGATCCTGGCTATTCCGTGGGACTTTGAGCCACACGACCTGCAAAAGTATCTCCGCTATCGGTTGCTATCTGTTCGGCACGAACACGAAGCCACGCTGCGGCAGATGAGAGACCGGCACTGGGCAGCCGAGGGCCATGATGAGCGTTGATGGAGACGCACCGACGACCCTCTCTCGTGAACCAAGAGGCTCTGCTCCTCAATATACACACATGCCGTCGGCGGATGGCACCCGCGGGCCAATGCATTCATGCCTGCCGTTCCTGCGAGCGGCCTCGCTGCAGAAGCACGTTCAGCCGGCCGCCTGTACATCTGTTCCGATCCGGCTTGATCCCGGGCCTCTGCCGCAGGGCCTGGGCAGGGCCTGGGCAGGAATGTGCCTCGGCATCCGAGCAGAGGCCCTGCGGCAGGGTCCCCCGTTGCTGTTGATGTCGCTTGGTCCTGCCTGCGCCGTGTTCGTCGTCATGGCCCCATGTGCATCGGCCAATGTCCCGATCACTGCCGTCCACTGCCATCCATTGCAACCTCTCATTCCAATCCGCTCGCTGCAGCTGCCCACATAAAGCTCTCTCCGTCCTTGGAGTCATCGTCCGCACCGGCCTCGTCTCGTCTGGTCGCATCTCGTCTCGTCTGCAAAGACTCTCGTCTCCAAGCACACTCCCCAGGACGCACTCTTGTCGGGCTGCATGGTGCCCACGCATGCCACGCCCGCCCGCATCCTTGTCGCCAGTGCTGCCTTGCTCGGCCCAAACGTGCTGCTGGCGTCGCTCGCCACTGGCCCGATTCTCGCCATGCCTCCAAAACAGGCGCATCGCCAATCTTCATCGCCCGCGGTGAAGCCACCCCGCCTGCAGCATGTCGTGTCTGCCTCGTCCTTCGTTCTTCGCCTGCTCGGCCGCTCATCTGCTCGCTCCCTTCGTTGCCCTTCGTCGCCCTTCGTCGCCCTTCGTCGCCCTTCGTCGCCCTTCGTCGCCCTTCGTCGCCCTTCGTCGCCCTTCGTCGCCCTTCGTCGCCCTTCGTCGCCCTTCGCCGCCCTTCGTCGCCCTCATCGGTACTCGTCCTCCTTCGAAAGCGTCAAAGCCAAGTCTCGTTGCCAATCAATCCGCTGCAACTCTTCAACTTTACCAGTCCTCGTTTGTTTCGGTATGGGGTCCATTGGCCCACCATCCCCGCACCAGCGGATGGCAACCTCGGCCCACCAGCGACGGCAATGCATCGCGAGCAATTGCACCCTTCCCTCCTCGGCGATCCCGCGACATCCTCTCCTCCACCATCCGGCACTCATTTTATTCCGATCGAGCTTTCATCCTCATTCTCACTAACTCTCCCATCGACCCACCCGCCCCTCATCGTCCATCTGCGACTGGCAGCCACGCCCCAGCCCTGAGCCATCCATCATCGCAACTCTGCCAACTGTCCACCTCCGTCCATGGCCCATCCGCAGCGCTTTGCCTCGTATGCTGATCCCGGCTCCTTTGCGGATGACGATGCCGACACCAACGGCATCGACATTCCCGACGACATGCTCAGCATGCTCCACCGGCAGGCAGCACCTTCCGAACGAACAGCTTCGTCCCTCGGCCATGCCGCCGCTCTGAGTCGCAACCAGTCCGCCAACGTCTTTGAGCAGCGACGAGACCGCCAGTTCACCCCCCAGCCCAACGTCTCGCCCAGCTCCGAGTTCGCCGTCGATTACAACTCCAGGGGCAAAGCCTCGGGTCTCAGGGTCGCTGCTGCCGAATCCGACCGGGGCCGCAGCACTCCCTTGATCCTCGAGTCCGATCCGGACTCTGCCAACTCCACCGGCCAGGAACATGCCCCCGACGACATCCCCAGTGACCTGATGTCGCTGCTGCATTCCAACAACCAGGTCTATTCGGCCCTCGGCGGCTCGAGTCCATCCGCCCCTCCTGCCGATCGCCCCAAATTCCCTGCCTCGCTGGCCCCCGCGCGGCCTGACACCGCATCCATCCACTCGAGCTCATCCAACTCGCGAGCCGCCGGTTATCCCACAGATCAACACGTCCGCTCCCAGCCTGTCTCATACGGAACCAATGCCGATGATGATGACTCGATCGATGTCCCCATCGATCTGCTGGCCTCGAACGCCTCAACCCACTCCCAGTTCTTGCCTGCCAGAACTGAGAGCATTCTCGACTCGCGCTCCACACGACCTTCGGCAGCCACCAAACTTACTCCCGCCAACTGGAAGGCTGCCCAATTGAACGACTCGAGTCCGGACCGCACCCACTCCTTCCCACCCGAGCTCCCTGCTCTTGGCGATCAGCTCCCGCCTCCCAGGTCCGATAGCATCGGCACCCGCCAGCCCGTGCCTCTCTCCGACGACCTGTGGCGAGCCAGGAGCGAAAGCCTTCCTGGTCGGCCCCAGGACTTGGCGGCCGCGCAAGCGCTTCTGGCCGAGAGCTCCTATCGTGCCTCGGTCCCGTTCGATCCCAGCGCCAACCCCCGCACCGACAGCATCCTGTCGGCCCCGCGCTCCGACCCGGCCGAGTCCTATCGCCTCAGTCGCCAGGAGAGCTGCCAGCTCTCTCCCAAACTCGAGCCCAAAGATGGGTATCCCAGCCCTGTCTTGAAAATGCCGCTGCCCAAACCCCCCAGCGAGCCCTCGCCATTGGATGAGCTGCCCCTCGAGTATGTCGACGGTGGCATCGATGTTCCCGAAATCTTCTTGGCCAGCTCGGTCCACGCCATCAAGGAAGCCATGCCTCGCACCCTGTCGATTGCACAAAAGGACCCTCGCCCGTCGTCTCCCATGTCCCGCGTCCTTGGTCCTGCCAGCGGCTCGAGAGTGTCCCTGCCATTCCCTCCCCAGTCTGCCGGCTCCGAGTACGATGGCTCGCCCTCCATGCCCTCGGGCGATTTCAAACTCAAGAAACTCAAATCACACTCTTCTATGAACTTGCCTCCGCCAAGTGCGCCCCTGCCTCCTCCTCCGTCTGTTGAGGAGCCCCTCGTCCCATCGGTTCCGCAGGAAAGCCGTCGCGCTTCTGTCAGCGGTAGTATTCGCTCTCGTCACTCGAACCGCTCCGGCAGGTCCAATCTCTCGAGCTCCCAGGTGATCACCTCTGACTTGGCTTCCGTGCGCGAGCACGATCACAGCGGACATGATTACTCCTCGCATCACAAGGACTCCGAGGGCCCGTCTACGCCCGAGATTCCCGGGCGTCTGCTGTCCGACGTGAGCAAGTACTCGGGGGAGCTCGAGGCCTCGCTTCGCTCGCCTAGCCCGCCCTTGCCGCCTACGGACGTTGCGCTCTCTCATGTCGAAAGCCTTCGAAGTCTTTCCCGAAACCAACATACGATCGACTCGCCCGCGCCTTCCCATCACTCGGTACATAGTCGGGAATCGGCCGCTGCACCGATTCAGCCCCAGTTGCAGCCCCAGGCTGCTCCCCCTCCTGCCCAGCCCAAAGCAGCCCTTAGCGACGAAGAGGAGCTGGACCGCTTGCTGGAAGCCGGAGAAATCAATATTCAGTTGTACTTGAAACTCAAGCGTGGCCTGCGATCCCTCTAATCACCCACGACGTCACATACAATCGCCGTAGCAGCGCTCGCAGACCGAAACGGGACACACTGTACTTGAGTCCAATGTCAGGCCTTTCCCCCCCCATCCCCTGGATCCTGAATACACACATGCCTATCCACTTATTTCGTGGGAGCTGGGCAACGGGGGGCGTGCTCAGGCTCCGTCGTCTGAGATTTCTCCACCCCATCGAGTAAATCTCGCTGCCACCGCCACTAGAGGAAGTGATGCACGAATCTACGACGATACGGTCGTGGTGTTCAATCCAGACGGAAGCGGGGCTCCCAACATGTGCAGCGGAGCATATTTCAGTCATTTTCATCAATGATAAACCGTCCACCCACATCACTTCGGACGCAAGCGCACCCATGGAGTTCGCCCGAGACTCTGATATCCGTCAGATCGATATCCCATCGGCCGAGTTCATCATATTGCGACATGACTCAGCTCACGCAGGCCATCCAATTTACCGTCAATCCAGAAAGAAACGGAACAGTCGCTTCCTGGCTTCAGAGGCCTGACGCCTATTGAACTTCCATATGCTCCAGTGAGCAAGCCATGCGACGGTTTCTCGTCCTGGTTGGCAATCTCTCCGTGAAGTGCATCCACTCCACTCTCTGGACAGTTCCATGGTGGATCGATATCAAGATACTCGGTCTTCTCGAGTCGCTTGGCTTCCCGACAATGCGAGCATACCTGGGATGTGTTGAACTCGTTCACCGAGCACACCTGGGATGTGTTGAACTCGTTCACCGAGCACACATGGATCTTGGAGACGGATCGGTCTGGTGGTCGTCTCTGGTGGTGTATGAACTGCTCAAAATACCGAGCGAACCTGAGTCTCCTGGGACTGGATGCATATCCCTTCCCCTGTTTCCACGAGGCATTCCCAAAGGCAATCACTCCCTCAGTCTCCTTGGAAATACTGAATAGCTATGATTGCAATGAGTGGGTGTGTGTATTCAGGCTCCAGCATACAACAACTGTCCTGGTTCAAAGTTGGGTCTCCCATTCGTTTCGGGAACGCTGCATTGACAATGCAAATCATGCAAGCCACATTCATGATTGGAGCGTCTCCTGTTCGGAGAATATATTATGTCGCTGTCAGTGAGACGAAATATACGATGGAAGAAACTTCATCCCACCTCTCACTTCATCTCGCTGGGTCTGCGCCTTGTCTCTATCCATCATCCGTTCCAACATCCCTCGTCGCGCATCAAAATTATGAATGGCTCGATTGGCGCAGCGCCGACTCCATGGTTCTGCCAGGCTTCATACAATATGACGATGGCGACTCTGCAAGGCACCGTCGAATCGGTCAGCGCAATCTGTGCCGAGAACGTTGCTGTGGCCATCTCGAATACAGAGGGTTGGCTCAAGAACAACAATCTGGTCAGTTCGCGAGGCTCCCTGGCTCGGTTAGATGATGTGACTTGCCTTGATCTGGCCCCACTTGACTTGCCATTGTTTGACCCCTGCATCCCAGCGGCCTCCCCTTGTGATGGCATGTCCATCGTCGCTCTCAATTGCAACCGGCTCCGTCAATATCACTGAATCGTCCACACGCTGCTGCTGTCTGCTCGTAGCTTGGAGTCACAAGCGGCCATCTACTCTTGGCCATCGCGCTCGTGGCATCAAGCGTTGTTTCGGTCAGCAAGGTGATCAAGAACTACCGTCGAGGCACCGGTGCCCTCGAGCTAGTTTGGAACTGGGATATCCACAACATGCATCTGCTCAGCCAAGCATGTCTGCTTGTTTATGGACTCGGTAGGGATGCTTAGGACGAGGGCCTCATGGTCGTCTACACTTTGGTTACTTCGCTGCACCTTTCGAGGAGTCAGCGCTATCACATCGTCCACAAAGTCGGCTGCTTTATGATCGCCAAAAGCTCGAAATTGCCGCGTCTGATGCTTGTTGCACTGAACTCTATCGGGTCCATCCGTACTTCCCACGCGACCAGTTTCGGTCGGAGAGTTCATCTCGTTTCATCAAGGTCTTGAGCAGCCTTTGGTCATCTTGGCCGCTGTAGACTCACTGGTCTTGAACATTGTCCAACATGCTATGGCACTGCTAGCCTTCTGGCCCATCATTCGCTCGAGTCCAACCCATCGCCCCACTTTCCTACCGATGATGGTGGCCATTGCGACGTTACCGACGGTGGTCTACACTGTCGCTGTCTGTGTCTATGCAACCACACCATCTTCCGACGCCAATGCAGTCAGCTTGCCCGTCTCGATTGCAAAGTATGCCTGGATTACAGCAATAGCCGCCCGGGGCTTGACCTCCATCCTGTCGATAGCACTGGAGTGCGCATCAAGATTTGCCCTTGGCCATTATAGTCCGACAAAGGTCTGCTGCCACATGACAGATCTCTGGACAGAAATAGAGCATTGAATCCATTTTTGGCTCTGCAACGGGGCCGCGTTTGTAGTGATTGCTGTGGAACCCCGGGTTCTGATTGAAAGAAGATGTGTTGCATATTACGAGTCGCGATAATGCCATCCGAGTCCGATGCTCCTTTCGAACTTGCCTCGGCAGGAAGTTGGGGCCGGTGCTCTGGGCGTGTAGAGAGATGCAATCAAGTTTGGAAGCTGCCTGGAGAGCTAACCACGAAATGTGAACCGTAGATTCAGACGCTGAACTTGATATTTGCCCTCGCCAACGCTGCCAACTCTGTGTTTTCGATTCTCTTTGCCCTTGGCCTGGCATGCCCTGTGATCCAAGTATCAGAAAGCGACGTTTGGATCGACTACAAGGCGTGGCAGTCCTTTGTGACACTTTGGATCTTGGTGTCGGTTAGTGCCTTGTCTCCGGGGATCGCGGACGAGCTTCCCTCGCCAAGTCATCACGACCACTACAAGGTTCCGGAGCACATTCAGGGCGGTGGCTGCGACATGGTCGTCACCCGGGTATGGAATCATATCGCCGTTACCGACCATGCCTGAGATATGTTCTCTGATTTCCATCCGCGTATCGCGCCTCACAGCGACACGATGCACAGAATGGGGTGTCCGAATCGATTTCAGCCCATGGCCTGGCGATCCCTCTTGATATTCACATGCCATCCTCACTGCTCCTCACGGTCCTTATCTTATTTTTTATTTTTTTCCACCCATAGCAATTCACAAACTGGACGCTGAAGGAGATACCCCAAGTCAAAGCGTCATCGGGCAAGAGAAGCGCGCATTTCCGCAGAGTCCAGCCAGAGCCTCGAGTGGTAAAAACTGCCTGGGCGCATACAGTTCATCACCAACCATCGACTGCGACACTTGTACATCCACCACCCGAAGCCCCTTTGAATCGACCGCTACAGCAGCTTCCAGGCTCTGTCCTTTTCCTATCCCTATTGCTCGGCCTCGGTCTCATTGCAGTCTTTGTTTGCGATCTGGCGATCCTTCGACCCTTTGCTCTGTCCTTTCCGACCACTACCCTCTCTATATTTGTCATCACCATGACGTCGCATTACTCTTTGGATGTCCTTAGTCCCACACACACCACGGATATGAATTATTATGTCCGGGGGGCAATATGTGCCGCGACTATGTTGCTGGTTATTCTGGGCTCTCTACTGACCAGCTACTTTATGTACATAAGTTTTGCCCTGGCGCCCATCGGGACGGTCATGGTTCTGTGCACACTCCCCTCGCCGCGGTTGACAACAAGTGCTGTTGGAGAGCTCAATGACATCCGGGTTGAACACCATTTTGCTCAAGAATTCAAAGCAGAGGCACTCTTGCAAGGACCGGTGGATCAAGTGTCTGAATCACGGAGCCGAGCCTCGCAAATAGCCCATTCTGAAGTGTTTTCGGTTCCCCTTTACTATGCTTTGTTTCAGGGCCTACGACTATTCATCGTGCTGCTACTTGCATTTTTGGCAGGAGTTATGATTTTCTTTGGGAACTATTTGTCACTTGCCTTGTCGATTTGCTTGTGGATGATGTATTGTCACATGCATTCCACCATCACATTGGACAGTTGGAAGTGGGTCGCATCCTTGATCGGGGCAACTTGTATTGTGCTTGTCCTCGGATTCTGTGTGTGGTACGTTGTTCCATTGTACTTGATTGACCTTGGAGCAACAGCGTCGGCTCCAGCCGTGTACAAAATCATCGATAGCACCATGGCATCAAGTACACTGTCCGTAAGTCTGAAAGTCGGCCTCAATTTCAAATCCGATGTGAGTTGACTGCACAATCCTGCAGATGGGTACATGCTTGTCGATACCGAGCAAAGTCATCAGAACTGGGAATTGAACTGAGCCAAGTAACACCAGCCGACTCGCCCTATACTTGCATCAGTTCCTTCAGGTTGTTCGATCAAACAGCTCAAGCGCAGTGCAACTGCTTCGCAACCTTGTCCTTGGAAATGCATCCCTCCCTATATCGTTAGATATTGGCGGGGACCCCGGTTTGCTCTCCCCAATTCTGCTCTCTGTAGGTATTTGTGAATAGCTCTGATGGGCTCATTGGACTTGCAGTGATCTAGCCGGACATCTCGCTGAGCACTTCATTTCCATCCAACCGTTGCTTTGTAGGAGCTTTGCAATATCCTCCCGCAGGTCGCCCCAGTTGTGTCAACGTCGTCATTGTCACTGGCCTTTGCCCTGAAGTCAACCTTCCCCGATATTCTTACCGGGTACCAGTACCCAGCCTCAGCGCAGTCACCGCTACTTAAATCATTTGTCCATGTCATAGATGTGTTTGAGGCAGGAACGGTGTTTCCGAATGGTTATCTGATCAGCGCGTCTCACAATCTTGGTCGCAAAGCTGCTGTGCTCCTCGATAGCACCGATCAGACATACCTTATCGAGTGGTGGATGAGACAGCTTGGAGCCGATGTCGTTGTCGAGCGAGATGATTCATTCGCAACCTCGACATTCACTACTCAAAGCACCGGCTTGGGTCTAACGCAAACCCTACCGAACCTTGCAGCAACTCAGACCAATATGGCTCTGCCCTTCTCCGAACAATCAAAATGGATATTTGCCACCCTGTTTATCCCGGTTATATCAGCAGTGTTGGCTCTGGTGTTTTTTCTTGTCATCTACTATCGAAAACGCCACCCACCTATGTACAGTTCGCAGCCAAGTAACTCCACCATCGTAATCGAGGACATGGATCCACTGAAGCGCCATCGGAATATCAAAGACGGCTGTCGTATATGCTTTGAGTTTATCACGCTGATCGGATGGGCCATGTTTGTTGTTGGCATCCATGTGGTGTTTACGACAAGCAACTTTGTGGCATTCGATGCAGCCATCTATGTCTTCTCCGTTATGGGCTCGCTCTCCCCTCTATCAGCTCTCGCATCAATCTACGCCAAAGTCGACTCCATGCCAGCCACATACATATCCCAAGGCGCTGCGAAGGCACTATCGATGCTATCCGGCGGTATGGCGATACAGGCTCTAAGCTCCACCACCATTGGTAGCGGCGAACGAATCGCTTTGATCGGAGTCGGCATTTTTGTGCTCGGTCAAATATGCGTCCAAGCCACCGAATTCCAGGCGGTGTCTCGGCAAGGACAGGATACAGAGCGAACGATCGCATATCTGTCGGGACTATCTGTTTTGGGATCCGTTCTGATCGCGGTGGGATTCGGACGCCTATCCCTCTATACGGCCGGCTATCTCGCGACACAAACACACGTACTCTTCTATCTTGCTGTGGTAATCAGCTTCGTCAACAGTGTAACGATGGGCTTTGCTTCAGTCTATAACAGGGCGGTTTTGCACGCTGTATTCAGTATCGGCGCCACGGTCAGTCTGGTTGCATACGGAGGACTGATATATGGACTTGGGCACGTCATATATGAATGTGCCGCCGATGTCGTTCAAAATCCAGAAGCAAACTGCGGGTCAGCGACATATATTATCATATCTGGTGGCGTTATCTGTCTCGCTTCGATACTGGCAACTCTCCTATGCCGGAGTCTGGGCAAAAACGACGAAGCAAATCAGGCATTACAATCGGAGGTCATCCGACAGATGGTACTGTTCAACAGCAAGGCTCAATCGCGAAGCGACTCGCCTTCCCAAATCCTCGATTTTGGAGTTGTGTCTATTCCAAGCTACCTGGATACCCCGAGATACTTTGCGTGGGTGACCCTTCACTCGAGGCTCTGGACAGCGTGGCGAGGTCTGCTGACCTTCGCCGTAACGTCTTGGATTCTGGAGCTCTTTGGACTTGGTCTCGTGGGCAGTATCTCGATCGACGCTTTGATTGCGTCTGTTTGTTCGGCATCCATGAGCCCGGTGGCGATCGTCCTGACAGCTCTTGCAATGGTGCGCGACTCAAGACCCCTCATGATGGTGGCATATGGAACCACAGTATCTGCCCTTGTGTCGCTTGGACACACCTTTCATACGGCCATTCAGCGGGTGGACGATCAAGGGAGCACAGCTGCTGCCGAGAGCCTGATTCTGTCAGGGTCGTTACTCTTGATGATTGCATTGGCATCGATGCTTTCAATGGCCATGCATTCTACATACCTTCCGGACGACAGCTACAAGAAGACCAAATCCGCCCTGGGTCTTACGAATGCCTTTGGATGCATCGTGCTTGCCACGGGCGTCGGCGTATATCTCGCAAACAACGGAGCAGCAATGCGACGAATCGATTTCGCGACCCCGGTCGTCGCCGCTGTTTTCAGCACATTTGCATTTTTCTCCAAGTTGGCGACGGCATCAATACGCGCGTCCGCAGGTGGAACGATAGAGCGCATACTGAGTCTCGCGAGCCTAACAGCAGTCGGGTCGACGCTCTTCCAAATCGCCATGGAATTTGATGGCTGTGTCCGTTTCAAATGCAACACCATAGTAGGAAGCAGCCTAGCAAGCATAATTGCTGGATCTATTGCCCAAACCTTGGGATTTGCGCTGGATCAACTGTTGGAGATTCGGTACTGCGAGCCTGCCTATGATCCTGCTTCCATCAAGCAAATCAAGTCCCGCAGCATCCGGATATTCTGCGAAACTACAGAGTTTTATGCCATTCGGGATTTCACCAGAAGCAGCCCTGTGTTTCTCTATTACTACTCAACATCCTCTCCTTTGCTGCGGCCACTCTTGCAATATTTGTCCCTGGCGATGATGGCCTCCTACCTGGTCTTTGTGATTCCGTATTCCTCTTTCCAAGCCCGCCTGCCACTTGCCGCGGCGCTGATGGGACACCTTGTGTTTTCGTTGGCGGGGATACTGACGCCGTTCCTGGCCTTTGTTTGGATCATTCGGGGGAGCTCGGCCGTACTATTAGCTCTTAGTGTGAGTTTGTCGGTGTCTGTAGCTACTTCTGGTATGGTATTTATGTGGTCAATGTCGCCCTCGGCTGGGTTTCCGACGGCGGGTCTTATTGGAAGCTTGATGTTTGGCATCAGCTCAACTCTCTGGCATTCGATTACCCTGAGCCGGAACAAACTGAGCCTTACCCAGCAAAATACGTTCTTTTCGCGATTTTTGTATGGCGGACTCGCGGTCGGGTACGCGACCTTTCTATTCGGGTATCTTTCTCCGGAAACCGCCTCGCAAGGCACGTCGCTTCCCAACGTTGGGGCCACGATATTCATGGCATCCTCGAGTCTTTCTATGGCGCTCTTTGTGATTGATGAGTCATGGACCTGGATCGCTGGTCGTGTTCGACTATTATCCGGCATCGATCCAATCCAAGTACATGTCGGTCTCAAGCTTTCGGGATCAGCAGCGTTGTCGATATCGGCGTTCATGGCTGGATACCTCTTTCTTATCGCAACAAGCGACGCAGAGCCAATGAACTCTCCTGCAACTGCCGCGTGGGGCACAATTCTGTATATACTCTCGTATACGTGCTTCTCTGCCCATCGCTACATGGCTTTCGACGGACAACTTGTCAATCAGCGCGAAGTTCTGATCTTGGATACGAAAATCCCTTTGGAGCAGCCGCTGGATCCCTCCCAGAGGGCCATCTCAATGATCTCGCTAGGCTTGACGGTGATATCGCTGGCATTCATCATCATCGGGGCAGCCACAATCGGATCCACAGGGACCAGGATTCTCGATGCGACGACTCCGCCGATCCTCGTTGCCGCTGTGGTCCTCGCTTCAATTGCGACGGTTCTTTCGGTTGTTTTTCGGTGGAAATCGCTCAAGTTTGCTGCTATCATCTGTGGCCTTGCCGCTCTCGGCACTATTGGAGACACGATGGCCATATTCGCCCAGAGCATCAGCGCTAGCTCAATCACCGGGCTCTTTGGAGGGGCTATTGCAAGTCTGGCCATTGCAAGCCTAATTTTCACTATGGTTCCCAGGCCGTTATATCCAACAAATCCAGGGTATATTGTCGTTACCCTAGTGATTCAGTTTATCGCATACTTTACCTACATGATATCGTTCATTCTACTTGACGAGACAACCAACGCAAGCCCCATCGTAGAAGAATACCTCCAACTCAGCTTTCCTAGTGTTCCAGCTTGGATTCTGATATTTATCGAGTACAGTCGACGCCACTCATTGGCGGCCGATCAAGACGCTGTGCACCTCGCCTCCAGGATGATATTTGCCATGCTCAGCGTTATCATTGGAGGAAGATGTCTATGGCATGCCATTCTAACGGGACCAAACGAGACACTTGGCACCGGTCAAATACTAAAGCTGTGCGGGGCATTGTGTTGGGTAGTCATTTGTAGCTTTTATATACTGGTGTCATGCGGCGCCAAGCCGAGCATTTGCTTCGAGCTACGGAAGCCAAGATCAAGCGAGGGTAACAAGACGCCAGCAAATCATGAGCAAAGCCCTGGCTCCAGCCCGACACCGGAGATGACCAATCAGGATTGTGCCACCGGAGGGGACTTGGAAACACCAGATATTGAAAGAACTGTGGCTGTACATGGGCAGACCGAGCAGACTAAGCAGACCAAGCAGGTTAAGCAGACCAGGCAGGTTAAGCAAGCCAAGAGGGCCAAGCAGGCCGGCTCAGAGATGCCATCCACTCGTTTTTCAACCGCGACGATAGAGAGCATGGCGAAAGCCGTGCGAAGGCTCCAGAGATCTGCAGTGGCGGATCCTGGTCGTAGAAGCAATAGCGACGATCCTGTCGAAAATAGGGGCGGCCTTGAAGTCCAGAATGGCACACGTGACAGTGACAGTGACAGTGACAGCAACAATGACAAGGGTAATGTCGCAGAGCAAGAGAGAGAAATCGATCGCACCACGAATGATATAGTTCATGGAAAACCCGATCTCGACCACAGCCCTCTGTCCGAGCAGTCAACGGATAGGCCTCGCAGTGGCTTCCGAGTCGCAACGCTGCTTGGGGATTTCAAAGCCCTTCGCAATGATGCCTCAAAAGCTATTCGCCGGCTCGTAGCGTCTCCAAAGCGTCCCGAAAACACCAAGAATATGGCGAGGCCCTCCGAGAATCGCACTCAAAATACCCAACCTTCATCATCGTTATACAGAATTCCGGTGTCCGATGATTCACCTAATTTGCCCACAGCGACCCAATCGATTTTGACAGATGATGCTACACAAATTGCAAAGCCCAACATCGATGCTGAACTGCCCACTCCACTAGTGAACGGATGGAGAGAAGGTGGCCCATCGCGCAATGATGCACACTTGTTTGGCCAGAAATGGATCAGGAATAGCCAGGTGCTCGATATTGAAGAGCTTGACCTCAGGGAATGATGTCCCCTGAGCTCACCAGTGAGTCGCAATACAACTCGCTCGAATTAAAACAGGTGAAGTTGTATATAAACTGGACGCGCGGATTGAATCATGTCGCAGGATGATGGACTCGACCGATGAGATATCGAGCTCCGAGATATCAGGCCTCGGAAGGACTCCATGCGACGGACGCCGAAGGAATCGGCTCAAACGACTTGGTCATTCTCGGCCACGTGGGTGATAAATCCAGCTTCGGTGTGCTTGCGTCCAAGTTGATGCATCCTATTGTAAATGATCTAGTTGTAGGCAAGCCATCAAAGGCGACATATTTGGGTGAAACGTGTCAGTGTTCCGGATTTTCTGAAGTCGACCGCGATTCGTCATCGTGCCCTCGTTGGATCCTGACTCCATCCTTGCTACTATCCGTCACTGCTGGTGCGTTCGAATAAGGTCGGATGACATCGGCGGCCATTGTCAAGTGCTCACGAGCAATGACGGTCCTTCGTGCCATGGCTTGGTCCCGATTGCGCTGACAGCAGGTGGCGATGATGCGTCGCCACAATCGGATCACGTGATAGAACGTGACTGCTGCGAGAGTGAGAACGAGAACGAGAGTGAGAACGAGAACGAGAGTGAGAACGAGAGCAACAGCGAGAGCAACCGAGGGCGCTCTCCCCTGGGCCATCTCCTTCCAAGCCCCCGCCCCGTCGCCATCATTGCCATCATCGCCATCATCGTCGTTGCTGTCGTTGCTGTCGCCATCGTTGTTGCTATCGCTGGACTGCAGTTTGCCTGTCCATGGATCTCTTTTCATCCTTCCACTCGGTCCTCCGCGGTGATCGTGGCGCCCCGCAAACCGGCGCCGAAACCGTCGAGAAGCTATGCGACCGGGTTGTCAATTCGACGCTTCTCGAAGACCGCAGAGCGGCTGTGACCGCTTTAAAGTCCTGCGCCCGGGACTGGAAGCTCGACGTAGGCACCAAGGGCATGGGCGCCCTTGTAAACGTCCTCAAGACAGACCGTATGGATGTGGCCATCATAAAAGTGACAATTGAGACTCTCGATCTGCTATGCAGCAAGGATCTGCCCCAGAAGGTACGCATCAGCGACCCGGAGTTCCCGACAACCAGCGTCCGTTTCACCGAGCGCAAGCTTTGCTGCCACTGTACCCCTATAGCTTAAATGCAGCACTAAGCTGTCCTGTTTTGTCATCCTCCAATAACAGGGAGCCAAAGTTAGCGACGACCTCGGCCTCATGTTTACTGAGATCTTTATCAAGGTAAGCCGCGTTGAGCATTCGGGCGTTGAGCATTCGGGCCGTGATGGATTCTCAGCCAACTAGCCAGCCTCCTTGCTTGTTTGCTTGCCTGCGATAACACGTCGATGCTCTTCTATTACAGGATCCCAAGAACGTGACAATTATTCTTGACATACTAGAAGAATACGATTTTTATGTCCGTCTTTATGCCATCCAGTTCTTGGCCACCCTTCTGGCCAACATGCCCAACCAACTTCAGGATTGTATTCTCGCCAGTCCGGTTGGGGTGTCAAGGTAAATGACCGTCCAATTTGTGCAAGTTCTTCTGCCCCATAAGATCCACCGGTTCAACGAGCTGAAATACACCCCGACACATCATTTTCCCTTTCTGTTTATGATCCCTCCTGAATGGATACAAGGCTGATGGACCTCCTTGATGATCGACGCGAGGTTATACGCAACGGTATGTCATGCTGATTCCCTGTGCCCCCAAGTCTGTGAATCGGGGCGCTAACAGATCCGTTGGCTGCATTATAGATGGCCTATTGCTCTTGATATCCCTGACTCAATCCAACGCCGAGATTCAAAAGATCGTGGCATTTGAAAATGCTTTTGATCGCCTCCTCGTGATCATAATCGAAGAAGACGGTATCGATGGAGGCATTATTGTCCAGGATTGCCTCCAGTTGACCTTGAACCTACTTCGGTATAATGTCTCCAACCAGGTAGATGACTCCATCCTTGGCAATCAAACTACGCGATCTTGATACGCTGTTCGCAGTCGACCAACCTGGGTATCCCTTCGTTGCTTCTGCTTTCAACAACAACAACAACAACAACAACCAGAACTTCTTCCGTGAGAGCAGTTGCATCCAAAAAATTCAGTATCTCATCAACGCCTTGGATGCGAAGAAGGGACACGAAGCAGCCGTCCCGTCCAAGCCCTGGAGTGATCAAAAAATTGCCAACACTGCCCTTGTGATGGATCTCATTCGAATCCTCGTTGTCCCAAACAGTCCCAATACTGCCATAAACCAGGTATCTGTCACGGCGAATCCCAATCTCGGTCGCAGTCGGAGCCCAAGGAGCAACTTTCTAACCCACCACGACCGTTATTGCCGCGACAGAATGTTATGGGACAGGCACATATCATCCACACGCTTATCGACGTTGCGCTCAACAACGCCGTGCCTGCTAAAGTTCAGATTCAGGTAATCACCGTCATTAGCGCGGCATTATCCCATATCTTTACACCATCAGCCTATATAACTGGGGTGATGTTATTATTTTCCTCGTCTTTTGACGTTGTGCACTACAGGCCCTTCGGGCGATGGCCGATTCGATTCGTGGCAACCCATCCAATCAAGACGTCTTGTCGAAGAGCTTTGTTGTGGCTGATATGAGCGAGGATAATAAGCAGAAAGACGCATCACCCATGTCCGCCCTCTTCGCCCTCATCACTATCGCCACCTGTACAGCTGAATCTTTTGTGATTCGGGCTGCCGCTGCATATGCTCTTGAGGTATGGATGAATCTGCAAAGCAAGATATTCATCATCAACGAGGGAGAACCCCCCCCAATAATCGTCTTAATCTGTAGCAGTATATATTGACACAGTACTTTCTTCTCGGGTGGATCGATGCTCACAGTGCTACTTACACGAAAATCATGATGCGCAAGTGACCTTGGTGTCGGCTCTCAAGACCTCGACAGTGGCTCAAAATGGGCAGCAACTCGGCTCTCACCTGATGTCCTCGTTCTTAGAATTCGACCGAAAGGATGTATACAAGAGCTGGTTTGCGGGCACCATAATTATTCACATGCTTGAGGGAAATGTGGAGGCTCGCAAAGAGGCGCTCAATCTTCAACCAAGAAGCCTGGATGGTAAACGTCCCGAGCCCATTGAACTCCCATATCCGGGATGTACGTGCAATTGACTTGCTAGAGTTAATGCTTATTTGATATCTGGCGCTCCATCAGATGACGATAGTTCGCTGCTCCACAAGTCTATGTTTGCCCTTCTCTCAGCTCATCGCGAAGGGGTCGACATCCGAGTAAAACTGGGATACCTTTGTCTTATTGCGGTTTGGCTATGTGAATGCCCCGCAGCCGTTCAAAACTTTCTGACTGAAGGCGCTAACCTTCAGTTTGTATGTATTCCTTTTGTCAGTGAGAGACCAAGACACTTCCGCAAATGCTGTTGAGATCTTATTGGTGCTCATTTTCCAGTCGTTTGTCTGTACTAATCGGATGTTTGCCACGGTTCTCCGTTATCTGCGTGATGCTAGCTCATCGAGCAAGTCAGCCAGTCATCCGGGGTTGATCCAGTCGTTCAAGGACTAGCTGCCTATATCCTTGGGCTTTGTTACGAATACAACGATGACTCAGACGCCAATATGACCAGGTGCGATACCGAACGACCTTAGTACCGTCAAATCCACGCTGATCAAGTTGATTTGTTGATGTGTTGACCATATTCTAACCGAGGTTGTTCATTGCAAACCTTTATTTAGATCAAGCTTGCAATCGCTTGTCGTCAATCGCATAGGTGTCGATATATATATGAGTCGCCTTGAGCGTTTGCGTTCGTCGAATGCGTTCACTGCCGGCTTGACTAATCTAGGAAGCGTAAGCGTAACACGGGGGACATGGTTGATTCGCTTCGGCCCATTTGGTTTTGCAGTTCGCCTCGTGGCCTAAATCTCTCGTTATCCCGCATTCACGACCGCGGAAAACCTACTGAACCCAAGATATCGGATGATGTTGAAGTTGATGAAAACGGGCTTCCGGCCGTATATTTTGACTCCAGCTTTATCCAGCTCCTCAAGGCAACACTGGGTAAGAAACTCAATGTTATCGTTGTTCAGATACGAGATCTATTTTAACCATGGCTGAACATTAGACGACATCTCAAAGTCCATCACGAACCCAAAGTCTAAGAAGCCTCAGCGAAAGCTCCAACCAGGTGAGTTCACTGGGTTGTTTGGAACCAAAAAAAAAAAAATTGAGCCCATTTATGAAATCCGGGGCAGACAGAAATTGCAACGATCCATAACACAAAGCTGGCTACTTTTCCCAAAAACGCACAATCTGCATATGGCCCGTGATGACCTCAGTGTTGGATGATACAGCAGAAAAGTCAGTAATCCAGTCTTACAAGGATATCATTGCCAACCAAGATCAAGAAATCGGCAGCCTCAAGCAGAAGATCCGGGAGCTTGAAGACCGTTTGCAATTGGCTTTGCAATCCCATGCCAATCAAGTCGACAGCCTCAACGGCTCTATTACGAAGCTTCAGTCAAACATAGACGCTAACTCAGCGAAATTTGTGGAGCTTGAGAAGGAGCAGGAGGATTTGTTGGTTTGCCTGGCCGATCAAGATATTGTGCTCAAGCGCTACCGCCAAAAACTTCGACAATATGGCGAAGTAATCGAGTCCGACGACGATGCTGATGCTTGATTGCCTCCTGCATCAGGAGTCTCTCCGCGATAACAGCAAGCATCTCACTTAAGTAGGCAGGCCGAAGCATGTCTTGGCCAGTTTGGATCAAAACAACATGAAAGTCCCAAGCACAAGGTCGAGAGATCACACCATCGAATTTGGTCGTGACAGAAACAACACGATTCTTTCTTATTCAATCCAAACGCACACCTCCCGATACGTTTGCCTCACCAATGATTATTCGTAAGAGTTGTCGTGGAGGCACTCGATATTCGTGATCCTTGTGGTTTATATGTCGGGCGCGTTCTGAAGTTTCAGAAGCCAGGATCCTTCTGGAGACGAGAAAAGTTCAATGAGCTGTTCCGGAGCGACGGACCCATGAATATAGATGCCAAAGGAGCGGGGGGCACTGAAGAGAAGTGTGGTTCACAATAGACTGGAGAAACCGGAAAACCTGCATGGAACTCGATCCCGAGTAACGACGTTCCCAGACATGAATGAAATCGGGAGGGCAAGTATCGGTAACCAGGGCAACTGGTTCAAAACAGAGGCGATAGACACCCCAAATACCATCCATCCAATCAGCCACTGATTTCCAATCGGAACTGGAGGCCAAGGTACCCACGAGAGACAAGTGGGGCTCCAGTCCAGTACACCAACCATTTTGCTTAAAATAGTTTTGAAAGTGCGGACTTGAATACAAGGAATCGATCTCCTGTTTCAATGATAGATAGACACAATGACAACTTGTTCTTCACTGAGGTGAAGAGCATAGGTTGAAATGGAAACACAACACAGTTGCATCAAGACATCAATGCCAGTAGGTCATCGCCGGAGGAGATCCAAAGACAACATCCAAGATCAACTGTGATCAAGACCAACTGGATCCAAGACCACATTCCAAGAATAACTAACCACAACCAGGACTGGAAACAGAATGACGGCCTGTCCACCGGGCCCACCGAAGGATGCCGAGGGACACAGCAGTCGGGTTTGCTATCAGCTGTTTACAGGCAGTCCAATAAAAACGGGATTTTAGTCGTTGAGAGGGTATTTTGTTGCCTCAAACCATCCCGCACTGGCCACGACCTTTGGTCACACCATCGACTTTCGCACTCTTGCCAAGGACAGAACCATCCATCGTCGCTTCTCTCTCGCACAGATGGCTCCCGTCAAGCGAAAGCGCACCGTCCACGAGATGTGCAAACAAGTCATCGACCAGGCACCAAAGGAGACCGAAGTGGTGATTGCCTTTGGAAATGCATCCTGGAAACAGGGGAAGGGATATGCATCCAGTCCCAGGAGACTCAGGTTCGCCAAATACTTTGAGCAGTTCATACACCACCAGAGACGACCACCAGACCGATCCGTCTCCAAGATCCATGTGTGCTCGGTGAACGAGTTCAACACATCCCAGGTATGCTCACATTGTTGGGAAGCCAAGCGACTCGAGAAGACCGAGTATCTTGATATCGATCCACCATGGAACTGTCCAGAGAGTGGAGTGGATGCACTTCACGGAGAGATTGCCAACCAGGACGAGAAACCGTCGCATGGCTTGCTCACTGGAGCATATGGAAGTTCAATAGGCGTCAGGCCTCTGAAGCCAGGAAGCGACTGTTCCGTTTCTTTCTGGATCGACTGTTTGGCGAGGAAATTGTATGGCAATTGGCTGCAGCTCTTTCGATCCACTCCGCTCTCATATAGCGAAGGTAGTTGACTTTCGTTCCGTCGTTTAAAGCCATTCCAATTCATGCGCATCCCATGAGAAACTGTGGAGCTGTCTGGCAATAGCCCGAGAGACGGTGATGTGTAAATCCACCTTAGTCGTGTTTGAGTCGGTATCTGAGACGATTCTTGGCTCACACTGTCACGGTTTATCCCTCCTCCGTGAGTACCTTGGCTTCTGCCACGGACCTATATACTCTTTCAGAGGGAACGGATTTCAAAATTTCCAATTGTCTATCATTTATCGGCGTAATCATATCGTAGTAAAATGGCATGCTGTTGTTGTTATTTTTCTAGGAAGAGGATGGGAGTCCTCTCGCTCCTCAATTTTCACAGACGAGTCCGAGCAGGGCTGTGGGTAGGTTGTGACCCGTGCCTGCAGGACCATCTCTGCCGAATTTTGGTTGATGCAGCAGCTTGTTTGTTTTTTTTTTTTCTGTAAGTAATTTCTGACTTATTTAGGTCTCTGAATCAACTGAGCCAGAAAAATCAGGCTTTAGGAGGACTGACGACTCGATGAATTGACCGAAGCCATAAACAATTTGACACTACAATGATTGGTGCCTGTACGATCGGGACCTTTACCGTCTGTTTCGCAGAGTGAGGTCTTGCGGCATTCAGTATATGGAATCTCGGGGGACGCTCCGAATCGTGCGCTAAAGTCGTCGGTTATGATTTATGTCATGAACCAACATTGGCAGGAACAAGTCCCAGCGCGCCATCATTCGCGCGCACCGCTGTGCAACATGTTCCTAATCTCCCACACCCAACCCCCGCCCAGCATCCGCCTTTTGTTCGCGATTGTTTTTGTTATACCTGCCATAATATATTACCTTTCACACATACAGGCCCACTTCCTCACCACATGTCCTCCTTAACAATTCAAGGTCCAGTAGAGTTCTGCTTTCGATTGCTTTCTTGCTATTTTGAACAAAAAATGCTGAGTGAGGTCTTATTCAGGGCCTCTGATATCCAGAGGTAAGTGTGTACAACATTTTGAAACCACGCAAATAACAAATGCAGAAATAATGCCTCGGAACTTGATCCACGCGCTTGCATAGTTGAGTTCACCTGAGAAGTCAGTAAAATCTTCGGTGGGGGGGGAGAGTTGTTTAGCTGTTCTCTAATAAGGGCCGTGCCTCTCAACGTTTTTTGTTTAATTACATTATGAGACGTTTTGGACTCTCTAACTTTATATACAATTATAATTCCCAACGCCCTGGTCTATTTCAGAACAACGTTGGTGGTAGCAGGTCCCGTCACCCGCCACCCACCATCCGCCACCGATTCGTGATTCCATACTACATGCTCCTATCCCGATTAGTTCTCCTTGTCCGAAGTCATCTTCATTATCCTACACACGATAATATATTGTTTCCACGCATACAGGATTTCCCCCATCGCCTTGCTACTCTTTCTAAGAATTCGTGGCATATAATACGTCTCTTGCATGGTAGCAAAGCTAAGGTTGTAGCTGTATTCAAGCATGATTCTAGCCTCTTGGTATGATCTATTTAGGCGGTGTACGGTTACGTTTCGATTTTAATGCTGCTCAAATATTTTGATTGGTGTTTTATGGTGTTGATCATCTTTAAGATGCTTTCTGTCATCATGGACGAGATACTTTGGCGACGTCCCTGGTGCGCTTGATGGTGGTTATGGTTGCAGTGATATTGAATTCGCCAAAACTTCATCCGTACTCGATAGCGTTACGCCAGCCTTTGGTTTGAATGCAAATATTTACTTTGTTCTGGACCTGTATCCGGGGTAGTCGTCCTCGTCGATCTTGGTCCGTTAGTCTCTTGACGCGGTGAACCTGTTTGAGAAGGTGCGGTGAGAGGAAATGCCAATATGCTTGAAGGAAATTTATTACAACTATCAGAGCAAGAATAATCATGAGCAAGGGGAACTCGCCGGTCGTGGAGTGAGCGTGGGATTTATAGATACATGTCGTACGGCGATGCGCGCGGTTATGGGATGCGCTGTGACACGCTCCCGCCAGTGTCGGTTCATAACAGAACTCCTCATGCGGATGAGATTTACTGTACTCCACCTCATTAACTCATTTTCTGAAATCGGGTATTTAGCTCTTATTCCTTGGGACAAACCTAAGTTCCTCTGATTACGACCCCGATATTGTATCTGGACGTATCAACCCGCTCCGGACCAATTATGTATATGTGACTGGGTTAAGTATCTTGAAAAGCATATATTCTACACCCCTCCCATTCTACTCTAAGTGCTTTTCAGGGGGGTTATTATCATTATTATTTTTATTATTATTTATTTTATTATTAATTTATAATTAGCTCGAATATATTATATGGGTTTAAAATCTTGGTATTGAGTGGTTTGTTGCTAGGTGGTAAATGAATATAAGTTAACCCAATGATCGAAATTCCGGCATTTTTCTCTTATGAGTAGTGCGATATACAAACGGACTTATGATCCTGATGGATAGTAAGTGACCCAAAGAGATAATACACAAAGAAAACTCGAACTCCTCGCCATATTCGGAGCAAATCTTGCTTGGCAGGGTAAATGCCTTGGCTATGCTATTTTGATCATTTATAATCCTCGTTAAGAAAGGCTATTCCGTTGCTTCCGGGAGATCTTTGGCTATGTTCTAACTTTTAAGCGAGTGCCTGCATACTAAACTCGCTATTTGTGTAGGACCTCGGGACACTATGCTGGGACGTTGCTCCCTTCGTAGATGACTTCTTGTGAAGCTCCGTTGGCGCAAATATGACTGAGCGATTTTCTACGCTGATGATGAGATATTTTTGTCCTCTACCTCTGATATTAGGTGATATCCGATTGTGGCTCCAGGGATGAGTGAGCAGTAGTATTTTCTACAAATTTCCCACTTGAAAGCTCCAAGTGCATCCACGTAATTCGGACAGTAGCTACTGCTGACCAGAATGGCTATGGGGAAATGAAAGCGTCGATGGGCGAGTTGATTGGTACGAATACTACCAAATTCCGAATCATGAGGGGTGTTCGGTTTCAATTTCTCAGTAATGTCCAAGGATACGGTTTCTTTTTTTTCTGTTGAATTTGAGAGTGAGAGGTTTGAGGAGTCGCCGAAGAAAATTGTGATTAGAAGAACTGAAACAAATTCGGGTTTATGCTTGAGTTGTAGCTAGCGGAGGTTGAAAGCGTTGGCTTGTGAGATGTAACGAATCCCTCCTCGCTCGGCCATCTCGTCTCTGCGCTCCGCTGTCGTCTCTCCTCTACCTTCGCAAGTCAGTTTTGTTTTGGCTGGACGGCTGGCCAATGTCGGGCAAGCCGAGCACTGCCTTGGCCAGCCGGACCACAACATCTCGGCCTGCCACCCCTTTCTCACACAGGGGCTCTGCCAATTATTACCCCTCGCCCCATTCTAGGCCTCCATGGGCGAGGTTCTTTGTTTGATCGGAGGGGCTCCACCTCTGCCAGCTAAATAGCTCGCTGGCCGAGGAGGAGCACCAAGTGAATAATCACCCAATAAAGATGATCACTCTCCTCGTTTTTATCCTCGATCCCTGACCCTAGTCCAAGCCCCCAGTTCTTGACAGAGGCGGCCGGTGGAGGCAGCCGCGGAAACGCACGCGCGCCCGAGCATTCCGGCGCTCACACGCCTCGAACATGTGGCGACCCTTAAGGGTCGCCACAGTGCGGGGCGCCGGGCTGAGGTTCCCACGTTGCGTCGCTCTATCCGTGCACGAGCTATGTGAAGAACACGCCGGTTCGTCACAGATCCCGTTCCTCGCACCTCGACCCCCTCACTAGGCCTTGTGTTATAAACACAGTCGCCAATCGCGACGCGTCATCCACGACCCGCCCTCCATAGCCGCTCGGTCATGATTCATGACGCGTGGGAAACCTGGGGCGGAGTTTTAATATAGCCTCCGAAGCACGAAGAGCCATAGGTTTAAATAAACCGCTCCGCGCTCCTCTTGGATGAGCGCTAGTGAATTATAACACCCAATAAACGAGCGTTATTCTCTTTTCCAACACCTGCCCCAGTCTGATCTCCGCTCTCCTGTCCCTGCCTGTAATCACCCATGATGCAAGCAATAGATAAAAACCAATAGAGATATATTTGAGATCGAATGGGGCTAAGGGTCTACGCTAATATTTAAGGGAAGTCGACCCTTTTGCCCGGTGGGAACACCACTCGTGTTCCTTGAGTAATTCTTCCGACCACAGATCGAATGTTTATCTTCAAATTCCCGGTTCGGACTGTCTTGAGCCCCTCGGTCACGAATCAGGACCCGTGTGACGTGGGGTTAAAAGTGGACGGATATGCGAGATCCTCGTGGGGATGATGTCACACTGCCATTGATACTCCTGTTTTCCCGTGTCTAGTTCCTGACACATAGTCCCTAATGTTGTAGCTCTCTATTCAGCGGGACCCATTTGCGGAGGGACGGAAATGCTAAGTTTGCCGAACCCATTCATCTAGTGACAGTTTGAAATCTACAGCTGCGACCTTCATGTCTATATGTGTGCTGAAAATACCTATGGATTATTTAGTCAAGCTCCAAGTGTCGTGCGTGGAGGGTTGGGGGATTGTTACCCACGAAAGACATTGGGCTTGCATTGTCATCCAACACCACCATGACATCCAGCCAGATCATTGGTCTGCTGTGTAGAATTCGTTTGCGTCTGGTGCATCATACTTTTCGCCTTTCTTGTTCAGTGATGAGGTGGCCTTGCAGGTGCTCGAGCCAGTTTTGGGAGTGCGTCGATTGCAAGTTGATATGCGTGATGCTTTCATGGATTGTTGCGGGTTGCCAATACTTCATGAGGATGGCATTGGCCTGGAAAAATTCCAACATATGTTTTCTATTCATAGAAAATTTGAAACTCTTGACTCTGGATTTTCCGCGCGCTCCGTCAGGTTTGGGAGAGGGATTTCAACCCGCCAGAGGGGCAATCCTCTGGCTTGGGTGACTAATTTCACCGGCATCGATGTGGTCAGAATTGGGTCTTCTTGCCATTTTCAAGCGCCTGCAATAGACATCAAATTTCATGGAGTCTTATTGTATATATCAGAAAAAGGGAGGGCCATCATCTTCTTAACAGACAACGGATCGCTAGTTCGAGAAAAAAGAAAGGGCAGATTTTGATAAGAATCAGTTGCAATGATGGAATGGGACATTTTTAGATCAAGGCGGCAAGGAGGATGGGTAGCGCAGTCGGCAGCGCGTGGGTCTCATAATCCCAAGGCCGCGAGTTCGATTCTCGCCTCGTCCAGATTCTGAATGTATGGGCATCCCAGCATCAAAATCCGCATTGGTCCAGTGGCTAGGATTTCTCGCTCTCACCGAGACGGCCGGGGTTCGATTCCCCGATGCGGAAAATCCCAAATAGTATAGTGGCTAGTACTCCCGCCTGTCACGCGGGCGACCAGGGTTCGATTCCCTGTTTGGGAGTTTCTTTTTTTGTTCTGGCTGCGACACGACCAAGGTGTAACGAACAGGCGAAGGAGATCCTATTACTGGGCGGTCGATGTAATGGAGCGATGCACAAATGGACAACAGACAAGCACGAATTGTATTGACAAGCAGAAGATACAGTGGCTTCCAAAAGTGTTCGAATGTTTTGGATGTTTGACTGTTAGAGTCCGAGGGGGACTCAACGGCAAAAGAAGAAGTGAGCTCGAAGTGAGCTCAGGGAAAGCAAGGGTAAAGTCCGAAGTGGACTCGGAGAGGGAGCGAGGGAAGCAAAGATCCGTTCAAGATAAGACTAGTCTCGAAATGAGACGTGAGGAACACTCAGAGAATAAAGTAGAAGGCACTTTATTTAGTCCTATTTTGAACGCTGAGGTTCGACTACACATCGCGGGGGTCAGGCTATTTATAGACAAGTCCGGACTTGGCAGCGAAGGGCGGCCAAGGGAGGGAAAAGTGGGCGATCGAGCAGGGCGAAGGGGGCGATGCACGAACGAGGGCCGAGAAGGACCACCGAGACAGGCAGAGAACCAAAGCGAGAGAGGCGCAAGCAAAAGCGAAGCACCTGGCAGGAGAAACGTGCAAAGGCGAAGCAATGTGACTCAACGTCCAAGAAGCGGATTGGTCAAGTATAAGGTTGGGGCAAATGCATGCGAGATGAACAAGAGATCGGGGCGGTCAGGCAGGTCATGAGTCACCGGTGGGGGGACACATGACCGGTAGCCGAATTGCAACCAATCGTAGCGAAGCGCGTGCACAAACAAACCGGCGCGTGCGAAGATGACAAAGGAAGCGGAGCAGCGCGGGAAAACGGAAGTGCGGAAGGAGCGTAAAAGACAGGCAAAGGGCGGAAAATTGGAGGGGAACTGCAAAGCTACACACAAACAAACAGAAAGGCAAAAGAACAGCCAAGTGTGCAGTCAAAGTGGGGAACAAGCAGGAGCTATCCCTAACATCATCCCCTTCCTTAGCGACGAACTCCGGGCGTCGCCTTCGGCTTTGAGGGATAGCGAAGGTGGAAGTCAGCAACAAGATCAGTGGCGTGGGAAACATTGGCAGCGGGCTCCCAAGACCGGTCAGTCTCGGAATAGCCCTTCCACTGAACCAAGTACTGTAAGCGACCACGGAAGAGCCGAGAATCGAGAACAGTCTCGACCTCAAACTCTTCCTGGGAGTCAACAAGAATGGGAGGTGGTTCGGGTTGGGTGAACTCGGGAACAATGTCCTTCGTTCGGGGTTCAAGGAGGGATACATGGAAAACGGGGTGAACTTTGAGTGTGGAAGGGAGTTTAAGTTCAAAGGCAACGGGGTTGATGCGGCGAAGAACTTTAAAGGGGCCAAGCTTTTTCTGGTCAAGCTTGTTGGAGGGACGAAGGGTGCGGATGTGGCGACGATCAAGAAAAACGAGGTCGCCAACGGAGATGTCGGGAGTGGGGAGACGGGATTTGTTGGCCTGCACAGTGTAGGACTCTTGGGCAACCCGGAGGTTGGCCTTGAGATCCTCGAGAACGGTCTGAAGTCGGTCGACACGTTCTTCGGCAGAGGGCACAACAGAGGGATCACGAATGATAGAGGGATCGAAAATGGGGTGATGGCCATGGACTGCAAAGAAGGGAGTCATGCCAGTGGAAGTGTTTTCCGAGTTGTTGTAAGTGAACTCGGCAAGGGGAAGGTGAAGGGTCCAGTCGTCTTGCAGGTAATTGCAGTGGATACGCAAATACTGCTCGATGACCTGGTTGAGAACCTCGGTCGAACCGTCGGTCTCGGGGTGGAAGGCAGAAGAAAGGGAAATCTTCGTCTTCAGAAGCTCATTGAAGCGCCTCCAGAAGGCCGAAGTAAACTGAGTTCCTCGGTCCGAAACAATAGACCGGGGACAACCATGCAAGCGGAAGATGTGGGAGAGGAAGAGTTCGGCGGTTTGCTCGCCTGTAACCGTCTTCGTGGTGGGCACAAAGTGTGCTTGTTTGGACAGGCGGTCCTTAACCACGAAGATGGAGTCAAAACCGTTCGAAGGTGGGAGATCCGTGATGAAGTCCATCGACAGGTCCCACCAACGTTCGGAAGGAACGGGGAGAGGGTGAAGTAAACCATAAGGGGAGTGACGGGACGGCTTGGCTCGCTGGCACGCTTCACAATTAGCAATGAAGCGACGCACAGACTTACGAAGCCGGGGCCAGTGAAAGTCCCGGGAGATGAGCTCAACGGTCTTGGCAAGACCAAAGTGACCAGCGGCAGCGGAGCAGTGACGTTGCTCAAACACTTTGAGCTGGAGCTCGGGGGAAGGGACAACGATCAGGTCTTTAAAGTAAAGGAGACCGTCACGGAAGGAGTAATCACCATCAAGACGTTTGGCGTTAAAGTCAGAAAGAAGGGAACAAGAAAGGGTGGCAGCTCGAATCTCGGAAAGAAAGTCGGGATTCGAGCCGATAACAGTGATGCTGTCGAGAGAAATAGACTCGAACAGCTGAAGGAAGTTGGTGGAGTGGAGGGAGTCACCAGGCTTTATCTCAAAGTCAGAACGGCGACTGAGAGCATCGGCTTTGGTGTTGAGGCGACCAGGACGGTGGTAAATGCGAAAAGCAAAATCAGAAAGGAATTGGGCCCACCGGAACTGGCGGCGAGAAAGTTGGGAAGCGGAAGTGAACCGGGTAAGGTTCTGATGATCAGAGAAAACAAGAGTGGGATGGTCTGGGTCGGCAGCCATTAAGTAATGACGCCAGGCAGTAAAGGAATCGACAATGGCGAGGAGCTCTTTGTCGTGAGTGTCATAGTTCACCTCGGCAGGACGGAATTGCCGAGAGTGAAATGCAACGGGGTGAAGAGCGCCGTCAGGGTCAAACTGAGAAAGGACGGCACCCAAAGCAAAATCAGAAGCATCGGGCTCAATGACAGCGGGTTTAGAGAAATCAAAGTATCGAAGGATAGGAGCGGAAGTGAATGAATGTTTAAGAGAATCAAAAGCCTCTTGGGCCTCGGGAGACCAAGAGAAGGTGGAGGATTTGGTGGTGAGGGAAGTCAAAGGACGAGCAAGTGCGGAAAAGTCCTTGACGAAGCGGCGGTAAAAGTTTGCGAAACCAATAAAAACTTGGATATCGCGAGCAGAAGAGGGAACAGGCCAAAGAGAAACGGCCTCGACCTTGGCAGGGTCCATTTTGATGCCATCGGCAGAAATGATCATGCCGAGAAAGTCAACTTCAGAAAGGTCAAAAGAACACTTGGCCGGATTGACCTTAAGGGAGTGTTCACGAAGGCGAGAAAGAACAAGCTTAACATGCTCCTCATGCTCCTGGGGATCTTTTGAGAAGATCAGGATGTCGTCAAGATAAATGACAACACAGACACCAAGGAGGTCCGAGAAGATGTCGTTCATAAAAAACTGGAAAGCAGCGGGGGCATTCGAAAGACCAAAGGGGATAACGTTGTACTCAAATGAGCCAGATTTACAAACAAAAGCAGTCTTCCACTCATCGCCCTTCTTGACACGAACCAAGTGGTAAGCATCAGGAAGGTCAAGGTGTGAGAAGACGCGGGCAGAAGAAAGTTTATCAAGAAGATCCTGGAAGAGGGGAAGAGGGTAACGATTCTTCTTCGTGATGGCATTGAGGCCCCGGTAGTCGACGCAAAGGCGAAGACCACCATTGGGCTTCTTCACGAAGAAGCAGGGAGCACCAACGGGAGAAGAGGATTTGGAGATCCAACCACGTGCGAGGGCGTTGGTCAGATACTCCGAAAGAGCAGATTCCTCGGCCGGGGACAAAGGATAGACTTTCCCCGGCTTTGGCAAACGAGGTTCCTTTCCATCCTCGGTCCGTACAAACTCAATGGACAAGTCATACGGACGGTGAGGAGGCAAGGAAGAAGGAGGGTCAGACTTGAGGCTGAAAACGTCGCCAAACTCATTGTATTTGAGTGGGACACCTCGAGAGTCAACGGGGGTGCCAGACTCGGCATACACCTTCGTCGTGAGCACGGACCTTATCGACACCGTAGGATACGTCTCCGGCGAAGGAGGACGGATATCCATTTGGGCAGCGAAAATGTCGAGCTTGTCTTCTCGTGCAAGACGGAGAAGACTCGCCGCATTAACGAGCTCAATGTCGTGTGAAGATAAAGCCGTTGGCTCTTCAGAAAGCGAAGCAGAGTCAAGGCGGGAAGAAAGGGAAGGCGAAGTGCCAGAGGAGGGAATCGGTGTAATGAAAGGACCGAAGGGAGGAAGAGTCAAAGGCGAAGTGCCCGAAGGGGGAGGCGAAGAGCCGGAAGGGGACGAAGTGTCCAAGGAAGAAGCAGAGACATCCGCGAGGATGTGTCCATCAGCAAGGCAAGAGGGATCGGAGAATGAAAGGGAGAGGGACTTCCAATTAACAACTGGATTGTGCAAGCGCATCCAGGGAAGACCAAGAGTGATGGGAGTGGTGGAGAGTCGAGTCACAAGAAACGAAATCGACTCGGTGTGGGAACCAATGGTCAGAGTCAAAGGCACGGTTTGGAAACGAATGAAACCGGCCGAAGAGCCATCAGCAAGGGAAACGGAGTAAGGAGTAGAAAGAGGGATAAGAGAGAGTTTATGGAGATCCGCAAAGGCAGGATCAATGAGGGCAAGAGCGGTGTAGGAGATGGTATCTCCGACGCTGTGCTGCGCGTACTGCGCGTACTGCGCGGCGCAGTGGGTCGTGACCTGTGCTGCGCTTTGCGTTTTCACGCACCGCAGGCAGGCCACCGCAGGGTATACCTGCGGGTTGCCCCCGTTCCCCCCGTTTGTCTGGAGTTCGGTTTTATCGTGAATAAACGTAAGTGCTCCCCGAG